ATATAATAATTTATTAATATTTATAAAAAATACTTATAATAAATATAAGTTTATAAATATAAATAAATATTAATATAGCTGCTTTATAAAAAATATATATAAATAGTATATAAATTTTAAAATAATAAACTATCTTTTTTTATATTTAGCTATTTATAATTGCCCTTATAATTACTAATTAGTATTAGCTAAGTTATATATTTAAATATAATATGTGTTTAAAAATATTAATATTTATTTAGGTATAAGTTGCTTACTTAGTTATAGGAAATAGCTAAAGGCTGTATCCCTTTAAGGCCTACTTATAGCCATAAGCCCAACAGACTAATCAGCTCGCTATAAACGCTAACGCTACGATTCACACAAACAGACCAATTAAGAATGGATGGCAGTGAAAAGGCCGAATTCACATCCGAACGTGGCACATGCCGACGCCGCGAAACGTCAGACAGGGCAGAAACTCGCAAGGGGGCAACGTGCAGGTAAGCAAGTCCGAGGCCTTCGTTTAGATACCGCTGACATCAAGCGTAGCCCTCTCATACAGCCACTGTTGGGAAGCGAAAGGATTCAGGATTACGCTGACATATGGAGATAGCCCTACAGAGTTACAACGCCTGTGGAACCATACCCCATTTAGAATGATTATGCCTATTCTCCTATAATGCATATTTATTTGTGCTGAGGCCAATGGGAGGGTCGCACATGATATTGATTTGTTGTAGCAGAAAAGTTCTACCGCATTTACAATACACCGATGACTACAGGTAATCATCATCGAATGGAAGCACGCCAGCATGTAAAACATTTAGAAGCTTGGCAGGGGTCCCGAAGGATTATTCAAAATTACAACCTAGAAAACAACGTCTTTTCTCGTATAGTTATACAACGGGACTGAAGTCTGGATTTCGGTCAGGTTTTCGTTTTGCCCCATATGAAACCCATATCATCATTTTGAAGAATGGGTGTGAAGCATGCAAAGCTACTCCAGACTTTCCTACTGTTAGGGCAGTATTGTGTGTTGAAGATGTAGTCTGTCAAAATTTGGCTTGTGCAGCTGGTACTATCCCATTCTTGGAAGGTCAGAGGCAAAATTCCACATGCAATGATGCAACTTGTTGGGGAGGCGCTGTCGGTGAGTGGCAGGACGCTCGAAATACTTGCGAAGCTCTAGACACCTGGGCGCCTTCAATTTTGAAGCACGGAGAGGTAAAGGCCATTAACTCCACATAGCGGCTTGCCGTCCAAAATTGAACGCATTATGATTTGTATCTTCAAGCTGTTTTTGTATGAATAAGGTTGGGTAAGCAAAGCATAAGGTAACACATCTACAATTGTGATTAGGCTTGACCTTGAGCTGCTCATCAAGATCCAGATCTAAGGGATGGGGTAGAACCCAGCGGCAGTTTCTATTAGACTCTCTTCCTTAAGACACCCACGTTGTCGACCAAATGTAGGTATTTCATAGGCCGTTATGACAGAATTTAGATCATTCTAGGGGACTCCGGGCTCTTCCAACCAATCCGTCTCCTGCATGTGGCAACGATGAATCAATTCATATTCTGCTGGTCTAGAATTGGAGGCAAAATTCGACCAATGTTTGCTCGGCTTCGGGTCATCTTGCCGCGCTTGCACCGTCATGAACCTCGTTCGGAAAACAGCCGGCTTGGCACCCCGGGGTCTTCAAGTAGGCAGGATCAACATGCGCTGCATTGCGACAACATTCAATGCGGAGACAAGCCAAATTATCGATCGAGTCGAATGGGTGAAGGCTCAGTGAATGTGTCTTTCAAGTATTGTTTTACTAGTCAGTCTTTACCTTGGGCAGATATCATCAAAACTGCAAAGATGATGCTTCTCTGGACAGTATTGCTGCCTTTGGCAGTGTCTGCCTCGATTGACAGGTAATTGCGAGGTCCAGTCACTCCCGATGATGAGACAACTTATTTTCGAGATAGACAACAGATTCTTTCCCAATTTAATGTCGTGCGGACCAATCTCATTGATAACACCTCAACTCCTTTGCAAGTCGGTAATGGGAACTTCGCCTTCAACGTGGACAACACGGGAATGCAGGTGCGTCCTTCAAATTACGTTGCTCTAGTGATTAAGATGCATGGACTTAGCAAATGCCAGAGTCTCCTCCCGTTCAATGCACTGTCTAGCTGGGCATGGCACAACGATTCCCTGCCGAGCAACGGGTGAGTAGTGGGTCCTTCGTTTTCAGCTTCCGATCATAGCTGAGTTGGCGCAGCGAGAAGCTGAGCGACTACCATGGCCGGCCTCTCGAGACACACGGTCGAAATGTGTCTTACGATTATCCCGATTCCAATCTTCCGCTGGTCTCACAGTGGCTGATTGCTAACCCTAACCGCATCAATCTCGGCCGCATTGGACTCAAATACAAGGATACTACTCTGGCGCCCTCGTTGATCACTGAGCCATTGCAGGAGCTCGATTTATGGGCTGGAGTCATCACATCGTCATTTCGAGTGGATGGACAGACGGTCAAGGTCACCACCCAAGGCGACTTCGAATCGGATAGCGTGGTCTTTGAGATCGAGTCCGCTCTCCTGTCCTCCGGAGATTTGAAGATTGAATTCGACTTTCCCTATCCACCAATCCACACAACAAAGTACAAGTACGAGGTCTTCGTAGGAAGCTATGAGTTCCCATTGAATCACTCAACGACACTTGTTGAGTCCCAGGGAGACAGCAGCGCTCACATTCATCACGAGCTGCAGGAAACGGTCTACTTCGTCAATCTGCGATGGCCCGCGAATTCTCCATTAGCTTTATCCAGGAACGAGCCCCAAAACTCAACCGCAGTCACAGCACATCGCTACACACTTGCTCCCACAACGATAGGTAACAGCTCCACTCCTTCTACGATATCCTTCACGGCGAATTTCTCGCCCGAAAAGCAGGCCCCCGACTTGCCATCTACAATCCAGCAACGGAATCCCGCCGGGTGGAATGAATACTGGGAGGAAGGTGGCTTCATTGATCTCACGGGGTCGACAAATCCGAATGCAACTGAGCTTCAGCGCAGAATTGTTCTGTCGCAGTACCATGTCCGTGTCAACAGCGCGGCGGAAGGACAGTCACCCCAGGAGTCGGGGCTGATGAACAATGGATGGTAGTAAGTGTTTCTTCGAAATCGCTGTCTCGCTTAAAGCATGGATGCTTCCTGATATGCCTCGACGATCCGCAGCGGCAAGTTCCATATGGAAGTCGTGGTCTTGCACAACGCCCACTGGATTACTTGGGACCGGAAGAAATATTTTGACGACATCTTTCCGACCTTGTACGAAACTCTGCTTCCCTCCTCCCTGGACAGGGCGAAGAGCATGGGTTGGGAAGGAGCCAGGTAAGATCTTCTTGAGAACTACAGTCTAAGACCATGCATCCCTGATCATTAACCATCTCGTCCAAAAGGTGGCCGAAAATGACCGAACTCATTACCGGACACAACTCCCCGGGCTCTATCAATGCGCTACTTCTATGGCAACAGGTAAGCATGACTGGTCTGAGGCGATAATTCAGATGGATTGACCCAAATCCCACCAGCCTCATCCCATGTACCTAGCCGAACTTGCCTACATAGCAGACCCATCCGAGGAAACCCTTGAGCGCTGGGATGCCGTCTTAACTGCTTCTGCAGATTACATGGCTTCTTATGCCTGGTACAATCAGTCCTCAGGTCATTACGACCTCGGCCCACCGTCAGCTATTCCACGCACGACCATCTGCCTACTCATACATCAACTGACATGGGTCACAGAGCATATGGCGTCACAGAGAACACTCCTCCTCTCGAGACACGAAACCTCGCCTACGAGCTTGGCTACTGGCAGTATGGCCTCAACCTAGCTCGGACATGGAAAAAACGTTCAAACGCAACCATTCCCGAACAATGGACTATTGTCGCTGACAACCTCGCCCCGATACCGATAGCCGATGATGGGCTGTACACCCCATATGAGGGCCTCAACAGCAGCTGGTGGGACGATCCCGAGCTCAACTCAGATCCACGGAGCTTGAGTATGTTGCGCGGGATTTTGCCGAGCACAGGGACGCCCAGTGTGGATGAGGAAGTTGCGAAGAAGACGGCAGACAAGGTCCACGAGGTCTGGGGAGGGGTGGAAGGGAAGGTATTTGGGTGGGGTCGGCCGGTATTGGCCATCAACGCTGCAAGACTGGGCGAGCCGGAACGAGCGATGGGTCACCTGACAGCGTTTGACTCCTGGGTGTTTGACGATGCAGGATTTGCGGAGAGAGGTGGTAATGGTGAGTCTGACTCCCGATGTCCTTTGCTGTTGCGGACCGATCGATCCTGTATGTGATGTGCTGACCTACCTGGATTTCAGGCGGCACACCTCCACCGTTCCTGGATGGAAATGCATTCTTTCTTCATGCTGGTACGTAATATCACAAGTCAATTATTTTTCGGGAGATTTTAGCTGACGGGTCAACAGTGGCGTACATGGCCGCCGGTTGGCAGGGCTCGGAAGGAGACGCACCAGGATTTCCCAAGGATGGCACCTGGTCTGTTATTTACGAGGGTCTGCTGAAGGCTCCATAATGAAATGTGGCTATTAATGGAGGCGCATTAAGTGCTTCTTTCACCGATACACCCTAAAAGGGGGATGTTGTAGTATCGAGCATACTACTACTAGTATAGCCTCCTGCTTATACATATATTGTGACACACTGAAAGACCTAGTGCCAGCCCTTGTCCCCTTAGTTTGAACGCTACATCTTTCATAGGTATAAATGCATTAATCTGTAGACCACAATATACGTTCTCTATTGTATCTTGTCGCATCAACGAAACATTGCCTCTGGTCTAGAAACCCCTTGCTGCGCACTTCCTCCCAAACCTGAATCATTTTCACCTAGCAATGCCCGGCTAAAGGGGTCCATCTTTTGCAATTACCTGTTTTTTTCGAGGAGTTCATGTCTTGGAGAAAATTTTGTTCGTCTAATACAGCAATCGTTGTCAGACAACTTGTTCAAGGCTAGGCTTTAGGAGTATAGCTCACCTCTGCAACCACGTCGTAGCTCATGGCCCATTTTGTATACTCTGGTGACATCCTGGGAGCATTCTCATCCATTTTAACAGTATTCCAGTCTGTTGGCCGGCCAGTGAAGCCTGTCGTCGAGAGTCTGTGATCCCTGGCTTCTTGTTCCGGCCCGTCGGGAAGAGTGAACATGGCAATGTTCTTCTGGCCGGCATCGAACATCTTCTCGGCTCGCGGTTTTCGTAGCGCCTCCCACTTCTGCAAAATAGAAGTCAGATCCTCTCGCTTAACAGCCCAGTGGAGAGCTGTGCTCATAGCCAGGCCATCTTCAATACCCTGGCTCACCCCCTGGGCGGTATGCGGCACCATGGCATGAGCAGCATCTCCTATAAGGACACAACGTCCGCCAAATCCAAGCCAGGTTTCCATCTGAGGTGCGGTTGCGATATGCCACTTGTCGATTGGACGGCCACCACGCACCACACACTCGATGTAGGCACGCAGCGGCGCACCGAAGCCTTTGAACGCCTCGCGTATCTCGGCCGGGTCCCCGTCCGAGTTCCAGGCTCCGTCAAGATCTTCATCCGTGAGGGGATAGCCGTATTCCATATTGCATAAGAGTAAGCGCATGCTTCCGTGAGCGGTTGGTCGACCGATACAGTAACGCCCGGGACCGAACATAAGGTGGTGTGAAAGGACGCCAAACGGGGCGGCGACTGGGTCTCGCTGCACAATGCCGATGTCAACCTCCGTCTGGAAGATACATTCAGGCGACGTCACTGGCTTCATGTCTTGTCCGGGGTTCATCAGCTCGCGGACTTTCGACTTGATGCCATCGGCACCGATTACCAAATCGGCCAGGTATTCGTCACCATCCGCGACTTTCACCAACAGCTGGCCACTCTCGTGCTCATCGATACGGACAACAGTTTTGCCAAAGAGATACTTCGCTCCAGCGGTGACAGCAGCTTCGAAAGTGATCCGCTGCAACGATGGTCTATCCGTGGGCTTTCGGATCGTTCCATCAGGTATTGCTTTCGTCTCTGTGAATGGCTCGTCGTCCTTCCACCTCCATAAGTAATGATTTGTTGTATCCACTGATATTTGGTCCAAAGATTCCGAAATACCGATCAGGTTCAGGCATTGAACTGCAGAAGGCTGTACGATGATATTGCCTCCCCGTGTCTGGAGTTGAGGGTGTCTTTCGAGCACGGTGACAGTGTGACCATCTGAAGCCAACGCTGTCGCTGCTGTATTTCCTGATGGCCCAGCACCAATAATTAGCACACTAAGCGAAAGCTTTGAGGACATTTTGATTATCTACTCTCTCGACGAACAAACGAATTACTCCTGGGAGATTGCAGCTAGATGTGGTTTTCGGTTTCTTATCCTGCTTGACAATAGACGGGGCCTTACAATTTACCGAAATCCTTATATAAGGTTGACCATGAAAGTCAATGTACCATACAATGTTGTCAGATAGGCGATGTAACCCGTAAGAGCTAACTCGCAAGCGCCCTGTAGTGTAACTACTTTTAGAATCGGTCGGAGATTGAGCCGGTTTGCGGCATTTTCAGGCTGTTGGATCACAGCGGTAAAGCCTAACAGTGCAATTGATAGATCGCAACACAGAGCTTCAGAGGCTGGAATCTCGTGAAATAGCCACGCAGTACTTTGAAAGTTCACCAGCGAGCTTTTCCCCACATTTGCCCAAGTGGAGTCTATTTCGGTCGAAGCCTCATATAGAAGGGGCATGTGACACTTCGGTGCGGTGATCTGCTGTCGGAAGCATGCTGCAAAGTCCGCCGCCCACACGACAAGAAGCAGACACGGAAATCGGCCATGAGTTATTGGCCTTTGTTCTCTGATTGTTCAGCTGTTTGCATTGCAACTCAGCTCTAGAAATACAGAGGTTGAGTAGAGAAAACTCCCAGCCGGGCACTTGAAGACTGTGCCCGAGACATGAGAGACAAAAACTAATTTTGCGGGGAAGGTATTGATGTTACTTCACATAGATCACATAATTCTCAAATGAGAAAAGGCAACGGTATTTACAGCAAAGATAGTCAACTTTGCAATCTAAAAGAACTTGTCGATTATTAATCAAACGCATTCACCACGCGGACTCAGCCTAACCAACAACACAGCCAGTGCAAGGAGGCGACGGCGTCTCTGTGATCGCTTGAACTTTTAACCGGTTCAACACAGCACTCTTCTGCATCTGGTACCTTACACGGCCGCCGTCCTCATCATTCGAATTATCCGCTGCCTTCCTCTTCGCCTCGGCGTACTCGTCCCGCGCCCAGGCATTTTCGCGCAGAAAGTCGCGGAATGTCAGGAATTGGGCAGCCACTTGACAGTTTTCACGGTGGACGTGAAGATTAATCTCAACATCTGCCTGATCAACAGCGAGGAAACGGTGTCCGTGCCATTTGGGTTGGCGAAAGTAATGCACGAACCCAAGGCTTTCGAGCGCCGGAATATATAGGTTCTCCTTCGATGGATCACTCACCTCGAGCAGAATGTCGCAGATCGGCTTTGCGTGGAGCCCCGGCACAGATGTGGAGCCTACATGCTCCAGTCTTATGACTTCGGGCCCGAGGGCAGAGGTAATGCGAGATGCAATATTGGAAAATGTGACGGGCCAGGAAGCCTGGTAGGGGACAATTTCAATTTGAGGATCGACACGCTTAGCGACGATCTCCATTGTTGTGGGTGTGTAGCCTATGGGCTCCATGTTCAGTCTGCTGCACTTTTTAGAGAATACCCCAGCGGTGATTGGGTTTCCATTTTGGATTGTCGACAGTCTGTTCTGTCCCGAAAGACGTTATTATATAGAATTTGCTCTTGTCCATAATTCGCGGGCCAAGCGTTGCTGTGACAGAGCAATGCAACAAAGGCGAGTGACTTGTAGAGGACAATGCCATTGTTGCTCACAAAGCAATTTTGAATTGCTTAGAGGAGTGCAGCTTTCGAAACGCTTGGCTAGCAAGTGACAATGCCCAGGAGGCGAACCCAGCCTTGCTGGAAGCATTCCCAAAGCGACTGACGCCTTCTCCATCGTTGGCAGAAGAAATGCTGACTCTGGCACGACTGAAAGGAAGTGAGCTATTCATCTCAGTCCAGCTGTGGGAGTCACAGACATTCAAAGTAGCCGATACCCATCATAAATCACTGCAATACGATCAGTCACAGAGCAAAGTCCACGGTGTCCCCCAATAGTAGGTTTCAACCAGGGAGTCAGACAACAAGAACGACAACAAAGACTCACCTTCCAACCCTCTTCGCACTCCACTACCGATCCACATGCCCTCATTCACCCAGCGATACCTCTCATCGCCCGTCTCGAGCCGAATAAAGATCCGGAAGCGGTATTCGTCCGGCGACACCTTGTCGCCCTCGACGGGATCAAGCAGCCGCGTAAGGACCTCAGGCGGGCCCGTCCTCCAGCCCTCGGTGCGGACCATGATGTGCGCCGGCTCAGCGTCAGCCGTCACAAGAAGGTAGCGCGTGTCCACAAATGTAGACTTGTTGTCAGTGAGGAGCTGGGCGTCCTGACCGCCAGGCTGGAGAGACAGACAGACACGATATCAGCCACAGGACCTAAAAAGCATGGGTCCAAGATAACATACCACCACCGTGCCCTTCCCCCAAGCCGCGCTCCACTCCCCGCCGCAGATGCCGATCCAGTTCCGCTCGCCCCAGCAGCTCCGGCCCAGCGCGACCTTGCGCTCGAGGCTGGCCTGCATGCGGAAGTCGCGCACGATCCGCGGCGCGGGCAGGGCGATCGTCCGCGCCAGGCCGCCGGGCGTGAAGCCGGCCACGATCCTGTCCGCCTCCGCCGGTGTGCCCTGCGGTGCATGATCATCGAGCTTCATAGTGTTGACCTGATCACCGTGCGTCTCGGACGTCACGATCGGGAGGAAGTCGTTGTCGGCACCGGTGTCCAGACCACCATGTTGTTGCTGCTGCTGCTGCTGTGCCATGTTGAAGACTTGTCTCAGTTGGCTCTCGGAGATTTAAACAAAACACAGTGAGGCTGTCAAAGGTGCAGTGTCTCACGGCGCAGTGGCACAAGGGGGCCCCCGGTTTTTACAACGGCGCAGGCGGATCGGGTGACATGACGTCGGGGGTGGATCTCGCGTATCTCGATACTTTTGCGCCGGCGTTCGCGATCGGGCCCTCGGTACTTGAGCCTCTAAATGTGGGGGTGACGATCCCGCCTTGGGGACAGCGGGTGGCTTTCGGCAGTTTGAGCCGATGCGAGCTGCCGCAGCGGCGTGCCGTAGTCTAGATGGACTCAGGCCTGGACTGTGTTGGGATCCATGACAACGGGTCAACCGGTCGATCAGCATGCAAAATGAGGCACCATTGAGCTGAGCACTTGGCAGCCCCCACCGTCTGGAACACAGCCATGTATACCAGAGTTACATCAGACTTTGTCCAACACAAGTAGATAATTCTGCAGAGGCATCTGCTGCTCTTAAAACCGCCGTTCAAGCCTTCTTGACGTAAACACCTTCACAGCTGACCGTCTGCACCAACGAATGAAGAGACCTGCTCGAACACGTCGTGAAATGTTGGCCTTTGTGACTCCTTTCGAAATCACTCAGCGTTGATTATACCTCAAGAGCTGTCCCAACAATCAAGCCATGTCCCTCCTCTACCGCATCAACACGTAGTGCATAGCTGCACAACCGACCGCATGGCCCTCCAAGAACTGGGGGGCATCGCACCACCACAACAGCCAGCCAGCAACAGTTTCACAAAACGCCGAGGCCCAAAACTAGAACCAGCCCACAAATGACCGATCTAACAAGCACATGCAGCAGCCAGTCAAGGCATCGAGCCACCGAGCGGGGGAGCTCGGCTGTGCCACCCGTTGACACTTCGCCTATCCGTCCGTCCGTCCGTGCTGCCGTCACCCAACATGCTGTCAGACCTGCCGCGGCCGCATCAGGTGGCGCGCTGCCCGCGTGTGAGACGTAAGACCGGCCGACTAACTTTCAGGGATTGGGTTCAAGAGATCCACAAGGTATGCGAGATGGTGGTAGAGCTTCCCTTTCCGAGACAGTCCGCCCTCTGCTCCTCCTTTTTCTCCGAGACAGATCACCTCGTTGGAATGCGCTGTGCTGTAGGTTGTCGGGCTCCTTTCTGACAGAATTCTTGGCGGGGACAGCACTTCCACTGATGGATCGTGGCCTGTACAGGAAGCCCAGTGAGACGACATCTGAAAACAGATACCAACAGTCACTTGCGATGAGATCTTCGCTCTTCAGGTATCATTTGAGAATCTTGCAACTCGAGAGACTACAGTATCTATGTACATGTTGCTCATTCAAAAATGCGCCTCTCTTTTGAAAATCGAACCAAGCCTCGGAAGATTATATGCACAAGAACTCGAGCCTTTTCGATGGCGGCGATGTTCATGCATGACACGCCGCCATGTGTGAGTCAAATCGCGCAGTGAAATGAGGTTATTGTAGACGAGGACGCCGCCAACGCCAAGCTGTGATATTTCCTTCTGCCCCAAAATGTAGGACCAAAGTGGAAGCTGGCAGCGTCTATCCACTGCGACAATTAATGTTTCTCGGAGGACGTACCGTAGAAGTCGCACAGATACGAAAGAAAACATTGCAATCGAGTTCGGTTGGTTCCCACAAAATCCCACCGCACTAAACCGAGCGCAGCTCTGTAATGAGAGACTATGTCGTATAGAAAAAGTCAGGTCGGGTGTCGCCCATCTTCTCCAGCTCGTGCTCCGACTTGCCAGCGGCCCATCCGTCACGCTCTCCATTGCGGCGCTTCTTGTTCTCGATCCGGAGACCCAAAGTCATTAGGGTAGAACCTCCGAGCAGGAAGATGACCATGTAGGCAAGGACAACGCCATGGCCTTGGAAAAAACGGGGGCTGTTGAAGTAGATGTTGGAAGAGACCACACCGTTGAGGTTTCCCCAACCGATGACGAAGCCGAGGACCACTCCTCGTTTGTAAACGCCCTCTGTGTTGTTTGCCATCCAAGTGATCGTGTTGGCAATGCAGGGATAGATGCCCGCTGCGCCAAGGAATGTGCCCGCGTACTGTACCCAGGCATCTTTAGAGCCGATGAGTATCGAAAAACCAACGATTCCCACAACCGAGACGCAAATGTTGCAGAGCCCACGGGCCTGGGTGCGATCAGCGACAAAGCCTATGACGACGGTCAAAACGGCGGCAACGGCATAGGGCGCAACGCTGTATAGCTGCTGCTTGACGACATCGTTTGGAGCTGCCACACCCGCATTCTTAATGATGGTTGGCAGGAACAGGCTGAAGGCGTAGAGTGGCATATCGCAGCCCATGTAAATCGCCATGCCGAGCCACATCTTCCAGTCTTTCAAAGCCTGCCAGAAGTATTGCATGGAGAAATCCTCGTGCTCTGCTGATGATTGCTGATCGAGTTTCAGGCGGCGGATGACGCGGGCCCGGTCATCGTCGGAAAGGAATTTGGCTTCGTCAGGGAAGTCGTGAACCATCCAGAAAGAGATGAAGCCAATAATGACTGTTGCCAGCCCTTCGAGAATGAAGATCCATGCCCAGCCAGGCCTGCCTCCCACGCCAGCCATATTCTCAATAGCGGCAGCGAGAAGGCCACCAAATGATCCTGAAAGCGCAGCAGCAGAGAAGAAGATGGCCTGCATGTGTGGTCAGTATTGGGATTACTAGGCTCAGTGATAAGGAAGGCAAATACTCACAGCTCGCACGCCGAATTCGGATCTCTTGTACCAGCAGGAAAGGTAGTAGTTGATACCGGGAAACAAACCCGCTTCTGTGAGACCCAGAAACCACCGGGCAGCCATCAAGCCGGACCAGTTGTATACAAATCCCATGCCAACCATGCAAGCGCCCCACAGGACCCTAACGTTCCGTCAGCAGAAGCTCCAGTATAGACAAGGGGTCCATGACGTAGGTTTCAATGACATACATGATGATCGGGATGAAGATTGATGGGCGCAGACGCTTCAGGAGGATGTTGGTGAGCGGCTCGAAGAACGCGTAAGAGATGAAGAAAATTGTCAGAGTATCATTGTACTGCTGCGTGTTCATATGCAGGTCATCGTTGAGGCCGGCAATTTTGGCATTGCCAATGTTGGTACGATCAAGGAATGCCAGCAAGTACAGCAGACTCAGCCACGGGATCATGACCAAGTCGAGCCTCCAAAGCAGCTTGCGGTCGATTTGGGCTCGCTCCGACTCGGACAGATGAGCATCGGGGTCAGGGGGCAGATCCCGCAGAGTGCCCACAAAGTTCTGCTGCGAATCGGTGGCCTTCTCTGTGTCATTGTCGGAGAGGTTGGTGGCCATCTTGTCCAAGGCTTACAGCCAAGATGAGGATTTCAAACCAGATGACTTGCACGGCCTCTCAAGCAGGCAAGTGCCGATCGAAGCTGGAGCTTGTTAGTCGGGACATATTAAGAGCTTGAGGAAACCATGAGTGAAAGTGCACAAGTGATCGAGGGCAGCCGTCAGGTTGCGATTTTAATTCGCACATCTTGACTACCTAGGTACTATGCATGGGGTTTGAAGCTCCTGTCCTGTTGAGACAGAGCTGGGTTAAGATCCAGCAGAGCGCTGAACCGAGGTGCAGCAGTGAGATTTGAAGGTAGGGTCAAAGTTGACGGTGACGTGAGGAAAAAGCAGCAGACATGTACCTTTCAGGCCACAGATCAGGTCACTTCGGAGAAGTGCCTGAAGTCTTCTTCAAACACAAATTGCCCCAGCTGCAAAGAAAAGGTGAACGCTGAAGGAAAAAGGAAGACCTTGAATGCTAATAAATCAGTGACGTGAAGGAAGACGAGGGAAAGGACGCGGTTTCCTAGGAAGGGTATTCGAGAAGAGAAATATCAGAGTCACAAGGCTGCGGCTGCCCAGACAGTGAGTGGGGTGGGGGATTCGAAGGCTCCAGAATCACGAGGGGGAAGGCAAGGGAGATAAATACCCCCGCAGACGCAAGAGAAAGGCGTGTGTAAGATGGCAATGAATGGACAAGAATGCGTGATAGTACGTGCCTGTGTCGAGACTTGTTCACGTACCTGTGAAGAGTGCAAGTGTTTGTCTGCACGAGGCGAGATATCTGATTTTGTGTATGTATGACGATTTCGACGTGACAGGGACGAGGAAGGAGGACGAGGGGCTGTACTGTATACCAAACGAACGGATCTTGTCGTCAGTCAGCATGAATGCCAGATGGCGGGCGTCGGTGGTGACAAATTGTGCCGCATGTGGTAGGTAGCGCAAGAAAGAGAGTGTGTGGGAGGGTTTGAGCTCGGCAACACGGAGAAAGAAAGTGTGTGGGTGGATCGTCGGTTGACTGATTGGAGGGGGAGCAGTGAAAGGATGGATGATGTGTGGATGTGTGGGCTGCGAAGAGAGCAGAGACAACCCCAGGCAGTAAGTCAGTCAGGCAGTCAGGTTGGGGAAGGGTGTGGGGGTGGAGACGGGGGATGGGTTGGTGAACTGGAACTGAACTGAACTAAACCTTGCTCCTTGCTCCATACTCCTTGCAACGGCGGGGAAGGAGGTAGTCTAATTCTTGGAAACGGCAGCAGCAGGGCACGAGGGTCAACACTGCCGGCAGGATCTGGACACCAATTTGGAAGCTCAGATCTGATGGTTGGACAAGCAGGTGCGTCTGGTCCAAGGGAGGATACCCTATGCAGGTGCTTGGACAGGTACTTGGACACTTGGGCACTTAGACAAGGCTGCACCTGCATATACGTGTATATGTAGAACCTTTTACTGTTGTGAGGAGGCTCAAAGAGCACAGCAGATCACAGCAGCACACAGCAATGGCACGAGCGAACCAGAACTGCCAGTGCCTGGATTCATGTCGGCCCTCACTTGAAAGAGAGAGAAGCGACCCTTGCAAAGCACCCACAAGGCCCACTGCTGGGGATACCCTTGGCCTGCCCCAGAGTCGCCAGAATGCCCAGATGCGGAGGTGGATGTTAGCGCCTGGGTGGGGGAGGGGTCGGGGGAATGGGACCACTGTAGTTGGAGCGCCTCGGGGATTCGAATGACTTGGGTGCTCTGCTTGGCATCATCGACCTGCTTTGTCCCCGCGAGTGCCCCTGTGGTTTGACAGCTCCAAGATAGCCTGGATACGCCCTGACTATCGCACGTCATGCAGCTCGCCCCACTGCCTCAAGCCCTCGGCGCATCGGATGTAATACGCGGGTGCTGGCAAACGTCTGAAGGATATGGGATGCAGCATCGGGCTTGTACCTCGATTGGGCATGTCGTGTCATGTCCTTACTTCTCCCTCTATCTCTCTCTCTGCCGCATTGAGTGCCGACATCGCACAGTTGTGGGAAGGATTTGAGTATTTGCCAGAGGATGCAGCTGTGGTGTCTTGTGCTCAGTGTTGTTGCCCTCCAGCGACCATGAGCCGCCCTGGGGAGGCAGCGTGTGCATCTGTGCCCGTGCCCGTGCCTGTGCCTGCACTTGTGCCCGTGTGCCCTCTCCAAATTACTGTCTTAGATGCACCACAGTTACTTGGTCCCGGCTGCTGGGAAGCGACACGGCCTCCTAATTGCTGGGCATCCTTCCAGGGTGCGGGTCATTCGCCTCACCGTATTCCGACCCTTGCTGGCCCGTCCACCCGTTACCTTCGACCGCTACATCGACACCTGTGCAAGGCAAACCGCCTGGCGGCATGGCAAATGTTGGTTGAGGGATAGCCACGAGATCTGAGACATCGCAGCGAGATGCTGCCGATCTGGCGGTGCCGACGGGGCTCGATTATCCCCAGCTCGGCGGCCTCAAGCCTGAGAGAGCGTCGAGTATGGGCAATGTGCGATGTCCACAGCCGAGAACCCATCTGCTGCAGCACGCTTTCATGGCCGAGCGCCGTTTTAGGCCCTAGGATCTGATACCGCTGAACACATCCACCGCATGTCTGAGATCCAGCGGTGACACAGGGCCATCAGCGAGGTGTGACGACCGCTGATTGACACTGTCCTGTACTCTTCTCCGTCACCGCCACAGCGTGCCTGGCGTGCCTGGGATTACTCAACACGCCCTGGCTGAAATGTGGTTGTGTACTTGTACTTTCGCGCAACCTACCAGGTTTTCCGGCCCGAGAAGAGAGAAGAAACGACCAAGCGCGCTCGGACGGGGAAGAACAACTTTCGAAGACCCGAAGACGTCGGTCAGGTAGTCAAAACAGTCCGCTCAAGTCGCTATCCGTTCGGAAGTCGAAACTATCACGGGCTGGCTTGGTGGCTTAGCCTAAGCAATACTTAGTCTGGTCATGGTGTTGGAGCTCCCCGCACGCCGCGCCGGCTGGTTGGGCTGGTTTGCCAAGTTGAAGCTTTTCGTCCAAGCCCGCCACGAGAACTACCGAATGCTAAGCAGCGCCCAAGCTCTTCGCAAGCCGCGGTCTTCGGGCCACCTGGAGCTTAAATCAACTGGATGTCTCGGCTGGTGAGCAGGCGCATAACAAGCACCTACCAAGCCCAAGATATCGTCCCAGCTTGTTATAGCTGTTCAACATTAAAAGAAACGCTTACCGGAAACCGGCACAACTCACTGGAAAGTTGTCATAGATGCAGGACGCAAACATGACAGCGGGATCCAGCACGACCAACACGTGGCTCGGTCTTGCTCTAGTCCCGCACTACGTTACGAGGTGCTGACTGTGGTTGATCAACGACAGGCAATCAGGTGGTTTGTGTCAGCCAGCCTGATGCTGTGCCCCATCAAGGGCTGGTGTTGGAGCCTTTCAGCTTGTAGGACGTTGGATCAGTCAGAAACGAGGGGTTGCGGGCAAGCTCAACGCAGGAGCCGGATCCGCTGTGCTTTCCAACGAAAGATGCGGTTTGACTTCGTCGACAAGAGTGCATCAAGTCCTGCTGGCCTTGTTGCCGACCCGTATGGCCATTGGCCGACGGCCGAGGATGGACCACCGGCACGCCACTGCGTCGCATCGGAAGCAGCAGAAAATATCATCATCCAGAGGCGCTGATGCAGACAGGTTCAGCGGCAGGAATAATCCTTGACTGAGACCACAGGCTAAGAGATGAACAGCCACGATCGTTCGCTGGCGGCTGTGGAAACCCAAGGGCCCTCTGAGGACGCCATTATCCGCCTCCGTGTACGACCCAGGAGGCATGGGCTCGCTGCAGCCTCCCGTCGGCCTGCGCGAATTTTCCATATTGCAGATTCTCGGCGCCACGGTAAAGGGACGGAACGGAACCACCTGGTCTTCACTTCACCGGTCTTCTGGAAAATATCGAGCCCTTGATGGATCACGCGGTTGCATCTGATGTCCATCCGTGACGTCTGCTGTCAGGCGTGGTGGCTCGTGTTGTGCTGGGCAGGCGCACAAAATCTAGACGATCGCAGCGCCGATAGAAATTTGTGTCGCCTTCGATAAAAACAAAGCTGCGCCGTCTCCCACTTGGAGCCGGCTTACGTCGTAAAAGCTGTTTTGGTGAGGGAGCCCAGATCCACACGGTACAACCTTGGAAGGACGTCTGAAGGACGTCTAAGCGGCTCGTAATCGAAGAGTTGTCGTCATGCACGCATATGTCGTGGCCAAGAGCCCGGCTTTACGCGGATGCAGGGCCATCGAACCTCAACCTCGGGTTGGGCAGTGCAGCGAGGAGCACGTGGTGGTCCGACTCGAGAGCTTCCGGCTGGCCACTTAAAGACCTTCCTAAGGCGGAGGCTCCTTCGCAAAGGATGCACGGCATCCTGCCTGCAGATGTAGGATGCAAGGATGCAGGGTGAAAGGGGCGCCAATCGTTTAGGGTGCAATATGAGGTGACTCGCCCAAGGTTCCGTTTCTATCGCCATTTTCCCGGGAGGCAACATAAAGTTGCTGAGCGGTCTCCATGGTTATTTGTGGCAACGAGCTGACTTGCAGAGGCAACAGCGACCCCCGATTCTTCGACCGCCCCAACAAAGTCCTCTTCTTTGGTTTCCCAAGTGTGCTGGTGCAAAACTCTGTATCACTTCGAAATTCGTCATCTGGGGCTAGAGGTTACGCGAGAACAGCAACAGCAGCTTCTAAGGTGTGCATGCAAATTTGATCGAAGCCAGTGTTCTTGCAAAGTCGAAGGCGTCCAGACTCGGGAGGAGGCCGGAGATGTTCGGCCTGGCAGATCTCTCTGGCCGATTATTCGTCAATTCCGACAGTGTTTTCGGCGGACTGGACTCGAGACATTATGTTCTGTGTCTCAGACAGATGTGAATTTTCCATGCTAGGGGAAGCGGTGATTCAGGGGCAGCTTAGGATGTTGAAATCCATTTGATTGGGCCATGGACTGGAGCCACAATTATAGCTCCTGAGACTATCATCATGTGTTATGAGAGCCAGGAAAGATGCTACTCATGTGCGCAGGGGAGAGCAAGAGCACAGCTCGTGGAAGGGACTGACATTCAGGTCCAGGGTGAGGCGATGAGATGCTGACAGTACGGGAGGCCCGCAAGTGAACTCGTTGAAGCTGGATTAATGCACAATATATGTGGAGAATTCTGGCTGGTCCCAAAGAATTTCGCCTTCATCGCGCATGTGCTGTTGGAAATGGCATGAGGTTGAGTGTTCGGGGGAGGGAGATGGGAAGACGTGAATGAGCCAACTCTGCTTATGTAATCATCAGCCATTGAACCATTTCTGGGACGTCACCTCGGGACTTCAGTTGTCGTCCCTTCTTTCTAGCAATGCATGCGCTAATGCCTGACGTGAGACCCACGCCGGAGCTTCCGTGTTTGGTTTCTATGAACTGACGATCTTGAGATGCGTTCTGGCATGCCTCGACTATGATTTGTGTTGACGGATCCGTGGAATTTCGCTAAGATCAGTCATCGAGAGCATCCCCCGTCCTCTCGGCTTGTCTCACGTGGTCGAGCGTTGTCCTGGTCTTGACCCACGGGCTCGCCTTTCGAACAACCCATTCCATTCTGCTCGCTATCACCTTGACTCCATGGCCCCCAAAACAGTCTGCATCGTCGGCGCCGGACCCTCGGGTCTCGTAGCCGCCAAGACCCTTCTCCATCACGCCTCCGGCTCCGGCCCCGGCTTCTCTGTCACTGTGTATGACGCCCAACCCAGGATCGGTGGCCTCTGGCCCGTCGAGAAGTCGGATGGCGCTGGTCTCGTGCACCCACTCATGATCCTCAACCAGAGCAGAAACACTGTGCAGTTCAGCGATCTGGCCTGGGACAGCAATGCGCCGCAGCTCCCGAGGGCTTGGCAGGTGGGGAGGTATCTGCAGAAGTACTTGAGAAAGTACTGCGCCTTCGAGGAGGATAGATTCCGCTTGAGGCTTGGCTGGAGGGTAGAGAAGACTCTGCCTGTTGATGACCAGTCTGGGAGGAGATGGCGGGTGACGGCAAAATCGGAGGAAGGAGTCGTGGACGAGGGCGAGTACGACTACTTGCTCATCGCTTCCGGCTTCTTTGGGAAACCAGCTTTGCCCGAAGTTCCAGGTTTGAAGGATTCTCACGGAATCCCAGTGGTGCACAGTAGTCAGTATCGTGACCTGGAAACCTTGCTGCCGAATGCGGCTGGGAACGGCGGCAAGATACTCATCGTTGGTGGGCAAATGTCGGGTGTGGAGATCGCTGGGACCATCGCCTCTCATCTCTCCTTTGCCGCCAACTCGCCTGGTCCAAACAGGCTACCTGGCGTAGAGAAATGCAAGATACACCACGTCATTCAACGACCGACGTGGGTGTTTCCGCTGTTCACTTCTCCCGTCGCTGGCAGTCCTGCAGCCCCATTCCTACCACTCGACCTGCCATCCTACAACTTGGCCAACCGGCCACAACCACTCACCAACTCACAGGGCCATATCAGCGTGGAAGCGGCTCAAATAGTCAACGGGATCTATAAGAACGTTCTTGGAACCGATCAGTCGGAATTCTCACCGCTCCTCGCCCCAAGAGATGAAGACCTCAACAAGCCGCCCTATCTCACTGTCAGCGACTGGTACATGGACTTTGTGCGCTCAGGTCTGATTGAGCTTTCTCAAGGCAAGCTTTCTTCAGTCTCTGGGTCTAGCGCTACTGTCTCCTCCGCCTCCTCGGCCAGCGAGTCCACAAGCGTGACCGATATTGCCGCTATCGTCCTGGCCACAGGCTTCGAAGCCGCCCCCTCAATCTCCTTCCTCCCAACTGAGATCCAACAGACCCTTGCAGTCGATCCCTCCAACCTCGACAACACCGTCCTCCTTGCCTTCCATGGAACCCACCACCCCAACGTCCCGAACCTGGGCTTCGTCGGCTTCTACCGCAGCCCATACTGGGGCGTGATGGAGATGCAAGCGCGCTTCCTCACCGAGCTATGGGCCCAGCAGCAACAACCAGGCGGGCAGCTGAGCCCCTCAATGCAGCACGCCCTCGCTACCGACACGTCCATCCCCCGCTTCGCCGCCCTCCGCACCGACACCCGCGTGTCGCAGTTCCCGATGGGCGACTACGCCTTCCTCATGCAGGAGTTCGCCTCAGCGCTGGACCTAGGCATTTTCATGACGGTGGGCGAGACGCCGCCGCTGCCGCCCACGGGCCTGCCGATGGACATCCTCACGCCGGCGCGGTACGCGTCCAAGGGCCTGACGGCCGCGCAGCACGCCGAGCTGGACCGCAGCCTGCGCCAGACTAACGAGACGGCGGTCGCGGGGCTGACGCGCGGCAGATTCGTCGCGCGCGCCGTGTTCCGTTCGCTCCTGGGCGAGTGGCAGCTCGAGCGCGACCTTGTCTCCAAGCTGCCTAGCCACCCCAGCGGCCACTGGAGCGGCACGGCGAGGTTCCTCCTTCGGCAGGGCACCACGGACGGGAATAGATGTGCTACCAATGGGGTTACCAATGGGAAGTCGGCTGATCATGATGACGAAGATGATCATTCCGATGATCCGGGCTTGGAGTATCTGTACATCGAAGAGGGCAACTTCACCGCCACCAACGGGATGACTTTCCGCGCGACTAGGAGGTACATCTGGCGATACGACGAGAAGACAGACAAGCTGAGCGTGTGGTTTGCGCGCACAGGAGACAAGTTCGCCAGAAACGATCCGCAGCGAGAGGAAGAGCAGATGAGGGCGGACTACCTGTTCCACGAGATCGAGTTCATCGTCCCCGAGGGCCATGAGCAGGGCGACTATAGCAGCGAGAAGGGCTGGCAGGCGAAATCAGACCATCTTTGTATCGACGACTTTTACGACGTCAAGTACGAGTTCTCGTTCAACGCTGTCAATCTGAAGGAGTGGAAGCTTGGATACACGGTCAATGGGCCGCAGAAAGATTATACCATCGATGGGACGTATAGACGTAAATCTGCAAGTTGATAGCGAGGTTCCTGGATACCAAATGGAAGAGAGATATTTCCCAGCAATGCACGTCAATCTTCACTAGCTCCTTTTGCTTTGTTTCCTTAGCTCTCTTCTTTTCTCCTCGAGTTCTTCCTTCACTTGTTCCCAAAATCCCAGAGTTATATCCGCGTGTCGCTCCAGCCTCCGCAGGTCTCCAGTGTATCTGGGATGAATCGCGAAACGACCCCTCGCTGACCGGGGCCTTCAGGGTAACCCGCCTGCCAGACACGGCATGGCGCAAGTTCACGGCTGTGTCTCTGCACGTTGAGATTTTCCAAGCGCTCCATCGTCCGTTCATTATGAATGAGAATTGCCCATCCTGAGAGCCTGCCGTACTTCGGGCCGTAGATGATCTCACTGGAAAGGGCCCTGTGGGCCACCTTGTAGCCTTGAATGGTCACTTCGTAGAACACCATTGTGGCCGGCATGGGTTCACGGGCTGTCAGTCCGAACGCATCTCAGACGAGAGCGCCCTTGCAGGGTATGTCGAGGAAAAAGTAATACACTGGGCGGAAGTTTGGCTTTGGCTCCCGAGGGATATTGAACGGGTCTCTTGATGGGCTGCCTGGATTACTGTGTCGAGCCATATGGAGATCTTGGTTCGGTTGGAGGGTCGGGAACTTTGGTGAAGAATTCTTAGAATGTCGAAGGTGTCGTTAGGACTTGCCTCAGGCGGTTGCTGAAAGGCGTCAGAGGTGTCCTTGGGCTGTACATGCGCCGTCTGGATGCGAAGTGGCGGCGAGTGGGACGTCCGGGGCAAGTCGGGGTGGTTGGAGCGGGCAGACGAAGTGGTGTCGAGGGACGATTGGACTTTGGTGCGACCTGACGTCGCCGGCTGGGTCGAGGATGAGATAGCAGTAACGGGTCGGGTGAGGTCTCAATCTGGTGGTTGGGCCAGTTCGCGAACAGTCGAAGTGTCAGCTTCCTTGACCTGCCCGATTCCACACCAGGCATCTGACTTTGCTCGGCCATATTGACAGGATTCAGGTCAAGCTAGAGTAGCGTGGAGGGAAGGAGAGATCTTGTAAGGCCATCGTCAGGACGTCAGAAAGTTGGCTTCAATGTTGGAGCTGAGAAGGAAACTCACACGCAAGACCCAGGCCATGCACTTGCCCAGAAAATCGTCGTAGGGAAATAAACAGGAACTGAAGGAGCTCCCACAGCCTGACTCAACGACACTCACGAGATCCAATGAAGCTGCCCAATATAGCTTTGGATGTTCATTCAGTGGAAGGAGCCACCAATTCCTCGGCCAATCCCAAATATTTGGGCAGATTACATGCTCGTGGCAACTAGTTTCTCACCAGAATGGAAATAAGCAGGAAGTTGTATTTACACGCAGAACTGAGCACCTCGGAAGATCATCTGGACCACGAATGTCCAATGCCTTGAACATTTGCTTCGGAGAAATTTGTTCTTCAATTCCTCACAGGCAAGCCAAGTTTGCCCTTTATCTAAAGGTCCTTCACCTATCACTCTCGGTAGATGACACTGATATCTAAGCCAACACCCTCGCCCTCCTCCTTGCATCGCGCATTAGACGCAAGACTCTGAGGCGACGTCCACTGCCCAGCAGTACAGATGCTGAACCGCGTCTCTCCCACGCAAAGCAGGTGCCCATCGGTGCAAGCCCCATCCTAAGAGGCATTTCCTGACGGGCTTGAAGCTGAGCCGGTCGCAGAGGCCGAGGCCCCAGTAGCAGTAGCCGCAGAGCCACCGCTGCTGCCACCGCTGTTGCGAGAGTTCCCGTCGCAGGACTGCTTGAAAAGCTTATCCGTGCCTTCGGGGTTAACTACCACGCCGCCCGGGTTGGGGTACTGGATCGCCACCTGCTGGGTCAGGGCCTCGGACGTGTCGCAGCCGTTGCTGGCCTCGCCGATGTTGGCGAGGAATAGGTCTGGGTAGGTTGATTGCCTTTGGTTGTGTGCCACGCGGCGGTCCTTGACTACCCGACGCGAGCCGCCTGATGCTTTCACTGTGATGGGGGCGCAATTCATGTCTTGGAGAGCATGGCCGTTAGTTGACATTGACGACAGAAACGATGACAAGATTCCTGGGTGTTACTCACAGAACTCCGGCTGTCCTCCGATTCGGTTCACCCAAGTCCAAGCGAAAGTGTAATCCCCTGGGGTGAAATCATCAGGGATTTTGAACGTATACTCGTCAGGCTTCTCTCCACCTTCCAGGTTCCCTTCGATGTTCGCTTTCGGGCACTTCAAGAAGCAGGGAAGTCAACAAACAACAAAGTCGGTCAGATTCTCTGAGTGAGTTTGCTTCGAAGAACAAAGGGAAGAGTTGAATGCCACTTACCCCACCCTCAATGGACTGAATCACTTTCCAGGGAGTGTCCTTTGTGGGCTCCAGCCCCTCAGCCAGGGCAAACTGACAGCTGCCTCCGCCATGAACCGCCGTTCCGCTGAAGGAGACAGTCTGGTCCTCGCCGATGGCCATCTCGGTCGGGGTGCCGGTCATCTGGTAGCTCTCGCCCTGGGGCACCTTGCAGGGGTAGTCGGAGCCATCTGGGTTGAGGGGGTTGGTGGGGCCGAACTCGTTGAAGGCAAATGGCTGCGGCTGTTGCATCTGCATGTGGCGGGCGATGAGCTCGCCGGCGATGGCCAGCTGCGCAAGGAGAAGGGCCAGCAGGGCCATTGCTAGCTGCAGTCGCTCAATGGTAGCCATTTTGAAGTGGTGGTGGTTTGATTTAAAGAATGGCGAGGGGATCAAAGGAGCGTCTAGCGAAAAGAGCGTATAATCAAATGAGAGTGTGTCAAAGGATTGTGAGGTCCGTTTCGATTGACCTTTTTGCGCCGGCGCTGTCTTTGATGAGGTAGTGACTGAGGGTGTAAGTGGTGGTGACACAGCCTGTCGAGATTGGATGAACTCGATGGACTAGATGGGCATGATGGAAATTGTAGTCTGGCCAAGTGCAGACATTTATCCAATTTTTTCATTGTGAAGATATTTCCTCGGCTTCCCATCCTCGCACTTGTGCCTCATTGAAACAGAGGAATTGTCTGCTGGTGGTGAAGGATCAATTGCGCCCGGTCCGGGGGCGACTCAGTCAACGATGTTTCGACCGTGGTTGCGCCGTGCTGTTGTTTGGCCCACATTCGCCGCGGCCAGGGGGTCGAGGGCAGTCGAGGGGCATCCACAGCCAATCAAAATCGGGGAGCTGGGTACACCACCTAAGAAGCGTCCCTGGCCATGTGAAAAGGGAACAGGCCAATCAGTCTTGGTAGTCAGCTTTAAGGATCACTACGGCCTGCAGGTTTCAGCGTACCTTTTGGGCCTGTTCCTACACTCTTGGCTGCGGTGTTCAGGAGAAGCGGCCAATTTGCACCAGTCTGTGACAGTCACACAGGGCAGAGGGGGCGGTGGGCTTGTTTCGCTGCACAAATTTCACTGGCCCCCACGGCATCACATCAGTCTTGCTCCTTGGCTGCACGTTGCCAAAGCAATGCTCCCTCGGTTTTTTAACACTGACATGCAGACAGTGAATTTATCGTTATTGTTATTGGACACAGTTGTGTTTTCCCTGGAAAGATCAGAAAAATTGTGACAGACAAAATTTGTCATGTTGATCAGAGCGTGGTGCTGCAGTAGAATCCGACGGGAATAATCCAGGTATGCCGGAAGCAAAGAACATCGTTACTGTGCGCACGAAGCATAATCAATCACTACTTTCTGTCACAGGGTTATAAAATCAGTATGACCATTTAACTGTAGCTCTGCTTTCGGACAAGATTTTATGATTCGAGAATCATAGCACTCCTTCAACGTTCAAGGCCTTGTTCAATGTTATATCTACTGTCCCGTCTGCAGGTGAGCAGAAATCAAGTTTAATTCATGCCGAATTCGTGGAAATGATGGCTAGCCATCGTTTCCACCATATCTGGTGTGAAGTTCCGATGATCATCGTTTGTCGACGCTACTCTTCGGGCTGCTTCAAAAGGCCATGGAAGCTTTCTGCGTCGTGGTCTTGTCTCTCCAGGTTCATCATTGTAGTTCAAAGTCATTAAGCTCGGCCATGCATTGGGGAAAACTATTCCACTATAGCATTGCTAAGGAGGGTTTCTAAGACACCGCTCATCTGTCTGGATTTACAGTTGATCTTCATCATGCAAGCAGTTTCACACCCTGTAGGAGTTGCAAATGCACCTTCCCTAGACTTATGGTACCGATACACATGATCGGGCGAGAGGCGCGATGGCCTTGGGAGAAAGAGGGCATGGCGATGTACGCAAGCAGTCAGGGACAGTCCATGTTCACAGTGACAATCTGCTCCTTCCCTGGATGATCATTGTAATCAAGTCCCGTTGTATGTAAAAAGGGTTTGTCCCCTCTGCGTCCGACCTTCTTCATTACTTTCTCTCAGAAACAGCACCAGACTGATCTGTCAGCACAACATCAACTACAGAAAGCAAACCCTTATAACTTGCACACGAATACAATCTAGAATACCTTTCGCCCACACCAGCCGCAGTCGGAGCCTATCTGGCAGTAGAGCACAGGCTGCTCCACTGGTGCTTTGGAAGAAGCTCACCAACAACCTCGTCCACACGTTGTTCAAGGTGCGTGTTCGCAAGAACAGGATCTTGCTCGCCACTAACAAGCTTAGCACACCATGGAAGGGAACGGAAATGAATTCATCCCCAAGAAAGTGAGAGGTTGGGATCCCAAGCACCTGAAACGTCTCAAAGTCCTGGGAGACGGTCGAAAAGTTCGTCCCGGTAAATACTCCAAATGGAACTCCAAATACAACTGGCGCCACATTCTACACACAATGCAGAAGGAGTTCCCTGATCTACCGTCAACCTGTACGGAAATAAAGTTGAAGGATTGTTACTTTAACCATCTTTCCGGTAGGAGAGGAAAAGTCGGTCCCCGTTCTAATCCACCAGCGACAGCCCCTCCAGAGACCGGGACAAACGAGGCTAGCCATAATAACTCAGGTGCTGGTCTGCCTTCTATTAACACTCTTCATACCGTGACGGTGGACACTACTGTGAGATTCAATCAAGAAGAAAAGCAATGGATCGAAGAGCATGGGAGGAACGTCGAGGGAGGACGCGAAACCTGGCCGTACCTTGAGCCCTGGTTCATGTGGAGATTTGGGAGACATGTGTCGTGGCCAACCATAAAGAGGCAGTTTTCAATGCTGAAGGCCGATCAAGCATAAACGCATGGTCAATCTTCGAGCGTCATGCTGATCGAGTGAGTACAGGAGCCACAGTGGATTGATAGGGGCAGAGGTAATAATTTCCTTGTGTCGGCACCACGGCTCATGTGGGTTTGGGGAATGATTCCATCTACAGTCTTTTTCGAATGGTCGAGGGGATGTTTTGGCGCGAGCATCCTCACAAATTACTGATATGCGGCGGGCAGGTGTTGAGGCGTACCAGAAAACCTAATGCAATGGATTCAATTACCACATCATGAATTCAATTGGCTTGATTTTGAAAGTTTTCTTGCCGTCAACAACTAACTTCTTTGCCTTGTGATTCAGACATGCTTCTCAAAGGCATCTCCCACGCCTGTTTCACTTTGGAACAGAAATAGGCCATGTTGGACAGGACCAGCGCTGACTGCAGCAGAAATCTTGTAGTTCGTTGAATGGCCTATCAGCAACAAGCCACCTCCTATCGTACATAAGCAAAATCATGATTTCAGTTATCCATCATTTTCATCAAGATATCGTCAGTGTTAAGAAAAAGCCGTCCTCCACGAAACTGTGAAATTATCTCTCACATTGATGGCAATCATATATATACCTCTCTTACTCATTTTCGGATACCCTATACATCCCGCTGAGGCTCAACGCCATAGTAGTCATAGTTCTTTTCTTCAAGTATTTCCCATATGACTGGTAGAGAACAGTTATGAGAGAGAAGGCAAGGCAATGTGCGAATGTGTCACTCCCTACCCAGTGAGAAAATCAAAAGCCCACGGCGCATAATCAGCCATACATGTGCATCCTCTTCTGCATAAATACCTGAGGATTTAGCCTTCGAAACTCCACTCTTTCTCTTTCCCGAGCGGGACAATGGCGATCACATCAGTAGACCAGAAACTATCAGCACATCGCAGTGAATCTCATACTACAATCCACACTTCCCATTTCTGCCCCGTTTTACGAACAACAACAAACTGAACATCAACACTCACAAGATGTATCCGAGCTTTCAACCACCTCCCACATCAACCGCAGCTCTGGGCACTTATTACCCCTCGACAACTTTTGCAGGACCTGCTTATCAGCAGCAGCAGCAGCGACAACAACGACAAGAAAACCAAGGGCTTCCACTAGTTTGTGCTCCCAAAGAGTATCAACGCAAGCAGTCTGGGCCAGCGCTAATATGGAGGACTACACTAGGTACCGATGATACCCGGGTGGCCGAACAAGATTGTTCAACGCATGTGGGAAGTGAAGAATCTAAGGACAGAAAATGGCGAAATGCCTTTCTCATCCGTTTTCCGGTTTATGCGCAAAGAGTTTCGAGAAGACTTTCCGGCTTCCACTGAAGACAGAATGATAGAGGCCTACAACAGGATCACGTTTGGTTACCCACCAACAATAGTATACGCTTCGACTGGTCTACAGGGTCGTCCTCCTACCACAACTAGAATGCCTGCTGGAACCTCATATGGCGGATCTCACGCTTTTCACAGCACCCAACACCCAGCATCACAGGCTGGTTACTGTGTTACATATGGAGGAAACCAAAACGATTCCGGCGGTCCTCGACAAACTTCTGGCCTCTACGGAGGAGTTCAGCGAATCTCCAGCGGCTCATACGGAGCGGGCCAGCAAGGCCCCAGCAGGTCACACGCGCTCGTACACAATGCCGACCAAGGACAGAGGACCAATGAACGTCTCCCACCTATCAGAACCATGGGTTTGCTGCCATACCAAGGTTTCAATCATACTTCCAGTACCCCACAGCCGTCGGGGTTTGCAGCGCGTCTTGTCGGCAGGGCAGAAGGTGAACCGGAAGACTGGACCGCCGAGGATAGATGGCTTTTCAGAAATGGGATGAGTGTAAATGGTGGTAATTACCCATGGGGGAGTTTCGTAAGACAATATCACGAATTAGGGGGCCAGCGTGAAGGGGATGCCATTTGGCAATGTTATTGCTTTCTGCATTTCCAAATATTCGGGTGGTCGCCCCAATAATTGCACCATGCAAGGTAGAAGTTAGAGGTGGGGGGTTTTGGCGGTGAATTTCGATGAGGATGCGAATTTTTTTTATGTCAACATTGGAATAATGGGTTCAGTTTTTAATTTGACGTTTTTTGGATGGAGATGTGGCGCGATATATGGCCCATTCATTGTTTCGACACCCACTGGTTGTTTCGATTATCATGGGCATGAGTATCTTAATTAATCAATGATGTCCGATTCCTCGACTTTGGGGAGTAGTTGAACCCGTATAAGGCGGATCTCATAGAACCCATGTGCCTAATGTGAGCTAGACATGAATCCGCTGAAGTGGAAAACGAGGACGGGTAAAATACATATACAACAACAACATACCGTCATATGCCTATGATAGGGTATATCGCCTTTGTTAGAAATTATGGTATCAAGCAGCTTCATTACAGAATACTCCAGAGAATTTTTAATGCCTGCTTTTGGTAGAAAAATTACAGTTGATATGGTCTGGGTCAGCCACAAATGTTTCGGAAAGGTTTTGACCCACGAAATCATGCATGAGTGAAAGAAATCTTTCAGGAACAATTTCAATCACTATGCCAGTGCTGAGTGATTGAGGTTCATTCAAGAAACCATGAGTATTGTCCTCGTGCCACTCGCGTCCATGTTTGTAAAAGCCATTCTAATACATTTGAAAATGACTTGAGTGCCTCTCCTTTTCATGGTAAGCCGCCTCGGGCATCCCGCTGGTAGTTGAGGCCTAAGATGTAGCACCTCTCCCCGATTTACGAGAGTGACTGGGGTTGGGGTGGTGATGCTGCAAAGAAAGAACATACTGACTGGCCCACAGGGTTAGTAACGGCATCACCTTGATCAATGACAAGATGAGTGAATGTTGAACAACAATCACACAGATTCTATTTTCTATAAAACCCTACATTTCTGGACTTCCAGGCTCACTGTTATTCTTTCCCAAGCAAAACAAAAGTAAAAGCATCAGTACGACAGCATCAAGCAGTCTAGCAGCGCAGAGGATCTCCTATTTTGACTTATCAACATATCTAACACACTTTTGATACCACCCTGAGACATCCAAAAGCCGACCTGTGAAAGATGAGCCAGAACAAATGCAACAAGCCTACATCGTCAGGTTCGGTCCAGGACGCAGATGAAGAGACCACAGTTTCCGCAGGATCTGCTAGTCCTGTCTCTACTAGTACTGAGGACGAGTCTCAACAACAAGCACAGGATATCCCAGTGGTTCGTCGTCGTCGTAATGTGATCCGTCTCAGTGCTGACGTCAATTGCTATACCAGATACCAGGATGGAAGCCAGAGTGGGTTGAGCGCCTGAAGCAGCTAGGAGATAGCTTGGTGTGGGATTATGATGAGAACAGGTACAATTTTTCGTGGCACTACTTCCTCGGGAAACTCCAGGAAGAGGATGTGGATTTTGTGGATTCTCACCCCGACATGAACTGGAGGCGCCTTTCTGAAATCTACTACGAGTACTGGCCCCGCCAGCTAGACACATCTGGATCTGATGGAGAGGGCGAGACCGACCCAGCTGACGACCCGGACCCAGCTGACGACCCGGACCCAGCTGACGACCCGAACCCAGCAGCTTGATAAAATTGCAGCACGCCATCGGGAGCAAATCAGGCTGGTAATGGTGGCACATACAGCGGATCACAGCATGATGACAGCGCCATGTAACAAGCATCACAAACCGGTTACGACGGCTCACATGGAGCTGGCCAAACAGTCCCCAGCAGTGCTCAACAAAGCTCTGGCTTGTATGCTGTTACAGGGTGTGGGGTTTGTTTGAGGCTTAGGTAATCAGGGGTCGGCTTGATTGGAAGGTCATAAAAGCGGCGTTGCTTCCAAACCACAGTCTTTACCGTACACAATCAGTCAACCATATTGATTTATCTTCTCGTATCCATTGCGTATAATCGTGATACTTGTGCTCTGATCAGAACCAAATGCCGTTCTTCTGCTCCCTTGACCTCTATCTCCGTTCTTTGGTTACTCCCTCGTCACGGCGCTGCCATGTCCTTCGCAGACCGGCAGAGCGATCGCCCGTTTTCAATGCTTCAGGTCGACAAGCCACCGGCGGTCTATGCAGAGCACCCGCGAATTCTCAGCAGCTCACATGCGCGCACGCCAAATGCGAAGCAGGCTGTTATGAGCTGGTTATGAATTCGTCCAAGTGTAATACATAATCACTGGTGAGACTCAGGTTTGAGAATAGATAGCCATATCTCAATGTAATATTTGTGGGGGATCATTACGTATTAATACATACTTGGTAGCCCTTATTCAGTCAAGACGAGATTCAATGTAATTAAATGGTAGCTAAACAGTAAGTCCTTGGCCTCTTTACAACGGCCCATAATGGGGTACATCGCTTTCGTCAGAGACCACCGTGCCAAGCGGCTTCCTCACGAACACAGCCCTATCCCATCCATCAATGTCGTCGACAACAGTCTCCCGCACGAGCTGGTACTTTCCGATCTTGGGCAGAATTTTGGCCCATATAAGCCAATAGACACCCCCGGCGAAGATGACACCAAATCCGACCACGCAGTGGATCCAGTAAGGCAGGGACTCGTAAACGTTCTGGCCCTCTTCTGGAGGCACGAATGGGGCGATGACGAGATAGATGTTGCTGAGCATGAAGAATACGACGACGGGCAGGGTAGCGCTGAAGGGAGGGTGCCAGTTCCATTCGTCCCGCTTGATGTAGAGCCACACCAGGCCGGCTGCAACGAAGGCGTTGACGATGGCCAAGGGATAGGAGATCAGACTGAGAAGATTCGGTTAGCTTTGTAATATTCCTTGTTATATACGATTGTTGAAGGAGGACTTGCTTTAGAATGAAATTGTATGCATCACCCGGTGGCGGCGCCAGTATAGTGATAGCACAGATAAGCCAGTGCCACATCAGGCCAGGGAAGGGAGCGTTCAGGGGTCGGTTGCTGGCCCAGAACTTCGAAAACGGCAGGATACCCTCACGACCCAGCTCTTGTACCAGACGTCCTTGCGAGAAGATCACACTTAGAACGTTGCCCAGAGCGGACAGCGCAACAAAGACAGAAAGAGCTCGCTCGGCGGTCGGGCCCATCACGTTGCGGAAGAGAGACGCGGCGACCAGTCGCTTAGCAGCGAGCATTTCCTCCTTGGGCACAGCGGCGAAGTAAGAAATGTTGACCAGCATGTACAAGACACCAATAACGCCGACGGCGAGAGGAGCTGCGATTTTAAGCGTCCGGACGGGGTTCTTGGTCTCGCTGAGGGCATAGTTGGCGTTGCTGTAGCCGACATAACTCCAGATGACGTTGTACAGCGCCGTGACGACGCCGTAGGCGCTCCCTGTCGTTCCCTCAAAGGCGTTCGAGAAGTTGTCGGGTTTCGTGTCGAGCTTAACGCGGCCAGCGAGAGCGGCCCAGCCGGCGAAGACCATGATCAGGATGATGATGATCTTAATGCTTCCGAGAAAGTTCTGGAGTCGCAGACCCCACTTCAAGGCCAGGCCGTGGATTAGGAAGGCGAACGTCACGCAAGCCAGACCAATGCCGCGCTGGTTCCACCGGTCGACCTCGACGTTGGCAGCATGTAGAATGTATTCGCCGAATACGACCGAGTTGCCACTAGCCCAGCCCAAGAGTATAACATAGCCCGTGTAGAGTCCCGTGGTCAGGAACTTAGGCTTCCGCCAGACGTATTCCAAGTAGTTCTTCTCGCCGCCGTTCTTGGGAATAGCCGTACCGAATTCCATAAACACCGCGGTTCCAGCCAGGGCAATCAGCATGCCAGCGACCCACATGAATAACGAGAGGCCAACACTGCCGGAGAGACCCAGAATCGTACTCGGCGTGGCGAATATTCCGGTGCCGATGATGCGGTTTACGATCAGGAAGATCGCAGTCGGTATGCCGATTTGTCGTTTCGCCTCACGCGCATCGACTATCCGGCCAACTTCTACATGGGAAAATTAGTCAACCGCGGGAAAACGTAGGAGGCTTCAACAAAACCCACCCAACTCATCGCCACCAACGATTTGGTGGACATCCCCGTCCTTGGAGATGTTAGACTTGGAGTGAGATGAAGTCGCCATCGTGAGCAGGTTGCGCTGAAGTCGTCGTCGAGCGGCGACTTGAACCAGTTCGATATACTTTCTGGGATGTGGAGCGACAGGAAGTGGACCTTATGCGTCCCAAGCGGCCACCTTATATGCAACTGCTTATAAGCACTTAACGTTGCACACACATCAGCTGCAGTAGGGCAATGCACAAGAACACGAGGGCTCGGAACGGCCGACGATCATAAGGCTGATGTGATGGCAGCGGCCTATATAGCGCATGGCCAACCAGCTTGGCGGATTTTGCAAAAGGAGGTCTCATAATCACGTCTTTGCCTCCCACGAGTCGCCTGTTCACATGTTGCCAACGTCCAACAGCCCACTCGAGCCGGTGGAAGCCATGCGAAACCCAGGTTTAGCGAACCATTAGGATCTCGAAGTTCTGGTTTCAGGAAAGTGCTTCCCGTTTTGGGGAGCTCGTTCGAGTTGAGGTCTGTCATAGTTTTCTTGGGGCCCCACTTAACTTGATGACGCGATTTACCATCTGCATCGCGACTAGGAAAATTTTCGTGGTGTGTGTGCAACTTCATTTGTAAGTGCATAGCGCAGCTAATTCTCCAAAAGAAAAATGCAAAATCATTGGGCTATGGAATTTTCATCAATCTGAATCAACTTGAAGAGCCATAAGCTCCATGATTGCCGAGGATACTGCTACTCATCTGGCAATGCACACCTACAATACGTAAACTCGAGGTGGCCGATGAAACTGCTCTGAAGGTTCAGCATATCTAGTCTACGTGCCTTCAGCTTTCTATTTCATGCCTGCCTGCCTGTTAAGGGCGATCACATCACCGCCAGCCAAGTTGGCGAGACCTTCTGGGCGTCTCCAGGCTCAGGATCCTTTGGTCCTCCTCATGGATTTTGAACCGATGCAAGCCAGCACCAGTCTGCGCCTCCGGCCTGGGCCGTGCTATTTGAGCATCGGTTATTTCGCCGAAGCAGTGACCAACTGTCAAGGTCTAAACCCCCAGCACCTGGTCACCCGGCTGGCTGCCTGGGTTGGACGTGGGGTGTCTTATGATGGCCAGGTCCAGCCCGGTCCTCAACTCAGGGATCACCTCCCAGAGTTTCGCGACCCCCAACCAATCCTACCTTGTGCTTGACCTGTCAGCTTGTACAAGTGCGGCGAAATTCAGCCCGTGTTGAGGCTTGCTGTCGGGCCGACCCCCAAGCTTACTATTATTCAGGCCAAGTTGAGAAACAGTCCACCGTCTTCCAAGTTAGACTTGAGTCGGCATCAGAAGAAGTAGTCAATTTGATCACAACACGCGGATATTGAGGAACATGTGTATGAGAACATATGAATCATCGTTTAATGTCATAGTGACTGAAACTATCCCTGATTCATTGTCCTCATGTAGCTTGAATGCATGACCAGCCAAGGAGACATTACACCCTGGGCATTTCACACCAAGCACATCAACTTCCCGAATTACCACATTCCGCGCAAATTTCGGCAAAAATGTTCAGCACTGCTTCTCGTTGAAAATATTTGCGTTCTCTTCTCAGGCAGATAAATTCATGACAGGCGGTGGCTCTAAAGCCAAAGCTCTTCATGGTCGGATCTGGACGGACACTGTCTCCACGTGAAACTAAGTCATCGGCCTACCGGTCACCCCTTGATTCCGAGGCCCACAGTTTTCATATGTACAAGGTTCCGTTCACCAGAATAGCAGTGTTTCCTTTGGAAAAATTTGGGCAATAGCATTCACACTGCCCCCTTAATAGGTTGACTGCAATCCCCAAGTTGGCTGATATCAGATGTAGGAGGATCCACCTCGTCCTTGATCAATACGACAAGGTGCTGTGCAGTGTCCGACTTGTGACAGCGAGCAAGGTTAAATCACACATTTGGCTCCGTAACATACCAGCCCTCGGCAAAGCACCGTTGCAGGGACGACTCCGGTTAAGAGTAGCCCGCCATAGGAAAGATGCAAATCGCCAATGTCTGGCATCCTGAGCCAGTGAATTCAGCTTCAACATAAGCCCTACATTGCATATCGCGATGCAAAATTTGATCACACCATTTCATAATATAGAGTGCTTTCTGAAGTAGCAACGTTGAGAATTCCCCGTCCCATTCCAATTAGGAACGTCACATGTGCTACTATCACCAATACTGAGAACCTTCACTGAATCGTGGTGGCAAGATCTCGGATCAAGGATCTGAATGCTCACCACAATGGACATTCAGCGAAGTGATGGCGGAACTAATACCGCGTATGATACCCAGGTAAGTCAGTAAATTTGGATGGAGTCTACCGTGGAAGTGAATGAGAATAGGGGAAGATACACGCAAGTAATAGGTTGGCTTTGAGCGGCTGATGAGAGGCTGCAATTGCGACCTGCAGCTCATCTATTCTGTTTTGAAACCTTCTCAAAATGTACATTCAGACTATGTGGCACCATACCGTCTCATGTTCTCACAGGCGTAGTGATGGTGATGAAGAGCTGACTACAAATTATATTCACTCAAGCTTGGTCATGGAAAATTCACGCTCACAGGGGAATTTATGTTCTCAGCAATATAAATAAACTGCCAGTGTTAACGTCTTTTCGATTTTCGCGGACCTGTATTAGTCGTTCTCTATCTCTCCAGCTGCCGTAATAAGTCAATAAAATCAAATATTTTATTTCACCAAGCATCTGTTCGCTCGGGGCGCCATTTGAGAACGACAGAACCAGACCTGACTTTGAGTCGCCATCAATCTAGTAACCCACATCAGAATACTTTAGCGATACGTCAGCAAAATGGGCGACTTCCTTTCAAAATGTTGTGGTACGCGCCAGCACCAGGACGATTATGAGCTCCAGCCACCCAGGCGACTTCAACGTCGCGACGGCCGAAGAGAGCAGCAGCCTTCTAGCGTTCCCGACCCTCGTCGCAACCAGCACCGTGATGCATCCAACAGCCATACTCTGGACGACATTCCTCGCCCATCAGAGTTCCAAGAACAGGAGCTGGAACGGCATCAAGGAGATTATGACAGATACTACGAACGACACCCACGAAGGCACCACTAGTGCCACTACATATTGAAGACTGTCGGCTGGACGAATTGGGGACACAAGTCGGATCTCTTCACTCGAGAGTCACGCTGAATACGATCCTGCTCGGAAAGACAACATTGCAAGAAGAAACAAGCCGAGAACTTGTGACCGGAGCCATGTGCCCCAGCTCAGGCTTCATACATGGGTCTTGCTTGGTCATGATCAGCTGTAAAAGTCTCATAATCGGTGTTGACTGCTCGCCGGGGCTCAAAGCATCTGTGCTTTTGTTATCTGACGAATGGGGGGCTTGTTGCTGTGTCGCTGCTGGAACAGAAGGGCTAACCGAATGGTGTGAGCATTTTGAATGACGAATTGATCGGGGTTGGCTGTTGGCGTTATACACATCGGGGTGCCACAGGATGAACATGTAGCTTCTCATGTGAAAGACTTCACTTGACAGCATGGATTTAGCTTTTTACGGCAGTCAAAATAAATAATTATCTGAAAACGTATCTGCGGTACAAAATTTTCTGGTCACTTCCAAGCTCTGCATCAGAGACGAAATCAGACAGTCTAGCATAGGCGCAATGACACCAATCAAGGTATGACTGCCACCGAGTTTTGTGAAGTCCTCGGTCCTCGAAACACGTCCAAAAAGGAGTCACAGAGTACCCTTCAAATTTCCTGGGGTATAAATAGAAGCGTTCTCTGTCCCTCCATCGACTCTATCAGTCCATCAGCCACTCTACATCCCACCAGAAACCATCAAAGACCACCATCACGGAGTCCCTTTACTGATTATTTCCATTTGCCAGATCCTCGTCCACACACAACGCAATCATAGAACAAATCAGCATCACATACCCTAGAATCTACCACTGCCAAGCAATTATCGAGCCTCTCGGAAAAGCCGTAGAATGGATTCCCGGCGCGAAGAGCGAGACCAGCCTGGTTCGCAATCGACAGCGACCGGGCGCACACACAACGGCCAAAGCCGTACAGGAAGCGAGGCTGTAATTCTCACAGGTGGTGGTGGCTATGAGTCGCGGTCGCAGCAGCAGATGTCCTCATCTGGCTATCCTTACGGCCAATTAGATCCGCGGTTGATCAGCCAACCGGTTTCCCCATTGGAAACTGCCTTGAGTCGACTGAAAGACGAAATTAGAAGCACAGAACGTCAAAAAAGGCGACTGAGGGAAGAAAAACTCGAATATACGAGACATTTAGCCCATAACATGTATCAAGAGGCTAGGCGACAAGTACGAGAAGAGATGGTGATGGCAGTCACTAGAACAGCGCCTATAATCCACAATCCCGAAGTCGCACGGCAATTAAATAAATACGGGAGATTGACCGCTAAATTGGATGACAAATATGAACGGCAATTACAAGAATGGGAATACCTAACGCATCAAATTCCAGGATCACAAATGCAGCACCCGGCGAGGCGGGCGTTCCTTTACACTAGGTGACCTTTCCAACAGTCCAGAAACTTCACGCTGACAATCACTGAGTCGGTGTACAGTACAAGCGACTGAACCCTCTACGATAGTTTCACCGACAGCAAAATACGACCTGGCACCGATGGAGAGAGGTAGGGAGGGCAAATCACATGTTCGACACTAAGACCGAGGCTGTGAAAATTTTCTGAGAGCGGTGGGGGGGGGGGGGCTCGACGGGGCTATGAGGTTGACATGCTACATTCGATTCATGCGCAGTCTTCTCTTTCTTTTTTGTCTCTTTTTTGGTTTATCGAGGGTAGGGAGGCAAGGTGCTTTCTTTGGACTGGTGGTGAAGCACCGCCGGATTTCACTCCTTCAGGATTGCTAGGCGATAATAAAATTAGACCATTTTGGATACTCAGCTTCGACGCGAGTCTGGGATATCTGTACAGTCAGTTCCTCGTGCATCTTTCTGTTGTCCAACTGCTACGAAGAAAGACGATGTTGCCCTCTGCCTGTCTTCCGAGGTCTTTGCGCAAAGATGGCCATTTCATGGTTTCATAAAAACGTACCTGTGACTTCTGGGCAGAACCTGGACACACGGAGAAGATTTTATAAAATTCCACAGCAAATTGATGAGACTCGTATGGTGATACGAGGTGACCAGGAACATGATAAATAATAGCACCAGGGCACCTCGAAATCCTGAAGAGTAGTTGGTCCACATGTGCAGACCAAGACTTTCCATCAACATGTTTCATTGCCGTCATCACTATGGCAGATAAGAGGAGCAGGGAATTCATTTTGGCCGCTTGGATTTCGCACCAGTGCAAGCAAGACTTCCCAGCGACATATCCCACCAAGCCACATGAGCATATTTCAAGTCGAAAATCATCCATGCATTTCCTGCAGATCCGCCATCATATGGTGCGAACCGGGAACAACCCCGACTTGGGCGGCTCATCCTTGATGAGTGAGTTCGTGCATGGCCTCCCTTCAACAAAATCCTCCAAGTTCCTCATAGTCACCTCGGAAATCTCAGTAAGAGCCTCCTCGGTGAAGAAAGCCTGGTGCCCACAGACGATGACGTTGTGGAAGGTCGTCAGCCTTGACAGCACATCATCATCGATGATGGAGCCGGAGTGGTCCTTGTAGAAGATCTTGCTCTCCCCCTCGTAGACATCCAGCGCCAGGCCGCCCAGTTGCTTGCTCTTGAGGGCCTTGATGACGGCCTTGGTGTCGATGAGGGCGCCGCGGCTCGTGTTGACCAGCATGGCGCCCTTCTTCATCTTGGCCAGCGTGTCCTTGTTGATAATGTAGCGGGTGCTCGGCATCAGCGGGCAGTGGAGGCTGACGATGTCTGACGTCGAGAGCAGGGTGTCGAGGTCGGTGTACTTGCCGTGCTCCTTGAAGGCGTCGTTTTCAAAGGGGTCGTACGCCAGCAGGTTGCAGCCGAAGCCCTTGAGGATCCGCGCCAGGGCGACGCCGATCTTGCCCGTCCCAATCAGGCCGACGGTCTTGCCGTGGAGGGTGCGGCCCAGCAGCCCGTCGAGGTTGTAGTTGCCCTCACGGACGCGGTTGTAGGCGCGGTGGGTGTTACGGTTGAGGGTCTGGATGAGCGCGAGGGCAAACTCTGCCACGGCCTCGGGCGAGTAGCTCGGCACGTTGGCTACGAACATGCCCAGCTCCTTCGCCTTGTCCAGGTCGACGTTGTTGAAGCCCGCGCAGCGCAGCAGGATGGCTCTTACCCCGGCCTCATAGAGGGCTTCCAGAACGGGCGCTGAGACATCATCGTTGACAAACACACATACAGCTTTCGCGTGAGTCACCAGTGAGACCGTGTCCTGGGAGAGAGGGAAGTCATGAAAGACTAAGTCGAAGGCGGATGAGGATGCATGGGCTGTATGGGCCGCGCTGAGGAATTTCTTGTCGTAGGGGTGGGTGTTGAAGACCGCGAGCTGGGTTGGAGCAGGCATCACGAGGCTGTGTTTTGAATGAAAGGTGAGGTCTGGATGCAGGTCAATTTATGATAGCCAGGAGGGGAAACTGACAGCCGTTTGCTGTTGTCGCTTGGTGTTCGTTGTTGGGGAGCTGACGTCGGCGGCGGGAAGACCCGTCGCCGCTTGTCAGCTCCAACTGACAGCTGCCGCCGTCACTGTCTTACCGAGGGCCTTTGCTTCTTCTCTATAGTCCGCGCGGCGTAAGCAAGGACTAGCTATCCCTGGCTCCCCTAATATCTAGGGGGCAGCCTTGGTGAGTGATATCGCTGCTTCTGACTGGATGTTTCGTGGGCAGCCGCCAAGGGGCCAAGAATCTGCCAGCCCCCGGTTTCTCCGCTGCCTGACACAGCCTACTTTTCCCAAGCTTCCACGGACCCATTTGGACTGTTTGTAATTGGCTATTGCTCCGACGGGAATATTTGTGAAGAGATAAAAGCTTTTACCACCTACTATAGGCATTCAAATGGGAACTGAGGGCATCTGTAAAATGCTCTGTCCGATGAACGTTTCCTTCTGCTTAAAATGAACCAAAACTTCATGGATACCCCAAACTCCGCAATTTAGGTATGAGGTGTTTCTTTGAAGAGAAAAGAATGTGCCCTGTCATTCTGACTTGATCTAGAAATTCTTGGCTCATAGGCTTGACCTGTCCTTGAAGTACGAAATTATCGATAATGTTGGGCCTTTTCGAAAGCATTGGACCAGTGCTGAAAAATCAGTCCGTGGCTCTTTGCTTGCTTACATGTGAATTTGTATTAGATGTCCACAACTGAGCGTATCAATTCGTTGTATCAATCAGAAGTCAAGTCACAAAAACGCTGTTCCATTGATTAAAGTTGGTCATCAAATCGTGCCATAATCTATTGAATTGCAGTTATCGCTGCGTCTATTTCTTCAATGCGCCGTCTATATCCTTTCTATTTGCTATCCACTTCCCTGCCTTATTCACAGAGCGCTATGGGTATATCATTTGAGTTAAGCGCTCTCGTTGACCAGGACGTAACGGTACCGAGCCTTGCCATCTTCCAGGTCGACCACAGCCTGGTTGGCGTCCTTCATGGGGCGCTCCTGGATAAGACCCCTGATGTTCTTCTCCGTGACGAACTCCAGCATATCACGCAGGTCCTGCGGGGACCCGATCAGCGAGCCCTCGAACTTGGTGCGGCCAAAGACCACAGCAGCGCCGGAGACCTGGAACGCGCCGTCGTCGGGGAGGCCGAGCTGGCAGAAGCTGCCGCCCTTCTTCAGCAGCGTCAGGTACTCGGTGAGAGGCACCTTGGATGAAGCCACTGTCGAGATAATGAGGTCGATGCTCCGGGCGTGCTTGGTGGTCCAGTCGGCATCGTCGGCCGTCGCGATGTAGTCATCCGCGCCGAGCTTGAGAACCTCGTCGCGCTTGCTTGCGCGGCGGGAGATACCGATGACCCTGGCTCCCATGGCCTTAGCGAACATAACACCATAGTGGCCAAGCCCGCCAACTCCAACAACACCAACGGTCATACCCTCCTTGACGCCGTGGTTCTTGAGCGGCGCAAACACAGTAACACCGCCGCAGAGCATTGGTGCCGCCTGGCTCGACTCCAGGCCGTCGGGGATCTTGACGGCAAAGTGCGCAGGCGCACGGTGATATGTCGAGTAGCCACCCTGGCCTATGTCGCCGTTGAAGTGCGGCGCGCCGTAGGTGTTGACGATCTTATCACAGTAGTTCTCCTCGCCATCTTCGCACTCGTGGCAAGCCCCGAAGCGGCTCAGGCAGCTGTCGCCCTGGGCGCCGACGCCGACGCGGTCGCCGACGTTGATGTGCTTCACGTTTTTGCCGACGCGCACCGCCTTGCCGACGATCTCGTGGCCTACCGTCAGCGGGTAGGTTGTGTTGCCCCAGCCGTTGCGCAGGAAGTGCAGGTCGCTGCCGCACATGCCGCAGTGCGTAACTTGGATGTCCACGTCGTTCTCCTCCCACGCCTTGGGCTTGATCTCCTGCCACACCATCTTTCCCTCGACGGCGGCTGGGTCATGGGCCGCCCAGCCCTCAAACTTGTAATCTGTGGCCATTTTGTATATGTATTACGAATTTCAGAGGAAACAAGTCTGTGTAGAAAAGAACTGCAAGGTGTATCGGAGCGGAAATAAATGGTGTACGGTGTTGAACTTGATCGACGAGAGGAATAACTTATGGATCAGAGTCTTGGCCTCAGATCTAAGGAAACTTACGTCCGCCTGTTAAGTACTCCGGCAAAGTATGAACAGCGTCACACAACTCTGTGGCCCTGGCCTTGCGATACAGAGCGTCAGGGGCTACAAAGCTTACCAATTTTTCATATCGACGCCGGGATACCCGGTACATTCTCGCATTCGTGCACTGTTTCGGGGAGAAAAAGATATTCCCTATCTGGCGGTAGCTTCCGCTTCCTTTCCGCTGTGGGAATCGAGACGTAAAGGCCCATTTTTGTGGGAAGAAGCTCAGACTCCGGGACTGCGATCGAAGACGGCAGAAGGGCCTTGACCGCAATGACTCGCTGGACCCAGAGATTGCCGCAAGCCCGGGTGCCGTACTTTGATGCCAGTTCAGCGGCCTGTCTTCGGCGTTTTAATCTTATCGCCGCAAAAAGTGTACCCGCTGGTGACGTCTGCTACAAATCTTTCGGACATGGTCCACGAGGTTGATACACTTTGACACACCGTCGCTCTTTCGGCGTTTGGGTACACGCGAGGAAAATGCGAGGCGACTACAGCTGTAAAGGGGTTGGAAACTTTGACAGCCAGCAAAGGCAACCTACCACATGGAACACGTGCTGCACCTTGACGAAAAAGGCCAGACTGGCTCAGAAACCAAATGTGACGAGCTCCAAATTGCTGAGTGATTTGCGGCAATGAAAACAATTGATAGCGGGGCTTGGCTGGTCGAATGCGGTGTAAGGCGAAGAACATTCGAGGAGCACATACGGCCAAGGCCCTTTCTCTTTTAAGCTTAATATATTTGGCTTTGTCTAAGTGGGTTTCTCGGATCCTCCCGTTGTGTGCCCGTGAGATAGGAGATCTAGAGATGATGTGAGATTCTCCAAAGCGGGTTCCCGCCTGATCCCACAAGATCACCCATGCAGTCAGATCTTCATGCTGAGGCGCCTTCAAAAATAGCCGCTCATATCTCTGAAGCCACTCATAGAGAATTCGAAATGGATTGATCTTTGTACCGTTACCATTTTCATATCCCAAGAATGTGTGCTCATGCATCTGTTTGTTCATTTCAATTCAAGACACTGTATTAAAACAAAAAAAAAAATCGATTGCATACCAATACCAGACTCTTAAAATGCTATCTTCACCAAGTGATAAGTTGAGCCTCTATGCTCGTGTTTCCTTCGGATCGGTTCTGCCCTATTTCATTTGGAACGCCACAACAAACGCCCATCCGATAAGTCAAGAACCGGGGAAAGGAAGATGCAGTCAAGAATCTCTCCTGCTAATGAAGAATAATAGCAAACAATTTATAAGCAAGTTTATTTTGCTATGTAATATGAAGACGAGGGAAATCGCAAGTGTGATCAGAGCAACTATTTGACAAGGCAAAACCTATCGACAAAGGATTGGTGATTCTTGAATGTCCATCTCTTCAAGAAGTTTCAAGAGCTCTTCGAGTCCGCATTACGTGGTCTCACAACCACACCTCTGCACAAAGGTGTATAGGATCTATCAACCCAACTTCTATTCCACCTTATCTATGCCGTCGCGGAACAAGCATGAATATTGACAATGAGACTATACAGTCAACATCATTCATCCTGAAGGTTCAATGACCAAAAGTCACGATCTGCTTGATCCCCCTCGCCCATTCCATCATTGCATTTACAGATCTGCCTCGCGATGAGGAGAAACCCTCATAGCAGCCGGCAGCATCTCGAGGACGAGCCACGCCCAAGTAGTGCGATAGCTAAGTGGCGGAGAGACAAGACTCCAGGTCTTCCTAGTGTTGTCGTCGAGTATAACACGAGGACGTACGTCAACGCATGAAACATTGGGTGCCAGCTGGCAGCAGCCAAGGCCGCCCCAACAGGCAAGGAATGCCCTTGCCGCCAGCGAACACGAGCATGGCATGGCATAGACCTGTAGCGCCGGGCCGTCCCCGAAACACGACAACTCGTCTTCTGGGCCATGCTCTACATCTGTATTTACAAACAAGGCTGGCTGGCTGCGACGGCCACAGATACATCGTATGTGCGAACTCATGGACGTCAGTTTGCTCATACATGAGCACACATACCCACATGACACTCATGAGACGACAAGTTCTCGTATGCAAGAAAAGTTGGACAGGTAGTCTCGAAATTATTGAATTAGTCGAGTCTATTTCTACACCCTCCAGACTCGCAGTGGCAGTAGCGGCAAGCTTCTCTTCGACAGACTTGCCCGCAACCCCACATTAGCCTCTCTCTCTCTCTCTCTTTGTGTATTGTGTGTGTGCTCAAGACACCCATGGCTGGCAGGCAGTGCATCCAACCATCTCGATCCCGGTTCTCTCTCTTCCTCTGGGCCGACGGACATACATCCACAAGTCCAGTGTCTGCCCAACGAAGACCACCGCCTTCTTCTCTCCTCTCTGTCCCATCTTGTGATGCTCAAGATCTAGCGTGTAACAAGGCCGAATAAAACCAGAATGATAAAAAAACAGGCCATTGCATTTCATGTTTCCAGATCCCCAACCAACGCATATGCTTCCCTTGTAGAGAAAACGGACATCATAAAAAACAATATGCAAAACTCCAAGCCAATGCAATGTGTGCGTGTGTATCAAATGCGTCCCTCAGCTGAGGGTGGATAATCAAAAAGAAAAGAACAAGAAAAATGGCTCTGATGCTGGTCTCGCGTGTACGCCGTTACCAATGCCACCGCCGCACCACCCCCTATCATGATCGATGAAGCCGTGGTCCTTCCCACAGTCGAAATAGGTCGGCAACAAAGAAAAAAACCCACTAAGGGTAGTGGGTGAGAGGGAAAAGAATTAGGAAGAGACATGCAGTCAGACAACATAGAAGCCCTAAGGGTAGGGTAAATAAATCCTTAGAAAAGGAAAAAGCCCATAATTAGAGAAACAAAGGGTACAAGACAAGTCACGAGGGCGCCAGACGACAGTGTCGCCAGCGCCGGTGGTCCTGCAGATTTGGAGTCAGCGCCGCCACTAGAGGTACTTTCGCTGCCGGAAGAAACGCTGCTGTCAGGCTTACTCGTAGCCGATGAGGAGGAGGACTTGGAGGACGACCCGGCGGTGCTCCTGTGCGTGCCGGGACTGCGGGCCGCGAGGGCGGCGCAAGCCGTCTCGTCAGCCTTGAGGCCCTCGCCGAGGCGCGACTCGAGGTTAGCCACGACGGCCTGTGAGTCGCGGACGCTGAAGGAGAGCGTGCCGTCGTCACCGACCGTCGCAGTCTCGTCCGTGTCGTCCACCTGGGTCTGCGTGCCTATGCTGTCCTGCTCGAAGCTGACGCCGTTCCACGTCGTGTTGAACTTGGCGTCCAGCCCGTCGTTGGTCAGGCGCGCAAGGTGCACCGTCTTGCCAGCCAGTGACGTCGGCAGCGACACTGACACGGTGACGTTGGCCTTGTCGGTCTCGGTCGTGTTGGCCGTCTTGGTGTTGAGCACTGTGATGGACTGCAGCGAGCCGCTCTGGTAAATGGAGTACGCCCTGACATACTCGCTGTAGCCAGAGGGCACACTGGTCAAGTTGTCCTGGTAGATCTGGGCGGCGCACGTAGGACCGATGATCTCGTTGAAGGCGGCGTGGCCGTAGTAGATGGGCCGGACGTGAGGGCCGCCACCAGAGTTGGTGCCCGGCTGCCAGGCGGTCGTGAAGCTGTTGGCCGTCATGTGGAACTGCACGCTGGTCATGTTGAGTGATGCGGCCCAGAGCAAGTAGTTGAGCGTGTACAAAGCACCTCCAAAGGTGTCGCTGACGTTTGCGACGCCCAGGGGCCCGACCATGCCCATCTCGCGCAGCGCGTAGGGATAGCCCGTCGTTTCGGCCTGCTTGATCTGCGTGATCCAATCGGCAAACTGGCTCTCGACGTAGTCGAAGCTCATGAGGAGATCCAGCGTCAGGGCCTGGCCCTCAGTCACATCGACGAAATAAGAGTAACAGTGCTGATTCCAACTGGACAGGTACTCAACGCCCTGGAATTTGGCATCGACGCCAGAAGTGTCCATTTGCTCGATCTCGAAGGTAGTACCGCTGGTGTGCGAGGTGCCGCCAGCCTCGAAGAAGGTGGCATTCAGGCCAGCAGGCTGGAGGACCTGTTTGTAAATGGCAGCGGCACGTTCGTGCCATTCCTCGGAGTAATCGGTAGACACGTAGGTACCGTTCCGGAAGCCGTTAGTGGCGTAGAGGTCTGGTTCGTTGCCAATCTCGAAGGAGACAATGTCCAGGTTGTCGCACCTGTCGAGGATCTGGGTAGCCATGTCGACGATCTTGTCTATATAGTCGTCGGCATTGTAGGCCAGGTTCAGGCCCCAGGTGAAGGGAGTGCCGGTGGGAAACCTGTTTGCGGCCTCGAAGAAGCGGGGGCCGATGAGCATGTTGTCCCATGCGATGTTGCCGTCGCCGGTCGAGTCTGGGTTTGTGATCTGGGCCCATTTATCCTGGGACTCATCGTAGATCATGTAGTCCTGGGTGTTGCCTCCAAGACGAATATGTGGTGGCTTGCCGGTGTAGTTGCCCAGGTTCTCCAGCAGGGTTATTGTGAGCCGGTTTGGCTCGTCCTGGCCAGTGTAGGAGAAGAGGTTAGAGGGCTCAATGCCGAAGCCGCCAAAAGAGAGATCGACGGCCTGAGAGATGTCGGAAGGCGCAGATTCAGAGACCTTGAAGCTGATGCCGGATTGTGCCAGGGCAGAGGCGATCAGGTTGGAGCCGGCGAGCGCGCCGGCGAGCGCCCGTGATCCTGACGAGGCCATACTGGAGTTGACTGACTGTGACGCTGGAATGAATGCGACGTTGAACCTCAACCTCAAGCTCAAGGCGCGATGCCTAATGCAGGAACCCGAACCGACGCAAGGTGGGTTGAATCTGGGGTTGGGTTTTGTTTTTGGAGATGGTGGGCAACTCTAAGTAGGGAGGAGGAGGCAGGCAGACGGGCAGACTAAGTGGGATATGCCTCGACTTTTGAGGAGGCCGACTGCTGGTAATCAGATCGAGCAGATGCGGTGCAATACTTCCAGAAGAAAACAGACCCCACTAGGTGGATGGATGAATTACCGGGTTGCAATAGCGACGGACTGGGCCAGACCAGAGCAGGGCACGGAGTGAAAGACAGGGGTGGTGGGGAGGAATGAGATTGACCTAAGAAACCGGGGCTAACAACAAAAAGGCCGCCCAAATATCGCTAAGGGACAATAAAACGGGATTTGGAGGGGAAACGCGGAAGGAGGACGGGGGGAAAGGCTCGCAAGTGGTTCGAGGCCCTAAGTAGTCGGTAGTCGGGGGACGAGGGTGGCCAGTGCCAGTGACGACGACGTTGGATGCTGGATCGGGGGAAATTGGACGATTGGCAGATTGGCAGGATGGAGTACAAGTACGTCGAATGGCTGGAAGGATCGACGGCAAGGAGTGCGCAGGAGTGGATGGGGGGCGGCTGTGGTGGATGCGGATGGCGGATGCAGATGAGAATGAGGATTTGCCTGCGAGCAAAGCAGTAAGACGGCGGAGCCTCCTCCTACGCGCCCAGGTAGTATTGCAATCTTGGATGTTGTGTGGTTTTTTTTTTTTAACCAACAGCTCTGCAGTCAGTCAGTCAGTCAGTCAGCCAGTCAAACTCAGTCAGGCAGTCAGTCGGTCAATGAATCAACTCATCACTCAACTCATCCCAACCATTGGAAGGCAAAAAAAGACAAAGGCCAAGGCAGAGGTGGACTCGACTGACGTTTGCAGGTACAAAATTGTCCACTTAATGGGGCTGGGGCCGGAGGATGGGCAGGTGGACTGGGCCCCTTCTCGCCCTTATGTCTTCATCGTGACTTCCTGTTGCACACGGATGTTGCGACGTCAGGATGGATGTTTGGCAGCTGCAGCAGCTAGGGCAGGTGCGAGATGGAGACCGGGGTGGCGACTGCCCACCTTTGGAACAGACTACCGTACCAAGTCCTGAATGGTGAGGCAGTGGAGGCCAGAGTGAGGCTGTACAATGCACAATGCACACACATTCTGCACGAACATGACACCGAACCAGAACCATTGAACCAGTGACCAGACTGGGCTGGCCAGTCTGGCTGCAGAGGCTAAGGAAGGTGCTGGTAGAGACTGATGTTGCAACGCGTCACCCTTTCCTAGCCAAGAGATGTGCGAGCTGTGCGTGCTGCGGTCCAAGATCTATATGTCTCCATTTATCTGCAATATTGACGTCACAGCCGGGACTACGGGAGAAAAAAAAACATGGAGATGAGATGAGATGAGATGAGACGAGACTGGACTGGACGAGACGACAACCACGAACCCCAACCACAGACCATAACATCACCTTGCTGCTCTGCTGCTCTGCTACTCTGCTGCCCTGCCATGAAACACCAAGGTCTCCCTTGGTAGTTTGGCATACAGTAGTTTGCTTGCCACCATGAAGAATTGGTCCCACAGCTCCGGATCAAACTCTCCCCCCATGTCCATCTCCCTAGTCTGCTGTGGTACTGGGTACTTGCTTGCCAGCCCTGCCAGCCTTTTCACCATTATTTGAAGACAAGATCCTCCCACCGCCACGGCCTTTCCCACCGCTTGCGCTCGGGCCCGACATTACCTGACATACCGCTCCCTGCCTGCGTGCGTGACCGGCAAAGATCATCGCCATGGTTCAGGGGGAGAAGCATCATGGCCTCGGCAGCCGGCACTAGCAGCCGCCCAGGGCACACGCGAAAACTCAATCAGTCGCCCCATGAGCCTGAGCGTCGCAGTCCCGAGCTGCTGGGGAAGCTCCTGAGAAGCTTCGAGGCTAGCCAATTTGACTTCGACCTGTCATCGATTGGGTTCTCGTTTCTCGGGAACCGGCAGATTGATTGCTGTTTCAAGCTGGGGCCCTTGTTGTGACAGGCGACACGAGAGGGAGAGAGAGAGAGAGCACGAGGGGAAGAGACAGCTGCCGTGCATCACGAGGCCGTACTCGATCGAGTACACGACACGACGCGACACGGCTCTCCAATCTCAAATCAATCAATGCTCGGAAAACCGGGCAGGGCTTTCCCTTCGCAGCCTACAGCTCTGCAGCTTGTAGCGTGCTATAGCTCTGCAGCTCTGCAGCTCTTAAAGTCCATGGCCATGGCAGACATGCAGCCACATCCATGGCACCTGGGCACTGGCCAGCCCGCCCACGCCCGCCCTTGGCTGAAATAGGCCTGACGTCGCCCACAGACCAAAACAGACCAGGCCACAAACAGCCCCAGCACCCGTCGAACAGTTGGCCCCAAGCTCCAAAACGTGCCGCTGTGCCGTGGGATCCGGGGGGCAATTGGACGTGGCTGTCGACCAACGTGCAGAAGCAGATTACCATCACAAAAGAAATCGCCGATTTGCAGCACCAAACAAAATGACTGCACCTGCACCTGCACCTGCAGCAAGCCCATGCTATGCCACGCCATTGCCATGCCATGCACCAGAAATTGAAAACCTGCAATCTACTTGTTTCCAACAGCTTGGCACCCTAGGCAACGCACGCGCATGCGCACGCAAGGCATCTGGGCATATGCATCGACCTCGGGAATAAGCGAAACAAAAAAGAACAACACGATAACACAGCACCACGCCACGCCACGCCACGATACACACAACACAATGCTGAGGCTCACCTCTTGCATCTCCCCTTGCTTCTTTTTTCCTTTTGTTTCAACGGTCGAGAAGATCAGTACAAGTATCGCCGTCATTTTCATCTGCACCTTCTCCTTCCTTATCCTCCACACTCTCCCCTCGCTTGGCAACGCCCTGTAGATCGCATCATCGCCCACCCCGTCCGCCTTGTCAGGCATTGCCCACAGAATGACACATTTTTTCCTCGATACAAGGACCAAAGCCATTCACCTCCCTACAACCACGTATTCGTACCGCAAGTGCTGTGAGCCGGCATAACACGGTCCACAACCCGAGGGTCTCGAATGTATGGTCTCGTCTCAGGGGGGCCCTTTCGTCCCTCGCCTGTTGGTCTGGAACTGGAACTGGGAACTGGAGACCGAAGACTGGAGAACAATGTAATTCACGCAACCGCCCAACAACCCCATCCATTCATCCATGCACATAACAAAGTCCAGACACGAAGATCATCGTTGGGCGCTTGGCGGCTATCACCAAGCGCTCCGATACGGGCAGTGTTCCATCGACAGGCGCCTATTATCCCGTAACAGCAGGGAGCGACGTTGCTACCGCATTGCTTGCTTGCTTCTCTTGTTGTTCGTTCGTTCATTGCCGTGCGTAGAGTTTCGGCTGATGGGTCCCCCTGATCCCCTTGCCGAGGAGGGCCCCCCCTTTCGCGGGCCGCGTCTTCATTCCCTGTGAACAGGTCACAATGGTCTTGGCTTGCCGATCCCCACCAGCCAATCCCCGATCGGACTGCCGGGGTGGCTTTGTGTTTCCATTTTCGGATTTGGGACGGACCAACAACCTGACAACCAAGCGAGCGACCACGCTCAGCCCGCTGGGGATTGGGATGCACGGCTTGATACTGCAGGAGTCGCCGTGACGATGAAGGCGATCAAAATGATAGAGACGGTGAGTGATGATGCTGTAGTTGTGGGAATGTGTAGGAGATCGATCTCTTCTATCCTTATGAGATCGTGGCACAATATGATGTTCTCAGCATCGGTTTGCACTCCCATAGTCTCAAGAATCAACAATACGACAAATCATCAACCGTCGGCATTCCTCGACTCGGTCAATCAAGGACAGATCTATCCACATTGCAAGAGCCATTCCGTTCACACAATGGAACCGTAATATGCGCTGATCCGTCCCCGTCTTGCTGCAACACAAGGCGGTACAGTAGTTACACTCGGTACTCAGCAGCTGGGCCTGTTCCTTTCTTGCACTCCCGCAAGTACACGCAACTGAGGATGGGTTTTTGCGAACGGCGCACTCTTTCAGGACAATCGGAATTGCGTTCCCAGCAGTCTCTCGCGCACGTGTGACAGCCCCACGGTTGCAGACCTAGTAGCTGTCTCTTGCATATAGTGATCGGTGCCGTTTTTCTTGCAGCCTAGATACACAAAGAACTTTCTAGACAATGCAGCGGGTCTGTGATCATCCTCTTTCCCGCTTTTTCGTCTCGGCCGACCCGAGTCGGGTACGAAAGGACTAGGCAAAGAGGGGGAGGGGGTTTAATTTACAAGCATGTCTGTATGCTGATCTTGTGATGGTAGAGGGCAAGGAAATGCAACAATGATGGGCGTGGAGCAACGGCAATAGGAGTAGAGATGCGATATGATGCTCACGGTGTTCTCGGTGAAGCATTCTCTTCCTCGCGAGCGGTTCGATGGATTGCGAGTCTTCTTTTGCAGAACGGTCGGGGTCCGGGAGCTACAAGGTGTCTCGACAACTTCGTCAATAATTCAACAGGACAGCTGAATGATAGATACCAAGGTCCCTGAGTAGACAGGGAGAAGATGGCTTAGGGATTCGGGCATGTTGTATCCAGACCCGTGAGGCTTTCGAACCCTTGACGGGGTTCTTTCCTAAGTGCATATTGAGAAGCAGGATCACATCAAATCTGGTACTGCGGTGCAGGGAAATTTAGTTATTGGTATGCTATTCTGACCTCAAACTTCGTCTACTATGTTGTATTGTTCTCCGGTAATTGTTAGAATTTCAGTAGCAAACATCTCCTTAATGACTCTTGGCTGAGACCGCTTCATCGATGCCGCCCCGAAAAGGATTCAAAAGTCCGGAGCGGCGGCGAGCGCCACATACACCTGTCATCACAATGAGCCCTCCCAAACTGCTCCAGCGTGGTCTCGTGTCAGGAATTGACAATAACATTGTCGATCAACGAGTCTTTTTCCATACCTAATGGTCTGGCGCGGCCGCGTTCTCCATCGGGTTCTCATAGACCAAAGTCGGCTTTTGATGGCCCACAGTCCCCTGCGACAGGCCTGTTATCCTGCAGAGGGCCGGGCCACGAGTGAGCGCAGCTCTTGCCCTGAGCCGCACCGATGAGCACAGGGAGCTCAGGCTGTCTTATTTGTCGCCCGGTCGAGGCCAAGCAGACCCACGTGACGTCCCGGGGCAAACTACGCCACCTTCGGGCCCATGATGAGGCACATCCAGCTTCAACACTATGGATTCACAACGATTGCAATCTCAGAACCACCAGAGCTCATCTTCAAGATTGTCCTTCCAGAGCTGAGGACAGGGCTTTGTGGGATCCGTGTTTTTCCAAGATGCTGTCTCTGACACAATGTCGATATACAGGCTGATGCAAGGGGCCACGAGGTAGTACAGCTGGAAGAGAACGTTCATACACAGCCATACGATAGCGGCCATACCCACGATGAAAAAAATAGCGACTACCAATATTCCTGAATGTTGATCTGATGTGTCATGGCTGTCATCTGGGACCGGGGCTGGCAGTGATTCCGACTGTTGTTGATCTGATGTAGGGTCCATAGTTCCCATAAATTGAAGTTCTTGGTCTCCGGTAATAAGGGCCTTCAAGCGATCTATGTGGACGATGTAGAAGATCGATGATAGCCAGCTTACTTGTCCACCCCATAGCAGCATTAGAACCATCCAGAAACTGTCTCGCTTGTGCCCAAGAATGGACAATTGGGCGAAACCGCCCGCCAAATGGTAGAGAATCGTCCGTGAGATGGGCGCAATATCGCGACCAAAAACGATGGCACGGATTGCTTTATTGGGTAGCCCTTGCTCTTTCTTGAAAGAAATACACTCGGGGAGGCTGCAGTAGGGCTCTGTACAGGGCTGAATATGAATCTCTGATGTCCAAGACAAATTCAAAAGCGAGATGGTCATGGACTGGCAGAGAGCGACCAGACCAGAGAAAACCAACAGAAGCATGGCGTAGTCCACTGCTGCCGCTGTGTCGGAGAGAGTGCGGCGGATTAGCAACAGTGCGGCTTGTGAGTACTGCCCAAGTAAGATGAGCAAGACCAACACACGGCCAACCCACGTCAGATCCCGTTCGAGTGGAGTCGCTTCAAGGTGACGAGGGCCGATGGCTGAGAGCGGAAAATTGCGCTCAACGTCTAACGTGGTATTGCAACGACAGCCGCAGAGCCTCGCGAACCGATACCTGAAGGTGATTTCCGTCTCCCAAGATCCCGGGCTAATCTTGAAAAGATCTATGAACCCAAACCAGAGGCTTGTTGAGAATGAGAAGACTGGCGCCAGTGGATTGGTGGAGACCTCAATTGCACGAAATAGCTCACTTTTCCAGGAACGCGAGCCGTTGATGGAGTTCAGGTGCCCATGTACCCCCACTGTTGTTACGGTAGCAGCAAAAAGCTTGACAAAGGCTCCAGTCGACGTCCTACGGGACCCCTCTGGACAGGCTTCTTGATATTCCTCGGCCCCGGGTAGTGACATATGGTGATCCTCGAGAGCTCGTAAGGTAAAGAGCATGGCCATCATGATGCTCAGCATTGGAATATGAAACGATGTCGGGCGGCAAAGTTCTTGAATATCGTTCTTTAACATTCCAAATGTCCGCGAAAGAAAGGGTCGGTCCGCTTGCTGGCCCACTGTAGATTTTGCGTCCCCCGCTAAAAGTGTCGCGAAGAGCATATAGGTCCCAAAGCCTGCGACTGACTTAAATGTGAAGTGGATTTTTCGAAATACGTATGTGACAATTTTCAGCGGGTAGCAGACCAAGAGATGAGGTTCCGCCATTGTTTCGGCCATGTTGTTCAAACCACGCGGTCTACATCCTGTCGCAAGAATCGAAAGCCACCTGGTTCCAGCGTTAGGTCAATGAATTGGAAGAACAAAACCTGCAGATGAGAGCGCCGCGCCTCATAATCAAAAGTGCGCAACCATGCGGGGTGAAGTTCTGGCCCCCAACAGTCAGCGCAGTACAACTAAACGCACGAATTGGCCTCACGGAAACATGATCCCAAGCTCACTCACGAAAGCGGATGTAGAAGGCTCTTACAGCTATGAAAGCTGCCACCTCTCGTATGGGGGAAAAGTATGCGTGGGCATGTTCATTGATTTAAGTTAGAGGGAAAATTCTCGTTTAGCAGAGATTCTAGAACGTCATTTGTTTTAATGAACTGCAAGGCGAAGCTGTCGAAGTTAGCCGCGGTTCGGCGTCGTCCTGTGCTATTGTCTCTGGTTTAAAGGGTGTCTGATTCCTGTCTCGCCTTCAATTCCTGCAAGGGAGGAATATCCTGCAACATATTCGGCTCGAGTCGATCCCACAAGATGCCGCAAGTCGGTTTGGGGGCCGCGGTACCACGGCCGTCGTCAACCGGGGAGAACATCGTCGTAGGCGTGATGACCAGATCGCACACCGTGTCATACGCCTCGGGCACGAGCTGTTCTCCGCGGAGGACCTGGCAGTCGTGGACGATGGCGGCGGTAACTGTGGTAGTGTCGACGACGCGCAGGCTGTACAGCATGGCCCACTCGAGGTCGAAGAAGCCGTGACCTTTTCCGAAGCGGATGCCTTGCTCGTTGATGGCGCCCGTACCCGTGACCATCAGGCCGATCTGGAGGCGCCTGTCGACAATGTCGGCGAGCGAGACTGGGCTAGCGACTTTCTCCATGCCGTCCAGAGTGGAGGCATACTTGTACAGGGACCGGTCAATGAGGGTGGGGTCCAGCAGCTTAAACCCCCTGCGGATGCCGTAGGTGGTGGTCAGGACCTTGATGCCGGCCTCGAGGGCCTGTTCTCGGAGGTATTCGAGGCAGTTGTCCGGGGTGATGAAGACGCAGGTGAGGTCCCGGAAGCAAGGCTGGGCTAGCAGGGTCCTGTTGGCGTCCTCGGAGCCTTCGAAGTCGGTGATAAAGCTGGAGAAGTCGTAGTGGAAGCGCGAGTCTGCATAGGCGACTTTGCGCAGCTGCTCCCAGACTCTCGCGCGGACGTCAGCCTTGTGCTGAGGACCACCGCCTCCAGATGATGATGATGACGACGATAACAGAGACATGACTGCTCGACAAGGGCTCTAGACCAGGCAACCGATGCTCGAAAAAGGAAATACTAGAACTATGGGAGGTGTGATTGGTACGCTAGCATGGTACAGAATTCATGATTGAAGTTGTGGACATTTTCAGCGCGCCTCCCGCGGATTTACCAAGTTGAGATGATGTTGAGTTTTATCCCGGTACAGACCTCTTCTGCTGAAGACGCCGTTGACGACCGGAAATAAGGTTTGGTCTGCTCCTGAGATAATTTGTCATCTCCCTGCGTCGGCCAACCGGACAACGTGGGATGATCGGATTTACATAGAGCCCCACTTTCGTCGGATAACATGACTTTCTCTGACCGTCACCACACCTTCTTCACCACCCATGCCATCTCTAAAGCCGTTTACAAAGGCAATCATAGATCCGATCTTCCTGTCCAAAAGTATTCCCAAGGCGGCGGTGGCGGCGAGGGCTTCCTCGATTCAGTATCCCACTCCACCGCAAGCTGCACGCCCTCGGAATTAGCCGCTCATATCCCCGTGATCTCTCTTGCTCCGCCAGATCTGCGGACATCTCTACACGCTGGCGGACGCGCAGGCCACCAGAGTGGTTGATCACCTACTCGGAAAAAGGAACCGATCCTTGCCTGTACACCGTCACGCTGTGGCTGGCCCTCGCCTCCGAACCGTCCTCAGTGGACTTTGGGCGCCCAGCAGGGGCCGCCGCAGCTGGGATGGAGAAGAACCCCAAGGCGTGTGAGCCGTGCCGCCGGAGGAAGGTCAGGTGCAACGGCCAGACCCCCTGCAACAGGTGCGACAGGAAGCCAGGGGATTGTGTGTACCGCCTGCGGACGCGCATAAGGAAGAGCGGCGCGCAGAGGGCGGCTGCTGCTGCTGCTGCCGCTGCCGCCGCCGCCACAAACGGGCCCAAGGCTCCTCCTCCCCCTTCGCCGGCCGGTGATGTGCGTGCTGTTGCTGCTGGCAGCGAACAACCGACCCCCCATCCAGCATCTGCCGGCCATGATTCGCCGTCTGGATTCCGGAGGGATGTGCCCGAGGTTGGTGACGGTCCAAAGTCCGACTCAGCCATCTATCAGAGCATAGCTGCTGTCCCTCAAAGGAGTGATGTCGAGCCTGTCCAGGGGGGCACTGCTCGATTGTTCTACGGACCAGCCTGTAAGTATCCTTCTTGGAACATCTTTTCGCTTCTCACATTGGAGTTTATCGAACAAAGCAGTTGGCACGGATATGTGCCATGTTGTTATTACACTTTCTGTCGTAATTCTGTTCTTGACTTGCCAGAAACAGCAGTGCTTCTTTTCAGGTGCCGTCTTACGTGACATGTCGTTTATAATTCTCAGGCGCCGGTAACTGACACCTCAGAATCGTCTAGCACAATTTGCTTTTCTGCAGCAAGTGCATCGGGGCGTCTTGTCATCTACCGGGCCCCATGGCCAACAGGACCGTGAGGTCCAGGAGGGCGGCCCCGGCCTGGACCTCTTTCTTCAGCGTAGTTTCTTCTTTGGCACGGCACCAAGATTCGATGCCACCGGATTCCATCGACCAGCGAGTACTTTGTTTCGCGAACTCCCTCTAGCTCAGGCGAAAATATTTCTGGAGAAATATAAAACATGGTATGCAAGTCTCTTACCCCTTATGACCTGTTTCAGACTCCTCATTAGTGATTCCACATTCCCGGAACGTCACTATTAGTACCAGGCCAACCCGTGGCCGGTGTTTGAGTGGTAGACTTTCACACTGTAGAGTCAGTGCTACCCAACGGCAGATGTTACTCAGATTACGACGCCAGGGAGTATTGTATGACAAGAGGCCGTTTCTGGGGAACTAACGATTCTTCATGGAGCAACTCTATATATGTCATTTCTAACACCAGCAGCTTACTGCCTCGCCATGTACACCCTAGTATCTTAGCTCGTCATCTTCAGTGTGCCTGGAGGCGAGAGCACCATTTCGCTGACGAGTGAGTAGGTCTGCGCACATCCTTCCATTCTTCACGCATGAGGAACTGGATAAGATGCTCCATCACCTCTACAACAGTGACGAGACGAAGGCCTCTCAGACCAAAGCCCTCATTCTTGCAGTGCTGGCTCTCGGAGCCCTTGCCACGCCTCATACCAACGTCGCAGAAGAGGTCATGGCCAGGGCCAAGTACGAAGCCGTCCTCTTCGATGATACCGTCAGCCTGCCGATGATACAGTACTCGCTGCTGTTAGCAGAATATCAGACCAGCATGGGCAGGCCAAACCTGACATACCTCATGCTTGGCACAGCGTGCCGCAAGGCCTTTGCGCTTGGTCTTCACCGCGAGGCTGCTAACTCGTTAACGCGATCCGAAGACGCTGAGAAGTGCCGGACCACATTGTGGTGCCTCTACTTTCTGGAGAGCTGGTACACCATGATGGTCGGGCGAGAAAGCTCGTTGAAGATGTCCGATATCTCGTCGCCGTTCCCCGAAAACCAGCCCTTTATCGTCACCCTGAGCCGTCTTGCGTACATCGGCGAGCAGTGTTCAAAGACCATCTACAACACACATCGATACGACTCCTTGCGCAAGTTGTTCGTGGCCGCGGAGGATATCCACGCTCAGCTGCGGGATTTTGCGAACAAGAATGGCATAGGGTCCGCCGCCCTGGACAGCAACGGAGTCCTCTCGGGCGGTGAACATCCGCTCAGGCTGCTGCTGCATAACCTCTACTACCATACCATCCTGCTGACCTTCCGGCCGTTCCTGGTGGCCGACTACGCGCTAGCATCGAGCCCATCCCAGGACTCGGCGAGCGCGATGTGGCTGCGGCAGGCGTGCCGGCAGGCGACCAACACGGCGCAGGACTGCATCATGTACTGCTACTCGCAGCTGCAGAAGGACGAGGTGTGCCGGACGTCGCGGTACCACGGCTTCTTCCTCGAGTCGAGCTGCGCGGTGCTCTTCTTCGACATCCTGCGGCACCCGAGCAAGTACGCGTACAACATCGAGTTCATCCAGATGGCCATCGCGAGCGTCAACCTGATGATCGACGACGAGCCGGTCACCAACGCGCGCAACTCGCTCAAGAAGATCCTGCGCGTCGTCGAGGAGACCATCTCCAAGCAGAAGATCGCCGGCACGACGACGGCCACCACGAGCGGCCTGCCGGCCTTCACCGACCCGCTGCTGCAGACGGCCCCTAACCCATCCATCCCATCCCCAATGTCGTCCTACATGAGTGGCCAGGACCACCAGCAGCAGCAGCACCAGCAACAACAACAGCAGCAGCAGCAGCAGCAGCAGCAACAGTATCAGCAGCAGGTCTCGCACGGCACAATTCAGTTCCCCTCGCTGCACGCGCCACCCTCGTCGGCGAACCAGCTCATCTACTTCAGCGACCTGCCGGGCTCGCTGGGCAGTGCTGACAGCTCGATGGGGGCAGGCACGCCGCTGGCGATGGCGGGCCTGGGTGGCGACGCGGACGCGTTCGGGGGCGAAGGGCTGGACCCGCTGACGCACTTCCACTACGACGTGCTGACGACGGACCTGTTCAACTTCTTCCCGTTGAACATGACGCCGCCGTCGGCCACGGGCAGCGCTGACGCTGCGGCGAGTATGGAGTGTCCTCTTGAGAATGGGGGGCCTGGCACGTGATAATGCAAGGGAGTGGGCGGCTTCTTGAAGTATGATCAAGCTATATCGAGATTGGGGAGGCGTGCCGGCTTCATTATCAGGCCATTCCGAGCCGGTGGTGGACCTTGCTGTGTCGGCAGCAGTTTCGAAGGGAGGGCTTTCTAAAAGGCCATGTGGATATGATGGGTCTTGAGGTCGTGTACAGATTCGTGCCCAAGGTTTGGGCATTTCGGACGAGGAACTGGATTCGGGCATTTCTGTTGGCATGGCACTGCCGACTCTGACGACTCTTTCTGTATTCTGATTTGGGGCGGCTGGTTTTCGACGGTCAAGGCTGTGCGTATGGATATGCGAAGCAACTGCAGTCGAGCGCAGCGTGAGGAAATTCCTGGCGCAGCACCACCCGTGACTCCCATTTAATAATATGAATGATGTATGATCTCGTCGATGTACCTGATATATCCTCTTGCAATCGAAGACGAACACGTTCCTCACAATAGGCTCCAGTACCACGAATTTGAATCCCCTCAAATAAGTGGACTGCTGCCTTACTGGTCACCTCAGTTGACCAAGTAGACCTCCGTTCAAGCCTTCGTCCAATACCGTACAAACTCGGTCCCCCGTCAGCAACCTCATAGATACGTCACTGGGAATGCCTCTGTACGGCCACGGTGCGGTTACCGAGGTGAGCGGCGAGGTGAAATCCCTCGGCGACCCGGGGCAATTGTCCCGCGACTTCGAGGCTGGGTAGCCGCAGACAACGGCGTCACACCAGCCCCGAGTGTGATGTTCTTGGTGCCATCATTGATGGCCACACTCTGTTCAAGTCCCCAGCCTCTGTCAAGCAGTGGGCAGTGGAATTTGGACCAAAATTGCGCCTCGGCGCGTACAATATCAGAACTAGACCGGCTCAAACGAAGATGGCAAATGTGACGATGGCGGGTGCAGGAGGCTGAGAATGCTTTGCGTCAAGGTTAAGAAAGAATGGGCTCCATCGCTTTCGGGCCCATGAATAGGATACAGTCACACGAACAGGACCCCCAACCGACCGCTGCCAAATCATTCATGAAGAAGAGAAGCTGATCTCAGGACTCATCAGTCAACACTGCAAAGTGGTCTTCGCACGCAACCTCATCAACATCGTGTACTGATCCAGAAAGAGCAGAGGCGCCCAACCCCGAGGCTTCCCTCTTCCCACAGAGCGAGGGCATTCAGGCCCAATGTCCCAGTGCCGACAGCACGCGAGCAAATCAAACTTACGATAGACCGGGTAAGCAAACGCAGCTCCGTGTCCTCCTGACCAGCGCCGTGGTCACAATAACGTTGGTGTGCCACCTTCGACCGCTCAAGCAATATGAAGATGGGGCGGTTCGAAGTAAGACCCGCACATATAAAACTTACCAACATGGACGCCTTGTAGAAGCCTCATTTTCCCCATGGTATAGCCCTTATCGGAGGAACTATAGAGCACCGCTCCATCCCAACGCCAACACTTCGCAGCATATCAAAAGACCCCAAGTCATTATCTGAAAACAGAACAGACCAGGATAGCCAGGCCTCGCGGGGCCCGTTGCATGCAGAAGGTTACCAGCGGTAGCCCGGTCTCGATCCTCGTCTCGATTCTTGACGGCGTTCGCGGCGGAAACACTGGCCAGGGCGTCACACACTCGCAGGCGGAGGACCCACGCCCTAGTCCCCTGACCCGTTCTCGGAAAGCACGATCGAATACTTGAGACATGGAAATCCTAAGTTCTTTCTCCTGATACAACAGTACCTCCAGCCGAAACCTCCCACGCAATCTTCCCGTCAGCCGTTGGGCTATCGTGGCGCAAAAGCTAGTGCGCTCAACTTTAGACACAACAGCCTGGTCAAGTAATATCCTAATCTCAGAATGCTCTGGTCAACTAGAGCTGAAAGGCGATCAGAAGGCACCTCCGAAAGGGCAAAGAGGTCAAGGACAAACAGACGGCTGATCAAGTCTCGTCCTGATTAACGATGAAGGCAACGAGCCAAACTCAGAACATACTTCCCTTGCCTGGCGTGATCGAACAGCCCCATATGAATGAGCGACATGACAGCGTACTGGTCTCAAGTTTGCTAGTCGGCAAACGAGTCCGGTGTGAAATGAGATATTTAGCCAACACCGTCACCAGACATGGCAAGCCCTCGCGGCTGGCCCCAGAGCAGAGCATAAATGGATCACTCGAACATATCTCCGCCCCCTCTTCCAAGGGTCTTAGCTACACGTAGCTCGCTAGGTTCCACAAACAGTCCCGCACTTGCCAGGTAGTTGGGTCCAGATGTGATGAACGCTTGTTGGGCTTTTGAGCAAGGACGTCGAGTTGAGCCTCTCAGCCGAAAGTAGACCCCCCGTCGTCTTCCAATCAACCGGACCCCAGACCCCAGATCTTAATCTCCTTCCGACACTTGTGCGGAGGACCTGTGGCGGGGTCTGCTCGGTCGAACGACCCAGATGAGAACCTCTGCGAACTGGTTCACAACGGTATTTTCCGCGTATTCCAGAGATCGGCATACCGAGCGACAAGCTCGGCGATTCAATGAATGGGGTGCGCTGATAAGAGGTCCAGGAGCCCCAGGCAAACGTGACAGAATCGTGCGGTTCCATTTGCCTGGAACTCTGATCGACCTTCAAAGACCAAGGATGGACTTTGTATAGGAACGTTTCGTCTGACACGGCCCGGCATCAAGCTGACTCGCTGTTCAAGCTCGAGTTTGCTGGGACGATTTCGTGATAGCAACGGCGGGGGAGAGTGGTCACAAGCCCCTCAGGATTGCTAGACGATGACTGGTATATGTTGTCGACGTGAGGAATCGCACGTGGAGTTCTGTGGACCAGAGGCATGCGCGCGACGTATGGCCACATCACAAAACGCCGGTCCCGTCGACGTCGGCAAACAGTGCATGTAACCAGAGAGCTTTTCTCACAAGTCCCATATTTTGGGCCTGTCAGTGCGCCTATGTCGTTGGTTATGATCAAGTTTGTTTCGACGATCCAACGGATCTGGATCATACTGCAATAGCATGCCATAGCCGCAACACAATGTGGCAGTGCTGACACAACTGGCATTGTCTATTGTCGCGAGTCATCATTCGGTCCGAACAAGAATGCGTGCGTTCAACATCTCTCGTGGTCACATCTCGACTGTAACGGCGTCGGGAGACTGCCCAAGAAAAAAAAATCAACTACAAGGCGCGAATTAGACGCCGAACATGCATCTGCGAGGAGGCAGTCAGGTAGACTTATGTAAGAGCCGTGTCCACGGGTAGACCCGAGATCCATCCTGGGTCTGACGTGAACAAGGTGCCGGTTCCGATATCCGGGGCGTTTGACATCGGTCAAATCTCGGGCGGACGGTGTGGTGCAGCTATGGGTGCACATAAAGAGCACAGGTTGTGCTCTGATGTTATTTTCGGGGCAGCGAGGGGTTCCGCATCTTTCCCGGGTTTCCCGCCGCTGCCACTCGCTGCAAGATTGTTCCACCTTGGGCACGAATTTGGGATTGTATGGAGAGGAGCCGTGAGAATGTAGACTAGTCGAACGAGTATCAAGTGCGTTAGTCACGCACAGTGAAGAGTCGGATGCAGCCCGGAGACGAAGTTAGTCACTCAGCTTTCGAACTTACGCGTCCATAGCCCATGAAGCCTCGTGATGGCATTTGTCACACAAGGCAACGACGCAACATCAATCTCTGTCGTGTTCTCTCTTCGCCAAACACTGCCTAATGGAGACGCGCCCTACAAGGGGGGAAACAGGCCCACCAAAGCACGCGACAAGATGGGCGCCCGTGCCCGGTGACGGCGGCATGACCGTTACAGGCGCTTCACCTGGGCCCCGGAGGCCCCATATGGTCAGCAACCAGGCAACGTGGCCAAGAAGCGAGTTGCTCACAGATCGGTCACTGAGCAGCACGCGCTGCCGTACTGCGGGCCAGAGCCCACCCGAGTACCGCCAGATCGCCGTCACTCGGAGGCTGTCCGTTAGCATGTGTTAGGCTCTCATGCACCATCTCTGCATGTGCAGCAGATGTGGAAGAGAATTGGAACGCGAACAACGATTGTTAGGTGAGGTTAGTAGGCAGTGAAAAGTATTAAGGGTGGCACAGTACCGCTGGCGGCAGCAATGTCCAACGGGAGATCCATAACGCGAGCTCAGGAGCCTTAACGGCTACGGAGATTGGTCGACTGATGAAGATTAACACAGTGCTAGAAGTACGATGTGGGCTTCCAGCCGACGATCTCCAGCGCGGACTCATTCATGGTGCCTAGTTCGTTGAATCGCGGGCATGCCGCCGCAGCAACAACTGTCTAAGGTCTGATAAAACCGTAGCTAGCCAGTGTCCACAGCGCCGAGGGAAAAATAGGATAGCGCCAGGGGGCTTTTGTTGCCATGCAACACGATTGTTGGGGCTGTAGCTTCAGAGTGTGGCCGATATGTTCTGTCTTCCCGCTCCTCACAGGCACGACTCGATGCTGCCAAGAGGGTAAAGATGGGTACTTTTTTTGCCGTGGATAACCAGTCATGATCGCTGACACCGTGTTCTGCGCAGCCTCACCCGATCGAGCAATGCAGCTTCTTCTTTGGTGTCCATTAAGGCAGTTTCTCTCATGGGCAATGTCGTTCAAAACACACGATATCGAATCGCATGCAAGTTTGGCATTCCTTGCCAGAACCATTGGAAATATTTCCTGATCTTGAGTTCGTGTGCTATGGTAGCAAAGATGAAGACAAGGTATGGGGGTGGGGTTTGTCAGAGGCTCACAGGCCCACTTGCTCATCGAGTGTGTTCCGTGACCTGTGCCAGTTGTGGCACCTGTGCGCGGTGACTGTCCATTTTTGCTTTTCTGCGTTTCAGCGGCCAGTGGGAACCCAGAGTGAAGGCCAAGTACGGCGAAAAGGGGGACTGCAAAGTTTTGTTTGGCCGACACGACTCCATGAAGAGAGACCCCATCTGACACGGGGATAAGCAAACGGTGCCGATCATGACTAGAAATGGTAGACTGTGGGGGCCTTTTCTCGGTCTCTCAAACAGGTCCCGAGGCCAACAATGCTCTGCTGCTCTGGCACATTACACAGCACCACAGCGCAGGCGTTGGGGTTGGGGTTGTGAGGCTTGCTCTCGCTTGGTTGTTTCGGTCGCCTTGCAACGATGCTGGCGATGTTGATACCCGGTCGTGATCTCAACATCGAAGTCACTCTCTTGATGCCGGGGTGAAACGAACAAAGGGGTCGAAGCACACCCTGCTCTTCAATACAGCTCGATAGTCACGTGGCTACCCCATCCGTGTGCGGTCGTCGGCTGCATGAATGAGGTGATGTCATCCATGCTCCCAGATTGGGTTGGAGGCGGTTGGGCGGGCAAACTCTAATTGCACGACCTTCTGACCTCTTGACTCGCTGAGAAGGACGGAGGGGCGGGAGCCAACGAGCAGTGTGTGTCTGCGCAGCCGGGATGTTGGGGTGGTGCCCGGTTTTGTAGGTCCCATTGAATTCTCGGACATGGAGTCGTCGATTGCAATTTAGACTTTTGTTGTGGAAGCTTGTCCAAGGGCATCCCAGCCTGCCCAGCATCGCGCAAGCTGGCAAGAACAGGACATTGTTGCTTGCTTGGTTGCAGAATCAAGATGGATCAATTTCGATGTCAAGGCCAAGGCACACGCGAGACGAGGCGAGGCGAGGCGAGGCGTGACGCATGTTGCGGCGATATGGGGGGGGCCTGGTCTATGCAACAGGAGCTGGTGATCGCCGGCGGTGGTGCTCTGCGATTTGGCGGCTTCGGCGCACGTTGATTGTGATAGCTGTGGACAGCGACGGGTAAGGACGGACTCGGTAATCTGATTTGATTCTTCCGGGTGAGGATGTGCAACTGCGTCGGGACAATCGACCAGGGACGAGATGGCGGAGAACCAACCAGGTCCGTGGCCAGGGACCCGAGGGGGAGGAGGCCCTGGAGATGGTGAAAGATACTGCCAATGGGGACGGCGAGGACAGTACAGACCCGTTGTATAGCACCGGCTGATAATGCCATGCTGTCTGGGAAAGTGGTGTGCACGGGTGACGGTGAGGGCGTCACGGGCGTCGATCGCTCAATCAACCAGTCAATCAATAATCAATCAATCAAGCTCGGATCCTGCGTGTCTGACTGCGGGAAACGACCGCTCATTTCTGCAGCTGCCCCATACAAACTACGCACCGCCTGCAGTAGTCAGGGTACCTGGGTAGGTATTTTGGGTCCGGTCCGCATCTCCTCCAGTACGGTACATTAAGACAGCCCCAGAGGCCATTCGTGGTTTGCAGTTCGTGGTTCATGGTTCGTTGGCTCGTGGCTCGTAGCTCGTATAGGCTGGCGCGTTGTTGAAGGGCTCTGGGCTTCATTCCACGAGAACATGTGTTGTGTCGTGTCGTGGAATCCCGGGCAAATAACGATGTGCAGCGTGGCCAGGGCTTTGGGCAATGAGCCGACGGTGAACGAAAAGCAGAGCATAGGAGAGCCATGTGCCACAGTCAGCCAGTGTGTACTCACTTGACTGGGTGAGGGGATCCCGTCGGTGTCTAGCTGCCAATTAAGAGCTGGCAGGCCTGGCAGGCCGCCCCAAACAAATTGAGATCGTCTACGGAGCCGACTGAAATTGACGTGTTTGAGAGTGTGTCGAGCCCTGGCGAGCGTGCAGAACTGGCAGACAGGGCAGACTGACTGCTGACTGGGCAGGCCTGCCAGGGACTGAGCAGAGCTCGACCCAAATGGGTGAGGAGACCTGGGAGAGTACCCACTCTCATACAGAGTCGAGACTAGCCTCATGGGGCTACCTCCCCTCTGTCAAAAAAAAAAGCCACGCAAAAGCCAGGGTCTGCCCAGGTAGTCCCCTCAGTTCCCTCCGGTGTCCCCTACCCTGAAGTACCCTGCGAGCCTGCCCACCCTTTCCTACCTTCCCTTTCTGAGACTGCTGCCCTGCAAGAACAGGTAAGGTCAGGTGAGGGCAATGACACGCCTTCCCTGTCGCATCGTGGGTTGAGCAGGCTGGGCAAGGGCAGGGGGGCAGGGCAGCCCAAGCAGGACAAGGCAAGAAGGAGGGGACGAGCCGGAAAGCTGGGTTCTGCTGGGTTGCTGCTGGGCTCCTGCTGGGCTCCTGCTGGGCTCCTGCTGGGCTCTTGCTGGATGTGTGTGTGTGCTTTTGGGTGCAGGTGCGTGTGTGCAGGTGTGCTTTCCGTATGCAGGACAGGCAGGATGGCAGGACAGGCCTCTGCAAAACCTGAAACACCCTGATCTTCTGCTTCCCGCACCCATCGTCATCATCGTCGCCGCCGTCACATCTGAGAAGATGAGAAGAAACAGCCACCGAATTGCATGCATTGCAGGAACCAGTCTTCCAGTGCTGACCCTGTCAAGCTGGCTTGTTTCTGGCAGCCTGACCCTCCGAAACAGCCAACAGCCCAAACTGCTTGTGCATGAACAACACGAAAGAGCTCTCTGCGCCCCATTCGCACTCTGCGTGTGCCTGGCGTGTCATCGTCGTCGTTACCCAGAAAAAAAAATCGGGAGTTGTCCACAGCAGAAGCAACGGGTCATCTTCCTTTCGCCAATTGCAGGCGGACAGTAGCTATGTACATGTATCATCCAGGAGGAGCTCCTCGAAATAGGCGCTGTGTCCCTCCTCTCTCTCTCCTCTCATCGAGTGATCGGCAACGGCAGACCCAGTGCCGGCCACTCCCAAACGGTTGCTGTCTGCTCGCTTGTCGACGTTCCCACCGGTGATCCCAAGAAAAGAAGAGAACAAAGCCAAAGGATTTTCGATTCGATGCTCATCCATGCATCTGGTGATGAGCGCCTCAGAGCAGCCTCAACCCACCCCCCACTTTGTAGTGTATAGTATACCTATAGGCAGGCAGCTGGCTGGCAGGATAGTCGCATCCATCGTCAAGTCAGGTCAAGCTGCCAGGTTGCTTGTTGATGCCCCCGAGCTTGTCTCTTGACTCTCGACGCTCCCTAGCTGGGGACTCCCTGCCTCGAGCCCTGCTGCGAGTGCCGTTTGAATGCTCAGCAGACGTCGACGATCATTGTTGTAGGGCCCCGGAGAAATCACAGCAAATCTTGTCTTGCCCGCTTGCCTGCCTTGCCTGCTTCTGGAGGAATCCACCCGCTTTTGGCGGTGACCAGCCGAGGACAGGAAGGAGAAGCGATCGACTGGCAATCCTTCTCCCGGCGTGGACAGAGTAGGGTGGTGCAAATAGGGAGCTGCGTGCCTCCCTGCGCCCGTCATGATGTGACGTCTCTTCCCGCTGAGAACGGCATTGGCATTGGGCAGCGCCTGGGAGGGACCAGAAGAAGGGGGTACTGCGTCAAGTATCTGCATGCCGAGGTACTTGCGGTACCTGGGATGCCTGTATTTCGCCCAATCAATCTTGGGAGGATGAGGTAAAAAAAGGGTCCATGTCTTGATGTGACCTGACTTGGACCGCACTGTGCCCCTCAACGGTGAGGCAGCTCTGTCGGTCAGTGCAGCGCTACTTCAGCCTCCATTAGCACAGTGAGGCTATCACCGTGCAGCGTCAGAGGGGCCCAGGGTCGGTCCCAGGGCCTAGCACCTGGGTATCTGGACCCACTGGGTACATCTGGTACCTTTGCCTCTCAACTCCTCCCCCCCTTCCCTTCCAAAAAGCTGGTGCAGCCCTCACAGCTTTTTTCCTCGCTCGCTCGCTCGCAAGTAACGCACGCACGCAAGCAAGCACAGGACGTCAACTTTGGGTTCCCAGGCTTCTTTTTTTGCTTGTCTGCTGCTCTGCTGCTCCTCTGCTCCCTGGTCCATTTGAGCCTCTTTTCTCGAACCCTCCCCCGTCGCCTGTTACAGTGCAGTGCAGTGCAGCGCCGTGCATCCTAACCCGTCCACGATCCATACGCCCACTTCTACTCTCCCTCCCACCCCACTCACGACTCCTCTTTTCTTCCAACGAAGATTCCTTCCCTTCGCTGCCGTCCTGCCGTCGTGGCCCTGACCAACTTTTCCCGATTCTTTTCTTTTCGCTTCAGCCCTCCAGCCCTCTCTCTCTCCGCCGGCGCCCACCTGTGTCTCGCGGTACCTTTTCCCCCTTGTCACAGCCACGGATCCCTCTCTTTCTCTCGGCCATCGGTGGCAAAACATCTGTCCAAGATCTTGTAACAGTGACGGTCGTTCCTGGAATTCGGCATAACAAAATACACTTGGCCACCGACGAGGCTGCAACTGCATATGGTCGAAGTCGCCGCACTACACGATTCCTGATCCGACCAATGGTCTCCACTCCACCACCCAGTATTTGCCAAACACCCGAGGCCACGACTCACGACACGACACAAAGCAACCCCCATCCCTCCTCCCCGACCTTCGACTCTCTGCCGCAACCACGGGCACCCAACAACAGCAGCAGCAGCCACGACACCGGCAATAACACCATCGAGATAGGCATCCCACAGCAGTCCGATCCTACCATCTCACCAACCACAATGGAGGACGCACCTTCACCGCAAGAGCAAGTCTACGCTCATCAGATGCCAGAGATGGCCCGCTCAGACTCTTCCTCGGCCTCCTCCGTCGACCAGAACAGTCCTCAGATCGTCGCTCCCGTCCCAGTCCGGCCACGCCTGCCCAGCCGGAAAAGCAGCGGTACTATCATTGTCCCTCGAGAATCAGCAGAAGCAGTTGAACCAACCGATGTCATGATAGAGCCCGGCGATGTGCGCGCCATGAGTCCACGGAGGACCAGCGAAGACCTTGAGGCACTGGGACGCGAGGCTCGGGACGAACTTCGAAGGTGAGCGGCTACATCACTACTTTGGCCGAGTCCAGCGGCCCTCTTACTTCATCCGTGTGGTAGGGTTGCTGACATGAGAGATGGTGAATAGGCACGCAAAGGCCCTTCAGGAATCGCTACTCATGATATTTAACCGCATTGAGGCTGTCAAGGAGGAACACGACAAGCTCGACAGCAACAACAAGTTCCTGCAAAAATACATTGGCGATCTAATGAGCACGAGCAAAATCACGGCGACATCGTCGAGCAGAGTCAAGAAGTGAACGCGTGCTGCATCGACTCCGAGGGTGTGCAGGTGGATGAGCATCGATATTGATGCTGATGGCTGATGGCTGATGGCAGTCGCTCAGAAAAAAATTAATAGGGGCAGATGTGACTGTGGGGCGGTGTACTGGTGGGCCTCGACAGCAGGCAGCCGATCGTGCTCATCGACGTCATGGAAAGGATGAGAGCTTCTTGCTGAGGCCGGCCGGTGACATGCCACAGGAGAAACTGTTACACGACGCCCTCGTGGCACCGGAGATCTCGACAGCCGCAGCCAAGTCGCGCAGGGGATTGGACGTCATCTGGGGTTATGATCGCCGGCCGGTCAGCATGGCGTTGTTGAGGGCGAGACGGAAAAGGGGCTTGGCCCTTATTTTGGGTTTTCAGACGGCGGAGCGCAAGGCTACTACTACCGACAACTCTCCTACTACCTTTTCTTCTTTTTGATTCATGCACAACACGCAAACAGACGCGCACACACAAACACACAACACAAGACCGACGACATGGGGAGCTCTTTGATCAGAGGAGGGGGGCATGCAACGCCCAATTTTTTAGTTTGGTTCATTTTGCGGAGGGTCGACACATCACACATCATACCCGTTTTCTTTGGTGGTGGCGGCGCACCGAAGAAAATTCCTTATACCATACCACATCAATACCAAGGATCTTCGTCCGCTGTTGTACATGCCGTCCTGAGCAACAACTGACCTCAGGACATCAACACAACAACCTCGTCAACGGACATTTGCAATTCCTGCATACAGCCATGGGGTTTTTATATTTCATCACGGGCATTCAAGAGACTGGGACTGGGGTAGCGTCATGTCCACACACACAGGCGTCGGCGTTTTGTCATGCATACCTTGCTTTTTACTGGTCTTATTCTCTGAGTGATGGCACTTTGTATATTTTACATAGTTGTTCTTTTTTATAACGACTCATCAGGAGCATGGTGTTTTTGTGTGGAGGTAGCTTCACAACGGAGTCTCGATACCGGCGTCCTCGAAAAAGGGGAGGCCCCAACTGTCTTAAAATTGACTACATAGGGTTTGCATGTGTCTATTGTAGTGTCTTAGTTTCTCCTCAGCCCTTTTCGCAAAACCGCGTTAGGCTGGGCTGAGCTCGTACACCCTCGTAGCAGGGCGTCGACAATTAAGACCCTGGCATATGCGTCTACTGTCCCATATTGTGACTACACGTGTGCCCATTATTTCTGTGAATTTCCCCCTGCAGGTCGGCAGCCGTGACCAGCAGCTTTGCCCACCACCACCCGTCTTACCCGCGCAACTGCGCAGGGACTGGGCAGCCACCCACAAGCAGCTGCAGGGGGCATGCAGCTAAGGTGAGGTGAGGTGAGAAATGAGGACCATCAGACCGTACCAACGTCTCTCGCGGTAGATGCTTCGCCCGCCGATCTCTCCAGACGCCGCTGACGTCACACTGCGTTCCGGCGCCAACGTACCATGCCACGGAAATCCGGGGTTTGAACTGCAGGATCTGAATTGTTTGGACGAAGGAGGATGCTCCCTCCTCATGTACATCTATATATGTATATAGGGGTTGGGCACGGAAGACGCACCGCCCGACAACCCTGCTCTGCTTGCTCTCCCTTCCGCCTACAGCACTCTGAGTTTCGGCTGTGTCTTGTCCCTGTTGACCATTTTGTGTGCTTTGGAGGGTGACAGGACCATCCGACGTGGTGTTGAGCCAGCTGTTGTTACACCGATAGGCAGGCTGGCAGACGGGAACAGGAATGAGCTTGTCCCTGTCGAGGTTACCGTAACAGCCCGTGGAGCGCATGATGCTACACCTCACGTGCTGCTCGCTCGCCGTCGCCTCCCTCGGTCGGATTCCATAGATACTCGCCACCCTACGATCTCAGCCCTTGTAGTCTACTTCCTGCTCAACAACTTGGAGATCTTCGCCCCCTCTCATTCCACTACTCAGTACACACAGTCTATCAAGTAATTCCAGGACAGCAAAGCAATGCAATGCAGGGCAAGGCAAGGAGGAAGGGTTGAAGAATACTCCGGACCGGATCCCCATCAGACGTCATCGACACTCTAAGCATCCAAGCAAAAGGAATGAAGGCGCAGGGATGGGAAAGCGGCTCAGCGACTCGACTGACGGGACTGACAAAGAAAAACAAGGAGATACCCATCTTACTGTACGTACAGTACACCCAGTAGACGTTCTTGCGGGTACGGGGTCCATCCTGCAGCTACAACTAGCCAACGCCTGCGCCTCCTGGGAAAACGGGGTTGAATGAGGGTCTGCTGCCCGGGATCAGGGTTGCTGTCAAGCGGTCCTGCCCTTGCCTGTCTGCCTGTCAGCACTCTTCGTCTGCCGTGCTGGCTTTGCTCTTCCTGGCCTAGCAGGGAAAAGAAGACATCGGCATACTGTAGGGCCCCCAACCCAAGGGTCCAGGTGGGAGGATTTATGTGGGGTGTTGAGGACGTGGGCGTGGGGTGATACAGACGTAGTCTTACATTTGCGGCCGCGTCTATGGTACAGCTGCTGTAGACTACTCATCCATGCAGAGAGAAAAGTAGGATGTAAAAAACAGAGAGCTGCAGACCCTGAAAACCGTTTCTGCTCTTGACCTGTCATTGACCTTGGCCGTCTCCCCTTCCCCCGCCTCTTCAATCCTGATGGTGATGGTGCCGAGTCCGAGGGACGGAGAGGGTTGTTTCTTCGGTCCCTGCATGAGACGTCATTCAGCCAAGTTCTGTTATGGCCGGTATTCCCAGCTGGTATTTTCTCCTACCCTCTCTCCCTCTGCGACTAGCCTAGTATAGTCTGCAGACATCGTCGTGACATGTGATGCTACGCCCGGGCAGGCTCAGCTCGACAAACAATGACCGTGTCCCGTTTATCCACTCACGACCCTGACCTCGCCCTCGCCCACGCCGCTCGCCTCAGACCATCACGACGCACGCTCACTACACGCCCATCCGCAGTGAGGAAAGCCCACGTTCTCTCTCGCACGTAACACACGTGTCTATGGCGCCTGGAGCAACAGCAGCCGTTGGTACGCCACGCCCGGCGCCCCGGGTGGGCATGGGGGCTGCTGCCCACTACGAAGCACGCACCGTTCCCTCGTGTTACACGGCCGTGCTGACCCGCCCCGGCTAAACGAGCACATGATGCCATGCCCCCCCGAATAGCGATCCGTTGTCCAAGGGCCCGCCACCGCAAGCTTGTCACCTGTCAGCTAACCTCGCTGTGGCTTGGGCTCACTGCTAACGCGGGCCGGCTCACCCGCGCGGAGGCGGACGGCGTCGTTGTGTACACACACACACACACACGCACGCACACACACACGTGGGCGCGCTGGTGTGGTTGTCAGCTAGCTCGCTGGCTGTTCCTGACAGCGCGGTTGGGCGGCGGGTGGGGCGCTTGTCGGCGGCTTGAGTGTCAAAGGCTCCCATTGAAGGCAGCGGTAGAGCGCCTCGCGGCAGCGCTTGGTGCTCACGTCACCCTGCTATCCTTGGCCTGAACTTGGGCTTTGATGTGGTCTCGGTCGGATCAGCTGCTATACTGAGCACTTGATGCCCAAGGATACTTGACCGCCACCCAGTTCCTCCCCTCCCCTCCCCCTTCTGCATCATGGCATGCCGTCGTCCGTGCCAGTATGTGTCTGCTGCGACGCTATCCCTCAGGCGATCAGTTCCAGCATGGTTGCGGGTGCCAGCTTTGTGTCAGGGGCATCAGGTCCATAATGACAGCTTCTTGCACCCCATGGCCGGCCCGTCGACCCTCATTGGTCCCGCGGCTGTGTCTGATCTCACGTCCCCGGGGATCACCTGATCGCTTGCTCATTCTGGCCCGACGGTGACGTTCGCTTCTTGCCCAGGCACGCTTTCCGTCATTGTCTCACCGACTTCAGCATACCAAGCCGAAGCTTTGAGGATCCCGTCTACGAGTGGAGCAGGCTCATAGGGAGGGAAAAGGGATGGAAACTGTGCAGAGCTGCGTCAGGTCCTTGTCGAATTGAAGCTGCGTGCCTGGGTATCACGTGCTTCAACTGCGTAAATCGACACTTCATACCAACGGTCTGGGTTACCAGTCGTAATGCATACATGACTTGGACGTCGTGAGATCTTTCTTTTCTTCTGATATTTGATCGCTCTTGTTCCTGTCGTTCTCGCAGTGCGGCTAGCAGAATAGAGACGGGGCTGATTCTCTTAAACGTAGATGTATGGTGAAATAGCTAGATAGTGTATAAGACACTGGTAGTAGGTATAGGTGAAGAGAAACTAAAATATGCCGACGCTGATGTTCTTCGAGAGCACTCAGCTTCGACGAACTTGTGCGCAGGGTCATGCCGTCCTCTTATCATCCCTGCAAGACAGTATCCTCCTAAAAATCCGGAATCGCGGGATTTCACCTTACACAACGTTGTAGATGGGCTTAGAGACAAGAAATTAATGTAGTGGATTCAACTTGTCAGGTCTGGTGCCAGACACCAACAGACGTGGCCACGGTTCTCTTCCTCGGCATCTGCTGCAGAATCGCAAGAATTTCTTTGCGGCCTTGTCTTGGGTCGTTAGTTTCGCTGTTGTCACTTTATTAGTCTAACAACCGCATCACCACATAATCTCTGTTCAGTCGTAGCAACACCAAGGAGGCTTAATCGCTGCGGAGGTAGGCTCCTTTCAGAAGGAGCTGGGCACTATTAACGGTCAAGATTGAAATAATTGTGCGCTCATCTGGATATCGGTGAACAAAAGAATCCTGCCCACCGTCTCCTATGTAAGTCAATTATCTCTCTGCCCCCTGACTAGCGGTAATCACAAATATAGTCCCCTTTCCATGCGGAAACCTCATCTTCTGGCGGAGACTTCAATTTTCGAGCTGGACAGAAACACACTGCACGATGAAGAGAGCTTGTATTATTTGCCAGAAGGTGATACGCTGCTGAGGCAGACTACGGGCGGAACAGCACGAGAAACGCACACAATATTCTGGACTGGGAAAAAAGGCTTTCCAAAGACGCGTTGCTACCGATGTATCCAGTGGACCCCTTTTCGCACCCTAGGCAATCGCTTGGTAAATGAGAGAGAACTCAGCCCTGTTGCAACTTCACACGCGCCGAAACGGCGCCGTGAGGAACAAGAAGAGCTCTACCTGGATCATCCAATGCATCAGATCTGTTGTTGGTTGCTAGCGACTGGACTAGACTTGTCGGGACACCACCACAACATGGAAAGAAATGGCTGAAGGCAGAATCCACCCCGGCTGAATCGTCATTTTCTGCAGTTGGTTTTCGGCCAGAAAACCCACTGGTACTGTAACATTCCTTCCACTTGTCGTTCCGTCAGGCCATCAAGCTCCACAATCAGCGCTGCCATATATATGACAATGGAACGGCAACTGTGCTAGAAACGATGTCTGAATATCCACAGTGCAGGTGGGCACTAGCATGCGACGTGACAAGACGAGCTCGAACCACAGCTAGCGTATTTGTAATGCAAAATGCTTCACTTGTCGATGCAGCTACAGCTATTTCCTCTGGGCATGGTGTCATTTAACTCACATACGATTCTGCTTTACCCTACGTTCACTACAGCCTCGCGCATGGTAATCGAGTGTTTAGATAACCGGCTGAGACTTTGATTTGAATTCCTGAAGTATAGCCGCTCCGCCCTATGCCCGCAAGTTGATTTAAGGATCTGCGATCTGTAGCTTGAAACACAGCTTCACCAGTTGCATGACCTTCATAGGTCTGGAACCACAGCACGTTGGTGCATCGTTGCATTGGTACGCTGCGTGTGATGGAAATTTCACCAGCGCTATGCACGCCCCACACGTTCCTGAGATCGTGCCGGAATATTGTAGCACAGCTCGGCCAAGTCCCCAGACGTGCATGTCCCAATAAGGCCACGAATGATCTTATATTACTTGCCATTGACAAATGTAACACTGAAACGGCGAACAGCTCAAAATAAGCTCCTAGGGATGACCTGAGTAGTGGATGGCCCTCATTAGCCCTGTTTCTTTGCATTCTCAGATGCAGTTGGTTCGCCAGAGCCATTAGGGTGTCTGTTGGCACCAACTGGCCAAACTCAGTCAATAGGTGGATACCTTTGCGGTTGGAGATTTCCAACTACTCTACAACTTGTTCCTCACGTTTTCAGCTCTCATACTCTTCACCTGCTGTAATTGTAGCAAGTAGTTCCTTTTCTTTCTTTTTCATGCTTGTCGCCAGTATCGGCGCATACAACTAAGCTTCAGATGTATCTGGAGCTTGTGTTCTAGGATTTCTTTCCACCACCGCAGACCCTGAGCTGTTCTTTCCTTGTTTTCTCCTGTACAGTGGCCTTCTTCCATGCTGTTCTGGCCTGCATTCGGGACGTTGGCATGGACTCTTTACTGTAGTTTCTGTCTCCTTCGAAATTATCTGGCGGCTCGCAAGATTGGTGTGCCTTTGCGCGTCATTCCTATCGACCATGTGAATCCCATCTGGACGCTGGTTGACAAAAAGGTCCTTACCCTTGTCAAAAAGCTTCCTGGTATCTTGGGTAACAACAGCTTCACCCGGTACAATTTCCGTACATGGAGATGCACGATCGTTGTCGTTCGCACCACGAGACGGGCGATATCTTCATGATGGGGACGCCTGGCAGGAATTGGCTCTACATAGCAAGCCCCGACGCTTTGATGGATATGTTTCGACGGCGCTCCGATTTTCCGCAATGCATTGAGCTCACTGAGATGATCAATGTCTTTGGTACCAACTTGGGCACTGTAGGTAGAGAGACCAGTGGCGCTTGGCAGCCTGGATGTCGAGCCAATGGTAGTGTCACCCACTAACATATATCCATAGGTCGAAGGCCAGCAATGGAAGACCCAACGCAAGATGATAGCTACTTGTTTCAATGAGAAGAACTATGAGATCGTCTGGTCTGAGAGTCTCTCTCTAGCTCGCGACATGCTCAAGTACTGGGTCAAAAAACCTTCAATCAACAGTTCTGCCGACGATCTTCGCACTCTTTCTCTGCATGTTCTTGCCGGAGCTGGGTTCGGAAAGTCTTTTGAGTTTGAAGGGCACGACGAAAGGAGTAGCACCAGTCTCTCTGGCGACTATAAGACTTCCCTCCGTGCGTGTATATTTTGTGCTGCTATGCTACCCAGCTCATGGATCTTGCCTGATCCACCGATGAGACGCAGGAATCAGTCACTGATACGTCACAGAAATGATCTTGGAGAATTGCATTCTTATAATGGCCTTGGGGCCGAAGTCTCTATCTAAGGCTCGGCCTTGGCTTCCAAAGTCTTGGAAGCTCAGGAGACTTGCCGATAGATGCGCTTACTTTCAACGGTACATGACTGAGCTCTACGAAGATGAGAAAGTCCAAGCCCGCCTGCAGACAGACTCCAGCGCCTCGAAGACGCTGATGAGCTCGCTCGTCCGCGCCTCGCAAGACGAGGCAAAGAACGGGGCTGGCCTGACAGAGAGCGAGATTTACGGTAACATGTTCATGCTCAACTTTGCCGGGCATGACACCACAGCACACACCTTCACGTTCGCCATCCACTTCTTGGCAGCGAACCCAGCCGTACAAGACTGGGTCTCCGAGGAGGTGCGTAGTATCCTGTGCGACAACCAGGCCGAGTGGGACTATGCCACTGACTTTCCTCGCCTCAAACGCTGTTTCGCTGTCTTGCTCGAGACACTTCGTCTTTACACGCCGGTCCCTGTGGCCAAATGGACAGCCAAGGGGACGGCATCGCTAGAGACTAACGGAAAGACATTCATTGTACCAGCAAACACTATGGTTATTCCCAGCTACGCGACCGTTCATACTGAGCCTAAGTACTGGGGCACCGACTCGCTCACGTGGCGACCGTCGCGCTGGATCCAGGCAGCCGGCGCGCCTGGCAAGGAAGAGCTCATCACCCCCCAGAAAGGCACTTTCTTGGGATGGTCGGAGGGTGCGCATGACTGTCCTGCCAGGAAGTTCTCACAGGTCGAGTTCGTGGCTGCTGTGGCGACTTTGCTTCGGGACTGGCGAGTCGATCCAGTACCGCTAGATGGGGGGGAAAGCCTAGAGAGTGCGCGGAACAGGGTGTTGGACCTGATCAAGAACGATTCTGGACCTGTGCTACTGCTGCAGATGCTACACCCCGAGCGTGCATCACTGACCTGGACGAAGAGGTGACTAACCACACGGGTGAAGCACCACAGTGATTCCTTGGGCCACGGTATTATAGTCTTCCCCTGGGTCAGTAGCATAAGTAGTATCAATGACAATTTGCACATAAATATACGTAGCAACAAATACATTGCTGAAAACACAATAGCATCAGAGCCACGGAAAGGAAGCAGCTGATGAGGTCGTAGGCGATTTCTAGGGGCCAGGGTGGACAGAATTTGAGAAGTGACATGCTTGAGGGTAGGCCTAGATGCAGAAGCTAGAGAGCATGTTAGGAGGCGGTGTGATTGACGTGCTCGTATATGCATTTCTCATTATAGAAGCCTGTTGACCAAGGTGAAGAATTTTATCAAACTGCTGATGTCGTCGCAGGATGGGGTCCTGGAATGAGAATGCCGTTTGTGAGATGCCGAGTGTGCATCCGTCTCATCCGGACTCGGCCGAGATAATTCGGCCATCTAACTCGATTAGGCACTATACGTGCCGATCAAATGTGAGGGTTTGGAGCAACTTGGCAGATCTCACACCGCGCCAAAGGCCATTAGAGGATATACCATCAGTCGATCAAGATAGAATCAATGAATACGAGTGGCCAAATGTCGGCAAGATCCTTTGACATGTGCCTAGAGAGGGGCTATCAAAAAGTCCCTTCAGCTAAAGGAAGCCGGAAGTGCTTATATTGAGGGTGGGTCAGGATTTCTCGGCGATGCATCATTGATTGGCCGGGCGTCCCTGAGCTTTCCAAAGGGACTTTTGCATAGCGCCGGTGTCTCCTCTTCCTTTCGTCCCACGCGAAGTTCAACGGCTCCTGATCTTTTGTTTCCCTTTGCTTCGCGTTCCCAATGTGGAAACCTGGCTGCATATTGACACACGGAAACATCCCCCTAATAGATGAACCAACAAGTAGCATCCACATTTTGAGTGTCGATCCTAGATATGCAGTGTGAATTCTCCATCCAGTGCTGAGTCCTGCGCCGCTGCTGCAGCTCGGCATGAAGAAAAAGGCCAACACTTCCACTGCAACATCACTTCAACCCAGCATCGACTAGCTTCACCTCAATTCGGTCTCTCTGTCTCTTGGAGCAGCCACTAAGGTTAAATGCATTACCGGGCCTTTTAAGTTGTTGCAGACCCAGACCCTGCAGTTCCCAGGCCGGATTCCATCCTGCTTCTCGACCTAAACCTCCTTCCACTCGTCAAGCTGTCCGGTGTGGTTACACAGAAATCCCGCCAGCCCTACCACACATTTTCCTTCCTTACAGCCTTCCTTCAATCCTCTCTTATGACTTCTCGACCAGTTTGGCCACACTCTTTTTATCATCCCTGAGCTCATATGACATGTGCATAAACTTTATCGAAACATTCCCAGCTTCCCGGCAGCCTTAACAACCAGAAGACTAAGATCTCAACGAGGATCGGCATCCTCGCGGGCATCAGGACACAAGGTGGCCTTAGAAGGTGATAGAAAATAATCTGCCGTAAAATATGGCACATCTCAACAGCCAAATGAGCCTTAGCGCCCTTGCCGGCCTGGCATTCATCGTCTTCACCGTAATCCGCTTCATTGCCGCTGGCCTGACAAACCCACGGCGTCACATCCCAGGACCATGGTGGGCCAAATTTAGCTCGGTGCCCATGAACTACCATCGATGGAAGGCAGACAAGTTCAAATGGGCGCACCCGCTGCACCAACGCTATGGATCAGTCATTCTCATCGCGCCCAATGAGATCTCCGTGGGCAGCCTGGAAGGCCTGCAGACCGTCCACAAGATGGGTACGGGATTCTTCAAGGGGGCCTTCCATGTCAACTTCCGTATCGGGCCCGAACCATCGCTCTTCGACATGACCGACGCTAAGGCCCACGCCGAGCGAAGAAGGCTGTTCAGCCGGGCGTTCACGACGCAGTCACTCCGCCAGAACTGGCAGCCTGAGGTGCGGAGGCTTGTCGAGAAAGGAGTGAGGAAGATCAAGGAAGATACTACCAATAACGGAACTGCTGACGTGGCGAAGTGGTGGAAGTACATGGCGAGCGATGTCGTCTCGAGGCTGAGCTTCGGGGAAGCGTTCAACATGCTGGACGGCTTGGACAAGGCGGATATGAGGTTCTGGGCAGCCCTGCGGACTCTGGGTCAGACCATCCTGCTGCGCCAGTACGTCTCGCCAGAGACCATCGACATGCTCGCGAGGGTGCTTCCCATAGCCTGGTTGAAGCGCGTGGCGGCTGCCAAACAGGCGATATATGACCAGGGAAGCATAGCCGTCGAGAACATGAGAAAGAAGGACAGCGACCGACGGAACATCTTCTACAAAATCGTTGAAGAGGCGGACCACAAGGAGGCTTCCGGGCTGACGGACGATGCTGTGCGGTCTGAAGCAGCGACCTTCATGATCGGAGGTGCGGAAACGACGAGCGCGACGTTGACGTACCTCACGTGGGCGATAGTCAGACGACCCGATCTGCAGAGGAGGATCGAGGAAGAGGTCGCCAGCCTGAAGCCGGACTTCACCGATGAAGACGTGGAAGGTCTACCACTATTGAACCGCGTCATCAACGAGAACTTGAGGCTTTACAACCCCACCGCAGGAGCGAACGCGCGAACTTGTCCCCCAGGAGGAGCAACGATCGATGGTGTTTACATCCCCGGAGGATCTGTCGTGTGTACCTTGGGCTATGCGGTCCACCGCATCCCGGAGATCTTCCCTAACGCTGACGAGTAAGTTGTTCCCAGTCTCCTCGAGCCCACTGCCTGCTGACGGTTCATTGACAGATTCGACGAGACCCGCTTCGAAAACCCCTCCGCCGAAGTCAAAGCCGCTTTCTCGACCTTTATGATTGGTTCTCGCGGGTGCATTGGTCGTCATCTCGCGATGATGGAGCTGCGACTAGCTGGTGCGCTGCTCTTCAGGGAGTGCAGAGGCTTGAAGCTGGCGCCGAGCTGCACAGACGATTCGATGCAGCAGGTCCAGTGGGTATTCACCGGACCGAAAGGAGGAAAATGCGAGATGACCTTGTAATTCCAGATGAGCTTGCCATGAAATGACAGGAAATTTGTATCTCAGCGAATGGCAGGATTCTGGGTGACTGTAGTCACGCTCATGCCCACTTTTTGACAACCAGCTTCGCGAATGCCAGCTCTATGTCCCAGACCGGAATGAAGTCGTTCAGCTTCCACCTGGATTCACCCGTCACGTCATCATATGGCTTAGTGGAGTTCATGAGGCACCTCAGCTCAGTGTACAAGTCGAGCAGCCTGCGGCTCGACGTTGGGTCGTCGTCACACATGCGGATCGTCTGGTCGGATGACCACCCTCGCACCTCCTCGAGCGCCATTGGTGGCTCAATTTCCTTATAAGCCCACTCCTTCGAGACAGCTTCATACTCTTTGTCCGACTTTTTGACCTTGTTGCCCTTCCCCAAGAGCTCATCCGGCCGCTGCGCCGGCCTCTCCCATTGTTTTCCGAAGACGATGGTGATCTTTTGCAATTGCAGGAGAAACCTCGGCAGTGTTCTGAACCACAAGCGCACCTTGGTCGGATTCTCCATGAGAGTTCTGGAGTCGAGCGCCAGGTGGCTTACATCGGTCAGAATGGTGTTGTACCTAAGATAATCGCGCACCTCAGGGCCTGGGTTTCGCTTCTGGAGCATGAGCAGATGCCTTCGGAACCAATGGAACTGAGACTTTGCCACGTAGACAGCATCTTGCCGCATGTACTGGCGCATGAGAAGGTTATCGAACTTATCCCCTTGGGAGTTCTCAGCCCACGTAAATGCGTATTTCTTGTCCTTTTCTGCGACGACCCTTGATTCCTGGCAAACGCTGAAGATGCTGGGCTGCGGGCATATAACGGGTGGATCATTTCCACAGTCATGAGCGTGGTGCCAAGGGAGGACCGCCGGTTCGCACCAGCTTGGCATCGAGAGCTCCCAGATCTCTAAGCGTAACTCGGCTGGAAGCGATTGAAACGATGGCATTGTGAACAGTTGGCAGAACACAATATACCCATGTGCATCTGGGCAGTGGTATTTGTTCTGGCTGAATGCGAGAGACCCTTGTGGCGATATCTTCAAAGCTGAGTTTAGATCTGAAAAATGATCCATCAACCGCTCAGATTTCGCCACACGGAAATTTGGTCTCCTTGCTTTGTTCAACTAGTGGTGTTACGTGAAAGCTCGCCGGATTAGGGTTGACGATCCTGACGCTTGTCCGTTTTGGAAGGCCCTTCCGCGACGGAACGAGAACACAACACATATAGAATGCAAAAAGACTCGCAGAACAGGAGCAGGATGTAGATTGGAACTTCTATTTGGGACTCAAGCTCGCAAAAAGCTCAGATCTTTCCAATTAACATCTAAATCTGGGTGCTGTTTTACGGTCCGAACAGCAACACCACATACCATCGAGTGTCATTGACTGAGCGCCTCACGAAGAGAAAAGTGCCTGAGTAGACTCGCGTATGCATCAATTGGTTCGAATTTGTTTCTGCACAGTAATATTCACTTACGGTAGAAATATCAGCTGCGGTGGTGTTGAAGGCTTTTACCAACTTTTCCTCGTTAGTAGACTGTTCTGGGTATACCGAACCAAACAAGATCATGGTTTCAACAGAGCAATCTCAGGGTATAGTGTCCCTTTTTCGGGCTGCATGTATTCGCGTGGCAGCATGCAGAATCATATGCCTTGAAACTTGCCATGGGGTTCAGGCATCATGAATGATCTATTCAGTATCTCTACGAGGATGCGTTCAACGGCGCGCATGAGCAAAGTTTGAACCCAGTGTATCCACGTCGTCAAGGTGCATAGAATGTCGTATATCCCACAGTCGGAATGAGCCTTGCAAATTACAAATCAAGCAACAGCGCAATCATAACGCCACCTCCATCGAACCTCCAGCCTGGCTGTCCAACGCAGGTGGCAGTCCTAAAGCTGATAAATGCGATCACGACACCAGACTCTTAGCAATTTGTCTTCTACTGAGATTTTGAAAGCACAGCTCCAGAAAAGAACCGAACAAGGAAGAAGTGTTGGGACGAACCACCAACCCCCCAACCTCGTTCCCGGCCAATCTCCCGGCCATGACTGTTCAATTCCCGTACGGCGATCCTGTTAGAAAGAAGCTCAGAGGCGAAGCTATCGGGAAGCGCGCGGTATTGGAACCAAATCATTAGACTTTGTAGGGCTTACCAGGCTCTCAACCCCATTATGTGTAGGCTGCGTACACCAATGACATTGAGTACCACCAGTTCGGCCGTCAATGCGGGTGACGCCGATCGGCAAACACTTGCTGAAACAGGTAGCTGTAACAGTGTCGTCTGATGTCGAGAGTCAGGAACAAGCCCGGAGACCTGCTAGCCGGAGCCAACAGCCGAAAGCTTTCATCCCTTATGGGCAGCCACCGACACCCGTCAGCCTCCGGAATACCTAATCGGAAGACTTGGAGAGTGCATAGTCGACAATTTCCCTCGGCTTATTGTGTTTTGACCGCGGGTTGCCCTTGATGGGAACTTTATTTGGGGAATTCACAGAGCTTGATTGTCACAGCTGCTGGTTTACAAGAAAATTGTGAGGGGGCAGTAATGATTCAGTAGTCGGCCTTCGCGTATTAGGCACCGGGTAAATTTCCCACAATTCTCTTTGATTCATTAAGATCTATCATAAGTATGGGAATATTTTCGAAAATCTCCAACGAGGTCGTCCAATCGTAATTTAGTACACCGCCTCCAGACATTGAGCCCCAGTGAGGTAGCACTCACTCAGCCAAATTTGGTGGCTTTACATCCTTTTCACACAGAAAAAGTACATAGGCAGCTCCCATTACTGCACCATGACGAAATCAACACAAGACTCATACGTCTGCTGAGCATTGGTTCCGAACCAGAACCACTGCAGCACACACTCGCCAGCAACGGCACACTTGGTCGCGGAGAGGTTCGCGGGCATGGTGACACTGAAGGCCGTGTTGTTGGCTGGCAGCTGAGCCAGGCTCTCATCGGCGTAGACGTCGAATGAGATGAGCGGTGCGCCGATGACCGTGTTCGTGGCGGTGTCGACGATACTCGTGTTCATGGGGCCGGCGTGGGGGATGGGAATGGCCGCCGTCATGTCGACGACCTGCCCCGGGGTGAACTGCTGGACTTGCTGCGCGTTGTCTTCGAAGACTGCACCTCTGCAGAGACCCAGATTGCCTGAAAAGAGGATTAGTACATCAGATTTTCTACTGGGCATTTCATGTCTCTACTTACACTCTGTTGATGCGGCTGTCACGTCCTCCAGGGGGATAGTAGGGTCCGAGTTGATAGTATCAACAGCGGTCTGTCCGCAAACAGCCGCCATAGCGGCACCCGCCTGTCTCGCTGGAGGGGAGGTGATGTTCCCGTGAGCAGAGACTGCTGCGACGAAGAGGGAAGCGCTGACGATAGAGGCTTTCATCTTGACGGTGTTGGAATTTCTGTAAGGAATGAATTTGTAAAGAACGACAGGCGATTAGGAAGAAGCGAGTGCCCAGCACTGAATGGTATAGTATAATGCACGTATTATTCAGGAACTTGAAAACTGGTAAGCCGAGACGATCAAGCCTTTGCCTAAGAAGACGGCACTGGACATCCTTTATGGGCTGGGCGATCTAATGCCAAGATACACCACTGGAAAAGGTTTCGGATGGCATGCGAACCTTGGGATGCAGCACAGAGGTCTCCTGGTGTCAGAAAGTTAGGACATCCAATAGGTGCACGTGAGCCTTTCTGCCTGAGTTCAACCCATCATTAACTCGGCGGAGCCGGAGAAAGTGGCACGACAGCCTGACTGGGAAGTCCCCAGGACCTGATGCAGGTCCGGTTTTGAGGCTCTGCGGTGCATCTGAAACTATCCTCATTGGGAGGACAAACCTATGTTGGCGGCTCGGTTGCATACTGCCAAGCTGCCAGGGGGTGGGGGTTGAAACCTCAGACGACTCGCATGCCCAAAAACCAGTCAACAGTGTTAGATCGGCACCCCGGCCATTTCTGAGCCACTCCAAACTACTGCCTGCCTGATCTGAAAAGAGCGAAGGCGGCTAAAGCTTGAGGGGACGCTTGGTTTTGCTTCATTTTTGGATCCGCAGCTTGGCATACCTCATTGGTTTGGTTGTGATTTTCATAGCGCAGCACAGACGTGTTCATAGATCTTCTGCGCGCAGATCATAGTAGCGATCTTTAGTGAGAGTGGGTTCACCTGCCTCCCCATGAACGCATGTCTCTTGCTCCAGCTAATGATTCTGTAACAAAGGACGGACTATTGCACTAACCTTAAGTACGCTCTGGCAAACATCTCACCACCGCATGAGAAAGAAATCAGAAAATGGTGAAGGGATGAACTCAGAGTGTCTCTTTGCCTTATGCCCCAACAAGTCTCCAGCGTAAATGCAACCAGGGGTTGTGAGAGACAGGTAGCTCACAAGTCGCCAAATCTCAGGCGGGCTTGGAAGGGAACAGGAATGCACTAATCGCGTACTATATTCGCTGCAGGCTAAGTATAGCAAGGGACTATTTTGTTCAGAAGCCCTGCCCTCACATACTACTCTTTCTGTCCAAAAGTGAAACTCTGAAGAGACCTCCTGATCTCTTTGATACTGATGGTTTGACTCGGCCATGTTGTGACAGAATCAACCTTAATACATGAGCAGTCACCCTGTAATGTTCTAGTATTCGGTCTGACCGAAGCAGTACCCATTGGCAATGAACCCATTGCCCATGGACAAAGGCACAGGGCGACTGGGAAGAGTCTGAGGAGGAGACTCCAAGTCTATAGCCAAGACAGCTTGAGTTTCGTTCGTTCAAGTCTCTCTATAAGAATTCATCTTTACCGTCAACTTCCTTGAAATGATGACCACCAGCATCAACAAAGTTTCCACAGAGTTTGAAAATAAGCAGTGTAAGAAAAGAAAAAGGCCTACCAAATGACTTCTCTTCGTTTTCGAGTAGGACACATCAATTGTAAACTTGATATCAGGATAGGCAGGTGTGTGGACGGGGCTCGATGATCATTTAGACAGTCTGCGGCCAGCACGGAAAATCGTGAGCCGCGCGCAAAGACAATGACTCGCAGACTGACCAACTCCAGGGTAAAAAGCAGGAGACTCTCATACCATGTGCACAGCACGTACTTGGAAGCCTGAGAGACAAAGTCTCTGAGCAGTAATACGTATTGAATCTAAGAGAAATTAGGCAGTGTGCCACGGGTTACAAAGACTAGGAGTGATCAACACCTGTATCACAAGATCGTATTAGACAGTACAATCTAATCAAAATCTCTTATCAGGCCTGGCATCACCCGTTGAATCGGGAGTCAGTGACCGAGTCAGGGCATCTGGCGAAGATAAACACCCGGGACCAGGATTGGCAAGGGGAAGAATCACCAACGACGAGAAGCGACGGCCACTCTGGTCTACGAAGACAAGCCAGCCTGCCAAAGGCTCGTCACGCTCGTTTTTCCAGTCAAAAAGTGAGGTCGTCCAGACCAGATAACAACATATTGGCACGGGCGCCCGAAAATGTCATCACCACTCATTCTATACGCGATCCCGCCGCGCGAGGGGCACATGCGCCCAGCCCTCCAGATCAGCAGCCACCTCGTCGCGCGCGGGCTGGACGTGACGATACTGGGGGACGCGAGATGGACGCCGGCCATCACCGCGATCGGCGCGCACGCGTCGCCCATCATCGGGCTCTGGGGCGCGATGGAGGACTATAGCAAGTGGGGCGAGATCATCCGCGCGCAGACGGCCGAGGAGCGCCTGCGCATCTCGCTGTCCGATGGCTTTGTGAAGCTGCTCCCCAGCGGGCTCGAGTCGGTCCGGCACGCGTTAGCGGGCATCAGGTCTCGCCTGGGAGGCGGGGATGTGCTGCGGGGCCGGACGGTGGTAGTCTTGTCGGATACGTGCTTCTCGGGGACTCTGCCATTGAAGCTCGGGACGGACTTGCCTCAGGGGTATGAGGGCGTCAACGTCAAGACTGTGGGAATCGGCCTGGTCCCGCGGTTCTGGGCGGCTCCTGAGCGGCCGCCATGGGGAAATGGACTGTCATATGATGTGTCTGCGGAGGGTATCTCTCGCAACCTGGAGGCGCACGCAAATAAGTGGGATCAGACCGCTGAGGACAGGGCGAGATGGGTGCTAGAGGCAATGAACTGCAGCAAGTCGGTCGATGAGCTGTACGAGGAGTACGACAAAAACTCGACGGCAATCAAACGTCCTTTCTGGGATGCTTCCACAGTCTGCCACGACGTGGTCCTCCAGATGGGCTTGCCGAGTTTCGAGTTTCCCGTTCCAAATGAGCCAGTGCATCTGAAATTTGCTGGCTCGCTGCCCCCAAAACCGATCCCTTCGGATTTGATTTACCCCGACTGGTACTCTGAATTATTGGAGAACAGCTCGAGCAAAGCTGCCTCCAAATCAGGTCGGAAGCGCATCGTTTTTGTGGCTCAAGGCACAGAGGTATTGGATCACAGAGACCTACTGGTACCATGCATCAAGGGCCTTGCTGGTCGCGAGGACGTATTGGTGGTTGCGGTGCTTTGTCAAAAGGGGGTGACCATCGATCAACACCTGAGCCTCTTCGAGGGCGGCGTTCTGCCTCACAACGCCCGGGTGATCGACTATTTCCCTTACGATGCAATCCTCCCACATGCCGACGTCTTTGCCTCAAATTCTGGGTATGGAGGGTTGACCCACGCGGTAGCTCAGTCTGTCCCGGTGGTACAGGCAGGGAATGTTTTTGACAAGCCGGATATTGGTCGGAGAGTCGAGTACTCCGGGCTGGGTGTGTTCCTCCCAAGCTCACCTCCGACTCCAGAAGTCGTAGCTGCAGCTGTGGACGAGGTCTTGTCCCAAGACAAGTACAAGAAACGAGCCTTGAGTTTGCAGGCCGAGTCTCTCAAATATGAACCCCTCAAAATTATAGAGAACGAGATCAGAGCCTTATCTTAAGTCGGGCTAATATTATTCATAAAGGTGCAAAAGATTTCGAATGGTGTCTTTGACGAGCCTGAACTTTGTCAGCTACGATCGTGTCAAGGGCGGAACTGTACCTGACTTTTCAGACACCACAGTCCAAAATAAATCTCTGTCATTCGTGTCAATCTGTGTCTCATCCATTCTTCAGGAAACGCAAGTAGGGCTTCCTCGCTTCAAGCGATATGAGTGTATTCGAAATGGATCGTCCACGGCTCGGAGGTTCACAGTCCTTTTCCTGATCACGCTTCTCTGTTGTAACATTCTTTGTCCCTGAGGTCCGATCGTGTCATCAGGCGTTACCAGCTAGACCAAGGCATGGCAATAATCTGGTATATTCTCCAAGGCCTTTGGTCTGACACGGAAGAACAAACAGGGGCGCCTCGCTCCCGTGCCATATATCACGCCAGCTAATCCTCTGCTGGGAGCAACCTAGAGCACGCTTGCAACATTGCTTGCCGGACGGTTTGGCTTTTGACATGATTCATGCACAGACCCTCATCACAGGGCGTCTAGCTCAAATGGTAGAGCGCGCGCTTAGCATCAATCTTCTCTTCCAAAGAGTAGTTCTTCATGCGCGAGGTACACGGTTCGATCCCGTGGTCGTCCATTTTGGTGGTTCCGGGCAATGAGACTCGATGAACACTGGTGTAGTGTTGCATTTTTGCCCGTCCTGGGCCCGATGAATGTCCCTATTGCCATAGATAGGCTTCAGCTCAATCATCATTGTTACTGCTGCTTGGTCGAATTCGCCGAGGCCAGCAGCCCGAGTCGTGAGGGTGTGACGGCGCTAGACTGAGAGAACAGCGCGGGTCAAAACTCTCGGTGGCCCAGTTTGCCCCACAGGCCGGTCTCATCCGGACGCCCGACTCAACACCGCAGCAATCTGACGGGGCTTTCTTGCCCGGCGCTCAGAATACGGAAGCAACACGAGCGACCCGCAGAAGTGAATCCGGATTGTTTGAACTATCCCGGTACATACGGTTCGCCCCCGCGACAACCAGGGCCGGAGATGGGGCCTCCTTGGCAGAGGCACGCGGGCCTGACCGCCGTGTTGAAACGTCTTGGTCGTCGATGAAACAACTTCGCTTACCTCCAAGCTGGCGTACTGGATAAGTGTAGACGCCAACGGCAGACTTGAGCTGGTCAAGTATTCTTTTGAACAATTCTCAATTGTTGTCTTGTTTCCTCAGCAGCGCGTACAAAGATTTGAAGTCGAATCTGACAGCTGTCATGCGCCTCCCCCTACTCCTGTCTTTCTTAGCGGTCGTTGATGGTTTGAAGGATGACTTCTCGAGCACACATCTCGTCGGTTCTTGCGCGTGGAGCCCGCTGCTGATATTGGACGAGGACATCTCCTGCCGCCCTGGTTCAGTTTCCATACACTCGGGGCTCGGCACGGACAGACTGCCCCGGCATCGCGCGGAGTCGCCGGCAAGTTCGAACGAGACAGGTTGGGAGGGACCTAAGCACTGCGTGAGAGAGTATTGCGTTTATTCGAATCGGAAATTCGCAGGAGGGATCACAGTGATCACCACAGCCGACAATGCTAAGCGGATAGCTAAGATCCCCGAGGTCACGACGGTCAGAAGTGGACCGGCGCCCTTTTTTGCTACTGAGGTGCCGGGGAAGGGGACCGGACTGGTCGCAAACCGTACGATCAGGCGTGGAGAGATGATAATGACCTGGCAGCCGACTTTTGTGATCCATCGTCGCTTGCCAGACGACTTGACTCAAGAAGAGCAGTATCGCTTACTAGACGCCGCGCTGCTGAAGCTGCCAGCACAGCGGAGACGGGCCTTTTCGAGACAAATGGGCCAATTTGGCGGGCATCGCGTCAGCGACATCCTGTTAACAAATGCATTCCAGATGGATGTTGGTGGAGAGGGCGGGGGAGAGGAGGGACATCACCTTTCAAATTTTCCAGATGTGAGCCTGTACAACCACGAGTGTCGGCCAAACACAGCCTTCTATATCGACGACCACCTGACCCACCATACTCATGCTGTTCGAGATATCAAGGTCGGTGAAGAGCTCACTTTGACCTACATGAACCCATTCGAGACTTTCGCGGCGAGGCAGGCGCACATCCAGCAGTCGTGGGGCTTCAAGTGCACGTGTCCGCACTGCACGATGGCAGAGGACAAGATTCGGGAGTCGGACGCGCGGCTGTACGAGATCGACGAGATAGAGGCGGAGCTGGGCAACTTTGCGAGCAAGATGGTGTCGGTCAAGATGGTGGAGCGGCTGCTTGAGACTTACGAGCTGGAGAGGTTGGATGCTAAAGTCCACGGCGCGTATGTGCTTGCGGCATTGAATTACAACTTGTTTGGCGACGCAAAAAATGCGAAGAAGTATGCGAAGTTGGCGGTCGAGACGGGAATCGTCGAGTTCGGGCCTGATGCAGACGACGTCGCGGCGATGAGGGAGTTGGCGCGAGACCCGAAGGGCCATTTCACCTGGAGGAAGCGAGTTTGAGACTCGAGAGAGGGCTCAGAAGCATATCTAAACAAGGGAGTCTTGTAGAGGATACGTTCCAAATTCGCGAGGGATGAGATGGAAGAGATTGAGGTGAAAGTTTGGGCAAGCCGTCCAAAGGCAGGGATGGGAGGAGACAGCCAGAAAGCCTGTGTGCAGTTTTGGAAGGCACTCACTCCCACAACCTCAACCCACCGCAACACGATGTCAGAACCACATGGGAAGGACAACTACTTGGTTACTTCCCTCGATCACGACGATAACTGACAGTTGTTGAGCTGGCATATGGATTGGCCAGTCACTTGCTGGAGAATGTAGCGCAGTGAGGTGAACTTCTCTCTCCAGCATCATGACTCTCGACGGTACTCTCAACATCGCCCTCAAAAGTGTCGCTTCTCTCAAAAGTGGCTGGTGGAAATTCGCGCTGAAGTGTCAAACATCTGTATCAATTCGCCGGCTATGCTAGACAACAGACAAATGGAAATGCAAGATCGCTCGCTGTGGTATCCCGGCATAAAAAAAAAACATTCGTACAGTCGTCATGCCCGCCAGCAGTGCGGCTCCTCAAGAGTCCGTCTTGGTCGGTGTATTTTCCCCCCTTTTCCATGCCCCAAATTCACCCCAGATTTTTATGACCCCCGAACTTTTTTGTCGTATTCGTGCCCATCCAGAGGCGTTGACTCATCTCGTCCAGTCCATACCCCTCCACCCTCCCCTGCAGTCGCGTCCTGCCCGACCAGCACAGCTCCTGCTCCTCGCACCTCCTCCTCTTGCTCGCAGCTCTGTCTCGGAGAACTCGCTCTCGTAGTCGCTGTCGCGCACGCGCCCGATGTCCTTGACGCGGAGAACCGTCCTCGCGATGTACCTCCGGCGCTGCCTCCTCAGGGGCCGGCCGCGGGTCATCGAGTCGGATCTTCTCACTGTGGCTGGAACCGTCCTGGGCGTGACAAAGGCCTCGGAGCTGCAGTCATCGGCCTGGTCCTCCTCAACGTCGTCCGCCCACCTGCCCGTCGTCTCCCACTCCTGCTCGTCTTCAGCATCCACATCTACAACCTCGACGTGTAGTGGTGCTCCGTAGCTTGCGTTCATGTCCTCCGGGGACGACGGGATGTGGTGCAACTTCCTCTGCTGCTGGACGTAGGCCTGCGAGTTGCTGCTCAGCATGGCTGGGAAAGATAGCAGCATCTGCAAGAAGATGGCGACGTTGACGATGATGAGCGCCAACCCCGCGAAGGTGACACACACTGCGATGAAGCTCGACATGGTGGGGACACTAGGGGAGAGACACCGCTGGTGGGGGTTCTTCTTTTGTAGTAATATTTCAATCGTCGAGCTAGGAAGCCAAGGGAGAAGAAGGATCCTGCCCTTTCTAGTGATGGTAAAAGCAAGCACACTATATTGAATTCGCGATTAAGAATTCAGAAGCGTGGTACAATGCATAGAAGGATCATCGCTGGGGCGATGCAGAAACAGAAAGAGGAGAGCCAAGCCTCTCCTCGGCTTCGAGGAAATCATGACATTGATATACAAAACACATTCCACACGAGCCATGCCCAGGCCCAGTATCTCTGTGACTCCTCTCAAGTCACTGACTGGAATGGCACGTCGTCGAAGGGCGACCAGGGTACGGAGGCTGGGCCCCCACAGCAGAAGGCGAAAAGACCCTTCACCGCAACAACCCAATCCAAAAACTCGACGGGGCCCCTCGTCGGGCCCTCCCGCACTCGATTCCATTGGGCCACACGTCTGCGATGACATGGCGCCATGCCGGATGGAGCCATGGGATCCTCAGGGGGGCCCGCTCACTCTGTACGGCATCACGCCCATATCTCTCGCGCTGAGTGCTGCTGCCCGTCGTGGCTCCAATGCTGACCGCGCGAGTGGGTTCGCGGTGCAGCTCCTCGCGGCCGTCTGCAGTCTCTCTCGAGGGCTGACCACGAGACCTTGGCCTCTTGCTGGCCCCTGCTCAGACGTCTCTCCTCTTTTTGTGACCTCAGGAGTGCAGGATCGCGGATGGGGCGGTGTGTACTTGCGCGAAGCGAGCGATCTCGTGCATCGGCAGGCTAGAACTTTCCGAGCCATGTCGCCATTGTTCGTGCATTCGGGCGCAGTAGAATCGTTCGCGGGGAGCCGGGGAACGGGCACCAATTCAAACTATCGCGCACGTTGTGACGTTCCAGACCTTTTCTTGCCTGACAGTCGGTGGAAACTTTGGACTGGTGCTCTTCGGGGCTGCATTGGCATGGCTTGCGCTAGGCGCGTCAGCTCGCCCCTGTGGATCTTTTCCGTTGCTGCAATCCGCGTTGTTCCGCGGGTCAGCCGGTCTTTGGACCCAAAACCCCATCTTCTTGCTGTGACAACTATTCTTGCTGTGACAACTGGGATGACAACTTGGTCACGCTAACGCTGGCTCAGGATTGTCATATTTGAGAAGCAGCTTCTCCAATGGAGCGAGGAAGAGGAGGGAGTTGATATTGAGATGGTCGTTCGGTGCCGCGATCAGCGCGGCGGGCAAGGATCAATCCCCCGACTGCATGAACTGACAGCAAGGTATCCAGGCCAAGCACTGCGTTCCATCGTGGACTTAGGCAATTGGAAGGCAGCATGAAGAAATCATGTGAAAGAGAATGAGTTTCTTCAGGACAGAAAGCACTTGTCGGGGATAACTCACATGACTTGGAAAGGGCGCTCTCTTCTCGACCAATTCTGACAATGCAGGACCTACGAAACCCAATTCCCAGCTTGGGCAGCAGTCGCGCATAGCATGGATTTAAGATAGGAAAGTAAGAATGACCTGACTGTGGGTTTCAATTTCAATGAACAGGCCACTTACCTCTGAGTTTTTTCTGACTTGCTCGGAAGGCCCTTGAGGCACCAGCAACTTGAGGCTCCTGTCGAAGTGAGCAGGCCGTCCAATGGGAATATCTATTCTATCGAAATAGTGACATCCTCATTCCTGATCAGTCAGAAGGAGCTTCGGATTCAAGCTTCGCTTTGAAGGAAAATACTGTCTCGTACATAGACAGTGGGTCTTGGGAGTATCATCAAGGTCGTATGTGGTTTTGTTTGGCTCAATTTTAGTCTGGCTGGTACAAGAGACAACGAGTGTTTACGTAGGGAAATTCCACTTGCTTTCCATATGTACTTTTCCAAGGCCCAATTATTTGGTTGACTCCTTAATCGTTTGAAGATGTTGGGGCACCAAAGAAGATGTCCGGCATCATTTGAAGTAACCAGGCGGTCGTCCTTCCCCATATGATATCACTCTTCGTGGGTTTGATTGCTCATCATGTCCTTTCAGACCTTCCCTTTAGAAATTACTGATGAATATGACATGGAAATTTGACATGCTTTCATGAGCTCTCCAGGGACACGTGCAACGGAAAAGCCATCCAAGCTTCGATCCCAATGTCATGGCCTAGCCATCGGGAACAAAAGCTCAGATCCTCAAGCTTCAATCGGTTGTTTCTATACATGTGCTGCTTTCCTCTTGATTCATCCAATGCATTAAAGGGTCTCTAGTGAAAACGGCTCTTAAGTACTCGATGCATTCGATCCATTGCCACAGATGAAATCATCTATGTCTGCCTTCGAAGAGAGATAGCCGGCTTACGTCTTAAAAAGTCCTTTGCCTTCTTAGTATCTTGACAGATTGGCTCTTTTTCTGTTGACTGCTCTCTAAATGTAAATTCCCTGGTTAAGAATGGCTACGGAATTTGTATTGGGTATCTTTCACCAGATGGAAAGATGTTGCTGGTAACGGTAAGTTCTATCGTCATTCCCAAAAATGAAGAGGAAAAAAGACAGATGAATACAAAAATGAGAGGGGGAAGAACAGACGGGCTCACACTTGAGCATTTTTACAATGCCAACGCAAGGATTGTATCTCGTTTAGCCTTCAACATTGGGATTGTAATCCGAGCGATGAACGAAAGGTCTGTCGTTGTTACGAGGACGAGTTTCTGGGGAAATTGAGTCCCCAGAGGAAGTTTCCTGATAAGCCTAGTTGTTGAAATTTGCTGATGAGGAACTTTACTTTCCTCACCCCAAGAACACACCTCGTGGGCTGTGTTGCTCTGCCAGCGACCTCTGACCTTCAAAAGCTTTGCTTGCAGCTCTCATCTTTGTTCCCAAATTTTGATCAGTCTTGATTGTGGCATCTCATAGCCTGAGGTCTTGCTGCAAGATCGACCAGCGACATCTGTTCCATACAACATTGATTCAAAGAACAGGTCTGTCGGATTTACCTTCGCAAGTCCAAAGGCACCTCTTGTTGTCTCAACAACCCGCGCCTGAATAACATCTTGGGACTTGAACACCTTCAATCAACCTCGTGCAGTAACCACACAGACCAAGTCCCGATTGAGGAATGCAACAAACAGAGAAAATGGTGACCGACAAAGTGACCTTCCGCATCTCCGGTATGCCCGACTTCTGGGCCGAAGCGACCAAGGACGTTATCACCACGAACACGACCTTACTCGACGTGTTCAAAATCGACGCAAGCGGCGGGGTCATGCTCTATGGCTGGTCCCCAAAGATCATTGATTTCTGGATGAAGATTCTAAACTACGAGGATATCGAATTGCAGGAGATCTTTGACGAGTTCGAGGCCGAGGTGAAGGACATTTGGTCCATCGCAAGCTTCCACGAGAAGTTTATTCGACGCGCGCAGCTGGCTTGCGACTGTCATGAGGAACATAAACCTAAGTTTCCTACTGTGACGTTGCGACAGTGGTTCCGTCGCTGGTGGGAAGAGAACGACGAGAGTTTCCGGTCAAACACTGCTTCGGCACTGACCAGTCTCGTAATACCTGCATTCTACATCGGTGATGCGCGGGCATTTATGTCAATTACTCATAGCTGCTTCCTCCACACCAACAACCAGCAGGCCTCACTCCAGAACGCAAGGATGCCAGTGGCTTCTGACGAAGGTGGACGGGACGAAATCGATACCCATCACCCACTGCTTGGTACGTCCCCATGGCTTTCTCTTATGACGCCCTCCTATATGATCAACCATCTGTGCGATGTCGTGTTGAACAGGAGGATCTCTCGCGCCACGTCCGAAACCTGCCCAGCCATATGCACAGGTAGATACTAACCCAAATCCACAGGCAAGCTCGCGGCAGCGCGAGCAAATATGATCAACAAGATCGAGGACGCACTGCCCTATGACGAGGAGAGAGACGGGCTCCCCCGCGGCCGGGGCTTCAAATCGACAGTGTGCGAGGACCCCGACTGCTGCCCGATGTTGAAGTCAGCCGCGTACTACAAAGCGCTGAAGGCGACTGGATGCTGGCCAGTCGGCCCAGTGATGAAAAACCACTCCATCCACCAGGTTCTGACCATGCTCGCCAACAATTTCGACTATGTCAACTACGACAACATGCAGGACATGCCGGACCGCGCGGCTGCCCGTGCCAGGATGCCGGCCGATCGAGAGGGCCAGAGTCAGAAACGGTGCAAAGTCTGCGTCGACGCTGCCGTCAAGGCCTCCTTCGACAAGAAGGTCAGGAGCCTCATCAGGACGCTGCTGGACGAGAAGAAGACCACGGTCACGGTCGTGCGAGGGGGAAGACCCGTCGCTGTGCAGGTGGACGACTCTTTCGCCGGCTTATGTCTTGATTGCCTGACCAAGACCAAATTCGGCAGCGAGGATGCCGACTATTGGAATCATTGCCTGGATTTTGAATTCGACCACGGCTGCACTGTCCCACACGGTCAACCAACGTGGTACTTCTCGTACCTGGGCCGCGCTGAGGACATGAAGTGGTACACGAAAGAGAAGGCGAAGCGGCAGGCACAGCGACGTGCAGGTCGTTGAGAGCGGGGTGCAGAACGCTTTCTCGGAGTGAGCAGAATCTACAGAGCGTACATGTTTCGGAGGGACCGAGAGGTTTGCACCGGGAGGGTTTCAGCTGTGGTTGGACTTGGGCCAGACATCAAGGACAACGCCAAAACAACTATGTATCAACATGAATCACTGCAGGAATTGTGCAAGACGGTATGGAAGCCGTTCGGACTCTGAGGCCGCAGCTCGACTGATAGATTCCAGAGCGAGCTAGAGTGACGATTGATGGTCGTCAGATGGAGCTATATGTCCATGAAAACCCTTTGATCAGAACCTTTGCGAACCGTCCCTTGCCGCAACCCATATGAAAGCCCTCAGAAACGCCTTTTAGTGAATTTGTCGTGTTGTTGGTCCCCCACGAGCCGTGTCCATTTATCGGACAATGGCGTCGAAGCGCTGCTTGAACCACTTGATGGTGTCGTCGCGGGTGATGCGGTGGGAAGCACCGATTCTGCCCTTGGCGCGACGGCGGCGGACGACACGCTCACCAGGGCGGGTCATGCAGCAGTAGAAGTCCATGCCGTAGATACCGATACCGGGGTCGTACTTGATTCCGAGATCGATGTGCTCGCTGATACCGAAGCCGAAGTTGCCGGTCTCGCTGAAGTTGCGCTTGCGCAGCTCGTACTCCTTGACCTTGAGGCCACGCTCGAGAATCTCCTCGGCCTTGGGGCCACGGACGGTAACGTGGACGGAGATCTTTTCGTTACGACGGATACCGAAGGTACGGACGGTGTAACGGGCCTTGCCTGGAGGGGGATTTGTTAGGTTGAGGATTCAGAGGGTCATAATCCGTTGCGACCGCATAATTGAGTGTAACGTACTGTAGACTGGGGTTTGACCAGACAGCTGCTCAAGCACCTTGGCGGCACGGGTCAGTCTGTCACCAGACTCGCCGACAGAGATGTTGAGGACGAGCTTCTGGATGCGGAGCTCCCGCATGGGGTTTTGGGCCTTCTCAGACTGCAGTCATGGTGGTTAGCGATTGAGCGCCTCGATTGAGCACCAAAGTATCGTATTTACCATTTTGGCTGGTTGTCGTCGGCGATCCTGATGAAAGGGATTGACGAAAAGGCGATGGGTTGATGCTGTCGGTTAGTACGAAGAAAGTTCAAAATGCGAAAAAGATGGAGTAAATGAGAAAAGTCCACAAAGTGTGCGGTGGAGCCCTCGAGAGGTGAAGCTAGTCTAAAGATGGACTAGCCGCTTTGGCGGTCGAGTGGTCCGAGCTTGCTGGCAGCCTTTCTTGCCTGGCAGGCACTCAGCCGCGTCAAATTCGACTTGGGAGGCATCAACACGTCGTCTGCTGGACTTGGAAGCTTTGACAGGAAGCTCTTCGAGACCGCGACACACGAAGTCATCCCACTGACTTCGGCTGCCACATACCAATTTTTGAGAACCAGAAGAAGCTACTCTGTAGCATCTTGTCGCAAAGATGGCGACCAACAAGCAGGGCAAGATGGTGAGTCCAGACCTCCCAATCATCCACATTTGTATCTCGAGGTTGACATCAACAGGCTAACACGGAGTGATATCGCAGGCCGGTTACGTATGTACACCCACTCAACATCCCCACTATCGATGCGATTATGCGACCTACCTTTTCCAATGTGCGATGCAGACGCTGATGCCCGCCTTGTAGATCAACTACCGGATGCGAGTCACTCTGAACGATGGCCGCCAAATGACCGGGCAGATGCTGGCCTTTGACAAGGTACGATATCAAGATGGTGTCCTATGTTATGGTTCCTTGCTGATGATGTCTTCACAGCACATGAACGTCGTCCTCGCCGACACCGAAGAGTTCCGACGCATCAAGAAGCAGAGCAAGCCTGCAGCTCCCGGCTCGGCCCCAGGCGCGGCGCAAGCTGTTGTGCAAGAGGAGAAGCGAACACTCGGTCTGACCATCGTGCGCGGAGCTCACATTGTCTCCTTGTCTGTCGAATCGCCACCACCCGCCGACCCCAGCACACGGCTGGGCAAGTCCACGACAGGCGGAATCTCTTCGACCTTGCAGTCAGGACCTGGTGTCGCACGACCAGCTGGACGAGGAGCCGCCCCTCCGGTTTCTCTTGCCGTATGTATCACCGGCCCTGGAGGATGTTTTGCAAGTGCTGACAGTATCATAGGGTCCTGCTCCTGGTGTTGGAGGAGGTGTGCCGCCACCACCCTTCGGTGGTTTCCCAGGCGCTCCCCCTGGATTCGCTGGACGTGGAGGCCGTAAGTACAACACTGATCCGCACGCCCTCACAGAGATTTGCTAACCATCACACTAGCTGGCGCACCTCCAGGCTTCCCTGGCCCCCCTGGTGGCTTCCCACCTGCTGGTTTCCCCGGTGCTCCAGGTGGTCAGTTCCCTCCTGGCTTCCCTGGCGCTCCTGGCAGCCAAGCTCCGCCTGGCTTCAACCCTCCTCCCCGACGATAATCACGATAATACCCCCCGAAAAAAAGTCTACCGCTCCGCGCTTCACGGGGCTTAAATTGAGGAAATATCAGGGCGTTCCAGAGATCTTCCCAAAAATTGCAAGCCGGGGCTCGGCAGCTCTCTGTACCATAGCATGAATGGATACCAATGCATTGCTGGATGGAACAAGTCGATGAATGAAGAGACCTCAAAACCTTTGCCGCTTTGACATGAGTGACCACTGTCCTTGCGCGCCTCTGATATGAAAATCCTTTTGTCCTTTCTCCGGAGACTGAAAGGATACATACACGTGATGCCCGAGAAAGCAACGTCGAAAGCAGGGGTGATGCTGAGGGAAGCTCCAATTGGAATTGCAGAGGAGCTGATTTGGTTGACTGCCCGCCAAGACCCTGCAGCAAGCACCCAGCATCAGCATGCAGGTGCTCCAATTGCTCCAATCCCGGCAATCGCCCCGATAGCGCGCCCGCCAAATTTCCAATCCAACATCATTTTCGCAGACAAGCTTGGCTGACAATCCCATCTCTCAACACCACCACCTCCGTCAAATCGCCGCTGCTGCCACCGGGCTCGTTCGACAGCATCACCCACACCGTCAAGATGGCCGCCTTCATAAAAGCGATCAATGCGAAGATTCGCTCCAACAAGTACACCGACTACATCTGCTCAACACGTACGTGAGGCGAAAGAGGTTTCTCTTGTTCCCAACCCTTCGGATGCCGTCATCGGACAATCCCCCGGTATCTCCGGATGACTCCCAACACTCTCCGCGTCGTGATCTTTCGGGGCGTGAGTGGAATGGCTTGTATTAGAAGAATGCGGGAAAGAAGCAATGCGCTTGTGGCATGTGAGAAAAGAGTCTTGCTGCCCTCAGCGATGGAAAGCGAAGCCCGTCGCTGCGGACGCAGTTGAGGCCGCGATCTTTGCTTGCAATGCCCGGAGTTGCGGGCGGGGAACGGATTCATTTCATCTTAGACAGCTACGTCCTGAAGACCTTACTGACTGATATGCCTACGATGTGCAGATTTCTGGGGCCCGGTGTCGAACTTTGGTATCCCCGTCGCCGCTGTGATGGACACACAGAAGAGCCCTGAGCTGTATGTTCTTAACTCCCAGATCCCACTTCTAGTCTTTCTCAGGCAGGCCGGTATCCTCTACGCAAGAGAATAAGTCCCGCTGACAATGTTATCCACAGCATTTCTGGCCCCATGACCTTCGCCCTCGTCGTCTACTCCGCGACCTTCATGCGGTACTCCCTGGCCGTCTCCCCTAAGAACTACCTCCTCTTTGGTTGCCACTTCATCAACGAGGGCTCCCAGCTGACGCAGGCCTACCGTTTCCTGGACTGGCACAAGTGGGGTGGCCGGGAGAAGGCCATCTCATCGGGCGAGCTGGTCCTGGAGACGGCGAAGGAGGGCATCAAGGAGGGCGCCCAGAAGGTTGAGGCCGCCGTCGGCAAGTAGAGGGCCGCGTCAGATCGAAATGAGAAGTTGGTGCAGTGATAGAGAGTGGCTCTCAAGAAACCCCGGGGCGGACAATTTACAACCAGTCAAGCTTGACGGAGGAAGGAACCTGCCATGACGCAGTGCAGACGGCAGGAATTGGTGGATGGGAAACGGAGAAACTTTAGAGAAGAAGGCGTCCTTGGTACAGGATCATGGCATGCGCCTATATGAAGGCACACACACGCTTTTGGAGGCGAACGGGCAGGGTGGAGTTGGAGTGTAGGACCACTGCAACGGTGCTTTTAGATATCGTCGAACATATCACAAGAGCATGCAAGCAATTCCACAGCACACAGTCCGTGCGTTTTTCCCTGGGCGGAACCTCGAGCGGTGGAATCCTCGGCCGCTCGGCCACTTGGCGTTGTTTGCTGCTTGATATTGTTCAAACCGGCGTAACGTCTTGGCTGGATCATCAGAGCGCCTTGTGGCTCTCCTACCTCTTTTGGACCCCCCCGCCCATGTCTCATCACTTTTAGGAAAATCGTAGATCACATCACTCAAGATCCGCGCATGCGTGGACCACTGGGCTGTGCGTGTGTGTGCGTGGCCGGGTTCGGGTCCCGAATGCATGATATACTCTTGGCCCGCGGGTCGATCGATTCGGTCAGCCAGACCGACCACACAAGCCCCATCTGCAAGCCCAGCCAGACAGCACATTAGAGCAAGCAGCCAAAAGCGCATCTTTGCCCAGCCAGCAGCCCGTCGCGGCAGTATGCAAGCCATCCCAAGATTTGTATTTCTTACTTTTTCTCAGCCGCCCGGCCGATGGGATGACTTCCTGAAGCAGACGCGGTGCATCCTCAGCCCTCCGTACCCTCCTTCGCATAAATGCCATGAACTAGATGCATACCCTTTGCCTTTCCCGCGTACCGGGATTCACGGACCGTGCCGTTGCGAGAAAGGCAAGGAGTTGTCCAAGAGTGGGAGGGGCATGTTTGACTGGCTGCTTAATCTGGTCTCGGGGATATAGTTGACACACACTCGCACAGCGAAGCCAGCCCCGGAGCCGGGGCGTTTACAGAGATAAGAAGAGTCATGGCCGAGGGGGAGAAGACGTATGTTCAAGGATCTTCAAGGGGATGTGGGCTCCATATGGTGTTTAGAAACGGTCCCCGTTGTTCGAGTTTCACCGAAATAAAAAAAAATCTTTGTATGGTCCGGGGGATAAGAATGAGTCTAGGCCATGGTGGTGGACATGTCAGACGTGATGCAAGGCTTGACCTGATGATGCGAAAAAATTGACAAATTCGGCCTTCCCATGGAAAAGCCGAGGACAGGCGGAGAACACCTCATTGCATCGCCCGGTTGAGCGGGCTGTTACCCATCCATCGCCTCATCAGCCTTACCCGCTCGTCCGTTGCTGCTGCCGAGGTCGGCCGGAGTGAGTAAATATTGTGAGCTGGGGGCTGGAGGAGGAGGAGGAGGAGAAGGGAAAAAAAAGAGGGAATAGAGATAGAGAGCAAAAACAAAGATCCACGAACAGGAATGACACACATCCACGCGCGCCAATCCTGAATCATCGTTAGACCATCGTGCTGTACTTCCCTCCATGGCTGCTCGGGTCATGCTCATCCAGATCGGGGGTCGGACGACGCCAGCACCCAAGAAACGAGGCGAGCAAGGGTGACAAAATGCCGCGTTTCTGGCCGCTGCCCGTTGGCTGTTCCCGCGAAGCGACTCGACTCCAATGCGGTACCATAATAGAACCAGAGATAGTCATTTTGTGTTTTAACCGTCTGACGAAACGATTCTAGAGCCAAGCTTGCGGTAGTTCGAAGTCAGGGGTTGAGCTTGTATCAGGACACGGCAGCCAAGAGGTTGACAAGCAGAAGAAGCTGCAGACCGCCATGTTTGGCGTTGCACTGTCTAAATATCTATCTGTGCGAGGGATGTGTTACTTTGGTTTTTATGGAACTCATGCGTGGTGTCTCTTTCCGGACAATAAGCTGCAGCATCTTGGTGATGGAGCTGTGTGTGACGTGAGGTTATACGGTACGAAGCAGCAGGTACCACAGTAGACTATGATGGCCATCGCTTTGGAAGAACGGGGACGGTGAGAGGGATGCATTCTATGTAATGCATCTACCCCTCGGTAAGCTCAGACTGACTACCAAGCCGCTGTGGTTGGACGAAGCTCTCGCCTGTCTTGAGCTCGTTTCCGCTTCTGGCAAGGAGCAGCAGGTCTCGGACATGGTAGCAAGCTTCGCTGGCCCAGCGACCAGTGGGGTTCCACCGCCCGCGTTGAGTCAAAAAAAGAAAGAGCTGGTTGCAGCTTGCTGGAGCACATGTCAACACCCAAGGTGGGGGTCTGATGGAGCTTCCTTGCAGCAGCATCGCCCTCTGTGATGTCCAGGCACTAGGGTCGAGGGCAGAGCCAGCGCGAGTCGACGTGGGCTCCGGAACAATTCCAGTTCGACGAGGCCGTTTCGATCCATCAGGGTCTCACAGCCAAGAGCTGCAGGTTGAGACTCGAGCAGCGGTACCGCGTAATGGAGATGCACGAGGGAGCTTGGCGGTGGAGGGATCAAGGGCGGATAAGCTCAAGCCTCAGAAGGGAAACAACAGCTTCACGTCCATGGGTTGGCAGCCGGGGCAGATTTGTGCTCGGGAGATCTTCGCAGGATGGGGGATATATCTCATCCCATCTATTTTTGACTACTGTGCCTCGAACGTGCTGGGTTGAGATGGAGCCTGTCTGCGGCAATTGGCATTCTCCTCCTTCTGAGCAACAGCCAGCCAGCCTCAAGGGTTCTCGAATTGTGGGAGCTTGTGAGCACGTAGGCCAAACAGAGGGCCAGCCGGGGTTTGGACACCCAGGGTCAGGAACGTTGAAGGATTCAAGTTTGACAGCCCAAGACTTTTTGATGTAATCAGTCCCATCTGGATGTTCCAGACGTTGGGAGAAGAGGAACGGTGGACGGACATGGCGATGACACAGTCAGTGGTACCAGGGCCAAAAAAGATAGGCTTGGGCTGAACCATGTGAACAAAACCCCTCATCCTGCGCCGCCAATCCATCCAGCCATCCCAGACGGATCCAAGAGCCTAGAGCCGAGCCAGAACAGAGCTAAAAGGATAGCCCCCCCTCGAGTTCCAGCATTTTTGTTATAGACCGAGCTGTCCATCCACACCCTCAGACGCGCCAACCCCACGCAAATTGTCCAGAAACTAGCAGCTCGAGCAATAGAAATACTGACCGCTGTCGGAGGCAGGGCCTTGCTCATTTATTTCTTCCTCCCTCAATTCATACCCGCCAGCTACTTATCCTTGGCATTGTTGCTCACCTCGAGGGAAAATACCCAGCGCAATTATATAGACTGACCAACGAACGAGACCACTTTACTGTACCTGGGAAGCTCCGAGCTCCCCTCCGTCCGCTGGCCCCGCTGCTGTCACGCTGATAGCCATAGCCCCGCCATTCCAGAGCTCCGTGTCCCACAACAAGGAGTCATCTGCGAAGTACAAGAACCAGACCACGGCCGCGTTCCCACGGTCTGTTGAGATTGTTCCTCTTCGCCTGGTAATCTACACACAATCCGCCAATCTCTCACAATGGCGGCACTGAGCAACGATCATGCGGTGGGTGAGGAGGTCTTCGAGGAGGGCGACGCCCCCAAGGATCAAAAGACCATCCACCGCATCCGGGCGAACTCTACTATAATGCAACTGAGCAAGATTCTGGGTGAGTCAATCTACCAAAACCCCATTGAAGGGTCGACTCTGGCCGGGAGGGGCGAGAGTGTCCGAGCTGGAAGTCCGAGAGGGCAACACCAGGTCATATGGTTGAGTGGTACAGCAGACGGCTGACGTTACTTTTCGCTGCTTATAGTTGCAAACCGTGGTGAAATTCGTAAGTCTACACCATCTTCATGCTCTAGCCTTGGTGTTGGGAGCTTTCACTGACACTCATTCCAGCCATTCGTGTAGGTTCGGAGCCGAGGAGACCAGGCCCCCATGGTCACCGAGAGAGGAACGGGGAACATGATGCTAATGATATGCCATTCCCGGCTCTTTAGATTTTCAGAACAGTGAGCATCTCCTTCAAACCCGAGCCAATTGGCAAGCGCTGACACATTTTGCAGGCTCATGAGCTTTCATTGCACACCATTGCAGTCTTCAGGTAAGCTGCACACACCAAAGGCCGACCTCAACAAATGCGCCAATTGGGGCCCAGAACACTGACTCTCGCAGTTATGAGGACCGTCTCAGCATGCACAGGCAAAGTACGCACAGCCTTGACCCCCTGACAAGATCCCCCTGCCCCCAAAACCCCGAAACGAAGTCATCGTGGACATAAACTCTAACTTTTTGGTTTTGTTGAACAGAGGCCGACGAGGCCTACGTCATTGGCAAGCGCGGACAGTACACCCCTGTTGGCGCTTATCTCGCGGGCGACGAGATTATCAAGATCGCACTCGAGCATGGCGCCCAGATGATCCACCCTGGTAAGTTGTTACCGACACTTCTGCGCCCCGACAACAGCAGCGGCTGGTTTCACACGACGATGATACTGACATCGCGGAAGGTTACGGGTTCTTGTCTGAGAATGCCGAATTCGCGAAGAACGTCGAGAAGGCTGGCCTTATCGTAAGTTTTCCATTCCCCTTGTCCTACTCCCCTGCACATGCACATGCGCCCGCGTCTGCAGCTCCGCCCATAACCGAGGTTGCTTTCTCCTTCGTGTCAATTGGCACCGAGCTGACATTTTGGCCTCGGAATAGTTCGTCGGACCTACGGCCGAAGTTATCGACGCCCTCGGCGACAAGGTTTCCGCTCGCAAGTTCGCCATCAAGGCAAACGTGCCCGTCGTTCCCGGGACAGAGGGTGCCGTGGAGAAGTACGAGGAGGTCAAGAGCTTCACCGACGAATATGGCTTCCCCATCATCATCAAGGCCGCATACGGAGGTGGTGGCCGCGGCATGCGTGTCGTCCGGGACCAAGAGTCGCTGAAGGAGAACTTTGAGCGAGCCACATCCGAGGCAAAGTCCGCTTTTGGCAATGGCACTGTCTTTGTCGAGCGTTTCCTTGACAAGCCCAAGCACATCGAGGTCCAGCTGCTCGGAGACAACCACGGCAACATTGTCCACCTGTACGAGCGTGACTGCTCCGTTCAGAGGCGGCACCAGAAGGTCGTCGAGATCGCCCCGGCCAAGGACCTGCCCACAGAGACCCGCGACGCCATGCTCAACGATGCCGTCCGACTAGCCAAGTCCGTCGGTTACCGCAACGCGGGTACCGCCGAGTTCCTTGTCGACCAACAGAACCGGTACTACTTCATCGAGATCAACCCCCGTATCCAGGTCGAGCACACCATCACCGAGGAGATCACTGGCATCGATATCGTTGCCGCCCAGATCCAGATTGCTGCCGGCGCGACTCTGGCTCAGCTCGGCCTCACACAGGACCGCATCTCTACCCGGGGTTTCGCTATCCAATGCCGAATCACCACCGAGGACCCGTCCAAGAGCTTCCAGCCCGACACTGGCCGCATCGAGGTGTACCGCAGTGCTGGTGGTAATGGCGTACGTCTCGATGGTGGAAACGGCTTTGCTGGTGCTGTTATCACTCCTTACTACGATTCTCTGCTTACCAAGATGACTTGCCATGGCTCCACGTACGAGATTGCTCGGCGCAAGGTCTTGAGAGCCATCATTGAGTTCAGAATTCGTGGTCTCAAGACGAACATCCCCTTCCTTGCGTCTCTCCTGACGCATCCGACGTTCATTGACGGTCAATGCTGGACGACATTCATCGATGATACTCCACAGCTCTTTGACCTCATGGGCTCTCAGAATCGTGCCCAGAAATTGCTGGCATACCTCGGCGATCTCGTCGTTAACGGGAGCAGCATTAAGGGACAGGTGGGTGAGCCTAAGTTCAAGGGCGAGATTATCATTCCTGAACTTCTCGACGATGCCGGCCACAAGATTGATGTCACCCGCCCCTCAACTAAGGGCTGGCGAAACATCATCCTGGAGCAAGGCCCTGCGGCCTTCGCGAAGGCTGTCCGTGAATATAAGGGCACTCTGCTCATGGATACCACATGGAGAGATGCTCATCAGTCCCTGCTGGCCACCCGTGTACGGACTGTCGACCTATGCAACATTGCCAAGGAGACAAGCCACGCCCTAGCCAACCTGTACAGTTTGGAGTGCTGGGGTGGAGCAACGTTTGATGTTGCTATGCGATTCCTCTACGAAGACCCCTGGGACAGGCTGCGAAAGATGCGCAAGCTTATTCCCAACATCCCCTTCCAGATGCTTCTTCGTGGTGCTAACGGTGTGGCATACTCGTCTCTGCCCGACAACGCCATTGATCACTTCGTCGACCAGGCGAAGAAGAACGGTGTCGATATCTTCCGTGTTTTCGACGCTCTGAACGACATTGACCAGCTTGAGGTTGGCATTAAGGCTGTTCACAAGGCCGGCGGTGTTGTTGAGGGTACCGTGTGCTACTCGGGAGACATGTTGAACCCTAAGAAGAAGTACAACTTGGAGTACTACCTCGACCTGGTTGACAAGCTCGTCAAGCTTAACATCCACGTCCTCGGCGTGAAGGATATGGCTGGTGTGCTCAAGCCCCACGCCGCGAAGCTGCTGATCGGTGCAATCCGCAAGAAGTACCCAGACCTGCCAATTCACGTGCACACCCACGACTCGGCCGGTACGGGTGTGGCTTCCATGGTTGCTTGCGCTGAGTATGGCGCTGATGCCGTCGACGCATGCAGTGACAGCATGTCTGGTATGACATCTCAGCCCAGCATCAACGCTCTCCTTGCCTCCCTTGAGGGAACCAACCTGGATCCTGGCCTGAACGTCCACCATGTCCGTGCCCTGGACACCTACTGGTCTCAGCTCCGTCTGCTGTACTCGCCGTTTGAGGCTCACCTTGCAGGTCCCGACCCTGAGGTGTACGAGCACGAAATCCCCGGTGGTCAGCTCACAAACATGATGTTCCAGGCACAGCAGCTCGGCTTGGGCTCACAATGGCTCGAGACCAAGAAGGCCTACGAGCAAGCCAACGATCTCCTTGGTGACATTGTCAAGGTCACACCGACTTCCAAGGTTGTTGGTGACCTTGCCCAGTTCATGGTGTCGAACAAGCTTTCCGAGGAGGATGTCAAGGCGCGGGCCAAGGAGCTCGACTTCCCTGGCTCAGTCCTCGAGTTCCTCGAGGGCTTGATGGGTCAACCTTACGGTGGCTTCCCTGAGCCACTCCGCTCAGATGCCCTCCGTGGACGCAGGAAGCTGGACAAGCGCCCCGGTCTGTTCCTTGAGCCTGTCGACTTTGCCAAGGTCAGGCGCGATCTCAGAAAGAAGTACGACGGTGAGATCACTGAATGCGACGTCGCTTCGTACGTCATGTACCCCAAGGTCTTCGAGGACTACAAGACCTTCACCCAGAAATTCGGCGACCTCTCGGTCCTCCCGACTAAGTTCTTCCTCACTAAGCCGGAGATCGGCGAGGAGTTCCACGTCGAGCTCGAGAAGGGCAAGGTTCTTATCTTGAAGCTTCTCGCCATCGGGCCCCTGACGGAGCACACCGGCCAGCGAGAGGTGTTCTACGAGATGAACGGTGAGGTCCGACAAGTCACAGTCGACGATAAGTTGGCCAGCGTCGAGAACGTCAGCCGCCCCAAGGCCGATCCCAGCGACAGCAGCCAGGTCGGTGCGCCCATGGCTGGTGTGTTGGTGGAGCTCCGCGTCCACGAGGGCACCGAGGTCAAGAAGGGAGATCCTCTGGCTGTTCTCAGCGCCATGAAGATGGTAAGTTTTGCTCCACCTATCCCAGAGTAAGTACTCGTCTTGGAAGTATTCAGGTTCTAACGTAGCTTGCGCCTTTTAGGAAATGGTCATCTCTGCACCTCACAACGGCAAGGTATCGTCACTCCAGGTCCGCGAGGGCGACTCGGTCGACGGCACGGATCTGGTCTGCAAGATCCTCAAGGGCTAAGAGAGATGAGGACCCCTCACCTCTTCTCCTCATTGGGCATTCTTGTGCGGCTTGATTTTCGCAGCGTTACCTAGATTGCGTTTCACGACGGCGCGGGTTGCAGCGGGCGGGAAGGACTTGTGTGTCTGCGTGCCCCTGCCAATGTGGCTGGCGGGATCATCATCAACGTAGTACTGGCGGCGTGGTCTCTTTTTTCTCGGATCGGACATGCGACTGGGGGAATACCTTATTATGTGCTTTTTTTTTCTTTCCCCTTTCTGGCACAGGACATACCTGTTGCTGCGAAAATAGTCCTGTGGGCAGGAATAACAGTTTTATCGAGCAGGTTTTGCCGAGTTAAGTAGCAATTGGACATCATTTCTTGTATAGTCTGTATCGTGACCTGTATGTATACATGCTGCGAACTAGTGAACGGTCCTTTTGCCCCTGGACTGCTGGCCCCGGTCTGCTACTTTGTACATTGGCAAGGCACGCGCACACCTTGCAGGGTCAAAGAGCCAGGTAGAATCTACCTTGATGCTACTCTGTAGGTCGTCGTATATGACTCTAAGGGTATTACCATGCACGAGATTGTTCCGTAGCAGATCTCTCACGAGAAGCTAACCAACAGAATTGTTTTGCGGGATTTTGCCCATGGGAGGTTATTCTGTGGCAGATCATCCCACGTAATTAATACATGGTTACCCTACAGATGGCTTGGGACACTAAGCCAAAGGTGATTGATTTTCAGGCTGGTGTGAAATGTTCACCTCAAATCCGAGCATCCGGGATCTAGTTTTACTTCGAGCTACACCTTCACAGGGATTCCAAATGTTAGATCGTGTACATCTTTTTCTATTGGCAGTTTTTTGACCCACCAGGTCACACTTTGCCCAATTTGTTAAGAAAAGCGACTTTGGATGGGTAAGTCAAAATCCAACATTTAGGATCCCTGAGGAGGTATATAATTCAGACCGCCACTCTACCGAAGACCGCCACGTTTAAGGACTGTGTAAGAACCGCCGACAGTTGCCTCGGCACTCGTACCTACACTTCCTGCCCGCATCCTTCTTCCTGCGTGGCGCCGACGCCGCCCGCAGGCTAGGGACGCCTCCTTCTCGGATGTGCGTGTATGCGTGTGCAGATCCCACGAGGGGATCGGCAGCGTCAAAAGATCCCAAACTCGGACCCGGAGCGAGAACGGTTTCCTCAGAGGGTGCATTGTTGTACGCGTTCCTGCCGAAGGAGTGCATGTGCATACATTGACGCTTGTCTCAGCCAGTTGACCGTGGGTGGTGCCTTTGGCTGGTAGGCTAGGTTATGCCGTGTAAAGTGCGGTGTATGCAATGACGGGACTATGTGGTGGGATTTGATAGGTGCTGTGGATGTGATTTGCTGGATTTGTTCTTTGGGGGTCCTCGGTGACTGCCAGCTTTCGAGTCCGCGTGGGATCTAAGAAGGGAATGTAGCAATAGGGCTGAGTGATTATTGGAGGCGGTGTGATGTGTGACAAAGCTTCATTCTCAGTCGTGGTCGAATTGACCAATACGTCCTGTTTCCCCTTCCGAAGATGGAATTCCGATACATATCCATACGATTGCTCTTGTTTCAGCTGGTGAATAGTTGGCATATTCATGCTGTACGCCCAGCCCCTCCCGCTTGAGATGCTTCGGGACTTTTGGCTCGGGTCCGAAAAAAAGGATGGCAGCCGTTGAGACCCGAGCCTTGTGAGCATATGAAGATTTGGATGATTTGAACCATAACATGAAAAGACAAAGAATTGCAATTTGGGAACAATTGTCATGGTCACAATCTAGCGCTGCTGCAACTTCTGGGGTACTTCTCATGTGATCAGCTGATTATGCATGAATTGATTAGACAATATTTAAGAAAGACCAATCTAGATGCTAAGAGGTGTATGTAATAACGCAAAATGATTTCTGTACAACATCATAATCCCTTTCCAATGCTGTGCACCTTGAAGCCCAGAGATTTCAGGTACAGGCCGTCCACCACATTTCTGCCGTCGAATACCCAGCTGTGCTTCTCCATTAGAGTTGCCACACGCTCCCAGTTTACAACATCCTTGTTCCCGGACAGCGTAGAGTGTCTCTCACACTCCCTGCAGCTGGCTTCACAAGCGCTTCGTTGCACAAGCCTCTGCAACGGATCCTCGGTGTCACCACCGGTCGTACTGATCGTGAGCTTCTCAAGTTCGATTATATCCGTCTCCTTGAGATCTGATTCACAATGCGAGATGACGTTGTTGAGGCTTTTGGGCGTTGAAACTGCTTGCTTGTTCAACGCCACAGCGGCTGTGCCACGGAATTGCTCCCACTGGGTGAGAATGCAGACGGCTGAAGCCCCCTCGACGGCATCTCTCCACCCGCTAACAATCTTGATGCGGCTCATCATCTCGTCGTCATTGACAAGCCTTCGTATTTCCTGCTCGACCTCATCGGGCGCGCAGCCAGGATCGAACACCGCAATTTCGCGTGGTTGCTCGAGGGCAAGCTCAGCGATGATGTGAACTGCGACACTGTTTCGGGTGTCGTTTGTGCCGTCCTTGAAGGCAAATCCAAATATGGCCAGCTTCTTGCCTCTGAGAGTGCCATTCAGCTTGCGAATGGCAGTTTTTGTGAATCTCTCGCGCTGGTACTGGTTGATGTCTAGCACACTAGTCCAATAGTCTGCAACTTCAGGCAGGTGTAGACACCGGGCCAGGTACGCCAGGTTCAGGATGTCTTTCTCGAAGCAACTCCCGCCGTATCCCACGCCTGCATGCAGGAACTTGGAACCCAGGCGGGAGTCCGCGCCCAGGGCGCGGCTGATCTCCTCAACATCAGCACCGAGCTCCTCGCACAGCGCGCTGACGGCGTTGACGCTGCTGATGCGCTGGGCCAGCATCGCGTTGGCGACGAGCTTGGCCAGCTCGGAGGAGAAGGTGTTGACGGTGAGGACGCGTTCTGGCGGCACCCACGCGGTGTAGACGTTGCGGAGGGCCGCGGCCGCCCGCAGGCCCGTCAGCCCTGTGCCGCTGCCTATGAGGATCCGGTCTGGCCGCATCAGGTTGGCGACGGCGGAGCCCTCCGCGAGGAACTCTGGGTTCGAGAGCACCTCGAACGACGTCTCAGGTCGGTACTGGCGGAGCTGTGTGTTTGTGCCTGACGTTAGCCTCGACACGTGCTTGGCAGTTGAATGATGTTTGCTTTTCCCCCCTCTTCATCTTTCATCAAATAGTGTGTTTCAGTGCACCACCCGAGACATCATGACGGGCATTTCCGTCCAGCCTCACACGGCATGTCCAAGATGGGAAGGTCTCTGTTTGTATGACGAAAGAAAAACCAAAGCAGAGACAATGTGGCGGCGGGCGTGAAACCTCGGGCAGACTTACAATATCAGAAATAATTCTTGCAGTTCCACAGGGGACTGTGCTTTTCTCAACAATCACCGCGCCACTCTTGGCGTTCTTCGCGATCGTCCTCGTCGCTGCCTCCAGGGCTCCCAGGTCCGCGCTGGCGCCGGCTCCCATGCCGTACATCTTAGTGGGTGTGTTCACACAGATGAAGATGATGTCTGCACTGGCGATACAAGGGGTGACGTTGGTTGAAAAGAAGAGGTTAGGCTTTCGCGCCGGGAGGTAGACGCTGGATGAGTCGCTCATGCCGGAAACCCCAGAGACGGTGGCCTCGTTGGTGCCGTCTCGAGCAATTCGCACGATCTTGGGGAGTCCCGTCTCGTGGATGGGCAGGTGGTTTCCGTTCCATGCTGCGATGCGCTCAGTGTTGAGGTCCACAACGTTGACGGTGATGGAAGGGTTGTGGTAGGCGATGAGGGCCGCCGTGGGGCCACCTAAAGCATTGTCAGCGCTGAACGATGTGATATCAGTGAGATATCCAAGGGTGGTGCGTACCGACGAAGCCTGCTCCGACGAAGCAGATATTCCTCACTCGAGGAGCCGATGACAGCGTTGTGAGGGTGGTGTCTGAGCGGGTGCGTCGTTGCACTCCATCGAGCCGGTCTGGCTTGCGGTCAGGAGACTCGCCGCGGGAGCTGGGAGGAGAAGTGACGGGTGTAGCCTCGCCAGATCCCCAGACGTCCGATACTGAGGACCTGGTAGTCATGATCGAGTCTGTACTCATCTCACGCAACAGCGGCGGCATGGTGATGATTGCCGGGTGAGTATCCATGATGCAACCAGGATCGCAACAGTTGTGCGAGGAATGTAAAAGCGAGTGTTTGATTGTATCAATGGATAAGCGAAGAATATGCGACTGTGAAGGGTGACCGCAGAAATGAGAAACCACACTGGGGGGGACGCAAGTTGATCGACAAGTTGGGTTTTCTCATTATATTCAAAACGGCATCGTTATATGTAGCGAGCCGGATTGATGCCTGCGCTTGTCCGCCAGACACAAGTCCGATTTTCAGCTGGACACCGCCCATGCGCTGGCCTCTGGTCTGGCCGTCGATTTGGACCCATTCGATTAGTTTTCCAAAGACTTGGCTATCGCGATCTGTGGCTCCCAGCTCCCTGTATGAGGCTTGAGTCTATTCCCAAGTTCGACCATCAACAATCAGTCTGGCCTAGGCTTCCGGCCTTCGGGTGGCGAAATACCCGGGAAAATGAGGAGATATCAGAGATCGCCGCCTGTGAGTTATCTTTTCCTATCAGATCTCGTCCCATACTCAGACAATCTTGGGCCGAATATGTTGTGGTCCCACGTTGTGTTAGCCGCTGATGTACCATGTTCCTGCTTTGGCACCACCCTCCCGCTTCGTACCATAAACGAGTAGGAATTATCCCATGCTCAGCCGGCGTTTCCCTGCCAGCCTGCCTGGTCCAGCGCGCCGAGACTTGTAACAAGTCAGGTCTCATGATGGTGTAGTGTAGACATCCCGGCTTGAGCTGTAAGACTTCTTTGACAAGCGGGCTATGTGCGAGCCATGATAGGGATAGATCGCTTCGTCAGCTGGGTGGAGTTCCGATGAAGATAGTCGCAATTTGCCAGAGACCTAGACCGTCGCAGTATCCAAAAGAGGCGTGCGACTAAATTTGCACATCACTCCTCCATTCAAAACACATGCACGCAGGCCTGGACTGGATTGGACCGTTGCTTTGATTCAGCTCACGATTGCTGCCGCGAGACATGCAGCTCGGAAAGCATTATATGCTGTGCTCATTCGGTTCAGGTTGACTCCAATAATGCCTTATGTTCTCTCTCTCATTTCAAACCGTTACTAGGTATCAAACACCTGAGATATCAAGTTACATTTGGACTTTGTCGAAAGTGTAGACAAAGAATGGCAAATTCCGTGATACACATGGTCGATGGAGCTAGGAAGCCCCCTGTGGCGGATGGGTCCCGGGGCCGCGGTAATAGTTCCTGAAAGGGGAAGACTGAAAAAGGTTCTGACATAGTCTCACCAGCTACTTTGTGTAGGTGGCTCTTGGTGGCGCACAAGAAGAAACGCTCTATTGGATGTGAAAAGCCACCATTTCATTGACTCGGCACATGTTAGTGCATGCATCGTAGTTTTTACTTGCCGGGCGGCACAAATCCCTGTAAAAAATATTTATGGCGACTGTACCTTCTGGGCAGGGGATGAACACATGGTATCAAGGGGGAAAAGAAGTAATTGGGCGCCACTTCTCTTAGTGGCCATGGCGTGCTTAGGTAGCAATTCTGCAGGCTGAACCAGGAGGTGGACATGCTTAGGCTGCGCACTTTAGTCGAGTATCTTGTCCCGGGAAAATCTGTATCACAACCTTATCTCAGCCCCACTTTCAGAGTGTTACCCAAGACCAACCAAAAAAAGCTATCAAGTACCGCTAGAGTACAGGGGTACCTGCGGAGCATCCGTTTGCATTCCAGTGATTGTTTCCTAGACAGCCATGCGCCTAGATAGGAAAATGGAGTGAAGTGGACTGTTCACAATTCACAAAATAGCGTGAGGGTTCTGTGCAGCTCATTGCTCACACACATGCGTGACAAGTGAGCAACAGACGGCTACTGGAGTCCTCACACACCTGCTGCACTTGTCCTCATTTTACTGGGCCAAATGTGACACTTCCTTTCTCCCCGGAGTAATCCCTACCAGCCATTCACACATACTTGCCCATCGTATTGTTGGACGGCTGTGAACCCTGAGAGCGCTGGAATTGGCACTTACTGTCAGAGCATATTTCTGGGCTTCTTCCACAGGCACTCTTCACCAGTTTTTGGAACACACATCACTCAGTCTCCCCATCCATTCCAGACTCTCTAGACCCTTTCCCCGTACCATACTCTTTCGAGATTCGTTTGCCCAGGGTTGATAGCAGCCCAGGATGATACCACCCGCACATGCAGCCCTCTTGGCAGCTACCCTGGCTTTGCTGTCTGGTGTCAACGCCTCCAAAAAATCGGCTTCCTCAAACGGCTACGATGCCATCATATGTGGCCAAAATGGTTACTCAGATGACTCTGGTCTATCATGTAAGTGCCCCTCCTTCGCTATTCACTACACAAACCCACTGTAAACACTCCTAGGAAATTTATTCTGACAAAGGAAAAGACAGTGCAAACGCCTGGAATCCTGACGACAATGGTTTCCAGTGCCTTTCAGTAAGCTACCCTGTGTGATGCGGACAGTTCTATGCGGCCCGAGACATTTTCCCGTGTCTGCAAGTCATATCACCTTTCCTCAAGTGCGTTGCACTCGGTCGGGAAGAACTGATTTGACAAGGCTTGCCTGCATATCTTTACTAATTCCTTCAGATCATCAACGCAAGCTCTTCCACCACCAGTGGCTTCGATGCCACATGGAAGTGGCCGGGAGATCCAGATGCAGTGCATTCTTTCCCGCATGTAACATTCTTGTCGGATGACCTGCCGGTCACCGTATCTAACATCTCCGCCCTACGGCTGGCCGCATCATGGGCGTACGCCCCTGGCTCGATCTCTACGGCTGATGACGCGGGACGCCTGGACGGGTTTGACACCAACGGCCTCAATGACATCGGGGCAAAAGCCAACATCGCGTTCGATATGTTCATGGACATGGACAAAGTCAAGGCAGCTTCTGCTACAGCTGCCAAGTATGAGATGATGATTTGGATCGGTCAGGTTGGCAATCCTTATCCTCTCGGATTCGATTCTGAGAATGCCACCTGTTACACCCAACAGCTAGGCTCCTTCAACTTGTGAGTTGTTTTTCTTATCCTACTCCCTTGTCACTTCTACACCAAGGGTTCATTCAGCTTTTTCAGCTACCCTTGAATGCAACCTTGTCATGCGGGACCCCCGGTCCTCAGCTCAGCCCGATGCGCTTCCCCTGTCACCCATCGCATTGTAACACCATGCACCTTTTTCGCTCTCGGCCTCCAACCCATCCCGGCCTTAGTGGCCTGTCACACCCTGCGCTCGGCCGAGCGTCGACAGGGGGCCGGCCTCATCTCGGCACGCACTGCTACTGTGGGGGTATCCACCACGCCAATCCTATCTGATGGGCCATCGCTCGAGGCTTAATCCTGGTCATCCCCAAATGATACTGTTGGCCAATCACTGAAGATTTTCTTTTTGCAGCACGCTGTACACAGGCCAAAACTCCCGAGGCACACTGGTCTACAGCTGGGTCTCACCAGCAGATCAAACGTCGTTCGATGAGGACATAACTCCGCTACTGCAATATCTCTGGCGCAACGAGCTCGTATCTGCCGACGCCCGGATCGGGCTTGTTGAATTTGGTTCCGAAGCTTACCACTCGGGCAACAATGTCACCTTCAGCGCCGGAGATTTTGACATGAACGTATGGCTCGGGACGCCTGTCAAATTTGAGCTGAACCCAGTTGCAGATCACTGCGAAGCGCCGGAGAGCCCAGCTGGCCCACAAGGCACGGGCTCATCCTCATCGGAAAAGGGCATGGGTCTCAGAGCTAGAGAAGCTCCGATGACAGGAGTCATTGTGATGGTCGTCGCCATAGTTTCTGCGTTGGCAAGCTTAGGCTAGTCTGGCTCGTGGCTTTTCCACTATTACCCGTTTTGTATGCCACTTCAACAGCTGTCGGTATCGATGGCTTGCTACCTGGCCTCTCAATGTTTATTATTCGTCGTTTCATCATCATCGCCACTTTTCTTATCATACTTTCAAATTCCATTTTGGTCATCCGTGCGATGTGGCTTTTTCTCTCTTGCGGCTCATCGTTCTCCCCGGTTACCCAAGTGATACCTTCACGCCCGCAAGACATATCACCCCTCCTGAACGTGTGAACACTTTACTGGAGAAGTCCTTGTTCGGCGATGGCAAACTCTGCTTTCTGCTTTTAGTATCACTCTAGCGTGAAGCCATGCCCGTCTCTGCATACTTCTTTCATACTTTTCGCTGATAACCGAGATTTTCTTCAGCGGCCTGCCAGCTTCCGAGGTGGAAACCCCTGCACTCTAGACTCTCTTCTTGATGTTTTGCTTCTCACCGACTACCCTGCCGGGTTCTCCTCTTCCCGGAGTGCCCCTGGTGGGGTTAGCTCGTCTAGTCTTGGACAATTCTGGACGATGAAAAAAGAATGGCCACTGCCTGGACCGACATGCAGGTGACTTTTGCCCGTATCGGTGAACGGGCGGACAAACAAAATGTTATCTGCCTTAGCCACGTCGGACCCCCAAAGCGCGTTCGAGAATGGCAATTGGGCCAGGGTCTAGAGCTCAGGTTCGAGGACCTGAAAGACGAATTGGGCTTAGGCACAGAATACATTCGATAGTCTCTGTTGCCATCGTTGATCCACAACTCTCACCTGATGCTTGGCATACTCCAGTGAGGCAAATCCCAACTATCAAGATCAACTCCCGCCTATCACATAACTAATACAAACTCTCATCCACTTTTCCATGAGTTCTGACTTAGTTTTTGTGTCTGTGCTTTTTAATTTAGCTAGAGTTGACGGCTGCTCTCTTTGAATCACTTGTTGTCACGCATCTCGGCTCTTCTTCACACTCGCTCGCACTCGCTCGCCTGCATCTTGTTCCCCTCTCAAAGTTGGAACCCGCTATTCACACGCTCTCTTTTGTTTCAGTTCGTTTACTTTGCCGTTGCTCAACTGCAGTGGTGACACCTATTCTGTTGAACTACCACGCCGTTGCCCGTCATGAGGCCTGCTCCATCACCGCCTGCGCGTGCTGCCGGCAATCCCTTCGAGGCTCGCGAATATCAAGTTTCGCAAGGCTCTCGACCAAGCAGCATTGGCCACTCCTCTCAGGCCTCGACTGTGAGTCTATGCTACCAGATCTGATGTGAAGAACACTGACTAACAATAATCATAGGATTCCTCTCTGCCTCGTGTTCCTGCCGCAACTGTCTCCCCGGCATCCGTCCGAGGCCACAGTCGACTCGCAGCAAGCCCCATTCGCCCAGAAGATCCTGAGATTGTGAGTCTTGATTCACAGAAATCTGCCAAAAGCGAATCTCACTAACGACTTACAGACTCCTGCTCCACCAGTGACTGAGCAACAGTCACAGGTAGATTCCAACGCAGGGGTCATCAATGAGAAATCCGTCCCCTTCGATTCGGACCCAGAATCAAGTGCCACTCCAGGGAAGTTCACAACAGGCGACAAAAATGAGGCCGACAATTTCCAAGCAGCGGGTTCGTCGGGTGAGGCCAAGGCCAAGTCCCGCAACCCTTTCAAGCGGTCCTACCACTGGATGCGCCGCACCTATTGTCCCATAGAGGAGCCTCCTCTGGTCCTCCCAAGTTGTCCCACAGATGCTGAGAAGCTGTCGTATGTCCACACCAACCGAGTTCCACTGTACATATTCGGCATCTTTTCTTTCCTCTCCCTATCAGCCGGAATGTGGCTGTTCTCACTCTGCGCAACCCCATTCTACTGGTACGGCGCCTTTGTCGGCTTCCTGAACATCTACCTCCTCATCAGCTACTGGGTCGGCGTAGTCGGCAAGGACTGGGACTACGAAGCTCACAAGCAGCGAGTTGAGCGGCACCCACTCAACGACGAGACCTCACCCACAGTGGACGTCTACCTCCCCGTGTGCGCCGAGGAGGTTGAGATCCTGGACAACACATGGAAGCACATCACTCAGCTGGACTGGCCCGCGGACAAGATCCAGGTGCACGTCATGGACGACGGTGCCAACCCTGCGGTCCAAGAGCTCGCACAGCGCTACGGCTTCAACTACACTGTGCGGGAGGACCGGCCACGGCTGAAGAAGGCGGGCAACCTGCGGTGGACGTTCGCCCGGACGAGTGGCGAATTCTTTGCCATCTTCGACGCCGACTTCTGCCCCCGCCCAGATTTCCTCAAGGAGTTGATGGTGGAGCAACTCGACGATGAGAAGGTCGCCATTGTGCAGAGTCCGCAGTTCTTCCGCGTCACGGATGAGCAGACGTGGGTTGAGCAGGGGGCTGGTGCGACGCAGGAGCTGTTCTACCGTGTCGTTCAGGTCAACAGGAACCGGTGGGGTGCCAGTATCTGTGTCGGAAGTAATGCGTTGTATCGTCGGGCTGCTCTTGTGGATGTTGGAGGTACAGCGGAAATTGGATTCTCTGAGGATGTGCACACAGGGTAAGTGACGATGCGCAAGTTGCATGAGAGTCTTTGATGCTGACGCGAGACACAGCTTTGGCGCTGTCGACAGAGGCTGGAAAGTCCGCTATATCCCTCTTTGCCTCGCAACTGGCGTTTGCCCTCCCACGCCACGCGCTTTCTTCTCACAGCAGATGCGCTGGGCCCGAGGCAGTACTACGCTCCTTACCAACGGTCACTTCTGGGTGTCAGAATTGACGTTTGTGCAGAAGGTCTGCTATCTCTGTGGTAAGTCTGCTAGCCGTGACATCAGGAAGTATCAGCAACTGACCAGAGTACCTTCTTTACAGGCTTTCTGTACTACTCAGCTGTCTCCCTGGGCATCTTCATCTCACCCATCCCCGGAATCCTCCTTCTCTGGATCCGGCCTGAGTGGTTCAAGTACTACAACCTCGCCTTCGCAATTCCCTCGCTCTTCTACGGCCTCGTCGTCTTCCGAGTCTGGGCCAAGGCTTCATACGGAATGAACGTCCAGCACGTCATGCTGATCCAGTCCTATGCCTATCTGACCGCCATCAAGGACCGGTTGTTCAACATCGAGCTAATGTGGGCGGCCTCTGGGGACGCCAAGGCACACAAGAGCCACAAGTACCGCAACATGCGAATCCTCTGCTGGGTCTGGAGCATAGCCACATTTGGCGGCATGGTCAGTGCCGTGACTTGGAGGCTGACACATGGATTTGAGTGGTATAACCCGATCCCACTGATTTTGCTGAACCTTTACAATCTTTATGTTGCACATCGCTTCCTTCTATGCAACTGGTAGAGAGTTCCATTCCTCCCATGAGAGCAGCGGACCGTATGTGGAATCCTGGCTACGTCTTGGCTTGATGCCCAGTTCTCTCTTTTTCCTTTTCTAGACACTAGCTCTAATTATCATTTCCTTGCATACACGGCGGAGAATTCAGGTGGAAAAAAAATTCACTCATTTGTCCGTCGTCTATCTCACTCATTGAAATTTTTAACAAAACAAGCATGATTTATTTCATGATATTATTAGACTTAATAGACCAATAGAGCAGGTGATGAAGCCAGGAAATCCCAATGATAGGTTGCACCATACCTCGCGATTCAATGTTATTATGAAGGAGAAATGTCAACAGTCTACTCGATTTCTATAAGGAATGAGATCTACATTTTGCAGTTTTTTGCATCGATTTTGAGTGCATTTGTAATGACCCACACCTCAATGCCATGTATGCTGTGTGACTTGGCGAGGTGCTGATGCATTGGTGGGATGGGAGGTGGCAATTTCCAACATGTGCTTGCCTGCACAGAAGCCCACATATGTGTGCATGCATGTGAACATCTTCATATGGTATCCTGAAATAATTTTGACATTGTTTTCAGAAAACCAGACCCTCACCCCATGGAGTTTCCAGGCTCATACAAATGTGAGCTAAGAAGTCCGTACATGCTCATCTCCCAGCCTGATATCCTTCTTTTTTTTGGTACTTCCAATCAAACGGAATACCAACTCACGACGAATGCTCGACTTCTCCAGCCCCGGGCTCCGTAGTCTTCTCCTGTATTTGCATCCTGCTCTCTCTTCTCTGCCACGGGGTCTCGCCTCCCCATCCATGCTTCTGAACCCTCTTGCTTGTCTTCACAGCATCCTTTTCCAAGAACAACCAGTCAATCTCTTCAAGAGTAAGGTTACTGGTTTCAGGATAACAGAAGTACACAAGCGGGACAAATGAAAAGTTGAGAGCCATGAATATGAGGTATCCCTTCCATGCCAGATTATTCAGCAAAGTTGGTGTGACCATGACAACAAAGAAGTTCCATAGCCAGTTAGAGGATATTCCAACTGCGGTTCCTTTTGCTCGGACGTGCAATGGTAGGACCTCAGGTACATATACCCACTACAAACAATTGAGAGTCAGCTATCAAGGCACTGAGGGAGAGCTATGTCGGGGGAAAAGAAAAGCGGGTGTTGAGACGATATATTTCTGTAGCCCATCTCAATGATCACAACTTGACGAAAGGGCTTTGAAGCAAAGAGTACAATAGCTCTCGGATATAGTTGAGATCGAATAAAACTGTGTCCTGATTATACGTACCGGAATGCAGTTGGCGGTGGCGCCGAATATGAGCATATAAGTGAAGAAGAAGGTTACGCTGGCAGAGGATGTCGACTTGGCTATCTGACCACCCCTATCCTGGAAGCTGAGAAGGATCGAAATCATCATCATCGATATACCGAGTCCGAATGATCCCCACATCATGGGCTTACGACGACCGTATTTATCCTATGATATCTCGCATTAGTTATGTTTCTCGCTGTCAGGCGCAACTCACCACCGGATGACACGGAAAGATTTCTTTACAAATACTGTTACGTACCAGAAAGAATGTTGGGAAAAGGGACCCAAAAAAGAACATGGCGTTGATGACTCCACCTAATAGCAGAGAAAGTTGTCGAGACAGCCCAACGTTCAGCTGCAAAACGCTTGTGATATAATAGACAACCAAGTTGATACCACCCATCTGGTTCATGAATTGCATGCCGTATGCGAGAAGAACCCGTCTCCCAGTTTGGACTTCGTCGCGCTTCAGAAGATTGGACCAGCGGTACTCCCCATGCTCCCGTTCGATCTTGAGAGCTTCCAAGATTTCGCCCTGCTCTTTTGCGATCTTCGGATCATCTGGAGGTCTGTCATAGACCTTGCAAAGAATTTCAAGGGCTTCTTCTTCCTTGCCGTGCGCGTAAAGGTACCGAGGAGACTCGGGGAGGCCAAAGACCAAAACGATGACGACGAACGCGAATATCATCTGGCTTGCAATGGGGAGTCGCCATGCGATGGAGCCAGGAACGAAACTCATTCCGTAGTCGTACCAGTATGCGATCTCTATCCCTACTCCAACAAACAGAGGCTCTGACGAGACTAGCCGCCCGCGCTTAGATGCTTCACAAAGCTCAGATTGGTACATCGGTACCGTGCTAGTTTCGATTCCGGTGCCGATTCCGGTGACGAAGCGTGCGATCATGATGTGGGGTACTGTGAAGGCACTCGTTTGTAATGCCGCTCCGACCTATAGCTTGAGGTTTTAGCAAAGTTCGTGTTGACCATGACTGGTAAATAGACTTACAATGATGAACACCATGGCAATCCACATCGCCAGCCGCCGACCGGTCTTTTCGCAATAAATGAATGATAGTATACAGCCGGTGAAGCAACCTAAATTGTATATGCTGACAATAATACCCTCCAGACTGGGGTTGGGATGCCCGAACTGTAGACGTGGTTAGTAGTGCCTCTGATCATTCCACCATCGCAGGAGTAACTCACTGTATTGAGGAAGTCTTCATTTCCCACGATTCCGCTAAACACTCCTTGGTCGTATCCAAAGAGAACAAAGGCCTGCGTCGAGTCAGTTATGCACAGTAACACCTATGGGACCCTATGGTAATGAGATTGCGAAGAACGGATGGGTCCATCTGGAGCTGCAATACTCATACCGCACGGGTGCGCAACCAACGAAATGATCCAACGTTCAAAAGAACCTGCAATAAGGATCTTACCATCTGGCACGCTATCGTAATAGCTATTTGAAGCTTTCTGCCCCGACCAAACCAATTAGTCTGAATCATGATGTGCGGTCCTTTCGAGTCTCTAGAGTCTTCGATGATGTTGAGAGGTCATCACACCAGAGTTTGTGAAACGTGGGAGGAAATCTAGGAATTAAGCCTCAAGGGAAGGCCGTTGCATTTTAACGGTTCATGGTTGCATATCCACTTGATCTTGCCCCTCAGAGCCATTGCCGCTTACCGGCACTATTCCGATGTCAGATCATCCAGTCGGCTTGCCAGAATAGGACGAGCCGGTGACGTTTGCAGACTAGGAAGTGAGCGGCCAAGTCAATGTACTGTTTGACTGGAGCGGATCCAAGTCGAAACGTGGGGAATGATCGACAAATCTTGTCGGTTGTGGGGCTTTACCCCGGAAATGACCCATATTCCCGGGTGATTCCCCAGATCTGGGGTGGGAGTCTGGGGTAGTGGGTTCGGACAGCCGGCATCTGTCTCCTGCGCGTGACTTGACCAGCATAACCTTCTCGTAGGATAGACTGATGCAGTGAAACCAACTGGGGTGTCGGCCAAGAGGAATTTGAGACATAGCCAGTTCAATCACTGCGAGTGTTACGTGAGCCATGTGACTACTGTAACAGACGCCAGATGTGACCATCTGCCTGTGATTTTGTTTTTGTAACGGCTGTCAACCAGCAAGTTCTCGTCTCTAAGACCATGAAACTGTTTCTCGCAGCGATCCTATCTTCCTAATGTCGACGTCGCTGACTTTGACCGTACCCCATCCAAATTGGACCCTTCTTACATGCACTCTTACTCCCGTGTAGCTGTATTTCAACGTTTTGAAGTATTTTTCTCTATAATCTACGTCCATATGACCTCCTATACATAGCCTTCCAATCGAACCGGTCAGTTCAGCTCAGTTGCAACTTGGTCAGGAAGGCGCCCTCGCTGCAATGATTCAACACGGTGCCTTCAAAGCAGGACTTGTTCAGCGGCTCCCTCGTGGACTTCGTACTGCATTGAAGCTCAGCCCGTCCTCACCTCAAGCATTACTATGAAGCCGCAGTAAATCTGGATCTTGTCAAACCTCTTTATGCCAATGCCCTAGCTTGCTGCTCAGCTTCGCCACCGGCGCAACGAGGTATTCAGACCGACGATGGAGTAAAACCTCCTTAAAGCCTAGGAAACAGTAGTAAAAACGTCGAAGACCAAGAGGATGTCGATGATAACGACCTCTCTCTGTAAGGTGTCAGCACTGGGAAGAAAATTAGGTTTTAAGGATTCGTACAGATTAAGAACATCCATCCTTATGCATTGTAAAACTTTCCTCTTCCCCGCTAAGCCCGTAAATGTATCCCAGCTCACCAATGCGTTCAGCCGATAAGGCTGGCACCCCCTAATCACGCGCTGGCTCTTTCATTGAAGAGGGAAGGAGTTTCTAATACTTATGTGTCGAGTGCTTCGTCGCGATCGCTGAAGGCAGGCGCTCGCTTCCGTGCGACCTCACGATGATAAACTAGGTCTTTTCCACCAGGAGATCTAGCCCAGCTCGCGGATCTGAAAGTCGGTACTCAGAAAGACCTCCATGCCTTAATGTGTGTAGATTAGATGTCTGCGATGCTTTTAGTAAAAAGGTATCCCTGTGTGAAATCGGTAGCGCTGACCTGACTAGAAGGCCTGACAAGCCAAGCTTGTTGGGCTCAATCTACACTGGCACTGCGTCGCCATGTTTATTCAAACATAAGTTTTCGATAAAAAGTGGGCAGCTTCTCTACGACCTTAAATGTCCAGCCTATGTCCTGGGATCTTGGGTCGCTGCGAGATTGCGTAGTTGTCATCGCTCCGTGGTAAAGGCAGCTGGCGGCCCGCTTATGGGAGTATAAGGTGCATAAAGACGAATACTGGAACGCGGCTGGAGATGATTGAAATCGCAGTAACTTCTCATCGCGCACGCAGAGATTAAGTTTCTCAGCCGTGTCGAAAAGTGAGTAGACTTTTCCATCCTGAAGATATCGTAAATTCCCAGAGCTACTGTCCATACAGCTTCTAGTGTTATCGCATTGGAGGGGAGTTCGCGGATTATCACCCCAGTTAGACCAGGGCATGCGGCTTACCTTTTTTCTGAGTGATGAATTAGGTGGAAAGCCCCTTCGGGGCCCTGGGTGTTGAAGGTATAGGGACTGTCAGCCGCTCGGTCGAGGTGATCGCTTGTGTTCCACAGTTATGAGCCATTGGTTCGTTTAAAAAGCGTTAGCTTTAAATCTCTTGAAACTGTCCTGGGGCTGCGCAGACGCTAAACCCTGTACAAAAAGGTTCGCGGCTACTGGTTGCAATTCCTGGGGCTAACCTAATTATTCGTTCAAAGCGATCTAACCGTCTTTAAGGTCGCGAGTTCGAATGCCCAGAAGTTGGAGCGTCAGCCGTACTGCTTTATGCCGGTCCGCCTGGGGTGTGTGTTGAACCTATAGGGGTTGTCAGCCTCTCGAACGAGGCGATCGCTTTTGTTCCACACTGGGAGCTATTCGTCTTGGTATTCCTGCTGGGAGGCCATAACACCTGGCGGTTTATTCAGCACCCGGACAAGGGCCAAGGACCAATCCCGTTCAGAGACTATTAAGAAACTGCCAGGTGTTTACACGCTATTCTATACGAGTATCCCACTCAAGCGCGACAGTGTGAATGGCCGTAGCCACCCGACGTTCTGACAATTTGAGCCGCTTTACTACCTGAGTAATGCCACATCTGACAGCTTCGAGTAGGATCCTGTACTACCAGTCCGCTGTGCCTTCGCATGAGTGTCAGCAGCAGCTGCATCACTAATTCAATCACTCGATTGAATATTACATCTGACAGCTTCGAGTTCCTGTACTACCATTCCGCCGTGCCTTCGTACGACACTAATTCAATCACTCGATTGAATATTGAGTTGCAATTGAATGTTTCCTAATCGATAACCAATATAGAAAGACTGCCACAGCTGGTATCTATTCACTCAAAACATTCACTATCGGGCCAGTAGGTTATAAATAACACCGGCCTTCCCTCACCACTAACTAAACACTGAGCCTTCCCTCACCACCAACTACACCAACTAAGCACTGGGCAGTGGGCCTTCCCTCACCACCAACTTAACATTGGGCCTTTCCGTCCACCAAATAAAGAGCTCGTTCACTCAATTGATCGATTGAAGTCTTACTTATGCATTCTTCACTCCCATCATCCATTCTTCGTGAGAATTTGATCACATGCGCGAATAGGACCAAGATGGACACCCAGCAAGACCATGGCCTACACCATCAATCTCAAACGACGGACTTTACAAGATTCTCCCAGCTTGAAGCAGACCGCCAGAAGGAATTGGTTCACAAGAAATTGCAAGACAAAATTCCAGGCCACATGTTCGATGTGGAGAGCAAAGGGGACCCTGTCTATCAATTTGAAAACACCATTCTAGATGAAGATGACTTCAAGGCCAAGTGGGCGGCCTATCAGAGTCTCAGCGATCAGCCACAAGACCCCGTTGCCGCTGACGATTTTCCACTCGACACGGAGACCCAGCAAGATCTGGTCAAAAAGCTGGTTCAAGCGATGTTGAGCCTGGACGCTGCCAGAGACAAGCGTACGAAGAAACCAATCAATCGCATAAAGAAACTAAGCCTCTGGGAATTGGAGCTGATGGCGTGGGCTGTCCTCTACGAGATTAGGGACATCCAGCATGGCACATTTTCTATGCCCCTCTGGGGGAAGGTCTGGCCTCCCCAGAAATGCCCCACCTTCATGGATCGGTACAGGAAAGTGGAGGAGGCTTTACGCATGCGCAAGACAAATGTGTCCAGCCTTTTCGACAACTCGTTTCGGAAGCGCATCTGCCTTAATCCGGCTGCAGAGTGTGGACTGAAGAAGTTCAACCACAACCTCAATAAGAAGAAGCAATACGAGCGGAACTTCGTGAAGATGGCCCTGAGGAGTCAGGGGGCGGGGCAACTTGCAACAAGAAGTAACAACTTTTCCCACTCGCAGAAGAAGAAAGCGGTCGCAGAGATCAGATCTCTGTACGATAACGACCCGCAATTGCGAGAGATGTTGAACAGCCTACCTGGCAATCAACAAGCAGATGAAAGCTTGATATTCCCAGTCGATAACAACGTCGACGAAGAGGAATGGAACGCAGAGCAAAGATCTCTGAACGATAACCAAAGGCAAGAGGTATTGAACAGCCTAGGCGACAATCAGCATGCAGTAGGCAACGACCAGGAGTGGGTCGAATTCTTGGACCCCTCAGTCGAAACAAGCAAGTGGCCGGAGCCTTCAGCGATCCAGGCGACAACCAATGAGGCGAACTCTTGAGCTCTCAGGCGACAGCCAGCAGATGGCTATTCATGACACGCCTCACTCGATGACGCAACAGCAAGCTTTGGGCACAGAGCCAACTAGTATGCCTGAGCTTTTAGGCATCTGGGGAGTCAATTTCCAAGATGTCTCGTCCCAGGGCTAAGCTGATGATGCTAGCACTCCCAGCGGCTTCAACAATATCTAGGGATAAATGGGCTTCCACAGAATCCCCCATGAACGAGTCCAGTCCAAAAGCAACGATGCAAGCTCAAAAGTCAAAACAAAGAGCTTGTCTGATTATGACGGAATGAAGGACAAACAGAATTGAGTGCGAGAGGCCTTGAGAAATGCTTGCATTGCGCCTTGACGCTAATCCAATCGGGTCGGACGGCGCCACATGCGATGTGTTGGTTCTCAAGACGTGAGTGCCTGGTTCCTAGCTTGATGGATTGTAGAAATGATACGTGCTCTACGTTTGGTCGAGCGTTGGCTCTTCAGCCTTCCAATTATGACTGATGTTTGTGGGGATTGAGGAGGCATCGTTGTTGTCAAGTCTCGCATTGGCAATCCATCTCTAGATGGTGGGTGGTGCCTAATGTAAAACATTCTTTTAACTTAGACTGATGAATGAAGCCATTCCTGGAACCTGCCTACCTTAGCCGCGTTTTAGAAGTTTGGAAATGTGCTCTGGCTTGAACGACTCCAGCTCCCTGGCGTTATATGTCGTCACCGGAGGTGCTACCCTACGCTGAAGATACCTAGTGGAAGCCTCCTGGACTTGTTGTCACACTGCTTTGGCAAGTCATCCCCCCGCGTACTATTCGTGTCACAAAGCTCTCGTCCTACGATTCTTATTCACGGGTTTGCTAATATCACGGTCTAGAAAGCAGAAGCGTATTTTCTTCAGGACTATAACAGGACGTCAATAATGAATCCGGAAGTCATCTTCCCGAGCCTTAGACAAAGCGATAAGAGGACTCTTTGCGCACGACGCGTCCATAGTTTCGGTTGTGCGGTCCACGGCTAGGTGAGAAACTTTGTCTGAACATTGTGAGCTGATAAACGAAGTAGGAGAGCAATGTATCATTTTTCATCGATGAAGCAAACAAAACATGACTCGGACCAATCGGCATTGATGGCAGAAGGTCGATCGCTGCTCCTCTTGGCCTGAACACCCATTGGAAGTAGCATCGAACCGTCGTCCCGTGGTGGATCCGCTGCGACGTCGAGCGGTGACAGGACTGAAGCCAAGCTCCGACATGACCCGTGCGGTTCGTAAGGATGGGTGGGATACTATTGTCCACAGAAGACTGAATTGTCTTGAAACTGTTCAGTGTTCGGGTGAGTTGGGTTTGGCAGGAAACGTAAAGCATCAGTGGAATTTCGGCATCATTTCTGGAAACCCGCTTCAGCTGAAGCTCAGCGAGTGCTAATGAACTCCTTAGCTCCAACCTCCATGAGGGTGGTGATGGACGTCACCCTGGCCGGATGGCTAAACCTAAAAGAACCCCACAGGCCGACAATGCCTCAATAATTACTCCGGGGCGCGCGTGCTCAGCTGCAACCCAAGCGTCAATTCAGACTGGAATTGCGTTTACAGCACAGCAAAAACACGGTATAACTTAAACCCCACGAATCTCCCTCAGAAATCAGTAGCGCGCATGCTTGGTTTCAAAGGTATGCCAAGAGGCTTGCCGACCTGCCACGAGAGTCTCCATAGAAGCCCAGACTAGAAATGAACATAATCAAGGCGGGCCGAGAAGAATGCGGGGCCCCGCAATCTAAGTGGATCTTTCTCTCGTGACTAGCTGTCAGGGATAGAAGCTACGGATGAGACGGGGTTGAGGGCATACGGCACAGATAGCGTTAAAAAGGACAGCGTCAGCGGCCATAAGAGGGCCCGCGGTCCGGCCGACAATGGCAGAGAGCCGTAGATGCCAGATCCGAGCAAGCAGAGCACGAATCTGCAGCGTTCTGAGCTGACCCGCAGTGAAACAATGCGCGTGTTGGCTTCCAAGGTTTCGAGAAAAATGTCAGATCGAGTTGCACTGGCAGCTGGCCCTTGGCCTTCAATGCTGCAGCTCGGCCTGTCATGTTGTACTGACAACATTCTATACTTCCAAGGTTGTACAACATGCAGCAAGGACCCGTGTGACAGCAACGTTGCCCATAGGAGGGTCCATGTTGAGCCTCAATGATGCCGATCGCACCCAAACCGGTGCGATGTTGCTAATCTACACAGGGCTTCGCGAGCTTCTGGTCACCTCGTGGTCCAGAGCGGCGCCACGTTCCCTAGCACCCGCGGTCGTGAAAACTACACCCCGCTCCAGCCCCAGCTGAGTTTGACCAAGACAAGCGCAAGGGGCTAGTGTTCCCTCGAAGATGGTAGTTCGCTCGCGCCAAGCTTCTAGAGAGATCTCGTTCTGACCCCTGGCCAGATGACACTCGCTGAACCACATCATCGACTTCCCTCTGTCTGCTGTGTCCAAAGACCGTCGGCCACATCTCTGCGCCCGCCAAGGGCGCTGATATTCTACCCAAGCGTGATCGTCAGGCTGGCAGGCGGGATTTGCACAGCATATGCTATTGGACGAGACTAAGCCAGTTGAAGTCTATCACAGCGAAACCTAATGCGGTGACTCGCTGGTCTTGGCGGGCAGGCTGTCCTAATCGGACTGCCGGGCCCAGGGGTCCAGCGTTTCCATGTTCCATCAGTGCGGAGAGCAGAAATTAAACCCGTGAGATCCTTAAAGCGCGCAAATAGCGCCGTGCAATAATCGTAGATGCCCATCCTTCTTTCTGTCCTGTCGCGGCGCGTCTAGTATTGCACTGCAGTACATACAAATTTACAGCATTGTCGGACTGTCCTGAGTAAACACACAGCCAACATGGAGATGGACGAGATACGGGGAGATGGCTACGATGGCAAGGGCCCGACCATTGCCCACATCAACAACCCACGGGACCCTGAGAGTCCTAGCACCGACAGCTACCAACGAGCCGGGAAGCAAGTTCAGATGGCGCCCGACGCCCCTGAGCCGCGAGTATCATTGTCAACAATACTGGCCGTCTTTGTCAGTCTCTCCTGAGATGTTGGAGTCCTAGTTCAGAACTAACACTAGGATAACAACAGTTTATGGGCCTGTCCTATGTTCCCGCTATCAGTGCTGGTCTGCTTCTTCCCACTGGTATCCTGCAACAGATAGGACAGCAATTAGGCGACACGGATAACATTATATGGATCCCTGGTGGATGGTCCGTCGCTTCTGCAGTTGCATTCTCGATCGCTGGTGGCCTCAGTGACGTGTTTGGCCGTCGCTGGGTCCTTATGTCTGGCCAGCTTTTGACACTGGTCGGCGCTGTAAGTTCTGGCTTAGCCCTTAAAAAAAACCACGCACCGTGCTGACAACCCTGCAGATAGTTGCTTCTGTCGCAAACTCAACTCTTCAGGTCGCAGCAGGAACAACCATTATGTAGGTAAAAGCCTATGTCTTGCCTCCGCAAGCAGTCACTAAACAGAGACAGTGGGTTTGGCGCTGGCACCATCTTCGTGGGCTATCCAGGAATCTCGGAGTTGCTTCCGAACAAGTATCGGTACGTGGAATTTCCAATGGACACGTTACACTACCTAGTGCTGACATCCACAGTGGCATCGGTCTCGGCTGGACTGAGTTCTGCATCAACATCCCGTGGGGCTGCCTCAGCGTATACCTCGCAACCCAGCTACTGATCCATGCGACGTGGCGGTGGGCCTTCTACATTGCCATCATCTACGCGGTGATCTGCATCGCTGGCACGTTTGTCTGCTACTTCCCACCCTCTCGCCCTCAGCACGACTATGAGAAGTCTCGATGGCAGGAATTCAAGGAACTCGACTTCATTGGCCTCGCTCTTTTCACAGCAGGCCTCTGCATCTTCCTCGTGGGCATGACTGATCTGGGACACGCGAACTTCTCCGTCCCTCTTGTTGCCTCGACAATTTCCATTGGTGCCGTCATTTTCGTGGCCAGCTTCTGGTATGATTTCACCGTGCCGAAGAATCCTATCTTCCCGTTCAAGCTGTTCGCCATGTTCCGACAATTCACCGTGCACCTCATCATCCTGTTCATCTCCGGCATGGTCTGGCAGGCCGTTGTTACTCTTGCGCCGCAAATTACTCTCTACGCCTTTACAAACGATCCTATCCAGATTGGAATTATCATGATCCCCTCCACGATGTCAGGTGTCCTGGGTGGCTGGATCATACCGTCCTTTGTGCACAAGATCAAACATGTGCGGTACCAGATCATATTTGCCCTTGTGATGCAATGTGCATTCACCGCCAGTTATGCTGCAGTCATCCCTTCTAACCGGATGGCATGGAGCGCGATGCAGCTGTTCGGCCAGAGCTGTTTTACGTGAGTTCTACTTCCTGCGCTTGAGCCTATGGAAAGACCGCACATATGCTCGGAAATTTCTAACCAACTGATTAGATGGGTCACCACCCTTGCGTACGTCTCTTCTGGCCTGTTCGTCCCAGTCGAAGAGCTAGGTGTCAGCGCCGGTCTCCTTGGAACCTTCCGCTCGGCCGGAGGCTCTGTCGGCAACGCCATCTTCAGCACGATCATGACGTCCGTCGCCAACAAGAACCTGGGCAACAATCTCGCTGGAGCAGCCATCGGCGCCGGCTTCGACCCCTCGAACCTGAGCGCCCTCATCCCGGCTGTCATTGAGAACGCCGTTGGCGTGCCCTTTGCATTCGACGCCGTTCCAGGGGCCACGCCGGCGGTCATCGCCGCCACAGGCGCCGCGTTCAAGGAGACTTACGCGAATGCCTTCCGGATGGTGTGCTACGCTACCATCCCCTTCTGCCTTGTAGCCACCGGGGTGGCATTCTGGGTTAAGGATCCCTCTCACCTGTTGACCAACCATGTTGCTGTTCAGCAGGAGAAGGAGGTTCTTTCTGGAGTTCAGCGCCGCCCGGAGGACGTGGTAGGAAAGCGAGCTGACGATAGCATCAACATCTAGAGGGGTCGAGTAAGCGACGTGTCTGGTCACAATCGCAATGTCGGTCAGTAATGCAATGCGGTATCAGCGCTATTTAGCTGTCTTCTGAACAAGGTCATGTACATGTGGATTTAGATGCATTAGGTGTAAATTATGACAGTCATGCTAAGCACGCAAGAACTATTGGAGATCTGCCTTCAAATGATGTGATGTTTGCTCAACTCTTGATAATGCGTGGATCGCATGGTTTGAGTCCGGTATTGACACCTTCCACACTGATACCTCTGGGTGGCCTTTATCTGTGCCCACCCGCACCTGCATGGCAGAAACATGGTCAAGTATGATTTCTCGCAACTTCAAATGGCAAAGGATAGCCCCGTATGGAGTATACGGATCCAGGAGGTAATGAGTCCAGCACGAAGGTGAGCTGACGGGACGCATTCCGTGCCACATGCTCCTAAGCCTCAATCATGCCGTCCCCGAACGTCGATTTTGTACAATGCCTTAGTTTGACTTGTAAAGTAGGTTTTCCGATCTGAGCGGAAGGTGATGGTGTGAAGAATGAGAATGTTACAATGACTATGTGTGGAGCGACCATCAAATATTTGTAGATGCGACTTTCAATAGGATCTATTCACATGCTTCCATACAACGAGCGCTATTTTCGCAAAAAAAAAAAAATCAAGTTTCGCCAGTCCGGCTGCCAAGCCGGGCGCTGCGCTATCATTGTGATAAATGCCAATATCTGGCGTCGCTAGCCTTAGTGTCTAAGCGTAGCTAGGAAGGACTTCCCACCATTTTGAACCGACCCTCAAGCTTCTTTTCTTCTATACACCGGTTACTAGAGTCGCAGTCATTATCGCTATAGAGTTTGGCTGAGGCTGTTCGTCTGAGTTTCGCATTCTGAGGGTTGAGTTGCGAAGACTTGGCAAGTGACTTAACATATCCAGCGCTTCAACCTTCCACGGGGTTCGCTTTGACCTTCTTTGAGTAAGTAGTCTGTCTAGACTGACATGGATATATATTCCTACCAAGTTTGTACCAAGAAGCCCCATGTCTGCACCTTCGACTCAATGAGGGGCCGTGGAGGAACTGCGTGCACCGCGTGCTCAGTACCCTTGCAGTAACAAGCCACTGGGAAAAAAGAGCCAAAATCTTGACGGCGTCGTACCAAGTATTGACTATAGTGTCGTAGTGGACATCTAGTCCTTTGGCAAGTATATAGTTCCCCATGCACACCGAGGTTTCGGAAGGATGCAAACATACACATACGCCGCCTCCCTATTCGTACTCGCTTCACATCCATCCTGTCAACAACACATTGGCCTCCGGAAAACCTCAAAGCCACCAGAACAAAACAATCATCATTATAAAACCAACTCTATACCATCTAGTTGTACTCCTCAACGATATATTGATCCATCTCGCCGGCTTCTCTGAACTTGGACCCTGGCGTGATCGTTTTATACCTTGATTCATCTCCATTTCTTAACACTCAAATACTTGGATCAACAGAATGGCGTCTCGTCTCCGAGCATGGCTCCTAAAGAAAATGAATTCAAGAGGCAGGAATCGACCTAGACATACTACATCTGCAGTTCCAAATCCACACTCGGCTCCAAGCGCCCGCGAAATCGATCCCCCGCCGCCTTACCACAAACTAGATCTTCTCGCTGAGGGCATTCGCCAGCCTTCGAGAACCACAGAAAGGGCCGAAGACACAGAGACTCTCCGCGTCCGGAACTCAAGACCTCGGGCCCCATACGCCAACTCGCGACCCTTAACTCCACCCCGACATATGAAGACGTCTATTGAAACTGCTCGGGCTGCCGGTGAGACCGCTGTCACCGGCATGGTCCGCGCTCTTGACGAGCAGGACCCAAAAATGGTCGCCGCCCGTACCGCTCAAGCTATTGCTGTGGCTGTCTCCACCTCACGCTCCTATACTGCCTTCATTGCTGCTGTTACTGCAGTCGAGAGCACCGCCAGACTTCTCGCCGAAGACTCCCGCGACAACATGCCGCTTAGTTGGTACAAGGAACGAGCAAAGAATTCCATTCGTACTGCTACCGACACTGCCATGGCCGCCGATGCCGGTCTTACGTTCATTGGTCCCTGGCCCTTCAACCATCACGACAACCGTTCTTCTAGGTTTCCATCACGAACAACTCACCAATGCCCAACATGTTCATATGTGCCGTCAACAGGTTGAGGCCTTAGTCTTTGACAGACTTATAATCATTGTGGCTGTCGCAATCGCAATACTGAAGTTGCATGAGCAAAATGCGAAATTAAATACGTTTTCTCATGCAATTTGAAACCATGGGCTCGCTATGGCACATACAGACATCCGCACACATGCGATGTGCCTGGCAGAAAAAGTTTTGACGGTTCTGGAAAATGTTAAGGTACTATACGTCATATAAAATAACGCCAACACAACAAATTAGAACAGCGAAATGGGGACGAGGACTGTCAGAAGCAAGAATCAAGGCAGGATTTTCAGGTGGAGGCTCGCAAGGCGCAGACTCTTCTGTGCTGCTGTAATATAGGTAGAACTAATCTGCTTCTCCTATAGCAATTGACCAAAATTTATGTCTAAGCATTCAACCATCCCTTTCCATAAGTGACCGGGAAAACCCACAACAAACCCATTATCCAGCAAACAGGAAATTATGACGATTGCAGTGTTGATCGGCCAATGAATGGCGATGAGCTACTTGGCTTTGGGCACTCTTCCATTACCGCTGCAATCAGTGCACGTCAGTTTCTGAGCACCATTGCAAATACTGCATGTGTCTTTTCTGTACGTGTCTCTACCACCACAGCAGTAGGGATTAATACATGGCACCTTTCCCTCCCCGCTGCAATTGCCGCACTTTTGAGTGTTCCTGGTGTCGGGCATTGTGGAATGGCTTGTCGAGGGTAGGCTTTTGCTGATATAGAAAGGCCCTAATAGGTATTAATTGAGTTCGATATGAGCCAGCGAAGCGTCAATAAACTTCACCTTTGATGAAAAGAACTCTTTTTTTGAGAGAGAGATAGAGAGAGAGAGAGAGAGAGTTTATGCGTTTCTTCTTGTCTTCGCAAGCTATTCAGAAGAACGTTAGACAATCTGCATCAAGAATGTCTTCCACGAGCCAATTTAGGTGCTGAGTTCTTGAGACTTGAGGCACCAGTCTTTGTTTTCTTTTCTACTCAGACATTTATTTGTGTGATTTGAATTCGTTTGCTGGTCTTGTGCTTTAAACTTACATCTTGTCGTAAGGGCTTTTCGAAGTCTGTCTTGTATGTGATGTCGGTGTTTCTTGAGCATGAATATGGTGGATTACATCAGGTCCTGAGCTCCGAAGACGTCTTTATATATGTTAGACTTTAAGTATCAATCACATATTCGACTCTATCATTCTGACCAGTATCTCACGATGAGTCTTGAGAACGGCTCCAGAAGGCTACCAAGCTTGCCCTTCGAGGGAAACCAATCACAACTCCCCCGTCCAATCACTGTGTTCCCAAGAGTCGCTGTCAGAGCCGAACAGTGTCGAAAACGACAGGCGCGCATGAAGTGACTGGGAACATGAGCTCATGAAGCAAAGTCCGGAGCCAGCAAAAACGTGAATGAGATAAAATCGTCCGTCACGGCATCGAGGGGAACATTGGCTGAAAATACAGCAAGGTGTCGCTGTGGCTGCGCATGATGGGGAAGAATGCGACTGCATCGCTGTCACAGAGTTTAGCATCATTACAAAATACTATGTTCTGTGCATATATGTTACTCGCCATCCCGAATGACCAAGTTGTAAAGAACCCTACTCACATCTCACGTTTCTGGTGCGCAGGCATGTCACTTGGAGCGTAGGTTGTATGGTTGCTTACGCTCACACACTCTCCTCCGCAGTTCACTAGCTACAACAATACACGCCCGAACGTCCTGCGAATACTGTAAGTGACTGTGGTGCAATCGGGTCCAAGGTAGTGATGAAGGCGTACCCGCAAGGTGGGCTGTGGGAATTGTCGCTTCGACAGCGAGGAGGAAGAGACACATGACTGTATCTGGCTACACCGGTGCACTTCCACCACACGGCGGCTGTGGATTTATTCGGAAAGCTGAAAGGCACAGTGTTTACACATTTCGCAGAGGGCGTCGGTCGAGGCCTTGTTGATTGGCTGGCTAAATGTGTACAAGGTGGACAGGATCTTGGTTGCTGAATTTTCCAGCTAAATTCACACTGTTCGTGGCGTGGCCCTGCGCCTGTGAAGATAATCTGAAGATAAGTGGCATTGCAAGTCAGCAATCATACGAGCCTCTTGCTGAGAGGCTACGGTACGCAGGCAGGTGCTAACAGATGGCTAAAGGTGCAGTGCATGTCATTCGAAATTGTCTATGGCAAGGTCTGACGCAACAGTTTCCCAGCGTGCCGACGACGAAGTCATCACCAGATTCTTGCACTACATCCCTAAGAACTGCATGATATATCCGGGTGAGCCCAGTCCTCGAAGCCAAATGCCCACCTAGGTAACTCGATAGCCATGATTCATGGCGATGGCAACCATCATTGACGGTAGGTCATTTAGATCTCTGAGGATTTGTTCGAGCCTCTAGCCTTCGAATCATCAGGCATGGGGCTGGGAAGCTTGCCATTATTGCTTCGATGGACAGAGCTTATCCGTGGAGAAGAGGGCGAACAAGATACATGAAGTATCAGATGTTCCTAGCCTTATCGGACAAAGGTCATGAAATGCATAAATCTTCACCTGATGATAGCAGTATTCATATTCAGTTTATCATGTCTTTTCCTACTAAAATCTCTATTGCGTGGTTTGAGGCTCCATAATACAATGATTTGACACGTCTGCCTTGTTTGGTCTGACCTCTTGAGTAAACGAGATGTAGGATGGTCTACTCACCGTCCGTTCCTGACCAAATGGCCCACGGGGCTACGATGTAATTGTGGCAAGAGAGGTTCTATGTTGAGGGGGAAATGAAGATAAGTGTGTTTGATAAGCCGGATTGGGTTTCTTGGCTATGATATCAAGCAAGCGAATGGGAAAGCCAGGCGCGCAAGGAGTCTGCGTACCTTCATGGCCGAGTTGAACAGAAGGTTTGGCCAAGCAAATGAATTTCAATGGAGGTCCTGGAGCTCAAAAGGGACTGAAGCTAAAATTCTCTCAGGTTGTCTGATCATCGCGGCAGAAACCACCATTCTTGAGACTGATTGAATTCTCGCGCTGTGGTGGCGGTCGAGCCCGCTTCTTCCCAGGATATGAGTGAGACATATTTGCAAGGTGTCTGTGCACGCACAAACTCTCAATTTGATGTCTTGCTTAGCCTGGTCCGCTATTAGAAATATCTTAGAACTTATTGTCCATCAAATGCGGGTCGATTGGGTGGTGGGACTACCCATCCAGGCCATCGTGCGAGCTTCGTCACTGTATCGCCACAAAAGTTTGTGGTTCCAGTTTTTGTGCACCCGACCCTGCCGACCGCCGACGTGACTGAGCGGCCGAGCTTGAGCAGACCACATCCAGCATTCATCAGTGCTTCGTCACGGAAAAGATGGATCGTGAGATTAACAAGCACGTCATTACCAAGCACCCTTCCCCAGCCCGGGGACTCCTGTAGCCACTGAAAGAACCAACAAGACTCCTTCAGATATCCATGCTGACTTGAAGTGAGGCAGAAGGACAATTTGGTTGGTGACTTTCGACTTTAACATTAAAGAGGGTATACTCCCTGGGTATCTACTATTCCTCGTAAGTCTGCCTGGCTCCATGCCTTTCTTCTCTCCCATAACGTGGGCCCCGTCGCAGATATGCCTAACTTCCTGCCCTGTGAAGATGTCCTCTCGCTCTCGTGTATTCGGCTTGACGCTACACTCTCAAGGTTGTCCTCCTCTCAGTCCGTCTCGGAAGCTGGTGCTGCGTGACTCGTGATAATATGGGCCGGGGGATCGTCGGTGGCGAATGCAACAGCTGCGCGCACGGCTGCTTTTAGTCTTGCGCGTCGTCTCTTTCATTACGCGGCCGTCGCAGCCATAGTCGCCGCTTCGTGCCAATCACGATCCCGTTCCAGGCCCTTTCGAGTGTTTGTATGGTGTGTTGACATCCCGCGCCGCACCTCATGAATCCCTAGTCTTCGTCGACTTGTCGCTGGTTCCGTCTCTCGGATGGCCCGGATGCTTCGTCAACCATGCCTCGTCGTCTGCGTTCGTATATTCCTTAGACTCATCCATGCTGCCTGAATTACTGTGGTGCACTGTGATTTGAAACTCTCTTGTCCTCTGAATGCCCCCATTTGGGAAGGGTGCCTGAGCTTCGTCGCTTCCGTTCGAAAATGAGGCGCGGACTCGCGATTCAGTGAAGGTCTTGAGGGCGACCTCTCGCTCGTTGGGGTTGCGGCCCCCCGGTAGTTGGGAACTGCGAGGATGAGGAGTGCTGTGCGAGTGCGAGTTGTGGAAGTAGGCGTCGGCCCGTCCGCTGCGTGCCAATTTGACGATTAAGCTGGCCATTGTCATTTCGATATTTAACTTAGCCGTGTCTGTTAACATTGTGAATTAGCGATTGCGATGGTGCCATGATACAACAGGGCGGGCGGCAGCAAGCCTGAGTGGTGCATTGTCACTGTCTCGGAAGCATCACTTACACACGAGTGGGTGGAAGAGCATGAAGACAATTTGATTAGGAAGACTCATCAGACCTATCAATAGGACCTAGGGGAGTGATCATAAGCATTTGCTCGTAATGGAAGTTTCATGGTGGACGGCGAATACTCACATCCAGGAGAACGGAAATGAACATCAACCTGGCATTGAACGAGACCAGAGGAGAATATTTCATGAGACCATATTGATCGACAAGGCGTTGCTTCACGATCCTCAGGAAGTAATAGTTGAGACCGGCGTCGATGAGGCAGATTAAGACTTTTGATATTCTGTCCCAGTACCTATTGATCTCGACGTACGTAGTGCTCACCGGAGGGACTCGATGCGCTGGAATGAACTAATCGGTATAAGAGTCAGTGCTTGTCACTCTCGAAGGTTGTCGGTGCCGGTGAAGGTCGAGGTTATCTACCCCTAAATCAGAATTGCTGGCATAGGTTACACTCACTATACAAAATACAGCAATATTGATAGTCGTCATCACAATAGCCGTTCCCCATTTCAGTCTCCGTACAATATCCTGAGTCTCACAGATAATGGCTATCCGGTTGATAATAACTTGCATAAGAATCTGGACCTCGAAAACCCAGAAAAACAGGAGGAAGAACAAGACAGGAACGCTGTCAACGTGGTGTTAGCTGCCTGATTAGCCTCAGCTCGACGACTGAAAGTTCGTACCTAGGGGTTAGAACCCCGTGGAACACCAAGTTTGCCAGAATCAGAATCGCGATGTTGGCAACGATCTCGACCCAGATCATGTAAACATAGGAGCTCCGTCGGGGGTTCTTGCTCCGCCTTGTCTGCTTAACAGCCTCCCATACTGTCAGCAGACCGAAGCCAAGTGTGAAGCCAACAGCCAGCGACGCAAGGGTCTGGTCGCTGTTATCGGATGCCATATGCGCTTTCGCTTGGCAGTCTGGATCGGGATGTCGATGTTAGGTTACGAGTCAGTGTCCCTGGGGGACCGCGGAAATGCGGGCTGCGTTTTTCTTTAAACATTTTGGACGGTGCCTCGTGGCGATTTACAGAGCGTGGCAGCAAATTCTGAATGCACTACGGAGCATCTCTGAGCTAATGGGCTCCACAGGCGCCCCTGAACTAGTGACGCACATAGACCATGCGGAGCAAATGCCGACGCATGGGCGAGCCAGGGAAATAAAACCGGAGGTGCACCCAAAATGAAGTAAGCGGTGCTGAGATTGCAGGCGAGGGAACTTGTGGGTTTGGCTTGGGCCTCGGTGTCCCGCTGTCAGGTGTCACCTACGAGTGGTGGACGGTCTCGGAATGGTGGGTTCGGGGAAATGCCGACGTTTGGAAGCTCCTCTCCCTTCTAGCGCAGCCCGGAGTGATCAGACAGATCGTTCACCTGCGGTTGGTGTTCGTGCGAGATATACCGTTCATGGTATGATTCCTCGAGAGAGACGTAAATGATCCTTCCGGCGCTAGACCGGACCCTCGGGCGCCACACTCGACCAAACTATGCGGAATTCAGGTCGGCATGCCGACCCCAATAACTCGAAGGATATCAGAATACAACCGCAAAGTCGCCGATAGGCTAGTGCCTGTCCCAAGATCTTCCGTCACCTTGGTTGCGACCCCAGTTGGCGATGCAAGAGCCCTGTCTAGGGTACCAGCAGTTTCACTAGATGCACTCTAAGCGGGGCGTGGCTGATCTAACGGATCGTGTTTCTGGTTCTAGGAACGCCCTGGGTATACATCAACTGCTATACCGAGGGACCCAAATAATGATTACGCGATCCTGCAGAGTATGTGACGGTGGAAAGTGAGGGGGTTCTAAATCCCAGCCACCGCTTTGACTGAAACACATGTCGGACTTTGTACCTTCTGAGGTGAGGAATGTCAGCAGCCATCAAGCCGAACACAACCTCGATATCTTGAACCGGTTATAGATAGAGACTGGTATAATATATCAAGTGGTCGCCCTGGCATACAAGCAGGCGAGAAGACGCGCAACCCCAATACACGTGTCGGATCTTGACTGTGGAAGAGAGAGTTGCAGGGGGGTGCTGGTCGGAACGGGCCGCTGCAACCCTTCGGGGCATTAATCGCACGTGGGGAGGGTGGAGGAGCATCCACGAACGCGACGTCAGGTAACACAAAATTAAAGAGCCGCCTCATCCAGATGTGATAGATTGCGTGTGCATATGACGGGCAAGTGACACAAGAGATTCGAGGATGACAGTTACTCCAGTCATCGAACATATCATGGCAGTATGTCCAGCACAGCACCGGAGAATGTGACAACTCACAATGGCTTCAGGTTCGTTATGCACGACCCAACGGCAGTTGGCTACGGAATTCACCTTTCCAAGGATGGCGATCCTCCAAGTGATATAAGCGAGTGCTTATATAAATTATGGTTTATAGGTCAAGGTGTGTTCAATGCCGACCTAGCCAGCAAATGCAACTTATAGCGGGTGTTATACACATCAATTCTCCAGGCTCGAGATCGTGGATGGATCTGCCAAGAACGCATGACTCGGCCTCAAGCAGCAGGTCTCCATTCAACAAAACAGACACAGTGCTAGGAAGCAGAATATGACCTGCTGGCTTCCACAAGGCTGACGCGAGGCTGACGCGAATGTCCACCAGGTAAGAGGTCGAGGCCGCAGCGGGACTGCTGTCATGCTGCCCCTTTCGGTAGATGGTCAAATCACCCAGGTCCAGGTGCAGCCCAACGGTACTGGCTGTGACTGAAATACTTGGATTGGCACGGGAGAAAGACGACAGAATGTGCATCTGCTCGTATCCTCGCCTCTGTGTGCACTGATGCACATTCACCGAGTTTCGTCCCAGGGCAAGCGCAAATATGGAAAATATGCCCTTTTCATGTTCACGCTTTAATTTCGAAGCCATTCAAATCGACTCGCGTCCGCTGTCTGCTCAGCTATGATATTGTACATCCATATGACTGCACCTTTTTCAGACCATACTTCCAGAGGCCCGGCCAGGCTCACTGGTCCAAGCGGTTTTCTTGGGAATCGAAATTTCTCGACATTCGCGTATAATTATCAGTATTAGAGATCTTTCATCGACGAGCTCTATACTGTCAAAGTCAAGTTTTCATAGGCCGTCTTCGGCAAACAATATCTTCAGAGTTTTTTTGAATGGTGTCTTGAGAAGATGAAGCGGAACACCAGATCTAGACAAAGGAAGGGCGGCATAAGCTGCTAGTGAAATCCATTTCAAACGCTGGAGTGACACAGGAATTACCCGGTCTACGTGGTTCTGACTGTACTCTTCTTTCTCGCCAGATGTCTGTATATCTGATCGAACTTGTGTCTCCATGTTTCGGCCAGTCTCAGTCCGTCGAAATCGTATGTGCATATGGTTACCAACATAGAACAGATCTTGCCAGATGCCCGCAAATTGCGATTTCCTCGGTAAAAAAAGATCATGCAAGCCCTTTTCAGCATTGAAAGATATGAAGCATTCATCCCACTCCATTCTGACTGGGCTGAGAATATGGGAGGGGAAGCTTGTGTTGATCATATATTTAGCAGACACCTTCGACGGCTCAGGACGACTCCAGGTGCTCATTGCCTCCGTCTTCTGCTTTAGAAACCCCTCGACTTGAAATGGTAGACAGCAGCCAGTTCTCTTTTCAGCCCGAGTGAACATTCACTTCTTAGTCAAGCCATTTGGTTTGAAACAAACAGTTGAAAAAGCTTTTTCTTGAGTAAAAGCACCTGATCTTCTTGTAGAGCTGATTGTCATGTCAATCCAGACCGATGTCGTCACGCAAGTCCGAGGCCGTCCTGAAAGGAACAGGAGTCACAATGTTTCCACGCCGCAAGCGTCTCATGCAGCGCTGCTAATGTACCTCAACGTTACTCTCAGAGATTTCCGTCTTGGGATGATGATCAATACCAAGAGCTTTCTATTGATGTCTTTCTGAAACTGATGTCTCGATATGTTACTCTTATTGTCTTTGACTTGTTAATGATATGCAGAAAGTCTGATGATTTCTTCATTCGTCTCGTCCGCAAATGTGGGCCATCGTACGTTCGACTACCGGAAGACCATACGTTGCGAACATGAAAGAACGATCGCCACGTACTGTGGACATTCTGGGGAAGTTGTCATCAAGCGTGAGTGTACGTGTGAACAACCTATGAAATCAAGCTGGCTGGCTGGCTGGCTGGATGGGCACTGGACAAGACCTCGACGATGTATGCTTGAGCTTGAGCTTCAACAAGGTGGATACGGGGCCCCTAACGCGGGGGAGTGGAGTGGTCTGGGCCGATCGGTAGCAGTGTGGTGTGGCGGCCAGTGCAACAGCTGCTTAGGGCATGATCACCACTCTCATGTCACCTTGAAGTGGTTTTCACCAAGGGACAGGGTCGCGTGCGCACCACTTCAGTGTAGATCAGCCGAGTGCCGCCGAATCCTGACGTTTCTTCAACGCCCATTCTCTGGTTGCGAATGCAGCAGCCTTTGTGGAGTTGTGACAGCTCGACTCCTTGGTCGAGAATTCCTTGTTGATCCAGGTGGACGTCTGCAATGTCAATCACATTTGTGATCAACACCCCACGGAGGCGAGGAGTCGTTTCGGCGAGAGCCGCGGAACCAGCTTAAGCCATCGAGCGAGCCGGGACCGGTGGGCGGATATCGCCCTCGGATGCCCGCTTTCGGATGAGCATCAGTAAAAGTGCTGACCCTCGTTTTTGTGTTCCGGGAAAGATGAACACGCCGCATAGACGGAAAAGCTTTCATCAGGGTGTGCTAAATAGTGCATTAATCACAACCCGAGTCATAATAATTAGGAGCGTGGGCGGCCACGTTTTGCGTCGTTCCTGATTCTCGGGAGTCGCTTAAAGACTTCTGGTGGAGACGCAGCCGAGGCCGTGGTCGCTGGCTGCTTGGCCTGCTTGGCGACCGACCGAGTCAGGCAATATTGGTGCATCATCTATCTTATCACTGTTCGTTATCGAATTGAATAATACCGAAGAATAAAAAGACACGACGCGAACGCACAGGCTGGGACGGACGAACGAACTGTTAACCTTCTAGCCACTGCCGACAAACAATTGAAGATGGCAATCCGTCGTTCATTAAAGGGAAAACTATGGCGAGAATAATTGTTTAAAAATGAGAAGAGGTCAATACTACAACAAAGCCGTCGGGTATTATCTACAAGCGGTATACTATCATTAGCCCCTGGCAGATTGATAGATATAGGGGACCACCACTAAGTTCGCATCTGCGATACTAGCACGAGAAGTTAGAGACAACAACCCGGTCCAGTCCGCTTCTCGGTGATTACCGGGCAGTTGACAGCTCAGGGGCCACCAGAAAAGATAACGTCCGGCAGCCTCAGTGGCTCGTCCGTACTTAAGCCGCAACGGTCTTTGCTGGGTAATCCTGCATTTCCGGCTGCCCAAGAATCGGTCCTGAGCACCTAACAAGGCCCATTCCCAAAATTTCAGGTAGCTGACGAGATGCCATCATGCAACAAAGTCCCGAAGATACGGATAAGATCATCCCACCCTGGCCGTTTGTACCAAACACCCGGGATCTTATCTGGCCTGTCTCCAACTTTTTAGCATTCACATTAGCGATTAATGAGTGGTCGGGAAGGATGACAAGCTTATAGGATGATTGGATGATGGGGTTGTACGAGCCTTACGGCTTATATGGTAGTTCATAACCCCCGCATTTGAATCCTACTTTCGCCTTTTTTTTCTGGCCTGTGTGTGTTACTTGACGTTTTTATACTCGAGCCGAATCACCGCTGCCGCCACGAAAAGCCATACGCCGAAGCGACAAACAAGATGGCGGCAGACCCGGTCAAGAACTCCGGCATGGAGGAGACCAACATCCCCAGGAAGGACATCGACGTCGAGAGCTCCAACGGTGAGACGGCAGTCATTGCCGAGACGGCACGAGTCTTGGACCACGCTGCCGAAGTCAAGCTCACCCGCAAGTTCGACCTGCGCATCCTCCCGATCTTGGCCATTATGTGTAGGTTAACGCCCAGGCACCATACTGTGCCAAATAAGCTTGGTTCGTTTCTAACACCGCCCAATAGACCTCTTCAACGCGCTGGACAAGGGAAACCTGGGCAACGCTGAGACGGCAGGACTATCTGACGACCTGGGCTTCAAGTCCAACCAGTACAACATGATCGTCTCCATCTTCTTCGTGCCCTATGTCCTCTTCGCGCCGCCAGTCGCCATGCTTGGCAAGAAATTCGGACCCAGCCTCGTGCTCCCGATCCTGATGCTCTGCTTCGGCACGATGACGCTGCTGATGAGCGCGGCGCAGAACTTCGGCGGTGTCTTCGCTCTTCGGTGGTTCCTAGGCATGGCCGAGAGCGCCTTCTTCCCCCTGGTCATCTACTACCTGACGACCTTTTACCGCCGTGGCGAGCTCGCGCGCCGCCTGGCCCTCTTCTATGCCGCGTCCAACATCGCCAACGCCTTCGCGGGCCTGCTGGCCTTCGGAGTCTTCCAGATCAAGTCGCACCGCCTCGAGAGCTGGCGCTACCTGTTCATCATCGAGGGCGGCGCTAGCGTGCTCTTCAGCGTCTTCGCCTACCTCTACCTGCCCAAGTCGGCCGCCGAGGCCCGCTTCCTCAACGACGAGGAGAAGGAGCTCGCTCTGTACCGTATGCAGGTCGACTCTTCGTCAGTCGTTGCTGAGAAGTTCAAGCTGCGCGAGGCCGTCAAGATCTTCCGCTACCCCTCGACATACGCCTTCCTGGCCATCGAGATCTGCCTGGGTGTCCCGCTGCAGTCCGTCTCGCTGTTCCTGCCCCAGATCGTCAGCGCCCTCAAGTACTCCACCGTCAAGACGAACCTGTACACCGTCGCCCCCAACGTCACCGGCGCCGTGATGCTACTCATCCTCGCCTTCAGCTCCGACCTGCTGCGCATCCGGTTCCCGTTTATTGTGCTTGGATTCCTCTTCACCTTCTGCGGCTTTATCATTTTCGCGAGCATTGAGGACGTCACGCAGCAAATCCACGTCGCCTACTTCGCTACGTTCATGATGTGCTGGGGTACCAGTGCGCCTTCGGTCATCCTTAGCACATGGTACAAGTGAGTTTTACCCACACCATTGGTCCGAGATCCATCACACCTGCTAACCCGGGCTCTAGCAACAACATTGCGGACGAGAACAAGCGTATCACGATGACCTCGGTCGGTGTGCCGCTGGCGAACCTGATGGGTCTTGTGAGCAGCAATATCTTCATCAAGAAGCAGGCGCCCAAGTACGAGACCGCCCTGATCACAACGGCGGTCTTCGGAGCGACCGGCGCTTGCATCGCCGCTGCGACAGGTGTCTTTATGATCTGGGACAATGCGAGGCGCAACAGGAAGGCCGGATTCAAGACCGACGCTCGGGACGTGCCGACATCCAAGCTGAGGGACGGACCAAGTGTGCCTGAGTTCCGGTGGTTCCTGTGAGCGGGCGCTGGTTTTGCAGATGATTATAATGACATGGATAAAGATTCCCGATGGCCAATGGTCTACCGCCTGGTCTAAAAATTTCATAGATAAATATAGAAATTCTGAACTACTATATGGTGCCACTAACTAAAACAATTGACACTTGATTGGTATCTACGCGGCTTGGAGCCGATACATGTCCAATGAGCAGCTCTAGTATCCCAGTGGGCCTAGCAAATGTAGCCTTACGCCAATGCTATGCTCTTATTCAATTGGACGTTTACAGTGGAGTAATCTAAGCCGCGAGTACCCTATGGCTCATCTTCAACTTCGTCTACAGGGTCTGCCCACAATAATTCTGCATTTTTTGTCAGCACTGTCAAGCAAGACTGGATCTAGGAAATCGGAATATGGCCTACCACGACGCTCTGAAGACCTATCGTTTTGTCCCCCGGGGACCTTCTCTTCAATGCCAAAGAGTGACGCCATCTCCTCGAGAGTCTTGCCTCGCGTCTCGACAAGGCAATAGCGGACAAACACAAAAGCGATGACGTTGATTGCAGCCAGTATCAGATAGAGACCCCACGATATGGCAGTCATGATGGGCGGTGTCACTTGGGCAACTAGGAAGTTGGCTATCCAGAGCGATGCAGTGCAGAGGGCGTTTCCTTTCGACTATTCCGGTATCGTGTGTCAGCAGAGTAGTAGGGAAATATGGTTGAACACAGTGTACTGCGTGCACTTACCCGCAGGGAGATAGGGAAGATCTCAGCTGCGTAGAGCCAGCTTCCCGAGCTCCACGACGCATTGAAACACGTGAAGAACAGGAATGGGAATGCAATGATCGCATAGTTCTTGGGGTCACCAGGGTGGCTCTCTGCGTGCCTCTGCAGTGCAGCGATGCCAATGAGAGCGGTAAACATGCCCACGAGACCCAGCTGCAACCAGGTCTTCCGGCCTAGTCGGTCGTAGTAGAAAATGGGGATCCACGACGATAGAAACAACACTACGCCCACACCGCTCGTTGCCAGATTCGCAATCTTGGGGTCGGTGATGCCTCCATTGTGAAACAGCTGCGGCGTATAGTAGAAGATCGCATTCGTCCCGGTAGCCTGCTGTAGGAACTGAATAGTGACCCCAAGCAGCGTAACACGAAGCACCGGGCCCTTGAACATATCCGCCCAACCAGCCTGCGCCATGTCTCCAGCGGCCTCCTCCTCGCCGACCGTGTCCGTGATCTCACGCATCTCTATCTCGGCCGCCTCGCTCCCATGCAAGCGCGTGAGCACCTCCAGAGCGCAATCGTAGCGCTCCTGAGCGACAAGCCAGCGCGGCGACGGCGGCACCCAAGACGAGCGCCAACAGCCGACAGCCAGTAGGGCGGCGGGCGCGACCTGCAGGACAAGGGGGAGTCTCCACCAGCCGTCAGACTCGATCAAGAGAAAGCAGGCGTAGTCGAGGAAGAAGACGGCCATCTCGGCGAAGCAAAGGATCATGAGCTCTATTCCGACGACGCGGCCGCGCAGGCCCGGCGGGCTGATCTCGGAGATGTACAGCGGCACGCCGGCTGCGAATGCCCCTATTCCCAGCCCGATGATCAGCCGCCCGGCCGTCATCTGCGCGATGGTCGAGCTGGCGGCTTGGGCGAGCGCGCCGAGGATGGTCAGGCACGCCGCGATGGAGAGCGTGCGCTCCCTGCCCAGGATGTCGGCGGCATAACCTGCGCTCATGGCGCCCGCGGCGCACGAGAGGTTGTAGATGCTGACGACCAGCCCGATGGCCCAGTCGCTGGGGTGGCCCATGAGAATGGCCCAGCGCTCGTCTGCGACGATCATGCCCATGACTCCTTGGTTCCAACCAAAGAGAAAGCCGCCCAGCGAGACGAAGGCGGTGAGCGAGTAGACATATCTCGCGCTTGGGTGCCGTTTGGCGCCCGGCTCGATGTGACGTGGCGGTCGTATGAGCTTTGTCTGTTTGATGGAACGGAGGAGCTTCATCTTGACGACCGTGTCTTGACCCCCAGGGGCCCTTGTTGCTTGCCGTAGTATAAGACGTTCAGCTCATGGATGTGAGACTATGAGCCTGTCGCGATGTGAGATCAAAGCTGCACTCGTGACTTTACAATATCAGGGGAGTCGGGGCGGTGTGGCCGTCCGCTGTCACGAGGAACGACGTTGAGATTAAGATGAGACAGACAGCCTTCGGTGACACAGGGGCGGACTTCAAGCGGTCAGGGTTAGCTCCGGCGGCGGGTATGTGCCGCCACCATCGTCATCCTGGCCGTCAAGCGATATCCTGCTGCACAAGGTTCGTGTAGCGGTAGCTAAATAATTCTTGTGTATACAAACATTGCAAACACTGACAATCTCCGCCTGATTCACAGTTGCAGCATCCTCAATGACCAATACCCAGCTCGCTTTGGTGCAATGCGGTTGTCTTTGGCGGTCAACGTTGACCCTCGGCTATCGGCAACTATATAAAAAAAGGGGGATGCCGACGTAGGCTCAGAAATTGCCAAATTCTCTTTTCGTATTCTCCACAAGTTGAGGGCAATTCGGGGTGCAGTAGGTGAGAAGCTACACGTACTATACAGTCTTATACAGAGGTGCAGCACAAGACTAGATGTTTGCAATCTGCACTCGATGGTGGAGTGAAATTCCTAGACATGTCAATGCGCGGAGCAAGGCAGACAGGATGCAAGGCGGCAATTCTAAACGTTAAAAGATTCTCGATGAAGAATACCCGAGTGCTTCAGGGCTTATTATGGCATCCTCGAAGTCTTGGAATACCCGATGTCTGACATAAGCTCACAATACTGATTTCCGTTCCTCCTTCATCATTAATGCCTATCTCGCAGCGCTTTCCTCGCCGCCGGCCAGATTGGTTAGGGTCACTCAAGTATACAGTTTACTACTGTACAACTCATTGAAAGCAGAAGTGATTTTTGGTTAAGACTTGGCGAGCGGACGCAGAAAAGCTAGTAATCTATGTTAACCATGACGGTCAGGCACTTTTGAGTGAACCGCCTCGAAAACCCCAACCATGTACAATTTGAACACGTTCCCGGGCCTGCTTTCCCCAGAGATACGCATACTCGAAGACGCGAGCCCCACGACCAGAAGCAACCATACTCCAGGCACACTCCTGAAATCCCTCCTCCGCCCGCTCAAGCGGCCTCAGCTAGAGACTTCTCCAGCTCGACCAGTTCCCTGAAGCCCTCGACAATCTCCCTCCGCCGCTCGCCCTCTGGCCTCGGAAGCGGCTTCCGGGCCCAGCCCCCGTAGCCAAAGTACTCTTGCAACGCTACTTTGACGCCAACGGCGCCGGACTGTATCGCCGCCCAGTCGCCGCGTGCAAGTACCTTCTGCAGCGCCTGGTCGCCGCCCTGACCCTTAGCCAGCGACCGGTACAGCTTCACCACCGTTGCGGGCGCGACGTTCGCGATGCCTGGGATCACGCCCGCCGCGCCGGCGGCCATGGCCGGCGTCAGGAAGTCGCCCGAGCCAGCGAAGCAGAGGAAGTCCGGGTAGTCGTTTGCGTAGGCCTCGTCGGCGCTCGCGCTGGGGACGGGCGCGCCCGTGAAGTCGGCGGCGACCCTGGCGAGCTTGCCGGTGTTGCCGCACGTGAACTTGGCGCCGATGATGTTGCGGTGGGCCCTGCCCAGGCGCGTGAGGGCGTCGCTCGACAGGTCCAGGCCCGAGACGGCGGCCGGGTAGTTGTAGATGACGAGGGGGATGGGGCTGGCGTCGGCGACGTCGGTGAAGAACTTGAAGACGGTTTCCCTGTCGAACAGGCCCTGGTAGTAGGACGGCGGCAGGACCAGCGCCGCGTCCCCGCCGTTCAGAGCCGCCTGCTTACACAGCTCGATGGTCTGGCGGGTCGACTGGGCGGCGCAGCCCACGACAAGGGGCATGTGTTTGAAGCCGGCCTCATCGAGGGCGCTGCGTGTGATTTGCGTGATGTGGTCCCGCTCGTAGTCGAGGAGGTGCACGGCCTCGCCGTTTGAGCCTTGCACGGCTATTCCGGTGACGCCTGCGCGGGCCAGGCGCACGGCGTGTTTGGCCACGCTGTCCAGGTCAACTGGCTCGTCCTGTTCGTCCTTAAAGAAGGCTGGTGTCGGAACGTAGACGCCTGGGACCAGCGGGTTGGCTTTCTTCCTGGGACGGGACTCGTGGGAGCCATTGCCGTGTTCTGCGCCTTCTGAGGAGGGCATAGTGGGTGCTTTGGTGGGTGGTTTGGTGTTTGTGTATGAAAAGATAGTATACAAGCTTGGGGTATGTGTGCTCAAATCTTTACCGTGAATTATCCAACAAACACTGGCTGCTTGGTAATGAACGGGACAGTCTGGTTGACGATAAGGAAGAAACGTGAGGGTATGGATGTGATATAAAATGTTGGACAGCACCGTACCAAGCTATACTTACACAAAGCCATGATAAGCCCCTGAGCCGTCTTGAGTGGCGGAAGGTGCGCACGCGACATTTAATAATAACTAGGCGCACGGAGACGGAGCAGACGCAACAACGACACAAGTCATTGACGCCGGGCAATGACGTCCGTCGAAACACTCAAGACGCCAGTCAAACGCCCACAAGTGCTGCAACGGCAACAGCAGCACGACTCGAAGGGCGTGGCCACAAGGGAGCCGGCGCCCCACCCCCGCCAAAAGGCCCAGCCAACCCCGGGCCGAACATATCGAATGTTTCTGTGACGGCTGGAGAAACATGGAGAAGCCAGTCGATCCAGAGCCGGAGCAAGAGCGCGGACAGCCAGCGGATTGGACTGGCAAGGACTGGCAGTGAGAGCGGACGGGCTGGCGGGACGCATCCGAGTGGACACACCCCACAGAGTCAGTACAGACGATCGCGAAACTCTGGCCTCGCTTGTGGGAGCCAATCTTTGACGTAACTTTAATCATACAACGCATCGCATAGGGGCCGAGTTTGCCATCAGCTGGTGCCGAACCTTGGACGCGTCTGGTCTAGTCTCAGCAATGAGGAGAGGAGGACAGGACATGAGTCTGCGTTACTGCTACCTCCAACGGGGCAAGCTAAAAGGCGGAGAAGCCGCTGGCTGGTCTGGCTGGTCTGGCTGGTGCATCGTCGACGTCCATGTTGCCAGTGGCTAGTCTCTTCCAAGGTCGGTTGGCTTTGTCTCCAGCCGGCCTGATCCCAGCTCCAGCAAGCCGCGAGAGGAACATAGCATCTGTGCACTCGTGGGGGGCGTGATTCACCCTATCGAACCGCCAGACGCTGCTTGTGAGGCATGTTGCCGTCCTGACAGAGAAACCAGGTCCATTCATCATCACTATGACCGTCATGACAGGCACATAGTCTAGTATGGCCTGATGTCGGGGGTCACAGACCGACCTGCCAGGCCTGCATTAGCCACGCAAACAACCGACGGGTGTCAAATTTAGAACGCAGCCCGTACCTGGACAATGGGTGTGAGTTGTTTTGCTTTTTTTCTTGTTTTCCGTCGACTGCCAGCACATGACACTGCAGGTGATGATCTGCTCATGCGGGTCACCCGAGACAAGCAAGTCCAAGCCCAAGTTCGAGTCCAAAACCAAGCCTAGGTCCAAGGTCTGGTCAGGAAGGTTTCGCGGGAGGGTGAAGGGGTCCCGGTCCGCCTCTTGCCAATCTCCACCCCCGCGTGGGGGTGGAGTGCAGTGTCACCTCCTCCGCATTCTCATCGGGTCTACAGTGGACCTATCCTACTCCATCTTACTCCTACAATGGGGCTGCCGGCTTAGCCCTGCATCTCACCATCTTATTCCCACTCAGGGACGGACAACACTGACTGCACGCAACTAGCATGAAGCCATTCATCGACAACCTCGTCGCCTTTTCGCCCGACATGCCTCTGAAATCCCCCTCTCTGGTCTGGCCAAAGGAATCGACCACGCCCCGTCCAGTGTGCCACTCGCACCATTCTCTGCCGAAAAGGAAGCAAGCACATATTTCAGCGGTGATGATCCAGTAGCTCGGGGGGGCTTGGCCGTCTTCCCCCCTGAACTGGGGTCAACGCTGCGCCCGTGCTCTACCAGCTGGAACTGTCAACTCAATGTCGTGTCACCACACCCGGTTAAAGTTACCAGATGCTGCGCGATGACAACCTCTTGCAGATTCAGCAATGTCCCTCCTCGGGCGTATTTTAATGTCTGCAACAAACACACCTCGGGGCACCTGACACATGACACCTGAACCCTGGTCGATGATATCAACCCTCTGCTACGAACACCATGAGCGTCTCTCCGTTTCTGAGAGGAACCATGTCTGCTTCTGTGGATTAGGGAGGGGCTCAAAATGACTGCTCTGGTCGGCATCTCGTGGCTGTCATTGGCCTCATACGTGAGATTGGTTGTATGCGCAACCGGGATCGTCACTCGGGGCCTGGGAGCCGTATGCGTCGAGCACCAGCCGTTGCTGGAAGCTGTCGTTGGTGTTGCCGGGACACTGCCCGTCTGGACCTGGTGCCGAGGTCGGTGCCGCTGCGAAAGTCCTCTGCCTCGACTTGTGACTGCAATGTGAAAGTCTGGCATCGTGACAAATGCTTGTGATACGACTCGTTTCGTTTCCGAAATGCTGTATAGAGTTGTCCGAGTCGCCATTCAAACTCAGTCTTCGGTTTCCTCATTAGTGTCTCAACAGTCACAATTGCACTCAGCAGCAAGCCTCGAATGGCAGCCGTCCGTCTCTCACTTCATGGAGAAGTCAACATCGTATAAGCAAGCAATTTGGACGGTACACAGCCAGGTGATCATCTTGTGACTGTTCGTGGTCGTGGATTAGTACCAACAAGAGTGAACTGGAAGTTGTAATTAAAATGAGCCGTCTCAAGTTCTTGCATGCAGCCCTTGTCAAGGTTGTTGACGTGCAGGATATAGTCTGGACGACCCCCCACGCCAGAGCAGCACTAAAGAGAAAAAATGACTCGGGGCCGAGGAACACAAGTCTCCGGATCGGCTCCGTGTGGCGTGAGTGTGGCCCAGTTTTCACCACCGTCATCGGCGATTGTCCTGCCGCTGTTCGGCAATCCGCCCCGGGCTTCATGCCTTCACCTTGTAGTGTGCCGGTGACAAAGGAGGCAAGCTCCGGTCCGAACTCTTTGCATAGATACTTACGAAACTGGATCTTCATCACATCTAGCATTCACTGACATTTGGCTGTTAGTTGGTTGCACTTTGAGTGACAACCAGTCGTCTTAAAGTCTTCTCGGAATCCTGCCCAAGCCAAGCTACCAGCTTATGATCTGAGGTCTCTACCATAATTCGTTTTCTCTTTTCAGCCGTCCAAACACTTCTCATCATTGTCCGTATAAAGTAAATTCATCACCATGGGCGAACAAGCCGGCCCCCAGCCACCCTACCCGCTCCACCCGTCCGTCGTGCCACGGATCGACCCCATCTACGCCAGCTTCTACAATGAGCACTTAATAGACAAGCAGCAGGTCCACCTGCAGCCCGTGGAGGCATCTCGCAGCAGCGGCGTCCTCATCCCAGGTGCCGGCCCTCCGTACCCTGTCGCAAAGGCAGAAGACTTCTCGATACCTCGCACGCAGAGCAGCGGGCCCGAGATCAAGATCCGGTGTTTCACGCCCGACGGCAAGAAGCCCGCACAGGGGTGGCCGGTTTTGTTCTACTTCCACGGCGGCGGCTGGGTCCTGGGCAACATCGACACCGAGAATGTCATCGCAACGAACCTGTCAGGTCGGGCAAACTGTGTAGTTGTGAATGTGGACTATAGGTAAGCCTGACCTTCACCCATAACGGAACACGGTATACTGCAACACTGCTCACACCGACCACAGACTCGCTCCAGAAGACCCATACCCTGCGGCAGTAGAGGACTCATGGGAAGCCGTCCTGTGGGCGACCAAGGGCCCAGGAAAAGACCTCCTCCCCATCGACACGACGAAGCTCGCAGCAGGCGGGTCTTCGGCAGGCGCGAACCTGACGGCAGTGATGTGCCAGCGGGCGGCGGCGCAGCCGGAGCTGGGGATCCGCTTCTCCGCGCAGCTGCTGTCGGTGCCCGTGGCCGACAACACGGCGTCGCCGGCGACCAAGCTCTCGTGGCGCGAAAACGAGTTCGTGCCCGCCCTGCCCGCCGCCAAGATGCTGTGGTACCGCCGCCACTACCTGCCCAACGAGGCTGACTGGGCCCACCCCGAGGCGAGTCCACTTCTCTGGGAGGGCGACTGGACGCGGCTGCCGCCTGCTGAGGTCGTGCTGGGCGAGCTGGACGTGCTAAGGACCGAGGGGGAGGAGATTGCTGAGAAGTTGGTCAAGGCGGGGAAGACGAGTACTAGGGTTACTGTTATGAAGGGCCAGCCCCACCCTTTCATCGCGATGGATGGGACGTTGGACTGTGGGAAGTTGGCAATTACTTTGTTTGTCGAGAGGTTGTTGAGGGCGTTTTATGTAGACAACTAGAAGAATCTCCGCTCCTCCCCAACCTCTGCTCCTTCGAATCTCTCTCATGTCCTGCTTCTCGATTACAATTTGACCAGAAGAGAGGTTTTGACCCTGATAAACCTCGACATAGTGGCTATTGTCCATTGAGGCGCGGATGCAACGTAGGTGCGCGGACCTAGCATTCGGAGCGAGTAGATTGGGAGGCCATTTGGTCCCTACATTGGTGCCCGGTCAATACCAAGGATATCGCGATATCATTGGCTTCGTAAGGGAATGAAAGGGAAAGAATGACTTACCCCATGCGAACATAGTAACTTTCCTTCCCAGTCATCAACCCAATCAGGGGACTCATCAAAGGAATGGAGCCAGCAACGGGTTGCGATTCGTTTGGATCTTGATTTATATAGTCCAGAGTTCATAAGAACACGTATGACGCCCCAACGCTCACCAGTATCAATATCAAAAGAGAGACATGATTGCGGAAGATGCCTGACAATATGAAGGCAACCAAAGACCAGCGGCTTCGTTCGGCAAGGCAAGTATGATAGCCTATCATTTGTTGGCAGAACGCAGCAAGGATGCCATTCAGCAGAAGGAGTGAGTGGGGAGGGAAAATGGGAAGCAAGTTCTCCCTGGAATCGAAATTCTTACAGTGTAATTTAGTGGCAGTCGAAATGGCAAGTTGCTGAGGAACAGCCGCTCTCGCATCACATGAAGATGTCGCATGCCGCCTGGCTTTTGAAAGGTGATACGTATTTTTTCCAAACTAAGGAATCAACGTTTGTACACGTCAAGTCTTTACCAGATCCACCAGCAACAAAAAAATTCGTTGGAACATGATTTAGTCGCCGGCGTTGTTAGACTGTTTCCTGAATTACCTCGGTACTTTCTCAATAAGCGCGCGCGTTGTTGTGACAATGACTTGGAACATACTTCTTGAACTTTTCAATGTTTGCACCACTGTAGACTTCTAATTGCGCTCAATGTTATGACATGGCGCTCAGAAGAAATAGAGTGATGGGTTTTGCACGCTCGTAGTCTTGGAGTTGCACGCCCAAGGGTCTGGCCAGCGGTTATAACCCAGAAGAATGCAACTGTTGGCTTTGAGTGGGTATCAATAGAGTGGACAGACCCTTGACCTCAATAAATGGGCCGACTAGGTCGTTCGCGAATGATGAGGGCCGACTTCTAAATGATTGTAACTGTTGGCTGCAAGTTTGGAAAGATCACCAGGTTTGCTATGTGGAGTCTGAACCAACTGCAGAAAGTGACACATAATGTTTGGTTGAGTGCGACGCTGGTGCTAGTATTCTGCCTATGCTATGCGTAAAAATAGAATCTTATCCACTTAGGAACTGGATAGAAAACACCTAGATATTCGCCAGACTTTTCAAATTTCAGCAAACCACTTGCATTGAATGTAGTTTTATTCGTTCTTGTCAGGCAACATCATTCTTCCGTCGGCCGAATTGCTGCTTTCTCGTTCCATTTTGATATGAATTAGCAGCCTCGTCAAGCTCGTTGGCATGAAAACAGTCTTGCGGCGTCTGATGTCTTGTCTCCGAATATTGTTCCCATCTTCGAAGCTATCCTTCTATGTCACTCTCTGCCTTTTCTATTAGATGTGACTCATTGGTATACTCTGCAAGCGTCTTCTTCCCCGCTAATATCACAATGGCCTCTGGATTAGCTTCCTTGTTTCCTGGGGTGGACCTCTGTACCATCCCCGGTGGTACCCCTCCCGACGGACAAGTTAGCAGTTTCGACAATCCAACAACGTTGATGCAAGACTTGACTATATCTCTCACGATTATACCAACCATCTTCGCCATTCTCATTGCTTCCGGCAGATTGTGGGCCAACTTTAAGAGGCGAACTGGGAGTGATGGTGACTATGCAACCTAGAAAACAAGCCAAGATACCCCAGAAGATGGCTGACATCAATCTTTGATAGCCCTGGTCCTTCTTGCCATTCTAATTGCTGTTACTCAAACAGTGCTTCTGATAAGTTGTACGTAAGATCATGCTCTCTCTATCAGTCTGATACCTGACAGGGCGAATACCAGATGTGAAATATTACCGCCACATATGGGACGTGCCACTTTGTTGGCTTGATGATCAGTTCTTCAAGGTGTGTGTCTATTTTTGGATAGCACCACTTTATTATATACTAATGCGCTGGCAGCTGTCATATGCGTATGAAACAATAACCACTTTTGGATTGCTCTTTGCGAAGACCGCGACGTTGCTTCTATTTCATCAACTGTTTCAAATCTCAAGACAACTGCGTCTAGCTATCCAGGTTGGAATTGCTGTCAACTCCTTGCTATATGGCATCAGCATTGCAGTTCTTACATATTACTCTACTCCCCACATTGGCCAAACTTGGGATGATGTGGTTACCGAAGCAGTCCTCCACCGTGACATATTTGCGTTTAAATGGAGTGTCGGCCAAGCCACTATTGGAGCAGCCCTTGACATTTATATTTTCGTCCTCCCTCTCCCCACAATTTTAAGGCTCAATTTGTCTACAAAAAAACGGATTCAACTCATGGCTGTATTCTTTACCGCTATTCTGTGAGTTCTGTAGCGCCTACAAGGACCAATTCAAATACCTTGCTAATGGTGTGCTTTAGGGGCATTTTTGCCAGCCTTGTATCTCTTGTCTACAGAGTGAAGTCACTCTCTGATACAGATTCGACATGGAATGCGGGGATCCTGATGATCTGCGTGTAAGTGTAGCCTGCTATTCATCTACTCATCAACCATAATACTAATACGCGGGCTCCTTATTGTCAGTCAAATCGAGCTTACTGTGGCAATAATCGTCTGTTCAATGCCCGAATTCGCCGGGTTCATGCGGACAAGTGTGTCGGACTCAAAGCTGGCTTTAACTCTACGCTCTTTACTAGGCAACATCACTCGCAGCTCGAGTGGCTCCCGTGAGAGAAGCCAAAAGTACGCCGATCACAATCGAACTCAGCCACACTTGGGAAAGGATACTCGACACTTTGAGCAGAAACCGGATATCCCGAGCTCAATGAGACATGGCTTACGGACAGCAGACCTATGGTCGGTTTGGAACATCATGTGAATCCCCCTCAGCCGGTTTACGATGGTCTGTGTGTGAGATTTCAGAACTCTGTGGATATTGAGCAACAATCTTGGGCATCTTCAGAAGGTTCAGGTCGGGGTTTCATCTTTCATTGAGTTCTCGATCCGCCACTGCATCTTGAGCCTGTGGGGCGAGGGGAAGAAATGGATGGAGATGCAGAAGTTGGACATGTGTGGCCATGTCTTGCAGGGGCGGGTCAGACCCGCAAGTGCTGGAGGTGTTGGTTCCTTCACACACTGACAACAATGCTCAAATATCGAAGGTTCTGGCAGACTTTGGTTTCATCTAGTGGCCGTTACTGGTCTGTGTGGGGACGGGGGGTTGACCGACGATGTCCAGATCTCCACACTGGGAATGCTCAGCAGACTCAATTAGCCAAATCGACGGTTCCGTGGCGAAACTTTGATTTTTCGCTGCTTCGATTTGCTCTTTCAACCCTACGTGAGACAGTGGTAAAGATGGAGAAGGGTCACGTGGCCTCTGAGCATATTAAGAGATTGGCCTAGAGCTTGAGGGAAGTACGCTTTGTCTTTCAGTGAGTTGCATCCATGGTCCGGATCTGCTGTCCTCGAAGAAGTACTAGTCCTGTACCTTGAGAAGCCCTCACGTGCATGAAGGAAAACTGCCGAAACGCTTCATCCCTTTGCTCAATCATATGGCCTCAATCGCATGGCAATGAAATGGGGAGGACTACAATCCAGGGGTTGCCCTGGGCTCTCACCAAATGAGTTTTGGTCGTACAACCTCAGGTCAATTGATCAATCGCGGGCTCTTCCCAACTCTTGCGGAGAATCCTGGTTTGTGGCATGTGAGTGGTAGACCCGATTGCCTGCTTATTGTTCATCAACTTCCGCATCGGGTATTGAATAGGACTTCATCAGCCGCCCCCAAGCAGCCCAGACTCACAAGAAACTGACAGTTGACAAAAAAACCCATTCTTGTCTGGGTCTCATACTCATCTACAGCGATTTGACCAATCGTTCCTTCTGGTCTTGGCCAGTGCTTGGGACAAAAGTCTGCCTCATCTGGCTGACGACCAGCCGGTTCTCGACGAGATGCTTATGAGACGAGCGGCCCCGCCACAATGTCTATGAGCTTTGTCCCGGCCCCTAGGTATCTTTCATGGGCGGATCCTATTCAGAACCTCAATTGGCAAGTCCAGCGAAAGCAAGCACGGCCATGACGGCATGAACAGTCGAAAAGGAGGCAGACACGCGCAGACATTTTGCAGCCTATTCAATGCTCCTTTCAACTGAAGTGGTAAGAGGGCGGGAAAGCATGTGGGAAATTTGCTGGGTGGTCATCTGAAAGTTTGCCGACAGCGGGTGACCCTATTCAGAATTTGAAGTCTATTGTCCATGAATAGAGCCACTCACCACGACTCTTCTGAATAGGCTCTCCCCTATGAATATAAGATCCCTGGGATGGGACAGCCATTCCCACCCAGCTTCTTCCTTTTCCTCACCGACAGATGCAAGAAGGATCAATCCAATCAATCTAATCATCCATCAAGCCTACAGACAAGTTAACCAGTGTGTCGAACGATCAGTTCCACGACTCCACGGTCAGCATACTCAAAAGCAACACAAAAAACAACTCATTCATTCATACAAAATCACATCTTCAATATGAAGTTTACCACAATCGCAGTTGCGGCCTTGTCCGCAGCCTCCACCAACGCCATCGCAATCGCCGTCGCCGAGGCCAACCCCAACCCGGCCCCTGAGGCATGGTGCCAGTCGAAGGGCGAGCCCTGCTGGAAGGTGAAGCGAGCCGCCGACGCCCTCACCGAGTCTCTCCACTCCTCAGGCGGGTACAAGGCGTCCCGCGGGGCCGACATCTCCAACTACCAGGGCGGCGCCGCCTACCACGCCAAGAGGTCCTTTGAAGAGCTCGCCAACCTCGTGGCGTCAGCCTTCCCCGACCCTGATGCCCTCTACGAGGCGCTCGGCCTGGGCGACCACTTCGGCCCTGACTCCAACCTCACCGAGGCCGACGGCCAGGGCGAGCCTGTAGACCCCGAGAGCCGCCCGCCCGCAGATCCCTCCTCCGCCGCTCCCCTCGCCGCCCGTGACGGCGCCGCCGCCATCGACCCGAGGTGGTGCCGCTGGAAAGGTGAGGGATGCTGGAAGCGCGAGGCCACACCCTGGTGCAGGTGGAAGGGTGAGGGCTGCTGGAAGCGTGCGGTCCAAATGACACCTCGCGAGGCCGAAGCCAACCCATGGTGCCGGTGGAAGGGCGAAGGGTGCTGGAAGCGCACGGACGAGAACACCTCGGCGGTCCAGAGGCGCGACGCGGCACCCGCCTTCTGCCCCTTCGGCGGCGAGGCCGGCTCCGTATGCTACGCCTCCAAGCGCGACTTCATCGAGGCCGACAAGCGGTCGTGCGAGCAGCCTGGCGAGGCGTGCCACAAGGCGCGCGCCGCGGCCGAGGCGCTCATCGACGCCATCGAGACCGCCGACGCCGTCGAGCCCGAGAAGCGTGACACCAGCGACGTCGAGGCGCGCTGGTGCCGGTGGAAGGGCGAGGGCTGCTGGAAGCGCGACGGCATGGACGAGGTCGTTGCTCGTTGCAATGCCCCCGGCGGTGCTTGCACTGCTGCCAAGCGCGACCTGACTAGCATGCACGCCGCTGCTCGCAGCTTCCTCGACACTCTTGATGCTGAGGTTTTCTAGACTGTAAGTTGGCACAGCTCACACGTTGACCTCGAAGGCTGACACTAACGTGTTAAACAGCGCCCACCGCAACCAAAAAATACCTTTCATTCTTCAAACGACATGACCATCATCGACACATACCTCGACATCACCTCGTCAAACTGCCAACAATGCCTTCTCTTCATGTTCATTGAGTATCCGCAACTGCGCGATTCTTCCTTGAGGTTGCATTCGTGGGGAGATACATGACCCAGCAGCACAAGCGGCACTCATGAATCCTTCTTTTCCCTCTACAAAACCAGTTAGTGGTCAAACCGTGACGGGGGACGAGGCCATGTCGCTTACCACAATGTTACGCGATCGGGACAGCGCGGCAGTCCAGCCACGCGCCGCTCGGGATTTAGTTTTCCTAAAACCAATATTTAGGGGAGGCAGCAAATGTAAATGTTCTTCTGCTGCAAACGTGCCAATTTCGATGACTCCCGTGATGTTTGTGAGACAACGTATCAAATTGCCTCAGAGCCCGTGAGTAGCCATTCCAAGTCGACAGCGAATGCTCCCTCGATGGGCCAAATCAACTTGCAGCAGCACCGTGAGACAAGGCCAAAGACCATCGCTTTTGAACATGTGAAATTGGGCGACTGCCTCTGGGTATATCCATATGCCGTAGATGATCCACATACATCTGTGAACGCATTCTTCGTGCTCTTTGACTCCTAAAGACGCATCTGCCGCGTAGGTATTTTCCGAACCAAACCCTATAGAACAATCCTCTGACCCCACAGTAACCCCCTCACATCAACAACCGCCAAGCACCAAGCATCAGCGCCGCGAAACCGGTGCACACACCAATGAGCCACTGCAGCGTCTGGAACTTGACCATCTCGAGCTGCTGGCGCAGGGCCCCGGCCTCCTGCTCGATCTTGGTCTCGGTCTCCTTGATGCGCAGCTCCTGCGACACGGCCTCCTCGCGGATGCGGCCCTTCTCGAGGTTGAGGTCCAGCCGCACGCTGGCCTGCGTGCGCCCAATCTCGTCCTTGAGCCGGTTGTTGAGCTTGGCGATGTCGTTGGTCAGGCGCTCGTGCGCCGACCGCGTCGCGTTCGACTCGGTGCTGTCCGCCGACAGCAGCTCCGACCGCAGCGTCGCGAAGTCCACCTTTTGAGTGTACGTCGCCTTGGCCGCGTCCTCGCGGAGGACCATCGTGCGCGTCAGGTTCTGGATGCTAGGGGAGGGGGAGAGGGTGTCAGCTGGGGAGGCCGGATAGGGGAGTCGGGGGACTGGGCGTTGCTGGGAGGTCTTGTGCGTGGATATCTTCTGACCTTTCTTCGATCACGTCATTCAGTACTTTCATCATAGCCACTGACTGCTCCTCCGTGAAACCCTCTGTTTGCAACCGCTGGACGAACTTGAGCGTGTCGAAGTGGTGATCTCTCCTTCGAGGAGCCGAGGCATGAAACGCTCTCCGCAGGCCAGGCTGTCGGAGGACCGAGGGCTTGTTATTGGCGGACTGGATGCCATCGCGTCGCATCGGACCTCTGTCATTGTGTATAGACCGTGCCGGGGGTTGCCATGATCGCAGGTTGCTCGTCCTGGACGCGGCCAAGGATGTCGCTACGCATTGCTTTGCCACGGGTGCAGTCCAGCTCAGCCGGGGCAGCAGGAAGCTAGGAAGTGTTGACACAGCGGTGGCCATGGCTGGGAGATCGATAAATAGGCAGTTCAGGCCGAGATGAAAGACTTGCAAGCTCGCGATGTCGTGGACATTTACCCCCCTGAAGTACAGCCAGATGACTTGACGTTCATGTGTCCACTCGCCCGCCGCCGGCAAGTCCCAGGGACGTATGAGGTAATCAGAGTATCAGCTCTCTGATTGGCTACAAGTCCAGCCCCACCGCGACGAGCCGCCTTTAAAACTTCCTGCACCCGTCGCGCCCCATCGAATTTTTCCTCTCTTTTCTTCTCCAGTATGAAAATACACAACGCAAAAATTCACATTCTCGGGATAGTATTTCGATACGAGGTACTCCTTCGCCTCGGTGTTGGACGTACCCAGGACTGTTGAACTCTCCCGGACAGAATGGAGATCAGACACACAGCGAACGATCTTGGGTGCGGCGCATCCCTCGCCATTCAGGTATGGGGTGGGCCGCAATGATCGAGCGTACACTTCTTCGTCGAGACCAGTCTTACGCAGCGCGAGCGCGACGGTAGCCATAGGATAACTGACTGGGCGGGTTGTCATGTGTTATGTGATGATGGGCTAAGGTTCGCTGCCGTTCGAAAGCCTTGTGGGTCACCAGTGGGCGACCTGATCTTCCATTATGAGGGCCGTTCACGCACTCAAGGGAGAGAGTGTCACAGACGCATGATGAGCCTGTCATTAGGCTTCAAGCTCCTGATACAAAGCGATATCTAGCTGGGTTCCCTAACACCCACATGGGAACATCCACGTACGGTCACCTCACGTAAGATACACCTGAATAGGACAGCCTCACATCGGATCTATTCAAACAATACTCGTAATTGCAATGCTATGGGTATCTATACACAATCTGTAGAACTACAACAGTCTATACCACGCCCACCTCCCGCTTCCGCTTATTCGCATCCTTCGACACCGGATCCGCGATCTTCAGCCACTCCCCATTGAAGGCATTGACAAGCCAGTCCTGGAGCTTGGTGTAGACGATGGAGTTAGCGTTGTGGAAGTAGATGCTGTGGTCCGAGTCCGGGAACACGTGGACGTCGTAGTCGGACACGCCCGCCTGGTCGAGCCTGTCCAGCAGCGTCAGCGTGTTCTGCATGTGGACGTTGTCGTCCGCCGTGCCGTGCATGATCAGGAAGCGCACGTTCTGCGCCAGCGCCGTCGCGTTGCTGACGGCCGTACCGTCGTAGCCTGCCGCGTTCTCCTGCGGAGTCTTCATGTACCGCTCCGTGTAGATCGAATCGTAGTACCGCCAGTCCGTCACGGGAGCCACGGCCATACCGTAGCTGAAAGTCTGCCCCGCATCCTGCTCCAGTGTCTTGAGCGCCATGTACCCGCCGTACGACCAACCCCAGATCGCGATCCGGGAGGCGTCGACGTACGAGAGCGACGCCCAGTGCTTTGCGGCCGCGATCTGGTCGTGCGACTCCCAATGGCCCAGCTGGCCGCGGACGAGCACACGATTCTTCCGGCCGATAAAGCCAGTGCCACGGCCATCAACTGTCACAACAATGTAGCCATGGTGTGTCAGGGAGGATTGAAAGTCCTGCTTGAACTGCTTCTTGACCTCCTGCGAGCCTGGGCCACTGTACTGGTAGAACAAGACAGGGTACTTCTTCTTAGGGTTGAAGTGAGCCGGTCGCCGTTCTACGTAATTCAGGTCGACCCCATCAACGGAAATCGTGCCGTAGATCTTGATCGGCAGCTCGTACTTCTTAGCGCGCTCTGCAAGATCCTTGTTGGTCTCCACAACGTGCTCGTACTTTTCGGGGTTGCTAGGCGTGCTCAAAACCTTCTGCCATGGGATTTTGGGGCCTTGGTAATTCAACAAAGCATATCCTGCGCCAGAGGAGAACGATGCAGAGTAGTAGGCTTCCTGGGAGATATCTGTCATGGGCTTCAAATCAGTCCCGTCTATCTTGACCGTGTATACGTGGCGCTGAGTTGAGGATTCTTTGCTCGCGATGAAGTAGACGAGGTTGTTCTTCAAATCCACCGCCGAGGGGGCGCTCTCCACCTCCCAATTTCCCTTGGTGAGCATGGTGGGTTCTGGGTTGTCCAAGGGAGAAAAGTAGGCCAAATGGTCGCCGTCGTCGTAGATGATTGTGTCGATGTAACCAGCATCGGGCCGCTGGTTCGTCGGATCAGCAGGGATATATCGAGTGTTCTGAGAGATCTCGAACCAGCCTCCGTCTAGCTTTCCCACGTCAACCGTCCTGACAGTCTTTCCAGTCCGGGTTGCGACGTCGACCAGAACCACACGCATAACATCGGAGATTCGGTTGGTCTCCTTGATGAGAACGTTCTGTCCTGCCCAAACGACAGTAGTAATGAGACGATCCTCGTCTGCAAAGCCACCATCAATGTTTACCTCGAAGTTGTCGCCTTGATCGACATCGTGGAAGAGCAAGTCCACAACGGGATTGGGCGCGCCTGCCTTGGGGTACTTCATGTAGAGCTCCTGCGGGTAGTTCTCCGGGGTACCATCTCCTCCCTCGGGCTTGGATATAAAGTATTGGACGGGGTATTCGGGTACCTCTGTGTCATTTGTCCTGAAAAAGGCGAGGTATTTACCGTCTTCTGACCACCACGTGGCACCGTCTGCGCCGAGAACCTCCTCTTCGTAGACCCAGTCCGGGCGGCCATAGAAGTAGTTTTGACCCCCGTCCTTAGTGATTTGGCGGACCTCTTGGGATCCAGCCCATCGAATGTACAAATTATTGTCCCTGACGAAGGCGATTGCATTGCTCGTGGGGCTCCACTTGGCAAGCTGCAGCGTGGCATCGGCAGCTCCGGGAATTAATGGCTCCGCGCTTTGTCGAGCAACGTCGAAGATCCAGTACTTGGCCGTAAAGGAATGTCTGAAGCCTTTCTCTCTATCGGTGCTGATGAGAACCTTTTTCATATCCGAGCTGGGCCATGCTCCCACGATTTCGCGTTGCTTTCCTCCATAGTTGAATCTGCTGCCCTTGATCAAGGTCATGGACTGGGCAGCACCGACGCCCGCCGTGGCTTCTGGGTTCTTGCTCCTAACGTCCTCCACCACTAAGAAGTCTTTACCGATGGCGCCCTGCTCAAGAAGCAGCCCGTCTTCCCCATTTGCGCCGGCAACCCAGCTCATGGTGTGAGTATTAGGACTCCAGAGGCCCGACATGACCTCGTCGAGGGTGAGCTTCTTACCACTGCCCCGCGCGACGGTAGCTTGCGGGTCATGTTCGAAGTCGGAGCTGTGCTTGTAGGACTTGGAGGATACGTAAAGGGCCAGGGCGATGACCCATCCGGCGACGAAGAGACCAGACAAGATCAGGACCAGGCGCTTCAGACTCCTGTCCATGTACTTGGGACGGGCGATGGTGTTGCCATTGGGGAGGAATGGGCCGGTCTCGAGGTCGCTGGACGCCTCCTCCTTGATGGGGTCATCGTCGTCGAAGTCGGAGAGGGTTTCTCGGTCGGCATAAGGAGCGTTGCTTCGACGGGGAGCAGGGGGAGACGTCCGGCGCTTGGAAGAGGGATTGTGACTTGACATGCGTTCGTTGATACGGTCGAATACAATGCTGGTAGTAGAAACTGAGGTGTCGGACTCGAAGGACTCGTGAGACGCCCTGGGGAAATTGTCGGAGGATGCCATCGTCAAGGCGGGCCCGGAGGGTGGGGGTTAGTTAAGATATAGACTACCGACCAGGTGGGCCGACCGCGCTACGGCAGGTTGAACAAGAATAAGTCAGAGTAGGGCAGAAGGAGAGAGATCATGAGTGAGGATGAAACAACATGTCGTGCTTGGCCCCCTTGGCGGGTGGTGGTGGGAGAGGTGATGGCGGGAGGGAAGGCCAAGCTGGGTATTGAAACCCTGATTCGGATGGCAGGACCCTTCTTTGTCGTTGCCTCTTATCGCGTTTGTGCGGGTCTGGGGTGTGGTGTTGATAGAGCAGTAGCGTCTGGCCCGGGACACGCTAAGAATAGGCCAGGCTACCCAGGTCCAGACTGGTGCAGGCTGGTGCAGACTGGCGCTGCCCCTCGAGTTTGAGTTTGAAGCACAGCTTTCTAGGTCTAGGTGTTAAATAACCTAAATGACCACCTCTAAGATAATTATCTTCGAGGATGAAACTCTAACTTCCCACGTCCTACGGTCTACAATCCATCAGAACTTAATTCTACTTGCCAGATGTCTTCAATTCATCTCTCATGCTCAAGATACAGCAGACATGTGCTGCCCAGCCGGGAGATTTAGTTGTGACATGAGCCCCAGCAGATCAGGGGCTTGGTGCGCTCGGCCAGCTGGCAGTCTGCAGACCTCAGACTCTTTACCCCGGATTGCCCTGTCGCACTGCAACCACACTCAAGCCTGGGATAGACATGGATTTCTTGGTGCCTATCACTCAAGCCATGGTGAGGGTAAATTGATCAAGTTTCCTTGTCCTCGACCAAGTAGTCAACGGCGCCTCACCCAACCTCCGGAGCTATTCTTATTTGTCGCCAAACACCACGTTCCACGCGTTGATTAAGTACGCATCACTTGAAGTTTTCGTAAATTCCAAATACCCCTGAAGCTATCACACAGAGAAGGTTCCGTCGTCTTGTGGACTCCGTAGCGCCCGCCGCAGCAAGTGCTGAGAATTACTGCTCTTGACAAGAGCCTCGCATCACAAGACCCAAGCATGTTTTACTCAGAACGCTCGACATTTCAAGCAGTCTGCCACCAGTCGCTGCTGCCTACAGCGAGATTTTTCATCGAATTTGGAGCCGAAATCTGCAAGAGCCATGGTGCACCTTCCACCCCCCCCCCCCTGTCCCGAAGGCGAGGTGCTCAAGATGGTACTTTAACCCGCCAGCGCGGGACTCAGAGCTTCAGGTCGCCCACGCAGCCTCCTTGTTCCTCTGATTTTCAAGGGGCTTGCACTATTTGATGTCTATCCTTTGCTAGGCTACTGAATCAATCTAGATCTGAGCCCACGTTAGGTGGTCTGAATGTCTTTGCCAACGTTTGGGAAACCGTCTTTGTGTCATAATTGATACTCGTGTAAGTTACGACATGGCAATTTTCTGGGTCCACTTGTCGAGAGAAACGCATCGTGTGATGTTTGCTATCAGACAATCCATCTTGACTTTGCGTGGCAGTAATCCGAGTGGGATTTTGGTGTCTAGAATGACCTGTGAGCGTATTGATCTCCCCCAATCAGTCCTCAACTTTGCTCGCGCCGGCTCGAAGCCATCCCAGCGCCAGCTACGTTCAGGCCCGTTAGCTGTTGGCAAATCGTGGTCTAGCCATGAATATACGAGTCAATGAAATAGTAAGTTCATTCTCAAGCTACCGTACTTAAACTTGACGGGCTAGCTATCATTTCAGGTTACCTTCCTCTTCCTTTTCAACCACCCCATTCCTTCTCCAGCGCACACACGCCTGACAGCATCACGAATAGCGTTGTATTCTGATATAAACTATTCTGGAGTCAAATCTGTGACCCGGGATGTATTCCCCGGAGGTTATCATAGTTTTCTTTGCTCTCGTCGGCTCGGCAACAGCACTGCCCAACTCCAAGGATGTGGAGGCCACGCGGGACGGGCCTCAGCCAAATGTGCGTGACTTTGGAAGGCGAGAAGCCTCACATGACCTGACCAGTTCTAATTGGTATTTATGACTTCGTAGCCCACGACATGCAAGGAGTTCAACGAAGAATGCACGCTTAACGCCGACTGCTGTCCCAGCTTGGGCTGCAAGGAGGTCAACGGAGGAAAACAGCCGAGCGTGTGCGCCTTCTTCCCGAAAGTAAGTAGTCCTGGTCTTGAGCAGCGAAGTAATATTTGAGAACTAATAGTTTGTGGCTTTCAGAAATGTTCAAACAGATTGGAGATGTGCATGTCGGACGAGGACTGCTGCTCTGACAACTGCGTAATAAATTATCATGACCCGTATTTCAGAGGTGCCTGCGATCACAGCAGGCCGAATTCAACAGCTGTTTAGGGGGGGGGAGAGCGGTGGTGTGGCACGACTTGCATTACTATGGTAGGGAGACTAAGAGACCGGGAAATCGGGAGGGTTCAAGGCATAGTAAATATCTGCTCTCATGTTCTTGATGTAGAGTACCCAGTTAGATACTAGTTGCAATTACACCACGGATCAGTTTCATGTTTGAAAACATCCGGACGGTTTTTTGGTTTTTTTTTTGGTTTTTTTTTTTGAAGACTTTCACCCAATGTTGAGATATCAAAGTGGTTCTCATTGCGACACTTCACCACCGATTTATGTTCTCGACCACGCCCCATCAAGATATAGCCCAACCTTTTCTCGTCATGATAAGTTTGGGGCGGCACAATGACCTTCAAAGCAACTCTTGGGGTGCTCAATTCCACCTCGGATTCCGGGTTATATGAAAAGGTTTCTGTGATTCATCATGTTCAGAAAACACTGGGCTCGGGGGTAAAAGACTGCTGCAACGCCCCATACGAGAGTGAACTTCACGGTTGGCCTTGCGTATCCGCGTATTCGTTATACTTTATTTTGGCACATCGTATGGGATTGGAGTGTTCTGAATGCATCCCAGGGTCAGCAGCAGGGATGAAGTATTGAAGAAACAACAAACAGCCCGCACTCAAAATGAACTCTAAACACTTTAGGGCGGACATCTCACCGGCTTTCTGAACCTTTGGTTCCCAGCTGGCCAGGCCTTGGCAGACGACATGTAGCACGTCCGGTCGTTGTGGATGCTCGCCTGCTCCCGATCCTCGCCCTTCTTGAGATCGACAGGGCTCGGCGGCGATGTGACTTGTAGTAGCGCTATATTAAGGTTGCTTACGACCGTGCTGGCAACCTGGAGAGTTGACTTCATTATGAGTCAGGAGCTTCTGGAATCATTCGACTATTGTTGACACACGCTAGCAGCTCGCATTGAGGACAATGATGGCCATGGCATAGCTCGCCCAGACAGATACGGACATGTGTTGCCAGCTTTCGGCCAACGAGTGCAGTGTATGGTTGGATGGAGGGGGATTTTATATTCTTGAGCTGCCCCTTCTATAGCTTGTGTTGGGGGCCAAAAAGATGTTCGAGATGTTATTCGGTGCAGCTTGGGCCAGGCACTTGATGTATGCATGACGATGTCCATGTTTGGGACGACGATCTTTTATCACCATGACCTCCTGAAAGTACCACACGCAAATGGGCGGAGAGAAATTGACATTGCTTTTGAAAATGAAGACTTGGGGCCTACCATTGTATCCATCTCAGTAGCTGTCTACAGCTGCTGTACCATTTTCGTGCTCACAAGGATCCTGTTACGGCTGCGTCTACTGACGAAACCCACTTCCGACGATTATCTTACAGTCATGGCTTTGGTATGTTTACACTTATTGCCCTTTGATCTTGTACATTTTACTTGGTGTGATAGCTTTGACCATGTTGACATAGTTATAGGTATTTGGCTGGATAGGGGCTGCCTTCGCTGTGGTCGCCGTTCAAGATGGTCTGGGCCGGCATGTCACGAATTTGCCACCCACGAAAGCTCATCACGCCGTGCTGTGGTCCATGATTGGATTTTGTTTCACATTGTTATCGATCGCATTACCCAAAGTGGCCGTTGTGGCGCTCCTGATCCGCCTGATGAGCCCCTCAAGGATCCATCGACATCTCCTTTGGTGCCTTGCTGGGCTATGTTCCCTCGTGCTTATAGGGCACGTCCCTATAATATGGACACTTTGCAACACAGATTCCGGCTGCTGGAACGCCAATATCTTCCTGGTCTACTCCATATTTGCCGGAAGTGAGTCGCTCTGCTTCAATTATGACAGAGCTCGCTGGCTGACTCAAATAATCAGCATACTCGGCTTTTGTAGACATATACCTTTCTGTGTACCCAGCGGTCGTCCTTTTCAAACTTAAGATGAAAAGGAAGAAGAAAGTCGGCATCAGCCTAGCGCTTGGAATGAAGTCCCTGTAAGCAGACTCATCCAAAATCATCCGGGATCTGCGGCCCTAATTTTTGACTGATGGTTTCTTAGAGATGCCATATTCGCCGTCTTGCGAACCATAAGTATGCCTGGCATGGCTAGCCAGGACATTACTTGTACGATTATATTGCACACTTTCATGTCACTTCACACCATCTCATATCTGGAAATCATTAACCGCCTTTGCAGTCGATTCATCGATGCTCACGATATGGGGAAGGTGAATAATTACAAACCTGGGAGCCGTTTCTAGATACCCTTTTACTGACATACGGTATGGTAGTATTGAGGGAAGTATGGTAATTATTGCCGCATGTATTCCCGTGCTCCTGCCCCTACTCGATCTATTCACTAGGATCCTGGGTCGAAAGAAGCTACCGCCCGTACGATTGTACCGACCTTCCCGCCATATCACTATAAGGTGGAGATCATCCGGCGGGACTGACGGAAGAGCCTCAATACCTGCCCCATACTGTGTAATTCGCTTGAGCCATGCTTCAGGAACAGGACCGAGAGCTCTTCTATCAACGACCAGTGCGCAGTCGAGCGCAAGTGAGCATAACAGGACCGACTCTCACTGGCAACGATTGGATGATGATGCCGATGCAGCCAGCGACGCACAACCAGGCTTTGAAAGGTGTCTCGGCCTGACAGATATGGAGGAAGACAAATTGATGATATGGAACTATGGTCGACTGAGTGTAGCTCCGTGGTACGATGAGGTCATCATCCCGAGTGATGGTGCTTCGCCAAACCTGCCGGAGATACCGGCTCACGTACACACTCGGCGGGTCTATCCTGAGACCTACCCGTGAGTACAGATGGGAAAATGCAATACTTTCATTGATAAAATGTTTTGTTTTATTATTATAGCACATGCGAATGAATGAGTGCTTTGACGCGTTGTCATGAGTGTGCTCACGACCCACCACTTTCAAAATCTTATCCTCCAAGGGCTTGCCAAGGACAAGTGAGGATATGAGTTCGCGAAGCTCTAAAGAGCCATGCTTTGTTACACAATAATTATTGAATGAAAAATCGTCCCGGCCGCTCTAGCTCGTCACAGCCACACATGCCCTCTCCCCGGACGTACCTGACGCACAGTGGAAGAGAACTCTTGGGATTTTCCGACCCCATCTAGCATTCTTAGGCCAACTCAAGAATTTTTACGAAGGATACATGGTTATGTGCGTCAAAGGACGGGAAAGGACTGGGAATGCATGGTATGTTCGCAGGCTCTTGGCGACAACCCTAGGTGTTAAACGAACTTGGAATCATTATGATCTCCGGCCGGAAGGAGCAAGAACACATGATTGTGAAAACTGAGAGACTGATCTTTTCTAGGTACCTGTTCACAATCCATGGCAACACTCCAAGAGAGACGTATATCGACAGTTAATAGCCATCTTGGAGCAAATGTTTCCGTCCGCGATATCATCCGTATTGCTCAGGCTTCTGGTCCTTCCCAGCCGCGTTCGCCTTCACAATGTACACGGCAGTTCCGTACACACAGACCTGCGCAATTCCCTCTCCGAAGTGGCCAGTCTCGAAACGCATACCAACGACAGCATTTCCTCCCATAATCTGGCACTCCGCACACAATCGGGCGACTGCATCGTTCCGGGTTGAATACATCTTCAGCAAGGCGGTGATATTAGCCAATCGGTCCATGACGGGCGCTCGACTGGACGGTGGGGCTTACTAGCTTTGTTAAGGCCCTTATGTCGCCGCCAGGAATGGTCTTGAAGACCGCTCCGAGAGCAGGCACGAAGCCCCGTGAGCGCGCGCCCATGCCGATGATGGTGCCCATGCATTTCTCAATGCAATACCCGGGTATCTCGGAAGTAGTTGCCGTGATGATGCCTTTAGGTGTTTGGAAATGTTCTGTGGGGGAGACGCCGTCGACCTGGGGCGAAGACTTGAAGGTGAACTGTGAGGTTGGAGCCTCGTTGCTCTGGTTTGGGATGGCATGGTTGTAATGCATAACGGTTGCAGATGGCTCTCCCTGATCAACGCATTCGGGACAGTCCCAGACGTCGTTCCTGGAGTGGGAGTGTCGGTATCTATGCATGGTGTCTAAGGACGTATTAAAAAGCCTAACAGGTGTACAGGTAGAAAAATTAGGATTTCGAGCAATATCTGTCAAGGTAGGGCTGATCGCGAGAAATGATATTAGGTAAAGGTCTCAGGGCCGTTGATGATCATAGGATTGACAACAAAAGTGCATGTCTAGAGATGCTCCCCTGAATACATTGTTGATGATTTTGTGCGGGCAGTGGTGCTCCCTACTGCTCCTTCATCAGCAAGTACAGGCGCAGCTTCTCTCCGGCGACGGCTGTCCGCCGTCTAGCATGGAGCACTTCCCTACTGTGCAATATTCTTTTGAACGATGCCATGCTCCTATGACGTCCAGATGGCATTTGAAGGCTTGAAATCTTTTGCCTCAATCTCTGCGTATTAATGATACGTGGTAGTTGGCTCTCACTTTCCCTTGAAGACTAATTTGCGAACAGAATCAAAGGAAGCTGCCACCCATTCCTTACTCTCCTCGCAGCGTACAGGGAAGCTTGGTTCCATTTAAGAGCGCTGGGCCATGCCTTTGGCGATACTTTAGCAGCGTTGTGCATTTATTTCCTCGCGGTAACACTCTAGCTCTAGTCTGATAGAGCTCCAGCTCGGGTCTCCTTGAAGACGCTTTCAGGCCAGTGTAGCTACTATATATATTCGTCGACTAGCCCTACATTATTTATATTCTAGTAAACCATCCCGGGGATCATTGTTTTGTTCCTGCTGTAGTGATAATTGCCATTTTCTTAACAAGGCACGTACTTGGTATCTGCACACTGTATTGGGGTGTTTCTGCACATGTTCATGACATTCTACGTCGCACTTCAACGCCTGTTCAATTTTCCTGGGATAATTGTACCTGCAGATGCTGCACTGTTGGCCTGGCCCGGTCCAGGATGAGCTGAAACATTGCGGACAAAGAAACAATTCTTGGCAGGGCTGAAGGTGGATACCAGGTCGCAATCCTAATCGGGTTATAAGTGAGAGAGAGACTGCAAATTGGCTGTGCTAGCTGTGCCCCTACATATAGGTACTGGTCCGGATCGGCCGGGCCCTCCCACCTTTGATGACTCCAGCCGCCCAAGATGGATTCTTCAGAGTCATGTACATAACTCATCTTTGTGAGACAACTGATACAAGCTCCAACAAACAAGAGGAATTGAGGAAGTTGTCGGACGCAGCTTGACTTCAGGGGTCCGGCAATGCCGGCGATATTGAGAAATTCTGAGCCATGCTAACCGCATTGTCGGGACGTTTGAACCCAATTCAGGAGATCTTGCATGGCTGCTGCTAGGAATAAGCGGCACCTACGGAACAGCCTCATCAATTAAGCTTTCCCCAGAAACATCTCGAATGGTTCAGGGGCTAGACCCCCATAGCAGCAGACCCGATTTTCTCAGGGGCCTGTGGTCTAAGACTGAATCAAGCACACATGTTGGCGGATCTACGGTGAGGATTCAGAAGATCCAAACGTGCTGAGCATGCGCAATCGGCTTTTGGCTCGCCCAAGCTTCTCAACCCCCACGGGCTTTTTTGAGGGGATTGGGAGTTAGCTCTCAACTACAGATGGAGCCCCTCTAGGAAATCTCGGAGGGTACGATCCCTTAGTTTCCGCCAAGCGCACAGCTAAACCCCTGTTGCTGGCCACGAGTCAATTCTTCCAGATTCAGCCGGTAGCAATCTCCGTTACGTGTGCTATGTAAATCGTGAGATCTAACAGCACGAGACTACATAAACCGACGAGATGGCCTGGATCAAAAACAAAGAGACCTTGTTTTGTTGCCAATCCAACTTCTGTTCTCCAACCAGCAGTCATTCGTTCCTTGTCTGAGCCGGGTCTCATTTATTCACTGTCCGATATGTTCTCCACATCCCTGCTACTGGCCCTCGGCGCCTCTGCCGTTGCGGCTCTCCCGCACGACAGCAGATCGCCGTCATCAGGCACAGTTCAGTGTCCTGTGGTTCTCGAGGGCCGCATTCCCGCCTCAGCCGCCCTCACGGACTTCGACGTCGATAACGACCTGTTCAACTCCGGCTATGTCAAGGGTAACAACTTGACCTGGAGCGACATCCTCCAATTCCCGGAGATCGCCAACTCCCGATTCGACAACGCCTCCTACAAGTCCGTCGAGGTCACCATCAGCGACGAGTCCATCTTCCAGAAGCAGTACGGCTTCCGCCGCGCGGGACTGCTTTTCGTCAACGACACCAACGAGGGCAGCCTGGGCTACCAGGGCCTCAGGACGCTGCACTGGAGCGTCAAGCAGGACTCTGCCCGCGCCCTCAACCTGAGCCACGAGTACCTCAACGTCTGGCACGAGTCTGCAGACTACTCGGGTGACCAGTTCATGTTCCAGACCGGCCAAATGATCGCCTATCCTGACATGCCGGCCGACACCTTCAAGTTCTTCGATCGCAACGCCACGCTGCTATGGTCCACCCCCATTGATTTCTCCGAGTGGCAAAACTTTGCCATCACCCTGGACATCGATTCAAAGTAGGTCCTAGCCAAACGCTGAACCAAAATTGTTGCTTTTGCTGACAGAATATTCCGCAGTCTCGTCCAAATCTACTACTCCCTGGGCGATGCCGCCCTAGAAGCAGTCACTGAATTCGTGCCTGCGGTCCTGTCGGGTGAAGGTCAGTTCCAGCTGGGCATAATCAAGAAGCCCACAGGTACCGATGATGTCGTCAACAGCGGGTTCCAGGAGTCTCCGCTTAACGAGGGCCAAATTTATGGCGGCATCTTCGTCGAGGACAGCACTGGCGGCTGCGTGTCGCTCTAAGCGAGCAGTCATATGCTTTGCTCGCGTGGTGGGTGGGGAAGTTGCAATTGCGGGCCAGTAACTTTTTTCGCTTTTTTTGTAAATATCATGGCATCCTGTTCTCGTCCATAGAACTAGACGATCCTTCTCCGCTCTGCGGGCTCTCATCTGCGTTTGCCGTCTCCTTACTGCTGCCACTGATGGTCTCCGTGCAGCCAACCAAGCTCACGCCGGATTCAGCAACCGAATCGGCCTTGTTGCAGTCCGCACATCGTGCAGCGGAAGAGTCCAACGGATCTCGCCTCGGCCCCCTCTCGATGTCGAACAGCTCCCGGTGGTGGTCGTACCGCAGGTCGGCAATGTCGATATCCTCCACCATGCCTTTCGGGTTGTACCGAGGGTACATCCGGTACTGATACGGGAATTGGTTTGGATCCGGATATGGTACTGGGACAGAATTGCGCAGAGCAAAAGTCCCGCCGTCAGTTGATGAGACAGCGCCTACGCTGTCATGATGGCTGACTCTCCCGTTGTGGCGAGAGCGTTCGTTGTTTGATGTCGCTGGTGATCTGCCTTTACGGCTTCCGACATGGTCGTGATAAGTCACCCAGTGGACCATAATTGCGGAGAAGAGTACTAGAAAGCGGTCTAAGTAAGAGAGTCTTGGCTCGTGGGTCTTCGAAGAGATGGTACACACCGTCACAGTTGCAGCACAGAAGACAAACCCAACCCGGCTCTCCATTCAGAGCTGTCAAAACGGACAGATTCCTGTACCGAAAACTTTAGCGGCCTTCTTTCGGGCGTTGTCGTCAACGCAAGATGATAACAATAGCCTACACAATACTACTCGTGAGAGTACAGAGCGACCCGATGAACGTTCGGAGCGCGATTTTGCGTAATTCTAAGCTCGGTTGCGATCGCTGTACATTCCTGAAAGAATGCAAACCTGTGACCTGTTAGTCAAGGTGACTCGCTCACCAAGCTTGCACTCTGTACTTGGTAACATACTTGAAAGGGGTATCAAAAACAATGTGGTAAGATAGACCTGAGAAAATTGTCAGTCACCATAAAAACAACCAAAGAGTTTAACGTTTTACCGACATTAACGACCAAATCAAAAATGATGAGCGGTAACAACGCCGGGCGCTCCATTCCAATGACACACATGCCATCCTCGTTGAGGTGGGCGATGCGACTGCAGTATTTTGTCAGAGATTTTCCTTACGCCGCATGGGGGTCGCTCATGGTCGCGGCTCACAAGACGAAATTGAGAATTATGACGATGCTGTATAGTCCTGCGCGAGGGTAAGAAACTGGTTATGCACCATGCGAGATGAAATCCGTTAAGCGTACCCAGCATGCCAAAAGCATTGAAGATCCACATTTTAGATCTCATTCTCGGCTTCATTCCGCCTCGGATGATAAACTGCTCTCCGTCAGCTTTCACATTCTTCACAAGCCTCAGTCTCAAGTTGTCTTCGACATACTGCTTTCTCGACGAGAAAAAGGTAGATCAGCTGCGCAAATTAAAGGTCAATACCAATGCCCAGTGCGCATAGCGCCATCGCTCAGAAACCTCGTGAGACTCACGACCTGCAAGATGCCATTATTAGCTGCGACCAAATCTCATTCCCTAGAACCTCTCAACTTACTTTGGTGCTGACATAGCAGACGAGACACAGCAGTATAGCTGCGTCACACACGGCGTACGCCGAATTGACGCCCAGTCCATACTTCAGTAGGGCTGTCACAAAGACGAAGAGGAATGAGTCGACGTATACGGCTACCACGACTGCAATCGTGAAATGAAACAAACCAGTCAGCTCGTCTGTCCGATATAGACCTGATTCGGGACCTGCCAGCCGGTCCTGTTTATCGAGTCGAAGGTGGGCGGCAACTTACGCCACATCGCACATGGCAGCATTCGCCATGACTTGACGGCAGCATATTTCTGGGCTGTAGTCAGGCATCGTGGTCAGCTAGTCTCTTTCGGAGGGGTGGGAAGGCGTAGGGGAAGCCCGGAAGGGTGGACCGGCCTGCGGGGAGACCCACTGAGGAACGAGGAGATGATTGTTATGGAAACCAGAGACACAATCACGCTAATAACGGTTCCCACCACCGGCGTATGGTTATCCATCTGAGTTGACTTGATATCGGCCTGCAACGGCGATGTGGATGCGCAGACACAAGAAGCAAGGCGGCAAGTCCACGATCACGGCCTCGCAACATCACATCTGGAAATCGGGTTTTGAGATCTTGTTGGCAGAGGAATGGTTGGTAGGTATTGGAACTGCGTGGCGCGGTATGGCTCAAGTGGCGAACACCAATATAAGATGTGAACATGTGCTGGGAAGAAGCAACCATGACAAGGATATATGATCTGCGGGTAAGGTGTAGGGATGGGCTGCCAGCGAACTTGTGTGTTGATGCCCGCCGAGTCGAATCACGGCGTTTGAACCATCATTTTCGTTGTTTGGATCAGATCCGCTGCCAGGTTCAACTTGTTCTGGCCGACCCCTCAGACAGCAAGGATGCATGCATCCGTGTACAGGTGTGCGGTAGAGAGTAACCTGTGGCTGACTCGTGCGATACATCTCAAGATTTGCCGCGACTGCTCGATTTGGGAATTGATTCCTCGAGATGGTTGGGCATACTACCAGACACAATCACGCCACGAACCAAAGATCACGGTATTGTGACATCGTGGCTGCGACGTTCTCTTAAAGATCTTTTGAGGCTATGCCTTGCGCGTCTACGAACATTGTTCTGCGGCCCAACAAGACCTGGACTGTGGACTCATCGATGACTGACCGCCTTCTGGACGAAACCATAAATTGATACATCTGCAATCCGTTGCAGTCGGTTTGTATTATTGGCTTAGCGCGAAGTGTATTCTCAGTTGTCAGAGAAGTTAGACCTGGACTTCGCGTCGAAACTTCGGACAAGTCACCATTCCAGAGGCTTCGAGAAAACACATACAAATTGGGGGCGGTGATACCAGCAGGTGACTGGCGATACGGCAATACGTGGCAGTTCATCAAATGCTAACTAAAATGGTCACAGCACGGGTACGATCGGGTTCCTCTTACGCGTAGATTCCAAACAGTCCTGCAACTTGGCCGGCTTAACTCTCAACTTAAGCTCAAGCTCGCGGAAAACTACTGATGAGGCGAGTTGACTCGCACCCCACAGTTGTTGAGTTGACCGGCCCGGCCGAGCAGAATAGACTTCGGCAAAGAAGTCGACTCGCCTGTTCAGCTATCGATCATCTCCTAATGCATCAGAGACACAGGGAATAACGCACTCGCAGTAGAGCGGATGGGATGCGGTGTGAGTGTTTGCAACCCGAGGGCTAGATTATCTCCCCGTGGCGGCACTCACGTGAAATGGCCCAGCCATACAGACCCTGAAGCCCCCAGCTGGTACAAGGGCGCTTATGCGGCGGAGATGTACAGCTGGCCGACGCCTGACTCGAGTCTAGAAGCTTAAAAGGCTGCGGCATTGCGGATTGATACACCAGGATCAACGTGCACGTATGCGACACGCCGTCATTTCTTCCTCGAGCTACTGCAAAGATGAACTGATGCCCCCATCCGATGAGCAGAAAGGCACCCTGCAGCGGGATGATCGCTGAAGCATTGGGGGCTGACAAGTCCGCGGGAGTTCCTAAACCGATCTCGCAATGCTACCTAACCCGGCCTGTTTGTAAGCCTCACAAAATTTCGCATCGGGGTCGCAATGGAAAACCTGGAGAAGTTCCAAGGGCCTTCCCCCCGCGGGCCAGAGCGGTGATACCGAATACAGTCCGAAAACGGCCTTTTTTGGGCAGAAATCTCACCATGTCACCTCAGCTCGCTGCCTTATGCTCCTGATCGTTCGCCAGGCGGCAGGCACAGGGTCGTGCGTTCTTTTAGCGAAACTTCTCCGGAATGTTTTCGGTATGATCTCGGTCCGGTGGTCAAGCTGCATCGTTCGCATCGCAAGCATGAGTCCCCATCGAGGCCGTCTCACCATTTCCGGACTTATCTGGCCCGAGGAGGTCAAGGTCACTATCAACTGGGTAAGAGACAGCGGTATGGAAGCTGGCTTCGGTGGAAGCAGAAGAAGCCGTGGAAGAGGACTCGTGGCTGTGGCTTGAGGTACAATAACCAGTTGAGCGGATTGCGTCCAGCTCATCCTCAAGTCTGAACGCCCAGAAGCGCTGGATGTTATCGAGAATGAATTGTATCATTTCGTGGCTGTGGCCGTCTAGTATCGCTGCGCGCCGGACCATGTCGTTGACTATGAGGTGGATGGATCCAGCAGTGAGGATCTCAGGGGACGGCCCTTGATGTAGTTGGCTTGTTCTGGAAGCACCGCTCCTCATATCTTCCGCAACGGGATCATGTGAAATGCAAGAACGATCGTGCTCAGATCTGACAAGGGCACTGCCACTTGGGATGAAGGTCTGAGCATCTGCGCTCTGCGTTGGCACAGAATGTTAGTCAAGAGATTAAACTTCATCTTCTACATAAGCGAGGATGCATCTCGGAAGCGACGTTACAACAGTGAACAAGGCTGCGTACCAGTCGAAAACCATCGTAGTGGGGGCCAGTCACTGCCTCACTTGTCTTAGGTTCCAATCTGTTCGGATCGGCGGAGTGGCCGCCAACAATGCCATCACGAGCACAGGCAGGAAGATCATACAGTGATCGCGCCATGCCTTGTGAAGCAGTTAAAGGGCGCGCTGCCAAAGCGTCACGCGACTGACTTGCCGTGCAGACAATTTATATATCCTTACAATTATGAAAACGCTTTGATTGCTCTTGTCAGAGGTTCGAACTGTGTCTCGAAAGATAAATTAGGCAGAAGCCAGGTAAGACAAACATGACAAAGGAAACTCAATTTTGAAGCAAGCACGATGCTTCCACAAGATTGAAGCCTTTGATCATCCTACTATCTATAACAATTCTTTCAACCTCGTTTCTCCATAGTGGCTATTTCATGATTTTCAATATCCGTTTGAGATATGAGCGTTATTAAATGGATCTGCGAACCTAGTCCCTGCCCTAGCTTCGCAACGGCGAAGGTAAAGTAGGTTCTTGCCTGGACACGGGCTTGGAGTTATAGACAATGACATCAAACAAAAATGAGGCTGAATTAACATTCTCCGACAAAAACTTCTGAAGAACAAGTCCCCCAATATCACGGAGCCTGCCGATCCTCCTCGTACCGCGAGATCAACAGCTCACAGAGGCCCCGAAGCTTTACCAGGTACGTAAGAGTACTCGTACAAAGCAACAGGTAGTTCCTACCGGGATACCACCTTATGAGTTAGTCTCTGATGTGCAGGAGTCGGTCCCTAAGCGAGAGGTCATCCCACAGCACTCCATCCAGTGGGATGATCTCTGGCAGGAGGTTATGCCACGCAGGGTAGTGTGCACTAGTCAGGCCACGCACAAATAATTGGGACCCCTGCAAGCTGTATACCGGACTTATTGGTCGAAGAGCTCGACCTTTGCCTTTTGTATGCAGTATTGCTCACCGCTCAGGAAAGCCGAGGTAATATCATTTCCTGTTGACCTTAGCTGAGCGGCCAGCGCGGTCGTTTCAAGAATCTCACATATACACAAAACTGTTCTTGAGCTGCTACAGAACTGCTTTGTCATCGATAATCTAGAGACCTTGTTCTCTTGTGGATCTATACGTTGAAGGCCCGCAGTTATCAATGTGCCTTCAGTCTCACTGGTACAGCTTCGAGGGCTTTTTCAGGTCCATGCGCTTTTCACGTCTACGCGTGTCTCTTTACAATGTGCAGAATTTGACCCCTGTGACTTCCATGGGAGTCTTTGTCGTGCTCTATTCATTGTAATAGATGGAAAGGAACAGTCAGTGTTCTACGGGTAATAGGTAACTCGAAAGGGAATTCCACAGAAAGGGTACAAATTCAAAATCTGGGGAACGGGATGGACAGATTGTGCTCCATATTACCTAAATCCGTGACAGCTGACGGTGACTTGGAGGCCTACATGGCTTCCATATCAAAACTCTATGCTGTCTTTCTATAACACCTGCGATCAACAGAGCTGTTTGATACCCGAATGATTTGACAGCGAGGGGAGATTCGTAGAAGAGGCGAATAAAGTTTGTGTAGTCATTACCACTGGACAATCCAGCTGCTAAGAGGATAGCGCAGCAGCATAATTTGTACATGTTGCTTAGACCGACGCATTTCTCCACCACCGGAGCCAAGATTTCCAAGGTTGCTACCGTTAGTCAGTCCTGGCTCCTCCAGAAGAAAGACCACGGCCCCGTACAGATAGTTTCTGTGTGCAATTTTCGGTTGGCTCGCAGTTTCATCTAGCTAGCCACAGCACACGGTGGCTTCACGAGAAGCGCTTGTCTGGTTGCCACTGGTGCCAGAAGTGTCAGAAATGGTCAGTTGATGGAAACTGCTTCCAGAAATTCTGCTTCATTGACTCACTCTACTCCCATCCACTCGTAGTGAAAGACGAAAGAACCTAGGAATGCCCCAATGAATATGCAGATGATGATGTATCCATTGTAATACATGGCCAGCCTGTCCACGGAGTTATCAGTTTATGTTCCACTATAGTCTCGTCAAAGTAAAGTCCGCCTGCGCTATGACTTTAGTAGACGGTAATAAGTTTAGATACACAGGAGGCGAGATATGGGGGTCAAGATAGCGTACAGCATAACAAAGTAAGCCACAGCAAACTGGCACGTGTGCAGCAAGGCGCGGACAGCCTGCTCGGGCACAGTCGGCCGGAAGCGACCAGACGGGGCGGCGCTGACGGGCCGCACGTGCAGGTCGTCCTTGCTCCCGCCGCTCTCCTTGGTCACCTGCTGGGCATGGCCGGCAGTAGCGGCCGTGACGTATGTGTTATTGTTGGCGCTGGTGGAATGCTTACGGACGAGAAGAGCGTCGTACTCCTTGACCATTCTGCGCAGCAGCTCGAGCAGCATGACTAGCAGCAGGACGCCAATGCACGATCCCGCGAACATGCCGCTGCTCGTGACGTGCCATGAGCTAGAGATGAAGCACGAGTCGACCGTATTCCAGTTCCAAAGCATCTGTGGAGCAAGACTGTTAGTGGGTATCCCTGGAACCTAGAACTTTTTGAGCTAAGATAAGAGAGGGCCATGGCCTGTACAGAAATCTTGCACGAATTGCCTCCTCCCATGCTCATCGACATCACGCTGCTGGTGGCTGCGGCGGCCGAGGAGGCGGTGCCTGTGGCGGCCATTTCCATCGTGGTAGATGTGCCCATAGCCATGTCCATTTTTGAGACGAGTACTTTGGGAGAGGGAGGAAACGAGCTGGAATGGTCGAAGACTGGGAGGCTTGCACACGGGAATAGATTGTAAAACAGAGGGGAGCGGCGGACGCTGTGAAAAGGAAGGGATGTCAACAAAAGCAATTTTATCTCAGCAGGGAAAACAGAACATACCGTCAATCAGGCTATTGTAAGCAGGACAAACGACTCCCAGGTCAGCTTCGAGGCTCCCACCAGTACACAGTCCAAGCCTATTCACCAACAGCACATACACCTTGGCCTGTTCGGCGGAATCTTTTGGGGTCCACAGGGTTGGGATTGGATGCTGGGGTGGTTTGCGCACGTTTGAGCACGTTTCCTGCACTTCGTGTGTGACTTCAGCCAGCGCCAAGGGACCGGTGGACTGATCGTAGGTTGTGCAGCAGACGACAACTTGCAGGAACGATGCGCAGCTAGAATTCCTTCGGGAGTGAATTAGGCAAGGGGCATGAAAACGACGCTCGCTAGGGAGGCCATCCCCGATGAGGTTGTCATATCCACACATACACACATACACACAAACGGGGTCCGTGAAGGCGTGAGACATCAATGGATCTATATGATCTAAAAAGTCTAGTGGGTATGTGGTATGCTTTCCCTTCCATCCGGATCAAATCTGCTCACCCTTAACTCCATCGCTATGGAAACAAAAGAAACACATGCCATCAGATCCTCATCCTCTTGCCCAGGAACAGCCCAGCATATGCTATCAGCCGATACACCACCCCGATGGCAAGCAGAACGCCCATGTTCCGCCACGTTGCGTCCAGCTTGAACCCCATCACCCCCGCCGCCATGTCCGTCTGGTAAAGGTAGCCGAACGGCCGAACGAGCTCGCCAAAGTACAGCTCCGTAAGCCAGACGCCGGGAGACATGCGCCAGAGCCACACCATGTGCCACTTGGCCACCTGCATCAGGGTCGGCGCCGCGCCGCAGAGGATCCCGACGATCAGGGACACCATGGTCGCCAGGAGGGGCGCGTCCTCCCTTTTAGCAACCATCGAGATGATAGCCGACATGCCGTACACGCACCAGAAGTACGCCAGGTTGGCGAGGAACGCGATGCCCCATGGAAGGACGGGCTTGGACAGGATAAGCGTGATAGCGGAGAAGTGCAAGCACGCGACCAGCATGCGCGGAAGGACACAGAGCACCTTTGCCACGAAATACGCTAGGCGCGAGTGCCCGGCCTCGGCCTCTCGACGGTGGAGGAGCATCTCCTCGCTGAACACCCGCACACCCGGAGCCGCCGAGATCAGGCCAATGGCCACGCCCATGAGCAGCGAGAGCTGCGGGACGGAGCTGAAGTCGACCGCGTTCGACAGAATAGAGAATTCGCCCTTATAGATGCCGCGAAAAAGGACCCCGTTCCTGCTGTTTTGGGCCAACCCGAGCAGGGCGGCTGCGACCGATGCGAGTATCATCTCGAACCAGAACGACGTTTTGTCACGCCACTGCTGAACCATCGCGCGACGCAGGCACAGCCACGTCTGCTTGAGGCGCGGTGCGCCGCGCTTCTTCAGCGCCTCGAGCATGGCGGGATCACGGAGGGACTGGTGGTCGAGTGGGAGGCTGCTGCGGCTCAAGCTCATTAATGACGATGGGGTGACGGATAGCCGGCGGCCATGAGCTGATGAGACGGAGCTTACGGCTGATGCGTGCCGCTCCTTCAGTTTCGCGTGTTGTCGAGAGCCGATCCAGTTGGAGATGAGCCAGTCTTTGCTAATCTCGCCTTGGGCTTTGTAGGCACGTCCATTGCCTGTGATAATGTCTGTGACGACATCACCAGAGTTCGCATGCGGCGGGAATGCGAAGCCGCAATTCTCAAAGTATTGCTGCACATAGTTCTCTGGACCTTCGTATAGGATCTGGCCGTTTGCAAGCAGGATGAGCTGATCCAGCATCTCGAAGATCTCCATGCGTGGTTGGTGAATGATCACGATCACCGATATGCCGATTCGAGCAATTGCTTTGAGTGTCCGCATGATAGAAGACGCAGCAGTGGCATCGAGGCCAGATGTCGGTTCGTCCAGGAATATCGCCATAGGTGCCGCAGCCAATTCCATACCTATGCTGACCCGCTTTCGTTGCCCACCACTGATCACAGGCTTTCCGACAGTGCCCACTCTGGAGTTTCGAACGTGCGATAGCTCGAGGCAGTCGATGACACTGTCGACGTGTGCCTGGATATCCTTGTTGGCCCAAGTGCGAGGGAGACGGACTTGGGCACTATGCAGTATGTTCTCATAGACAGTGAGCTCTGGAAGAACTATATCGTCTTGTGGCACCATTCCCACTTGTTTTCTAAACCTTTTCATCTTATTCGGCGTGTCGTTGACCATCACAAGACCTCCAGTGTTGGTGGTTTTGCCCATGAGCACATTCACAAACGTCGACTTGCCCGCCCCGGATCCACCCATGACTGCAGTCAAGGAGCCCCTGTCGATGGATCCCGTGACGTTCTGTAGGATAGGTCTCGACACACCCTTAGGATGGAAGCTCAAGTCGGCGTACTGGAACGATAGGCCGAGCCGAGCGGCATCAGTGGCCTTCTGCATTGATTGGACGAAGGACTTTAGCTCAGGAGACAGGTCCGCCATGTCCTGGATCCGTTGGCCCTGCTCCATGGCGAGCGCGGCCTCGAACCCAGTCGGCACCCGTCGGGGCGTATCTGGCTCTGATACGGGCGACGACGACTCCTGATCCCATTGCGCATGGTCATCCGGGCGTACGCTCTTATATGCGGCGACTCGGTCCGTCATTATTCTGCGCAAGCCGTTGCCCGGCTTGCCACTTTGGGAGATATCAATCTGGCCGTTCGTGTCCTTCTTGACTCGCTTTCGAAGGTTGAGAAGGACCATTCCGAGTATCAGGCACACGTCGAAGATGATTAACATCGCCAGCGGAATGTAGAAGCGCTGGGACACAGAGCCTGCGGGACAGGCGCTGCCGGCCACGCACGGCGTTGGTTGTGCCGTACCGGGCTGGCAGTAACTTCCGGATGGGCACTGCAACTTCTCTTTTCCGCCTGCAGGACAATAAAACCCACCCTGGCAGATAACCGGCTCGAATGGTCCCATGCCGGTGTTGGAGTGCGCGATTTGACAGGTCATGCCTGCGGATCTTGACATTTGGCACACGTCAGGGGGTGGGCAGTATTGTGGTAATGAGTTGACTGTGTTATTCTCGCCTGGAACGCAGAGCTGTCAGTTAATGACTCGGAGGGAAAATACCTCTGGGTTTCACCTACATAAAAAGCCCTCATTACAGCCGCCCTGCTGCCACTTCTCCAAGTCCATGATTTGCATAGGCACAGCGTACGGGCCCCTGTAGCAGGGTGCAGCATCTACCATTGTCTCATTGTTGGCTTGCTGCTGGACCGCTCGATAAAAGCTTGTGGAGAATCTTGTGTGATTCAGACCAGTACAGGCAGCATCATACGGGCTCAGTCTTGATTCGTCAATGGCGACAAGGTCGTCCTGTCCATCGTCGTAGATCAACGGCGCACTGATGTCGGGCGGGTTAGACGCGTCCCATATTGGGCCAAGGTTCTCGTCTGCGTCATCGGATATGCTCGCGCTGTGTGTTGGTCTGAACCATTTGCCGCCTGTATATACGTCGATGCCATTTGTCTGGTTTCCTATACACTCCCATGCTGCGGCATCGCTGTCCGAGACAGGCGATTGCCTGTAGGCGCAAAGACAAGCCTGCGTATCGAGGAAAGCTGGGCCTTCGAGGACGCCCTGTGGGAGGAAAGGGTCTTGTGGGAGGTCTGCCAACGCGAAAGTGTAGTCCTCAGGCGTTTTCGATGCTTGTGGAACAGCCATATTGGTTCGAGGCGCAAGGAGGAAACCGTAAAGGAGAGTCAGGGGTATCGCAACCAGAAACACAACCTCTGCTGTATTCCCTCGTCTGATGTCCGAAAAGCTTGGTCTCCTCTCCTTGGTGCTTGCGACGTACTCAATGCCAGAGAAATCTGACAGCAATGGCCCATTTGGGCCCGCCTCTGTGAAAGAGTCCCGTTCATACTTATGAGCGGGCTCGGAACCTCAGCGCAGGCAACCACAGCAACCAAGATGTATCGCGATCAGCGACAGTAATCCTTTAGCATGTATCCCCACAACTGCAGCCAAGTCGAGGTTCCACCATCGGTATGCTCTCGGACTCAGTCCATGTATGGATCTCTGGTACTGCTGGCAGCCAGGAGCCGCGCAGCCACACGTCAGACCAGACCAGACCAGAACAGAACAAGATAGTCGCCAGCCTTCGCCCAGCCCATCTCCGTACCGATGATATCATTGCTCATCTTGCCGAGTCGCTCATGGCAATTGGCAATGCTTGTTGACAGGGCGGGCTGACAGAGATCTGCGGCCGCTGCTGAGCCTTGGTGGAGGATTTGGTGAAGGATTCAGACGGTGTCGAAGCAGAGAAGAAGCGAGCAGAAATTGCGGGTCGTCCTCAGCATTTTAACGGGGCGCTGCGGCGTGACCGGGGGGGTTCTGTGCTAAGGCTGAGGCTGTGAATGCGGTTAACTCAGGTGCCTAAAACCTCCGTTTTCCGAGCGGCCCGCGCCTGTCACCCCCTGAACCTTGGGGCGTACCCCCACTGAACTGAAGCTCGCAGGGATCCCGAACATTTTGGTTCGACTTCTTTGCTTGACCAGTCAGCATACACTTTCCTGTGGGATAAATTCTGACAGCATAATCTCTTGTGGAAATAATCTGCCATGGATTGGAATCCTTCTCTTCTGGGACCGTCTTTCATAAGATTTCTCACCCCCATGAAGGCCTTTGCATCACGTAAAGCTTACGCTCGGGTATCTGCTTCGCGGTACAGCATCTTTTATAATGAATGAATAGAAAAGAAATGGGTAATTGTAAGGCAACCAGCCATATAATAACCAAGTATCGAATAGTTTCTTATGGGATGGCATGTTTTGAAATACGTTCTCCAGGATAATTTCCTCTAGGGTAATCTCCCTTGGGATAACCCTCTATACAGAGAAATACTTAAGGCCTAGAAGGTTCCGCAATAGACTATAAGAACTTTTTGTGAATGTGGCGGTGTTGTTTCAACAGTGTATATGATGCGCGTCACGATGTCGTCGTGACGACCACACGCCTAGCTCGACATAGCTTCATCACAAATATCTCGGCTAGCTTGATAGCAAGCAACATTGAGTTTGCAGTGAAAGACTCTGCCGACAAGATCATTAAAGATTCATTATCATGCATACTACACAGTAACTATGATGAAAGCGACAGACAAATCTGCAAGGCACAGCAGCTCAGGGGTAGATCTGGGCGCCCAACACAGCGGACATGCCTGCTTCCGACCCTGTTCCCTCATGCCTCTAGATTCTTAGATTGTTGATTGAATTCCATGTCACTTCAACTGAGTGCCTCCTCTGTGCAATGAGTTCATGCCGGAGGGCTAGTTGCAATTGAGTATGGCTACACGATGCACATGTGGATGGATGGTAACTCGGCACGGTCAACATTGAAGTACATGTGTGCATTACATCTGTTGATTCAGAGGTCCTGTAATTGTAGCGAGAAAAGACAAATGTCGAATACCATTTTACTAGCAAGTGACAGAATCCCCATGGCCCACTGCGCACGACCCATTTTGTAGTGAGACACGCGCTTCTCATCAACAAACATGTATGCATGATACAGATGGCAATGATCAACTAAATATTCTAGCCCAGAGTCGATTTTTGAGGTCGGTATGTCTGTTCAATAGTAGCATTTGTGGAAACTTTGTCTCTGGTAGTAATGAAACGATTTTACCTGGGACTCAGGAGTAGTGCATTTGGAATACACCAATAAAATCTCCTTTTAGCACTTTAAATGGATGCTTTCTGTTGCAAAGGAATACGTGTATATTAAGATTTGTTACAAGCCCCAAGCGCGCTATGAAAAGGGAATGCTATTAGAATCTGTCAATATTTCCATGAAAGGTATTCAGAAAGTGCAACAGTTCGTTCCGCCACGGGTATAAGTCCACCTCTATCCCAAGCTACCAGGTCCATTCTGCCTTTCGTCAGTAATATATGAAGCGCCTTCACTCGTGAAGGTCACAGGGGCTGAATATTGCACCATTGCAACTCGTCACACCTTGCGCTAGAAATGGTAAGGAGAGATTGGACAATTTTGGCTAGGCGGCAGCCAGCCCAACGCCGAGCTGGAAAGCCACAGCCTCTCATTCTCGAGGAGAATGAAACACCGCCTTTGACAGTCACGACAACTATTGGGCCCTTCGTCGACGAGGGCGCCAATAATTTCGCACGCCCCTGATGCTGGAGTGATACTTGTGACAGACCCATTCCGGGTGGTGGTACATCTGCTTCACGAGGTGATACAGGGCCACAAGAGCGGAGCCGCCTACTTCTATAAGTCGAGGATCTTTGAGGTGACACTAGGAAGGAAAGAGTGGATCGCGAAGGAGGAGTGAAAAGACATGGGTCTAAAGTCGTAATGGGAATAGCTTCATGCACCAGGCCCATATATTGTCAGCCACCTTAAACGAGTATGGAGGATTTAGGAGGAGGTCTATCTCGAATGCCCTCAAAGTGGTGAAAACCCCGTTTCTCTACGCATCACCACTTGACCTGGGCGTAGATGTCAGGCACACCGGCAAAGGGTACAGGCTGACAATGGCATCAACCTTTGATGCTCCAGCCGGCTCGACAAACCACGGAGACCCCAATCTCCTCTGCGTTCCTCCATCATGGACCGACCTGGCCGTCTTCTTCGGCACCAACTATCTCGCCCACGCGGCCACTCTCATTGCGCGCCCCGGGCAGAGCTTAGCCGAAACCATTGTCGACACGGCCAACGCTCTGTTTATCCCGGGGTCGGGCATGATCCGCGCCATCAGGCTGCTGTTCTTCTACACCGACCTCCACCGCTCGTCGCCGCCTCTGCAGAAGGCTGCCAAGGCCGGCGCGCTGTGCATGGTCGTCAGGCGCACCCACGTGTCCCGGGCTATGGGGGAGAACGACGACGCTGAGGACGGGAACGGCGGCGACTGGTTCTCGCGGCACTTCAGCCTCGCCACCGACCCCGTCTACGTGCCGCTATCGCGGTCGATTTTGGGGACGTGCATTATCCGCGACCGGGAAAGATACTGCCTCGTCGAGGTATCGCCTCTGGTTCCGCTGAGGGAGTTCATGCCCGAAGATGCGCCGGCTTCCCCAACACTCAGCAGCGCCTCTTCCAGCTCAGCCGGCAAGACCGAGTCCGTCCCATCGGTCCCGTCGAGCGTGCGGCGGCCCAAGTCGCACAGGATAGAGGTACCTGGCCAGCTCGACATTGCCAAGATCCTCGTTAGTATCCTGCAGCTCATCTGGGGCATATCAACGCTGTACAATGCCCGCGGCAACCAGATTGACCTGTACGGCTACGCGGCCTTCGGCCTGACCGTCACCCCCTACGCCGTCATGAGCTTCCTAAACCTGCTCGTGAGCCTGATCTTGCCCGTCCACAACAACATGTACCTCGTCTGGACCGAGGACATGCGCGACGCAATGGAGAACCGCCGCCCACACCACCGGCCCCCAGCTGAGTTCGCCGGCATGATCGCCACAGTCGACCTAGAAAAGACAGCCCGCATAATGCGCAACGAGCTCGGTGGCAGCCGCATCCCATACGACGGTGGCGGGCCCCTCGCCCGCCCCGTGCGCCTAGTCGCCTACTCTTCGTTCTACCTGCTCGTCGCCGTGGTGCCCCTCGCTATCGTCGGAGGCTTGACAGGCTTCCGCACGGGCAGCGACGTCCACGTCGAGCGCGCCTGGGTCCTGGCATGGCTGATCATCGGGTCCGCCTCGGCCATCCTCATCAGGCAGGTCTCAGCATCGGTCGCCACCCACCGGCGCGTCATGTCGCTGCAGGACTATATCCTAGGGCGGCCGGACCGGCGCGGGAAGCCGCAGCCGCCTCGCCGCTCGATCAGCTCCGGCGAGAGGGGCGTGAGCGCCTGGTTTGCAATCTTTGTGCTATTTCCCCTGTGGATTCCTGCAATTGGCGGCATGGTGGTGGTAGGGAAGATGTTACAGGATTTCGGAGTGTGTACGAGGCTGGATTAGGTTGGCTATGACGATGTTTCTGCCATCGCCCGGTGACATTGTTATAACTATACGGATTGTTGAAGCGGTGTGGCAGGAAACCTATTATATATCCAGCGGCGTCAAGCCATCAGTAATTACAACTCCTACAGTAGAGAGCTGCGGTCTCATTTATGACATTTGTCACACATACCCGAATAGACCCACCAAGAACATTACCCGCCGTGCTCGAGAAATGTAACATAGCAGTATCTAATCCCAAAAGTGTTGTGTTCAAACTGACTGACCATGTACAGACGGTCATGGATCGGAATTGCCGCGGGGCTTAGGGAACTTTGTTCACATACCTACGTGCTTATAGCTGTTCACTCACATCAAACGTGGACCGACCGGTCATGTTACGGCAGCAACTTGTCAAGAGAAAAGCCGAGAGAAGAACGAGATCGTAGAAAAATCGACATGCATAATGTACATCATACAATAATCTTATCTTCACCCCATAACCCTGCATTTTGGCCACGTGCTATGATCGTCTCTCATCGTCCGAAAATGGTGGCCGCCCCAAGTACCTGATCAACCTAACCGCCGACTCGTGAAAAGGATGAAGAATGATCGTTTTCAATGCCTGGCTCCTCTATTGAACCCCGCATGCATACCATAGGAGAAGCCTCATCCGGACTTAAAGAGAAACATCCGCACTCCATTCGCCGCCCCCCAGAACATGGCCCCTCTAGACACGCCTGGGTGAGTCCATGACAGATGGAAAATTGGGCACAAACACATGTGCTTCAGCACGGAGCTTGTTTCCCTCCGGGCTATGGCTTGGAGTCCTCTTGCGCAGGCGACAAAACGTGGCTACCTTGGGGTTGAAACTAGCTGCGGACGCATTCAGCGGTTTCGTTGGGCCAGTCGTCTTCGAAGCATTCTGAAACGTGACAGGCACAAACTCTGGTGCCTTCACAGCCTTCACCAGAATAGATGAGTAATGCTGCTGGTGTTTGTTGATTACCGGAGGCTGCCTCTAAAAACCAAACCCGGTTGGCTGAGGAGCAAAGCCGTTAGGAGCGTATCCGCCGCCACCGGTGTTGGCCCCAGGTCCGGCAGTGATCATGAGACGGTTGCCGAGGATGGGTGTGTTGTCCTCAACCTTCTCCTGCTCCTTCTCCTTGGCTTTCCGGGCCTCGTTGTCAGCCTTGAGTAGTGCAAGCTCTTTAGTCTGCTGAGCAAGCATGTTGATCATGTAAGGCATGGAGAAGTCCGTCAGACCGTTGCGCCAAGAAAGCTCCAGGACGAGATCAGGGCGAAGGAGGTCGTAGCAAGCATACAGCATGCCAACGTAGCATTCGCGATTACCAACATCAACGAACTAGGGTGTGATTAGCACAAGAATTTAGACATGTGGCAAGCGGTGCTTGACTTACGTATCGGATGAGATCCTCCACAACCTCGGTCTTGCCAGAAATTGCCGAAGTTTCAATGGCATCCTTCCAGAGCTTGTCTTGCTTGGACAGGGCAATCGACTTCTCCCAACGCTTGTTCTTGCGGTAAATGTTAGCAGCAATTTGCCGGAAGAAGACAAGATCATGCTTCTCAAGCCGCGAAGCCAGATCGACGGCATCGTAGTTGTCGTAGTTCTCCACGGAGTCACGCAAGGTCTTGTAGTCTTCCTCCTCAATGAGAAGATCGTTGATGGCATCGTTGACGGTGCGCTTGTTCTGGGTTTGCACATTGAGCAAGAACGGCTTGATCAACGGCAAGTTGTCAGACTTCTGGAACAAGCGGACAACACGATTTACGTCAATTCGAGGCGTAAGAGCCTGCAGGAGGTCGGTGAGAAGCGAAGGGTGCTGCTCCAGGTAGAAGTTGATCGCCTTGTAGTAGATTTCAAGGTTGGCAACCTTGACGGCCATCTCCTTGAACTGCTGGTGCTCCCACGAGTTCTCCGGACGCTCCATGACAGCGAGCGCAGCATTGTCATACTCGTCGTAATGGTAGTAGCAGAACACAAGCTCAGGCCACAGATTTGCCTCCTCGCAGGCGCGAATCATCTTGGGCATGTTCATACGGCTCCAGAACAGCTTGAGGTGCTCCATGAGTCGCTCAGGGTGGTACTTCGACAGTGCAATGCCCAGCTCTGTGAACATACCCATGTGAGCACGCTCCAAGCCAAGACCCTGCTCCAACAGGTCGATGAGCTCATCAAAGTAGCCGTTCCGCTCGTACTGCTTGACGAGGGTCTGCAGCTCCTCAGCATCGACGATCAGGTTGAGACCGCAGATCTTGGCAAGGCGGAACTCCTTCTTGTCAACACAAGCGCCGTGGACCTGCTTCCACACCCGAATGTTGTTGGCCTTACGAGCGCACTCGACTGCAGCCTGGTAGTCCTCGAGGTGGACAAGCGTGGTAGCCAGCTTGGCCCAGTTGGAAATGCTGGTGAAGAAAATCTTGGCGGCCTGGTAGAGACCTTCCTCATACGCCTTGTCACCGGACTCCTCGATGTTGGCGACATTAGTGCCGCGCAAGAAGTCCTCCAATTCGCCGATTTGGTCCAGTCGAGCGTAGCAGAAGGCCAACGCGGTGTCGATCTCTGGCTCACGGAGAGTCTTGCGAGCCATGCGAAGGTACTTGACAAGTTCCTCGTTCTTGCCGGCATGAACGGCAATCTCGATGACCTCGGCGTAGTTCTTGGGATCATCAGCCTTGATGTAAGATTCTATGGCGTCGCTAACACGTAGACCATCAAGCTGTGCCTTTGCAACCTTGCTCCAGACATCGGGCAGATCAACGTCATCCGCGTATGCTTGAGCGCGGTCAATGCTGACAACATGCTCAACGAGCACGGAAACTGCGCCAACCTTGTCTCCAATCTTCTTGAAAATCTCGAATGCCTCCTCGTACAAGCCGACATTTATGCAAACGCCAGAGATCTCTTCGGCATCAAAGCCGTCCAGTCGATGGATGTAGTCCATGACACGAGCCTTGTCAGCTTTCGCGGCAGTGAACATGAGCAGGTTCTGCAGGTTCTGGTTGTCGCTGAAAGGCGAGGGCTCAAGGACGATCTTCTCCAGGAGCTCAATAAGCTCGCTGGGGAGATCAGCCGCCAGGAAGCATGCCACAGCCTCGGAAACCTTGGCAGGGTCGGTTGACTCGGGTACTGCAGTCGAGATGACTTGGTCGACGACCGATCGTCGGTGGAGGTTGTTCTCGCTGAGGACAAATGACCAGAGCTCCTTATCGGCACGGTCAAGCAAGTACCGAGCTTGGGCACGGTACATTGAGTTCTCGTTGGTGATATTGACGAGCTCGAGATCATTCTGGCCCTTGCTGTAGGCAATGTATGCAAGATTGGGGTCTCGCTTCTCGCAGTACTTTCCAACAACGAGAGTGTCATACTGGTCGTTCTCCTTGAGGAACTTCTCAGGGTTGTTGTTCGAGTCAATGTAGATCTTGGCGAGGGCATTGTAGACAGCCTGCTGCTGGTTTCCTGAGGCGAGGGTGGCTTCCAGGAACGGCAGAAGCAACTTGAGACGGTTTCGCGACTCCACTTCGGAAACAAGGTCATCGATGGGCACCGATGCTGCGTTGATAGTCGACAACAGGTTCTTGATGATGTTCTCATCGCAGTCGACGTCCAAAAGGCCGCCGATGACCGCAGGTGCCCGACCCGGGTTCACGCGCTGCACGTATGTCTCGATGGACTGGAACTGCTGGTTCTGGTACAAATAGAGGATGAGGTCATGCACAAAGTTGTGCCGATCGCACACAATGATGAGCGGCAGCTGCTCTGCGAGCTTCGCCTCCTTCAGGAAGTTCTTGACCTTCTCGGGGTTGTAGTAGTTGCTGTCCCGGCAGATGCGCTCCACCTCGTTGAATTGACCCATCTTTGTCGCTGCCTCAATGTACTTGAAGTGGACATCGGGGTTTTCTGAAAGGTTGACAATGCTCCCTAGGTAGTAGAACAGACCTTCAGCGGTCTTGTACTTCTCAAAGAGGTCGATAAGGCGTTCGGGACCAAGAAGATCAGAGTACTTCGTGGCAATCTGGATGACTGATTGCAAGTTCTGCCGGATGTTGGTCTTCATCATGGCATCGAGGCAGTCAATAGACTGCTCGACCGACAACTTGCCAAAAAAGTTGACGAGCCAGTCGGGGTTGAAACCTTGCGATCCTGCTATGTTAACGACGACTCGCTTGACAGCTGCGGGGTCCTCGTAGAGCTCCAGAGCCTTCTGCATCAAGCCAGCCTGCTCACAAAGCGTGGCAATTCGGGTCTTGTCGAAGTGTGAAAACATGTCATTGCCAAGGATGGCGTCAGCGACCTGAGGAGCGTGCATAAGATTCATCTCCAAGAGACGAGTCTGGAGGTGACCTTGGTCAGGGTTGTTGTCCTTCAGAGCATCAAGCAAGAAAGCGGTAGCCTGTTGCACCATGCCCTGGGCCTGGAACACATCTACCACGCGTTCGATATCAACCAAAGACCCTTGTGGTTGGTTGACGAGAGAGGTGGCAAATTCGGCTCCCTTCTCAGGATTGCTGCGCACAATATGCTGCAGCAAGCCGACCCAGTCAGGCGTGTATCCAGTCTGCTGAACATATGGCAGAATCTTGTCGAATTGACCGGTTTCAGCAAGCCCAGCAACCACTTTGTGGGGGACATTGGCTTTGAGGTAGATTGTGAGTGCCATGTTAAGATCATGTGGCCTAACCAGATCACCCAGCTGCTCAGAGCAGTCGAGCTTGTTCTCTTTGAGCCACTTCTCGAGCAGCTGCTTCCTGTTCTGCGCAAGTACGGGCTGCGCGAGCTCAATCGTCTCGTGTTGGTTCAGCGTGCCCTTATCCAGCAACATACCGAAGTACTGCAGGATGAATGACATTTGCCCTGGTTGCTGCGGGAGTCGCTTGAATTTCTCGATTGTGGCGGGCGTCCGCAAGAAGCCTCGAGGGGAGCTCGCAGCGATCTTAGCAGCGGCCATGTAGTCACCCGAGTTGAAAAGTTGATCAAATTGGCGTCCATAGAGATCGTCCGCGCCGGGTAGTCCAGCTCGCGAAGCCATCTTGATTGCCATCTCAGTGTTGGCCGGGTTCTGCAGCAGATACTGGACAACGTTGGAGTCGTCGACAGACACGAACAAGACCTGGCCCTTGCGGTTGATACCCACGATGCCAGATGATTCGCCGTCCCCGCAGGATGTGAAGATCGTTTCGCTGGAAATGCGGTTCATGAAGATGCAGGAACCGGTTTCAAGATCGTAGAGATGGATGAAGCCATACTTTGTCACGAGGTAGATGACGCCATACTTCTGGGAAACCTGCATAGCGACTGGGAAATCGTTGACTGCCTCGGGAGGAAAGAAGACGTCCACGGCCTTCTTTGGGAAGACCGGGTTGGTCTCGGCGTGATCGACTTCAACAATATGCAGCTTTGCGCCTGCCGCTGTCCTTACGGAGAAGGTGAACAGCTTCGTGTCCTGGGGCGCGCCATCCAATCGAATTGTTCCGAAGCCGGCGGCGTGACCTTCGATTGCCTGGCTGATGCCACGGTCTCGAGAGTAGAGCTGCATCTGGCCAACAACGCGACCTTGATCTTGCTTGATACCGACGACCACCATCCACTTGCCGTCACCATTAACGCGATAGTTGATGATTTGGCAGCCCTATGGGTTTATTAGTACACGCCCCAGAAACCGATCCGCAGGCTCTTGCTTACAGTCAAATTGGCGTGTCGGTCCGTGATCTTCTCTGGCATGTGCTGATTCTCATCAAACACATCCCAGTGGTAGATAGCGGAGTCTGTGACAAGGCCGAGGGAGCTGTCGGTGATCCACTTCCAGAACACGACATCCTCGTTCATGGTGGCAGACTTTAGCTTCTTCTTGTTATCCAGGTCGAAGATCTGGACTGTCCGCGATTGCGCCTTCAGCGCGATGATGTTGAGGTGCCAGTGCATGATGGCACTATCGGCCTTGATTGGTCGTCTTGTCACATTGTTGCCGTTCTTGAGATCGACGATAACAACTTCGGGGGATGCGGCCTCGTTCTTCTTCTCTCGAATGCAGATGTAGTGGTCGGACTCGAGTGTCTAGATAGGTAAGGAGCCAAGGGTTAGCTGTTGCTTCCACACGAGCGGCCCGGCCGGCTTGCGCTCGGCACCAAGATGAATTTGGAGGGTTAGAGGCAAGAAAGAAGTCAGAAAGAACATACGCATGAGTTGAAGCCGATTGCAGCCTGGTCGACACCTATGCTGGTGAGCTGCAGCAGCTCTGTGAATTTGATCGGCAGCGGTGCCATGGTGATGACTTGCGCCGACTTGCGCACAGCAAGTTGAGATCGAAAACGGACTCAAAGCTGCGATCAGACGGGGTAAGACTGAAGAGCGGTATTGGAGGAACCCGCAGATGTTTGACACAACTGGTAGAGATGGAGGAAGGTGAGGCGTTGGAGGTAGATGTAAAGGTGTCAATTGTTTGTTTCGTGGCCAGCTTGCTGCCAGGACAGGCGGAAAGAAAGGGGGGGAATCAAGGTATTAAAGGAGAGCCAGCCAACGAAGGAAAAGAGGACAAGTTGGAGGGCTCTGGATCCTGATATGGCCTTGCCTTTGATGGCAGTCAGCGGGGAGGTTGTCGTCGTCTCGTACAGGGTGAGGTTGATGGGTAAGGTGAGGATGGTAGGTAAAGTGGCAGGCTGGATCGAGTTTCGTCAATTCATCAATTTGGCTACCTGTTCGGACAGGACTGGAAACTGCCTGACGCAGCTCACTGTGGGCAGGCTAGCGCGCACGAGCCACCTAGTCAGGCCAGCTCGACCCCTACCTACTGTTTACTGTTTAGTCTACCCCGTCTGCTCAGTAGACTAGCACCTTTACCAGGAATACACCAGGCTCTGCCCAGCAGCCCAGATGGGTCCAGCCAGCCAGCACGCCCAGACACCTACCTGAGTCCCGACGGCAAAACGGTGCTAGTCCCAAAACGGAGCACCCAGGAGCTCTCCACGTATCCTTATTTCCTCGCTTGTGACAGTTATGTAAGCACGTTTTCCACCGACGATCTTAATGACAATCGAATCTCTCGCCCGCGCAGACCTTGCTTGTTCTCATTAGACTGCATGCTCTCACATGCCACTTTCATTACGTATGATTATTTGCTACTGCCCTCAACATGAAGGGAAGAGCGCAGTAAAGATTCTGCACCGACTTCAAGTCTCCTTCTCTGGAGTCAGCATTATCTGATGTTCGATTGCCTGCACCTGGCGCAGAGCAATGTCTCCATCTGCTTGTTGTATACGACCGATGCGGCCAACTAGGCAGATAAATAACCCCAAGAGGTCCTATCCCGAGTGCCTCTCTCTGAGGCTGGTTTTGAGGGTCTTCTAACGTCGATAGGGGCGGCGAGATCGCCACACATCGCAGCTAAGGCGTCCTGGAGCTGTCTGCTGGCCGCTGCCGCGCAGTGCAGAACCATGCAAATTCCAGGCTTTATATTTCTCCCGCGGCTTTCATCATCCTATCAGCACAGCACCGGCCTGGTAGTCGTCTACCGTGTATGGTTTGCTCTGCAGTGGTCCTGTTTTGAGGAAGCAGTTTGCTCCTCCGTATCTAGCGTGTCTGTTCAGCCTCTCTAGCTCCACGAATCCAGGTCACCATGATTCCCTCTCTACTCACCTCGTGAGGTTCGCGCCAAAGGTCAAGGCTTGACACGGCTCATCTGTGTTCTTCGAATTGTACGTGGCGCACGTGTCGATGCAGTCGTTGATGCTCGGTTGCAGTGACTGGGCGATGTTCCCCTGGCTTGTCTTGAAGTCTGTGAGGCAATATATGAAGAACGATGCGCCATCGGTCGTATATTGGGTATTATTGATCGCTGGGCAGTTCAGTGGCAGTATACCATTCGATGGCGTCGGGAATGCCGACGTCGTGCTCGTTGACGTCGATGTCGGATTTGATGAGGCAGATGAGGTCGATGAGGTTGATGAGGCCGTTGTCGCGGCACTGGTCACTGCGGCATCCGAGGCGGCGGTGGCGGTGGCACTGGCGGTGCTGCTGGCGCTGCTGGCGCTGCTGGCACTGCTGTTCCCATTCCTGGTAACCAGAGCTCCAACTATTCCTCCGATAACAGCGCCGACGATGACGAGCACAACCACAGCCGCAACAATGAGTGCCGTCCGTTTTGGAAGACCACACCAGCGGCGAGGCTTGCTTGCCGCGGGCGAGTGCGGCTCCTGGTACTGATATGGCTTCTCTGGACTTACATATCCTGGTGGCCGTCAACAAAAATTGTGCTGCGGGACCCAACGCATTGGAGGGCCTCATACCTTGAGGAGCAGTCTCTGGCGCCGAATCATGATATTGATATACCTCTGGCGCGTTGTGTTGATAGACTTCTGGCGCCTGGGATGTGTGATCCTGTAGGGCGACCTGCAAGCCCTCATGGGCAGGGTATCGGCCAGCCATGGCTGCGGTACATGTTAAGCAAAGGCCTACAACGGCCTCTCCTTTCACTCATCATGGGATCTTTGGGGCTTAAAAGACAGGACCGATCTGCAAAACCCTAACTATGCTTTTGCTCCTGATCCTTCAGCTGAATTTCTCTGCAACATCAGGCAGGCTCAGGGGCTATGTCGCATCCAGTTTCCAACTCGTTGAGGTTCCATTCCTAGCACATATCCCGCATCTGATTGGCCTTGTGGATATGCGGCCTATCATTAGACGGCCCACACCCTACGAGGGCGGTACGAAACCCGGCATAAGCTGCGTCTGGGGTTCCTGATTTCGAGCCACTCAACGAGTCCTGTCGCACACAGCCTGAGACCGAAGCAAGAAATACCCGGAGCTACTGCACTCAACGTCTCGAATAGCATTATATCTGCACTTCATGCTGGCCGCTGCGCCGCAATTCAGCAGGCCTCATTTTCAACTTCACTCACACCATTCCCGGTATCAGCTCGAAGAGCGCGAGTAGATTTGAGAGCTGCGCCTCGGTGTGCAAGACAGTCTACAGAATTGGGGAGCAGCTGGCACGCCGATGTCACTGTCCTGAGTGCCTATCAAGAATTTCACCGATAATCTGCACGTTCCATCACGAAGGAGTTGAAACCCTGTCGTGTGCAGTCTTGGAAACCCGTATATCTGACGTAGCGGAGATGATTGACACCGTTGCTGACTGTTGTCAGCTTCATTGTCCCCTGGGTCTCGGCAGGCGTCGCGGTGGCCGATGCCGATCATCGAATCCGGCAGCCGTCAACCATGGCCACCGAAATTTAAGATTCCGCCCAAGCGGGCCGGCTTCTCATACTCCTTCTTCCGGGTACAAATAGGAGATCTTGGTCGACCTCGAAAGTTCTACCAACAGACTGGGAAAATTGACCCCAAAGGTAGTCACTTCTGTATACTTCCTGGCTCAACTCATCCACAGGGAGTCCTCTGGCCGGCTCCAGTTATGCTGACAACATCCGTGCTGCCTCGACCCACTTCTCCAGCTTCAGCACACACACACAAACAGTCTCACGTGCACCAGCTAATAAATTTCTTGCATTTTTCTGTAATTGATTTTGAGAAAGTATCGAATCGGAAGCTAACGTTGTCTGATATCGGTCTGGCCGAGGAAATCGCTGGCATCGAGTCAAGCCCTGCCGCCGTGCTGATGAAGATCGCAGCTCTCCCTGGGCCGTTGACCAGATTCTGATCCTGGTGCCAACGTCAGCCACCGCAACTGAGCGCCCTTGAACTTTGAGGTGGGTGCGGAGATCATTGAGAAAGACATCATCGGTCATTGGTGCGGAATCCATTCGATGCAAGAGCTCAAGGCGCTATTGATTGCTCAACTTTCTCCTTTCCGCTTTTGAAGCGTGTACACTCACAAGGCTACCATTACCAGACGCTGGCAGAGGTGACTTTCTAGAATAGGCTTGAGATCCACAGGATAAATTAGTAAGGCCTTGTATCAAACTCGCTTCACCTCGCATTAAATTTCCAATAGCAAGAAGGTTGGCGGTGGGCCAAATTAGCCGGTCAACGCTCAAGTATCACCATGGTCGCCCAAGAGCCTGTGACATCGGCTCACAGCAAGCATCTTTCAATGTATGCATTAGTGTCATGATTAGCCATCTTTCTTGATGTCCAGCTGTTTCGCAATCGACCTGGCCGGCCCTCCTTCTCAGCGCCGAAATGGGAACACGTTCTCAGGGGGGCACGATGCGTTGCTCGATTCACTTGCCTAAGTTCAGCTCGGTCGCGCGCCGCGTGATCTCCTCGTTCAGCTCACGTACATTTGGACGTGGCAGCAGATATCGATGCCGGGCTCACGCGTGCCGCCAGCCTTGCGATGAAGGGCAACTGGGTCCGGGTTGCGGGCATGTCGACCGTCTCAAATGTCCTCTATTGTGATTGTCCCGTACCAGCCCGTCGCGGCCGACGAGAGTGACAGCACCTGCCGAGTCTCGAAGTCCTGCTTTCCGGTTGACTGTGGATTTGGGCCGGTGTTTCGAGCCATTATCGAAGCCAAAGGCTATTGAATTGGTAGCTTCATTGTAGCCCGTCGAGAGTCGGTCGCTGCTCGTTAACAAAGCGCAGTGCTAGCCAAACCCCAGAGGCATGTCCACGTGCTTCCTGCTCAGCACACAGCCAAAGTTAGCTCTTGAGATTTGTGAGGCCAGAACCAGGTCGGACAAGTTGAAAAGACGGCACGGTGTCAACCCCCCTTGCGTTTCGCAGCTGCCTTGCGTCGGCTGAAGTTTGCGCCCATGCAGGAGGAATTCCTGCGTCAAGTATTCGCCTGACTTATACTGAATTCGATATTTCTGATTCCCAAATCCGCGCCGTTACTTAGCAAATGCTGTGTTGGCTCGCATTGTTTCGCTAGCAAACTTTCACAGCTTGCTAGTTTCGTTCGATGAATTCGCGTGTCTTCCACCGAGAACAAGATGTACCGGTTCTCCTGCCTCAGTCGACATATGTGTGTGCTAATGTGTATGAATATTACCAGGCGAACACGATGTTTCATTGCTACCAACAGCTCGGACTCGTTTGCTTCAGGGTTGCACTTTTCGACTTAGTTCGTTGCCAATGCCTTAGGGCTTCATGAGATACTTTGAATTTCTCCGGAGCTTCGTGTCCCACGTGTGAACTATTGGAGTCTGGACATGGGTTTTGTGGGGCCGGCAACAGATGTAGACGAGTGCTAAACCTTAATGTGCGGAAAGTGGTGGGTGATCAAGCATTGTTTATTTCATTGCTGTTCGACTTAGAAGGTTCAAGATTATCGATTAACTGTCTGACTCGTACAATCTCTCAATGCTTTGGTTCACCTCAAACCAACTTACTTTCCCGGGCCGGCATCGACACTAAAAGAAACTCTAATCTCCCCGTCCAAGATCTTTGAAAAATAAAAAGTCAAGCGGAGACTTATTACATATCACGAGTCTCTTTCTTCATGGTGTAATCAACGGAATGGCAGTGCGAATCTCAAGATAGCGGATTTAGAGCTTCACGAGATGGCATCACAGCAAGGCGCCGTCCCTCCGCCGCAGGGAGAAGTTTCTGATGTTCAGAATCCCAAAGATGTTTTGCATACTGTCAATATTGGGATCATGATCGTTGTGTTGTGCCTCACAACACCGCTTTTTGCTTTACGAATGTACGTCAGGTCCATCGTCTTGCGCAATATGGGAAGCGAAGAATGTAGGTCACATCCGGCTCACACTTCCGCCTGTCTGTTACGTCACATCATGGTACCTGCATTAGCTAACAAGCCGCATAGGGAGTTGTATCATCGCATATGTACGTTAAATACGTCTTTTGTACTGGTGCTGCGACTCGTGTACTGACAGTTGACGAGGCGTCTTTGCTATGCTACTGGGTCAGCTCAATATTCAGTAAGCTCCAACACCTTCACCACAATTCGCCAATACTTACATGAAACAGTGTATCGCCACGGACTAGGTAATTTTTGCGTCGCTCATGAAGGATCCTACAAAATAGTGCGCTGATGCCCGCAAAGGCTACCATCTCTGGGATGTTTCTCCACAAGACGTGGTTCAGTTTCAAAGGGTGAGATTGCTCAGCTGTTAGTATGGAAATGAGCACTCACATCATAACCACAGTACTCGTACGCGGCGTCTCTCTGCTACAGCATCGCAAGCTTTTCGACCAAGCTAGCCCTACTCTTATTGCTCGTCCGTGTTTTTCATCAGTTCCGCAAAACGACCATATTCCTCTGGGCAACGATAGCCTTCCAAGTCGCCTTCTGCATCGCCATTACAGTAGTCAAAATCATCATCTGCCTGCCGATCCAGGGTGTCTGGGACCCATCAATTCCGTCGAGATGCCTCGATAGGCAGGCTAGCTTCATCGCCGATACAGCTGTGGCATCCATTTCCGACCTTGTCATCCTCTTTCCACCTATTATTCTGACATGGTCACTCACCTTCTCCACTATGAAAAAGATCCGGATCATGCTCATGCTTGGTGCTGGAGGCTTGGCCACCGCAACGAGCTTCGCCAGGCTGGGGCTGCTGTTGCAGAAGAATAGCTTTAATGACGCCACGCTGAACTTTACAAAGTTCAATCTCCTGGGGTAATTTTCTGTTTATGCTTCTTTGCGATTAAGGCTTCCATTTGAAGCTAAGGTTTCGATATCAGTTGGGCTGACATTCAAGCTTCGTAAAAGTGTATCTGAAATAAGCATTGGGCTCATCTGTGCTGTAAGTACCAGACAACGGAACCGAATTTCAAATTTTCTCCGGTCTGCTAATGCACTCCTCGAACAGTGTCTGCCTTCTCTGAGCATCCTGATGGGCAAGTACAGGACAGAGGCAGACCCACAGGCTGTTCGATACGTGTTTCCATCAATCCTTAGGAACCCGAGGCGAGCCCGCAGCATCTTGACTACAGCCACAGAGTCGGACGGAGCGACTCGAGACAAGAGTCGGAACGTCAGGACAACAATTGTCAGGGAAGAGACAGTAGAAGAGGCAGGTCAAGCGTAGAGGCTGAGTCAAGACCTGTCAAGCATCCTTTGGAGGCTCATTATATCTGATACGCTGCTTGGAAGACAATGGATTCAGTCGAAAACATTCCTCTGCTCGTATAAGGGGCCCATTCCGACTCTTTTACTCGATATGAGTCTCACATAACCCAAGGCCGGGTGTCGCAGACGATTTCTTCACGCTTCCTATAGACTTGCCTGTCGATCTGGCTGGTAGATTAGGTGCTTGCGCATACTTCGCGTTCTGTCAGTCTGTATTGTATGACTAACTTCTTCGAATTTTCGCCTGAAGACTCTTTGCCTGGATGCCCCTTTGGAAGCCCACCCTAGTATATCTGACTTGTTAAACTTTAGAGACCAGTGGCAGCTGACTCACTGGAACTGATATGTCATCATCCATGCTGATGCCTATGTATATCTGCCTTCTGCTGCTCTTGGAAAGCAATTGACAGTGTTTGGTGGAGAGTGCCGCGAAGCCTTCCACGCTTGGCAGCACTCTCTCCAATATCAGCTGGAAAGTTGTGGTTTCGCACTTTTCAACAGAGGAGCTCGAAAGTCTTCGGTATTGATCACTGCACACAGCTCGCGTGGGGCCGGTCTCGCCGAATCTCATGTATTCCTAGACGCAGGAGAAGTGTTATGGGTCAGATTTTGACCAATATAGTTACATTCTTTTGCAATGGGTCCACTTTGGGCTGAGTGACAACTGAGAATGTTTGTAGTATCTTAAATAATATGTCAATTGGGTGAAAACACATCGACTCACAAATTTCAGAACTGCAAAAGCAATGACACGGAATTGACAGCTTTCCAGCCTGCCATGGCATTGGATCGAAAGTAGCTTTCAGCCTGTCCCTCCCGAAGACCGGGCGTAGCTAGATGACATCTTATTCAAAAGTCTCTTTAGAACTTCAGAGGTGACTTCTCACCGAAGGCTGCCAAATGACAAAAAACCTCTATTCTTCTTTCTGAATCCGCCATGGTTTTGGATCCGGGAAGTTTTGTTGAGGATGACAATGTCCTGGCCATCTGTAAAGGGCAAAGGAAGAACACATGAGCTTCTTGAAACAGTAGCATTAGGTCTAGGGTTCATTTTGTAGTCAAGAGGTGTATAGGGCTGCCCTTTGCCTGTCATATGCACTGTCACAATCAGCGTCTTGTTTATTTTGTTATTTAGACTGGCCTTCAAGGCTAGCATATAACATCGTTACACTTCAAACAGGCAGAGCTAGGTGACTAACTGACAAATCGCATGTGGGAATCCCTTCTTGGGCTTGCTTCAGAAGATTATTGCCCCACCAGACTGCAATGTCATAGACATATCATATTACCCGTTTAGTGGGAATGTCAATCCTCACGGTATCGTCGCCGCTACATGTATTCCCCTCACCCCCAGCTTGGAGGCAAGCACGACTTAGAGATGAGCTTAGCTTGGAACAAGTTGCTACCGAGGTTTTTCATTGGCGCTTTCGAAGACTCGGTCGTTCTTATGAAACTTTCAGAACGCCTGTATGACCTAATGCGAGGTTCGCGGCCTATTTTGTTGACAAGCTACGGTGGGCTCACCTGGGCAACCCAACCTTCACCCACAATACAATCCACAACGCAATCAGCATCAACTCGACTACACCATAACTACCCTCCTCCTACATGGAGCTCTACTTCTGCCTATTCTTGAAATTTCAAATAGATCTGTACCACTACTGGGGTCTGCCTCGCTATCATACCAGATATGGCTACGGCAGGGCCTTCCCAGGCCGCACCTAATGCAGAACACGCTTTGCCTCACGAGACTACACCCAAACAGCGTGACCAAATTCGTCTCGTATTTCAGGAAGAGTTCCGTGTCCCTGTTGACCAGAAAATTAACGTCGAGACCACCATACTCTACAACGCACTTTCTACCAAGCGACACGCCGACATCGACGATCAAGATGACGGCTCCTTCCACTCGGAAGTCCTCAAAAACTCAATCGACCTCCTCCAGCGATTCTACAGATGCGCGCCCCTGTACCTTAAGGTGGACTCGGGCCATAGGCAGCGCAACAACAACTTCTTCGCCAAGGATATCTTCTGCAGGACCTTCTGCCCCGACATCGATGGCTTTGACAATAAAGACAACCCCCGTGCCTGGCTCGACGTTTTCCACTTCTTCCATGCCATGAAGGAAATATGGGACAGAAGCTTATTTGGAGGTCGCGAAGTGTCCGAAAAGGAAAGGATCGCGGCCATGTGCTACACACACGGAGACGTCACTCGAAAGGGTCCGACTTCGTCCAGAAAAGGTGCTCTGCTGTGGGAACTCATGGGTCTGACGTCCAAGGCCGTGGACAAAGAAGGAACCAAGATTTCTGAGACATGGTGCGTCGAAGCCGCGGTCAGGATCGGGCTCTGGCAGAAAAGGCTCAAGGAAGACAAGGACTCGCTGTTCCGTCTTCCTATTGATGATGACTGGGGAAACCACACCGACGATCTCCTTCCTGAGCGCGACGAAGGTAATACTGATTTATGCCGTTTCCATGGAGAATACTTACTGACGTGACTCAATAGACGCGATGAAACTTTTCAAGGACTTGGAGACAAAATTACGCAACTTCTACGTAAAATGCAAAGAGCAGATGCCCGAGCAAGTCACGGTCCTCCCTGTTATCGAGAATCCTCGTGCCAGAACGACTACCCCCGAGATCATCAACCAAGAGGATGGCACTCGCGATCAAAAAGACCCAGAGATGATCCAGAGGGGCGGTGCCAGTGAGCGATCAACTCCAGAGATGGATTTTCCGCGCATGATCAGCCGAGAGTTCATCCCACGGACGACCAACCGACGATACCCCATCCTGCAGAGATCCTCGCCACAGCATACGATCCCTCAGAACAAGATTTTACAGAGCACGAGCCCACAAAGAAGCATCCCACCTACGCCCAGCCCACGGCAGGCCATCCCACAAAAGAAGGCCTTCCCACACAGGGCGTACCAACAGGCAGCTTCACGAAATATTATCATTGAGGACCCAAGGAGATTCACAGCTCCTATTGATCCCACATCTATCAGTCTGGACCAGGCCAAGGAGCTCATCACCAACGTTCTCCGCGCCAACGGCCAGGAGCCCGACTGGGATCCGGAGCTGCCGCGCATGGTGATCAGGGCTAATCCTTACAGACGTTGACCACGTCTCGCGGTGGTAAAGTCGTACCGATGGATGAATGATGACGGCTGGATGATTGGATGGAGACGAAGGCAGCCAGCCATTTGTAGGTTGGAATAACGATGAAGATGGTTGTCCGTTAGGCTTAGGTCAGGAGAAGAACATGTTTCAGGTAGTCACTTGAGTACTTGTACAACTACAGCATACCTGGAATAAGAACAAGTTGAAAAGAAGGAGAGCCCGTGGGTGGTTATATGTGTCATCATTGTCTTCATTTGCGCATCGCTATCCAAGTGTGAGAAAGAGATATCTTCAAGTCGTATGCCTCATCTCTCACGTCACTCCAAATGGAGTGATCGTGCCGAGAGAGGGCTTTGTTCAAAAACGCTCACTGATGGAGTCCCGTGGTCCCGGAACTCATGCCCATGTCATGCCATGTACCGTAGCTCCTCGCCAACCCGTCTCAGGCTATGACACGCCGACCCTCTAAGGGCGGCTCATTTCAACCAAAGACGGGTAGCTGTAGCTCAATAATTCGAACACTGTATCTTTACAACAGTGAAACCGTTGTGCTGTACTGGGGCCAGGTAGCCCAGCACAGATCCGACCGTTCAAGCAACGCCTCTTCACCGACCAAAAGACATTATTTAATCCGCCGAAGCCCTCCTTGCCTCCTGGTAGACCTGCCACCTCCGGCGGTCCTGGTGGAAGTCAAGAACCAGGTCCACCAGCGCCTGGGCCTCCCTCTCGAGCGCGTCCAGCTCCGCCCGGCTGCTGTGCACCGTGCCGCCGTGGCTCCTGGGCCGGCGGTACGCCGCGAACACGATGCCGCGGTTGACGCGGGCTCCTTTCTGCGCGGAATTCCTGGTTCCCGCAGCCGCCTTGCCTGCTGCCACGGCCGAACTGAATGACTGGCGCACCGAGATCGCACCTTCCATCTGCGTCACCAGCCGGGACGCGGACGCGGACGCCGCGGCGCTTTTGCCGCTCTCCGGGGCCGACGCCCGCCGGGGCGAACCCCCTTGCTCGTCCTCGTCGGACGCCGTGTAGTAGGAGCGGGCGTAGCCGCGGGCGAACTCGTTGTCCTGGGCATCTGACTTGCGGTACTCGATCCAGCCGTCTGTGCCCTCGCGCAGGATCTTGCGGTGCGCCCTGGTGCCTGCGCGGAAGGGCCCGTCCAGCGTGTTGAGCCCGTAGGCGGCGAGCAGGCGGCCGGCCATGGCGGTGCGCGGGCCGGGCCCAGCGGACTCGGGACAGCAGTCTGCGATGTGGTGGTAGTCGTTGCTGCTTGCCTCAGACGGCGGAGCCTGTAGGGAGTGGCGAGGTGTCGAGTTCTTCGTGGTGGGGCATTCGGATATCGGGGAGTAGAGGATGGAGGGCGGCTTTGAGAAGGATGAGGTGGGCGAGGAGAGCGCGGTGCTGGGTATCGAGGAGTGTCGAAGTGTTTCGCTTGGGCGGTGGAGGTGGAGCATTTCTTTTGGCCAGAAATTGACGACATAGAGGAAGTCGAAGTCGTACTTCTTGGCGATACGGGCTGCTTGGAAGGCAGCGACCTCATCTGGAGCGAGAGGGCCCAGCATATTGCTGCCTCGTCTGCTGGGAGAGAATGGTGGAGACCGCATGCCCGGAGGCAGCACTGGTGGAGGAGGTGGCAGCCTTAGGGGTGGATTTGACGGCACTTTGGTCCTCACTTCAGCCAGGTCATCAGCCGTCAAAGCGAGGAAGTCTTGGACTCTAGGTTCCTGGAACACGGTTTCCGACTTCGGGCTGGCTGTGATCTGGGGATCATGTATGTATGAGTCTCTCCAGTCGTCGTCCAGTAATGCAGTGCTGGAGATAGTGGCCACTGTCGCTCGTCTAGATGGGACCGTGGATATCGAGGCACGCCTGAGATCGCTACTCGTCTTTGGCTCACTTAGTACGGAGTCGCGCTGTGGTATCATATCAGGTGAAGGCTCTGGTGTAAATGGGCTAAGGATGGCGGGTGGTAATCGTCCACGTGTACTGGAAGGCGGTGAAGGAAAGTTGAACTCATCCTGGTCAGAGGCAGGAGGCGTCTCGACTTTGACTGCTGGATAAATAGGCAATGCTTCAAGGAGATGTCGTTGGGCTACCTTTTGGTCTTCTGATTTGGTGGCTGTTGTATCCGCAGATGGGGACTGAGAAGAGTGAGATGTAGGCTTGTCGGTGCTTGTTGTTCCACCAGGGAGATGCAGCTGGATTGGTCCACCCGGTTTTCTGTCGTGTCTCCTGGCAAGCAATGAAGAGGTCCGACTGGGAAGATGAAAAGCAGCAGTGGTCGAGGGGCCACTTCGGCGCCTCTTGTCGTTCATATCTCGTGTGTCGAGATGTGAGAGCCGGCGGCTGTTTCTTGCAGAATCAGAAGAGCTGGCACGAGCGACTGAGATAGGCGACGGAAGCTCGAACTCGTCACGGGCGTGCATGCGATTTGCCTTAGGTCTTATGAAAGATGGAGGGGGGAAAGTGGTCTCCTGCAATGGGGAGTCCGGCTCTGGCTGCGCAGAAGCGGGGGGAGCACTGCCGTTTATGTTGGACGCCGTCGTGTCACGGGCAGGTGCAGATTTCCGCTTGGAGAACAGCCTCTCCAGCCTGTCCAACCCATTGGCCATGATGGGTGGAGGGGAAGGGGGTCTCGGTGGTTTCGTGCGTAATCTATATTGTCAGCTGCATTCAATACTCACGGAGCTAGCTGGCGCAGTGCATTGCAGCGCAGCGCCTAGCAGTAGCCAATCTCAATGGAAGTGCAGCACCTACAGGGCGGAAGATTATGTGGCTGTCGGAAGCGTGGTTGTTGGTGGAATGAGGCCGTATAAACGTTCAATGATATCCTTGTTCGATCGACAGTGGGCGCTCAGCCGAAGGCTGAGATGGGGGCGGGCTTGACACCACGGCGGCGTCAGTGGAAAGGGGAGACGGGCTGCCTGCCCTCGAACTTGTCTCTGGCTCTCGTGGCCAAGGGTAAGCAGTAGCGAGCGTCTCACAGGAAATAGTGTGCGCCTTCTCGACACTGGCCTCGGAGAGACAGATACACAGCGGACAGAGCGAGGTTGTGCAAGATCTCAGAGAAGAGACGCGAAGCTCATTTCGAAGCTCATGAATGAGCTGGGCTATAAAGGTGTGAGAAAGTCCCACTCGAGGGCCTGAGAGCCCGACCTTCTGAGCTCTATTGAAGAAAATGGCGCGAGAACAGGACACCCCTTGTAAGGGGATTGTGCTCAGTGAACGGCGAGGAGTGTTGTTCTGTGCCAGGTGACAAGCTGGTCTTGGTGTCCCCCGAGGGCTTTAATGTGAGATGTCCAGGCTTGGGTGAGTCCTCCAATGACAGTGCTGCTGTTCAAGATTCTACATCAGCCCATGAATCAGAGATGACAGTGCCGGGGTGACCAAGAGGCGGGTAGGAAGAGGGAGCAAGGAATATCTTGACCCATCATGTGATCAAGTGAACGGTTTTCACCGGAGGTCAGGACGATCATGCTGTCAATAAATGGGGGCCCTACCTTGGAACTTTGTGGACGAGAAGCTCGGATCAAGCGAGGCAAGCAGTCGGGTCAAACCTTTGTTGGACAGCCTGGACGCAGTCTGAACGCGGTGGCATGCGTGTCAAAGAAATTCGCGTCGACAGAGAACATATATGCCACAGTCTACTCAAGGTGAAGAGCGAAGCTGCTGTCAAAGGGAAACGTCGGGATCGATATTGTTCAGGCGATATTGTTCCGTCCCAAAGTGACCCAAAGTGATATTTAGTTCCAACCCTCGAGTTTTCCGCGTGCCTAATAGATGGGGCGGGAAGGAGACGTCAGGAGGAAAATGTTACCTGACCATGAGGCTGAGTGGGTGTTTGCGTGGGCAGCCCCATGTTCTATGCACAACTGGCATACTGCGAACAGGGTCTATGTACCTATCACCGGTACATGCAGGTCGAGCTTGTTCGATGCGAAAGCATGTTTTAGCGCGGATGGATGGATGTGGCAGGAGATCGCCAGAAGGATATTGGGACCAACACCGGCCCAGACATGAAACATACCTCCCTCCCTTTCCTGAGCTGCGGTTCTCGTTGCTTTGGCTACGCATGGCTAGCTCAGACTAGCCAATGACCCATGAATCTGCAGGTCTGGCGGATATCTTGCAGTTGATCGTGATGGACAACAGCCTGGGCCAGGTCACTCGGAACCGAGCCGTGGACCGGAGACTGGAGGTCGTCCTGGCTGGCCTGGCAGCTCTGAGTGACGAGAAACTAGCACCGAGCAACCGAGCACCAAGCGCCGGTGTGGATCGGCCATTGTCGGTGGAGGGCCCACCGTCGATGCCAATGGGACAGGCTGGGCGAACCAGTTGACATGTAGCCTAGCGTAGCTGTCACGGTCCACCCGGCGTTGCTCATCCACACGTCAAAGGTCGGTCAAAAGGAGGAACGGAACACACTGGGTGCTGGACACTGGACGACAATAAAGCAAGCAAGACGAGGATTCCGTCATCAAATCTCCGATGGCTTTGCTCACGAGGCCGATGCTGGTCGAGCCACCCTCCATCTTGGGGAACACATCGAGTCTGCTGGACAGGCACGACAGGCTGGACAGGCAGAAGCAGGCCATTGTCGTCTTGGATGCAATAAGAAAGAAAGTGGCCAGAAATGATCAAGGTGTGATCTTTGGAGGTGCACGGACTGGAGAGGGAAATAAGTTGGCGGGGCCAGAAGCGGCCCGCTCTGGCCGCTGCAAAGAACCATGACCGAGTCCACGGTCCCTTGTCCACCAAAAAGTATCGTCGACCGCAACCCAATTTTGGCCACATTCCTTTGATTCCCTCGCCGGCTCCGCCGAAAGCATCTACACACAGATGAACAATTTCTCTAGAGTGCAAGAAGGAAACACGCCAACAGGCAGACGACTTCAAGCTGCCTTGGGGGCCAGGCAAGCGAAGACAGGAGAGAATATGCCTCTCCCTCGTCGTCGTCGTCGTCCTCCTCCTCTTCCTCCTCATAGACCCGCGATGAATGCTAAACCAAGTCGAACCATCATAGACGCCCTGGCACAAAGAACTCATTTACTGCCACAAAATTGAGAGCATCAAACCGGCTCATGTCAGCATTGCTTTAGTCGCGGTCCAGGCCGGCTCTCCTTTTACCCCCACTGGTTGGTTGCCACCACCTGTGAGATCAGAGCTCAGATCTGACAGCTTCATGACTAGGTGGCCTGTATAGCAACAAGCCCGGCCTGAGTCTAGCCAGACACCGGCCAACGGGTCCTTGCTTCCCGTTCATTTCCAGAGAAGAGCGGCCCGATTCATCGTTCGCATAGCACAGCGCAGCACAGCACATCACAGCACAGCAGAGCACGACAGAAACGACAGCTGGACAGCTGCCACTCTGCTTGTTGTGTGCTGCACACGGATGAGACCCGCAGCCGTCACTTCTTTTGGCCCCCCCCCCTCGCTCGAAAGCTCGCTTCGTGCTCGTTGCTTCTTCCACACATACGCCGACCAGACACACATCTTGGAAGCCCGACGTATCGATCGTCGATACCCTGGCAGATCCCCCGGATTGTCCCATCTGCTCATGTCCCATGTCCTGCTATGTCCTATGCCTCATGCTTTCCCCCCAGGCCCCCCTGCCCCCTCCATGCACGACAGGCTAGCTGCTTTTCTTTGTATGTCTCAGCCGCATCAACAGAGCTCGAACGTTCTATCATCCCACCGGGCAACACTCAAGATTGATGACGTCCCCAGACCCTGCAAGTCTAAGACGGATGACCCTGTCTCGAGACCTGGCACCCTGGCACCTGGGCAAAGGAGCTTCGGAGCCGGCGTAACTCCACGATGCAGCTGGCCGCATCGAGCCAATGGCCACCATCCTCAAGCGAGGGGGCTTCCCAGGGCCGTGGTTCAGAGACGTATCACTGCATCCGAGCTGCCCCTAGTCAAGCTAGCCCGGGCCGGCATCCAAGGAAAAACCCCAGGGAATACTGCATACTGCCAGCTGTTGCCAGTCGACGCCTCAACTCCAACAATCAGCATCGTTGTCGTCTCGTCGTATGACTACTCCCTCACACCACTGTTTTTCTTTCTTTCTCTCAAGGTTATATATCTCTCTCAAGACATGTCTTGTCGAAATGGCAAAGCTTGTGATGCGGGTCTCGCCTTCCAACTTGCACGGACTCTGGATCTACTGCACCGGGTGACGGATGCCCTCCGATCACTGCCACCTTTTTGCTTTTCCCGCCCACCAGCGACCTTCCCGTCCTGTCTGTGCTACGGTGATCTTTTCTCGCCTCTTCTCCTTTCCTCCCTCAAGTCCGGGCTACCCTGACAAGAGAGCTGCGCGGCTCTGATTGCCCCCGTTGGAACAGCTGTCACAGTTTATTAACGTCTCAGTGTGATATTATATCATATAGACATCTGTACACCAGTCATGAATTAACTTGACGGCACGAGGACAATTCAACGGATATTGCGATCATGTGGACTCTTCCTTATATATTTCAGCGATAGCAAAGATATCGAGGCCTGTTGTCGCACAAAGTCGAAACCCACACTCCCCACCCCAGCTGTGTGCAACACCACCAAGTCCCCGGCTCACAAAGCAGTCTCCACCTCTATTTTCCATGCCCGGTCGGGTCGATACCCCTTGCCTACAGGTCCAGTCCGCAGTGAGATGCCTTGCTGTGTCCTGTGTTGATTTCCCCCCACCGGATCGTGCGTGCATGCGTGCATGCATGTCTGCACAGCCTACCCGCAATGCACCAGGCGGCTATTCCTAGGCTTCTTTCGGAGGCTCACATATCAAGCACAGAAGGCTGCGTGTCTCACCACACTGCAGTTTCATGCACTTTGGGAAGGTAGGAGGGGTGGTGTGCAAAGGTCTCGCGGAATGGACCGAGACTTGCATTGTCTCTTAGTCAACGATAGAAAAACCTTGCGCAGTAGGGACTTCAACTCCTCCCTGATTAGGCTCTATGTTTATCCACCATGCGGTTGAGTGACCACATCCATCTGAGACTGTGGGAGGCTCATACGCAAGCTTGTTTCCAAGTGACTGGGCCTGAAGCGGGCTGCATCCATTTTTCAACAGTACTTGTCCATGTCGTTGCTGTCCTCGACAAAGCTGACATACTCCTCCCTGAACTGGGGCGGTAGGTAGACTAAGGACACCGGTGAATCCATGTACTCAGCATGCAACACGTGCCAAGTCGTTATCTCCATCCGGCTTGTGAATCCATCGACCCTTCGCAGTATGCCTTCGGCGCGGCTCTAGGAGCGAATCACATCGTGACGGCCTCCGTATTTACCACACAAGTTGTCCATCAGCTGACTTCCCCGGCAACAAGTCAGCGTTTGAGCCGCACGACCCCTATCCCACGTAATACTCAGGACGCTTTCACCTCAGTCCACAGCTTCTTGAAATCATCCAGACCCATCGTTGCCTGTACGCGCCTTTTATCCCATGTCGCAAACCCAGCGACCCGGCAAGTCTCCAAACTTAGCCGCGTGTTACCGTCGTCTAGCCCAAAAAGCTCTGCAGTCTAGCCCCAAACCACACCACATACTAGATGGGACCTGATCCACCGCATCCACAATGAACTCTAGCCGCTCGCCACTGTCGCCCTGCTGCCGGTGTCTCTGCTCCCTTGGGAGGTCCGGGAGCTGAAGTACCCGCTGCGCCTATGCAGGGCAGAGAGTACCGCTTTACTAACTGGTCGTACACAGGCGTGCCGTGGAGAGTTTTCTGGCCGCCTTTTCATGGCACGTCCAGCAAGGAACGCAGGGCGGCGTCCGCAAGGCCGGGGTGCTCCCCCATATAGCGCACAAGGCGGTCGGCATGCGCGACCAGCACGCGAAACTCAGTCTCCCTGGCAGGTCTCGCGCCTGTCCCCGAAGCGGCGCCCCGCTTCTCCCCGGCAACCAGGCAGAGCGCCGCGCACAGCCGAGTGACTAGGTAGTCCGCGTGGTCAATATGCTGCGTCTCCCACGGTTCAAGCGCGGCGAATAGCCGAACCCGGTGGCCCCGGTGGCGGGTCGTGTCGGTGTTGCTAAAAGCCGCGACGTCTTGCGCCGCCCAGGGCACGGCGCGGCGGCACCGAACGAGCGAAGCTGCGTCTTGGATCACGCGTCGGCGAGGTAGCTGACGTTGAGCAGCGTGTCTAGCTCGAGGATGATATTGTCTAGCAGCTCCGGTGCCAGAGATGTCAGGTGGCAGTGGTTCTCTGAAGGAGCGCCAATGACTTTTGTTGATCTCATTGTATTATTCGCAATGTGGTCTTGTGTTGTTGTGTTCATTGATTGTGGAGGTGATTGGGTTCGACCATTCTACTACTTTTTCTTGTGAATAATTCAATATGGAAGGATTTCCCATCTAAGATATCCGGAAAGAACGAGTTCCTATGGAAACAGCGAAATAAGTAGCCTGTATCGATGATCCATGCACGACTGCGGCCTACAGCACCGCAAGACCAAATGACTACTATCCGTGATGGAGCGGCATGATAATCAGTTTCGATGGTTCTATTTCAACTCGGCCTCTTTCGAATTCCAATTTGATCAGCGAGGCATAGTATCAGAACGCTGTGTTATCTATGCTTAAGAGCCGCTGCGACATCCGTGATGAAAATTTGAGCAGAGCCCCTAGGACCATGACCATGAGCACGCAAGTCAGCCCCAAGATACAACACACGTTGAATACATACGAAAGTCTTCTGGAAGTTGGCGTTGTGCTGGAGCCGCTCCGTAGCGAGGCCGATATGCTTCGCGGCCAACACTAAAGTGACGAATACGGTCGCAGCAGCCATCTGCGCAAGGTGATCGCGATAGAAGCTGCTGTAGTTATTGCAGCCACGCTGATACAATCAATAAAGGGGGGGATGAGTGGAGCAGTTGATGGTGTTGATCCGGGAGAGGTAAATCTCAGCGCGGAGGAAGCGAGGGTGGACATTTTCTGGCTTGTGACCATGAAGGAGCTCCCTAGCCAAGTCTTTCCATTCTGCCCACTCAACCGTTGTGTTCTTGGCTTTTGGAGGCAAAAGACGCCCTTTGTTTGCGAGGAAGAAGTCGTTTTCCAAGGAATTAGACAGGCATATGTATAGAGAAATCCCAGAGCGACTTTCCAAAGGTCATTCCTACACGAAACCACTGGAGGGAACCGGTTGCCCCTATCGGACGCTGCCGAAAGTCCTAGGCATATACAGCCATAGGGGCACTTTATCTTTTTTTTTTTGCCAGAACACTGGATCAATTAGTATGGACTTGGGAAAGATTCTCCCGTCTTTGTCCCAAATTAGATGCAAATCCATCAGATCCACGACGAGATCATCCCGGCCTGCAGCGACTTGAAGATGCAGTTGCCGAGGGACATGCTTTGCACCAGCCAACCATAGATGATTCAGCATTTTACCAAGCGACCTAAAGAATGTTCTTTGCGGAAAACCGCTGATGTGTCGTTGCCTGGACCAGCGACTAGCTGCTTTCCAGTGGCCTCATAGGAATGATAGGATGCTGGCAAGATATCTGTGGCATCATCCCAGGTCCCGAGTACCTAGTCAGAACTTCAATTCTTTGAATACACTCCAGATTGATAGTGACATACCGGCCAGATGATGGAATCTCTTGATTACTGAGCCATGTAAGCTAGAGTCTTTGAGCATGGGTATCACCACTTGCTGTGTCGGTCAGCTGTGTGCAGATGATTAGCGACCTGGCTGTCGTGTCCTTGATATATAGAGGGACGAACCAATGAATCTATTTATTTGGGGTACGTATCTAAACCCGTGTCTGCATCTCATTGGGTCAAAACGCGTTCCAGCCTGACCCCCGTCCCCCCGAATAATTGGATTACACACGTGGTGCGGCAGTGCCAGGCTGACTTCCTGCCCCCACGTGGTACAGAAAAGTTCATTGTCCGAATTATTTGACAGCCCCGCCGACTCACAGCTGAATCTTTAGCAGGTCACTGATACCTATCCTAAGCCCCTGTGCCTTTCCGACTCCGTACTTCGCCAGCAGCCCCGGATATTCCAGAGCTTGCGAATTAGGCAATGTGAAAATAGAAATCGACACGCTCCGCGTAGCGTACATACATAGCAAGTTACTGCCAGTCAGCACAACAGACGGGGTACTCAAATATCCCTTCAAATCGAGGTCAAGATGGCGGAGAGCCAACACGACAACAGCAGTAGTGTCAACGTTAAGCCCCGCGTCTTTCGGGTTCGAAACCTTCCGGCACACGTGGATCGGCTATCTGCCGTCGAGCTTCTGTGTCAGTCTATCAACGGTATCACGGCGCAGGACGTACGGCTCTCTTCGCTAGCGTACGACGTGGACGTTTGGTCATGGCTGCGGACCAAGACGGCTACCATTACTTTACGCATGATACCTCCAGTTCTCACTTCGATCCTCAACGATGGAGAATGTACTATCGCAGTACCAGGGCTTGCAAAGCCTCTGATCATCGACCACCACTTCCAGGGCATAACGCCGCTAAACCACGTGCCCGATGATGAACACAAGTATGAGTAAGTGCCGTTCACCCACCTAGGTAGTCTCTCACGAACCCTGCATATGGCTTATTGCTTGTTGGTTACTAACAATGTTGTATCTTTTGTAAGTTGCCTTATTATATCAGGGCTTGCCAGTCATCCCTTTGGCTCATGGCAGACCCACGGCCACGACAAGTCCTTTATGTGGATTAGGGACGAGCTTCCACAGAGGTTACCTGGTGTCCGCTTCCTGTCTTATGGATATGACACTTCGCTTTGCGACAGCACGTCTTTTCAACTCATCCCAGACTTGGCGATCTCACTGGTCCAGACAGTGAAGGCCATCGGCTGTTCTGCACCGTCGGCGAAGCCCCTGCTCTTCCTTGCTCACAGTCTGGGTGGAGTAGTTCTGAAGCAGGCGCTAATTATTCTGGCTGGAGGAGGGAATCAGGAGAGATCGGTTCTTGCGAAGATAAAGGGTGCTATCTTTTTTGGTGTCCCGAGTCAGGGCATGAGTATTCCAGACATTTTCGAGATGTTGGGAGATCAGCCGAATGTTGCTTTGGTGAAAGACCTCTCTAATCTATCAGATTTCCTGCCTAGACTCGATGAGCAGTTTGGAAATATTTCCTATCTCCAGAGGCTTCAGTTCTTCTGGGCGTTCGAGACGAAAGTCACGCCGATTGTGGAAGTAAGCCCGCTTATGAACAGAGTCTTCGTGCACAATAAAAGTCGCGGAAATAAAGCTGACTGAACGACAGAAGGCCCTTAAAACGGGAAAGTTTTCACGGACGGGCCCTGGAACCGTGATGGTGTCACGAGAGTCCGCAACCAGAAATCTCTGCCATTCGCAGCCCTCGTTGACCATACAGATAGACGAGAACCATTCTAATATGGTGAAACTCGGGATAGGAGATAGGTATATTGGGATACTTGCGAGCAAATTGAAAAGTATTTGCGCCCTGTGTGAACTTACATTCCCGCAGCTTGCGCCGCAATCGATCCGAAAGCTCACTCAGTCTGAGCTTGCAGATCCGAAAGCATCATCCAACCCACCGGAGAATATCGGCAAGACTAAAGTCCAGCGGAGATCAGATCTACAGCCAGAATGGATGATGCCTGAATTTTGGAATGGCAATGAGATCTTGTCATCTCTCCGAGCCCCAGAACGAGATCGTCGACTGGAGCAGATCAACGAGAAATTAGGAGACACGTTCAATTGGGCTTACGATGATTCATCCGTAGGCCTCAGTGAATGGCTTCAGAAAGGGACCGGAATATTCTGGATCCATGGAAAGCCAGCAAGTGGAAAGAGTACCCTCATGAAATATCTCTACCAGGATTCACGCACAGAGGAACTTCTGCGCGCTGGTGGCTGGCAGTCAAGGGCGCGCTTGATGACAGCAAGTTTTTTCTTTCACCACCGAGGAAATAACATGCAGAAGTCTTTCGAAGGTCTCCTGAGGAGCCTTGTGAGCCAGATCTTGGAACAAGAAAAGACTCTCTTGCCTCTCCTATATCCCATTCTCGCGGATCAATATCAGACCCTCATCAATTCTTCGCGCCTTGACAGCCTCGAAGCGGACATTTGGGCTTTATTAGATCGTCTCAAGATTTCTTGGTCGTCTGACGTCATGAGAGAGGTTGCGGAGACCGTTGCCTTACAAAGAGAATTGACCCAGAACCGACGACTCGGAATGCATCTGAGGCGCATGTTGAAAGACCTTGGGATCAAAATCCAGTCACGACCTATAGACCCATATGAAGAAGCTGAATTTGACGATACTGACTTCATTTTGAAGGCCGAGGTCAAGCAACAACCAAATCAGGGGACAGAGGCGGATTCTCAGTCGCCTGAACCGAGGAATTGGTTGGCGATCCTGCGTAGAACTTTACAGCGCCATTACCAACGTGAGAAAATAAAAACAGATTTACAGGCAAGACCATGGAGCAGAGACAACCTAGAAGACTGCCTTCGTCGACTGATTGGGCAATCTTTATTCAAGATGGACCTCTTTCTCTTTTTGGATGCTCTTGACGAATATGACGGAAGGCCAGAGTTCATCGCTTCGTTTCTGCAGGACCTCGTCCAACAGCCAGTCGATCCCAGCAAACACTCATCGAATCGTATACGGATTCTTTTCTCCAGTCGGCCTTGGAAAGCACTTAACGATGAGTTTGCGGCATGTCCAGGCTTCCAGATTCATGATTATACTGGGAACGACATCATCGAGTTTTGCGCGGCATCCATTCCTTCCGACGACACTACAAAGACTTTCTTATCACCCTTCGTGATGGAAATTGTTCGTAGGGCACGCGGCGTCTTTCTATGGGTTGAGCTGGTGATGCGGGATCTTACGAACATTGTGCTACATAGAGCGCAGCTGCGGGATACCCAGGGACTGGAGCAGGATTTACGCAAGACCCTGGACGGCATTCCGGACGAACTAGATGACTATTACCAGGTTATTGTCCAGCGTATTCCGCCTGGTAATCGTTGGGAAAGCTATGTTGTCCTGGAGACGCTTTGCCGTTCCGACGAAGACATGGAAACAGAAACACTGCTCGCGATACTCAAGTGCTCGTCCGCCAGGTCTCTCGCAGATGCCAAACACAAACTCAACCAGGGTTCACAAACGTCCCTGAACGGGCCAGGACTGGAATGGGGTGAGCGTTTCATCAAAGCCGTGTCGGGCGGCTTGGTGGAAGTCGGTGGTCTCTCCCAAAAGGGAGAACCCATATTGCAATTCATGCATCAGACGGTCAAACAATTCGTCGAAGGCCCTTGGTTCAAACTTCAGCTTCTGGGAAATAACATCGGTCTGTTTATCACTGAAAACGGACACTCCTTCATCGCGAAACATCTTTTCACCCACGCCCTTTTCAAAGACCGCTTTATTCGCCATGCAAGGAAGGCCGAAACCACTATGGGCTTCAGCCAGTACGATTTCTTCAGCACAGCACCAACAGACCACTATTCTTTCTTCACTGGCAATTTCTCTTACCTTGTTCCGTCCACAATCGCAGTGGCAGTTTTCGCCGGATTGCAACTCTGCGTTCGCGACGCTTATGAGGCAGATCCATGCTGCATTCAACAGAACTCACCGAACCTCGTATGGATCGTGCTTGAAGCGGCTACAGCAAGAGGGGTGGGTAAAGACATGGACAGCATCATAAACATGGCGGAGCTCTTGGTGTCGAAGGGTCTTTCGATACATGAGACCGATGACGGTCTCTTGTATATAGTAGAACACATGTGGAGTGCACCCAGAGCCATAAAGCCACTGTTTGAGAAACTGGCTCTCATTCTCGTGGATGCCATTCAGATCACAAGCACGGCCGCAGAGTCGCCCTCTTTCCAAAGCATGTCGACCCATTCCACTACCATTCGCAGCTCAACGTCAGAGACTAAGCTGCTTCATAAAGCTACGCCTAAGTTGATACGAGCGCTGCTCGCCCGCGGTTTCAACCCCAATTCCACAGATGGTCACGGGAACACGCCCATTGACTTTGTTGTGGATAGCTTGCCTTCGCGACTTTGGTTGCGAGAGCAGTACGATATTGTGTCTCAGCTAGTTTGTAATGGTGGTCTCCTATCCTCAACTCGACGATCTCGATGGAATGAATGGGAAAGCATGTGTGCTAGTTCTGGACTGGATACAAGAGTCTTCCGTGAAGCTGGGTTCCCACTCTGGTGTTCAAGTAGGAAACCGGCGAGGAAACATAGATCTTTGAGAATATTTCTACGTGAACTCATTTGATTCTAAATGCAGAATATATCAGGTTCGGATGATATAAGTGATTCTACAACGTATACAACCCCAGTAAATAGCAGCAATCCCACCCGCAGCACACTAAAGTTGGACTTCGACCACACAAACTACTCATAGTTGTGCAGTTCAGCCAATGACTACCTACCATGCTCTCGAGACCTAGTCAGGTAGTATACAATGGGCTCGAGCATATCTGCAGAGTAAAGTACCATTTGCGATCAAAGAGCTGCCGAACTACGACCGCCTAATATGCTTATCCTCGATTTAAATAAAAACACCTGGCAAACGTGTAGCAAGTTACAATCCATCCTACTAGTTTAGTATTCTTGGTTTTGTCCTGGTCTGGCCTTTATTTCTCGCAGTACTACATTCCTCCATCAGGTTTGCAAAAAGTGTGCTTGATGCTGCTGAGTTCATGAGAGCTAGGAGGCAAGAAAGGATATCATAGACTGCATTTGTACTTCCACACACCAAAATTCTATTACACCTGGGCCGGTCTTTCTTATAAATCTTTTCGACACCAGAATATCAATTTAAAGTACTTAACGGTAATGACTATCCTGGTCCTCACTAACTCTTCAAAATCTTGAATTTTACACTCGGCTCCATCCTGACTAAGAGAGCGCAGTCTCGAATGCATGATAGTGTGTTGTAGCAATGAGGACGAGATGTGATGTAAACATACATTCCGGGTTAATCAAGCCAGTAGCTAAAGAGTAGAAATTGCAAAGTCGTCAAATTTCCGACGAAGACGAGGCAAGGATGACCGCCACAAATCAGTAGGAGTACGTGCTGCCTACATCTTGCTTTTTGATACCGAAACAAATCAGATGGGGGCTGTGAAATGGGCTCTGGCTACACAACAGACGGCTGAGGAGGCTGGGCACCCAAAAGACGCCGCAGGTCTGAGGCTCGGTGAGGGGGCCGTTGTCTCAGACAACTAGAGCTTGAGTACTCACACATTTATACCCGCAAGCTTTTTGGCAATTTCTGACCTAGCCCATGTACAATTGTCTACTATTCTATCTGCAATACCTCATATGAGAATACCAGCATAAAAATCCATAATGTCGACATCCCTTCCAGTTTATGATGCACTTACTTCAGACGCCGCGTCCATGTCTCCAACGCTTCATCAACCAGACAGTCAACTGAGCTGTGATGACGTGGGATCGTCTACGATACCTGCAACTTCGGGTCGTCCTGATAGAACTTGCGTCTTGCGATACTGGGCAAGCTGGATTGGGAGTTCGCCGCATGCCTTCTCGTACTGGCTTCCCCGATCATCATGTTCGCAACAGTGTACCCTCACAATGGGCAGCCCTTGCCCCGGTGGCCGTTCAGTATCTCGATCAACTCTCTGCTCTCTGTCTATACACTAGTGCTCAAATCATCAATAGGCGTCATCCTCACCTCATGTATCGGGCAGCTCCAGTGGACGTGGTATTCTGAGATACACCCCCTGACGGACATGCTTCGTTTCGATAATGCAACTCGAGGCGCAGCCGGAGCACTAGGCTTAATCTGGCGGCAGCGATTTCGACGACCGCTTACAGTACTCGGATGCGTCATAATGGTACTCGCCGTTATGATTGATCCCTTTGTACAACAGCTTGTACAGCCTATAGATTGCAGTGTCGAGGTCTCGGGCGATACCGCGTCTGCGAGCTTGCCACGAACTAATTGGTTCGATTTCTATGGTTTGGATCAAAACGCGAGCTCTGTGAGCCCGCAAAAGGCCGTTGAAAGTGTCATGTACAACGCAGTCTTCTCTGCGGGGCAGGATCCTCCCTGGCAGTGCTCTACGGGCAACTGCACATTCCATGTCAACTATGCCACTATCGGAGTCTGCTACTCCTGCCAAGACCGCTCCGCGGACGTTATCCTAAATCGCAGTTGCTCAGAGCCTGATGCGTCCTATGCAAGCCAGCACCCGACATCTGCGACAGATTGCCCTGCCAACTCGAGCTTTTCCGTCGACTCTTCCTTTCACGGCGACAGTTCTTACAAGCCGAGTACCAAGACGGCTATTGGCCCCGATAGAATCCAAGATTTTCTTGCGGTTCTCGCCGACACATATTCCGAACTAGAATGCGAAGCAGAATGCGAACAAAGTGCCTATTTGCCGATTGGTTCCAGAGTTCTTTTTGAATTCCTTCTCGGAGCCACAGCTATCTCCGATGGACGCATCGATTGGACCACTTCTGACAACTCGACATGTAATTCGAATGAGAAGGAGCAATCGTGGGCCTGCCAGGGGTATGGCGCCGCCACATGTTCCCTATATCCATGTGTCAAGATCTACAATGCCACTATCTCCGCCGGTAAACTTGAAGAGAATCTGGTCGCAAGCTCGTCTGACACAGCCTGGGGAAGAATTTATGCTCCCTATCTTAAATTTTACGCCTTACTAGACACTCAATGCTCTGCTCAGAATCAGACATCATCAGTTCAAAACTCGAGCGTTGAAAGCCGATGGATACCATATGATCTCAAGGTAGAGCCGAACGCAGATTACGATAAAAACGTTGATAACCTAATTGATAGCAGTTGTATCTATCTGATTTCAGCAAGCTCAATTATGGGCGGGCTATCCGAGTATTTGAACGGCATGGTGCAGGCGGTTTCATTCAGCTCAGCCACTGACGCGTTAAATGGCTGGACGGAATACTTCCTGTCCGATTTTCAAGGGCCAGAAATCATTCGACATTTTTATAACTGGGGCCACACCGACTTTGAGCATGTTCAGAGCGTTATTGCAAACATCTCCGACTCCCTCACAATCTATATCCGCACACATGGCGGTCAATCGCCAGACATGCCGGGCTTGTCAAGGGATGCGCTGGGGAAGTCGTATCACTACGCAACCTGTCTCCAGGTTCGATGGCCCTGGATCTCGTTTCCCGCTTGTTTAGCGGCTTTGACTACCTTATTCTTCTTGGTGGTTGTCGAAGCCACCGGGAGGCAAGGGACTTGGGTCTGGAAGGCCTCACCATTGGCATGGATTTTAAGGGCCGATGGGCTAGGTAACGAACAGATCTCGTCGTCATCTACTAGAACCTGTGAAGGAATGGAGGAGAGATCTAAGCAAATTGCTGTTCATCTATTTGACGAAGGTCCAGATGGGCCTCGCATTCGTATGGCTGATCTCAAAGATCCGAACTTGGAAGTGCCACATTGACAGTGGAACGCAGCCAGACAGTCGTTCAGAAGTCGACACAGCCAATTTTGGAAAATCGTGCTAGAGATTAGAATATATACCTATATTTGAACGTCAGCAACATCCGGTCATCACAATCAAGACAGTCTGAATTCAAAGAAGATCACAGCAGAATCCCCACCGATTTGTAATAGGTTTTGTCCCAGCAAGGTCTCAAGACCGGTGATTTCGTTAAATCTTTCGCTAGTGGAGAGACCCCATGCGTACTTTGCAAAGCAGGAAGCAAGACTGAGAAGAGTCTTGCTCTGTAAGCCTTGCATTTGCGATGCGTACGTTGGTGGGATCATGAGCAGGGAGGCTGTTCATAATACATAGCTCTATCCGGACTCCGTTCAATTTGTCATCGATATTGAGCACCATACGAGACTATGAGAAAGGATAAATCAGGTTCATACATGTTTGAGAAGCTTATCAGTTAGCAGCGAAGAGCAGACACCAGGAAGACTGTACACAGCGACACCACACGTCGACTCATTGCAATGCGAAGAATAAGTAGTTGATACGGCATTTTTACATTAGTGGATTCCTACAGAATGTTCTAGCTAGTGTTTGCTGCTCTATAGCTTGGCTCCTCCAGCATCCGGATCCTCCTGCCCGAAGATGTTGAGGAAGGCTGTGTGTACTTCGTCCGTCAGGTCGCTAGCCTGCAGGCTGCGGCCCTTCTTGTTGAAGGCGAGCCGAGAGCACTCCTTTGCAAGGAAAACTTTCGGTTAGTCTACTGCTATCTTGATCCTGTGGGTAGGTGATGGGACAGGTGGGTGGTTAGGACTTACTCTCGTTACGGCAGCACCGCCGAAAGCCGCCAGCTGCACAAGCTCCTTCTCATTTAGCTTCCCACCGTGGTCCCAGAGACCGTCGAGGTACGCCGTCCTCCAGCCCAAAAACGTAGCAATACTCCCGGTGAGCGTGTCACCCTGCCCACCGCTCCTCTTCTTGCCGCCCTGGAGGTCGACGGTGAGGGTAGTCTCGCCGTCCGAGATGAAGTCGTTGAAGCCCTTCTGCACGATCGTCACGCCCTCGAGCGCGCGCGCGAGCGCCTCGACCTTGGCCGTCTCCTTCTTGCTCTCATCGCCCTGGCCAGCCGACTCGGCCGCCTTCTGGACCTGCTCCTCGACGCCGAGGGCCTTGCAAAGGCGGCCGAACTCGACGATGTTGGGCGTCAGCACGGCGAGCGGCCAGCCGCGCACGAGCTCGGGCTGCTTCTGCACGACCTGCAGGGCGTCCGCGTCCAGCACCACGGGGGTGCCCTTCTCGCGCGCCGCCTTCACCACCCGCGCCACCGTGTCCTGCATCAGCGGGTCGCGGCCCAGCCCGGGCCCGATGACCAGCACGTGGATGCGCGCCAGCATGTCGATGATGCGCGATGCCACCTTTTCGGCGGGCTCGTCGGACGCCGACTGGTCTGATGACTGCGGGTTGGGGCTCTGCCGCATCAGTGGGTGCACCATCAGGTTGGGCGAGTACGTCTTGATGACGGACGCTGCGCCGGGCGTGCAGATCACGTGGGACTGTAGGCGTGCGGATGCTGCGGTCAGTAAACTAGATCACCCAGTGTAGACCGCCTAGATAGACTATCCAACCCTCGAAGTGTGCTAAGGGAGTAGGATAGGGGAGGGCTGTGAGGAGGCATACCATGTCACATCCCAGCCGTGCGCTGGCCATAGCCGAGAAGTACGGTGCGCCTGTGTAGTCCTCGCTGCCACCAATGACGCCGATACGGCCCAGCTGCCCTGTGTTTCATTTACATCATCAGCCTCAGATTCCAGGTTCCCGGGACTCTGATACCGTCGTTCCCCACGGCCCCATCCGAAGCTCAGCCGGAGCCGGCGGTCTCGGGCGACTCACCCTTGTGGAACTGATCCAGCATGGGCGGGACCAGCTGCCGCACGCGGCCGAGGATCTCCTTGGTTGCGGATGACATATCAGCCTCCATGTGTAGCTTCACGCCTCGTCACTGGCGTTTATATAAAGCTTGGTGGTGAGTGGCGCGAGATTCCCTTGGGCCAAAGTTGAAGTCCGACAGCGGGGTTATGAGCTGCTGTCGTGTCGATGTCCTGGTGATGAACAGGGAAATGATGGCCCAATTGATGAATGACGGCTTAAAGAAGCGGCAAAAAGTAAAATTATCGCGTTCAAAGAGTGAGACTAATGACCAAGCAGACTTAGCAGTGGTTAGGTCAACATGAGGGTATAAGAGTTGTTTGTGGACCATGATGATGTCACCGTTACCGGCGCAAAACGATGACCACCCGCAGAGCTCGCCGGAGCTTTTTCTACGAGCCCATGCGGCAGAATCATGTTCCTGTATTTGGCGTGCAATCAATTTAGCTACCGTAGACACCAAGGCAGATAGACTGAGGCTGTAGCGGCACGGCGAAAATGTGGACAAAAAAAATTGAGTGCTAGATTGGTCACGGCTCTATTTTACAATGGATTGACCGGAGATGACCCTCTCCAAAAACCATTTCATCTCTCAGTTCCCAGCACCCAATGGGATAGGCCCCCCTTTCTAGACGTAGACACACGATTCAGGCGGCCACCTCCTCCACTCGACGCGGGCTTGAAACTCTACCCTCTCCTAGCATATATGTCGGTCTCGTTGCCTTGCACTGGAGCGGACAATTTAAGCCACGAAGCTCTTGGTGAAGCTGACGATGACATCCTTGAGACGGCCCTCAAGCTCCTTGGAGAGGGCGCCCTCCTTGTCAATGGTGGCAAGCAGGTCGGACTCGTTGGTCTTCAGGTGGGACAGGAAGTCAGCCTCCCACTGGAGAATCTTGTCGACGGGGACGGAGTCGAGGTGGCCGTTGACACCAGCGAAGATAAGGGGAACCATCTCGTTGACGGCCATGGGAGAGTACTGCTTCTGCTTCAGGAGCTCGGTCAACTGTAGATTGCGGTGTTATTAGTCATGGCACAACTCCGATATTTTCGCGGCTGTAAACGGGGCTACTTACACGCTCACCACGGTTCAGGGTCTGCTTGGTGGCGGCATCCAGATCGGAACCGAACTGGGCGAAGGCAGCGACCTCACGGTACTGGGCCAAGAAGAGCTTCAGGGAACCGGCGACTTGCTTCATGGCCTTGAGCTGGGCAGCGGAACCGACACGAGACACGGACAGACCGACGTTGATGGCAGGTCGGACACCCTTGTAGAACAGCTCAGCCTCCAAGAAGATCTGTCCGTCGGTGATGGAAATGACGTTGGTGGGAATGTAGGCAGACACGTCACCACCCTGGGTCTCAATGACGGGCAGGGCAGTCAGGGAGCCACCACCGTGCTTGTCGTTCATCTTGGCGGCACGCTCGAGCAGACGAGAGTGCAGGTAGAAGACGTCACCGGGGTAAGCCTCACGTCCGGGGGGACGACGGAGCAGCAGAGACATTTGACGGTAGGCAACGGCCTGCTTGGACAGATCGTCGAGGACGAGCAGGGCGTGGCGGCCGTTGTCACGGAACCACTCACCAATGGACGCACCTGATATCAGGGTGAATTAGCATCGCGTAGAATGTCGCCAGAGTGGATTAGACCAACCGGTGAAAGGAGCCAAGAATTGCAGAGGAGCAGCCTCGGAGGCAGTGGCAGCAACGATGACGGAGTACTTCATGGCGTCGTTCTCCTCCAGGGTCTTGACAAGCTGAGCAACAGTGGATCGCTTCTGGCCGACGGCAACGTAGATGCAGTACAGCTTCTTGGTCTCGTCGGAGGTGTTGTTCCACCTCTTCTGGTTGAGGATGGCATCCAGAGCGACGGCAGTCTTTCCGGTTTGACGATCACCAATAATCAGCTCACGCTGGCCACGGCCGATGGGAACCATAGCGTCGATGGACTTGAGACCGGTCTGTACGGGCTGGTTGACAGAGCGACGGGGCAGAATGCCAGGGGCCTTGACCTGGGCACGGGATCGCTCCTTGGTGTTGAGGGGTCCCTTGCCGTCGATGGGGTTACCGAGGGCGTCGACGACACGGCCGAGCAGCTCCGGGCCGACGGGGACATCGACCTTGCAGAAGTCAGCAAGCGGGAAATTGAAGGGTCTCGCAGAATATCACAACATACAATTTCGCCGGTACGCTTGACGGTCTCACCCTCCTTGACGAGACGATCGGAACCGAAGAGCACAACACCGACTTGGCCAGCCTCGAGGTTCATGCACATGCCCTTGACGCCAGAGGCGAACCTGCATCTCATGTTAATCGCGATCAAGCGGCGTGGAATATCCGGGTACAACGTACTCGACCAGCTCCTCGGCCTGGACGTTGGCCAGACCGTGCACACGGGCGATACCATCACTGTGAAGCTACCTGTCAGCTGCTAGATTCCTCCATTGACACATACACGCCCGCAAATCTCCATTTTCCCGGTTGGGGCCGTGGCGATGGCGACGTCGGGAAATGTGCCAGCGCATATTGAAGGTGCGATTTGATTCCTGTTTCAACATACCCGACAGACAGAACGCGACCAGTCTCGGCGAGACCAGCCTCCTCCTGGACACCGCGGATACGCTGCTCGAGGATGGAGGAGACCTCGGTGGGAGTAGCCTTGGCATCGGCGTAGGTGCGTGCTTGCACGGAGGCAACGGCGGGGGCGGCGCTTCGAGCCTGTGGTGGTGGAAAAAAGTAGGATGGTTAGCCCGACGATCCGAGAGTGGTGGTGTTTTGGGCTGCGACTAGATCCCCGACCCCAAGTGGCAGTCAAGTGCCCTGTGCCGATCCAACCCCAGCCCCAAACCCCAGCTTCTGGGAGAGCTCGGCAGGGCCAACAGCTCGGCCACAACAAGCTCCCAACAAGCCCTCGCGCATCGGCCGCACAGCTTGGTGAAGCTCAATTGAAGATGCTCAATGCAGGCGCGGCGAGCAGAGGGCGGCTGGATGGGGCTGGCGATGGATTGGGGGCGCGAGGGATCGGGCGGCCGGGGCGAAAACATTGCGTCGTTAAGCTGTGCGTAGACTTACGACGGCGATTCTGCTGGTGGCAGAGAGGGCGCCGACAGCGCGGGTGCTCTGTCGGAGAGCGTTCCGGAACATTGTGAAAGAGGATGCAAGAGTGCCTAAAAGAAAAGGGAAGACAATTGCAATTGGCTTGCAATTGTGTGGAGAGGAGATTTGATGGCAGAGGTCGGGTGGTGGTTGACGACGTGGAAAGGTCCTACTGAGGGAATTGAGAAAATTGAAGTGCCAGCGCTCCAGGTTCCGTTCCGGACCTCCTCGCTCACCCAGCCGCTAGCCAACGGTGGAGCTCGGCCAGCCTGAAGCGACCAATCACAGCCCCACTCGGGAGAAACAGGGCAGCGAGGGAAAAGAAGGCTTACCTCAACCGGGACGGGGCACGGGCCACCCTGCGTCCACCGTATCACCGATGAGGGAGGAGCTTCAGCCCTTGGTGGGCGGGAGCAAGCTGCTTTGTGTGGGTAAGACGGCCAAACGGGTGCTCTGCTCTGTTCTGCCCTGCCCTGCCCTGCGCTGTTCAGCATTGAGCCTGACCGTAACCACCTCATCGCAATACAGTGAAGCCATCTTGAGCGGCTCCACCAGGAGTACATGTTATCTCATTACTCTGGTCAACCCCACCAACTCATGAGGCAGTGCACAGATCATTCACCAGGCTCTGCTGTCAGCTGCTCACATCCATCTCGGCGTCTCTGAATGAATGCAGCTCCTCGACTCCACCGAGTGAGGGGGATAGTATCGCAGTATACAGCCCTTCATACATCTCTGCTTAGAGAAATTTAGGGCGATGAATATGCATGGTCATGAGTGAACAACGAGCTTAAGCTCGGGTGTCCACTTTGCAGCCACAGTATCACGACAAATAAGAAAGGAATCTCTTAGGTTCAACCTCCTGTAGGGGATGGCTTCTTTTGGAATAACCTTCTTCAAGATAATATCCTACAACATAACTTTCTGTAAATCAAAACCTTGATCAATAACCTTCTATTGATTAATTTCTTATGGGATAAGCTCCTCTAGGATAATCTCTGAAAGATAACCTCTTATAGGATAACGTCTTATGGAATAACGTCTTATGGGATAACGTCTTATGGGATAACGTCTTATGGGATAACGTCTTATGGGATAACGTCTTATGGGATAATCTCCAGTGGGATAACCTCCAGTGGGGTGGCCTCCAGTGGGATAAGTTCCTATTGATACCCTTCTATACAGGGAAGTAAATAAGCTATAGAAGACTCTGCAATGACGTTTTACGATTTTTGAGAGTGCGGCGGTGTCATTCCAAAAGTGTATGTGACAATACATGTTCAACGCACAAGCTCTGCTATCCAGGACACTGAGAAACTGTGGCCTCGTGATCTATGCTCTCGAGTATGGGCTTGATCAAACAGAAGAAATGCTTCGTCACAAGTCGAGTCTGTGTCATATGTTTGAGTGACCTAGGAACACATAAAATGATGTTTGCTGCTCGAGCCCTGAAAGCTAGGGCCTGTGGTACGTCAAGGCTTGCTACCAAGTCACACTGAAAGGGCAAGCAGTGAACACTCCAATATAGTTTTAAACTCGACTGAGCATTCGGTCTGTTGTTCTCGCTTGGGGACTCGGACAATAATTCTCCTCAGTCAGGAAACCAACATCGTCACACAAATACACCACACTCCATTGCAGCCTCTACTCACAGAAACGATGGATTACTTATGGACGCCAGATCAGTGGCAGTTTTGGAATATAAATACCGAGCTCATACCTCAATACTCATGTTCCCTCTTTCCCATAACTCTTGCCAGGCACACTTCAAGAGACCTCCACCAGCTTCAGATTCTACAACAGCCATACACACTACTCAAGATGCCCAACTGCTTCTTGACTCGGCCGTATCAGTGGCCTGAGCCTTACTACCAAGTCCCCATCCCTGGTACCTGTAAGTCGTTCTCGAAGGAACCTTCAGTAGTTTACTTGGAGGGACATGAATCATCCGCAATTGTTACTGCTACATTGTAACTTGCTGACCATTTACCATCAAGATCCCACTCGGTTTGCCAGATTACCCGTCAGCGGCACCACTCCGGCCACAGCCGTGTCTACAGTCTACCCGACCTATCAATACCTCCAGACCATGCAAGCTCAACCTACATACATGCAATACCGCCAGCCTCAACTTTGGTTACAAGGGGTAAGCTCCCTCTCCCTTAGACATCATCGGTAGGTGGCATACTGACTTCTATTTTTATCTAGTACGTCCTTTAGGGTTGAGTCTGCTCGCAGGTGGAAGGGGAACGCAAGGAAAATCACACTATTCATGTCTCCGTTTGCGATATGACTCAGTGGTACTCATGGCGTTTGTTCTGCGTTGAGTTCAATTTCTTCAATAACACATAATTGAAAACATATCTTGATATGCGTGCGTTATGTATCAGTATTCTCCTTCCTTTTCTTTTTTGTGATGGGGTCGTCGAAATTGGGACGGAGCAAATAGTTCATTATCTGCAGCCATCATTCCACTGCAAGTCTTCATTCGCCTTCGAGATATTGAGATTACCTGGACCTGTCGTGAATAAATCTTGAGCTGTTAGAGATGGTAAATACCGGGCACGAGACAGCAAAAAAGCTACAAGAAGAAGTATTCTTGTCAGACTATCTAACCAATTGCTGCAGTGACCCCGAGAAACAGTGAAGACAAGCAAGAGACAACACCAAAATCCCAAAACGCCACAAGATGCCATAGCCACCCAGCCTGCAAAACAGATTCCTCAAAGCAAACTGCCCAAACCTGAAGAATTAGTATCCAACCCACAAAATCAGAGGACCTCACCTCTCATCCTCCTCTCCCCGCCTGCTTCCCGTCAGCGACACCACGATCCTGCCTACGACTTGCCTGCGCAGTGGAAACACTCCCACCCAAGCCCATCCACCCACCAGGGACCAGCACAGATGGCACATCCTCGGGAAGTCTCACAGGTACATCCTCTCGCCTGGCGTCGAGATCAGCGTCAGTGATACTCGGCGGCTGATCACGAAGCGCAGTTGCCGGGCCCATGCCGCCCCGCTGCAAGCCATCTGACCCGCCAGCCGCACGTTCTCGCGACAGCTGGCTAGGTAGGGATGCTCGGCTGGACTGCCATGGCGCGGCTCTGGTCTCGGACGGGGGAGGCGTGGGGCGCCGAACGTGGAATATCGTCTCGGCGATGCTGGACTCGCTGGGGGTGGGGGAAGGAGGTCTTCGTTTGGCTTGCTCACCGTCTTTCGGGTATGCGTCGGTACGGCTCCCATAAGGATGAGGCGTCTCCTGTGTATGATGGGTTCCTAGGTCAGATGACGGGTTAGTCTGAGCGTCGCCCTCCGCGACTCGAGTATACGGCGCAATGGGGACCCGGTTTGGGGCAGTGATGGTTCTCTCCCTAATACCAGTCAGCAATCTATCGCCACGCTCGTTCACCTGCTTATCCACTTCCTCGACCGTTGGAAAGTCAGGCTGGCCCTCCCGCTCCGCAACGGGAGCGTCCTCCCAAACCCCGATAGTCTCGTTAATAAGCCTATCCATGCGGTCAATAGCGGCCAATGATGGCAACAGAGACATGTCAACCTCCTCGCGGCGGCGCTGGCCCGCCCGTGCGGGACAGATGGTGACAGCCTGTGCAGTGTAAACCACCTCGTCCGTACTTGGACCAGATGACCGCAGTGACGTGGAGGTGGAGGCAGCGGCACTTGCAGCGCTGTCATTGAACTCGTCTCTATCGTGGTGGAAGAGCCCACCGACGCCGCCTTCTTCTACGCTTCGACTTGGGAAGCCATCCAGCGATATCCCGGTCTCGCGCTGAGGATTAAAGTTTTTTCTTGCGCTGGACTCACCATGGGAATTCTGAGAGACATTGCTAGTTGTAGCAGATCTGGTGTGATGTGGCACAGCGGTTTGATGTCCTGCGGTCCTACGGTGTCCGATTTCTTCCCTCGACCGACCACGGCCAGTATGAGCATCACTTGTCTGGTTGGCTACAACAACTTCGGATTTTTTGGCAACTTCCTCGTCCAAGTGGTCATCATTCGCTGCGAGGACTGCACCTACGATCCCGGGCGTTATGATGCGCCCCTTCCAAGGGCCTTGATGTGGCGTATACGACGAGTCTGGCTGGATGACGCGCCAGTCGCGGTTAGGATGGTCAGCTTCTCGTGGCGGGCTGGGCACAACACCACTTGACAAATTAGTCTCAGACTGCGACTGCTTAGCAGGATCGCGCTCACTTTGAGTGCCGCCCGTGGGTCTACTCGATCTTCCACTCGAGTTATACTGAGGAGCCATGTTGAGGGTAAAATGCCGCGTTGGATGTAGATTCTCTTCGGTCTCCTCGAACGGTTCCAACAGTATACAGTGTTTTGATGATGGTGTTTTGTCGAAGCTTGAAGTGAATAGTGTGTCAGCGGTACAGTCTGCTCGGGACTCGGTTTAATGTCTAGACACGAAGGAGATATAAGAATAGGTCAAAAAAGTAAATTCTTTCGGCTTGGGTTAAATGCCAGCGAGACGGGTAAGTGGGAATGTTTCGCATAACCAACCTTTATACAGCCTGCATTGTCGTCTAGTTACTACTCCTTAGACCAGCACAATGCAGTTGTACGCATAGACAATGGCATTATGAGGGAATAGCGGAGTAAAGCTCAATGAACATCCGGTTGTGAAACAAAGGCATTGACCTCGAGATATTGGTTGAGGTCAGGCGGACCGACAGACATACGTGATCGGGCCTCTCGTATGAGGTCCGACAAACACAAGACGCGCATCTGTTCATGGAGGAGCTGAATCATCGATAGAACCATAAGAACAAAAGAAGCACTAGTAAAAGACTTTTGATTTTGTTTTGGGGTAACTAGATAGGGCCAGTGTGGCCATTTACCGAGTCGCAAGATCCACCTCAGGCCTGGGAACGTCTCCTTGTTCCAAGCCATGCATATGCAAGCAAAAAATTGCTGCTGCCAGTGAGGATTCTCGCCAGACTCATCTTTTGCATCAAATTCTATGCAGGAGCTTCCGTGCTCTTTTCGCTGATGCGGCATGCTGGAAATGTGATGGAAATTTTCCTCTTCCTGTCCTTCCGTGACGCCTCGCCTCGTTTCATTCGTCATGAGAAAAAAGTAATATGTACAGCAGAAGCCTGACCCGGAATGCACGGGCAAAATGAGCAGTCGTGGATCACGCAAGGTAGCGGTATCTCTGCTGGGTCGCGTCCGTGTCCTCGGCACGCTCGAGGTACTCGCGTGCGATGAGGTCTTCGATGCGCTTCTTGACCATTGGGATGTCAGGTTTGAAGCGACCAGTCAACACAGTGACCACCTCAGATATGAGCTGGTTGTGCGCAAGCTCTTTGCGGGCCCTGTTTAATCTGTTAGCTTTGTCCACGTGAGACTAAAACATTGTGGGACGTACTTCATGATCCTGACCACCGCCGCATCCACGATGTGGTTGCGGCTCTCGTCGTTCTTCTTCTCCGTCTCCTTGCGCTCCTCGTCACCTTCGACCTTGGACTGGGCACTGACAATCGGCGCCCTGATCTTGACCTGTTTGCTGGCGAAAGAGCTGTTGTAGGAGAATTTGTCGCCTGGCTTGATAGTCTTGGTCATGGGCTCCTTGAGCAGGACCCGGGACTTGGGAGCCAGTGAGAGCGACGCCAAAGCACGGTTCAGATCGCCGGGAGGGATATCGGTCTGCGCCTGGATCTCCTCGTAACTGAGCGACTGACCGTCTGGCAAATCGTTGAACAGCAGCAGCACCACCATGCCGTGAGTAGACACAGTGAGCTCGTACCGTCGGTCCTTGCTCAGCGGCCCGGTCTCCTTTCCAGGCACCTTTGGGAACACGCACTTGATATCGGCGGTACCAAGGTTTCCGACCCAAGTCAAGACCCGTCCATTGCGCTCGGTGAGATAGTACTTGAAGAAACTAGCTTGAAGACCCTTGATCTCGGCTGGCCAATTGCACTCGATAAAACGACCATCTTGCGATTTCTGCATCATGCCCTCCGCAGGCCAGTGATTGCTGGTGAGGACATTGATTCCGAGGTCGATGTTTTTGCGGTCCATATCTCCAAGGTCACGGATGTAGTCTCGATATCCCGTGGTGAGGTCTCGTGAAGTATCCATGTCCTTGAACATGCCCTCGAATCGCTGTGTGAAGTGACTGCCGATCTCTTGTTTCATCCGTGAGATCAGCTGCTTCTCAGCGTCTTCACTCTCGGACTTTCCGTGCAGAAGACGGCGCGCTAAGTGCTTCTGGTAGTACCGCTGGAACATGTCCCTGTCCTGGAGGAACCGCACGAGTACGATGGCCTTTTCCATGCTCTCATCAACCTCAGCCTCGGTCTTGCCTCGGATGCCGTTCTTCAAGTTGTCGTCAATGAACAGTGACACAAATTCGGAGCTCCGACTGAAAAGGTTGATGAACTCGGAAAAACTCTTAGTCAGCGCGGACTCGAGTATCTTGTCGCTTTGGAAGCAGCCGTGCAGGAACGTGTCGAACTTGTCCTTGAGTTTGAGGACGTCATCAACCCACTTGACGGCTGCGGCTGTCACGCGGGCTGAGCCAGTGAGCGGTTTTGCCGCCTCCTCTCCTTCTGCTCCGGGCTGTTGCGCCGAGAAGTTGGCATCCTTCAGAGCCTTCTCAATCTCCAGGCCAAGCTCGACAATCCGAGCCTGCATGATCTTCTTGACTTTGTCAATGCCGTCAGAGACTCTGCCGACGATCCTGTAGAGAAGAGAGAGATCCTCGATACGGTCGTTGTCGATCATGGCGCGGAGGCCACTACCCTCCAGCGCCAGGAATCTATCCAGATGGTTCGAGATGAGTTCGTCGTCGACAACTTTCACAATCTTCGTGAGGCTCAATTTGGACACTGTCGTCTCGCAGCGATCTTCCTCTTCGACCAGTCGGCGGCTTGTGTGGCGCAACCAGGTGCCGGCATCACCCTCCCGGAGCAATTGGTCCACCTCTTGTGCGTAGAATCGCTTGCTGTCCTCGAGGTACGCTGGTTCGAAAGTGGTGAGGTAGAGGCGGTCGTCGTCTGCCAGGTCATCGGTCTCTGCCAGCTGCTCGTACATTTGAAGCAGCCGCTTAACGAGATTCTTGTCGATAACGTCGCCCTTTCGATCCATGTTGATGAGGTCGAGAACAACGGCGTTGATAACGTCGCTGAGGGGACCATCGATGTTGGTGAACTGGCGGCGTAGGATGCTATCTCTGTAGAGGCCAAGTATGGTCATGTAGAGCTGGGGTTGGTTGGTATCATGGGTCTGTCCTCTATCCAAGTACATCATGATGTCGGATATCATAGCCACGGCACTCATGTGCTGCTCCCACGAATCGCGCATTCCCTTCAGGAACCGCTCTCCCAGCTCTCGCCGCTCGTTATCGGTGGTGCCAGGCATCTCACCGAGAGCATGACTGACCATATGGCTGGCCATCAGGTCGAAAATGGGCGGGACGACCTTCTCGGCGAACCATTGCCTCTCGAAGGCACCGACCTTTTCGAAAAGGTCCGGACCGCGGCGCTTGAGTACGATCTTGTAGGAAGCTCGGTAGAGCTGCTCGAAGGATAGTTTTCCGGCGTCTCGATTGTGGATGTCTTTTAGGGCCTGGTTGAGCATTTCCCAGCAGGCCTCGAACTCTTGCTCGTCGCTGAGGCCGGCACGGGGATGGTTGATAGGCTGTCCACGACGCTCGTTAGCACGACGGATGCGGTAAGGGATTTGCCAGATCATGGTGACGTCTTGACCCAGGGTTTGGGATACGGTTGGGAAAGAAGGAACAGAAAGGTGGAGAGAAGAGCAGAAGGGTTTGGCATGGGTTTAAATATATCCATGACCCGGAAGAGGGCAGGCGAGGAAGGGTGATTTACCTTCCTTGGGGGCCTTATTTTGCCCTGTGGTCTATGCATTGTGACTGTGCTGATCAATGAGACCAGGAGGGAGAGTTGTATGGCAGCGGACTGCGGCAGAATGGGCCAGGGAAGGCTTTGTGAAGTTGTCGTAGGCCGCGGTCTGGTGGGTCTTGGTTGGGTTCGCGATGTTTTGGTTGTGGTGTTGTAGTTGGCCGGCCAGAGTTCAAAGCGGCGAATAGACACAATGCAAGTGCAAGACCCACCGAATGGAAAGAGGAAGGAGAGGGAGAAGGGGAAGGTCTGCACAATAGTAAAACCCTGGATTGATCATGGCAAAGTCAGAATGCGACAGACAAAATGAGTGTTTCGAAGGGCGTCATGGGAGAGGCCATTCGAGAGACGAAGAGCAGCATTACAATATCCATGGCCCTCCCTGGTGGTGCTTCTTCTGGCCGAGGTGGGGGTGATTTGGAGCTTCTATCAGCTACCCAGATACTCGCCACCCACAGTGAGGACCATACTGAACAGAGTACCTCGCTATCTTGAGGTTCACCTGCTTATTGCTTATTGTCTTGGATCACATTCTGGACCCCGCGACGCTGTGCAATTGGAGGCTGACAATTAACGGCTCCACCCTGTCGGGTTTAAGAGGACTGCTCTTTGCCTGCCACAGCATAAGCAACGTCATTGGCAAAACTTTGGCTGGGCGACAAGGCGGCGCGACTTTCTTGTGTACCTGAGATAGCTACACCATACTGTGAATACACTCCATAACATCCACTTTTCACAACGCAAGGTTCCTCCAACCCAACCCAAGCTTGCAGCTCAGCCTAAGTTCGACAAACAAGATGGCCTCGAGGAGCATCTCTTCATTATCATCAGCAGGCCTTCGGGCATTCGCCAGATCCACCAGACCACCACCGTCAAGTCCGAGACCAGCCCTGCAAACATCCTTCCTCCTCCCAGCCGCTCGCCGAACACCACTACCACTGCCCACCGCGAGAACACCATCGACAATACGTTTCGCCCACTCGGTGCCCCGCCCGAAATCCTCGCGCGCGACCACCAACACGCCCAAGCAGCCCACCTACGAGCTGACCTTCACCTGCGTGCCCTGCGGCACGCGCTCCGCCCACAACGTCTCCAAGCAGGGCTACCACCACGGCTCCGTGCTCATCACCTGCCCCTCGTGCCGCAACCGCCACGTCATCAGTGACCACCTCAACATCTTCGGCAACCACAGCCTCACCGTCGAGGACCTCATGCGCGACAAGGGCCAGCTGGTCAAGCGCGGCACCCTGGGCGAGGACGGCGACGTCGAGTTCTGGGAGGACGGCTCCACCACCAGCAGGGGCGAGAGGCAGTCCGAGGGCAACGACCCCAAGCCGAGGGCCAGGGGCGAGGCTGCAGATGCTGGGCAGGGTGATGCGCCTGGGTCAACATTTGGCAAGGCTTAAGGCGCTTCGCACTACTGTAGGATATGGTGTATATTGCATCAGCTCGTCGGGTGTATCGGTGTAGCTTTGACAAGCCCGACTCACCTGAGGCCGGAAAGGAGGCTAAAAATCGGCACTGATAGACGTTTGGATGTAAAAAGCAGGTGTGCTGTGTACGACTACGGATCGCATTGATCGGCGTTTGGGATACCCGGCTCACGCAAACATTTGGATTAGAATAATTAGCAAGAGGGCGACATAACTTGCAAGAGTTACAAACTTTTGCTAGGTACTCGGAAGTGTGTAGAAGTCGAGTAAAATATCCACTAAGATACAAAGCTACAGATTCTCCGTACAACACATGTAGATTATTCTGCACCGAGTTATCCTAAGGCGGTCCTACCGCAGGCTCTCCCACGAGTTGTCTCACATGAGATTGTCCCACTGGAGGTTGTTCTAGATCCTGTCGGGAAATATCCCATAAGAGGTTGTCCTGACAATCCCATACGCGATTTCCCAGGAAAGTTATTCTACAGTAAGTTCATCCCAAAAACACGGCATATAAAATTGCATTGGACTGTCTAAGTAGCTATGGCCACGAGGTGGGGCCTAATATCCTCTTCGCTTACTACGATACTCAAGCCCGATAGCTTTTCTCCTGTTCTTCTTGCTATCCATCTTCCGCTTCTTTTCCTTGCCCCACTTCTCCGGCGCCGTGATCGCCTCAACTTTCCTCTTGCTGCTCCGGTGCAGCCTCCTCTCTTTGATCTCCTCGCCCACCGCCAGCAGCTGCTTGGTGTACTCGGCCGTGCCCAGCTTCTCCTGCAGCGCGTCCATGATCTGCCGCGCCTTCGTCTTGAGGTCTTCGTACCGCGACTTGAAGAGCTCGTCCGTCGAGAACGGCGTCGGGATATTGGGGTCCGTGAGGTTGCGCAGCGGCCGGAGGATGGTGCGCATCGACGGCTCGAGGGTCGCCACATCGTTCTTGGCACACAGGACGTCTAGTGCTTCGGCGGCTGCGAGCTTGGAGACGAGCGCCGGTGCCCTTGGAGGTGTCTCGCGTCGGATGACTTCAGCCAGGCGGGAGAAGACATAGCGCATGGTCATCGTGCCCGGCTTCTTGTCCTCCTTGTCTTCTTCGCCGTCCTTGAAGAAGTCGTCCTCATCTTCGTCTTCGCCCTCTTCCTGGTCGGACTCCTCACCGTCATCCTCGGCTGCTGCGTTGTTCAAGAAACGCGTGAGGGGAACGAGAATCTGAATACTTTGCTGCGCCAGAGCCTCGTCCACCTCGAGACCCCGTAAAGTCCCAAGTAATAATCTGATAATCTGCCAAATTTTCTCTTGTTCGAGCGTCTGGCCATTTGTTCCAACGATTGAATGCTCCTTGGGCGGCATGGCAGCATTGCCGGCGAAATCATTCAGATACGTCGCCAGCAGTTTGACAGCATTAAGCTTAACAGATGGACGTTCATGAGACATGCATGGGAAGATAACAGCCCATAGCTCCTCCGAGGCTGTGGAAAGCATTCTCTCCGGGTGCTTATCGATCAAAACGTGTACGAGATTCAGTGCGGAGTTGATAAGCTCCCAATCCTCGTTGCGCTCGCCTGCAAAGACAGTCGCAAGGCTGCCAATGAGCATCTTCACGTCCTTTTTGTCCTTCTCGCTTGGCTCCAACGCTTCGAAATAAAGGCTCCAAATCTGGAACCCTAGTTTCAGCACTGAGATATCGTCATGCTTCGTCGCCCAGAACCGCATCCGGTCCAAGAACAACTTCAGATGAGCTGGGTCAGCTTTGGAAAACACTTCCTTGATGAGCACACCAGCAAGAAGCTGGCACTTCTCGCTTTCGTCGCCGCCGAGAAGGATAACCAATGAGAAGAAACAGTTTCCCGCAACTTCTTTGACAATATCCGTGGCGGACTTGGTAAGCAGCAGATACAACAACTCCATCACCGAGATTCGGCCACCTTCGCGAGGATACTTGAGGTTGGCGATGATGAACTCGACCTGTTTGTCCCACCTCTTCTTCTTCTGTGGGTACTCCCTCAAGAATTGGAAGAAAGCACCTCTAGCCAGGTCCCGCGTGTCCTTGTCATCATTGGTGATCATGACGGTCCCGACATAGTCAAGTGTATCGTAAACTGCAGCAGTCTCGATCTTGCGGTCCAAAATCGACCGCAGGAATCTGAACGTGACATGGCGATACAACGGTTCTGTGAGATCGTCTTTGAGCTTGCCCAGCAGCATGTCGATAGCAGCATCCTTGACAACAACTTCACGCCGGTCTCGAAGTATGGCGGACAGAAGCTTCAAGGCGGTTTGAGCCAGACTAGTAGTCGTAGAAGTTGACTGGGAGATACACTTCAGAGCATCCTTCGAAGCGACCTTGTACAAGTCATTGAGCTCATTGGTCTTAGATGGAACCTTGACCAGGATAGTGAGAAGCTTGAAGGCAGCAATCTTGACTTCTTCCTCACCGGCCACAATAGCATCACCGACCATTGGGATGAAGCCACTGATGTTACTTGCAGTCCGCAGATTCTCGCGCTGCTTCAGAACAGACCTGAGGATGTCAATGGCAAAACGCGTCAGTTTGTGCGTGTACTTGCTTGCTGCGCCGCGGTCTTCCCTCTTGGCCCCCCTCTGTATCAAATACCGCTTCAGCTTTGGATCGATCTTCTTCTCGGTTTCGGGTTTACGACTGTTGTAAACTTCCTGGATGACCTCGTAGCAAAAGACCAGCGTGTCTCTGCTATCAGCTGCTGGGTTCTTCTGCAGCCCAGATGCAATTCTGTTCAACAATTCGTCGATCTTGCGCACTGTACGAAGGTCAAGCTTTTCCAGCAGCAAAGCTTGGAGGGGCTTGACGAGCTCCACGAGATGAGTGATGGAAGCAGTCGAGGCAATCAACTCCATGCTGTCCTGGCTCTTGCTGCTTTTGACTTCCTTCCATTTACTCACGTAACCTTCTGCATCCTTTTCTTGGCCGCTGATTCCGAAGATATCATCCATGATCACTGCAACCATCGAATCCAAGCAATAGTCGAGGTCTCCTTGTTCGAATTCAGGTGTAACGGCCAACAGAAGAGTGTGCATTGTGTACGACAGCACATGCAGTTGCGTTCCCATCTTCAGGGCCCCACGGAGTTCTTTGAGGATGAAACCGAAGGATGGTGGCCCCAAAATGCAAGAAATTTTAGCCAAGGTGGCCCGCGCCATGTCTCGTGCTTCCACAGCCTTACTCCTCAGAATGTGGCAAAGGTCGGTCAAGACATTTGGGAGTTGCAGGCTGAGAGTCTCGTCCGGTAGCAACTTGAGAAGTTTCACGATAATGACTGCCACTGGTACTCTTGCGCTTACAGTCTCCTCGTCCTTGTCTTTCAAGTGCTCCAGTAGAGGCGGCGTGAAATTTGTTGTGAATTCTTCGGCCACTTTCTCCATAGCGGGCAATGACCGAGCAAGACGACGCTTTGTCACTTCGACCTCATCCACCTCCATCGTTGTCTCATTGGAACTTTCGACTGCTGAGACGAGCGTGTCAACGACCTTGTCAAGAAGACGAATTACCTGCTTGTGGAGTTCGGGCTTCGACGTCAGATACGAGATATATCTGCGCAGCGTTGCTCTGTATTGAGACCACTCAAGGGACCCAGCAAGACTGGCAATCGTGGCAGCGGCCTGAGCACCCAGCCCGTGATCGTCGGCTCCGGCGCGGCCCCAGATGAAGTGTTCCAACAGTGGCAGGAAAATCTGACTGATGTTCTTGCTGTTGAGCTCGTTGCGCGCGTTGGCGGAGCTTAGTGTCTGGACAGCCTGCAGTTGCTTTGAAACGGAAGGAGTCAGAATGTTGACGAAGAAAGTTTTGTTGGTTTCCTCGTCATTTGCTGGAAGCAGCACGGACAGGTCGCTGACCGAAGGCCAGTCGCCGAGTTTGCTGGCTGTATGGCTCAGTAATCTGACTATCTCACGGCGAACTGTCTCCGATGGTTCTCTGACGCCAGCATGGATTGCTGGAAGAACGCTCTCATTTAGGAGCTCCATATACGCTGGTTGTGTCTCCGTGCTCCAGGCTTCTGCGGCAGCATTGACGAGTTTGCACAACACATCCACTGAATTGGATGACAGAATTCCGAATTCTTCGTCATGGGGAATATAGAAAATCGCGTTGTGTATCAACGGTATCCATTGCTCGATGGTGAAGGCCGTGTCTCTCTGGGTGATAGAATTGAAAGCAGCTAGACGGCGGTCGTAGTCTGGTTCGTCCAACCTTTCTGCAACGTAAGAGTTGAGGTCCACGCAGATTTGAGCAACATTCTGCACCGTAGAATCGCGTGTAGCGTAGGCGAGCAGGACGTTTGACAGTGATTCTCTGTTTCGCTTGTCTTTGAAGAAGCTGAACAAAACTGACAGCGTTCTATACACGCTTTTCTTCAGGGTCGGGTCGTTGTGGATATCATCGACAACGACGTAATGCTCCAGAATCAGAAGCAGCGATCCCTTGATTTTCGGGCTCACACGCCTCGCGGGCTGGTTCAATAAGTGTGTTGATATGTCGACGAGACTGCGGGCATTTCGTGAGCCATCAACAACAGATGAAAGCTCCACCACAGTGTCAATGCAAGCCTCCAAAACTCGGATGTCTATATCGTGTCCGACGTGTAAGTAGTCTCCGATCACATGAAGAATCTTGTCTGCGTTGGGGTCGAGCAACTGCGCCTTGACGAGACCGTCAAACTCGGATCCTGTCTCTGGGGCTTGAGCAAGCTTAACGAGATTCCGCACAATTCCGAGTGCGAAGATCCGTACTTCGTTCTTGCTCTTCTCAAATCCAACGCAATCTGCGATCTTTGACATAACATTGTCGTTGATTGCGAGAATAGGCGCTGTCCGTGGCAACAAAGACCAAGTGTCCAACAGCTTCCAGGACCAAGAAATGCCTTGTGCCATCTCCCCAATCGGCTGTTCGATACTGGGTGTCACGATTTCCGTAACGATTGCCTCCTGGTATGGGACCCAATCGAAATTCTGATTGTTTTTGACCAAAGCACAAAGGCATTTCAACGACGTCGTTCTGGCGACCCTGTACAGGGAAGCGTTGCCTGCCTTGTTCTCGTCGACACTGGCGTCATCATCTGCTTCCTCATCATTTCGGTCTGCTTGATGCAAGTTGCGAGAAGCTGAGAACAAACAGTACAGCACAGCATTGATAAGAGGATCCATGTATCTCTCAACGCTTGCACCAAGTTCGTTAATGATAGAATCAACCATGTGAAGAAATCCGACCATTCTGCGGGCAGTGATCCTCTCCTCTTCGAACAGGCTTTGCTTGAGCCCCGACGCATCTACAATGCGAATATCGCGGAGGTTGCCAAGTGCGATGTCCAAGAATCCTCCAACATCTTGGAGAGACAGGTTTCGAATCACCGCCAGACGAGTTGCATGAAGCCCATTCCGACCACTTGAAGCGCCCTTCTTAGACGTCGCCCGGCCGTAAAGAATACGCAAAAGCACAGGCATGAGCTCTGCTCGATGCTCTTCCCTGATCAGATTTTCGTCTTGCAAAAAGACCGTCAACTCATTTTTGAAGCGAGCGTCGTCCAGGAGATTTTCCAAATTCTCTCTGTAAGGCCTCACGCCGTCCTGTTTCCAGGCTAATACAGCCTTCAACGCGAGCTTCTGAACTTCGATGTCGCGATTCGCCAGAAGGCCGAGGAGTGTACCGTAGACGTCCGCACTTTTGTAGAGAACCTTCGGGTTGCCACATTGCGCGAAGACACTGATTAGAGCTTTCCGGTCCGGTAAAGACCAGAAATCGTCTTTGGGTAACAGCTTGTCCTCGTCTTCATCCTCAGATGAAGGTATATGTGATTCGTCCAAAGACAGCAAAAACGGCACAACTTTTCTTGATCTCTTCTCTGCCAAGGAGGGAATTCCGGAGAGCACTTTGAGAGCTTTACCCCTCGCATTGGCAACATGATCAGGAGGCACATCTTGCTCCTCTTCAAGGCTTCGCAGCAAGATACTCGAGGACGCATTCAACGCTTCACTTATTCCGCCAGCTTGGCTCCTTAAATCATTCAGATTCGAGCATTCAAAATCCGAAACTGTTCCTTTAGCCTCGCTCGATACCAACTGCGGCGGTGTCCAACGCGGCGAAGGGATCTGAAGCCACTCAAATGCACGATCGAAGATGGCTTCGCCGGCTGATTTTTCCTGTGCTATCTGCTTGAGCGCATCGACAGCGTCATCCCAAATGGGGGCGAGTCGCACAGTGAGCTGTCCAAAAAGAAACGCCGGAATGGCGTGCCGTAACCATGACTTCTCATCGAGATGGGAGTAGGACTGAGCAAGCCGTCGCAGATGGACTGCAATCGCTCGAGGGCTATTGTGGTCCAGAGGAAGCTCCTCGACTGAGATCATGGTTGTGAGACAAGACTCCTGGTCTGGAGTGGACGGTAGTACTTCGAATACCTTCAACGACGCAATTCGGAGTGGTCGAGACGAGTTGGCCAGATTGTTGACGAGTGACTGAATGAAGGGGTCCTCCTCAAAGATGACGGCTTCCTTGCTACGGGGACCTTGCGCGGCGTTCATCTCCTTCTCGTATCGCAATAAAGCTTGCAGGAAAGACGGGATGCGACAGAAGCGGGGTGCCGCAGCTCTCAGTAACGGGCTGAGCGATCCATCGACAGAACCCGACGCTTTACTCATGCGTAGATATGCAAGAAATCCTTCCGTGACAAGAAAGCGAGTTTCCTCAGTCGCGAGAGATTCAGATGGCCGCAAAGCGAGTTTGAGCTTCTTAAGCAACAACTCTGCTAGCCTGGCATTGGTGGATGGATGCACGTTCGTCGACTTCAGCACCCGGAGCAGGCCAGCGTACTTTGGCAAGCAATGATCCTTCCAGACGTCTGGATTCTTGCCATGTGAGTTGGTTTCCGGGAATGGCGTGTTCCCCAACTCCTCGAATTTGCTGACAATCTGGTCCTGCCATGACTGTGGGAGGGAACAAGCGTCTTTGTTGCCGCCAGGAGGTAAAGCGCCGCAGCTGACCAACTTCGGCAGCAGCACACAGAGGAGCTCCTCATTTCCAGATTCTGACCAATGTGCCGCAATAAACTTCTGAAACGATTTTTGGAATAAGCGCTGAAACCTCGCTCCGTTTACTTCGGCCAGGTAGCCGCAGAATGGTATATACCACCGCATGAGAGGCTCGCCTGTCATTGCCTTATTCAAGTCGTTCAACGAAGGGGTGAGCGCATCCATTGGTGCTTGGGACCAGCAAATAGCTGCGTTTGCCACCACACTATCCCAAACTATTGACCCAGCATATTTTGAAATGTTCTCGGCATCATCCGACAGTTTCTGCAGTAATTTTGCAAGCATCTTGATGATGGAGCCCCAATCACTGAGCCTAGAGCCGTTGCGGACACCGGCCATGATTCCAAAGAGGCGAGTGAAAAAGGATATGCTGTATGGATGGTCCAGAGACTTGTCTTCTATTCGAGTTTTTGCAGCTTCGAGGATCGATTCGGTCAACACCTTGAATGACTCGGCAGTCGAATGATGGATGATGCTGGTGAGAACGCCACAGCAAACGGACGTCCAGGGCGTTGAATTACCAGCCTCGAGCTCCCTGGGCGGCACAGAAGAGAGCAGAGCATCGAAGATGTAGGGCGCCGTAGAATGAAGTGTGCTGCCAGGGCCTTTCATCGCCTCCGAGAACATGATCATGATTCCTTCTCGGTACGCCTCAACCTGCTTGGTCTTGTAGGCCGCTTCGATCTCGTATTCGGCCACGTCCCCTTCGTTTTTCTGGCTTTTTCCTGCCACAGCCCTAGCCAAATCCTGCATATCATCCCTCACATGTCCAATGATCCGAGGTAGAGCATGTTGGCGGTTGGAGGGCGCAGCAGCCTTTTTGATCAGGAAACTCATAGCCTCGGCAGCAAACCTGTTGATGTGAACTGGGTGTTTTTTTCTCCCCAACAGGCCCGACAGCATATCGTATGTCGGTAATAGGTCCGGTACCAGCAATTTTGATAGATACTTGAAAAGCCATGCAAATGCTCCAAAAGTCCACTCGATGACGTCCACATCTTGCGGCTTGCCAGCGATGGCAACCAAGAGTTCCAGGCTTCTCTGGTAGTATTGTTCGAATCTGATGCCCAAATCATGGGCGAAGGCTGTCAAGAGGTCTAGCAGAGGTTCCAAGGCTTCCCTATCCTGCGCGCTTAGGTATGTCGCTAAGAGGTCCATGATCTTGTCCTGAAAATGGAGGATCTGCGGGAGAGTCTCACACAGAGGCATGATCTCCCTCTTGAAGTCGGTGAACGACTTTGATATGTTGAGATCGGCCCACTTGACGACGCCATTGCGGAGGTAGGAGGTTGTCGCGGAGAGGTCTTCATCGTCGAGGTCGTGGCGGCGCACTTTACGCAAAGGATCGAGGGAGTTTAATTTGGAAATCTTCGTCGAGAACGACTCCCAGCGGTGATTCTTTTGGTGCGGCGTGGTCTTGCGGGTCTTCGCGACCCGACCTGATATTGTAGCCGGCATCCTGGTTGGCCTTCGATGGTTAGCATTACCTACAGAGAAGAGGAAGGGCGACATGGGCAATTTGACCTCCTCTGTGGGAAGGGGTAACCAACTGCGGGATGATTTGCTATGGGATAACCAAATATAGGATTTGCGACTGAGGAATAACTTACTATAGGTCAATTACCCGTGCGATAAACGACCCTGGGATCAAGCGACTGTGGATTGGTCGACCGTGGAATGACCGATCGTGGGATAATGGCCTGGAATAATCGCCTTGGGACAGCCAACACTAGGATAATCGAAGTTGAATGGTCGTCCCTGGGATGGTCGGTCACTTGTTGTGTGTGCGCATGGCTGGTGGGTGAAGGCGCATGGCAATTCTTGGATTCTTGCGCAAGTCGGGTCTGCACTTCAGGAATTTTTTGAAGAAAGTCGCCCCGATAACGATAAGAATGCAAGGGTGCATGTGGGGCGATAAGCGGGCTGAGTGAAGGCTGCGCTAAGATAACCTTAAATTTGGCTCGAGCTCCCTGCCACTGTCAGTCGCTTATAAGGCTTGGAGCTGTGGGAGCTCACGTCTTTTTGAAGTTGCGACAGCCTCAACCTCAACCTCAACCTCAGAGAGCAGAGATGCGCCGGACCCTTGGCGCCCCGCCCACCACGCTTAACCTAGCTTTTCCTTCCGTACTTATCTTCTCAGGCTTCAGGTCCAACCGGTTGCAAACTTCGATTTTCTTTTAGCTGGGAAAGCGATTCGTACCAGTCGCCACGTCCTTGCAGTAGCTGGCACGAGGCTCACGAATACAGCTTCACGATGGCGGCACCGAAAATGTAAGCTTCATTCTCCCTGCTGCTTCCCTTTCTGACCCCTCTGACGCAAACCCTTTCCTAGATTCGTCATTGGTAACATCAATGGCCAACTGCAGTCTGCCTTCGCCAAGCTTGCCACCCTCCACTCCAAAAACAATTTCTCCTTCGCCCTAGTCGCAGGAAACCTGTTCGGTCCCGAAGATGACGACTCAGTCACCGATTTGCTGTCCGGAAAGACACAAGTGCCCCTCCCGACGTACTTCACCGTCGGAACCCACGCACTGCCTGGTCGAATCGTCGAGAAGATCACCAACGACGAGGAGATTTGCCCGAATTTACATTACCTGAACAAGCGCGGGGTCACTAAGACGTCAGAGGGTGTACGCATAGCGACATTGGGCGGCGTTCTGGATCCAGAGATTGTGGGCGGACAGTCCAAGGAGCAACACCTTCCCTTCCACACACCAGACGACGCCAAAGCTTTGCGCGGCGCCAACTCGGCAGACATTTTGCTCACAGCTATGTGGCCATCCACGATTTGGAATGGATCAAAAGTCGCATTACCCTTCGACACATCCAGTGTTGTTACAAGCGATGCAATTGCAGATCTTTGTGCAGCCCTCAAGCCTCGCTACCACTTTGCTCCTTCCCACTCGACATTCTTCTATGAACGAGAGCCCTTCTTCCACCCGCCCAAAGATGCATCCTCGGAGGTCGACACCGAAGTCACGCGATTCATTTCTATGGCGCCGTTCGGCAACACCGAAAAGGCTAAAGCGATGTATGCATTCTCGCTGACGCCTTCGACCGGAACTCTCCCACAGGGCAGCACGGTCTCTCCCTTTCTATCTCGAGCCGACCTTTCCAAGAAGCGCCCCGCCCCATCGGACGACGGCTTTTCTCGCTTCTCCAACGGCCAGGACGACAACTACCGACCAAATCGCTACCGCAAAGGTGGCCGGGGCCAGCGAATGCCACCGCCCGGTCCCGAGAATTGTTGGCTTTGCCTGGCCAGCGAAAACGTGGCGAGCCACATGATCTGCTCCGTGGGAGAGGACACTTACCTTGCTACTGCCAGGGGTCCCCTCCCAACGCCAGACATGTTCGTCAAGGACGGCCTCAAGCACCCTTCCCACGTGCTCATCGCCCCGCAGGAGCACGTATCCTCGATCAGTCGCGCTGCGATGGGCCAGGACACCGCTGACCGTACATTCAAAGAGATGTCACGGTTCCGAGAGGCCCTTCAGGCGACCGTATCTAAGAAGTCTAACCACAAGCTTGGCGCCATTACGTGGGAGATAAACAAGATTGGGGGTATCCACGCCCACTGGCAGTTCATGCCCATACCTGGAGATCTGGTCAAGAAGGGCTTGGTGGAAGCCGCATTCCGCGTAGAAGCGGAAAACCTGAGCCTGCCCGGCCTCGCAGTCAAGGACTTTGGCATCAGCGACGAGGTGCCAGGTGACTACCTCCGCATCTGGATCTGGTGCGAAGACGAGGGCGAGGGCGGTCAAGACGGCGGGGAGATCATCAGCAAGAGCCTGCTGATGCGGTTCGACGAGAACGTGCGCTTCGACTTGCAGTACCCCCGCAAGGTAGCGGCAAAGCTGATGGGCCTGGAGGGCCGGATGAACTGGCGGGATTGGGTGCAGACAGAGCAGGAGGAGACGGACGACGCGGCCAAGTTCCGAGCGATCTTCAAGCCGTGGGACTTTACGCTGATGGACTAGGAGCCCTCGCCGCCCGCCGTTTGTCCGTCACTCCCCAGTGCTGACACTCCTGCCGCCCAGTCGCATGACGCAGTGATGCTCGATGTCAGCGGCGAAGAGGCAAGTTCGAAGGGGCCGGCTATGGCAAAGACCCAAGTAGCTTCAGTGCCTCAGAGTCCGCCCCGGCCGAAGCAGCGGGACAGCTCATGCGCACCGCCCAAGTATGGCGTGCGCAGGTCCCCGGGCACTCGGCCCAGCCACCCGAGTGTCTGTGGGCGGCGACTACGTCGTTATTCCCTCTGATCTCCCCACGACAAGGCTTGCTCATATCTTCACTCAGAGCACTGAGCAGGCCAAGGAGCTAATGAAGTTGGGGGACTGCTTTTTTGGGAGCCATGTTCTATTACTTGGGATTAGGATATGATGGTGCAAGAAAAAGACATGGCTTCATTCCATCTATCGTGGGAGAGCTTAAGATACCCTTGCAATTCGTTTTTAGGGAGACGCGGAGTCTATAGTTTATGCAGAAAGATGCATAGTATTCAAAACATTATTAGCAATGATTTCTCCACTATCCATTACAAGACTAGCTATGCAGTCATCGCATTGAACAGTGCAAGTATGAGCGCCGTCGAGCCTCCCTGAGACCCTTCTTAAACAGGACCTCGATCGCCCCTAGCCGCGTGGGCCAGCCGACGGACGCGGCACGCCTCCATACCACAGGCACAGGAATCAGCCGCCATTAAGCCACCACATCACAGCCCCTCCAATCCCCAGCTCAACGCCATGTGTCCACCCGGGAGTTCACCGGCCAGCTGGGCCGTGGCGAAAAAAAGAAAACACAGCATTGTCCGAGACAACAGCCCCAAGCCACAAGATCATCACCGCCCTCGTGGTCACCGTGGCCGACTGGAATGCGGACTCCTGGCCGGGGAAGACCGTTCTCGGAATGACACCCTACCATTAAGCGAGGTCGGGGAAAAGATCGGGGATATTCGAGGCACGGAATGAGAAAATGCATCACGCTTATGAGCACTGTGAGCGCATCTGGACGAACAGCCGACGTTATCCGGATGGGACATCTACTCTCATTCTCAAGACGAGGACAAACGCGTGGACAACACAGAAGGGGTGATCGACCAAGGCAAGCCTTCAGCCCACGGAGGCTGGGGAAGGCCGGGAAAAGAAGAGGTACAGAGTCAAAGACAAGACAAGCCTACCCAAAATGCAAGCCATGTAGAGTTAGCTGCGTAACAAGAACAACCAGACTTACCTCACCTCACCTTACCCACCTTAGCACTGCAGCCACAGAACCGGCATGGAATCAGAGACAATCCCATCCACATCCGTCCGCCGTGCAACACAATCGGCAGAGGCAATCACTTCATCCGCTCAGGCACCGGTCACATCCGCGGAGCACGGGGCAAACAGTCAGTAGCGGACAGAAGATCACACGGGAGGAAGGCTCGCTTTGGAGGATTTCTTCTTGATTCCTAGTTTCCGTTTCCCCTCCCTTTACATATCAGGACGATTGAACCAGTGAAGGTCTCGTCCCTTTGACACAGTAGAAAAAAGAAAATGAAGAATGAGAAAGACGGCTTGACGAGCTTCGTCTCTTCGCTGCCCCTAAGCTACCTGTTGATTCCCTCTTCCGAGGGCGCAAGAGAGGCACAAAGAGTGCGCACAACAAAGCTGGTGGTAGCAGTAAGCAGTGGGCAGTAGTAGCAGCAGATAGATCGCTAGTATACAAGGTATTAGGAACGACGAGGGTCAGTGTTACAGTCTGAGTGTTACTCCACAACAAGAAACGAGAAACATCTTCCGGCTGCACACCTTCGCACCCTCAGGCCTTCCTTTCCTCTCGCTCCGAAGGAGCTACAGTGGCAGTGTGACGGCATTTTCAGCCTGTCAACTTCCCCACGAATGCGATCCTTTCTCCCGGTACCGTCACGTTGCTTCTGCTTCGTGCGTCTGTTCTTTCTTCCGGGTCGCCATATCGCCGTTTCCATGTATTCGTGAAAATTGATCGTATGCCTTATCGTAATTTTGGAAGGGTATCAAATATCCCGTCACTTAACGAGAGTGTCCGACGGCGACAACAGGCCGAGGGTGTTATAAAGGGACTTCTTGTATTTGTAGAGAAGTTTTGACATCCGGTAGGTGACGAACCGGAATGTTGTGTAGTCAAGCACGCTGTGAGGTGCGTGCAGGTCGGAAGATTGTAGCGGTGATTGAATCATCTGCAGATGAGTGTGCAGATGTGCCGCAATAGATTTCATGAGGGTCGGGTCGTTGGAAAAGCCTTCGAGGAGGTTTCGACACCTTGGGAGAATAACAGAAGAAAAAGTTGTTGAGTGCAGTAGAATGACCAAATGCAAGTAGCCACTGTGGGCATCGGATCCAAGAAGCTCCAGTAAAATGCAACAGCCGATGCGATGCGAGTCTATGCCAATGCGTGTAATGCCGGAAGAAATGAAACCTAGGATTCCTCGGGCAGTAGCAGATGAACCGCGACGGCTTTGCACATCGATAATCTGTCGAGTCCGCGAGGTGAGCTCTGGGAATTACGATTAAAGATGTAGATTTGAAAGTGGCGGCGAGCATGGTCGGGGTGATTGTGGAAAGTCTGGCAAGAGAGCATGCAAAATCTCCAGGACATCATATACCAGATGCAGGACAAACAAAGTATTGAGCCAGAAACAGACTCTCAAGTGGTAGGCCGTAGAGAGCCTTGCGAATCAGCCCAAGCGCCTGGCGATGACAAGCTTTAGGGGCGCTAATGTCCCAGGAGATCGCAGAACCGCTTCATGCATGATTCGACAGGGTTGGCCATCAGAACAGGGCAATGGGCTGTGTCGGTCACTTCAATACGAAGCCATACGCTTAGCATGGCCTCGGTCGTGGCCCACGCTGGGTGAGTCGCCAAGTTGCATGGGAGAGTCGTCGCAGCTATACCGATGACTAGCTGTTGGGGAGTCGTGGGCTGAGTGTTCCCTCTCACCAAAAGCAAAGGTCTGAGCACGTCCAAGGCCCTTGCGGGCATGACGGAGACGATCCATCTCCTTCTCACAGGTCCTGGCGTGCTCAGCAGCATCCATTTCCACGTAGGCCTGAGGATAGCATCGTTGACGGTGCTCGGAGAAGAAGCCACTGTACCCGCCCTCCAAGATATACACCTCGGGATAGGTCAATCTCGGGTAAGACTCGGCATTGACAGCTCGGTCCTGTGAACGGATGTGACGAGCCATGAGGGGCGCTCGATGCACGGAGTATTCGCAGTGGAAAAGCAGAAGAGTCCTTCCCTCCAGAGGACTGTTAAATAGATGAGTGGCAAGCAGCTCTTTGTCATTGTAGTTGATGGCACCATCAACATGACCTCCGTCGTATTCATACTCGAACCGACAGTCAATGATAAGCTTGTTGTCGTAGTGCTCGTTGTACTTGCCATCCAGGATGTCAAGGAAGGTGGCCCTGGAAAGTCGGGGTATACTATCATTCTGATCGTCGGGAAAGAAATGCGGGAGCACAGGCTCAGCGGCCTCCTCGACGTCGAGAACGGATTGCAGCCCTGACGGTACACCGAGGTCCTCCTTCGGCTTAATCACATCTCCAGCGCTCTCAAACATACTCAGAGACCGTCGGTACTGCTTCCTTGGTCTAAGGTGTGGGTTCGAACCGCGCCGAGAATGGCCTGTGATGGGAGAGCCGTTGCGAGTGGACGCGCCATTGAGGCTAGAAAAGTGAGCTTTCGACCGCGTACCAGCGACGTTTGCACAGGGGCTGTTAGCAGACTGTGGCCTTCGCTCTTGTGGTGGTGAGTCTTCAAAGCATTCGCTTAGGGACATCTGAGAAGAAGACGACCCTGGACGGCCATCATTGCCAAATTTGAACGAAGAGAGCTGGCCCTCGGGATGTAATCGACATGGCACGTTCCCTGTGGAATAGCCCTTAGCTCTGGAGAGTGACGGTCGGCGGAGATTCAACATGCGGCGGTTCCTAGGTGAGGGTTAGCCACCATGCGTTTGTCTTCGTTGACAATGAGTCAAGACCTACTCAGCCAATGGCTTCGTCCCATCGACAGAAGAATGCCGTGAAATGGGCGCAGGTGAGTCCAGAGTCATTTCCTCGTCATCCTCAGGGCTGGGTGTAGGGCTAGGCGAGTGTACCTCGACCTGTGCCACATATACACCCTTGCCCATTGGTACCGGAGACATGTCCATGTCCATGTCCATGTCCGTGTACGCAGGTGAGGATGCTGGCAGAGGCGGCGTCGTCTGGTATCCTGCAAGCTATCAGTTCCATATCCCCCGAAGCTCGACAGAGTGTCCGTCCTTACGTTTCCCCTCCAGAGCACCCATTATAGCGTTCGTTGTGAAAAGAGCCCGACGAGGCGTTGGGAACTGAGGGCTACAACCACAAACAGTCAGTATATAGTACTTGTGTGTGTTACCTGGGTGGTTCCGGAGCTTCACTCACCTTGATTCATTGTCAATCCGGAAGTTTGCAGACAGGTCTGCCGCTAGACTTGCCGTGGGAGAAGACCCACTGACACCCTTAACGTTGAAGTAGTCCTTGCCACCGGGCATGAGGCGTTCCCTGAACAGGGCTCCAGACCCCTTAGGCTCGCCACGAAAGCCAGCATGGGCAACTGGGCGGAACATATCTGGGTGACCAAAGGAAGGGGCTGCTGGTTGGTGCATAGCAGCCAAGGGAGAAGATGCCTGCATGGTCGGTATAGCTTGTAGGCGAGCAGCCCAGAATTGATGAACAGCTCTGGGATGTGTTGCCTAGTTGCAAAGGCAGGCCGACTATTCACTACAAGAGGTGCATGCAGAAAGGCAGCCTTAGACGGGAGCTTGGGACAAGGTAGGTAGTCGAAATCTGCCGGTGGTCTGAATAGATCGAAGCTCTCGTTGAGGATGTAGGAAGTAAGCGATTGGATAGGTACAGTAGCCTAAAGCTGCAACTATTGGGTGCTTGTTGGAGGAGCAGGTGTCTTGACCATCGACCTGTCGAACCTTCGTGATCTGTTGGACCTCTCTTGAAGGGAGGAACCGGAGGCAGAAGAAGGAAAGAAGAAAGATCGAGCTCGAAGAAAAAGGAGGCTTGGTCCAGCTCGTCGCCCAGTGCAACGGGTTGAGATCCACGCCGTGGGTTAATTTTTGGTGGTTCTGTGCAGAGACCCTTAGACGACCCCGGACACAGTGGACGCTGGTGGAGTTTCGAGCTCGACTGGGGTAGGGCAGGCTGGCAGGCTGACCAAGGGTGGAAGAGGCCGTGAAATTAGAGACGATGCAATGCAACAGGACGGGTGGGTTTTGGCGTAGAAGTGCACACACAGACACTGGGGCGCGCGCAGATCAAGCTCTGGTGGTGCCGCTGTCAGGGTGTCAAATCCACATGGGGGGGTCGGCAATGGTTGAGGGTTTAGGAGCGAGGGACGAGGTATCCCTATCGTCTCTGGGGGGAGGATGAGACGAAAGAGGAGGGTGAGGCCGGAATTCTTGTCGTGAACATCGATCGTCGACCTGAAGCAAACGTCCGGGGTACGGTAAGGTACAGCACGGTGCCCAGACGGATGATGGGCCAGGCACGGTTCGCCGGAAGAACAGCACAGCACAGGACAGGTCTGGAAGGAGTGGGGGGGTGTTCCTTCTGGAGCTGCTCTGCTGATTTGCCGTCTTTTACTTTCGCTTCGACTCGACCGATCGATGTCGTGACACTCGCTCCAGACCAAAATGCAGGGTCGAGGTGTCGTCGGCTTGTCCAACAAGAACAACGGCGAGGGGCGGCAAGAGAGGAGGAGGAGAAGGCCGAGCGGAGGGAAGGGAGAGGAGAGGAGATGTTCGGCCAACGAGAGGAGAAAGGGCACAGACCGGAGGAATTCTCGACGGTGAAGCTGGTTGGCGAGGAACGAGGCGGGACAGGAGAGGAACGGCAAGGGCGATCTTTTAGTAGTCAGCTCTGACAGCCGGGTCTGGACTGACAGGAACAGGAACAAGATTCAGAACTAAGGATGTGGTGCTAGCCCTGCTGCCCTGCTGCCCTGCTATGCCATGCATTGCCTTGCCTTGGTCTGCCTTGGATGGGCTTGACCTTGACCTTGACCTTGATCTTGATCTTGATCTGCCTTGTCTTGCGGCTGCTAATTGCTTGCTATTGCCGCTGCGTGCTACTCTGCTACTAGTCTAGGTCTTGGGAGTTTGCGAGCTGAACTACTGGTTACTGTGTGGACGGGTTGGCGGCTCAGTCCAAAAGCAAGGAACGTTTCCGGGTCAGGGAACGGCAGAAGGAACAGGCAAACAAGAGGATTCTCGGCGCCATGGTACCTGGTCGTCCAGACCAGGACCAGGATGAGCTGTGCCACCCAACGACAGGGGACCACTCTGTTGTCCAGGAGACTTTGGCGCACTGGCAGGGGTGCGATGCAATGAGATGGATGTGGGATGCAATGATGCAGGGCTACCCCATCGGTCTGCTGGCAGTTGACCGACTTGTGGATAGCGCTACCGAAGGGAACCAGCTGTTCTCGCAGGCTCTCACCTGGCAGCTTGGAAGCAGACAGAAAAACTAGAAGCCGTTAGCTGCTGTTGCTATCACGGGGTCGAAATTGTTATCAGCAGCAACGGACCAGTCTATCTGTCCTACGATGGCAACGAGCAACGAGCAACGAGTAACCAGCAACCAGCAACCAACAGCCAGCAGCCAGCAGCCAGCCCTGCTAGGCGCCACGATGCTCTTCCTGTATTGAATATGGGGCACGGCAGCACACACTAGATCAGGAAGAAGTGCAGCACTGATTGACTGACTGTATGCAACCTAGGAGCAGGCTTGGCCGCCGGCGCACGTGTGGGTGGTGGTGTCCATCTGGTAGTCTAATTGCTCAGGACTGCGAATGGTGGTATCCAGGGAGCTGCAAACGCCATCCCATCATCCGTCACGCTCACTTGGTGCAACCCCCCAGCTTGCCAGCTTGCCTAGCTCTGGTTCGTGCACATATGGCATATGGGGCACATGGCTTTTTTTCCGTGATCTCCCTGGCGACAGTGGCACGACACGACACAGACGGCACACGACAACTCCCGTCCGACCCTCTTTCATACTTCCGTCCTCGCCCTGTTGTAGCATGTGTAGTGGACATAGCAGAGCTCCAGTCTGCCTTGCTGGCAGTCTTGCGGTCGGCGGGCCACGTTCTCCATATATCTATGCTTACAACATGCACATGCATACAGATGGCCCGGCCGCCCACATGTCTTGCTTCGGGTCGAAGGTGGTCGAAATTGAGGTGAGACCTGTCCGAGAGGCCCCGTCCTGGCCCTCCCGACGGGCGGCCGAAATTTTCTGGCATTCTCGCTGGGTCATGGTGGAATTTTGACTGATGGAAATGCTTATATTACATGCACACGCCCGCGTCCCACTTGGTTGGTCACCATCTGTCATCTGGTCCGCTTCAATCTTTTCTTTTCTCACAGTGCTGGGTTTCGGGACAGGGAAAGAGGTTGTCGTGAGCTTTGTCTACGTACAGCCCTCCCCCGGGATATGTGATAAGATACACACAAAACACACAAATATAGACCACACTGTCTGCTATGGGACACCATTGTGGTGCTCTGGGTACTCTGGTGGCCTCATACCTCGGATAGGGCAACCTATTCCGTCAAGCCCTACGGATACTACTGCGTGCTTTGCAGCAGAGACCCTGGGACCTGGGCAGCCGCAGGAATGGCAGTCTCCGGGATTGCGGTCCAGGATAGCTGGATAGCAGACGTCGTCTACTCCTTCAACATGAGTGTGCCCAAGAATAGCATATTCCCGGCCCGACATATTCAACAAAAGTTCAGACCAACTTCTACAGATGAATTGATTCAAATCCGCCGCATTGCCTAGCTGCCGGCAGGGGCTTCGTGCCGCCTGATCGTTCCCATTGTTGGTTCCATGCAGAATGAGGAGGCTCTGTTTCTGCAGCAACAGGCAGTCTGATCCATCGGTCCCCATCGGACTGCTGACTCGGCTTCACCTGATCTCTCAAGTACCGAGGTTTTCTGGCGCACCGCAGCGGCTGGGCTCTTGCCTTTTGCCGGGGCTCCAAGCAAAGGAGATGACCGACTTATCCCACAAGTGGAGGGAGGATTGGCGGATGGGTTGATTCCTTACCCAGCAACCAAAGGCAAGGGTCCAGGGTCTTTTGCTTCTGGCAGCACTTTAAGCCGGAGAGCCTGCCAGCTAGCTGGTTGGATGGCTGAGACATGTCCCAAATGTGCGTACTAAACGAACAGGGGAGGTTAAGCTGGACAGGATGTTTCGGTTGGCATGGCTTCCAGCAAATAAGGGTCCAGAGAAGGGTTCCAGCACATCCATCACGACTCCATCGTCACCAGAAAGGGCAAGCCGCGCACACCTTGTTTTGGAAGCGCTGAGGGGCCTACCTGCGCAGTTCTGCGGCGGCAGTGTCGGAATTGGTCCAGGGGCTGCAAGGCGGCGGGGAGCTCTGAGTGGGAGCTGCATGCATCCAGGATGCCATGTAGTCTACATCTAACAGCACCCAGCTGTTCCGTTTTGGGTGCTTCATCGGCATGCTGTGGTGATTGAGCCGGGGTCCATGACGCCTAGCACAGCCGAATCGAGGGCACGAGATCCGGAGGGGAAGCTTTGGAATGTGAAAGAGGGGTCCAAGCTATCGGGACCTCGTCAATTCGAAACTCTGGTGCTCGGTGATCGAGGTGATAGACTTTGGCGAGGAAACATATCGTGACATTGGTGTGTCGCAGATGCACGCAACTCACTGACTCGACCCCGGGGTGCGGTGGAGGCGGCGAGGGATGGATGGATGCAGACCCCAGCACCAACCGGCCACGGCAGGATCAATCTCGAATGACAGTTCAAGGTGGGAAAGGACGAACATCGTGCTGCGCCTTCCTTCAACGTGGACATGCACAGGGAGACGGTGTGTGTGTTGTTGTGCAAGGCTGTGTGTGAGAGCAGTGAACCGCTTTCATCATCGCGTCGTCTCCTTCTCACCGCTGCCCCAGCTAAATCACGTCTCCACGACGACAAGCCTCACGATGATGTCGAAACACCTTGAAGTACTCGATCTACTGCACAACAGGAGATCGGGAGAGTCCACGACAATTTCCAAGCTCTCAGGCGCTTCGCCCTGTTCCAGAGCCACGAATTTCGGCACTGGGAAGCAAGGCGGCGGGCGGCCAGGGTGGGAGCTAGCCTGGTATTCGTATCCACCTTCGGAGGCTCCTTGACGTTCTCGAAGTAAACCTGTTGGAGTACCCAATGGCGTCACTGCGTTCCAATTGCCCATCGACATCATTCTGTTTCATTGAACCCTGGGTGCAGTCAACTGGATCCTGCTGGATACGACTTGCAGGCCGCAGGTCGTGGCCCACGGGCAGGGCCAGGGCCAGAGCCAGCTTTCAATTGATTGTCGCTTGCTTGCGGAGACAACAGGCCAGTCGAATCCGATGTATATCGGGGTGTGAGCGTTCATTTAAGGATGCAAGGCGACTCCATGATCACTGATCACTGATGATCCAGCATCTCGGGCCGCACATCACGGAATGCCATGTGCAGATTGAGCCTCAAATGGTCGAAAAGGCCAGGAATTGCATCCAGAACAACCGTGGACTTGGGTTCTAACGCCAGTTTGCATAATCTACAGATCGACATGTCCTAGATTCGCTCCACGGAGAATTAGCACTGGCTTACACGAGGATGCGGTGGCGATATTGAGGCTCTCCTGCTATCCGGTCGAGCTTCCAAGGGAGCTTCCAAGGTCCTTCCATCCAGGGACGCGACTAGACAACGGGCCTGGTAATGGGCGACCCGGTCCATGGATGTTCGCGCCAGCGGCCAGAGACGCCTTAACCCGCATCGAATAAGAACGAATCCGACTCGATTGCCTTTTAGGTGATCCCGAAAACATCGATCCAGCACCCTTTCGGTGATCTGGCGGCCCTGCCCGACGTCATGCGATGCCGGCGATCAGGGAGCTAAGCACAACAACGCGCCGACGCGACGGGCCTATTGATCTCATCATGCGCTGAATCCCACTACCAAGTCCCACTACAATTCACTGCGAATCTCGATGCAAAAAGTCATTACGAGCTTCTTCCCGGTTTTCCCTGCTTCACCGTGTGTTTTGTAACACCAGGTTCGCGACGTGGCTCACGAAAGTCACGTATCAGCATCATCTCATGCTGGGGGCATCTTGTTTTGATTGTTTTGTTTACTTTCCGCCTTCCGTTACCCGTGCGCGCTTGCTCGAGCCAGCTGACTTGTCTCCGTCAGCGCTATTGTGGACTACACCGCCCTGAGATAGCCATCAACCTAGTGGTGTGGCACAGGAGTGCATTGGCCCGACAGCTATCTACTTGAGAGTCCAATAAGAGCCATTAATTGGAATATCCTAAGCTGGAGCTCACGAACGCCGCGTGGTTGCAGCCCTCGCGGCCGCCAACGCCACCACGGCTCACGGCAAACAAGGGAGGTAACGGAAAGCAGGCAATAAACTTCCAGGGCTCCCCTCCCTCGGCTGAAACTTATGCTTGCACCGGGAGCTTGGGAACCAGCTCGGGGAAAGCTTCCCCTCTTTTATTGCTATTCAAAGCTCCGAAGGACCAAAAAGCTCAGCTCCTCCAAGCCCAGATAGCTCGCTGCTCACGATAGAAGTCAATTCCCTCAGGTTGCGTTTAGAGCATTTGTGGATTTACGACCTCTCGCCGGGGACAGGTCCCCCGCAATTTCGGGCCAGACCTTTCAGTCGGTCGTGAGATGGGACCACAGAGCGGACAAAACACGATACACGAAGCGATCGCCCACCTCTGACTATGCCCAGACCTCTCTGCCTTGGACTTGACAGAGGCCCGGGAGATGGAGCTTCCTGCATCATTGCCCCATCCCCCTACCTTAAAGGTGGAAAGGTGTGATGCCAACGTGCATGAGCGCGTTTGGACTGCAGCACGGCGCATGCAGCATGTCAGACACCCCGGCTGGGACCCAGTGGGAAGTGGAGCTTCCGCCGGCCTGCGCTTGGGCGCGGGTTTGAGGTGGGTTGCAAATGAAGCTTCCTCCCAGCCGGGGGGGTCTGGGCGAGAATGTAAACAAGATGAGGGGTCGACAACGCGCTGCTCACGTAAACAAGAAGCCCTGACAGGGATGTTGCCGTCGGGTCTGTGTCCATCATCACGAAGTCACGGGACCAGGGCCGTCCTCACGACGGTCTTCACCTCGTGATGGTGTAAGCTTACTTGCCATTTTCCCCAGAGCCATCCGCGGAGATTACAATCCTGATGAGCTTATTACATCCTTCGCTCATCCTCTTGACGGTGCGGGCAAATTTTTCATTACTGGTAGCCCTGCCACGCCTCTAGAGAAGTGATCAGCCCGAATTATGGAGCCACGCCAGTACTATCTCGAATGCTCATGGCCAGCCGCCGACTGGAGTAGCACAACTGCCTTTTGGTTGGAATTTGACGCACACGATTCGGATCAGATCATCTTCGGGGATGGGTGAATCCCGTCCGCGAATATGCGGCGGATCAATTGTTCCGGCACCAGTGACGTGGGTGCGAAGTGGTCCCCGGTGTCCGCCAGCTTGCGAAGACGGCAACGAGGCAGAGTTCTGGATTCGGCGAATGTAAGATATGCGCTTGCTATTGCTTTCAAATGTGCCGCACTCTGTCATATGAGGACATCATCCCCGGAAGAGGAAGTGTCAGCAGGCTAGCAAGGGCAAAGCAGCTACAGGACCTCCCAATCGCCTCACACCAGATCATCCAAAAACTGCGAACGGTACTCAGCAGACTTGAACAGAACTATTCCTCACAATTTACTGACGGATCGTTCGCGTTTTATAGCTGATCGCCGCTGAGGCCTAAGGTGGCTGTGCCGGCCCAGGTCGCCTCCATCGTGGCCGAGTGAGTCACCTGGACAGCCTCACACACCTAGCCCGTCTTGCCAGCCTTGGACCACCAACAATGCCTCAGATGAATGCTTATAGTCCGCAAGAAGTTGTTCAACAGCATGGCCGGATGGTGTAGTGGCAGCATGCATCGTTTGGGACGATGTGACCCGGGTTCAAATCCTGGTCCGGCCCTGTTCTTCTTTTTGTTCTTTTTGTGAACTATGTTCGACTTCTTTGATGCTCAAGGAATCCTTCATGGTTCCTAGACAATATTAGTAGGCTGTCTAGGATCTATGATGAGCAGTAATAGAGCGGCACTGGAATGTTGAATTCCGAGCTTGTTTATCACTTTCCACGCTCTTGGATACTTAGCTTCTTGATCAATTAACCTCTTCTCCTCGTCTCTGCAGATCTAGCACGTGCTCTGAATCTTTCACCCCCTTCTCTTCGATATTACTTAGTCTTGAATGCAGAAAGAAGGGTCACAAGTAGCCAGCCCAAGCATGGTATACTTTGTTCATGTTATGAGTTCGTCAGCCAGCTTGTCACTTGCTTCACATATTAATGCGCGGGCTATCATTACAGTTTCTCATAGCAGAGCTGTCTCGTCATTGTTGCGTCATAGCATTCTACAGTGCAGTGGTAATTAGAACCGGAGTCTTATACGCTTCAAGTGTTTCTGCAGAGACACAGTGACGCTATACTTGGTCTTCCTCGTACTAGTAAGGGAATCAAACCCAGGACTATGCCTATTGTGTAATTTTATATTTCTAGACCTCTTACTATTCTCTGCTTTTTCTCATGGCTTCCATCGGAAACCCCGGTGTCTCATTGAGCTCAACGTTGGCCCAACAGCTTCGTTGACCCTCTAGGGCGGGTCATTGTCTGAGACACGAAGATCTTGTGGTACCCTGATTTTCCGGACGGACCCCTCCTTGAGGCGAGACATTTCTCTTTCCGCGCCTCCCTCTCGGGCTTGTATTGTGATCGTCTCGGTTATTCCACGTTGCTGCTTCTGCGCATCAAGCTTTGGTCTCGTGCCTCTGGGCCAGTAATATCCTTCCAACACTGATGTGTCTTTTTTCATCCTATCATGGTGAAATAATTTCTTGCGATGGTAGTATGGACGAAGTGCAGCTAAGTAGAAAGGCATTATTCCGCTTGGTGAAATTGCAAGAGTGTCTCAATGATCAATTAAGATCATCGTCTCGCCCTCCGTTCTGGGAACCCCAACGAACATGCTAGGGCTTAAGATTCCGACGGAAGCCGTTGGCATTGGTTGAGATTGATCTCATAAGTCCCTATGTCCGCGACTGGTTCTGTAGACGACGATCAGACAAGTGAGCGTTCGGCTGCTGCTTCCCTTTTGACTAGGCTGAATTTACCCCGGGAAATCTTTCCACAACGTGACTATTTCTAAGGGAATTCTTTTGAGCCCTGGAAGCTTTTCAATTTGGTTCATTTTATCGCCTTGCACACTCTCCAAACCATTCTCAACGTTGAAATGTTTCAATATGTCGGGTGAGCCGTTACTTCAAATGCTTCACCTGGTAATGTATCCGCGATTGCAGCCGTGCTCGCCATTTCCAAGACATGGATTGACCGAGTATGGGAGGAAATATGACATGGCAGAAACTTCTGCATCTCCGAAATTGAAGTAAAAAGCTTGTGACCTGACAGGGACAAGGATCAAGACTACTGAAAAGATCTAATTATACGAGCAACCTCGGAATCGGACCCTTTCACACACAGGGTCAGGACCCAGAGAATTGAACGCGAGAACTGCTCACTAACTTGAGCACTACACGTTCGACATGTTGTATCAACTCCCTTGCCTTGATCAAACTGGACAAAATTTGCACCGCGACGTTGATGTAGCTACCACAATTCGCGGAGAAACATATGCTACTCTGCGTCGTCTTCTTGCGCAGCCGCTATCACGGTTCAATAAGAAAACCGTCGTTTTGTAATACATTGTATTGACCAATTATGCCTGTCTTTCATGTGTTGCTTTGACACAGCGATCATCCTATTGAAGGAGTTTGAAGAGAACACAGCGGATGCATGGAAAGTGATGCATTTCGTGCCCGTGACCTAAAAAAGCCCACCTGTCTGGTAAGATTTGAATTTTGGTCACAAAGGAGGTCATTCCGGAACCACAATGAGCTAGACTAGAGTCTTTGCTGTTCCACTACTTGTCACCTGCAAAGCCTCAGCCAAACTCTTCCCCTTGTCATATAGCTTGTGACCCTGTGAAAGGGGCATATCAAGTAAGATGAAAAATATGATAATGTTCACGCTAGCTGAGAAAGTATCAGAAATGCCCCTATGTACCCCTGTATGAATATACACGGCCTTTGACGCTAACCGTGCCTCTTCCCCGTCGACGTCTGGGACTTTCTATAGTATAGCAACACGAGTAGCATGTTCGAATACCTCCTTGATACCCTCATTAGTCTTGGCAGAGCATTCGAGGTACTTGTAGGCACCGATCCTCCTGCCAACTTCTTCACCTTCCTCATGGGTAACGGGGTGCTGATTTGTCTTGCGAAGCTTCTCAATAGTTCTAGTATCATAGCGCAAGTCCTTCTTACAGCCAACAAGCATGACTGGCCGACACCGGCGGAATGGCAGAGCTTTAGATACCCATTTTTGTTGCACGTTGTCCAAAGAATCAGGCGAGTCAATTGCAAAGCAAGTCACGATCACGTCGGACTCGGCGTATGATCGACGTCGGCGACGCTCGTGGATTCTGTAATCGGAGGTATCCCACAAAGCCAGCTCAACATGCTTGCCGTCAATTTTGAAATCTCTGACAATTTTGCAGCCAAAGAGGTGGGGGACATAGTACTTGGGGAAGGTACCGTCGAAAAAAGCAATCAACAGACAAGTTTTCCCGCAAGCACCATCCCCTACGATGACCAAATTTGGATCGGTCACGGCACTAGCGGCAGCCTTTCGTTGATTTTTCCTTGATGAAGGTATCGTAGTGTCGCTTGACCGCCCAAGCATAGAGTAAAGGGTGGGCTTCTTAGGCGGTCCAGTCATCGAGCGTTGTCTCGTCCCTGCAACAAGGGATTTTGATCGCGGTTTAGTTGCTGCTGGTACGGGATCGCAATCAATTTGTTTCGTTGAACCGACAACGCTACCTCGGGGATTTGACTGTGTCGCTCCTTCTTGCACCATTATTTGGGGGACGACAGCTAGTCGGCATACTGTAGACGCCGATGACGGTGCTTCCCACCAAGCATCATCGTCGTCCGCCGAAGCATCAGGACCAGTATTGCTGGTACCAGGGTTTTGGCAATGACCAGTAGTTTGCTTTCTACTTCGGGTATCAGATGAAGATGCTGGAATAGGGTTAGATTCGCTGATTCTAGCATCTGAGTGAGGCCTAGTGAGTGGTCTCAAGGTTTTGTCCCGCGGATCAGGTGCAGACTCGAGCGTTGCCCAGGGATCGGGACTGACATTGCTGAGTCCAGCCTCCGGCCTAAGGCCAGCGGCTGGTTTTCTGCTCTGGGAATCAGACGACGATACCGAAGTCAGTGAAGTATTAGGGCTGTGATTGCTGAGTCTAGCGTCCAGCCAAGGGCCAGTGACTGGTCTTTGATACCTTGGAATGACAGTCAGCTGACGGATGCCTCAGTCTGGACAATTTGTGACTAACGATGCTGCGGTTCTACATGGCTTAATCCATGCATGCTTCAGAGCTTTGTCAGCTGACAAACGTTCACCCACCCTGGGTTCCAAGACAGAGCGGATGAAAGAGTTTGCCTCCGGGCTGATATGATACTGATGCAGCTGGTGCGAGGGAAACACTGTTGGGTTCACCACGTAGCGAACGACCGCGCTCCAGTCGACAAAAGCCGCGTTCTTAGTTAGCATACGAAAGCTTATCTCGCCGAGCGCCCACATGTCGGCTATCTGGTGGTTGATGGGAGAACTACTTCCGGGTTCGTACAAAACGAGCTCGGGAGCCATGTATGGCGGGGTGCCTTTGATCGTCGATGGCACATAGGTAGCCTCTTCGATACGTTTGCTGATGCCGAAGTCACTCAGCTTCACCCACCACTTACTCTTGGGTGGCTGCGCTTTGATCAGAATATTCTGGTGGCATATTCAGTCGATGTTCAAGTGAGCCTTTATGAATTGAGATACACACTGCAGGTTTCACATCGCGGTGGGCGAATCCTTCGCGATGCATAAAATACAGCCCATGCAATATTTGATAAACCACCTCTTGTGCATCCCCCTCCGGCATAGGGTCATTGCTGCTCATGTATTTCTGTAGATCGCCCAGATCAAAATACTCCATAGCAATGAAGAGCCTCTTGGGGTCTTCGTACCAGCCAAGGAGTTTCACGAAACATTTCGAATACTGGACGCGTGATACATTAGCGGCTGTCCTTCGAAAGCAGGAGGGTAAGTAGCTTACCCGCTTCTGCGAGAACTTAGCAATAGCCTCCAACTCATTTATGTAGTCGAGGTTCTTATTCCCAAAGCTAGATCGCTGGATCACCTTGACGGCGCGTAAGTCTGGCGAAGGTCCCCGTTGGCCCTGCTCGCACTTCTGGAGCCAAACCTCGCCGAAACCGCCTTGGGCTAGCCGATCCTTGGACTCCCAGTATTCGGATCGATGCGTGGACCGCGACTTGTTTTCGTCATCGGAGTCGTCATAGTTGTGGACCGTGAAAGGGCCGTCAAAAACCGTGTCCAGCTTCGTATCCCGTACAAGGTCCGGGAAGCGTGGCATTGCGGTCGTTGCGTGCGCTCGGGAGAGCAACAACGGCAAAGGAACTGCATACCCATCACTTCGAAGGGGTAAAGCGTATTTCAAGCAACTTTTAGGCGAGATGAGGGGGGACACAGCCGGTCAAATGCACGTCAGCGGCATTGCCGGGCGTCATTGGTCAAGTACCTAGGTAGGTATGTATGCATGCCACAGCCACATCTTCTTGCGGTTTCCCGTATGTTGACCTATTCCCTGAGTCAGAAGTTTAAAGTAGCATCTTTTACTGCTGCAACGGGTGAGTCGATCATGGCTGAGCTTGCTCTAGGCGTCGTTGGGCTGGTAGGCCTCATCGATGTGTGCCACCACTGGGGGACTGAACTCGTCGCAGCCTGCCATGCACTTTCTAAGGCTGATAGCCGTCTATATGAAAGTATTGTGCGAGTTGAAGCCTGTTGGCTGCGTGTCCAAAAACAGATCGAATTGGTTCGCCGTCTTGATCCGTTACTGGATGATTGGCACCGCCACGTCCAACAGCAGACCCTTGAGGTGCTTCTGGCCAAGTTGCGCGCCGCCAACACGAGGCTTTGGAGTCTCTTGAAGCCATCTCAATCCATCCTCGATCATTCTAGTGAGCAGATCGGCGCCCCCAAGGCGAAGCGTTTCAAGTACGTCTTTGTACGCGATAGTCTTGCCGAGTCCATCGCCGACCTCGAGACCTGGAGGACAGTGTTCGACCCTAGCTGGTATCTCATGATGAAGATGGCCAGTCCTGAAGTCGATCGTCAGCTCGAAGTTGAGGCAAACCAATCGACTATCAGTAGCCCAGGGAACTATGGTTCAAAACCACCAGATGCCACCGCACGATATATTAGGCGTGCCATCCATACAACTGATGACGAAGCGGCCCGATCCACCGTTATACTCCCTGCTGACGGCCTCGTGCACGACAGTATCAAATCAATTCCTCTTAGCTCAGCAAAATTAGCACGACGAGCCGACAACGGCGATATCGTGATACTCGACACCGTCACCTGCGCGTCCAAACCGCACGCCAACGCCGTCAAGCGAGATATTCGCAACTTCGCCCTGCGTTTGAAGCACGCTGATCCATTCGGCTTCGGGTTACTGCAATGCAAGGGCATACTTCAGGAAGAAGATCACAAGACTGCGATCGGCGACCTCTCCTTCGTCTTTCGCCTTCCGACCACCCATACCCAGGTACAAAGCTTGCGACAACGTCTGCTGAGCGGTCCCGCAGGCCAGCATGACTCTCTTTCAGGACGTCTTGACCTCGCTCGGCAGTTGGTCAATGCCATCAACTATGTGCACCTGTACGACTTCGTTCACAAGAACATTCGCCCTGAGACCATCCTTATTATCGGTCAGAAGACTCCAAATATGCTCGGCACTGCACTTAAGCCCGGCGCGCCAATCAACGAAACAGGACAAGACGGGGCCCTAGGGAATGAAACGGCTGTGCTGGTCGGCTTCGATGTCCTGCGTGACGTCGATGGGAAGACTCTTCGTCTCGGCGATGACGATTGGGAGAGGAACTTGTACCGCCACCCACGAAGACAAGGGGACACGCCCTCCGTTGATTATGAGATACGCCACGACATTTACAGTCTCGGTGTGTGCTTGCTGGAAATCGGTCTATGGGACAGTTTCGTCGTCTACGACAAGCCGGGCGCTGGTCAGGAAGCCGATGAGAATGCCAAGGGACCATGGTTGGGCTCGGGACTGGGCACAAATTTCGCAGAAATGAGCGGCGCCGAGCTGCTGAAGGCTCCAGAGACAGTCAAGAATCACTTGATATCCTTAGCAAGAGGTAGGCTAAGACGCAAAGTAGGCACCAAGTACAGTAAGGTGGTTGAGACATGCCTTACTTGTCTTGATAGCGGCAATGTGGACTTTGGTGACGAAACGGAGTTCAGGGACGAACTTGGTATAGCGGTAGGAGTTAGGTACATCGAGAAGGTTGTAGGCAAGCTCGCAGAGATTGTTGTCTAGTTGAATCGGGATTGTCTTTGACGTTACCGCGACGTCTGGAGGCAAGACGTCTGGCGACCGGGCAGCAGAAGGTAGCACCAGAACCATCAAGGATCTCGAAAATCAGAACATGGTTACCAAGTGGCTGCAGATAGATGACATATTTATCTGCTGCCGCCTGCTGTTCAAGAAAGGATGACAAGGAGGGCGGATATCATAGCACAGATTGTCAACGCAGCAAACATTTCTTCCTTTTCCTGCATAGCCACCCTCTTCTCTTTCTTTTCTTTTCTTTTTTATGCAAAAAAATAAATAAAAATATTTGTGTTTCTTTTAATCGCCTTAGTCGCTTATTGCAGTATTAGCAGTGGCTATATTGCCAACCAAAACGCTGCCCCATGTTAACACCACCATAATCTTTAAGCGCAGCTAAAATCTCATGGATCAAGGATTGCGGGCCCTCTGACATCGCAGCGGACTATCCATTAAGACTCTGACCTTGCTTTTTGTCCGCACCACAGATTTCTCATTTGTCTGTAGCTATGCACCAGGCTTTTTCTTACCTGCAGGTACTTTTTCCGGATATATCTGCAATCTAGCTGGCGGCACCTGGGAATACTATTATATACAGAGCGTGGACATGTCAAGCCAGAGGACCGAAGGAGTACGTACTATCAGCTCAAGGCGAGTACGGCGAATAATACTTTTAAGCTGCCACAGCGTCTTAATCGCAAAATTTCAAGGCATAATCTTTCATCACAACCTCGTGAGCAGCGCGAGCCACTGCTCACTGAAAGAAAACTTGGCCGACATAGTACCCCTAAGCTGAGCAGCTGTTATCTTATCCATCTTATCGCTTGATTACATAAGTTTTCTGATCCAATCACATGCGGATCGCATGAAGCCGCCCAACTTTTTTTTGACGATCTCGAGACAGCAACACAGAAGACGGAAGCAACACCTCTTCGAACTGTAAGATCGGGAAGAGTCGATCAATTGAAATTGACCTGATACAACCTTACACATAATGCCTCCAAACAAGCGCAAGCACCGAAAGGAGAACCCAAACACCATCGAGCCTTCACAAAAACGAGTCAAGACCGGTACCTCCGCTGCGGATGTCGATGTCGAGCCCGCCCCTAAGCCTGTGAAGTTCGAGGGCGGGAAGAAGAAGGGCAAGCCTGCTCCCGCCAAACCACTCTCGAAGAAGCAACTTCTGTCCGACAAATCGCCCTTCCCAGAAGAACAAGACCGTAACATCGAAGCCCCTCTCTACGAGTTGCTGGGCAGCGAGGACCCCGATGAGCGCCTACAGGCTGCCGATGTTATCATATCCAAGCTTCTGGACAACGATGGTGTCTCAGAGTCGTCCCTCGACAGACATCTTGAAAAGAGACTGTTCCGAGGACTCGCGAGCAGTAGGAAAGCGTCAAGACTGGGTTTCAGCGTTGTGCTGACCGAGATTCTACAACAACTATGGGGGGAGAAAGATCTCTGTGGCGACAAGTACCGGGGCCTTACATTCGACTTCGTCCTGAACACGCTTACGGAGAAGACAAAACCGGTTGGCAACATCGCCGGTCAGGAAGAGAAGGACCACTACTTTGGCCAGCTATTTGGCATTGAGTGCTTTGTGCGGGCCAAAATCCTCTTCGACGATGTCACGAGATGGAACACGATCTTGGCCCTTCTGATCAAGCTGGCGAAGAAGAAGGTCTGGCTCAAGCCTCAATGCGCCTGGATCATCCTCCAGACAGTGCCCCAGATGGACCAGCAGATCGCAGAAGAGACTCTACGTAAGCTCGACGAGGCTGGATGGGCGAAGACACCCGACGCAGTTGCCATCACTGTTATACTCACGGAGAAGTTCCCAAAGATCAAGCTGCCTTCGAAATCATGGCGTGACTTCTTGTCCTCCAAATACCTAGGTGAATTGCCGGCTGTTCTGAAAGACAGCGGCAAGCAGGAGAGCAAACAAGAAAGCAATGGCGAGGAGCCGGCCCAGAAGCAAAAACAGGCAAGCTGGACTGCGCAGTTGCATTTCGTCTGGGACATAATACTTGCACACTACGTCAAACTGGCGTCTACCGACTCCAAGAGCGCATCTGATCAGTTCAAGCAGTTCTGGAGTCGCGTCGTGGATCAGGGCTTCTTTTCAAAGACCGCCTCGGAGCCCCAAAAGTTCACCGGGTTTATGATCTTCCAGAAATTCCTCGAAGGTGGCATCTCTCACTCACACATCACACACAACCTGTTCTCCCAGAACTTATTGACCTGTCTGATGAACCAGGCGGCGAAGCAGGACAGATACCTCCATCGGGCAGCCACCAAGGCCCTCAAGGCAATAGAGCACGCTGCGGACACGGATCGTGACCTGGTTCCAGTCGTTCTGCAGTTCCTTCTTGGAAAGCAAGGCGCATATAATTTTGATCAACGGTCAAACAGCAAGACCGTTGACAAATTACTGCACCTTACAAAACCCCAACATGCCCAACAGGTGATCAAAACTGTAAAGCAGCTAGTGCTCACGTCCGAAGGTGACAGTGCTGAAAACCACATTATGGTCTACGCAGACTACCTGTTTAGACTGTCCAGTATCGTCCCGACAGAGGCTGATACGAAGAATGCCAGCAAGGGCTCGGTGGGCGGACCGGCCCTGCAGGAGTTCGCGAAGCTTGCATATCCTAAGGCTGGCGAGATTGTTCCAGGACTGAGCGAGAAGACCAAGCCAATTCTGCGTCAGAAGCTCACTGCTGCCCTCGCCAAATTCGTCAAGCGGCCAGAAGACTTCGCCGAGTTCTGCAACGCAATCATGCTGATTGACTCGAGCAGCGTCGAGATGGACGAGGAGCTCCAGACGGAGCTGCTTGAGGCGCTGGAGAAGCTGCAGCAGTTGACGAATCCGAAGCAGGCGAAGGGCCACAGGAGCAACGCTTACCAGGGCCTGGCGCTCCTCTACGCCGTTGCGATCCTGCAGCTGTACAACGCGGAGCCCGACGCTCTTGACATTCTGCACGACCTGAGGCAATGTCATGAGAAGCTGCTTAGCAAGCAGAAGGGCGAGGATGGCGATGTTTCAGCGCTGCTCGTAGAGATCCTGCTAGCCATGGTCGCCCGGCCCTCATCTCTGATGCGTCAGACTGCAGACCGCGTCTTTGAGGCGTTCACAAGCCTCATGACCGAAGAGGCACTCACTCTGCTGACGGACACTTTGGCAGCAAAGGAGGACGCCGAGGGCTTGCGAGCTTTGTTTGACACGGACGCGGACATGGAGGACGTGGAGGAAGCTGGTGGCTCTGACGAGGAGGACGATATGTCTGAGCTCGGCTCGGACGTTGAGTTTGTTGACGCGGAAGAGACTCAGGATGGTGACGGAGATTCGGAAAATGAAGGACAAGACGGCGACGACGGAGAATCAGAAGAAGATGAGGACGAAGAAGAAGAGCTCAACGAGGACGAAGCCAAGCTGAAAGCACTGGATGACGACCTCGCGAAGCTTCTCAACAGCCACCGGCTTGATAAAGACAAAGATGCCGCGTCATCCGACGACGACTCAGACATGAGCGATTCGGAGATGATAGCTTTAGATGAGAAGCTCGCTGCAGCGTTCAAGTCGCGCGTCAGGAACAGCAACAAGAAAAAGGAGAACAAGGACGCCAAGGAGACGGTCGTCAACTTCAAGCACCGCACACTGGACCTCCTGGCCATCTTCGCTCGGAAGGAGGCCGCCAACCCGTTGGTGTACAAGCTCCTCCTGCCGCTGCTGCAGATGATGCGCACCACCAAGACGAAAGACCTGGGGAAGAAGGCCGGCAATATCATCGCCGAGATGGCCAAGGCGCAGCGGAAAGCTAAGGCCAGTAGCAAGGATGATGAGAAGGAGGAGCAAGGAGAGAAGGAAGAGCAGCAGGACAAAGACAAAGCTGACTTGGAGGAGTACCTGATGAAGCAGTTGCAACTGCTCGAGTCGATCCACGGTGAGATGACCGAGGACGAGTCGCACGCGTTTGCCAAGTCGGCGTCCAAGGCGAGCCTGTTGGTTGTGGGAGACATCCTGAGCAAGAACGTTGGCTACTTCCAGGTCATATGGGATAACTATGGCGGGCTCGCCATGCAGTGGGCCATGTACGGCGGGTTCCAGTTCTCGACCATCATCGCGGACTGGACGCAGTGGATCCAGTCGCACCCGGCATTGGTGGCGAAGCGGTTGGATGGAGTGCCGGGGAAGGCAGATGAGCCGTCCGAGGCCGATGGCGAGGGCGAGGACGAGGATGAGGATGAGGGGGACGACGAGTAATCATCGCGGCGATCGTGATTGAGTGGGCTGGGTAGAGCATCCCTGAATACAAAAAAAGGAAGGGCCCCTGATTACGGGCCCGTAGCAATGTTCCACGCACGTTCTTATGAAAGTTGTGGATGCGTAACACGTCAATAATCTATAGCCCCTGGATCGTCAAAGCTGTGATTTTAATGGTACATGTGCCTTTGATGCAAGGTTTCCGGCAGATTTCCATCCTCCCAGAACGCTCCAAGGCTTGCTCCCTATGCCGCGGGTGGCCGGCTGTTATTCTCACTTGTCTTTTCCCAACGGCGGAGGCATGACTCCCCAACTGCTCCTAGCGCTCCAGTCACTTTATGTGGTCCTCTAAAAGGACAAGAGCCCCCACGGCTAGACGGCGTAGCGAGTACCGCAACTAGTCCTCCTCCATCTTGTCGCCGTCCTTCTTGTCATCCTCGTCGTCATCATTGTCCTCCTTCGCTAATCGCTCGGCTTCCTCCCGCAGCGCCTTGGGGACCTCCTCGTGCCGGCCCTTGGTCGGGCCGTCGTGGTTGCTGATCCAGGTCATCTCCAGCTCGTACTCCTTGTCCTTGTTGTCATCGTGTGCGAGGTGGATGATCCTCGCGGCGTGCTTGACGCCGTCTTGCAGCGAAATGCCCTCGCCACTCAGGTCCAGCTTCTCCAGCTCCGCCTTGGCTGCCTGCCGGCCCTTGCCCGTCGCCGCGCCGTAGTAGCCCCAGTACAGGCCGGAAGGCTCGATCATGTACAGGAAGGGCCCGCCGTGCTTCTTGCCCTCGGCCTTGCCGCCCGCGCCCACCTTGGGGCCGGTCCCCACCTCGCCGTCCACGGGGAGCTCCAGCTCGCTGTCGTAGCCGCCGACGATGGCCGTGATGCCGAAGGGCCGCACGGACTGGTACAGGGTGTAGGCTTGCAGGTAGCCGCCCATACGAGATGCGAGGTCGGATGTGGCGATGGGGGCCTTGAAGTTGTCTCGCCATGAGCGGGCCTCGTCGCGTGCGCGGTCGATGAAGTGTCTGCCGTCGGGGACCATGCCAGAGTATACCTGTTCATGGGAGGGCCGTGTCAGTCGGGATTCCCATGGGGCAGTGTGCTTTGAACACATTTGGAGGATGGAAGGGACGGATGAGCTTACGACACCAAGATGCCTGTCGACAGTTGCGATCCGCTTGTTTGCGCCAGGCTTCAGCAGCTTGGATGCGACGACCTTCTCAACCGCCAGAACAACGCCATCTTTGCAACGGATTCCGATTGATGTGCCTGCGTTCTCGACTGCCTTGACGGCGTATTCTACCTGGAAGTTTCGGCCGTCGGGGGAGAAGATGGAGTTGGCGAGATCGTAGCCTGTTCCTATCGACGTCTACGACATGGGAAGTCGCTTGTTAGCCTGCTTTGCCCTGCTGCGAGTAATCAAGGGCTTGTTTGCGAGGCTAAGAGCTTACCATGATGAGAATCTATGCGATTGCGGCTTGGTCTGGGAGGTTCAAAGGGGCGGGAGGCACGGTAATGAGGTGGATGAGCTTGCGAAGGCTGTACGTTGTCGTCGTCGGGAGCTTGAGGTGATGGATGATGGACGGGGGTCGTTTAGAGCTCCCCAAGCCAAGTCGACTGATTGACTGGGGGGGTTTACTTCAGGCAACTGGAGCTGCGTGTTTCTAGCCTGCCGCCGCCTACGCAGCTGCACCTGGGGCGACGCTAACAGTGGCTGGGATGGCAAGAGCAGTGCTGCAGGGGTCCCCCATCTGGGGGGGGGGGATCCGCCATGGAGTGGCTGTGCAGAAGTGGCTTGACTTCCGCCTTGATTGCTCGACTCTCTGGACTGCAAAACAACATAGGAGCAACTTATTTCACAATCATTTCCCATCTATCATGATCAAAAGGTCGGATCATTTCTGGGAGCCAACATGATTCAACCTACTCTAATCTCAGGCTACAGTCAGCATGAATTGGGCCTCCAATAAAGCAAAACACAAGCCCATTATTCCGACTGTTTCATTGAGATCAAGATTGGCTGAATGCTATACCTTGCTAGAATTATATTTTGGACTCTCCACAACTCGAATTACTAGGCTTGTTAGCCTGCGCCGCTAGAATACGCATGGCGCTTATACGCAATTTGAGGCAAGTCAGTAATGCACAAATTCAAGTCGAGTGCTCGTTCCTGTCCCATAGTTGACTGAAATGGCATGCAAGCGTTAGAATCGAGACGTCTCCAATTCATTCGTGAGAATCAGTGCAGATGCCCAGAATTGAGCCAGGTTTTTACTAAGCACTATCTTGTCACCTCCTACTCGAATACAGCATTGAATGCAACATCTGCTACAGCAAAATCCAAAGGGATTTTAAATTCAAAAGCTTAATTAATTCAGTCTGAGTATTGAAGCAAGGAGGCAACTTGAAGTCTCTGTCCAATTGGGAGTATGCGAGTACTTACTACCACATTGTGACCCAAGTCTGCAAGCTCCATTCAGCTAGACATTGAGGTACCCACGGAGCCGGGTTGGATCCAAGCAGAGAGGCGAATGCTTCCACTAATGAATTCAGACCAATTTTTTTCTGATAGTTGGCGGAAACTTCCTTCGTTTTTAGAGTGACAAAGTTGGCCAAAATGGGAGCCCTTTCGATAATAAAAGTATCTTTCCTCTTCCGTCGTCTGAATATTCATGTTTTGGATGTATCAACACACGTCTAGACTATTCACATACTTTGAAATCATATTTGACGTCGCCATCTAGTATCAACAACTAGCACTCACCTTACCAGTCATTGTTGACTGACATCCCTACTTTCAAGAAGAACTATACCCACCTGCGTGGTTCGTGCATCTCTTCCATCATGCGCGGCTCTACGATAGCATCCGCGCTCGCGGGTCTTTCGATCTTTCCGTCAGATATCCTGGCTTCACCGACCAGCAAGCGCGGGAATTACGACGAAATACCTGGCATGGGTGGACTACTTGGCTTCAAAGGCTCAGACGGTCGCTACAAAGCTATTCCTCTCCCACCAGGGGATGGGAAAACGCTAGGATGGATACCCGATGTCATACTTTACCCGCTCTCGGACGACGAACAGAGCGGCTGGCAGAAAAGCACAATTGAGAGCATAGTAGCACCGACAACCTTCCCAACTAGTATTCCTGCCTTCACTTCATCCACTGCCGAGGTCACGTTGACACCATCAGCTCCCACCGAGATTGATCATACCGGCTCGCGAACTGCCTCAACGGCCACTTCCTATTATACCCCGCCTCTTACTTCAGGAAATTTCCCCGAAGTTTCTCGCTCTGAGACTATTGTCTCTGTTACTTCTACTGGAACCGCAGAATCCAGTATTGACTCTGGGACAAGCTCCTCTATTTTACCAACGAGCCCGACGGCGGACATTGGAACTGCGACCACTTCTTCTCTCAGGATCTCTTCTCCTACACCAACATTTGGCCCAACGTCTTCATTTCCCTCTAGCACCACTTCTGGGCCAACCACCTCAGGTACATTGACGCCTCCTTCTACTACTTCGATCCCCTCCAAGACGCGGTCTATTCCCAGCACCAGAATCACCTCGGTGTTGAGCTCTTCTTCGAGCCAGATCACACCACCTCCGGAGCCCACCACGTCCAGCACTCCGACAACCTTTGTCACTTCTACAACCACAAACTCGTCTACAACCTCTGTCGGGCCCCAGCCTACGTTCAAGACCCCAGAGGAACAACGCGAACTTGAGCGCGAGGCCCAAAGAAAGGCGGAGGAAGAAAAGAAGAAAAAAGCTCTTGCCATTGGGCTGTCTGTCGGTCTCGGTACCCCGGCAGCTGCAGGTGCGATCGCAGGTCTGCGCAAACTTTTCCAGAACCCTGATTTCAGAGGGATTCTGAACCAGTTGAGAGAGCAGGGTGGCAGGATATGGGATAACATCAGAAACGCCTTTGGGGGAGACCCTCCCAATGTCGGGGGCCCGGGAGAACCACCGCCGGCTCAAATACCCGACGTTCCCGACGTTGAAGCCCCTGATGTTGAAGCCCCTGATGTCGAGGCTCCTGATATCGATGTACCTGATATCGATGTACCTGATATCGATGTACCTGATATTGACCCGGCGAGACCCTTGGATCCCATCATTGAAGAACCGGAGTCGTCCCCTGTAGGTGAGGGACCTCCTTCGCCACCGTCACGCCCCCCTCCTTCACCACCATCGGGCGGTGATCCTCACCCACCAGGTGCTGGTGAGGGACCTGAGACACCTGATATTGACACGCCTGATATTGACACACCTGGGGTTGACGTGCCTGAGGTTGACGTGCCTGAGGTTGATACGCCTAAAATCGAGGTGCCTGATATTGACACTCCTGAAATTGAGGTGCCTGATATTGGCGTGCCCTCCCCTGGGTCGCCTCCTCCTGAGCCACCTCTACCACCCTCGCCATTCTCAGGACACGCCCCACCCTCACCGCCATCAGAGAACCCCCCTCCACCACCATCAGGAAACGGACCACCTTCACCACCCTCAGGAAATGGTCCACCCTCACCACCCTCAGAGAAACCCCCTTCGCCACCATCAGGAAACGGACCACCACCACCACCCTCAGAGGAACCCCCTCCACCACCATCAGGAAACGAGCCACCCTCACCACCCTCACAGAAACCCCCTTCGCCACCATCCGGACAAGGACCACCTTCACCACCCTCGGATAATCCCCCTTCACCACCATCGGGGAATGGTCCACCCGTACCGCCTCCTGGAAATCCTCCACCATCACCACCGGTCAGTGGGCCACCAGAACCACCGGAGGATAGCCAGAATGACGAAGATCAAAATGAGGACGACGAAGACGGCGAAGAGGGGGATGAGGGTGATCAGGGTGATCAGGGCAAACAGAAATGTGTGAAATGGGCTGATCTTGAAATTGGAAAGAATTACTTGGACTCGAAGCCCTCGAACAGCATATACACACCACGACCAGGCAAAAAACCAGCCAGGCCAGACAAGGGCAAACAGCCAGCCAAGCCAGACAAGGGCAAACAACCTGCCAGGCCAGACAAGGGCAAACAACCTGCCAGGCCAGACAAGGGTAAGCAACCTGCCAGGCCAGACAAGGGTAAACAACCAGAAAAGCCAGACAAGGGCAAACAGCCAGCCAACGAACCACCCCACCTTGAGTGTCTGCAAGACGTGGCGAATGTTGCGCTTGACGAGATGAAAGGCAAAGCCGTCGAAAAATACGACGAGGACACTGAATATGTCGTCGATGAATTGAAGCGGGGAGGAGAGAAGTCCAGACTCTACAAAGATTTCCAAACCAGACTAGAGACGCCGGGGGAAGCCGCCAACCGCGAGTTTACCTGGAAAATGAAAGACCCAAAGCTTCGTGCCGAGTTAAGAAAGCAGGTCCATGACGAGTGGGAGGAAATTCAAGCGATGCTATGGAGCGGCGAGTGGATGCAGGAGCATAAAGGGACGAAATTGGCTGAGGACCTTATGGACAGGCTGTTGCAGTTGGATGCCCTCCGGGAAATATTTTGGGAGATGGACAGGTTGTCGTCGTTTGACGTGTACCACTGGCAACCTCCAACGGCCGTCTGAGGTTGATGGGTCGGGTGAATCGTGGACACAGCCCGTGTTGGACGCATGATTTCTCGTTGATGTTCGAGAGCAGTCCAATGACTGTGCTGGATTTGTTGAAAGAGCTGAAAGCCCAGCTTTAAGTGAATGGGTACAGTTTGTCATTTGCTTCATTGAACCCGAGAGTCTGGTATGAGACACTGGCAGACATTGATTTTGAATAGTAAAGAGTTACATTCTCATAGTTGCAATCCACAGCACATCAAAACTTGTATTTGCGAATGATGATTGGTTATCCTTTGCCCACATAGCATATGTTGCCAATCCCGGCCATTTACTTTTCAACAGACTTTTATGTCCTGACATAGCTCGGGCCGGAAAGCCTCCCCGTTCATGATGCCATGGATATACGCCTCTCCCACGAACATGTAGTATCCATCACCATCAGGTCTCAACACTAGAGGTACTTTGCCGCCCTCTGCAAGCACGACCCTGTCATCTTTCTGGGCCCCCTCGGGGAGCAGACACAACCACTCGTTTTCGCACCATCCAAATCGTCTCTCGATGGCGCATTCCAGATATGGGGTAAATTCTGGGAAGCCGACGCTCCATGAAATGGACTGCATCGTGTAAATCATTGGATTGATCTTCGATGAAAAAGACCCAAATCTTTTCTCGTTGTTTCGAAGGTTCACGAGCACCTTCAGCCACTCCTGGTACATCGCTTCCGTCTTCGACGGATCACTTGGGTCGTACTACAGTGTTCTGAGTTAGCCATTGAGCACCAAGAATATGAAGTCTCGTAAAAATATGTGGCAGAATAGGATTCCATAGCCTGTGCTCCGCCTCGCAAGCCGTGGCCTAACCAATAGCTGCAAGCCAAAGAGGGAGAGAGCACTTGAACCTGGCATGTGAACACCCTCGGGGAGGTGAAAATAATCTTCAGGGTTCCCTTACCGTCCCCGCGCAGAGCGTTTTCCAGTATACCGATTGCGGGTCTTCTCCTCCTGGGTTCTGTGCCGTCGTTTTGGAAGCAAATCTCTCCCATTCGAGCAGGGTGTGAAAGTAGGACGCTTCGGCGTGCAGGTCCGCATGGGTCTCCTCATATAACTCCTTGACTGTCGAACGGAAGCCTCCTGTAGCGCTGTCCGTGGAATCGTCCTTTGATTCTCTCGTCTCGAGAGTGAAGTGGACTCGGGTCAAAACTTCTGAGATCGCCTTTACTTTTGTGACCTCATGCCCGCGCAGAACCAAAGTCACAGCATCTGGGGGGAACCGTACTCGTGCTGGGGCCCCCCGCGCAGCATGTGTGCGCCGCGGCCTGTCTAGAGAGTCACGCGTCAGGGGTACCGCGAAAGAGTCAGAGACGCTCCAGTCGGTTACCCAAGATGGGAGACCTCTACGCGTGGATGGCGGACACACGCCTAAGACGTCCAGGCTCTCAGTTGCCTCGATGAGCTGCTGGGTGAGCATTCTGTAGACGTAGACCACCGGGTTAGTGTAGTCCGGGTCCATGAACATTCGGTGCACAGCGTCCGAAGGAGGCCGCATCTTTTGGACGGCTTTAATGATGCCAAATATGGCGTATATCTTGTCCCTGGGGTCTTTGGATTCCCTCTGCCTGCACTTTTCTAGTAGCTTAAGGACGCCTTCTGCCCCGAAGTCCGGCCGATTTTGCGTTGAATCCCCATAAAGCCCTAATTGGAGCTGCAGAGACTTGATAGAGAGGTACGGGATAATTTCCTCAGCGACGAAAGTACCTGAGTCGAGAAATATCCAGATGTGCATTCTCAGGCCATGATCGACTGCAAGGCAGAAATCGTGCCAGTCAATCTTCAGGTCACCCTGGATGAGAATGATCGAGGATGAAAGCAAGATCTCTTGAAGTGTCCAGGCTCGATACCACCATTCGCAACTTAACATAGACCAGATGTCCATCCTGGCGAGGTAAAGGTCCCTCTTAGCACTCTGTACAGGCTCGCGCCTCAGGAATTGCTGGAGTATCGCTGGAAGTGAGGCGGAATCGATGTCATCGCCAACATTTCCCTTGTCCAAGGAGCTCGTGGTCGAAGAATTCCTTAGAGCCTTCGCATCCTCAGCTAGGTCATGTAACATGTCGAATAATTCCTCTCCGCCTTCAGTCTCGGCTCTCAGCCAGACAACAGTACGCCAGGAATTTTGGTAGATTCTATCCATAATTGGAACTTGCTCATTGCGCTCGATCATGTCGCCTTGATTTATACAGATTGCGTCAACCCAGAGAACGCGACCTTCCTCAGAAGTGGAAGGCCGAAGACTCGTAAGAATTGTGTGGAGGCTCTGGTAAATCTCCATTGAGGCGTCGTTGACGATGACGCTTTTCTTGGGCTGCTTCGGGTTGCCCCTATTTCTTGGCTTGTTAATCAAGTGTGCCCTCTGCCACATCTCTGCATCCCTGGAGAGATTCATGCTTATCACGAATCTCCACTCATGAGATCTCGCTTTGGAGCGCTCCGTTGCCAAGCTCAAAGATTAACAATCATACGTTGCTAGACTTATGAAGTGGTCCCAATGAGTTTTCGGGCACGCGGGAATCGGCGATGTAGGGGAAAGAAAGGACAAGAAGACGAACCAGACATAGCTTAAAGACTCATAGGTGCCGTAGGAGTTGTCCAGCATGACAGTGGACAACTCAAGCCTGATCATTTCTTCCTTATTTCCAGGAACGATCTTTAGCAACCTTATGAAGCCCTCGCCGGGAAGAGGTTCGTATTCGAAGTCGGCTTCTGGCTTCGGAATGACTTCCTGATCGTGCCCTGATCCCCCGTTCGACGCCGCATCCTGGGTGTCGCTGTCGGATGTGACCTTCTCGGACGAAGAAGACCAACCCTCACGCCACCCTTCACGCAATGAGTCTCGCGCTAGGGTGTAACCCTTCTTGCCCTCCCTTTTCAAGACTTTCTTCCATGACGCCCACTCATCTCGACCGCTTGCCATTTGGAAAAACGTAGTCCCGGATTGAAGAGCATAGGAAGACGGAAGGTATTCAGAAGGCTCCTGAGCGTGTCGGTATGCTTAAATGTGTGAATGACCAACATCGTGATCGGTAGGTCCAAGTTCTTGATAAATGTCCCATCACTAGGGTCTCCAGATCCTGTCAGCACTTAGGCAGCTAGCTGCAGGCCATTAGCAAGGGCCAGGACGATCGGGGTTCAGCTCATAATCTCACATCCCCTACGCCAATGAGCAACGAATCTCGGACCCCTGTACATGCTTCCATAGTCTCGGTGCACAGCGCCAGTCCTGGGTTATCTTTTTCATAGAGAAGTGGCATTGAGGCCTCTCTTGGCAAGAGGCCCAGAGGCGAAGGCGACTCCACATCAAGCATTTCTTCCATCAGATCTCAACCTTCAGGATATGAGTCAATTTTTTGCATCATTTAAACAACCGCCGGTGTAGCCAATTTGCGAGAGCGGAGGCCCGTGATTTTGGGTCTAAATCCCGCCAGCTGCCAGTAGAACACCTTCTCGGGCTTTCCTGACTTCTGGTACACCTGGGCAGTCGCGCTCCGGCCTGGTAGGCTGAAAGGGTCCTTTTGATATTTGAATTCAGTTTCTGCAAATGGTCAGCCTTGTTTGGAGGCCAGTCGTAGTAGTCTACACGATGGGCCTTAAAAAGCTGAGTAGCTTCTACTACATTGGTACCTAAGTACGTGATAATATCTCTTACGGAACAAATGCGATCTGATGCTGTCCGTCAAATGCACTGCATAATATCACGCATCCCTTTGAAATGTGCGCACCCATAAGCTATCTGGAGGCTCGCCATCACCATCGAACAAGGAGTGATACCGATCGCCCATGACCAACCGCTCAGCACGATCTTTCATCACCTTTTCAACAGCCTCGACCCATTTCCAGCCCTTAATCACGCACGCGTCCATTATCTCGTCTGTATACCTCCACGGCCACATCAAGCGGGCGTAGAACCTGGCCAGGCCGTCTGAGCCAAGCGAGACAAGAGGGGCAAGGATACGCGTGTAGGCCGCTAAGATCTCCTCACCCTGCCCTGTTGTCATAAATCTACGGTGTTTGGGTATGTCCCATTCACATGGATATGACATAGCAAGACGAATAGTAAGTGCCGGCAGAGAAAGTCTCTTGCTAGCCCACTCTATCGTCCGGGCCCAGTCTTCATGGGCTGCTTGTCCTTCCTGAGGCCAGTCTTCGTGGTGGTAGGGCGGAAAGACGAATTCGACAGATCGTAATTCACGTAGGCAGCTTTCAGGCACAATCTCCCTGAGAAAGATGCTTGCTGCGAGGCGAGGGAATGGATATAATTGTGTCTCCGAGGGTAATTCCCACGGCGGGTCGAAATTGAAGTCGTGTATGACGAATTTGTTGCCTGAATAGAATACGACCTGGGAATCGACATAAAGAGAGCGACAGATGAGGAAAAGGTTTTGCGGTGGCGCCCAGCATTTACAACCCGACGAAAAGGCAGAGTGCTTGATGCGGCAGAAGCAACCAAGAGACCGTTCAGGGTATGTTTCCCAGCAATTGTGAAACTGACAGCCGTGGTGTTTGTGAGGAGGACACTCTTCTCCCCGGGCGTCTAGAGGGAAGCAGAAAGTTTTACTCTCTATGAAGCCTTTGTGCTGTCTGCTCCATGTAACCTCCTTCCAGGGAGTAATGAGGTCCGTGAACTCGAGGATACGAAAGCGCAGCTCTTGAGGGAGCGCCAAGAGTCGGGAACCCGAGGCAGTTGGGAAGCCGGGGCGCGAGGGACGCGAGATATCTTGTCCAAGCGCTGGTACGAGCGAGGCTTGTACGTCAGAAATTCCCCGGACCTGCAAGACTGTGGACCTCGCCAATTCGTTAAGAGCAGCTGTTGGGGTTCTACATAGCCGAAGGTGACAGTTCTTGAGCAACGGCAGGCTGGCCAGCGGGTTGACTACTCGCTTGGCAATCTCGATGTCTTCGGGGTGGACATCGCAGACCACGCATAGCTCAAGGATGTTCGGAGTAATACATAAGGCGAGATGGTCAATTATTGCATTCCATGCATCAATTAGCGCTTCAGCCAGCGGTTGTCGACTGTTGAGGGGTATATCGCGACTCTTCAAGCGTCCGTCGCTGTCACACTCGGTAAGCATGTCTGTGTGATCTCCCTTGGTCTGCCACGGAACGACGCCGCCCCCATTTGATGAGGGACAGGACGCCTCGTTGAGAATTATTTTCAGACGTGTGAGTTTTGAAAGTGAATGTGGAGTCAGGTTCCGCAAAGCTTCGAGCGACCGCTGGTTCCAATAACGAATGAAGAAATCGTTGGAAGAGTATAACAGAGTCGATACCTCAGTGTAGATGATGCGGGAAGAGCGAAGCAGTCCATTAAAGCCGTGATATTTTGAGTTATCGTAGCTTGGGCTCAGGTCAAACGCATCAGAATACCCGGTATGCGAGGGCAGGACTAGACCAGCATGCAGGTAGATACGATGTCGGACATGAGAAGGAAGACGTAATATAGGAGGGATTTTAGGATCGCGGAGATGATAAGTAGGAATCTCCATGGCCTCGAATGAAGTGAAAGGAGCGGCGAGTGTGAAGGATTCAAGAAAGGCGAAGCTGGGGTGTGGTGTTGAGCGCGTCTGTACCGCGTCTGTACCGTGTCTGGACCACGCTGGGCGTTTGTGTGTGCTGTAGACCTTGGCTCCGTTGGAGAAGAAGAAAAAAGATAAAGTGACTTTTCTACGGATCGAGACAAGTCATCTGATTATACGGGTCAATTATGGTTTCACAGCAATCGTGTGGCACAGCACTGATTGCCTAGGCGACTTCTGCCTGGCAGCTTATTAAGCCTAAAGTTCCTGATGATGGTCCAAGAACGAACGAAAATCATTGCCGGCCGGCATTGGGTCTCGTCGCGTAAGGCTTGGATGCCATCCCACATCCTTGAACAGGTGTGGTCGACATGAGATTAGAGGATAAGGGGTAACATCTAAACAGCAACTACCACGTGTGGTAAGTGTGGATTTAAAAAAGATCTGGTACCTAAAGAATTTGAGCTGCAGCTGAAATAGAAAATTCAAAGCAGGAGAAAGCCCTCAACAATAAAGCAGTGTATATCAAACACATAAAACCGTGGCCATCGCCTACTCTTCACCATCTACTTTGTCCAAATCTGAAATTATCTTGCTCTGGTCCCCGCGCGAAGGCAAAATGGCCTTCTGGCGGAAGCCTGAATTCTGAGGACATTCCCATCTCCACGTCGTGACGAGCTTGTTCAGTGACTGATACCTCAATCTCCACATCGATTTCATTTGCGTTCGTCTTGTTGCTCGGAACCCTCCACCCAGGCACCGTTTGAGATTTGCTCCCTACGGAAGCCGCGTTCCGCTCTTGTAGCTCGATCATACGCTCTTCGCTCTCAGTACACTCAAGGTTCGTGATAGGGTTTGCTGTGGGAGGGCCTCGGCGCTGGCGCTGGTCTTGTGATAGCGATCTCTGGCCCCAGGTGCGGATATCCCGGTTGTGCTGGTTGGAGCTGCTCTTTTTGCTGGACCGCATCGAGCTGAGGAAATAACAGGGATAAGGCGCCACGATGTGCGTCAGGAAGGGGGTAACAACGGGAAGATTGGTCGTCACCACGGCGATAAAGGTCTCCCTGATAGACCATGACCCGGCTAATTGAGCCCCATTGACGGGGTCCTGGGACAAGGGTTGAACGCGGTCAGCATGCGGATTCTCTATTGTGAGAGTTTGGGAGGAAAGAAGACACACTGTCAGCATTAGGATAGAGCGGATCATAGCGCATGCAATGACGAAGAGACCACTGCTGAAGATCACCATCAAGGCTATCTTTTTCAATGGCTTGAGCATCGACCCCCAAAGCATCGGAAGCGGTATAGAGATGAGGTATAGATCAGTGGTAACATTCATCACGAGGCTAATGATGATCACCAGTTGTGAGACGGCAGGTTGGCAGACGCCTAGATGAGTTTCGGTCGTCAGTAAGGTGGAAACTGTCAAGGTATTGGTCGAGTGAAGACCCACTTCCTGGATCCGGATTGATCTGCCAATTCTTGTGAAATGGATGGCACTCAAATAGGATGGTCAAAATGAGCAGTAGCCAGCTTGCACCGATGAAGGCAAAGCCGACTCTGACTCGAATCTGGTAACCTCGACCAAGACCGGTCTGGCGACGTTATTAGAACTCGACGGCGAGGTACTAGTGGCCACATAAGGCATCGGTGCATACCGTCAACCGCGTATACAAAAACAGCAGCGAGGTTTTGAGTGCCCATAGCAACACCGAGTAGGCTGTCCAACCGCCGAGTTGGATTTTAGAGCCCGTGACACTGGCTAAAGTCAATATTGGCTGTGTTATTATCCGTGGGTAGCGCCAGTTGCTACTCACCGCAAGCTGTACTCGGGGCTGGTCTGGGAAAGCGATAGCCGTTGGGCTTCCGTTAAACCGTTGTTGGCAAGGCCGTGAACCTGATGGGTCACAAGCCACGCCATCCCTGTCTCAACTCCATGGAATATCTGAATGATTTTGTCGGTCAACATGCCGCAAGTTCGCCGCCCGACAAGTATTGAAATAGTGCAGGAATGGGCGGAAGAAAGATCAAACGAACTGTTCCGAGCCAGACAAAGTAGTCATCCAACTGAAGAGCCTTGAGGCCCACCGCTCTTGCTCGGATATAAGTTCTCAGAATCGTCATGCAGGAGGCAACAGCGAGAAAAGTAAATGCCTCTATGTCAAATTGCCGAGCTACAGCGGCTGCTTCGGCGGGCGTCGGAGGCGACATGATGCTAGATTCGTATGGGTTAGTTGATGGTGATCTGGTAATGCTCGTCATTTGAGGCGCGGAATGGGTCTTACGGAAGAAGAGAGTGGGCTCTCGGAGTGTCAAGCTGGAACGGCTGTAATGACTATCTGTCTGAGGCCCCTGTGGGATTAACACCTGTTCCCATTCTCATCTAATTATGCAAGTAATCTTAATTGTTCCGGTTTATCGGGATGCGAGACATGCAATCCTGTTGTTCGACGCCTGCAGAACAGGTATGGGATCGATCAAATGGCTTGTGGAAGTCTATAACTCTGCTGGGGGCCAACAACGGGGGCCAACACTGGGGGCCAATATTGGAGAAGCAATGCCGTTACACCAAGGACGATTGTGTCAATGATTTTCCCCGTCTGCAGTCATGAATGATTCTATTCCGGAGGATCTACGCCTTATGTGCAACCTGCAGATACCACCATGTTGTCTTCGACTCACCAATGAAGCACTGCTAAGGCGGAGAGACACCATATGTGACCAATTGCAACCCTCCATGACTTATCTTTGAAGGGACGTGTGAGACGCAATACTGCTCTTCTGCAGATCCGATTCCTCCAGGCTATGTTGAAATCCAACTCTACCCTCCACCTTCCTTCACCGACCTGTTTCACCGGCCTTTCTCACAAGGTGTGATTAGGCAGCTGCACCAGTAACTTGATGTTAATTAAATGGGTACCGTCGATGGATTGAGAAATTTTGAGCCGGAGAGTTGCAACTAATCTGTCGCGGCTGAGTGACTTCGAACTAATAATTCTTGCTGTACGACAGAGCTTACTACTAAATAAGACCACAAGCATTACAAAATTTCCTGCAGTCACTTTGGGCCGAACAATAGATATTCACGGACGTGAAGATAAGTTCAAAGTGAATATTGGTCGAAAACCCTTTTCGTCTTCTTGGGTACTACGATTTCATTGGCCGATCACATCAAATAGATGTATATCTCATGGTTGAACTGCATGTGCTGTGTGTCACTCTCTGTCCGACTGCAAATCGTTTTCTTCTCAATCCCAACGATCTACAGCGGCTATTACTGGAAATCAATACTCTTGGCAAACGCTACTGGGCCGAAGCCGAAAACCCTTGTTGTATGGAGGAATCCCTCATGGTTGCACACATATTTGAAGGCATGTGCAGTACTATAGGTCATAAAGATCATATATTTTATTAGGATTAATTTTAAAACTTTTCCTCTTATCATTAGGATTATTATATCCAAAAAAGGTTGCTGTTGGCTGGGTCACGTATTCGAATACGATGCGCGTTTGGGGATGTTGGTGTTTATTTGGGTGTGGGTTGCTTGCTTGGTTACAGGAAGCAGCCGAAGGCTGCATCCCTTCAAGGCCTACTTATAGCCGTAGGCCCAACGGACCAATCAGCTCGCCACAAACGCTAACGCTACGATTCACACAGTTGCAATCAAATACTAACTAAATATTATCATTATTATGAGGATTCATCTTAAGGGGGTTTAAATCTGGACTAATCAGATCGACATTCTTTTTTTCCATACCCTCTTACTCCTTCTCGGTAACGACCATTCTAGAAGAATGGTATACACACAAGTTTACACTTCTTTCTGATTCAATTATGTATGTGCTTCAATGCGCCATGCTTGAGGATTCAGTCTGGACGCAGACACAGATTGTGCCTTGGGAACGCCATGTCTCCAAATCGGGCATGGCGTTGACTAGCCAATTCATTTGCTCAGCCCCCACACCATGCTGCGGCCTGCAGGCCTCCAGCTTCATTTCTCGTTCGAGATGATCTGTCTCACTGATTCTTGTCTGTTTCCCTTACGTAGAGACAGCGCAGTCTAGCCCACCGGCTCAAGATGGCACGGCAAAATTGAACAGCGCCAATATTGGGACCCTGTACTGTGATTTTGGCTTTTGCCTCAGACTCAACAGACATCAGGCTGCTACCATGAGTTTCGGCTTCAGCGTGGGAGACTTCCTGGCTGTTATCAATCTTGCAACACAAATCCGAAAACAGTTCTCAGATGCGCCAAAACATTTCAGAGACCTCTCAGATGATGTCAGGAGTCTTTCGGTGACATTGTTCGATCTTGCGGGAGAGGACGATGGTGTTCTCCGGTCATTGGGCTCGAATCAGGCCGACTACTTAATGACCATATTGGAAGCCTCCCATCACGTACTCAAGGACTTGGAGAGTCTTCTAGCCAGTGAGTGTCATTTTGCTTCCGTCTTCATGTGAGGCCTAATGTCATGTGAGGAAAGAGATGCTGTCAAGTGCGCACCCTTCTGACTAGACATGTAGAGTACAGTGCCTTAGAGCCTGGGCCACGACCTCAAGGAAAGCAACGTGCAAGAAGAATATGGGACCGCCTTACCTTTGATTCTGAGGAGATTCGGGACATTCGTTCGAGGCTTACCTCCAATACTTCGACATTGGGACTGTTCCTGAGAAACTGCTCCGAAAGGAAACTGGAAAAAAGTCTAAACAAACTTGAGAATCGTGTCGACGAAGACGAGCGACAGCGCGTCCTCGATTGGATTGATGAGGGATCTGGAAAACACGTGCGACATTTCCAATATCTTGTACGACATAGGGAATTGAACACCAGAAGATGGCTCTTTGAGTCCCCTGAGTGGCACGCGTGGAGTTGCGCAGCTGGCAAAGGTGGGACCCTATACTGCCCGGGTATACCTGGTGCAGGAAAGACTTACACATCGGCCATGGTTATTGAGCATCTTCATTCACTTCTTCGGTCAGATTCTGAAGATGTGGGGGTTGCTTACTTCTTCTGCAACTACAAGGAGTACGATCACGACGAAGTGAGTGTGGCCAAAAGCTTGCTGAGTATGCTTCTGGGGCAGCTGCGTCATCCTCCCAATGCGGTCATCAAATCCCATCAAATTCATCGACAATTCGGAACCAACCTCAGTGATCCTGACGAGGTGTTCGATGCTCTCAAGGTGTCCATGAGGTCGAAGGCAAGGAATTTCGTCGTCATTGATGCCCTGGATGAACTCCAAGCCCCGGCAAGAAGGCCATTGATATCGAGATTAGTGAATTTACAACAAGACACAGCCGTCAACTTGTTTGTGACGTCTCGTGATATCGGAAACTTTGAGGACCTCTTCCCAGGGGCCACGAGAATTACTATTCAAGCAACCGACCACGACATTCAACAGTATTTGTCAACACACATGAGAGGCTTGCCGCTGTGTGTGCGCAAGAACCCTGCGCTGCAGAACGACATCAAGATTGCCATCGTCCAAGCTGCTGGTGAAATGTGAGGACTGACTCCCTTTCCTTTCCACATTAGCAGATAATTTTAAAGCTTTTCCCTAATAATAGGTACGTCTAGGTTTCTGCTTGCGGATCTTCATCTGCGTTCCCTGATGAACGTGAGACCCTCCCAAAAAGCAATGCGAGAAGCCCTCAAGACTCTTACGACCGGGCCATCAGCAGCTACCGACGCCTTTGAGAACGCCATGAAACGTATTAATGACCAGCCAAAAGAAACATCACGCTTGGCGATGAGAACATTGCTACTACTCACGTATGCTCGGCGACCACTCACTGTTGACGAATTGTGTCATGCTGTTGCCGTAGAAATCGACGAAGAAGATGGGGAATTTGACCAGCATAACGTTCCGGAGATGGAAGATGTTCTGCCTTCGTGTGCCGGCTTAGTAGTGGTCCAATCTCGCCATGAGGTCTCTGGGATCGCTGCGACGTCATTAGATACACGATCAGACTTCTCATATGGGCCGGAAGATGGCTCCTCGTCGTCTTCAGAGGGACCTATCGTGGGCTACACGAATAGCGCTGTCGTCCAGCTGGTGCACAAGTCATTTCAGGACTACCTGTCCTTGACCAAAAGCCAGTGGTTTCCTCGCGCAGAATCTATCATGGACACAATCTGCAGGACTTACATGAGCGCCTGTGAGGAAGTTGAGTCTGCGACTGATCGTCCTTTCTTGGACTACGCCAAATCCCGCTGGGGCTACCATCACTTGAAGGCTGAGGCTGATACCGCGGCACCAGAGATGGACGGTGACCCGAACTTGCCAATTCGCCGCAAGAATTCTCTACCCACCGAGAAACAAAACATGTCTTTGCAGTTTGGAGTCCGCCAACTATCGAAAGAGCTTGGGGGTATGCAGGAACTTCTCTTCTGGGCCTGTGAAGAGGGTAGAATCAATCTTGTTGAGGTGCTCCTAACGACCAACCTCGACGTATACATACGTGAGCTTGAGGAAGACTCGAATGATCCTGGCAGTAGCTCCGGTGAATGTGAGTCTCGTGCTGTTCGTTTCCAGACTCATGCACTGACGGCTGATCAGTCACGGACAAAGACAACGGCATGCCCACAAAAAAACGCGCAGGCGCCAGGCTGATCGACTATGCACTTTCCTATTCGGTGATTAAAGATGGAAACCAGGCCGTGGTTGAATGTCTTCTAGCGCATGGCGCTTTACTCGAACGTCGGCTTCAGTACCCCAAGGGCAACGATCATCACTTTTTCATGGGTTTCACGGCTTTAGGTCACGCTGTGTGGGAAGGCCTAACTGAAATGCTGAGTTTTCTACTGCATCACCCTTCTATTGATGCTATGCTAGCAGATCTGAAGCAATTCCGGTAAGCATTTCTTCTGGAGTACATCGTGGGCCGCATTCAGCACTGTATTCTTTACGCATGCCCAATGCCACATACCTACCTAATATTTCAATGCTCTGACAGCAACATCATCCAGAATTACAATTACAAATGATAGGAAAAGTATTTGCGTCCCTGTACAAATTGGACACACTATCAAACCATCCATTCTTCCCGGATCTTTATTGCCTCCCCTAGAGTTGACTTGGGAGATGACACCGCTTTTCATTGCCGTGTACCGGGACCAAGACGCATGTGTCGACATTATCCTGGATTGGATGCAATCTCACGACCATGAAGCATCAAACGAGACATTGCTGACACTTTTTAAGAGAGCTATGCTACTTGGGCTTCAGTCTGGTTTTGTGAAATCTCTCATCAAGCTTTCCCATATTATCGGCGTCCACAGCGAGCACATTGACGCCGACACCGGGCCAAATCAAGAGCAAGTCACCATTCCTCAAATCGGTATCGCTTTGGACGCAAAGTATCCACTGCGAACACTTCTAGCCGATGAAGGTGTCGATGTCCCACAATCGGATTACTATGATGTGACTGCAATATCCATCGCCACGGAATCCAGCCGCACGGATGTCATACAAACACTGCTATCGATGAGAAACATAGAGATGCAGCCACCATTCCTGGTTGAGTCGCTTTTCCGGGGCAACTCAACCGAGGTATCCCTCATTGCGAACAGGCTCTGCAGTGTTCTTGACAGTAAAAGCCCGAGTAGATTCGACATCCTCGATGAAATACTTTTCTGTGCTCTCCGCCAACAGATCATTCTCTCGTACTCTCACGACAAACACTGGACACGAAGTGATAACATTACAACTCGGACCGACAATCTTGCAGATGTGGATACTTTCGACCTAATTTGGGACACATCTGTACTGGATGTGCAACGTTTCTGCCTTGACTGGGACTTCGTGGATGTGATCTTGCCGTGTATAACCGACTCTGACGATTGCGAGGCTTCCAAGATCACTCCGTCGTCGGATAACATTGGATCAGGTCCGAAGGTTGCGCCCAACAAAGAGTCCAGACTTGGAGTCGAGACACTGTTTCTTGCAGTCGCTTTACGTTCGAAGGAGTTGGTGGAGAAGCTCGTCCAATGCGAGCCCCTCATTGTCCACAAAACCGACACCAAGGGAAGAACGGGGTTAATGGCAGCTGTCTGCACACGATCTGAAGACTTGACCATATTTCTGTTGAAATGCTTGATTGAGGGGTCCGCCGCTCCTACTATCAACGCAACTTCTGAGACCGGATACTCGGCAATCGCATATGCCGTTCGAGCCCGTAATCTTGATCAAGTATTGCGCCTCCTCGAAACTCCCAATTTCGACGTTTGGTCTGTCTTCCACGAGGTTGCTGGAGGCGGTTACCCTTTTGTCTGGGCGCTGGACATGATGGGAGACAATACGATATGTGAATCTATATGCAAAGCCTTGCTGGCTCAAGCTAACCCCAAAAGACTATCCCAGGCCGCTCAGCAGTTACAGAGATTGCCCAAGCGCGTATGTCTTGGTACAGATCGATACAGAGGATACGATGAGTCCTGGAAGACATTGCTGTGTTACGCAGTCATATGCAGACGCTTAGAGACTTTCAAGTTTCTCCTGGACACTATATCAGATTTCGAAGCTCCTGATGGCCGTGGACGAACTGCATTATCCCATGCAGAAGAATCGAGATTGGCCTGTGACAAGTCCCGGAGCATGGTTAATATACTGTTGGCTCGAGGCGCTGATCATCTCATCTTGGATAAAGCACGACGGTTTCCTCTGTGGTATGCATTCGACAATTATCCAAGAGGACTCTACGACGAGGATGACGACCCTGATGCCCGGTTTTGGTGGGAGCATGAGCAGCTCCAGAAATTACATGCCGACAGACCCGGGTTCTTGAGTGAAGTAGATGGAGTCTACAGCGCCCTTTTCGATTTGGCCGTCGCCCAGTGCGCCACTATCGTGTTGGAATTTCTTGTCGAAGTCTGCAGTAGTAACTGTCCGCTTGAATGCATGGGCACATCAGGCCTCACCCCATTGGCAAAGATGGTGCTTAGCTTGAACGTCGTCTTACCGACGACGGGAAGCAATGACGATCGCCCCCACCGAAATAAGTCGGAGTCCTTGAAATACAATGTGAAGGTTTGGTACGCAAAAGTCAAACGGTTTTACATGCTTCTGGGTCGCCTAAAAATCTCTCACGACGTCCCAGACAAGGATGGCAAGACGGCTCTATGTCATGCCCTCGACCGATTGTACGCAGAGCACTGCGAAAATTCTCTTTATTCGTCTCTGCAGGATTTTCGCCGTTCAGAAGGTCTCACAGACTTTCTTTTCTTCATAATCGAAGACCTGCTCGACAAAAGTGATTCTAATCCGTTGACGTTGAATCAAGAGGGTTACTCACCTCTTGATCTGGCAGAGGCCTTGTTGGACCAACTCAAGCAGAAATCAGCCCACAGGACTCAACAATGGGATTCTAATTCTAAAAGCTCGAGCTCTTTGAGTTCCATTCCAGACAGTCGACTCTTGGATACCTCGAAGATAGCTGGCTCGGCGGAAACCCCATCTGTTGTTGGGGAGCTGGCCGCGGGAACAGCACTCAAAGCACTTAACGGCGCCGTTGACTTGCTCGATACACTTGAAGAAGAGGAAACCTCTGAGAGCCTCAACTGCAGCAACCGCAAAGAGAAAGCCACCCTGGAAATGGATGAGAACACGATCATCGGCGGGAGGACAAAGATGAAGGCTGCAATACAGGCACTCAAATTCGAATGGCTTCACAAGAATGCGGTGGAGGAGCAGCGGCTTGAGACATCTGTTGAGGATGACACATGAAAATGAGGCCTATCGCTCATATCGAATGAAGCATTCTTCACGAAAGAATCAGTCGTCTAACTTGTCTACAATCATCTGTCTCTAAACCAGTGCCGCCGTCTCCCCGCCCAGAAATTACTGTTCACAATTGATCAGCCTGGTTATCGAGGTAGTGTAGTGGTCATCATGTTGTCACCCTTCTCATCCAAACATAATCACCATCATTCCTCGTCTGCCCAAAATGCCGATTGATTTAAAGTCGACAAGCTGACACTTATCTGCTGCCATTTAAATTCCTGTCGCTGCATCTTCTATCGGCAAGCAGTTCCGCTGTATCCCTCAACATCATTGTGGCATCTTGCCGGATTAGTCACACTGCCTGTTAACCCCTCACCTAGTATGTAAATCCCAGGTTCAACTCACAACTTTGCCCTATCAAGTCAGACCATACAGCAAAAATGGCTTCAATGGATAAAGTATTCGCTAGCTATCAGCAGAGAAAGAATCTACTCGAAACGGAGACCAGTCCCTTTTCAAAAGGTATCGCATGGATCGATGGAGAACTCGCACCTCTGTCCGAAGCCAGGATACCGCTCATGGACCAGGGCTTCCTGCACAGCGACCTCACTTATGATGTACCTTCTGTCTGGGATGGTCGCTTTTTTCGCCTGGACGATCACATCACTCGCCTAGAAACGAGTTGCACAAAGCTACGGCTAAAGCTGCCTTTGCCTCGGGAGGAAGTCAAGAGCACCCTCATCGACATGGTAGCCAAGAGCGGCATCAAGGACGCCTTTGTGGAGCTTATCGTGACCCGCGGCCTCAAGGGTGTACGGGGCTCACAGGCCGAAGATCTCTCGAACAAGTTATACATGTTCATCATGCCGTTTATCTGGGTCATGGAGCCTGAAATGCAATCCAATGGCGGCAGTGCAGTCATTGCACGGACTGTACGACGGGTACCTCCCGGGGCAATTGATCCAACTGTCAAGAACCTCCAATGGGGTGACTTGACACGAGCCATGTTCGAGGCGGCAGACCGAGGGGCAACACATCCTTTCCTCACGGACGGAGATGGCAACCTCACTGAGGGGTCTGGCTTTAATATCTGCCTTATCAAGGACGGCACGCTTTACACACCCGACCGAGGTGTTCTGGAGGGTGTTACTCGCAAGAGCGTATTCGACACTGCTAAGGTCCTCGGCCTCCCTGTCCGTAAAGAGGTTGTCCCGGTTGAGATGGCTTATCAGTGCGACGAAATATTCATGTGCACCACTGCAGGAGGTATCATGCCGATTACAACACTCGACGGCCAGCCCGTGAAGAATGGAAAAGTTGGACCTATTACGAAGAAGATCTGGGATGCCTATTGGGCTATGCATTATGATTCCAACTATAGCTTCGAGATCGACTATAGTGTTGTTTGATGAGTCAATTCGAATGTATTCATTGTCCTTGATGAGTGAAGAACACATCCATGCTATTTTCCTTCGGCGAACGACTCACTCCTCTCAGCAAGCCAGCCATCGGGATGCGCACCCTCTCCAATAACGAGCCGATTCTTGATCAACCACGCGTCCCCTTCCCTCACAAAAATGTCCTCCCAGCGACCCCAGTGATCCAAGACTCCAAGCGGTGTCTGATCAGTGATGGCGAAAAATTGAGAGTCAACGTGCGCCTCGTTGTCGCTAACGAATGTGGCGCGCCACGACGTCAGGTGGTGGCGGATATAGGCTGCTTCGCCCTCACCTGCCACGGCCGATATCTGCGAGGGGTGAACACTGATGGCTCCACCCGGGCCAAAGCGAAACTTGGCGTCGGCCGTGAAGAGTTTCGCTATCTGATCCCAATCTGAGTTCCCACGGGCAAGAGTGCAGTACGTGTTGAGGATGACTTGGATTTCGGACAAGGCAACAGTACGTTTGATGGAGCCGGGTTGGTTTAGGGCTGTCATTCTGCAGTGATGGTATATGTCTTGGTTAGATTCCTGCCAAAATGTGATCTATCAGGAAGATCTACATAGGAATGGTGATAGTAAGATTTTCTGCATAATGCCAGAGACTGAAGCTTGGGTTTTATAAAGATGAAGCCTCTTTTCGGGTGCACCTCGGCCGTCTCGTCGGGATTAACACACTCGCACAAATGTCCGGACACTGCGTGAATCTTACTTCCCCCTTCCCTACAGACATTCGACCTACAAGCTATTTCAAGCGTAATGACTGTGAAGAAATTGGTAATTCTTTAGTAACCGGCATAGTAACTAGTCAAAGGACATCGCGGGTGGGGGAGGGGCCGGACGGTTTAGCCTCCACCATCCGCCGGCCGATGCCCACCGTCCACCGGCCAATGCGCGCTGGCCCGCCAGGAATCGATTCTATAAGCAATTACACATTCTTTGCCAATCATCCGAGGAAGTTTCCGCGGCCCTAACTTGTGTCTGCTCAAGTCTTCATTAGAGAAGTAATGACATAGTGGCCCACCATGGCAACTGGGATCGAAATGGGTGCGTGCCTCAGGTGCCCATTTGCATCCGGCACAAGCAGAAGAAATGATTCATTATAAGTATTCATGGTATCCATAATTGAAATGGTGGTCTTTGTAATTTCATTACGTCCTTGAATTCCAAAGAGAGAACTCAAAATACTTTGGTGAGCGGTAATTATGTCTTCAGATCGAGCTGACGTCCTCATAATCGGAGCGGGCCCTGTGGGCTTATTCACTGCGCTGCGCCTAGGTCAGGCAGGAGTAAAGGTTGTGGTTATTGAAAAAGACCCCGCTGTGCTCCAGCTGCCTCGATCTTGCGGCTACTACCCCGTGATTCAGTTCGCTTTCCAAGAAGCCGGCATTTACAACACTATTATCCAGCATGGCGGGTTTCGTACGACAGGCATGGACTGGCGCAGGAATCCCAGCGACGACGGCATGGGCGGCAAGAAGGCTGGTGAGCTGGTCGGTGGCATGCCCCAGGAAGAGAAGCTCGACGTATATGGACCCCCAGGTAATGGCACGCTGAACATGCCGCAGCCCAAGCTCTGCCAAATCCTGTTGGACGAGGCAATGAAGCAGGAAACTGTCAGCATTTGCTTCAATACGGAGCTTGTGGCAATCTACAATGAAGAAGGGGACGAGTTTGTGAAGGCCGAGACCAAGGACGTCACCACTGGAGACAAGAAAATCTTCGCCGGTCGTTACCTCGTTGGCGCTGACGGAGGAAAGTCAAAGACAAGAAGGCTCCTCGGAATACCTTTTAGCGGACATACCTGGCCCGAGAAACTGCTGGCGACTGATGTTTGGCTTATGAACTACGAAGAGAGCCCTATTACGACAACCTACCTGCTTGATCCTGTGCATTATACCGTTATCACACCACTGACGCGACCAGTAACTGGGGAGAAGTCCATGTGGAGAATTGCCTTTGCCCTGGCTCCGGACGATACCAGAAATGATGAGGAGCTCCTGTCCGACGAACACATATATTCTCACTACGACAGAATCTGGCCAGGACCCAGGCCACTGCCGTTCCAGACTGAGAATCGCACGACATACGTTATTCACCAACGCCTTGCTGCGACAATGAAGCGCGGCAGGTGTCTTTTGGCCGGAGATGCAGCGCATCTTGTCAACGTGAGTGCTCATTCCCTCTATGAACTAATGCCGCAGAGGAGAGAGAAGAAGAGACAGAGCCGTCCGATTTTCAACGCTTGCTATCCATAAGAGACAGAGAACAAGCACTAACTTCTTGTATCACATACCTCAGCCAATGGGTGCACTAGGTCTGAACACTGGCTTCCTCGATGCCATCGCGCTGAGCGACGCGCTCAAGATGATCTTGAAGGAAGGCAAGCCGGCAGACCGCGTTCTGCAAACTTACTCGAATGAGCGCCGCAAGGTTGTGCAGGACTTTGTCGGCCCGACTTCCACGTATAATAAGCTCCGGCTACACTCCATCAACATCGAGACTGCCGCCCAGGATGACTGGTTCTTCCGCTCGCTGCAGGATTACTCGTCTGAGGACTTTAGGAGATATTGGGGTCGCCTTGACCAGATGTGGCCTACCGACATGAGAGCACTGGTCGAGAAGAGCGTATAGATTCCCTCCACAGGTTAGAAGCTGTCGCTTGAACACTGGTTTTCCGAGGAGGCTGGCCGGTTTGACGCGGCTGAATCTGAAGCAATTGAATTATTGACGAGAGGGTGCGTCAAAACAAAGCGGTGCTGGGCTTTTGTGTCCCTACATGCACGCATGCACGCGGACCATTACCATGACCGACGAAAAAGCGCCACTTTCGGCGTCATCGGTCTGGATCTCATTGTTGTATTCAATCTTGACTATTTTGCGGGGAAGAGGAGGCATTCTGGGGTTTAACACCTGTATGGGGATAACGGACCGACTACCAACCCAGAAAGGGTAACATCCGCTGAATCGGTGTGGCAGTTGTGGGCACGCGGCGATCAGTATTTGTACTTATATCCACAGACTATTGCTTGGCAGTTCAATTCTCGGTAGTAATTGAGAGCCCGAGCGGATCCGAACATAGACTATATACATCTTCTTCAGGTTCTTATAACGAATTCTTTGGGTTGTCGTTTCCTGCATATTTGGCAAGAACCCTCTCCTCACAGGATCCCCGTCATTCTTCAAAGGCACGAGCTAGTACTAATAATGGGCCCCATGCGTAATATGAGACTGTTGATGCTCCCAGCAGTCATACCGGGTGCGTTCTCTGCGCTCTGTACGCCGCTGGCCTGTTCTTCAGTCCATGTCTTCCTCATCCGCGGCACTAATGAGCCCTACCCGGGCCGACAACTACCCACCGCAGAGGCAATATGCAAAGACTGGGACTGCTCGTGGTCGAATATCGAGTATCCAGCTGTGTTCAACGACTACTGCGAATCTGCTGAGACCGGCATCGCCAACCTTGGCAAGGCCGTCACCGACTATGCAACCCGCTGTCCAGACTCCAAGATCGTTCTGTCGGGCCACAGCCAGGGCGGCCAGGTCGTAGGCGATTATCTCGGTGGTGGCGGAGGCAACGCCACATCTTGCACGCAAGAGACAAGCCAGGGAATTTCTCCTGGAACGTTTCCAGCAGACCACAGTAAGTAAGCTCCGAGATTAGGGAAGACTTTTCCGTGCGGACAGGGTGACAGACCACAGAAATGCTGAAATACATGACAGTCATCGCAGCATTGATGTTTGGATCCCCCCGTCACAATGCAAACCAGTCGTATAACCTGCTGGTAGGGGCTAGAGCAACCTCTGTAAGTGTCTTGGAGCAAGGGGTCGTCTTGTAGGGAATCTGTGCTGACATACACCAACAGGCTTGGCCACGAGAGGGCGAACAGCTCCAAGCACTGAATCTCTGGTCTGACAAGCTTCGCGATTATTGTAATCTGGACGATCCCGCTTGCGCTGGAGGATCAAACTGGACCGCCCATGAGAATTATTTCGAGCTTTACAAAGACGATTCCGCACAGTTTGTGAGGTTTAAGGCTTGCAAATAAGACTCGGATGTAGATGTCGGAAAGATCATATTAATTAGTGAACAATGTAAACTCATACTGCCCTCTCAAAAACCGCTTGTTTCCTTATGAATGTTGCACTTCAACAAACCACGTGATGGTTTTCAGGATGCTCGGGGGTGTTTCTATGAGGGCCCAAGGCCTACAAAAACTGGGCTGATGCTCTAGTACCATATCTAACTACTGCACAAAGCGAGGGGATAGAGAAAGGGGGGGAGGGAGAGGGATAGCAACATGAACAATAGACATTGTTTAACATCGAGACTCAAAATATATATCCTATAATAGAATTCCTGTATGAATTATATCTCAATACTGATCCAAATAAGGGAATTATACATTACATACATTATCATTAGTTGTTCTGCTTATGTGATATCATTTTGGGATATATTGTATCTGCATTTGAGTGATGAATTTTGAACACTATCAAATTTATTGAAGCTACAATAAAAGATGCACAACATTTATGTCTTCAGGAACCTCGTCGAATGGTGACCTATATGCTTTTAGGCATCATCACTCCTTACTGCTGATCACGCGGAACCTATAGCCGCGGTCTGCAACACTGAAATCGGCCTTCATGTTCTGAGCCGCTCTTTCTAGCTCCTCAACATCTGCAATTTCGGAGTTCACATTCGCATACTGATCTTCCACTCCGTAGAACAAATGTGGAAGGATCGACGACTTCCAGATGATCTCTTTCTGCCCTTGTGCGAAACCTGAAACCACCATGGCGATGAGAAGCGCGAGGGTGCCCATGACTAGGCAGAGTGGAAATATCAGCCACGCAGCGCGGAACTGCACACAGACCTTAGTGCTGTACTCCGTGCCCGACACGTTCGTCGGGTTGCCGTTCCAGTCTGTCCCCAGCATACGTAGCTGACCGTTGAGGCTATTGAAGGCGCTATCCATGTAGTTTCGAATGCTCTCTATAGAAGCGTGACCGCCATTGTATATCGCACTTAGCCACCATGCCTCAGTGCACATCATCGCGCTATAGCCCAAGTATGGGGAGCAGTCGCTCTTCACCGTTGAGGAGTCAGTATCGCCAATCATGATCTTCTCCAACCTCCCCGCCGAGGTCAAAGCCGACGCCCAGCCGTCGTGGAAGCCGTAGATGCAGCGTTGTGGAGCGACATGTCCTCGGATATCAAACAGTCCTCCAGGGGCGAAGGAGTAGTTTGCGCTTGTGTAAAAGACACCATCAATCACACAGGGGTCCAAAACCTCGCCAACCCAGCCGGTAGTGTTTCCGATGGAAAACTTAGCATATCGCAATGGGATCGGGTCAGACACAAGGCTTTCAAGGACTTCTCCACTAACAATCGAGCCATTCAATTTCCGTAGCGAGGGATAGCTAAAGCAGACAGCAGCTGTCACCGCGAAGAATCCCGGGAAGCTTGTCACATTCGGCATGTTGAGTTGAGGGCACGAACTTGTGTTCACCGGAGGCATCGCCATGTCTTCCTGGTTCTCGAGGTACTTTTGGTACATTCCACGGTCCTGGCATGGGCTTGTAGTTGGCACAAGTAATCCTATCGCTTGCCAAGGAGTTTCTTTGAGAGTGTTGTTTAGCAGGCTTTGGTTCAGCGCTCGTTGTGCCAAGTTCCCGTAGCTGTTCAGCGTGGACATGGCCAGCATGGTCTCCCAACGACCGCCATTTCTGGACATGCTCCAATAAGTTGGCGAGAGATGGTAGGTCAGGGTGAGTTCAGAGGATAAGCTGTAGTTAATTGATCTTCCTGTGACGGCCATGGGGTCAGCGGGGTCCCAGGAAAGATCAGTGGGATCCCAAGAAAGTGGGCCTGATTGACTCAACATAGAAGACATATCCACGCAGGCGCTGCTGAAACCAACTGTGGCATAAGATATTTTGTTCGTAGTTGGGAAGGTACAATTGCCAGAACTACAGACAGGTGAAAGCGTGTTGTTTGGCCGTGACGCAGATAGCCCAGTAATGAAGGCCGCCCTCAACTCCACGGCAAGGCCCCAAGGCGCGAGTGCAAATGTGTCTCCTAGCTCCACAAGCGCCGTCAAGCTGGTTTGTGCAAAAGCCATGGAGGCTTTGCCATTCTCTATTTCCTTTAAGCAGGGCGTGGTCTGGAGGGATTGCTGGGTGAAGACTCCTATTCCTAGGGAAAGGGTTGTTATGATTGCACCAATATTCGCAAGGTTGCTTTTGAAGTCGAGTCAGTGCCATGTCTTGGGAGCAGAAGGGAATTAGACTGCGTAAATCCAGGATATCAACTAGCAAAGTTGCCTCCTCTCTAATACTTACAGACCGAACAACCAAAAATTGAACTGAATGGATCCCCAAACGCCATGACTAGCTCCGTCGTAAAGTTTCAAATGATAAAGTGGATGTGCTGAGGACCGATACCATCTCCATTTGAGCTGGCCTAGGACTGAAGAACAGGTTATCATCAGCGCTTAATTTCCACAGAAAATAAAAACCTGTTTACACATTGTTCACCTCGGCGGGCTGCTTACCTGACTCGAGGACCTGCCCGATCATAGACCTCGTAATCGTGGCAAGCAAAGCGACTAGGGCGCTTAGACTTAGCATACTAGCATATGGCCATTGCGGCTGTTGAAGACCATGAAACTGGCTTAGAAGCGAAAATATAGCAGTAAGCGAGAGAAGCGCGGTGCAGAAGCACAAAAATTCGGGTGCCCAGGACGCTGGTGAGGCGCGCTCATGTGCTTTAGTCAAGGGGCTTTCAACCAACACTTCCGGCCTGCCGTTCCCGTCTTCATCCTCGCCAAAGCTTGAGCTCTCACCCACAGTTTGCAGGCTTGGAGCCCGGAGGCTTTCGACCTCAGATGAATGGCGAGCAGGGCTTGCTGAATAACTGTCACGCCCCGTTGTAAACTGGCGTATCTCGGTGTCTTCCAGCAAAACCCTGGTCGAATTATCCATCGACGGCAAGGAAGTTCGTCTCGGCGTGGGAAAAGAATCGAGTTCGTACATAATGTAAGACAAGTGCCATAGAAACCTTTAATGTCAGAATAGCTGTGGACGGAAGACAAACTGGGCTCGCGCCTCGAGCCGAGAAATAATTGTGCGGTGCCTGTGCTTCAGCAGAGTCACTATGTCGGGTTGTTCTCCTGATGGGAGGATGGTTGCAATTGGCGAGGGTCAATGGTCAATTTGAAAGACTGTGAAAACGACGAGTTGACAATGACGAGAGGATCTCAGCTGGAAATGGAGAGGGGTCGATATGCACTGAGCCATACTGCCTGGACCACAGTGTCGTGGGTTCACAGCGTTTGTATTACAATCAGCGTGGCGCCCAACAGCGAATAATACACTCTTTTGATTCCGAAATACACAAGAACATCCTTGCTTTCTCCCCCGAAAGTGCTGAGAAAGTGCCAGACTGGAGAGTTGCAGTGTGAAAACGATGAAGTGTAGCTACAAACAAATCCGAGTCTGAGAGTAATAGCATTCTGGCCCTTGTGCCCTGCTTCGCTTGTCTGAAAGCAAATACCGCAACAAGATTGTAGGCGTGTTGTGACTTCAGCTGACCAGCTTACATACTGTTAGGGTCTATGCTAGGCTGCTGTGAGCAGCGGCTTCATCTTGTTTCACTTAATCTGTGCCGCTGTACCGATTGCCCAAGGCGTGTGGAGACCTCTTCCTACAGAACGGCGGGAGCAACGATCTTCTACTTGGACAAGCGTTAATTGTGACCTTGCTCGGTGAAACTCATTGACAACCCAAGGATGGTGGACACCACTCAGACAAAGAAACTGCCGTCACGGAATTATTGCAGTGAGAACATTGGAAACCAACGCAAAGCCAAGTTGGGCCTGCTTAGTCTATGCAAATGCAAGAAAGGTACTCGTCCACCCCAGTAACGAATGTCCTGTGACGAGTGGTTTTTCTACCAACCCGGAGCCACGCGACTTGAGTCGTCTTAACGAAGGCCCATTAAACTCCTCCAACGCCATACCGAAATATGAGGCCCCTCTGCCGGCCTTACAATGAAGGCAAAAATATCTTTCTGATGAAGAGAAAAGAAAAAGAGCATGACCATCATTAAGGTTTGCTCGACCGGTTTGCACCATCGCCACCCGTGGACCAACTGAACGTCCGTCTTGCTGCGTAGGCCTGCATTGGTGACATCGACGTAGGCAGCTCTACTGGTGGAGCTTGTGGGTGTTGTTGTTGCTGCTGCTGAGCCCCTGGGGTGCTAGTTCGCTGTGGAACGTTGCTGTTACGATTGTCAGTGATGGTCCGTCTTATCATACTGGCGCAACTTACAATAAGCCTCCGTTTTCTGACCCTTGCATGAACGGAGTCCCCATCCCTGGCGCGCTCCCGAAGTGTTGATATGAGTTCTGTGAGTGGACACTCATCGGCGGTGGGCTTCCACTGTGGACCGAGTAGCTGGGTACGCCTTGCGACACGCCGTGTCCTTGCTGTTGCTGGTATGGGTCGTTCGAAGGAGTGACCGAGTAGGCCGTCGTCGCGAATGTCTCCTGGCCCGGGCTCTTCGCGCTGCCATTGTACTTCACTTCGGCCATGGGCGGCGGCGCCATCGCGTGCCTACTTTGTCGGTTGTATGCCTTGTCCAGCCCTCCTCTCCGACCACACAAGTAGAGGAGTGTTGCTGCGATGAGGAGCACTACTGCCCCACCGATGGAAATACCGGCGATAGCTCCAGCGCTGAGTGGCGAACTGGAATGAGAATGGCTGTCGGATCCCGAAGATGAGCCTGAAGTTGCTGTTGCACCCGCCGTGCCGGCCGCGGTTTCAGAAGGCAATGGATCACCCGGTGTGACTTGCATGGTTGTGTTCTTCGTGTACGCAAGCTGTACGTCCAGAGTCTGCGTGGCGTTGGGGTTGATGACGCCAATCATCCAATTGTCGATGCACGATCCCGGCGCTGCACAATAAAACCAAATGGGAGCAGTGTCATTCACCCTGACTGAGAATGTAGGGCCCTGTCATGTCATGTCAATAAGGGTGGTAGATGAGCATCTAAGCGCACCGACTTACATCATTGGTGATCGTGGCAACATCCTCAAAGCCAGAAAAGAAGCCGACCTTGTTCGGGCCGGTATATTCATACGGTATACTGATTTGATATTAGGTTCGCCCAAGCTTTCTGCCAACACGAAGGTACTCACCATGGATACTTGTATTCCGCTCGAACCACGGAGTGCCCAGTTGGATAGAATCTGAACTCTGTTCCCAGATACAGTGTCAGTGAGAGGCCGTAGACAGGATCGTGTATATGTCAGTGCTCACGGATGATATCTCCCACCGATGCGTTTACTGTTTGTGGCGTGAACTTATGGCCTTCCTAAAACATTGATTAACATCGAGAACGGCCTCATAAGTTGGAGTAGAGACCATACTGCGCCCACAGACACCGAAATCGTGTTTACTGCGGAGGCCGATGCGGACGTAGCCGAAGCGGTCCTGCTTGACCCTGCGCTGGACGAAGCCGAATCGGAGTCCTCCGTACTCTGAGCGCCGACGACAGTAGCCAGGGCTGTCAAGCCTGCGAATATCTTCGATAGCATCATTTTGATCGCAGGTTGTTCAACTCGAACTTTCAAAGCAGCTGTGTTGCATATCTTGGAGTTGAGCGAGTCAACCTCGTGAGGCAAGGTGAGTAAGGAAGGATGACAAAATTGACAGGAGAGATAGAGCTGGGCCGGGCAGTTCAGAGGAAACAAATCGATTACGTGGGCAAGCAGAAGGGCAGAGGAAGAAGCGTGGGTGTGAGGAGTGAGCCACAAGTAAGGCAGGGCCTGCCAGTCCAAGAATAAGACAAAAGAGGAATCCTCTTGTCCTCACTTGTTGCTGACTGCAGTGCACACATACCAGCCAAGTATGGAAAATAGCAACACGACACTGGCCAAGTTGTCCCACCACGCTCAGCTTGCAGACAGCACTAGCTTCCGACGAGTTTGCCAGCCACAGCAGCTCTCCACATCTTCTGTTGCATGTTGGTGCTGTCAAAGGACCGAAGACCACCTTGGCCATCCTTCCCATGACGAGCCTTCCTTATCAGGCTACCAACATCATGTAAGAGACAAGGAAAGAAGGGTGGTGGGGCTTCATGGTGAAGGAGTGATGACCTTCTCCTTACTCATAGCTTTGGGGGCTTAAGCGAGGAGATGTTGGCCTCGTTCAACATCACCGTCTATCGAAATACCATTCGCACATAGAGTGGGATCATGGGAATCCTGAGAACAGTCCGTCAAGAGACGGCTTCGCCTCGGCTGGAGCTTGGTGGGAGGAGGTGGTGGTGGGCTCCCAATGGGGCCGGCATCAGATGCACTATATGGTTACAGTGCAGCACCGACGCCGCATGCAGCCGGAGGGGCGATGTCTAAATCCAGGATCCAAGAATCGAGCCAATGGGCCATCATACACAGAGCTCAATGGAACGTAATGAGATGCGAGGTCGAGGCGTTGGCTGAATCTCGGACTGCTAGCCAGTACTTGGCAGATATTGATGGGTGTCCTCGGATAAAACCGACGAGGACTATGACTGCTGGCAAGTCGCCATATGGTGCAGTCTTGGGCAAGACGTATTTGCGCTGTACATGTACTGCAAGTGGCATGGCCAACTTGTTGATCTGTCAGAATCAACCAACTGCGCGCAGACCCCGAGGCGGTGAAGGGTGTGTTCAGGCACACGACGATAGGTTCGAAAGGTCCACATATGAGCGCAAGCCAGGGCTGAGGGTTGAGCACCGAAGAAATTGACCTGCGAACTGTTCGTTCATGTCCGTCATCCGGCGGCCGAACAAGGACAGCGTCGATGCTGGCAAAATTGCGGTTGTGTAGTGTCTAGATGAGATCGATGCCAAAATAGATTGCGGCGCGGTACTTGAGTGGTCTGTTGCGGGGATGGATCCGACAGGATTACTTAGCTCGTAGGCTAAGTCAGCCCTGCCCTACGGTGGAACTCTTGCTTCCAGGGCATCCCCTGCCTGGTTCCTCATCAAGAATGCAATAACATGCCCTCTCCCCACCCCATTTTGAGAGACCATCAGGTTTCATGACTGCCTTCAGGTGGTGTTTGCGGAGGGGAGTTTAAGCCCCCAAGAGAGAAAGAGGTGAGAGAGAGAGAAAGAAAGGCTTCCAGTCTAGATGCCTTCAGCCGTCAGCCGCAGTCCGTCTAGCTTGGCATCCCGCGGCCCGTCCTTCGCCACCTCTCAGGCCCGATATCACGTAGAGCGAGGCACCGTTTGCTAGTCTGCGGCACAGGGCTCCAGTCTAATCAACAATACGAACCCACCTGAGCAGACCATGACCCAAGCTGGGCCGAGATTACTCAAGAAGGTAGCCTCTGATGCAACGAGTATCAGTCGCGTACAGCAGCACTGTCTTCTCTCTTGATCATCACACGGGGTCAGGAAGTAGATATAGATGTCTCTGGCCGCAAGTGGCTGTACGCAAACTCGAAATTGCTGACATAGACTTCTGGAAGCTGGAAGTAATCAAAGCTCGGCAATTGGATGGGCGCCCAAACAGCGGCCTGCATGCCCTCGCCCCCGCCGCGGACCCTCATTGTCGGGAAAGCTCCGTCCACGCAAGCGGCCGAATCCGTGGCCGCGGCACTCCCACTCGGTTACATACTCTACTCACTCTGCAAGGTGGACTACACCAGCAAGTTTCACAGTGCAATGATAACCTCCCGTGGGATAACCTTCTGTAGGGTAACCTCCTGTGGGATAACCTCCTGTGGGATAACCTCCTGTGGGTAACCTCCTGTGGGATAACCTCCTGTGGGATAACCTCCTGTGGGTAACCTCCTGTGGAATAACTTCCTATAGGATAACCTCCTATGGGATAACCTCTTGTGGGATAACCTTCTGTAGGATAACCTCCTGTGGGATAACCTCCTGTGGGATAACCTCCTGTGGGATAACCTCCTGTGGGATAACCTCCTGTGGGTAACCTCTTATGGGATAACCTCTTATTGGATACGTTCCTGTTAGATAACCCTTTGCAAAAGGAGGTAACTAAGCCACAGGCGGCTGCACAGTGACATGTTGTGATTTTTGAGAGTGTGGTGGTGTTGCTGTCCCAACGGTGTATGTGAAATCTAGGTCCAGACCCAGAAGAAGAGGAAGGAAAAGCGGGCAAAATACAGCCTGCAGGAAAGCAAAAGAGACAGAAGAGGAGCAAAAGCCCCAAGCCCTTCCAGAACCCACGGCTGACCAAAGACGCCCAGGACGGATGCACAATCATCAAATAGACCGCGGACGCAGTTTCCAAAGGGGTGCAAGCCGTGTACCACCACATGCCGCTTCCAGAGTTGATCGCCGCGAGCCTGCTTGGTCGGGCAGGCCGCTTACCAGCAGGCTGGGCCTTCTGGGCGAGGAGTTCTCCGCCCAGGATTCGACACATGTGAGATCTCCGCCCGCGCAGCATGCTCATGTGGTGTGTGCTGCAGGCTGTCCTGGCTGTGTGGCTTGGAGTGGCGTCAGCACGTTGGACACCATCATCTTGATCCCAGTCCGCTCGCGTGTGGGATGCGGCATGGAATTTGGATAAGGCTGTGTTGTAAGGCGCCATAAGATCCTCTCCGACAGGGAACTTTGGTTCTGTAGATTCATGGAAAACTGATACGGTCTTGGGTAACAGCTTTTCTGGATTTCGATTCCAATACTTGAAATGGAAGTGCATGTACACAGAGTACAACTGGGATATCTAATCAGATAAGAAGAAAATGAAAACAAGACTGGTATAATGCCACCGTGCTATGCTTTTATGTCCACAAAACACCCTGCCTCCCACATTTTATATCAGATTGAAAATTGAAGTTCTCTCCCGAGACATCGCGCACTAGTTCTCAGAATGCGTCCGCGTACCCATGTTATTGCGTCTTCTTTTGCGCGGAAACAGATTTTCGGGGTAGGATCTGGGCCTCTACCACCAACCGATAGAGACACCACAGGTAACAGATTCCGAAGCCTGCCGCACCAACGCCAACGTTAAGTACAGTCCACAGATCCGGCTTGTCCTCCGGCGGGGCGACAAAACCCTCAAGAACATGCCAGGCTGCCATGGCAAGGTAGAAACCGCTGTGTAGGAGGAAAGTGGCCCACTGAGTCAATGCGTTGCTGTTGCCCTCAAAGTAAGCACCAAGAGATGTAGGCGGGAGACCGAGCAGATAAGCCCAAAGACCGGTGATCACGGCATATGGAACACGCAAGTCGACCCGCTGGAGGAGAGGGAACATTGTCCACGATCCCAGGATGTTCGCAAATCCAACCCAAGCCCGTGTGTCTTTTCCAAGACCGTTGTTACCGGCCAGCAGCAAAGTCATGGGCATCAGTGGGAGCAGCACGCTTTTCTCGTGGACTTGGAAGCTGAACAAGAAGAATGCCCAGGCAGTCGTCGCGAACCCCAAGGGCAAGAGCTCCTTCTTTGGCTTGAAGAACAAGATCAGGCTGGGGATCAGACTGAACGCAAGGGTCGCACCTAGGGATGCCTTTTGCAAGAGCTCCGAGGGGTACTGTCGTAATTTGATGACCACATTAAGGGCGCACCAGAAGTTGGCGACTTTGTCCTCAAACAGGCCCCTGGCGAAGGGGAAGACGCGGTGCACCATTTGGACAAGCTGCTCGATTATAGGCCAGTAGAAGACGTTCGTATCGACGTAGTCCTCGATCCATTGGAATATGGGCAGGCGCGCATCAGGCCCTTGCAGCCCATCCCTCGGAGAGGCGCCCTGGCTCTTGTCATACAGCGCGCCGGCGACCAGAGGGAGGAGGAGGACGGCGAATGAGACGACAGTGCCGAGTGCGATTGCGAGCAGGCGAGTGATTCTGATGCGCGGGAAAGTACAGCTGCCCAGGAGGAAGAAGAAGACTGGTAGTGCGTAGTAGAGAGCCATCTGCTTGAAGCCGAGTGCGGCGACGAAGAAAACCGATGCCCAGAAGAAACGCCCCGCGAGCATTGAAGACATGCTCGCTATAACAAATCCCAGCATTACGGTGTTATATTGGAAGTGAATGTGGTCAATGAGTATCGTCCCGGGCTGCATGAGCACGGCAACGAGAGCCACCGAGGTTGTCCAGTTTGACACACCGAGAAGTCTGCCGTAACGCCTCACGAACATGACGACCGCAGGGACGAAAATGAGGTATTCCGACACGATGACGGTCGCTCGCATGAATATCTTCAGATTGGCATCATGAATGCCCCGCGACGTATAGAGCGCGAACCAGGAGGGATTGATGAGGGTGCCAATCTTGCCGCACAGCCAGCTGTGATATGCCGTCAGGGGCGGGTAGTCGAGTCCCCACCATTCTAGGTCGTAGAAGTACCATGATGATATGGGCAGCTGCGTAGTGATCTCCATCCAATGTCTCTGAGCCTCGTAGTCACCGAACATTGGGGGCTTCTCGAATCCTGGAAATACACAAATTGCTGTCAGTCGCATGCTTCCTGGGACGAACTCGCCGGAATAGCCCCCAGGCCAACACTCACCTGAATATCCCCAGAGACCGGCTGCCCACCTGAACAGGCCGACTACCATGAGGATAAGGGGCAGAACCTCCCATTGCGACACTGAGCCTCTTGCCGGCCAGAGAAAGGCTGACAGTGGGAAGGAGGGCGTCCGGACAAGGGTCTCGGCCTTTGAGAGCTGGAAGCCTTTTCCATCGCCGTTCTTCACCTTGCGTCGAGGCTTGTGGTGACTACCTGAAGGTGTTCCAGCCATTGTTGCTGTCGAGAATCGCAGCTGAGGACAACTGAGATTTCGAGGATTGGCTGCAAAGGGTGGCAGCGGTTGTGGGTTGTGGATTGTGTCCGTGGTGACCCAATTGCGGGTGGGTGGAGGATCGTCAAGAAACTGCGAACTGAGGTTTCTGGAAGCTGTCCAGAAGCAAGCTCCAGCTCCGACACCCTGGCCAGGCTTGCGTACCCCGGGATCGGCATCTAACACTACTCCGGGCTAATAGTGGAGCTGTCCCCTGGACCACAGGCACATGGATGCCCATGACATCAGTGCGTTACAGAGGAAAGGACCCTGCATCTGTGACAAGGCAGTCGAGCTGTAGATGCCTTAGACACTGCAGATGCCAAAACATTCCACCATGCCAATGCCAACGCAAACGCCAAGAGCTTGAGCCCCTCAGTACGTCCAGCTTGTGCTGGCCGCCCTCGCCTGTGATTGTTAGGTACCAAACCAAACACAAAGTGTCCTTCAGGACGCAGGTGGTCTCTTGCAACACTTGAACTTACAGTTTATCTAGAGACCGTTTCCTCAAGATGCCGTTCCCTTTCATCCTCCCCACGACCTCAGCCTTCTCCTACTCCACGAGCTTCACCTGCGACTCGCATCCCTCGCTCCCTCTCTCAGCGAGTACCCAGCGTGGGGTCGTCCGAGATGTCCTTAAGAAGCATAAGCGGTCCTCTCCACAAGCGCAAAGCTCCAACCTCCCGACCATCATCTCCGCCATAACTGGGTACCTCCCCTACCTCCTCGCCGTCGACTCTGGCCTGAACCACCGCACCATTGGCAATGGCCTCGAGATCTTCAGCATCATCCAGCGGTCCAATGTGCCCCTGAACATCGAGTGGCGGCCAACGCTGGCAGACGTTTTCATCCCAGGCAAGAGGGAGAACGCCAGGGTCAAAATCCACAGCCTGGAGCACGAGGTCGCCTTCGTGCTGGCCACCCTGGGCTATACATACACCCTTCTGGCGCGCACAGCCCTTCATCCTCTCTTCTCCACCACGACCACCGAGGATCTGTACGCCATCGGCTCGCAGCCGCGCCAGGCAGCCATATCAAGCGCGACGAAGCACCTCCTCGACGCCGCCAGCGTCTACGACTACCTCGCCCGCCGCGCCGAGCGCCCTCACAGCTCCCAGCTCTCCTCCCTGCCATGTGCAGATATAACAGCCGCCACAGCTCGGGCGCAATGTGAGCTGGCCCTCGCGGAGGCTACGCTGCTCGCTGTGCTCAAGGATGACCCTTACCCGGCACTGGTCGCGCAAGACAGAAATCAGAACGACAAAGAATGGATGTATAAGGCGCCAGACATACCCAAGGTACGGGCGCACTTGTTTGCTAGGTTGTGCGTTGCTGCGGCGGAGCACGCGGCCAAGGCGCACTCGCTCTGCGCGTCGCAAGGAGGCTTTACGGGCGGCGGCGGCGGCATACGCTTCGGCAGCAAGAAGAGCACAGAGCAAGGGGAAGACTCGAATGGCGGTGGAGGCGGTGGAGGATCTGGGAAGCTGAACGAGGGCTTTGTCAAGTACCTTGAAGATCTTAGGCGGACGAGCAGGGCAAAGGCATGCCGCTTCTTCGGCATCGACGCCGAGCTGGGCGGGCAGACGGGCAATGCGATCGGGTGGCTGCACGCGGCGTATCAAGAACTAGGTGTGGAAGTCAAGGACTCATCAAAGAAGTCATCAGGGCTCGGCAGGCTCAAGAAGGAGTGGTCAGAGAAGCGGGAGGACCGCCGGGTGGAGAAAGGCACCACGTGGGGCGCAGACGCTGGCAAGCTGGAGGAGACTCGTGTGATCGAGATGCTGGAGGCCAAATGGTCCAAGCAAAACGACACGGTGAGGATACACCCCCAAACATACCACTCATCCAACCGTTACTGACGCTATACTCCCCAGATGTTCACCCAGGCCATCACTCCCGCTGGGACACTGCTTGCGCAGATGCCCTCGGCGCGCGAGATCCACACTCTCAAACCGTTCGATGCCCCGGTGCTGGACAACCTCACGTTGAATGCCATGCGTGCCCCACCAGACCGTAACGACGACTTTGGAGATGAGAACAGCTCGGACGAGGAGACAGTTGTCGCCAGTCGGCCAGCTCCGGGTGCATATCCAGGCAGCGCGTCGTCATATTATTGAAATCAATCTGAATATGATGTATGGTATGATGACTAGCAAAACAGTCGGTATTGCATTACAGACTCCCTCACAAGAGCAGGCTTTCCTGCAATATACAAGAGGTTATCCCACGGGAGTGTCCCAAAATGAGGTTGACTTCTTATACTGACGAAGAGGATGCTTGTGCGTTAACACTGCCGTTCTCATACCAGTACTGCCGCTCTCTCTCCTGCGCCCGCCGCAGCTTGGCCTGCTTCTTGATCTGCTTCAGCTGGCGCTCGCTGCAGCCGCACGTCCACCACACGGCGCCGCAGACATAGCAGAACTCTGCGCCGCAACGGCACTTGATGCGCCGGCACCCGGCCATCTTGTGCTCGATCATGGTCTGGCAGCGGTAGCACCGCCTCCAGCCCTCCTGGAGCGCCATCACCTGGACCAGCTCCATGTCCTGATTCCTGACGCACTGGACCGCGTCCGAGTGCGACGCCTGCCTGCAGTCCATGCAGGTGAGATGCCTGTTCTTGCACTTGGCCTGTCGGTAAGGCGCGTTTATCCTCTCGGGGGGCACAAACAAGCCGCAGTCCGGCGTGGGGCAGTAGTATCTTTCGTGGATTGGAACCAAGTATTCTTGTCGTTTTTCCTTGTATCTGGTAGAAAAGGCCCTGGAGAGGTTCTTGAGGCAGGTCTTCTGGTCGATAGGGTTGACACAGCACCTTGGCGGCCAGTTCGCTTCTGTCTGGAGCGCGTTCAGGATGAGCAGGTGGAAGCACCGCTTGCAGTAGCTGTGTTGGCAGCTCAAGTTGACGAGATCTTTACGAGCAAAGTCATCGTAATAGGATGTACACGAGCTGCTGCACAGTTTAGCGGGGGTTTGGTATAGAGATGGTGAGATTGCAGGAACACTGACATGATTTCCTGTTTTCGTTGAAAGGCCTGCCTGGTCTTCTGTGTGGTCTTTTTGAGTATGTCCTTCAGTTCTGCCAAGTGGCCTGCCGGCTGAGGCCGGTGAAAACTATGGCGAGATTCAACCTCTTTCAATCTCTGGTGTATGGACTGAAACTGTTTAAGGCGTCTCCTGTGACTCAAAGGCGGTGGCGAGGATGCCTGTGAAATGGACGGCAGCGGACTGGCTGGGTTGTCTCTTGGGCTCCACAGGGTTGCTTGTTGCCTCTCCATTACAGAGTTGGATTAGGATAGCCAACTCTAGAGGCTATAGGTTTGTTGTAGTCGCGGTAGTCTTACAAAGAGAACGGGATATTTAGGTACGAATGAACGTGTTTGACCGCAGATACGATGAGGCATCGCCCTGGGACGTGGAAGCGATGGAACTTGTAGAGAAGCTCGCAGGGGACGGCTCTCTGCCCTCACTAGCATGGTTCAGGTAGCTCAGTCCCAGATGACAGGATATCTTGACATTTTCTGGAGGAAGGGGCTGAGGAGCAGGTAGTCTAGATGTTCATTCACCTCGTGGGTCACATCGTGCTTGCCTGAGTTGTCCCCAGTCCCAGCGGTAACACAGCTCTAGTTTACCTGTCCAACTGCAATATGACCTCCTTTTAGGACGAAAATACTGCGCAGAAATTCTAGGCCAGGAATCGAACAAGCCGCTGTAAGCTGCATTAGTGCCAGCGTTCGGGGGAGGAGGGGAATCTGAGGGTGAGGCCTGAGGACAGCGATGTACTAACGGAGAAAGATGCATTTTTCAAAAAGGAAAATAATTGAGAATAAGCTTCAGAGAAATTATATACACTCAATTGATTTACAAACTATAAATCAGGCGCATTCATGAACAACAGATTGTAGTTCGAACGTCGCGATGCCGTTCGTGATCTAATTGACAGGGGTACAACGGAAACCCAAGTCCCTTAGCTGTGAGCTCTAGGAAGTGGGTCTAAATAAATGACGTCCACCATCATCCGGCTCATCCACCCGAAAACTTCTCGATCAACGCAACTCAACTTCACGAGACTTCAACACTACCAATGTCACTTTGATCTCATCCCAATTCATAATGGCTCGCCTGTCAGGCTTACAGAAGGAGGTACTGAGCTTGTATCGCCAGTGCCTGAGGGAGACGCGCAAGAAACCAGATGTAAACATCCGCCCACCCATTTCTCATGTCTGTTGCTCGCTCAGTTGAGCCGCTCGAGTGAAGAAGAAGCTGACAGATCTTGTAATGGGAATCTAGGTCTCTCGAAAACACTTCGAGGCCTATGCAAGGTCTGAGTTCAACAAGCACGTGGCCATTGAGAAGCGTGACTTCGCCGCCATCGAGTTCCTGCTGCGGAAGGGACGGAGGCAGCTCGAGAGCTACTCGGCCCCTGGCATCAAGGACATCAAATGAGGAGGAGCTGAGCCTTGATGACGGCAGGAGCACTCAATCACTTGTTTCTCTGCTTCTTTGGTCGTCATAGTCATGCTCTCCCTATCTGTTAGGTCCAGACCGTCGTCGAGACGCCGTGGAAGGCCCTTTCTTCTGTCCTTGTTGTTTTCTCATCTAATGACCCAAAGCATCAGCTGCCGCCTCTCAGCCCGTTCACCATGCTCTGCTTTCCCTAATTCTCCTCAACATCGGTAGCATTTCTCCGGTTCGATTTACATGACTGCGCTCTTTTTGGAATATGGACGATGCCTGCATTCAGCTTATCTTGGAAAGGAAGTCCGCACGGCCGGCCCACCATCAATCCCGCCTCATCCGCATCTCAACCTGCGAACCCATCCACAAAGGCTGCTGAGGATGTCCTCAAGAGGCCTCTCAGTCCACCTCTTTCTCGCTTGAGACGTGCACAACAGGCACTGATCGGTCGCCGCCGCCGCCGTGTTGTCAACAACAGAAATAGCAGGGTCCGGGTCTCGTTCGCCCACTCGACATCCTCTTCAGGCTTGCGCCCCTCCGGTACGCGTACTTCTGTTCAAAAACGGAAGTCCAAAGTCGACCCCCGGGTTGGCTCAACGCAATGGATCGCCGGCCTAGATACACCTCGGCGGCGTGACGCAGGCCCAATCCCACCAGTGCACTCTCGCCCTCGCGTCACGCCAGCTCCGCAAGATGCCGTCTACTCTCAGGACAAGCAGAAAGGTGTGTCCACAACTCATACGGTGAGACATGGGCGAGACCGAGGTGAAGCGGAATTTTCACTCATGCAAGTGCCTGAAGCTCCTAATCAATGCGGTAGGTCCACCAGTCCTAGAATATCTACCTCTTGACCTGACTTGTGGCATCCAGTACCCTCACCGAAGAGGCAACCCGAGTATGCTCACGTCGGATCTCTCGACGGTAGCAGCAGCATTGAACTGACCAAATTTCCGAGAAAAAATGCAAAGAGGCACGCTAGCTACGTCGCTCGTGCTCCTCCTTCCTCCCGGAGTGCGAGAACAGTTGGATATCCTCGTCAACAAGGCGAAACTATGTCATCGAGAGCGATAGGAAACAATCGACTCGGAGCTCTTGATCCCCTAGCCGAAGAATCCCTTAGTAGAGGCCTGTCGCCACAGGATCGCCTTTCGTGTCTAATGATGCCTACCAAAAGCAAGCCGCATCCCGAGCCAGCTCAACAGCCAGTCCAGACCCAAGACGCGTCAAAATCGCTGACTCGGTTTACAAAACAACTTGAGAGGTACTCCACAGCAGTCCACTTAAACGGGAATCCAGGACTACCTCAGTGTACTCCCACAGTTTCTGACTCTCCCACAACTCTGGATACAGTGACAGAGCTTCTACCTTACCACAGGCAGTTCAAAGCTGCTGGGCTGGCAGTCACTTCTCATGAACAAATGCCGAGGATTCCAGAATCGACCTACCAGCGGCGGCCGGTTGTAGATGTTCGACGAGAAAGATATGCGCCTTTGGCTCGTGTACAAATTGACGGGAGCACTGTCACTCCATCAGAGCAGGAATCGGTTCCTGAAAATTCAGTGGCTCCATACATCCCCGAAAGCGAAGACGGTCCCTACAACTCGCAGACTAAACAGCAAGTCTCAAACAAGAGAGCAACACCAGTCAACAAAGCCTTGCTCCCCTGGTTTCGCAAAAAGGATGCACCTGTTGCTTCAAAGGCTCATAGCAACAGAAAGTTTTCCGCCGATCACATCCACCCCTCTCAAGCCATGGCAGCAGAGCCCTATCTTACACCTTCGGACAAATTGGGTATCATCGATGCGTACTTTAATTCTCCCAGCCCAGCTGTATCACGAGATCAGCAGCCGGAGTCAAACAACACATCCTTATCATCTTCATCACCTCATCGTGCGAGCCCATTGGCCGACAGGGCTCTTCCAAAAGAGCCGCCCATCGAGCGGCAGCCTGTGCCGCGAAGAAGTCTTCGTCGTCACATGGAAGACACCTCGCAATGGCCAACAGCAGGAGTCTTGATACATAACAAATCTCCGTCTCCGGAAGATCACGAGCATGATGGTGCAGACATTACGGCAGAAATACAGGAAAAGCCTCCGGTTCCAGCAAAGGATCCGATTCCTAACCGCTCCCTATCGTCCGCGGCGGGAGGGACAGTTGAGGGACCTATCGAGTCCAGAAACAGCCCGCAGGTCCCTCCGAAAGGGTCACGCTCCCAGCACTCAGGCGTTGGTTTTGCCAGAGACATTGAGAAGAAGCCGGCAACACCACCCAAAGACTTCCCAGAAGCACGGTCTGAGCCACAAGCGTCCAATCGCCACCATCCTGGCCAATCACTATGCAAGCAATGGTCCAGAGTAACAGTTCTGCGGCGCAAATCGAATGCAAAACTTTCACCTGTGCCTACAACCATAACAGAAGAACCGGAGGTTGCGACGGAAGATCTTGAGAAGATGCCAAAAGACGATAAGGGACAGGAAAGTGATATTGCGCCACAACTGCCTGCCACTTGGAGTTGTACCGTGGGGAGATCGTCTTCATTTGAAAAAGCGCTCGATGCAGTGATCCAGAAGCTCGACGACATGGACGAGCGGAGGCAGTATGAGAAAAAAGTTGAGCTCGAGGCCGCTGTAAAGGTCGCCTCAAAACTCGGGGCTTCTCAAGAACTGGTCACAAACCTGGGATCGCCCAGCGGCTCGCGCTCAAGGCGCCAGACCGAGGACAAAGTGGGATCCCCCGCAGCAGTTCCAGCATCAGACACGAACGAGTCGGGCGCCTACCTCGACAGCAACATCAGTGACAGGGACATCCTTCTGGGGCTCAAGATGGCCATCTGCGCCGCCTGCGACGAGGATCTGGACGCGTGGATCCGCGACAGGACCGGGCTCCGGCTGCGCCGGTTCCTGGCGGATCTCAAGGCGTTCGACGCCCTCTCTAAAGACCGCAAGCCTCCTGCCCCTCAGCCTCTTCACCGCCAGATACGCAGGACCCACAACGAGTCGCGGCGACTCAATGCCGAGCGGGAGCGCAGGAGGCAGAGTATGAAGTTAAAGGCGTGGAAGGGGCCTTGCTTTGGGGCGGACGGATAGGTCCTACTGAGCTAAGCGCGCCTATGGGATCGTAAGATGGGAAGCATGCTGTGTTTATTTCGGGTGCTGTGGCAGAAGGTTTGCCTGTGTACCCTGTATCCTCTTTGGAACTGCCGAATGCCATTCATAGTGGTAATATTACTACCTCTGGTCGTGTTCCGTCCCGAGATCGAGATGGCTGGCGAATTGCGTGCTCAATGATCGCCGTCTAGGAGCCTGGTTCCGCGCCTGGCACCTGGACGATCAAGCCTTGCCCGAAATGAAACATTTATCACCAGGACTAATCGGGTATCATTGTTGTAAGCCGCAAGTCCTCACTGTATGTAGCTCATGTCCGGACCGTGAGTCCTCTTGATGCTTACTCACCCTCGCCACCACAACCTCGCAGTCGTCCCGTGTTGGATGATCTTTTACCAAAAATCTTCGTTCCGTTGTAGATTTGATCCCCTTGTGAATTGGTACTTAGTCATACAGATCCTACGTTGGCTCACTCCGGCTCGGCCGTACCGCCAACCCGCCAACCCGGGAAAACAGTTTCCAGTGGCATTGTAGGAATTTGACATATCACGGACATCACGCTGAGATGGCAAGTATGCTTGGGGTATAATGCGCTGGATAAGATAAAAATCTATAGAGCCTCAAGGGGGTCTTCCATGGCAAAATGCATCTAGGACCATCTATACCCAATGGTTAAGACTGCCATTGAAACAGGAAAATAAAAAGGGGTCTTTGTACCCTCCTTCCATCCGTACTAAAAGATCATTACAAATGTAAAGGACCGCCAATGGCTTAAGACTTCCCGGTGAAGTGCTCCTCGTGCGACTCGATCTGGGCCTCCTTCTCCACCTGGTCGAGGTCGAGCTTCGCGACGGCAGCCTCATCACCGTCGATAATCTTGGCGAGCTCCTCGAGGGTGGGGCCCTTGGTCTCGACGTACATGACGTAGACGAAGACGAACTCGAGAGCGATCCAGCACTGTGAGAAAGAGGTTGTTAGTGGACGTGATCTTCTCTTTTTGTTGCTTGGGCTCCGACGGAGCGTAACTTACGGTGTAGATGAGGTACAGCTTCCAGGTGTGGGGCTCGAAGGCGTCGAAGCCGACGGGGTTGGCGTAGGTGTTGAGGGTCAGGGCGACCTGGACGGACAGGTTCATGATCATGAGACCCTTGGCACGCAGCTTGTACGGCAGGACCTCAATGGCGTAGCCGATGAGCAGGCCGGACCAGGCGAGGGAGTAGAAGATGCCGAAGATCCAGATGAAGACGATCATGGCGTATCTGCCGCCATCGGCGCCCTTGTCCTCGTACAGGCCGGTGCTCAACGTCCAGAAGACGAAGGTGGTCAGCATACCGCCGGTGGAAGCCAGGAAGGTAGGGCGACGGCCGAGCTTGTCGACAAACATGGCCATGGTGATGGATACGATGAGGGCAAGAGTGGTCTGGCCGGCGGAGAGGCCGAGCTTGGCGGTCGAGTCCATGATACCGGCGGACTCGTAGAGCTTGCTGGAGTAGTTTGAAATGATGGCGTTGCCAGACCATTGCGAGAAGATACCGAGAGAGATCAGGACAGCCAATCTGTAGCGGTTGCCCTTGGTCTTGACGAAGTCGATGTAGCTGCTCTGCTTCTTGGCCTCGAGTTCCAGGGCGAGAGTTTCCTTGATTTCGCGGTACTCAAACTGGACAGTTGGGTCGTTGATGTTGCCATTGGCGTGATATCTTCCGAGGATTTCGAGAGCTTGTTCGTGCTTGTCCTTGGCAATCAAGTAACGCGGTGACTCAGGAACCCACCAAATGAAACAGAGCTGAATTGCAGAAGGGAACGCCTGAAGCAAGGCCGGGACTCTCCATGACCACTCATTGTTAAGGTAGTTCGTGCCAAAAGAGAGCCACGAGACAAATAGAGCTCCGACGTTCCAGAGACAGTTGTAAACCGTTGTCAGACGGGCTCTGTGCTGTGGGTGACAAATCTCTGTGAGAAGCGTGGGAGACGCCAGTTGTGAGAAGGAGTTGCCAAAACCCATGAGGAATCGACCTCCAATGAAGACACCCAAAGAGCTACCGGCACCTTGCATCACGGCTCCCACAATCATGATCACGCAGCCAATGACAATAGGCGGTTTGCGGCCGAGGTGGTCGGCGAACCATGGTACAACGGCAATGGAAGCGACGCTGCCGATCTGGTAGATGGCTCCGAGCAAGCCCAGCATCGAGCCTTTTGGATCGCCGAATTGCTATGTACAGTGATTAGCTAGGGCGTTATGAGCGATGAGTTCTAGGAGAAGTCTTACATCTTTCCATGTTTCGAAGTTCTGGACAGAGTTAAAGAACATGCCATCGTAACCAGTCGTAGCAGACGCGATACACAAGACGAATGCGTGCCAGTAGAGCTTCCTCAGGCCAGGCTCCTTCATCCAGTTGACATGTTCAAACTTAGGAGCCTCCTGCTGGGCAACAATTGTTGCCTCCTTGTTCGGGGCTGATCTCTTGAAGAGACCCATTCTGACGGATCGAGTACTCAAGACGCGGGTTAGGTGAAGAATTCAAAGACTTGTAAGGACAGTACTTCCGAGCAGCCACAGCGTGGTGTGCCCAGGTTCGTATGGCCAAGTGAAGGTTGACTGATGAATCGGGGCATCTTAAGAGTTAAAAGGGGAGTGGGTCAGAGATATATAACTATATTCTGCCAGGGAACTCACACCCTCGCCCAAGCCAAAGGCACGTACGGGCAAGCGGACCGGATACTCTGCATAAATTGGATCTGCCAGCCTAGGCGAGATGGTCCAGAAGTTCGCATCTGTACAATTAGGGCCGAGACAATGTGACCACTGGGCGAGACTGGGCTAGGACCCTATGGAAGATGGGGTAGGATGCCCGATGAACTGGGATCAGACTACACCGGCAGAAGATGGATAAATGGAAATGTGGGCCTACCTGCTCGATGGGCTTCAATGACCAGGGTCTTCGGCTACAACCAGCTAGTGTGGTTTAATTGACAGGCATTGTCCCAACCAAGGGTAAGGGGAATCCGGGGGTGCCCATTCGTGCCCGTGGGGAAGCTGTGGGCTAAGACAGCGAAACCTGGCCCTCGGGGCCGTTGAAGACTGGTACCCACTAATAGGCGCATGACCTTGCAGCGAAGTTCAAACAAACCAACGAAGGAACGAACGCCTTGTAATGGAAAAAGGAAAAAAAAGACACGCACACCAGCAGCGACAGACACTACCGTCACATTTGGGGGACGTCGAGTTCGGGACGAGATTGCTACATCGTCTCAACACGTGTTTTTGACGGCCCTGTACTCGGCCGAATTCGTCCAGCCGGAAGAGACGAGAGCACTGTAGTATGCGAGATGTTTCAACTTGATGGTGCCTGGCCGACATATTCTGCAGGTCGCGTGTTAAACTCCGGGCGATCCACATGAGAAGCCTTCGAGAAGGGAAGGCTCAGCATGTGAGATTTAATGAATCTCCGAGGATTCTGTCGATCATCTTGCCGCCTGTCAAGACTCGTGACGGAAAGTCGGCTCGACTGAGCATAGAGAACCAAATAACCACACATTCGCCCCATGCGCATGGAAGTACGAGATGTACCCGTCATAGCTGAAGCGCATGATGGTCACGATTCCAACACTTCGACGTCGTCGATGACCGTCGACTTCGTGCCTAGATGTGCCAGGATTGGAGGCGTTCTCTGGGCTCCCGGTAGAAAGCAGCTGACGACTGCTAGTGAAGGAAGAAGGCGCGCGCTTGCGGCGAAGTCGAGACGTGAATCAGGATACACAGTACCGTGCACGCCGTGTAGCTCGGCCAAGAGGCATTACCGCAATTCTTCCGCCGGGCCATTTAGCCTGAATGCAGCCACGGCCCCTAGTTCCCAGGGATGCCATGTAGTGTACCAGGGGCCAGGGGCTCGAAGCCGTCTGAGTTCTTGGCGTGCTCCTGGTACGGGCAGGACGGCAGGACGATGGACGGTGGACGGCAGGGCATCAGATCCGCCCATGTGACAACACGAATCCTCATGAATAGAAGCACCGAGTTTCGGCCAGAGCTTCCGGCCAGAGGCGCCCGCGGCCGACAATGGCCAGCCAGCAGCAACGGCCAAGTCCACCGCAGCGTAGCGAAGTGGGGGGGCCAGCACATGCCCACGTGTGGTTGAAAATCGGCTGAGGGCAAAGCTTCTTTTGTTCAAGTAAGGCAGAGCGAAAAAGAGTTCGAAGCTTGCCGTTCCTCAGACACTCGGGTCGGAGGCCCGAGTCGTGCACAGAGAGAGACTCCATCAGATTTGTGATAAGTTACGATGGCCTCGCCAGACAGGCGACTCAGCCAAGTCATGGCGAATTTGACACATAACTAACCAGGGGCTCCCTCCTTCAACGCCGTTCCAATTTGCTTGACCCATGGGAGAGCTGGTAGGGCACAGGCCCCAAACTTGGAGTCATGGCATCTGCTCAGCGATATGGAGAGTGTCAGAGAGCTGAGATAATTGTCGAATCAGTGGACTCGTTGTGTACTTTGCTCGGGGCCTGTTTTGGCGAAGTAAAATAACCTGGCGAAGTCAAAATAAAGTGCTGCTGATCCATGGATGTGCGGAGTTCGTCCCACTGCAGCAGCTCCTCTCATTTCTGGGGTAGGCTGCACAGACCACGTCTGAGTTCGCTATCTCAGCGTCAGAGATGCCGCCCCCACCGCCTGAGATAGCGCGACGCGTCTTCCGGAGCTACTGCACGCGTTAAGCACTTCGTACGCGAAGTCCAGCCTCACTAGCTGATGACATTCAGGATCTGACACAGCCATGGCGGGCCCATCCAAGCAGTCTGAGAAACGGCAAGCATCCCTGACCAGCTTCTTCACTCCAAAAACCGTCAATGGCCTCTCGCAGTCCCTCCAGAGGAGCCGCCAGAGTGAGGAGCAGCAAGGGACATCCACGAACCGCAATGGAAACGACAGCAGTCCATCTTCTCGCAAACGCCCCCTCCAAGAAGACACGGATCATGGCAACGACGGACCAGAAGAACCATCCTTAAAACGTGCGAAGTCGAAGGACCATGCCTCTGAACAGAGCACCTTCTTCCGCAAGCCCTCTTCTCCCGGACTCGAAACCCCCTCTGTTGCATCCAAAGGCACTGCCCGAACAGGTCGTTATCGATATGATGAATCGCGATCAAGCAATGCTGGGGGTGACATGCAAGAGGACGAAGCGGACGAAGATGCGGCTACTCAGCGGCGGAAGGTGGAGCTGCACAAGAAATTCGTCAAGAAGCTCGGACACCCGGACAGTATGGCCATGATCAAGCGTCGAAACTTCCAAATAGACGACGACACGGCTGCTTTGGACGAGGACGGGGACGGTGGTGACGATGCCGAGGAAGAGGAGGCTGCCCGACCAGCCAAATCATCCAAGAAGAAAGGTGCCAAGACTGGCAAACTTACGCCCATGGAGATCCAATATTTGGACATCAAGAGGAAGCACATGGACACAATACTCATCGTAGAGGTTGGCTACAAGTTCAGGTTCTTTGGTGAAGATGCTCGGATTGCTGCAAAGGAGCTGAGCATTGTCTGCATACCTGGGAAGTATCGGTACGACGAACGTAAGCACCCGGCCAAGCTATACCATGGCATTTCCATTCAACTGACCGGCTAGCAGACCCTTCAGAAGCCCATATAGACCGATTCGCTTCTGCGAGCATTCCAGTACATCGGCTGCCAGTCCATGCGAAACGGCTAGTAGCAGCCGGCCACAAGGTCGGAGTCGTCCGCCAGATCGAGACAGCAGCTCTGAAGAAGGCGGGGGACAATCGCAATGCTCCTTTCGTGCGCAAACTCACAAATGTCTATACCAAGGGCACATATGTGGATGAACTCGGCGAGCTCGACCAGTCCTCAGACAAGGAAGGCACTGGTGCTCCAGCAGGCGGGTACTTGCTCTGTATCACAGAGTCCAAAGCCAAGGGCTGGGGCACCGACGAGAAGGTAGACGTGGGAATATTGGCCGTCCAACCAGCTACGGGAGATATAATCTACGACACTTTCGAGGACGGTTTTATGCGCCGCGAAATTGAAACTCGACTTCTGCACATCTCGCCTTGCGAGTTCCTCATTGTTGGGGACCTGACAAAGGCCAGCGACAAACTCCTTCAGCATCTTTCCGGCAGTAGCACCAACGTGTTCGGAGATCGAAGTCGCGTTGAGAGGGTCCCCAAGAGCAAGACCATGGCCGCTGAGGCATATTCGCATGTGACACAGTTCTATGCCGGGAAGCTCAAGGATGCTGACGAGCGGTCATCGGCTTTACTAGAGAAGGTCTTGAAGCTGCCCGAAGCCGTCACCATCTGCTTGTCAGCAATGATCACCCACTTGACTGAGTACGGTCTCGAGCATATTTTTGATTTGACAAAATACTTCACATCGTTTTCTACCAGGACACACATGCTCATCAACGGCACGACGCTGGAAAGCTTGGAGGTCTACAGAAATCAGACAGACCATTCAGACAAAGGGAGTCTACTTTGGGCTATTGACAAGACACATACGAAATTTGGCCAGAGACTTCTTCGAAAGTGGATAGGGCGGCCTTTGTTGGACAAAGAGCAACTCGAGGAGAGAGTCGCAGCGGTCGAAGAGCTGCACGAGAATCGGTCCGATTGGAGAGTCGACAAGCTCGAGGGTCTGCTCACAAACATCAGAACGGACCTGGAGAGAAGTCTCATTCGTGTCTACTACGGCAAGTGCTCCAGGCCAGAGCTCTTAAACACTCTGCAGGTACTGCAGAAAATTTCTATGGAATACCCGAAGGCCAAAATCAAGACTCCAGAGGACACTGGCTTCAAGTCTGCTCTACTGAAAGAGGCGGTCTCTTCGATACCGCAGATCGGTGAGATCGTGATCTCTTTCTTGGAAAAGATCAATCCAGCGGCAGCTCGGGCAGATGACAAATACAACTTCTTCCTTGAGGCACAAGAGACGGACGATATCACAGAACACAAGCTTGGCATCGCATCGGTTGAGCAAGAGCTGGATGCGCACCGGTCTGAGGCAGCTGCTAAGCTTGGGAAGAAGACCCCAGTATCTTACGCGACGGTTGCCGGCATCGACTACCTGATCGAAGTTGCGAATACCGACCTCAAGAAGGTACCAGCTTCATGGATGAAGATCAGCGGCACGAAGAAACTCTCCCGCTTCCACACCCCCGATGTCGTACGGATGATCAGCGAAAGGGACCAACACAAGGAGTCACTGGCAGCCGCATGCGACCAAGCGTTCAAGTCGCTCCTATCCTCCATCGCCGCTCAATACCAACCCCTGCGCGATGCCGTTTCTGCTCTTGCCACACTCGATTGTCTTTTCTCGCTGTCCGAAGTAGCATCCCTGCCAGGCTACACAAAACCAACATTCTTACCCTCGTCCACTCCTCCAACAGTCTCGATAACAGAAGGCCGGCACCCGATCGCCGAGCACACCCTTCCCAACGGGTACATCCCTTTCACCACCTCTCTATCCAACCCCGAGCCGCTCGCCCACCTCATCACCGGGCCCAACATGGGCGGGAAGTCCTCCTTCGTCCGCGCGGTCGCCCTGCTGGTCCTGCTCGCCCAGGTCGGCAGCTTCGTGCCGGCGGACGCCATGTCCCTGACGCTGATGGACAGCATCCACACGCGCATGGGCGCGCGCGACAACCTGTTCGCGGGCGAGAGCACCTTCATGGTCGAGGTCTCGGAGACGGCCGCCATCCTGCGGTCCGCCACGCCGCGCAGCCTCGTCGTGCTGGACGAGCTCGGCCGCGGCACCAGCACGCACGACGGCGCCGCCATCGCCCACGCCGTGCTGGACCACGTCGTCCGCGAGACGCGCTGCCTGACCCTCTTCATCACGCACTATCAGAACCTGGCCAAGATCTCGCAGGGCATGGGCGGCCTGGTCAAGAACGTGCACATGCGCTTCACCGCCACCAAGACCGCCGGGGGAGAGGAAGGGGCTGGTGATGCGTCCGACAGCGGGGCGGACGCGGGGGCGGATGCCGACGAGGAGATCACATTCCTGTATGAGGTTGTCGAGGGCGTTGCGCACCGGTCCTACGGGCTAAATGTCGCGCGGCTGGCCAGGATTCCCCGAAAGGTGTTGGAGGTTGCGGCTAAGAAATCGAGGGACTTGGAGGACGAGATCAAGATGAGAAGACTGCGCGGTGCGGTCGCTATTATGAGTGATGTGCTTAGTGGGGACGTGAACGACCAGATGCTCGATCATCTGATCTCTGGCATCGAGCAGTTGTAGAGTCTTGTTTCGGCCAAAACTGCGTAGTAATGTAACATTTTGTCACCAAACGAATTTCACGACGACACTATCGAATTCAGGTAGTGAAAGCAACGCATGTGTCTATTCTTCGAGCAATTCGCTAATTTACACCCAGCAGTCCCCAGAAAGTACACCCACCAACCGCCGAAAAGCATAATATCCCATAAAGACCCAGTGCGAAATTTCGGGTCAGACCATCTACGAAAGAGCCGAACGAAAGGCGCCAAATCGGTTCGCCATGGCATCGTTCCCACACTTTGCTCAATCTTAGAACGCCAGTTCCAGAGACGGAACCCTTTTTGCCTCCAAAAATAATAATCGCCCTGTATGGGCAGTCGCTAGATGAAACAAGAGAGCAAACCGGATGGCATCCTCGATCAAAGTGCCTTGGAAAAGCTCCGGAGCTCAAAATTGACCCATAATGTGATGCTACCGCGCTCCGATGTCGCTAAGCCTCTCAGAATCAAGTCACAGTCCTCATGGGACAAAAAAGTCGTATGGACGACTGATGAAAATGCCGCTGTCGTGACCGAGACTCAGAATATCGAGCCAAGATCTGACATGAAAAGATAGGTTAAGTGCCCTCAGACGTCGAAGTCTTCGTGTTGGGCTTGGCCAGACTGGAAGGAAGGAGCGGAATCCAAAGCGCCGAAATCCGGGCCGTTCAGGTTTTGAAAAACTGGAGTAGGAGGCTTGGGTGCCTCAAAAGAGTGGCTTCCGTACAGAAAAGGGTAACTATCCTGCCGCTGCAGGCAGAGAGGATTGAAGCCGCTGGCATTCTGCACATTCTGGCGATGCTGAGCGAAGTAGCTAGGCATCGCTCCTGGCTGGTGCATGGAGAAGGCCATGCCGTCGTTCTCCTTCATACCAAAGCCCGGAAAGAAGCTTTGATTCGGGCGGGGAAACAGTGAGGACGCTGTCATCAAGGGCGTGTTCGATGGAAGTGAATGCATGGCGTTTCGAAAGGCGAGATCGAATCGGTTGCCGGAAGGTGCTCCATTGGCATCTACGACTTTTTACGTTAGTTTCAGTTACGAACCACAAGACAAAGGTGTTTGCACCCACCCTGCCTGTTCTGGCGGTGCCCTTGAAAGATATCGCCTCCCGCAACAACGTCGTCGTCATCGTCATCAAGACGATGACTGGAGTTATCCTCATCCGATGCGAGATCTTCCTCAACTTTGACAAGCTTTTTGTTCTGGCGTGCCGAGCGGCGCTTGCGCACCTTCTCGTTATTAGCAGCACGAGTGGCTGCTCGGGTCTGTCGACGGGGACCAGCGGTTGCAACGGCGGTGCGACGGCTACGACGCTTCTTTGTAGTCGAAGGCAGCTCGTCCTTGGAATCCTAAGGGCGTGCTTTCTTAGCTTCCATGATAGAGAGTCTGTTAGCAAGAGACTTACCGGGCTTCCATCGATCGACGGGCTGTCGTAGACATTTCTAGTCCTGGTGACCTCAGACATGGTGTTGTCCCAGACCTCCTCGTCCGGACCGATCGAAGCAGACGCCATTTCCATGTTACGCACAACAGACGCGTGCTTCTTCTGGTTGCGCTTGCGCTTCTGGATTGGGGTCGCAGCATCGAATAAACCCATACCAGGGTACACCATTCCCTTGAGCTTCGACGACTCGTCGCCAGCATCACCGTCAGCAGCCTCTGGAAGGAAGCTGGTGTTGGCGGTGTCTGTGCCCGAGCGCGAAGTCTCTTGCTTGATGTACGCAGAACTCTGGGGCGAGTCGGGGAAAGGGTAGGCACTGTGGTCATTATAGGGAGGAATGGCGTAAAGCGTCTCGAAGGAGTTGTCGCGTGGTGCGTGCAAGTGCCAGGCGTTGGCATTGGGACGCAGAGAAGCATTGTCCAAGTGAACACCGAGGTCGTCATCATCCTCAAGTTTGACGTTCTTCCCAGTAGTATTCTGTCATTCCCGTTAGCCGCCTCTCCGAAGTTGCAAGAGGCCAATTCAAAGACATACCTCGACGCTGGTAAGGCGCAGCCTCTTCGCAGGCTTCTTCAGCTCCTTGGCGGCGATACGGTTCTCGACCAACTTGTCCACGCCGTTGCTGTCACTCCAAAGCTTGTATCGATCAAGCGTCCGCTTGTCCTCGTTCTTTCCCGAGTGTTGAAGCTTGAACTGAGCCGCAAGGTGGGACTTGGAAGAGATGTGTGTCAGTAGGTGCGAGACGTCGGAGAACTTGGGCTGCTTTGGGCACAGCAGGCAGATCAAGGGAATGGAAGAAGCCTTGTCTTCGACCTTGACCAAAGGCTCCGCAGGCATGTGCATGGAATCCATGGCAAGCTGGGAATATCTTGTCAGCCAAATCTTTGATCTCCAAGTCATCCATCCTGGCGACTTCAATGTCCAAAAAGAAGCAAAGAACATGGGACGAAAGTTATGGGACGAAAGCCACAGGACAGAGGCCATTCGGCCGAATAAATGTGCAGAAAAAGGATTTACCAACCACGCAGAACTCAGTTCAGCCACCGACAACAGAGTGTACAAGACTCCAAACGAAGACAGCCGCAATACAAAGAACGACTGGCAAAAGCAAAAGCAAGGAAGCAAAGATGGGTAGTTCAAGGAGTGACAGCAGGGTGCGACCCTGGGAAAACGCGCCTGAGGAGACGAAAACGCTGGGGACAGAAAGTGAAGATCGCAGGCGTGGTGGAAGAGGAACTCACATTGAAGGGGTTCGATCCAAAGGAATCGAACGGTCCAGCTGGAAGCTGCATGAAAGGATCGCGTCCAAATTGGTTGAACATCGCGCCTGCCGGGGGGAAACCGAAGCCACTGCCGCCACTGTGAGCTGGGCGACCCGCGATCTGACCGGGGAGGTTGGGCATGGGAAGGAACGGGTCGAAGTTTGGGACGTTGTTGCCAGCCCACAGAGGCTGGGAATTGAAGTCGAGGAAGGGCTGCATGCTGGCAGGAAAGACGGGGAAGTGGGAGGGAACGTTCAGGTCCCCACGGAAAATGGCAGGTGGGTACTTGAGTTGGGGAGGGTGCAGCTGGCCCGCGGGAGGAAGGCGCGTGGCCTTGTTGAGGTTGGGAAGGGCCGGGTCCTTCTTCTCTTGCGGCTGCGCCCTGGAACCGGCGTCGGAGGGGGACTTGGATCCAGCTTGTCTTTCCATCGCGAGATTCAGGATAATCGAAATCGTAGATGTAGAGTAGGTTGGGGCGTGATCCGGAATTGGATGGATGCAAGTTCCGATCTGAGTGCCCTTAAGTTGGACACTTTGCAATGCAAAGGGCTTAAGCAACGTTAGATGTTGCGAGATTCAGAATACTATGGGTTGTAGGTAAGTAGGTAGGGAGTGAGTTGGGGCCTTTTCTTGTAATGGGATGTGATTGGGAACTGAACGAATGCAAATTGAAATTGGAATGCTTAGGAGTTGGATACTGTGTAATGTTAAGGGTCCAGGCAATGTTAGATGTTGCGAAGTTCAGAATACTGTGGGTGTAGGTAGGGAGTGAGTTGGGATTCTTTTTGCAATAGGATGTGATTGGGGATTGAACAAATGCAAATTGAAATTGGAATGCTCTCAAGTTGACTTCTGTGCAATGTTCAGGGCCCAAGCAACGTTAGATGTCGACGAGGTTCAGAATACCATAGATTGTAGGTAAGGAGTGAGTTGAGATTTTTTAGATTTTGTTTTTGGCAATGGGATGTGATTGAGAATAAAATGAATCCAAATTAAAATTGGAATGCTCATAAGTTAAACACTGAGCAATGTAGAGGGCTTAAGCAGCGTTAGGTGTTGATGAGGTTTGGAATACTGTAAGTTGTAAGTAGGAAGTGAGTTGGAATGTTTTTTGCACCGGGACGTAATTGGGGTGACAAGTGCAAATAACTAATTAAGCACCCTAAATTGCAAACTGTGCAATGTCAACGGCCCAAGCAACGTTAAATGTTGATGAGGTTCAGAATATTGTGAGTTGTACGCAAGGAGTGGGATGTCTTTTGGATGGGATGTGACTGGGAATTGGATAAGTGCAATAAAGGTTGAACACCCACAAGTTGAATACAATGTAATATTAAGGGCCCAATTTAGACATCGGCGAATATTGTAAGCTGTAGTTGACGAGTAGATAAGGGAGTTTTTTTTTCTTTTTCTTTTTAGAATGAGACGTGATTGAGAATTGGATGGGTGCAAGCTCAGATTTGGGCGGCCCCAAGTTGGATTTTGTGCATTATCAAGGGCTCGAATTAGACATCAGTGAATTCAGAATATTGCAGGTTGTAGGTGGGGAGTTAGTTGGGATATCTTATGGGATGTGATTGGAAATTGGATGGGTGTAAGCTGGGATTTGAACGCCCACAAGTTGGACACTCTGTGCAATGTCAAGGGTCCGAGTCAGATGTTAGCGAGCTTTAGAAAACTGCAAATCATGGCGAGAAGTAGGTTTTGGGTGTGATTCGTTCGGGGCGTGATTGGGAGTTAAATGGGCGCAAGCTAAGATTTAAATGCCCACAAAATAGACACTCTGTGCAATGTCGAGGGCCCAAGTTAGACGTGGTGGGGTTCAGGGTACTGCAAGTCGTAGAGCCTGAGTTGGATGTTGGCGGGATTCAGGATACTGCAAGTCTAAGGTGAGCATCAGGTTGGGATATCTTTCGGATGGGATGGGCATAGGTTACGATTTGGGCGCCCACAAGTCGGACAATTGCACAGTATCAAGGGGCTGATTCAAATTTTGGCGACTTTCAATGTTGAGTATGTGTATTTGACGTGATGAGAAGCACCAGCGAGCCATGCAATGTCAAGGGTCCAAGTTAAACGTTGGCGAAGTTCAGTACTGAGAGCGCGTGGTTGAGGTTATAAGGAAGCCCAGCGAATCCGACGTAATATAGTACCAAGACTGCACTTCACGTCTCATCGAACTAGATGCTTTATATGTTAAGATACTAAAGTGTGTTGATTAATTATACCTTGTGTGATACTTAGGGTCTTAGTTGAGTGCTGGTGAGGATCAACACTAAGTGCCTGTAATTAAAAGACAAGGAGAGCCGGGAACTCTAGCGCAATGCAATACTAAGACCCCAATTTGAATACTGGCGAATTGAATGCTGTCCATACTTTTATGGCAGAGCGGCGGCAAGCTGAACAATGCGCGATGTTGAAGGTCTGGGTTGAATGTTGGCGAGGTAGGATACTGCGCGAGGTCGAGGTGACAAGGAGTATTAACAGATCTGACATAACCACAAAGTTCAGGCCCAAGTTCAAATACTGGCGGAATTAGATGCTGCGAAGTATCAAGATAGCGAGAAGCACCACAAAAGAGAAATGACACGATGTCAAGGCCACAAGTTCAATGGTGGCGAGGTTGAGCACTGCGTATTGTCGATATTACGAGTTCAATCGTTGGTAAGTCGGCGAGCTGGATACTGTATTACTCTAAGCTGACAACCTCAGAAGTAGAAAGTTAACAGATTGGCTAATGCTCAACCTTAAAGCTTTGACCGCCGGCGAGCTGTGCACAATGTCAAGGCCACGAGCGGATTGCTAATAAACTGGAGATTGCGTAGTATTAAAATAACAAGCCGAGCACTGGTATATCGAACACTACTAGTATCTACCATTGAGTTGACAGAATGAGTGTTTGCGAGCTGGTCACTGAGCAATGTTGAGGTGATGCTGATATACCAATATTGGCCTGGCTTAGGTTATCATGGGCAGGGAACGCAGTGCTAGTTGATTGCTGGCGGAGTATATACTGCATGATGTCGAGCTGAGACCGCTATGAAAAAAGTGTTCGCTCGGCGTAGGTCAAGCAATGTTGAAATTGCTAGGGACTTGGACGCGAATTGAGAGCCGGGAGTTAGATATCTGTGAGCTGGACACTATACAGTTCTGAGGCGATCCCGTCATGAAGTGTGGTTCGCCCGGCTGACAGCGCAGCTTTGTGAGCTCTGTATTCACTGATCTAGAAATATAGGCAGTCTGTATTTGGTCTGATCTCGAGCAGTTTTCCGACCTGAGGTGGTGTTATCGACGTGATGTCTTGTTATTAGGGTCCTCCAGGTGGTGCTCTTGAAGAACTGCTCCCGGAGCGGAGTCCTTCTAAGTTGGAGCCGTGCGTGACGTTTTGTATTTTTGCTTCTGTGTCCTCGAGGCGATGCTCTTAAGGAGGTGGTGCTTGAACTTGTGTCCAACAGGTGTTATCATGGCCCAGGCCGAACGGGTCGATCACCCTAAAGAAGTGAGGGCAGACTGCGGCTGTATATGGCCGCATAGTTGTCCTTGCGATAAGTTGCGTTTGTGAGGCTGGGCGAGTACCCGATGTCTGAAGGACTCTCATCGCTTATTGAGAGAGCTAAGATAAATATCTCAACTTGGTTCGCAGGGAGAAGACTGGGACTAGACGAAGACATTAGTATCATTGCTACATGCTAAGGCAGATATTCGCGGAACTCCTGTTCTGGGTTATCGATAGCATCTTTAGCCAGTTCTGGAGTAAGAACTTTAGTAACACTAGGTAGGAGAGCTTCAGAAATCTGAAACCAGATCTTGAGAAAATTGAGGAGGATATAGTCAACAGAACTAGTAATTTATCGCAAGGCTCAGAGAGAGAGAGAGATCATTATAGTTTGTTCAAGAACTCAAGGACTATGTTAGCCATGTTATATCTTAATGTGACGCTGGTCGTTGGTGACGATTTGAGAGGTAGTTGATGCAGCGATGAAGACAGGGATATGGGTGGGTGGCATGACGCTCAGCCTGGTTGGAGAATAGAGCTGGTAGATCGAAGGGTATGGGACGGCGTCAATAGTAGTATTAGTGGAATAATTCAAATGCGGTGGATGGTGTCCTCCAGTGCCAACGGTGTTCTGGGCTTGGCGGTGTAGATTACCGCTGTCGGAAGAAACTGGTGCAGTTGTCAGGGTGGAAAGTAAGTCAAGAAAGCTTGAATTTCAACCTGCTTCATGATATCCATTGCTCTCCTACTCTCCTTCTTGCTGAGCACTCAAACTTTTGCCGAGGGTAATTGTGATTGTTGCTCAAGTCTAGCTACACAGGCGTCTCGATTTGGTATCCTTTTGGCTGATTCGATACTTAAGAATCACTATTACCCGAGTCCGGGTCTTCGAGTGGCGATATCCCAAATGGTAATGAAGTCCACATAGCTGCAGTCCAGATGGCTGGGTCGGCAGTGTGGCTGCAATGCGGAAATGTGCGGCCGAGAGTGCTGGCTAAATACTGCAGATACTACGGATGGAGAGTTCCAGAATGGGAGGATCTTGGAACAAACCTTGATAGAGCAAATTAATATTTTGTAGCAATTTGGTGTGGGTTGGAACTCTGAGATATGTCAGTGATATTCATACTAGTAGTGGATGATGTTCGCATCACGAAGCCTGAGTACAGGCAAACAATTCTAAGTGTGAGTGCAGAAATTCACCTTAGTGAACATCCTTCAAGGGTGACTTTTATGTTAAAGAAGCCAGTCTTGCCCATAAAGTTCATGTTTCCTATAAAACAATGTATTTGAGGTCCTGTTAATGGAGGTGTGGTGAGTAATGACTAGTATTGTGACTTCGCCTACCATGTAAGGTGTGTTTCACGGCAAGGTCTGAGAGGGCATTGTAAATACCTCAAATTGAACATAGATGCGTTCACAGATTGCATCAAAGAAGATACAGACACGCATGGCAGAGCAAACTCGCACGCCAAACGAGACAACAGAAGGATCAGGAGCAAAACTTTAGAAGTTCAACATTGAATCACAGTACATTACTTAGCCTAGTAACTGCCAAGCAAATTCAGTCTGATGCAGGGGCAGTAAGGTAGAATCTGGAAGTACAAGGTGGGAGAATGATAAAATATAATATAATCTGTACCGCAGCCTCAGAAATAGGCACAGCATTGCTCCATGTCGAGAGGCTCGCGTGGCGGTTGTCTCGAGATCCGCTGGGTTCGCTCTGGCGCGTGGCCGGTCCCTCCTGGTCAAACGAATGTTATCTGGAAGATTAGTATACCAGCTTACCTAGAAAAATGGTCTCGTCCGGTTCGGATGAAAATCATCGGATGAAAGTGTCAGGACTCCTTGCTTGCCTTTAAGCAAGGCGTGCCTAGAATTTGAAGTTTAGAAGCTAATACTTTACCTACTCTACTTGTCACCTTGAGTAGTGATTGATTGCCTTGTTCTATATGATGAGCTCACTGGTGTTAACAGAAATTGTCATAGGAAAGTAGACTGTTATATCATTGCTGCAGGTTGTAGAGAACATATAGTTGCGAATCTTTATTAACTGGCACACGAAATTCTGGTACGTGCATCAAGTAGGCATTGAACATCATGGTATTGGGTGAGCTGGGGCTCTTGGGTAGGAATCAGTTGGTTGAAGGGTAGCAAGACCGGAAAGGTGATCCCTGGGGATGCCAGTCACCCTTACGAGGAGCAATGCAAGTGAAGGAGCGTAGGGAGAATTCGAGGCAAGTCAAGATCCATTGACTGCGTGCATGTGGATTTCAGTTGCTTGCAGGCAGGCAGTTCATTGAGTGTAGCTTTAGAGAGCAGCAGAAGTACAAAGCGAAAGTCTGCCGACTTTCAGACTTCAAATCTTGCTGCCTCTTGGAATATTCAATTCAGTAGTTTTCTCGAGACCTTGAATTATAAAGAAATCTATGTGAGGTGAGCTCATTGCATACTTTAATGGTGACACACAGAGACATAGAATGCTTGTCGATTCTTTTAATTTAAGGTCGAACCACAAAGGCTGTAGGCTGTATAGCCTTATTCTTGTCTTGACTGGAAGCCATAGGCTGTGCGGCTGACGAACATACATAGATTCACATGCATACACCACAATTTTGCCTGCTGCTCGAAGTATCTCTGAAATGTTTTCAGTCAATTTGTACAGTACTTGAACGCAAAGACACTTCTATTCTCAACTCAATTTGGGCTGGCAGCAAACGTTGCACATACCTAGGCAGCTTAAGGCCAAGCAGAATTTATAAATGCTGTGTTAAAACCACGTCTGAAAGTGTAACAATGTATAAAGCTGTCTGGAAAATCATGGTCGAACATGGAGTCCAGACTGCTACTAAGCCTCGTTTGGATGTAAGCGTTTGCAATTGACAGTACACTCCGGCCCTGGAGGATAGCGGAATCACGAAACTAGATTTTGCCATCTTATGGAATGCTCTTCTTTGAGTGGATATGCGCATTGACGCACTGTCACTTTGACAGGGGAGTAGGAACTAGGAGACTACTCGGCTCTCGAGGTCGACAGTCGCTGATTGTCACATGCCGCTGAGCTTCGTTGCCGCAGCAGTCTATGTGAGTAGCACTCCGACCGCCGATCATTTCAGACACCATGGTAACACGAACAAAGAAAGTTCACGTATCTTACGAGGCATCCCATCTCAGCGACGGTGTCATTTCCTTTGAGATTGCAACCCCTTGATCAGCTCACAACAAGGCCGGGTCAACCTCTACCTAGCGATTGTTTGGCTGGAGGGCTGATTTTCTGGACTTATGGAAGGATCGTATGAAAACTTTAGCTTCAGTTCTAATTTTGGTCGAATCAACGAATCCCCGTGTGCGCGCTGAAATCTCAACATTCCAAGACATGGGCGAGACTCTCTTGGCATTCGTTCACCGGGTGCCGATCGTCTGCCCAGAGACACGTTCAGCTGTCGGTCACGGGGTCGCAGTCGCTAGTCTCTTCCTTATTCTGAAAAGGATCATTGACAGAGGTTGATTAATTTGACGCTAGGTGTACACTACTTAGTCCTAGATACTTCTGCCATACCTATAGTCACGTTGCTTGGCCGTGTGCGTCCTGGCAGATCCCAGAGCTAGACCGGCTCCAGGGCTCGCACTCGGCCATGTACCGAATAAGAACCAGTACGTGCCCCAGGTTCCGCGAGTCTGTCATCAAGCACTCTTGCCTACCAAGGTATTCTCACAATGTTGACTTTCCGGCTCCTCGTCGTCCTCTGCGTGTCAGGTCTGCTTGAGCTCGCCGCGGCTCAGGTGCCTCCACAATGTGCTGTCAGTCAATTCGATGGGCCCAGGTGCCCTATCATACGAGCCTCATGGGATCATCTTCGTTGCCAGACATGCTAACTGTCAGCGTAGATGATATGTGCAGCTCAGGCTTCGCAGGAGCCACCATACGTGAACAAGACTCAATTGGAGCTATGTGCCGATAAAGGGTACAGCCAGCTTGTCGGCGGCTGTGTGACGCAGGAGTGTACCGTGATAGAAGGTCTATGTGAGTCAAGTGCAGATTGTAGATGGCATCTTACGACTCGTCAATGGCGGGAACTGACCGATTGTTGAGCGTTTATCAACACCACGAGAACAGCGTGCGGGCTGCCGCGAGTGGATCACCGCCGCGGCGTCCACGTGATCACTCTGACCATGTTTGCACTCGCCACTGTCTTCTTCGCAATTCGCATGGCCGTCAAGTACCTGAGATATACTCCATGGGGTGCCGATGATACTTGGCTGACGCTCGCATTTGTACGTCTGCAATGCTATCTTCGTGCAGCCTTGTGATATCTGTAGTAACAAGGGCAACTGACTTTGGTTAAAGGCCCTCCTCATCCCGTTCATTACCGTCATACAATGCAGTAAGTCATGACCATGACTTTCAAAGGGAAGGGGGCTGAGATTTACTGTTCAGTGATCCCACAAGGACTTGGTCTTGAGATTTGGGTCCTCCACGACTATCAAATAACCACTTTTCTCAGGGTCGGTTCTCTAGACTCGCTCTCTTGCGCGTCGATTGATCACATTAGAAGAGCTTTTCTGATACTTGACAGTACCTCCTTGCCGCCCAAACGCACTATGTCCTCATTATAGCGATTATCAAAGCGTCTATCCTGGCATTTTTCCTGAGAATCTTCCCAGATGAGATGTTCAAGAAGGTGGTATGGTGCACGCTCATCTACGACCTTCTCGTTGGCGTCATTGTTTTCACCCTCAGTCTGGTACAGAGGCAGCCCACTTGGCTAATATGGGAGGGCTGGAAGGACAAGGATCAGCGCGGCGTCGTCCTCGAACTGAACAACCTGGGCCTGGGCCACGGCGGAATGAATATTGCGCTGGATTTATGGATGCTCGTGCTGCCATTCACGCAGCTGTACAAGCTTCAACACCCGTGGCACAAGAAGCTTGGCATCTTCGCCATGTTTAGCGTCGGTATATTCCTGACGATTGTATCTGCAATACGTGTCAAGAGCTTGGTGTCATTTGCGACATCTGAAAACGTCACCGGTATGTGTACTGAAGTAGACCGTGTGTCCTGTGTCCCGAGTTGGCCTACTAATTACAATCTGTCGATAGACGACGCACGCGAAACCGTGATCTGGTCCTGCATCGAGCTCTGCGTGGGCATCGTGGTGGCCTGCATGCCGCACGCGCGCCAGCTGTTCCGCGAGGCCACACGGAAGTTCAGGCGCACCCGCCAGCCGCCCAGCTCGGCGGAGAGGACGAGCCGGACGTACTGGAGTCCGCGGCGTGTCCACCGGGACGACTCGGTCGAGTCGGGCACTGCCGTCGACCATTCCGCCGCCGGCCCGGTACCCCCCGACAAGAGCTGGTACAGCTCGACAACACAATCAGCTTATACGACGACGACTTGTACGAGCTCCCGTCAGCACTCGAGCTTCGCCAGTGATGCGCCAACGCGTGTCGCCTCGCTAGCACAGACCCTGGATGAGGCTCCAGGTATGCAACTGAAAACGCTAGGGGACAGACCAGGGAGTCAAGGATGAAGATGAAGAGTAGAGGAATTCCTACATCGGATGGGTGCGAATGCCGGTCAATTGTGAATATGGCCTCTATGTAGGTATGATGGCTGGATCAATGAGGTCAACCTTGAGCAGTGGCAAGGGCATAGATTCTTCCCGTCAAGGAGAGATAGTCATGGATGGAAGCGGAGAAAGAAGGGGAATCATACATCATTAATGGTTCAGGAAGTCCGCCCCTATCATTGACACAAATTGAGAGTAGGTGAGTCAAAATTAGCAGCGCCTTAACGTACTGTGTAGACCCTACAGATGGCGGAATAGCAAACTTTCACTAAAGACCTGTCCGTCCACTTGGACGGAAACGGCCAGAATGAAACAAAAAGAAACATCGGGAAAAATGACCTTTTCTGGCTCGTGTTCCTGCTGTGCTCCACCCCAAGACTGGGAAAATAGTCTGATGTTGCATTACAAGGCGAACTGCCTAGAAGTAGGCCCTGGACTGGTGCGCAATAGACCGGCACAGCCGGAATACGCTCCAGGCTCCATTCACCCGGCGTTCACTTGAGGAAATAGGCATGGCAGATGTACAGGATTTGGCAAGCTGTGTCCAGTGCTTGAAAGCTGTAGGTCTGCTGCTTGGTTGATGTCACCCAAGGAGAGCGATGGGTTGATCAACTAGGTAGACAGATCCATGCTTGCTCTTCTCTTGAAGAGTGTCCTAGCCCCATGGAGACGTAGGGGAGGTAGGCCTTTGGCAAGAGAGTCATGACACAGTCCACGAGTAAATCATGCTGGTTCAGGAAACAGCATTGATAGGGAGTCGTTTGGATTGCTTCCTTTCTCTACCTACTTCCCCAGCACCCTCTCGATCGTCGACCTTGGCATGCAATAAACGGGGTTGACAGGCTGCGTACCCGGGTACTCAAGCAGACTCAGCCCGGTCATGCCGAAGCACGTATGCCAGACGTCGACCATGTCACCAGGCCTGTCAGCGATGCCGCCGGCGTCGGGGTCCTGGCAGCGCAGGATGAAGCGGACGAGGGCGCCGCGGTCGATCCAGTGGGCGCGGCCGATGATCTGCAGGCTGCTCAGGACCCACCAGCTGTAGCAGACGTCCTCGTCCTTCTCCGGGCGGCCGTTGAGCCCGCCGCCGGGGACCTGGCGCTCGCTGAGCCAGCGGCCCAGGCGGTCGGCGTCGACGAGGTCCAGCCGGCCCGCGATGTCCAGCGCCGCCACGCACGTGAAGATCTGGCCCGAGTGCGACTCGGCCCCCGGGCTCACGCCGTAGCCGCCGTCGAAGTTGGCGCAGGCCGCGATGTGCTCCACTGCCTTGTCCACGTCGACCAGGTGCAGCAGCCCGAGCAGGGAGAGGGCGTTGAAGGCGCCATAGAGGAAGCGCGTGTCCTCCTCGCCCCACTCGTCGCCGGCGAAGGTGCCGGTCTCCCGGTTCTGGAGGTTGGCAATGACTGTACTTGTGTCAGCGATAATTTATTTTCCCCGTATTAGGCCAGCATGAGAAAAGGCCAGGATAAGGATGACAATACATACACTCGCCCACCTTAGCCTTGCCCTTCCCTCTCGTTTCCAGCTCGTCGAACGCGTTCACCATGGCGAGGATCTGCACGGCACTGACTGTGTAGAGCATGTGTGCGTCATGGCCTGGGGCGGCGCCGAAGCCTCCACTGTCATGCTGACATGAGAGCACAAAGTCTATCGTCTCACTGCGCGGGAGGGCGTCCGGGTGGCCCAGCAGGTGGAGAGCGACGAGGCCCCAGTAGACGCCGTTCAGGCGGAGGTGCTCGGTCAGCCAGTAGTCATACTCGTCCTTCCGCGTGTCCAGCGACTGGATGTATTTCACATGGTTGGCTGTGGCGAGCTGCAGCTCGTCGGGCAGCTTGTCGAGCTTTGAGGTCATTGCGCTGTCAGCTGTGGGAGGCAGGAAGGAATGTGGGAATTGTTCGTCTCGACTGGGATGTAGTCGCCCAGGAGGATGGGCGATGCGCGGGTGGCTTCCCTTGGTGACAGGGGTCATCAGAAAGAGCCATAGAGCAATGTCGTCGAGAGTCGGAGAGATTTTAGGTAAGCCACTGCGGGCTGCCCCACACTTCGCTTTGGACCATCGCCAACTCAACGTCGGTCCCAGAAGATTGGATCCTGTCGACCCTTGATCATCTGAGCCCTCACCTCGCCTCGCCTCGCCCCGGACTGTCAGATTGTCCAGGCTGTTCAGGGCTGAGATGAAAGGTTCCGATCAACACTTGATATTGTGACATGTGCTACGGGCTAATTATGAAGTACCTAGGAGGCCAAGCAAGACTGCGACAGGGGCAAACTCTCGTGCCCGTCAATATGCTGACAGCCTGCGTCACAGCATGAGAACGTCTCCCTCACACTCTCGCTCTCCCTAGCAGCCCTAAGCGAGTGGTGTGGAGATGCGCTCGCATGATACTCCCGCCTGTGGGCTGGTTTGCACAAACAGTGGACCACACCACCAACAAGGTTCAACACCGGCTCTCAGCAGCATCGAAAATGCGAGCCAGGCCAAGCGACGCGCGATCTTGTCCTACCGCCACGAGGCTGACGTGCATTGCATATCAACAATGATCAGCGTGCCACCGTATCAAGCGGGCTCCGTTAGAATCGAGTCGACCATTGGGGGAATCCGGCGCGAAAGCTTGTGGTCGGCATTATCTGTCCCTCAACCTGAAGCTCACAATCAAGGGCGATGGGCGTCCCGGGAACGATGGCCCCGTATTTTGCCAGCCTCATGCGGGTCTGCGCAGGCACGCGTAGATTGCGTGTGGAGGCAGAGTGCCTACAAAGTACCTGGCAGTTGTCCTTTTGTCAGGAGCAAGGGACCGGGCAGAGACAGGCTCTTGGGGGCCAGGCGTGCAAAGGCGTCTACCGTGACTGCGTGCGTGTGAGCCTGTGTGCGTGTAACTGCATACATACACAGTACTGAGGCGTGAGCAACTGTGAGCACGCAGGCCCTGACCGCTCTATTTTTGGCAAGGATGGCTGCCCGATGATACTTGGACGGTCTGCCAGGGGGAGACTGCCCATGTTTCAAGACTGAAGCGTGCCTGGTCTAGACCTCTTTGGGCATGGGCATCGTGGGCACCCCTCTCCTCTTGAGACTCCGCACCCGCACGCGCGACTTGAGGATCGGTACTCGCGGATGTCCAACTGCATGTGCCGGCCCGATGATGGTGGGTGGTGTGGAGGATGGCAATGCGAGAGGCTTGCGCTTCCTCTTATCATTGGAAGAGAGGGAGAGAGAGGGGCTTGCCGTGACTAAGTCCGGAATCTCATCGTCGAATCGAATTGTAATGCCATTGTCTCTCTGGCTGTCTCTGGCTGGCCACGTTGTTTGGTAGCACACGGGTTTTTTGGTTTTTTGTTTCGAGCGACGTCTTTGACGAGATGAGAATCGATGCGAGACATGGGGGGCCAGCACGGCATCTGCCAAGACCCAGCCTCGCTGGACGGCAACATCCGAATTGCTCGCACTCATTAGCAGTCGCCTGCTGCTAACGTTAGACTACCTGTCATGTGCCACGATGTAACTTGAGCCTTTCAAGGCCCCTTGATCCATACCCACTGACCGGCTTGCCTACGTGTTTACGTACCTAGACATAAAGCACGGCACAGCATATGTACAGTAGATCACATTAGCAGAATTCAATCTCGACATTCCCCACCGGCTCGCCTGGAGCCGAAGGAAAATGAAAGTTAGTATGCACACCGCTCACTTCAGGACACGGCTGGACGAGGGCCCGAGACATTGATGACTGTGACTTGCTGGCGCCGGCAATAGTATACTGAGCACATTTGCCCGTGCCTTCGTATGTACAGGAACAGTACTTGGGTTCCTCACCAGCCGCCCGTGCGAGCGTGCCTGGCCAGCCGGGCTCCAGATGTCAGAGCTTTGTCCAACGACTGTCACCTTTGACCTTGCGTGACTCGTCAACGAGGGAGCATCAAGAATGGAGAGGTTCATCTCGAGGTGCCTTGTTGTGGCTGAACTCTATATAACAAGCGAGCCATTCGCCGTACCCGTCACGGGTCTGGGTGAAGGGTTGAATGGTAGTTCAGGTGATTTGCTATGATGAAGCTTGTGATGCGCACGAGATAGTAGGTATTCAAACAGAAAAAAAAAGGAACCCAGTTTCCGGGCTAGCCCACAAGTCAAATCCAGACTGACGGACTGACTATTTACCGCTGATGAGAGCGGCTGGGCGGCTGCAAGATCGTTGGAGATCTCGCTCCAGCTTCGGTCTGCCCTACTCGAGCCGGCCTGATTTCGCGGGTCCAGGTCGTGCTCACCCCTGATCACCCGTGTGGGCCCTGCTGGGCTGGGCTGGCTGGGCTGGCTGGGCTGTTGGCGGGATACAAATTGGCCCCGAGGCTTCTTTTTAGGCATTTATTTCCCGTCTGCCAGGTATCTGCATGCACCGCGTTGCATGTACCTGGTGGTAAAGCCCCCTGGCACGGACGCAATCGTATCTCTTGGGAAATTCCCCGTCTCCCAGATGATCCCACGGGATGGGATCAACCGTCAGCGTGCATCTCTGGGAACATTGTTTCAGAACATCGAAGCCCGAAAGAACAGCTCTTGCCTTCACCACCCACTGTCACTGTCTAGACTACTCGTGCCGCCCGTCGTAAGCTCTGGATGTTTGTCGCCGGGGCTCTTTTGGCTTGCTCATGTGGTGCTCGTCCCATGTTCCCATAATTGAGATGACAACATCCAAGGGGTTCCTTCGAAACTGGCCCGAGGCATCATCTTAATTTGACGACCTCACCATCCATCTGAGGATATTTGTAGCAACTCGTCATTTCTGATGGAAATACCCTCCTTCCAAGGGATTCCAAGGGAATAAACCACAGCCGCGGTCGCCGTTGCGGGACCGGAACCTTCGAGTCGCCGCTCGTCCCTCGTCCCCCGTCCGCGTCCCCCGTTGCCCGTCGCCCATCATCTGTTATCGGTTTACCCCTGAGCCATCCAACCCTACCGCTCGCGCTTTTGCATTCACGCGGGCGTTGGAAGACGTGAGGATTCCACACAATCCGCAACCTTCCCCAGGTCTGGCGCATTCCACCAGGCTTCCTGAAGACTGATCAACTGCTGCTGTGCGAGTCCAGTTACACAGTAATTGATCACTCCAAGAGCGGGCCAAGCCTGGACTTCCCCGACACGGATCTGACCTCGACCCTCAGCTCCATCTTCGAACTCAGCTTCGGCTTCATCAGGCCTCCAGGGCCCGCCCCAGTGCGTCCCTTCAATTCTGCTGGGAACCGGCAAACCCAACGTGCCTTCAAGCCCAACCTACAATCTTGGGTACCCATACCAAGACAACGTCTGCGTTTGACTTAACCAGGTAGGCTGAGTCCTCGCTCGGGAAAAACGGCAGAAGCGCGACCGTCCATCTCGCTCGCAACTGGCGATCTGACCTAGGCACATTCACATTCAGGCACATTCAGTCAGGGTCGACCCAGTAAGAGGGCGCATCTCAAACCTGGGTGCCGAGCATCAAGCAATCAATCAGTCAGTCAATCAAGCAAGCAAGCAATCAAGTCAATCAACCCGTCTCTCAGTCAGTCAGTCAGTCAGTCAATCGGCCTGTGATCGACGCATGCTCGGTTCAGCCGCCCGAGCCTAAAACCCAAAACATCAGAGCAGCAAGAACGGAGCATTTCTGCTTCTCTCACACTGTTAGTTACCACAGACACCCTTGATCGGCACAGCTCGCTGCCTCCTCCCGGCACAGGGGAGTTGTTTCGATTCATGCGCCACACAGCAGGGCCGCCCTCTCATTTGCCCCCCCCCTCCAAGGGTCAAGCTCCTGGCTCCTGGCTCTTGGCTCCTGGATCCCCCAGCCTGCCTGCAGCCTGCCAGCCTGCCCAGTCCCTCCTGGTACGGTACTGACTGATTGACAAGAATTGCTTTGCTGGAATTGAGACAGCCGATCCTGAAGTGACACTTGATTTCATCTGGACTGTGTGCGAGAAAGTGGAGCGCTGGTCCCGGCCGCCCTCTCTGCACACGAGACAAGCACAAGCACAAGCAGCAGAGGCCAGGCACAGGCACAGGCACAGGCACAAGCACAGGCAGAACAGCCCAGCCAGTCAAGGTACAACCTATCCAACGCATTAAGCCTCAGCACAGTACCGCCCTCAGCATCAAACACCCACCACAACGGAGCGCCCGAGCATCCGTTTGAGGGTTGTTGCCGGCACCATCGCCAACACATCGGTCGCCCTTTACTGAGCGCCGCACCGCACTGCACCGCCCTTGCACCCGCACCGCACCACTCCATCACCTCACACCACCGTCATGGGACGAAAGAAGTCCGTGCCTCCCCAGCCGCTCGTGCTGCAGCAGGCCCAGTCTCAGTCTCAGGCCCAGGCCCAGCAGCAGCAGAACCAGCAGCAGTACCAACAGGCGGCGTACGGGCAGCGGCAGCAGCACGAGTACGAGGAGGAGCGGCAGCAGGAGCACTCAGGCGGCCACCGTCTAGGTACCCAAGCCCAAGCTGACGGCAGGTGGTCCAACAAGTCCAAAACCTCGGCCACCACCACCACGACCACCACCATCACCCAACCCCAAACCCAGCAGCGAGATCGTCCTAGTGAAACAGACCAACACCCACCACGAATCTCACCCGCCACGACCGCCAATTCGTCATCGCCCAAGTCTCCTCGCTCTCCATTTACCTCACGCTTTTCTCCAAAGAATCTATACTCACTATCCAATTCGAACCCCCAGCTCCAGCCTCAGTTACAGCCCAACCAAATCCTGCGCAAGTCGCCAGCCCCTAGCACGCCTGTACAATCGCAGAATACTAGCAGGACCACGCCCACTCCCACTACCACTGCCACTACCACTGCCACTACCACAGGCGCCTCCACCAGGAAACCTCAGCACATCGCCGAGCTGCAGCAGCAGCCCCTGCCCCTCCGCGACCAAGAGCAAGAACCGTTCCCACCCATCACCGCCTCAATCACCCAGCCCGGCAACAACTCGACCACTTCTCGCCCGCAGCAGCCTGATCGAAGGCGACTTAAATCGAGCCACGGCCAACGCCCACGGCAAAACGACGACGAAAAGAAGGGCTTCTTCTTTAGCTTTAGCAAGTCGGGCAAGTCGTCGTCCGATCGCCTGCCGCCGCCGCTACCACCACCCTCACAGACCCAGCCCAATACCACTACTACCGCACTAGACCCACGGCGCGAAGCAGTGATGAGGAGCACCGATCAGCCAACTCCCACCAAACACAGTCCAAAACAATCAACCGGTCAGTCATTCAAACCAAACCCTGGGGTTGAGCCCATCAGGCACGCATGACACGGTTGTTTTGCAGCGCCGCCTCTTGACTCTCCCCTGATTCAATGCCCTTTCAATGCTGATTCTTTGTCTTCAATGCAGACACATCCCATGTAGATTCTGCCCCGAGACCCGCCCCCTCTTTGCCCTCTAGATCCGAAAGCTCGTTGGCTTCATCCCAAGAAAAGGGCGACACCACCACTACTTCATCGAGAAAAGGCTCCAAGCCCAAGCCATTCACATTGCTGAGCAGGACAAAGTCACAGCGTGACAGGGACGGCCGTAGCCCACGCCATACTCCGAGTCCCCAAGACCTAAGAGAGGTCCCCAATACTCAGGTGCCGCTACCCGAACCAGAACGTGCGCACATTGCTGCGCCTCCCAAAACCGCGACAGCCCCCCTCGACCGTTCGTATAGGGAGGCCATGTCATCGTCGTCGCGCAACCACTCCGCCGACCGCGGCGACCGTATCCCGTCGCGGGACGCCTCGACAAGCAGAAACTCGAATCGGGAGAGGGACTATAGCCGCGGACAGCAGCATTTCTCACAGAAGGACGGTCCAGCTTCGTTTTTCAACAATCTCAAGAGAGAAGGCGGCAGGGTAGCAGAGTCAATTGGAAAGGGGCTTTTTGGCAAGGGCGGTCGCAGCGGCAGCACGACAGAAAAGGAGCCACTTGTGGATGACGAGCATTACGTGTTAAAGGTCATCAATCTCCCACTTATCGAGCAAACACGCCTGACCAGGATATCGAAACGGCTCGAGGACTCGAGAGACAAGACGGAATTCTGGATGCCCGCCTTCCCCTGGAGAGCGATCGATTATCTCAATTACAAAGGCTGCGACGTGGAAGGTCTTTACCGAGTGCCAGGAAGTGGGCCTCAAATAAAGAAATGGCAGCGGCGGTTCGACGAGCGTGAGTCGTCATGTGACACCAACAGCTATCAAAAGGATGTTTCAGCTAACTAACCTTTCTCGTGCAGGCCTTGATGTAGACCTATTCAGCCAGGAGGACCTGTATGATATCAATATCATTGGTTCGATGCTGAAAGCATGGCTTCGCGAGCTCCCCGACGAGCTGTTCCCAAAGGAGGCACAAGACCGAATCGCTCGAGAATGCGCCGGCGCAGAGAAGGTGCCTCAAATGCTCATCGACGAGTTGTCCAACCTTTCCCCCTTCAACTACTATCTGCTCTTCGCAATCACCTGCCACCTGAGCCTGCTCTTGGCGCACGCCGACAAGAACAAGATGGACTTTCGCAACCTCTGCATTTGCTTCCAGCCGTGCATGAAGATCGACGCATTCTGCTTCAAATTCCTGGTATGCGACTGGAGGGATTGTTGGAAGGGATGCAAGAACGAGACCAAGTTCATTGAGGAAGAGTACAAGTTGTTCGACGCGCCACCGCCTCCAGGCCTCGGTGTTAAGAAACGCCTAGAGCCCCGATCAGAGCCCCGACCCGAGCGTCGCCCTTCGCCAACGGTGGAGAGGGATGAGCGAGATCGCAACATTTCTTCTTCGGACAGCAGCAAGAAGTCGCAGCAAGGGGGAGACAGCACGCGGCTGAAGAAGAAGAATGGTATCCAGGAGAACGGAAGTGCAGCAACCAAAACAACTCATCTGTACACCGACGCCCCAACGAACGGCCAGAGTGCTACACCAAGAGCATCGAACGATATGCGGCCCCTGTCACCCATCAAACCTCTGTCGCCACTCGGGTTCTAGAAATGCCCGCTACGATTGTGCTTTCGGTAGAGCCGTTTCGATATTTTCTACTCATCCTCAGGCGAAAGAGCAAGGCCTGAGTGCTGTATGCATGCCCGCGCCAGGTGGCTATCCTACATGACGTGAGACGCCAATGACGAATTCCCTTTGTTCGTGAATCATGAGCTTTCTGCCCCTGAAGACGGCCCAACCCGGTTGAGGAGTGATCGCGCGCAAGGGCGACGGAGAGGCCACATCGGAGCTGCCCTGAGAGGCGTATGTTTTTTTTTTTCATGTATGTTGTTCTGTATACCCCCACAGGCATTTGGATTGATGGGACCTCCCACCACAGAGCAGAAGTTGAGGTGCATTGTTTTCTACGTTTCTTCGTTTTTGTTGCGCTTAGGCAGACGTTTTGTCTGCGGCCTTATTCCCCCACCCAAGCGTTGAATATGAATGGAATTCGAGGGGTGCGAGCAGGGGTCACCACGAACGATTTATACCAAGATTGCGACTCGCGACTTTGGGGCATCTGTGCGCTCTGCGACGTATCTCCTCATCGCTACGGACAGGATAGTTGAGGAGGAAGAGATGACTGGATGGTTTGGGCGGCTACTCGTTCCTCTTTCTCCATGGAAACGGAGGATCCGATCTGCTTGCTTGGGTTAATATGCAAGGAGGGGAGCATGGCCCTCGAAAACCGGAGTTGCAAAGGTATGGAAAGAGTACTTGTATATTAGGGCTGTGAGGACAGTGTCCTGGACAGTGGCTTGGCCCCGCTGGAGAGGGCGGCCTGAATGAAAAGATTCAAATTTCGAAGTGCTCTCAATCGAGTCCGCTGTTGTCGTACACTTTGTGTCTACTGTGCCGGTATGTGTCTAGTCTCGCTGCACATACTTCTGATTGACGGGGAGAGGCACAGCTCTGCACCCTTGACGCCGGCGATTGTAGGATTGGACGCGTAGTCGAACTTAGATATCAACATTCTAAATTGGACCAATGAGTCCTCATTTTCCAAAGTCTTTATTCTGGGACGTCGAGGGTAAACAACTGGGCTGGGACTTCAATAAGGAGTGAACACCAACGGGACCTGATTCTCAAGATTTATAACCCAGCCAGGAACCGACTACATGAAGGCGATCCTTATCAAACCAACACCACACGCAACGTTACCAACCGGGTACTGAGACAACCACACCCCTCCAATCACCTCGCAAAATGGATCACCATCACCGCACCGAAGCTCTGGCACGTAAATTCCAGCGTCATGCTTTTCCCTCGTCCTCGCCCTCAGCAAACGCTCCCCAGTTCCTGCTCGAAAGCCGTTGGCACGTGGTCGAGCTCGCAGGACCCGAGAGACGCCAACAGAAAGGCTCCAACAAGGCCTCTGACAGGCGAGGTGGCCGGTTGCACACGATCCGCAATCGCAAGGCGCTCGTGGCCGTGCGACGCACCCTGAGGGTACGGCACCGGGGCCGGATGCGGCAGCTCGCTGGGCGGGGGGTAGTGGGAGTCATCGCAGGGCCGTTGGGCGACGACGTGTGCTCTATAAGCGGTTGGCGAGGCTATGCAGGCAGTATTATGAACAAACGAAGTTGGGCTTTGCTGTGGGTTTGGGAGGACTTCTTCTCAAGCCCGGTCTCAAACGGGTATATTGTAGGCATTTGCTGTCTTTCCCGGTCAAAAACAAAAAGAGGTGGCTCTTGACTTTAGATAGCCGCCGCCGGCACGATCCCGTTTTCCATTCCTAGACGCCAGAACTCCGTCTTTTGAACATGCATGCAATGTCGCGAGAAATGCCCCGATCCGCGTGAGCCCAACCAAGCCTTGCTTGCATTTTCCCACGTCAGAGTCTCTCTCTACTGGACATCCAAGAGCTTCCCAACCCCGAAGCAACACTCCGGCCAAAACCCAACTGCTCCGTGCGGTCACTACCCCTACTTGGCCGCATGGCGCGCGTTGCTCCGCATCTTCCTGTCGTTGCGGCGGATCTTCTCCTTCCTCTCGCGCCGCGACGTGCCGCGGACCGTCTCGCCGTCCTTGAGCTTGGCCTCCTTGGCCGTGTCGACCTCGACCAGCCAGTCGTCCTGGACCTTGCCCTCGGCGCGGTCCTTGGGGCCCTTCCACCCCCACTTCTTCTCCCACTCGCCCTTGTCCTCGTTGTACCGCAGGTTCTGGCGCTGCTCCTTGGTCTTGGGCTTGATGCCCTTGCGCGCCGCGAACTGCTCCCACTTGGTCGGGGGCTTCGGCGCGGGGAGCGGCTTCTCGCGCGGCAGAGGCGTCACCGGGGGCGGCAGCGACAGCAGCACGCCGTCCGTCTTGGACGAGGTTATTGGGCAGGTGGTGAGCAGCTGGTTGACGAGCGCCTGCGCGCCGTCGCGGGCTACCGCTGCGAGGCTTCCTTCCAGGTCATCGTGGTCGATCTCGAGAGGGTTGGGGTCTGAGGCCAGCAGCAGGCCGAGATCGAAGGTGTAGGGCGTCGGCTTGTCGACTGTGACGGGCAGCTTTGGCTTTGCTGGTATAGACATGGTAATTGGTGGGGGTGTTTCTTGGGATTTGGAGTTCTTGATGTAGTGCTTAAGTAGAAATCTGCTAATGCTGGAGCATTGAGGATGAGTTCGTCGTATTCGAATTGTCCCCTGTCGTTGCGCCCAAGAAAATCGAAGACACGCCTGAATGTTGAAGGAAGATCAACGTCGTCGATTCTTCTTTGGCCTTTGACTTTTGGTTCCTGGCCTGGACAACCGAACTTTTTAGTGGGGCAGGCTGGCCATGATTGGCTATCTTGCTCCCGCATGGCCCGAGCGCCCGCTGTTGCTGCATGTCGGCGTCGAGCTTGGGATTGAAATTCTTCATGTTGGCCAAGCAGCTTGAGCTGGCCACCCGTTTCCGCTGCCCATACACCCTCAGTGGCGATCCAGTCGCGACGACACCCCGCTCAACTCCCGTCTCTCGACCATGCAATAGGAGCCATACGACTGATTACATCAAGAGGAGGACTGGAGGAGATATCGCAATGGCCTCCCAAAGCTGCTGGAGGTGCCTCCTCCGGCCGTCAACAGCCGCCAACCAAGCTCCCACAACGACCAGGTCACTTGTCCCAGTAGTAACTCCGACCGAGAGGATATTACAAAACAGGACATCACCGACTGCCTCGTTCTCGACCACTGCGCATCAGCATGCTACTCATGGAGGTGGCGCTGGCCAACGCGCTGGCAAGCGCATGCAGCTTTCCAAGTTCAAGAAACCAAAGGACATCGTCAGAGGAAAGGTTCCCCTGCCCGGCGAGAGGAAAGCATGGCGCAAGCGCATCGTCCTGTCCAATAACAACGCCATCCCAGTCCACGGCTCCCCGAGACTGGACGCGGACAATATGGCGGATTCTGCCAGCGCCGGCAAGGTCTTCAAGATCCCCGAGGGGACCATGGATCAGCTGCGCGCCAGCGAGGCTTTCAAGTCGAGCCAGACTTGGGGCCTGTTCCACAGCCCGCACGCCCTGGTTCGCCCTGAGATGGTCGAGATGTGTGCGAGTATGAAGGAGAAGGTGGCCAAAGGGGAGACGCTCCGTATGGTAATATCAGGCGAGAAGGCCGCTGGGAAAAGCGTCTTGCTGTTACAAGCGATGGCAAATGCCTTCTTGAACGAATGGGTTGTCATCAACATCCCTGAAGGTGAGCTTGATTCTATACGGGGTGAGCAAATAATGCAACAATGGCTAAACGAATTCCCACTATAGCACAAGACCTGACCACCGCCTGCACCGACTACGCGCCTATCCCCGACACCAACCCCCAGCAATGGATGCAATCGGTCTACGCACTTAAGCTGATGCAGAACATCCGCAACGCCAACCGCGCGATCCTGGACCGCGTCTACACCACTCGCTCCTACGAGGAGTTCACCAACCCCGTCGCCGAGGGCGCCACACTCAACGCGCTGATCGAGTCCGCCCGTGAGACCGACCAGGCGTGGCCCGTGTTCTCCGCCCTGTGGCACGAGCTCACGCTCAAGAGCGAGAGCAGCCCGCGGCCGCCCGTGCTCTTCGCCCTGGACGGGCTGGCGTTCACCATGAGGGTCTCGGACTACCGCAACACGGCGTTCGAGCCGATCCACTCGCACGACCTCGCCATCGTGCGCATGTTCACCGACCTGCTCTCCGGCAAGACCGCCCTCCCCAGCGGCGGCGCCGTCATCGCCGCCACGTGCCGCTCCAACTCGGCGCGCAACGCGAGCATGGAGCTCGCCATCAAGCGGCAGCTCGCGCGGCAGCAGGGCGTCGCCGAGGCGGACCTGCCGCCGCGTGACCCGTTCAGCAGGAAGTACGACGCGCGCACCGACGAGGTCATGGAGGGCACGGGGCTGCGGGTGCTCAACGCCCGGGCCGTAAGCAAGCCCGAGGCGCGCGCGCTGATGGAGTACTGGGCCGCTAGCGGGATGCTGAGGGCCGCGGTCGATGAGCGCGAGGTCACTGACAAGTGGCAGACCGGCGGCAACGGGATCATCGGGGAGATGGAGAGGGCCGGGCTGTTGAGTCTGAGGATATGAGACGGGCCAGCAGGGGCCCATTGGGCCATTGGCTTGCAGTGTAAATGAAATGTATCAAGTCCAATATAGAATAGATGGATGTACTATTCTGACAAGACACTTCATCGAGACGTTGTGGGTGCAAGACGAAAACGGGAGCTTTCGCCTAGATTGTGTGGACTGAGGATTCTCATCTCAATGAACAGCTAAGTGTAAAATTCTGGCCAGGACAAAGCTGGTGTAGGTCGTGTTGGAGAAATACTACGCCGCAAGGCTACTTCCATGCACAGTTTGCGAGGCTGTCATGTAAGGCTTTTCATATGAGAACGTGTTGCCCGTCTTAAGGTCAAGTCCCTAATTGCAGGTCCAAAGTCATGCAATCTGCCTCACAACACTCAAAGCCGGGTATTCACTCAACATAACCGCCATGAGACATGTTTTTTTCTTCTTCTTGATTCACTGCCGAAATCATTTCGTTCATGCTCACACGTCTATATTACCAGCAGTGCAGCCTCTCCTGCCAAGGAATGCATTCAGTTACACACAACCAGAGGGTACCGTATCCCATCAACGCCGCCAAAAACATCAATATACAATGCGATCATTCAAACAACAGCCCGGGCAGTTGAAAAGACTGACATCTACTCGTCGTCATCCTCGTTGTCGTTCTCTGTCGCGGTGACGAAAACGAGGCGGGAGCCGTTTCCGGCGGTTTGCCAGAGCTAAAACACAATGTCAGCCAAGTTATTATTGCAAGTCAGGACAGTATGTCGTGAAAAAGGGGATAACTCACATCAAGCTCGGTGTACTCCTCCAGCGTGTTCAGCCACTGGTCCTCAGTGAAGCCCTTGGCGATGACGCGGTCGCGCACCTTGCGCATGCTCAGCTCGACGCCGAACTCGTCCTCGTCCTCGTCGGCGTCGTCGGCCCGGCACTGGCCCGTCTCCATGAGCGACTTGACCAGGTTGTAGATCCTGCTGCTGGCGTTCATCTGCCGCCTGCCGGCGCCCGACTGCTCCGTGTTCAGGCTGTCCTTGCTGGCCTCTACCAGCCGCAGCGACTCGTCCACATCGTCCTGCGACACCTCCTCGGCGAACCGCAGCCGCGCCAGCGCCTGCGACAGACGCACGATGCCAAGGAGCGTACGGGGCGTCGTGTGCGCGAACTGCTTGCCGCGCTTCTCGGCCTTCTTCTGTGCGTCGCGCATCTTGACGTACGTCTTGATCAGGTACTCCGAGACACTCTGTGGGACAACTGGGCGGTAGTTGCGGGCCAGCGAGATGTAGGCCCGGACCTCGTCGGGTGAGAAGACGACCTCGTCCTCGGTGCCAATGTCGGGGTGTCGGTTGTGCATGTGCACGTAGGCAACATGCTTGGCCAGCTGCGCATCGTTGTCACGGTTGGCGTTGTCGAGAAGCAGGAAGAGGATATCGAAACGGGAGAGCAGAGCGGCGGGGAGGTTGATGTTCTCGACGGGGGACAGCTTGGGATTATAACGTCCGTAAAGCGGATTAGCTGCGGACAGGATCGATGTGCGAGCGTTCAATGTGGTCGAGATGCCAGCTTTCGAGATGCTGATGGTCTGCTGTTCCATCACTTCATGGATGGCGGTCCGGTCGTTGTCGTCCATCTTGTCGAATTCATCGATGCAGCAGATACCGTTGTCGGCAAGGACAAGCGCACCACCCTCGAGGACCATCTCATCCGTCACAGGATCACGCATCACAGCGGCTGTCAGACCGACACCGCTGCTGCCACGGCCAGAGGTGTACACTCCACGGGGAGCCACCTTGGAGATATACTTGAGCAGCTGAGACTTGGCCACACCAGGGTCACCCATGAGACAGATGTTGATGTCGCCACGAATCTTCATACCGTCTCCCATCTCCTTTGACACACCTCCCACAAGAAGGAGCAAGAGCGCCTTCTTGACATCGAGATGACCATAGATCTCAGGGGCAATGGACTTGGCGAGATATTCGTAGACCTGCCCTGATCGTCGGTACTGGTCGATTCGTCTTGCCAGGCTTGGGTCAACCCTCATGTCCTCATAGGCTTTCTTGTGCTGAACAATGTGATGTGCCTCAAGGTAGGTGTCAGTCAAAAGACCTGCGCGCATGGCCTTGAAGCCAGTGTACGGAGTTGGCAAGAAGATGCCGGAGATGTCCACAACATCACCGGGAGAAATTTTGCGAACAGCGGTTCCGTAGGCCGAGACACTCAGGGATCGAGGAATCTGACCGATGGGTACCTGCTCAGGCAATTCCTGCACCTTGATCTCCTGAAAGGGCAAGAACTTGGATGCTCGGGAAGATGGCTGGAGTTGACCCTTGGTCTGGTTGGCTTTGCAGTCCGCGGAGGGACACATCGTAAGGGGACCGAACTGCCTAGCAGTGACCGGCTGGAAGATCTCGCAGCCGCACCTATCGCAAGAGTAGGCTGTGACCTGGACCAAAGGCTTCACGTCTGACACTCTGGTAGCGATGGCTCTGATTGTAATCAGATGGCCGAGGTGATCGCCCCGCACCTGCCGCACAGAAAGGGACTTCACTGGGTGTTCTTGAGTGGAGGAGCAAGGCTTGAAGATGAGGGTGTAGCGCCTTGTCAGCTCTGCCGGAAATTTGTCCTGCAACAGGGTAGGGTCGCCCATGGCCTCAGCACCTTCAGCAATCTCTTGATTACGGGCTTGTCGGCGCGCCATCAAAACATCCAAAACGTCATCTTTGAAGCTGTGGCTGGGTCAATATCAAGACTCATTCTCTCGCCCCCGGCGCCCAATGGAATACGTACGTGACCTCTGAAGTTGGTTGTGGCATGCAGTCATCGATGGCTCGTGACAGAATTTCGACGTAGTGTTTGGTGTTCTCCTCGATAGACTTGACCAGTTTGAGTGCCGCGACGTCCTCGCCCATTTCTGCCTCCCACTATCACAGAGTCAGTACGTGTGGCCGCATGGACTGCATCGAACTCGAGCGGGACGCCGTGCATACCTGAGCAATGTCGTCGAGCTCGATGAGGACCTCGTCGATGTTGCGATTCGCGAGTTGTTGCATCAGATCCTTGTACTTGTGGTAGGGCTTCTTGCGGCTGGCCCTCTCTTGGCGACGGCGCTCTTCGCCCTCGTCATCCTCATCCATAAAGTCGTACTCGTCGTCCAGCTCCTCCTCTTCAATGTTCATTCCTCCGAGGGCATGGGTGATGGAGTCTGCCGGGGACGCCTTGAAGTCCGTGAGGAAGGACTTGAACGTAGCTAACCACGCACGATATTTTGTTAGTATGCTGTATCATGTTGCTGATGGTGATGCGACAGTCTGCGCGGGGCTGCACGTACACAATTGCGCCTCGTAGTCCACGGGCGCCTTCCACTGAAGAAGCGCCATCTTTGCGAGTTATCGTTTAAAAAGTAAATAATAGAGAATGTACGCCTTGACTGTGGGGGTATCTTGGTTGTGCTTGGGAATGTCAAGGTCGCAGATGAGGTGCTTGCTTGAGAGGCGGACAAAGTCGCGAATGGGTCACTACTGTACGACGGAGCAAAGGTGATGCCATTTGAGGGAAGAATGTGGAAGCAGGGGTTCAAATTGATTTTCCAGCCTCCAAGCGCGTCGCGTCCGCACAGCTAGCTCTGCCCGGCGCGTAATGGGACGCGTTCAAATGCAGGATTTGGGGGGCAGACTGTGATTACTTGGCCCAAGCGACGACATGTTTGCAAACCAATTCCCTGCTCACCCCCCATCCTGGCTCCATGATCCTAGAAACAGAATGTTAATGATTGCGATGATGATACAGACATTTGCTTCAAATTATATGACTCTCATTCGATGAATTCTTTCAAGAATACACATGATGTGTTCCATCGTGAACATGTAGCTTGATGCGACTGTCATGTGAAGTCCAATCTGACTCAGTTGCACTTGAAATGACTGTTGGTCAAGTACCCGTGCTGAGCCAGCCCAGGACCCCTGCATACCAGCAGTAAAGGTCCGAGCTCCCTGCGGTCGTCGCCCATCAACCGAGGCACATGGCAATCGCAAATCGCAGGATCGGGATCTCGTCCCGCAACCGTAACCGGAATAGAGTGCTGTGCTGGACTGAGCTGCACATTCTGGAGTTCTCAATTGCTTCTCTAGGATACTGAGCTCTAAGCACTGTGATCCCTCCCGACATGATGACATCAAGTGGAAACTGAGACCTTCGAATTGATTGCGCGCCCACAACACCTGCCCCTCCAGCATGTCTCAGCGCAAGGCCACGGCCGCGGAGATATCGCTTGTCCATCTCAAGAACTGCTTGGTCAACCTCCCGGCGTCCCTCGTCTCCCTGCTGGTGAATGTCAATACTGTAAGGCCGCTCCTATGTCTGCCTTGATAACTCTTACGGAAAACATTCGCTAATGCTTCAGGCAGCCCGTTCAGAATGTCATCGTCGAGCTCAGCTACCGAGATGCATCCCCAACCGACAAGTCCTCCGCGCCAGCGCCCCAAAAGTCCATCTACCTCGGATGGACTGGCATGCCCAGCAAGAAGAAGATAGCCTCGATAGTCGGAAGAGATGGACTGGGCGGCTCAGGCCTGCGAGAGCAGGACGTTCCCCTCGTCGAACTCGATCCGACTCTGGCCAACACACTGGGGCTGCACGAAGGCCAGAAGGTCATGACGACCATCCATACGGACCCTCCTCTGGCGCATACAGTCAACATCGAGCCCCTCACTCCCGATGACTGGGAAATCATCGAGCTGCATGCAACATTTCTGGAGCTCAACCTTCTCTCTCAGATCCGGGCCCTGCCGAACCCTGCCTATTCTCCGCCAGCAGGCACACAGTCAAGTCCGCACCCATTGACCCTCCATCTGTCGCCCACTTCGACTGCAAATATCAGGATATTGTCTCTCGAACCAGCTCAATCTTCCCAGACCCCGTTCTCCAAGATTGCCCCTGACGCCGAGGTCATCGTCGCGCCAAAGGTGAGGCCAAAGTCCTCACGCAGCAGCAGGGAGAATCGGAGTGTCGCGAGCACATCTCGGAAGAGCGGAAGGAGCTCAACCAGCACAGTGAGACGGAGGAGCCAGCGGGAAGAGCGCAAGCCTGCCCTGTTCCTGCGAGGTGTCGACAGGAGGCTCTGCGAAGACTGGTTTGACGATGAGGCCGGAGTCGAAGAACTCACCATCTGGGTCGACCGCGAACTTTTGGTCTCCAACGAGTTCAGAGGGTTGAGATGGGTTACAGTGTATCTTATGAGACCATCGAGTCTCCAGGAGCCAGCGCCTATGCAAGGACAACAATCCCAAGCCCCGGAAGTACCCGAATTATCGAGATCCGGTCTCAGGGTCGTGGCGCAACTCATGCCCTGGGACGATCCTCCGAATGGTCAGACGGCAGCATTGTCAACAATTTTATGCTCTGCCTTTGGAAGTGAGGGTCTGGTTGGAGGGGTCGTCAAAATTGAGCCCGCTCCTCAGCCTCTTACGAAAAAGTCCATACTTAAGTCCGTTACCGAGACTGAAGATCGACCTTCAGTGCAGCAATTGAAGATATATCCGTTCACCAGTGATACTGCAGCGCAAGCTCTTGGTCTGAAGTTCGGCGGAGAGACCAAGGCCGAGCGTGAAGAGGCTGCCAAAAGGGTCAAACATATATACGATGGAAAACGCGGAAAGAGTCTGTTCGATGGTCCCCTGACAGATGGACTGATATTGACCACCCATGATGGATTGGACTCGCCACCTGGTTGGGAGGGAGCAGTCGTCAAATTCCACCCCCCGCCCGCCTCCCAAGGCTCAGCGAAGGAACCATCTCACTGGATCCTGGGTTCTGACTGGCAACTTCCCCTCGAATTTCAAGCCCCCATTCCCCGACCAGCATGGCTTTCAGAATCAGACTCAACCGTTGTTCCCCGAAATGTCGGTCCTTTGGTGGGCATCGACTCGCTGCTTGAGGAGCTCAAATCCCACCTTTCCCAATTATCTTCAGTCCTCCTCACCGGCGCCCTGGGCTCCGGTAAATCCTCGGTTGCACAATTAATTTCTACGTTTCTGCAAAAAGACCAGCTATTCCACATTACATATTTCGCGTGTCGGACACTCGTGAACGACGAAAGCAGGATAAGTACCATCAAGGAAACTTTGAATCGTCTTTTCATGGGAGCAAGCTGGGGAGCTCGACTGGGAGGCAAAGCCCTCGTGGTATTAGACGATTTAGACCGTCTTTGTCCGGTCGAGACCGAGTTGCAAGTTGGCAATGAAAATGGCCGCAGCCGACAAGTCAGTGAAGCAATCTGCTCCATGGTTCGGCAATATTGTGGTCAAGATTCCAGTATAGTCTTGCTGGCTACCGCGCAAGGAAAAGAATCTCTACACAACGTGCTTGTGGGCGGGCATGTGGTGCGAGAGATCGTCCCACTAAGAGCCCCAGATAAACTTGCTCGACGAACTATCATGGAGGCCATCACTCTACAGCATACAGTTCCTGCTAAAGACGAGACTACTTCAACTCATGACGGCAGTCGACCTACAACTGCTAACGGCAGTGCTACTGGTGAAGAGAACGCTTGGATGGACGGGGCCAGCCCACCGTCCAGGCAAGAATCTGCACCATCGCCAAGTGGATTTTCCATTCAACCGGACCTGGATCTCCTGGACATCGCAGGAGAGACTGACGGTTATATGCCCGGAGACCTGAGCCTGCTAATTTCACGGGCTCGGAATGAGGCCATCATGCGATCGCTCACCGATTCTACTGGTGATGCTGAGATCAGCGCCGTGCCCTTGGGTCGAGTCGACTTTGAAAACGCTCTCAAAGGTTTCACACCCGCGTCCCTGCGCAACGTGACGCTGCAGAGTTCAACGACTACGTTTGAATCCATCGGTGGTCTAACGGACACACGCCAGGTGCTGTTGGAAACACTGCAATATCCAACGAAGTACGCACCGATTTTCGCACAATGCCCACTGCGACTTCGCTCCGGTATCCTCCTATACGGGTATCCCGGGTGTGGAAAGACACTTCTGGCCAGCGCTGTGGCTGGGGAATGTGGCCTGAACTTCATAAGTGTCAAGGGCCCTGAGATATTGAATAAGTACATTGGCGCGTCAGAGAAGAGCGTCCGCGACCTCTTTGAACGAGCCCAGGCTGCCAAACCTTGCGTATTGTTTTTCGACGAGTTCGACTCTATAGCACCCAAGCGTGGTCACGACTCTACCGGCGTAACGGATCGGGTGGTCAACCAACTTCTGACGCTGATGGATGGCGCGGAAGGTTTATCGGGCGTCTACGTGCTCGCAGCCACCTCGCGTCCAGATTTGATAGATCCGGCTCTTTTGCGGCCGGGGCGATTGGATAAATCTATACTATGCGATTTCCCCAACCTCGAAGAAAGAGTGGACATCATCCGGGCGATCGGCAAGAAGGCCAAGCTCAGCGAAGCGGTGCTGGAGTCCGACGAGGACCTGGCAGAGATTGCAAGGCGAACGGACGGGTTTTCTGGTGCGGATCTGCAGGCCTTGATCTCGAATGCGCAACTTGAGGCTATTCAGGACGTTCTCAAAGACACGGAGACTGTAGGAGGCGCAAACGGCAGCGGCCGACGGCCTGCAAAGCGACATGGCGCCGGCAAGTCAGCTGGGCCGCTCCCGCACAATTTCGTGCAATTCCGTTATGGCGAAGATGGCTCTGGCGAGGACATCGCGCCTCGTGGGTCGAACAGATCTTCTGAGCTCGCTGAGCAGGCCATGATCGCCTCAAAGCTGGAAAGCCTCAAGGTGTCAAGAAAGAGGGCCAAACAGCAAAGAAGCGGGCCCAACGCGAACAACGAGCCTGATGCGGCTGTTGCTGGTGCGAAGTCTGGGGGTGACGCCCAGGAAAAGGAGGTCATCATCCAGTGGAGACACCTAGTCAAGGCTCTCGATGGTACGAGGACGAGCATAGGCCGCGAGCAGCGGACATTGCTTCAAAGGATCTACAGAGAGTTTGTGGTGGGGCGCAGCGGGGAGATGAGGGATGGTCAGGGGAGCATGGAGGTTGGAGGGCGGAGCAGTCTCATGTAGCTGAAATCATGGACTGGAGCTTGTAAGGCTCCCAAAAGCATACCAGTCTCACGAATCATTGTCAGTGCTGTCATTCAAGACAACAATGGGCAGCTACGGTAACATTGCCCATTCCCTTCCTCTTTGGTCTTCAACTATGGCTATTTCAAATTCCCATACTGTCCATCCCTTAGGCAGCCACCAGAATTGCTCATCTATGCCATCCTCGTAACGTTGCGAGGATGTGATGGGGGCACCAACGTGCATGAGTTAAGTTGCGACAAGGGTTCCAATGCGGAGTAGAGTAAGCGTTGCATCAACGACGCGGTGACCCCTTGCGGCCCTGCGAATTAGGCGAAGCTTGACTGGAAGCTTAGCTGGGGATCTTGCTCCTTCAGGCAGGTCGTCTCTAGCTCGAGCGATGGATCCTGCATGACGCTTCCGTCCCGATCCACACTGCCCACTCTAAATGATATTACCGCCTCACGAAGCATATGTAAAGCTTACATGCCTTCCCGGCTTTCCGGAACTGAAGCGATGGAAGCCGATAAATACGAGGCCCGCCCTGCGTTGATGTTGACTTGGCAAGCAGACGTTTTGTTTGCTTATACACTCGCACGCCAGTGTCCTCCCTGATCATGCGCTTCTCATCCGCAGTGGCCACGGCGGCCCTCGTGCTCGCTTGCTCGGCGGCTCCTACATCTGGAAAATGGAATCTTCACGAGAAGCGAGATGGCAAGCCACACGCGTGGCAAAAGCGTCACCGCGCTGATGCTGATCAAGTGCTGCCCATCCGCATCGCACTGCGGGAACGGAATCTCGACAATGCTGAGAGCTACATCTACGACGTCGCCGACCCAAGTTCTCCTAATTTTGGTAAGTCGGCTTTCAAACGCGCTCGATGTGTATGATGGCCCATGAGACCGAATAGGGCGCGAGCCTTGGTCGGGAATGCCATCATGTGCAGAAAACCGTGTTAACAAAGTTGGCCAACAGGCAAACACTGGTCGGCAGAGAAGATTGCAAACACCTTTGCTCCGCACCCTGAGACCAAAGAAACAGTGATGAGCTGGCTGGTTGATTCGGGCATCGACCGCTCCAGGCTTTCTCTCTCTACCGGTAAGTAAGCCGCTGCAAAGCGCTTACAGGAATAGTAAGGTCTCTAATTCTCCGTAGGCCACAACTGGGTACAGTTCGACGGGACGGTCGAGGAAGCAGAGAAGCTGTTCGCCACGGAGTACTGGCACTACCAACACGACGCGAGCGGCGGGTTCCGCCTGGCCTGCGACCACTACAGCCTGCCGGAGCACATCCAGGAGCACGTCGACTTCGCGATGCCGACGATCCAGCTGGACGGCCTGAAGCCGGTCGCGAACGTGGACCGGACCCTGATGGCGCCCGTCGCCGGCGGCGCGACGATCGGCTCCAAGTCCTGCGGCCAGCTGATCACGATCGACTGCCTGCGCAAGCTGTACAACTTCCCCGCCGGCAACTCTTCCGCTGCTGACAACCAGATGGGCATCGGCGAGTGGGCCGACTACCTGTATGAGGACGATCTGCCGACCTTCTTCAAGAACTTCACCTCGCCTGAGATCCCCGCTGACACCAGGCCTGAGTTCATCGCTATCGATGGTGGCCTGACGGCGAACCTGACTACTGTGTCGCAGGGTTCTGGCGTGGAGTCTGCTCTTGACTTCCAGTCTGCTTACTCGATTATATATCCGCAGAAATTGCGCTTGTATCAGGTGGGAGACGGCATCAATGTTGATAGCGTGGGGACTTGTGAGTGAGCCCAGCAGAGCCACCTTTGCTTTTCATCAATGATCATGAGGACGGTGTTGTTGTTCCAGGGGCTTTCAACAAACTCTCGTGTTGTCATTTCTGCTGGTGTTTTTTCCACACTTGAGGGGAATTTGCTAACAATGCTTAGTCAACATCTTCTTGGACGCACTTGATGCGAGCTATTGCACTTATCAAGGCGGTGACCAGCCTTATATCGGTATGAGACGTTCTAATTGCCCCTATCCGCTTCTCAATTCATCTCCCAACACGGACTAATTCCACAGACCCGGCGTATCCCGATCCCAACGACAACGAGGGCGGCTACCAGGGCCCTCTACAGTGCGGCGGTGCCCCAAAGTCCAACGTTATTTCGGTCAGCTACGGGCAAATCGAGGTAAGTCAACTGTCTCAAAAATCGATCTCCTAGCTTACGCGGGTATAGGGTGCTCTGCCTACTTTCTACCAAGTCCGTCAGTGCAACGAATGGATGAAGCTCGGTCTCCAAGGCGTGAGCGTGCTCTACGCGAGCGGAGACTCTGGAGTCGCGAATCGATATAATGCCGGGTACCCAGACTCATGTCTGAACGCGGACTTGCCATATGTGGACAACAATGGCACTCGCTTTTCGCCTTCTTTCCCGGCCAACTGCCCCTACATCACCTCTGGTAAGTCCGCCCTCTGTTATTCTCCCAGCTCAATCGGTAAGAAGCGTTGCTGACGGCATGCGTTCTAGTTGGAGGTACTACCCTGAACGGTAACACTACCGACACTGGAGAACGTGCTGTCAATTCATTTGGCTCTGGCGGCGGCTTCTCAAACGTTTTCTCACTGCCGTCATACCAAGCCTCAGCCGTCCAGAACTTTATGAGTAAATATGCCCCATCCTACGGACCCAACGTGTACAACGACACGGGTAATGCCAGGGGTTTCCCGGACGTGGCGGCCATCGGGCTGAAGGTCGCTACGGTCTTCAACGGCTCGACCTACGGCGTGGGTGGCACCAGCGCCTCGGCCCCGATCTTCGCCGGCATCGTGACGCTGCTCAACGAAGCGCGTATCGCGGCTGGTAAGGGGCCGGTGGGTTTCTTGAACCCGACGTTTTACAGCAATCCCGGTGCTTTCAATGATATCACCATTGGAAACAATCCTGGTTGCGGGACCAATGGGTTTAATGCGACGCCTGGTTGGGATCCGGTGACTGGGCTGGGGACGCCGAACTTTCAGAAGCTGAAGGATGTCTTCCTGGCTTTGCCTTGAGTTGAGTCAGGCTCGGCTTCATGTCAGTGCTAAGCCATAGTGTTCGGTACATAGAAGTTCATCCAAGTATATTATCCGGAGATGTTCATCCTCATTGTGAGAAGTCCAATTCTCAATGGCGTTCTCAAAATTTTCGTGACAATCATTATGCTGTTGAGAGCTGGTCCACTTTGTCGTGAGTGTGTATTCAAAATAGCACAGATCGACTTTTCTTTATTACTTCGTGGCGAAAGCTGTTTTCTTTCCGTCGTCTTCAAAGTCTATCCTCTATCCCATTCACATTTGGGCCAAATGACGATGATGTACTCTACTGTAGCGTCTTGGTCAACTCCAAGACCTTGTCCAAATTCTGCCGCAGAGACAGAATCCTCCGCACAGCTGCCTGGTCATTCAAGCGCATTGCAGATTCCAACAAAGCTTTTGCCTCGAAACCATCGAAGATGCCTTTCCCTTCCAGCATCTCTTGGGCATTCGCTCTCTTGGGTAGCTGGTACGATCTGGGACGCACCCGGTATTGGTTTGGAAGCCCCAGGCCTTGCTCGATGAGCTCAAGCTGATGCTCCATGACTTGGACGGGTATCTTGACTTGAAGGCCATTCTTATGCATGAGAAAACCTGCTAATTTCAAGCCTCGATTGGGCGAAGAAGGTGAGGTGTCGCAAAGTGCTCGGTGCATCTGCTGGACCAAGATGTCGTAAATAGCGATGAAGTTGATGTAGCAGCTCGTTAGGCTTAGTATCGAACTCGTGCTGAGCGATTGTGCCGTTTTCCTCATAAGAAAGGCGGAGTTGGCAGAGGATTCTGAAGCCGTCTGCGAAGCCTTTGGCATAAAAGCATGGAAAATCCAGGGCTCTGCACGCTGTGACGGACCATGCGCTTCGGTTCGTTCTTGCGTTTTCTGAAGACCTTTATCCCCTGGCTCTATGGTCGTTTTGTCGGTTTTGCCTGAGTCCTGGCTACATTGATGCAATATGTCCAGAAATTGAGATGAGCTGTCAAGAACCAGGTCAACAGGCCTTGTCTGAGCTGCTTGTAGTCGTTGTTTCGAGCCTAGCAGCGAAACATTCGCGTTCAAGATGCTGGTACGGAGTTTTTTGTCTAATTCTGGCGGCGCTGTCCCCAAAGCCAGCATTTGTTGGGATAGAGTGAGGCTGAGCCGACAAGATTGTATGTCAATAGTTTCGCTGTCTGGTATTCCAAAATGGTTGTCACCCTCAGCTTGCGGCGACGGCCGTTGAAAGCTCGATGTTTGACTTCCAGACTTAGCGGGGAGCTCGATTCGCGAGTACTTGAGTTGGCTGTCGACCGCTTTCCGACATATATCTAACGGAGATAAAGTATGGTTCGACATGAAGTCGGAAGCCAATTCAGTGCGATGTGCTGGAATATCAAACCCCACGTTTTCCGATAAGCTGGATTCACCCAATGTAGTTGCCTGAAGGTCATCGATCTGCGAGGATGAGCTCAATCGCAAGCCATTCTCCGATTTCGACAGCCCTATACCCGACGAGCTCGCCAATGTGTATACTCGAATACCTTCCATCGGCTCCTGCTGATGGACACCAGGCGGCACGGCCCCGGATCTGGGCGATGTCAGCAACGATGCGTCGTCGCTCGGAATGCGTATGCGACGAGCAGAGTGACGCCCAAGAGGCTTGGCCGGACTAGTAACACAGACAATGCCGGCATTGGCGCAACGTCTGCACGCACGGAGGGTGTCATTATCGTTTTGCTCATCTCGAAGGCACCGCAGCTTCCGGCTGCGACATTTGTCACAGGCTGTGCGCTTCAGAGAGGAACGACTCACGCGTGGCATGAGCCGTCCGTCTCCGGCCATGTTCGACGCAATATAATTATGTTGGGCTTGATAGCGCCGACAGGATATCAAAACCGAGACATATTGGGCTTGGGAATCACTTGATTACATGCATTCGCCGACAGGCTGTCCACGGAATGCACCACTGTGCACACTTCTAGTCTCTGTGAAAGGTACATTGGGGTGCGGCTGACATATGTTACAGTATCTAAATGTGTAGGAGAAAGGTCTATCGGTCGGAACAATGTTGCAGTCATTTATGATATGTTATTTGCTATGTATGCGAGCCCGGGGTGGGATTCAGCCGACTCCGAATGACGGTCTATCTTGTTGGCTTTGTCATTGGTTCATTAAATTCTCCGCTGTCATGGCATCCTGCACCTCGGAAGGTACGAAAATGCTAACCTTCCGAATGCTCCTTCAAGCTGTGCCCCTTTCGAATCGCTCGAGCAGCCTGTATACCCTTCTGCTTTGGTAGTGGGCTCTTGCGTCGGTCCTGACTAGGAAATACGCAGCTTGCGCGCTTAAACAACCTAAGGCGGCTTGTTCCCGAGCTTCAACAACGCTTAGAGCTCTTGAGCTTGTAATTGTGGCCTTGATTGGAGAAACTGAAGTCTTTTCGATCGATGAATATAGCCATCATCGCCATCCAGCCGTCATCCGCGCTCATGCTGTCGCCGACGGAGCGGCAGTGTCTCGGAAGGCAAGGCTGCAAAACGGCCTGATTTTGAGCCGTTCCTGTCCAACGCATTCGGCGACTTTTTCGCTGCACAGATGAAGAAGCCATGTAGTTTTTTGGAATGTATAAAAACAGCAGCTTGACGAATACCAATGGCCCGGTGCAGAGACGGTTTTCTCCGGTCTGTGAAGGGCATGCTCCCTCTGGAATCCCTCGTTTGACTCCTTATTTTGCGTAAAAGAAATTCATTCACAACTCGCACCAAGGCGTGCATTATTGTACCTATAGACACATAGTTCCTTGACTTTCAACATTACCAAAATTTGCTGTTGTATTTTGCATCTGGAAACGAAGATAGACCCACCATGGCAGACTCAGATCGCGAGCTCAAGGAGTCTAATGGAAATCAGGAGACCTCGCAATGTAAAGAGGAAGTCCTCTCCCGGGCTGATCAGAAACCTAACTTCAAGCGTGGGCCTCGATTCTGGGCAATTATTTCTACGCTCTGTGTCATTGGCCTCTTGAGCGCTCTGGAGAACACTGTCGTGACAACATCACTGCCGTATATCGTCAACGAATTGGACTTAGGCAGAGACTATATCTGGGTGACAAATGTTTTCTTCCTAACTAGGTGAGCACAATCTAGCCATTTACACTGAGTTCATTGTTTTCTCTGTATGAGCTAGACCGAGCCGAAAAGAGTCTGCGAAAGGTATGGAGAGTACATTGACTTTCTTTAAGTGCTGCTGTACAGCCCATGTTCGGGCAATTCGCCAACATATTCGGGCGGCGATACGTCACTCTGGCCATTGTAGCGCTCTTCACCATCGGCAGCGCGATTGCTGGTGGCGCCTCGAATGGCGCGATGCTAATTGCAGGTCGCGCAATCCAAGGCATGGGATCTGGAGGAATCAACATGATTGTGGATATTATCGTCTCGGATCTCGTGCCGCTTCGAGAACGAGGCAACTACATGGCCGTCGTCCTTGTTGTTTACTTCGTGGGCACTGCGCTTGGGCCATATATCGGAGGAGCGATTGTTGAGAGCACATCATGGCGCTGGGTCTTCTATATCAATCTTCCTGTAAGTACTTGCGTAGGATCTCAGAACAGACTATTAATGACATTTGCGCAGATTGGCGGCGTATCAATGATCATGATTATTGTCTTCTTACAAGTGAAGTACAACAAAGAGATGACTTTCGCCCAAAAGATTCGGCGCATCGACTATATCGGCAACGCTCTTCTTATCGGTTCTACAGTCGCGGTTCTCTACTCTCTGACATATGGAGGTACACTTTACCAGTGGTCTTCTGGAAGGATAATCGCACCGTTGGTCATCGGACTATTAGGGCTCGTTGCCTTCATCGGCTTCGAAAGCTTGAACTTTGTTATAGAGCCTGTTGTGCCGCCCAGACTTTTTGCAAACAGAACCTCAGCGACCGTCTTCGCAGTCACTTTTCTCAACTCAGCATTGCTATATTGGATGCTTTACTTTCTCCCTGTCTACTTTCAGACTATTTTGGGTAGCTCGCCGGCGCGCTCGGGGGTCCAACTTCTGCCTTCAATTATCGTCGCCATACCTGCAGCCATCATGGCTGTATTACTCCTCACAAAATTCGGAAAGTACAAGCCACTGCATCTCGCCGGCTTCGCTCTCAACACCATTGGCCTTGGACTCTTTACACTGCTGGACAAGGACAGTTCGACAGCGGAATGGGTCATCTTTCAAATAATCGCAGCTGGAGGTTCCGGCTTCGTGCTAAACACACTGCTTCCGGCGTGTCAAACACCGCTAGCCGAGAGCGATCAAGCAGCGGCGACTGCAACGTGGTCGTTCGTGCGGTCTTTCGGCAATATCTGGGGCGTGGCTATTCCTGCGGCTATCTTCAACAGCCGGTTCGCGCAACTGTCAGACCGGATCCAGGACTCATCCATCGCTGCCCAATTCGGTCACGGAAATGCATACAGCCATGCCAGCGCAGATTTTCTTGATACCTTCGGATCCAACGTGAAGTTAGAACTCGTTTCAGTCTTCTCAGACAGCCTAAAGCAGGTTTGGCAGATCTCCATAGTGTTCTCTGGCGTTTCCTTCCTCTTAGTTTTCTTGGAAAAGCAGATCGAAATGCGCAAGGACTTAGAAACAGAGTTTGGCATTGATGAGGGCAAGAAAGTAGGAAGAAGCCAGGATTCGGCGAAGGCTGGAGAGCAAAATCGCTTGGCTAGAAATAACACAGGAAAGGCAGGATAAGGTCGCCTCGGCTCTATAAGTAAGCTTATGCCAAGAGAATAGAGAGACTCTGAGAAGCCTCGTGGGTGGAACTGGGGAAGAAAGGGGTGGGCGGCAAAGGTGGAGGAGGCTGGACTGCATGCACACTACTCTTGCTGCCGCCTTTAGGAACGCAGGAAGTACAGGCGTGTCGCGTTGACTTTCCTCAGATTTGCAAAGCAAGCGGAGGTTGACAAGGATTAGTAAAAGGAGTGATTAGTCATGAACATCTGTAGCATTTTGATGTCTATAATAATTGGAGCCATTATGATCGCTTCTATAATATCGCTGCATAAATTTGGGCCCCCTCCTTCCGGATCTATTGCCACCGTTCCTTACCACAAGCCCGCCTTCTCGAAGCGGCTGGAGAACATACAAGTCGCAGGCCTTCTCGCAGCACTTTGAACCCGGCGCTTCGATCCTAAATTTAGGCACAATGGACTTGCCATCAGCTTTTCTTCACGACACACAGGCCATGCCAGTCCACGAGAATTGACCATGGCTTTTGTTCTACACCTTGCGCCTGTGGCAGGGAAGACTGGGTCTGGCAAATATGCGATTGTTTGTATTCGAAGTGGGCTTGTGTGTGGTTCTGAGGGCAGAAGGGCCCCAGGGCACCCTATTTAAAGACGTAGTATGGTCCCACGTGACTAGACCCCCTATTCACTACCACAGCGCCCCTTATATAGGCGTTCTTTCTTCGCATCCTCGATAAAATTGTCCAGTCGTAACTTCCTAGGAAAGGAATCGTGATTGAGTATGACGAGTGATATAGAAAAGCTGGGACAAGTTAGCACGGAGTAGAGACAGATGTGTAAATAGCGACGGAAAGATTCAAGAGTCCGGGATTACAACCACAGGTTAAAAGAAAGGGGGTGGATTGCATTTAGCATGCAATTATAACGAAGGCTGAGTTGTCAACAACGTCAACCTGAACGCAACCTTTTTATCTTTCCCTGGCACAGATCTCAGGAGACGACGATCGTGTAACATCGAAACCCGCATGTGCTTACGACGCTGAAAATAGTGTGGATTTAAACGCGTAAACCTGGTGTAAGCCCTTCCCGCCTGGACCAATAGCGTTGCACCAATTCATCATCTCTCTTGGCACCTATCCACTATACTCGTTCTCCCACATACCGAGGGCCGGGAATAGATCCGAATTAATTTACATAGCATACAAGTCGAGATGGCTATCGTGGGTGAAGATCGACATCGACAAAATAAAACATCGGCCATCCTCCACTCAATTGTGCATTTCGTTCACTCATCATCAACATCGCTTGATTGTCTCTTACTAGTCTGTCGTTAACCAACTGTCTTTCAATTACTTTCGCTGAAGTCTCACTTACACAATTATAACTGTCTTATAAAGCTGCCACGCGATTGTGCCAATATGAAGGTGTCCTCCTTCCTGGCAGCCAGCCTACTGGCCGTCACCGAAACAATAGCTCATTCTGAGTCCCTTTCTCGTCATGAGGTCGCACGTCGATCTGCCATGTCAAAACGCTGCGAGGCCAATGCCAGCAGTTTCAACAGGAAGCGCCACGAGAAGGCAATGGCTAAGCGTGCTTGGGGAGCTGGTAACACGACAGTCGAGATCACTACCGAGTCATCATACTGTAAGCCCATGAGATGAATCCCTTGTTTGTGGCTAGGCTCAAATGCCCTCAAGGCCGCTAGTTCCAACAAAGCTCCGCGAATAGAGCTTGTGACTCTGTGGATCAACCTTAGACGCCCGTGGTGACTGACAGAATGGAACAGACGACACTCTGCAAAATGACACCTGCGTGTTGACACCCGACGTCACACCTGGCCCATACGTGTGGCCTCGCTCGCAAACCCTTCGCCAAGATGCAACAGAGGACCAGCCCGGTGTCCCATTGTGGATGGATATCGGTGTTCTGGATATGGCTACTTGTGAGCCCCTGGAAGGCGTGCTCGTGAGCTTCTGGCACTGCAACGCAACGGGCTCTTACTCCAGCTTCACGGCTCTATCGCCCAACACCGGTTTCCCCACACTGCTCGAAGAGCTCAACATCACGGATACCTACGAGCTTGGCGTGACCGACCTGCACACTGACGACACGACGTGGCTACGTGCTATGTGGCCTACCGATGCCAACGGAATGGTGGAAATGAAGACTATCTTCCCTGGCTTCTACATCGAGCGAGCTATCCACATCCACGTCCAGGTCTACACCGACTGGACTCTTCACGACAACGGCACTGTCACGTCTGGCAACCTGATCAGCACTGGGCAAGTCTACTTCGACGAGGCTCTGGAGCAGCAAATGATGGCCTTGGAGCCGTACGCGTCGCACACCGAGATCAACCGCACTACGAATGCCGAGGATTCCGTGTACAGCCAGGACACGGAAGGTGGCTACAACCCTGTTTTCAGTGTTGTTGCTGCTGATGGGGAGAATGTTGAGAATGGTATGATCGGATATATCACAGGTTAGCTTTCAAACCCTTCGAGTTCTCATCTTTTTCATCGAAGTAAATGCTGACTTTGGTCTCACAGTTGGTGTCGACACTACAAATCTCCTGACCAACACAGATAACACAGCTCCTTGAATGATATGAACTGTACTACCCGTGCACAAGTTGATAGACTCAGCGGATACTTCTCATAGAGATAGAAGAAGAATTAGATTGCTATTTAGAACAAACAAAATAGAAACCAAGTCATGAAGTTTTCGTGTGCCATGGAATCTCGCTCCCTGACGCTCGCATTTAGGTACATAACACGCAACCCGCTTTTCACATCCGTCTAGTGCAGACCCGAATGATCTCTTCGCCGGACGAAAAATACGCCTCTCCGTTCGCACATTTCGGCAGTCGCACTTCCTCTTCAAATGAGATGGCTGCCGTGTCAATCACTGGCCTCGTCTCGTCACACAGGACGGCCTTTGCTTCTGCTGTGCTGAGCAACTCAAAGGAGAATGCAGCGGATGCCTCGTCGATGAATAACTCCATGCGGCTGCTCCGGAAATATGATACGCCAGCCCTTCCTGGATTGAAAATTATCTTCCGTCGCTGTTTCAGTCTCGCATACACCGTATGAAGAGCGTTAATACTTTCAATAGAGCCACCGGTCTCACCGTTGTCGTGGTGTCCAGTGCCATCAGCTCTATCGCCTATGTCGTCCAACGGAGGGGTATAATCATCGGTTGTGTTGCCTTCTTGGCCTTCGTCCCCGGGTCCATCGATCGAGTCTTTTCCAGTTTGATAATTATCCGCGCTGTGGACATCCATATGATTGCTGGTGAGTGCACCTTCATGGCCTTCACTTACGCTCAAGAACTTAAATTTGTCGGGTTCTGAAATGATAGAAGTTGGAGGTTCTGTCAATGTCGATGTGGATAGGTGGAATGAGAAGATGCTGCTCTCGTTGTGTGACTCTATTGGAGGTCTCTTCGTGAGTCCAATCAGTCTTTCCAAGGTTTCTGAAATCTGAGTCTCTAGAACCATGTTCAAGCTGTCTTGCAATGGCCCATTCTGGTATGCAGCGGGCAGCCGCCAACCTTTGTACAGCCTTCCATGTGACTTCGGCACCCGGTATTTGCCGTGGATCCCGATTAGAGTATTGCAGAGAGCACAAGCTTTCTTGCTCGAAGCCAGAATTCGCGGTCGATACTCATTAGCATGTGTGTTCTCACAATGAACCAGGAGTTGGATTTCGGCGTGGACCTTGGCTTCTTTGAGTATTTCACGGACATTATCAGAGTATTTTCTTGCGGACGACCTCGCCAAGTCTCTGAGCCACTCTGGGAGTGTTTTCATCTGGACAGGTTCATTTTCGTATTGAAACCTTGACAGAGACTGCCAAAGATTCAAAGTTTCGGGGCTCTTGAATGACATGTCTTTCGGTTGGACCGCCATGCCGACTGTTTGGACCCGTGCGGCACGAAGAATAGGGATACGTCTGGCTCTATGACAGAGCAATGATGCGAACTCTCTGTATCTGCGGATTTTGGATAAGCAGCTGAGAAGCCATGTTCTCAGCTGAGGGGCCATATCTTGATTTTTGATGGAGGCAAGCAGTCCTGCGAGGGGTACGTTATCAACAACCCGAGCAACTGAAATCACGAGCCTCGAGACATCCTCGTGGCGCGCAGTATCTGAAGCCTCTAGTCTATCCAATTGGTCTAGAAGAGTTTCCAAATCTGATCGGTATCTTTTTAGGCTGTGCATGTGCATATGCGTGCCGTTTTCAGCGGCCGCGTCCTGCCAGGGAACAGTCATAAAATCTCTCAGGACATGTCCAATGTAACGTTTGTTGCGTTTTCGATCTTTGTAAGAGACTTTGGAGTGTCTCGATCTCAAACGACTCATGATCCGCTCATGACACAGAGCAACAACATCATTGAAGACGGCCTCTTTGACTTCGATTCGTGTCCGTTTGCTAGAACCTATTTGAATTCAGCCTGATGGACTCATCAAACTGTGTCGAGTGACTTACCAGCGGAGAGTAGTCTCAATCTTCTGAAAATCTGTTCGAATCCTTTCTGGACCCGTCTCAAGATCTCATTGCCGTCGGGTGGCAGACGTTTGTTGATGGCCACCATGATTTGGCACCCTCCGATACCAGGAAGTTCTGCGATGCAGACACCCATAACATGATTCGGACAATCTGAAACCCCAGCCAGGAAAGCCAGGTTGGTTGAAAGCTCTCTTTCTTGCTGGACGGATAGAATCCTTCTCTCAACATTCCACTGCCCAGAGGCATTATTAGATGAGCTGCTCAAAAAGCTTCGTGGCCTCTGGTCCAAAAGCTCAAGCAAGGCGATATTCTGAGCAGACCTCACCGCTGGAGAAAGGCTCTCCGGTTGGATCAAGCGTGGTGACGTGCTGCCTCCCTCAGATACTATGTACTTGGTTTTCCCTTCTTTGGGACCATTGAGCAGCGACGTTGGCTGTTTGTTCACACTCTGTACTTTCTCATCTTGGATTGCTTGTTGTTGAGAGACGGTCGAGGCCTTCTGTTTCTGGTTAGACTTCTTCGTCATCCTAGCAAGGCCCTGTCAAGTTGGCCTCATGAAATCGGTTGGCAGTCACTGAACTTCAAACAAGGTAGGCACGACAAAAGTTATGAACGAGGCTATTGTCGATGATGCTCAGATCTTTAAAATTGTGTTTGGATGGTATTAAAGTTGCTAAGTGAAGCTGATGGGTGACCGCTAGTATGTGCAAGAAAGCTCACGGTAGCATGAAGAGTATGGGGACTGGTGCTTTTGATTGGTCACCCTGCAGGAGGCCCACGACCTCCGCACCGAATCTCAAATTCCACAGCGTTCACTTTCGCCCTGATCACCATAACGGTAGTTCCATGGGTATTCTCCGCACAGTTGTGACACCGACAAAGCACGGACAGTGTATTCAAGGACCTAATGTCTGGGTCAAAGGCTTGATCTCTGAGACATGGCGCCATGTAATGTTGAAAGTGAAATCTAGATCCAGGCCTAAACTTACAAAGGAGAAGATGATCAGCAATCTCGATGTAGGGCTCGCAGTTGGACGAAGTACTAAAATGCCAAGGCATAACCAAGTTTCTTGAATTAAATTCCTACCTAGATATTCGATCGACTCGGATTATAGTTCCGCAAACCTATTGTTTCCCCGTTGAGCAGCGAATTAATCTGTAAAGATATGTTCCATCGTCGCAGGTAAGTTATAGGATCTCAACTACCAAAATCTTTCGTCTCTTCTTGCCGAATTATAACGCAGGTGGTGTTGCCGTGACGTACACGTCAAAGCACAGCATATGACAAAGCTATATTGAACTTGTAGGACTCGAAGCTCGGGCTGCTCAGTCAAAGGGAGGAACATCTGTCTGCATTTTAGACAACAACGTGTTTATTTAACAAATGATCTATTTTGTTTAGATGAACAGTTGCGTATAATACCCCCATTTCCAACCCTCTGATGCTGTTGTTGAAATTCTAAAGACAATTGTTCGTAGTATTTAAAGCAAGTGAGATAAATAAAGAAGGTTAGATAGTAAAGCGAACGATGTGTTCGCCTACTTGGGATCCATCACACAAAAGACACGGTCATAACAAGGGGAGAATTCGATTGAACATCACGTACACAATCAGAACAACACCACCATGCTCAAAAACAAAACATAAAAACATTATTGCATGACCCTCCTCAACTCACTTATTTGCCCGTATAGAAGGTTGGTAACAGAAATGATTTGTATAAGAGCTTCTCTTAAAGAACGTTATAACAAGAGACGTTATTCCGACAGAGGTTGTCCTATAACAGATCATTCTATAGGGGGTTATTCTATGCTTGTTCATCCTAGAGTCCCCTACCCCTCTTTTTTTCTTACTTTTTCATTCCTATACTAAAGAGATACTATAGCCGTGAATCGACTACCCAAGTATAGGCTCGTGTATGATTGGAAGCCAAATTTTACTTCGTGGAGTCATGGAGGAGATTTGGAGTGACTTGTTCTACATTTAGTGTGTACCCTATACGACTAGTCCTTAAGGGTTCAAGACCAATAGAAAAGTGACATGGTTACAGCCTATCTATTCCTAAAGAACGTCTCGCCTTGTTCGGCAATCTGTAGACACTTTCAAGCTCGACTCCACATCAGGTGACCTAAACCATGATCATTGGCGCGAACCGTGGAGATCAACGCACGAGCATTGCATTTTTGGCATCATATCGGAAAGCGCTTGCGTGCTGCCTTGCCCATCGGACGAAAATGAGTGGATGGAATTGCGCAACGTCCCAAATGATAGGCCACACGGGTGCTTCCCTTTCATTTGGGGCTCACCTAGTACAATGGCAACGGCCCAAGCTTTATGTGCTTGTGTTCGGCTAGTCGCTTCCGTTTTATCTAGAAAATCTAAAAGATCATCCTTCCAAGGAAAATGGCAAGGTTCGTCCCACGTGGCAATTATAGTTCCTGCAACGGAAACGGTTTTCACCGTTCCGGCTTCAAGGAGCCTGATTATTCAGAACTTTGCCTCGAACTCAATCCTCGGACCAAATGTATACCCGGGAGAACCCATCGGCAACATTGCACGTAGGTATCACAGGAAGAGGCCATCATGCAAGTGAACACGCTAGCTATGCGCGATGGAGCTGAGTAGATATCACGGCAAATTCCATTTGGTCATTCTTGTGGAATGTTACCACCAACACTCTCCCCTGCATACAGAACGAGAAAGCCTGGAGTAAGGTCTGGATCCTCTCGATCCATTCGCAGCGGTGGCACCGAGTCAGGAGTGGAGACGGCGAAGACAATTCTGCGGGGACCGCCCCTACTTGAACACGTTTTGTACACGTTTTGCACATGTGTCTCGACGACCCTGGCAAAGCCTGCCCACTTTGTCGGGCCACAGGGAGCCTGTCCCTGTTTGACCGTTTCCCCTGAAAGTAGGGGCGGATGTGGGCAGATTGAACGAGCCCATCACACCGGAACGTTGACGACATCGCTTCGGGAGCTGTGGATTCTTCAACAGGCGGACGATGATAACGAAAAGCAAGATCGGTGTGGCAGTCGACTGCTGTGATCAGCTTCGACGGTGACTTCCCGTAGATGTGATAACAACTGCTGGGCAATGCGCGCCTCAGCATGTAAAACCAAACGTTCGGTCATTTTGTGTGGAGTCCTCCGAAGTCAATGCCGCACCTTATCCGACACGAATGTTCCAATTACCATAGAAAACAATTTTGGTCCCGAGAATCAACCCGAGCCCGGGGCTTTGCCCTTTAAGAAGCCATTCCTCGAGTCTTCGACGCGTCTTTCCTTTCCTCAAGGTTCTAATGGACGCTCGGTTCGAGGTTCGTTTCACCTGCTCATATCATCAGCTACGCGACTCCAGCAGACGAACCACCCAGACCTTCGACCCTTGTATAGTGTGGTTGTATTGGGAAGACAGGTTCCAATTAACCCTGTCTCTTCAAGCAACTACAAGCGCGCCTGCCGACTGATCAGCTTATTCCTGAATATTTCGAGAACAAAAGGCCCACCATTCAGACGAACCCACCCTCCAGGCGGTCGACCCAGTCAAGGGCATTCTACTATCTTATCCACACCTATCCACCTGACGGAAGTGTCGGTTATAAATCGTGTGGTCGCTCAGACGAACAGCTGGAATCGTTGCCTACTATACTCCCTCTCCAATGTGGCCGTATGACCAACACCGACCCTTACATCTGATCCGCCGCCGCTCACGTCCACAATGGCTACCAAACCCATGAGCTTGTCCTCAGTCTTGTCCAAGATCGAGGACACTATCTCACTCGCCCACCTCATCACGGAAAGCAACATCAAGGCATATGTTCTGCCAGTCTCGCTCTTCTCGATGCTAAGCCTGGCATCGGGAGGAGTCACAACCTATCCCCCAAGCTGGTACGATGTCGCCACGGCTTTTCCAAGAGCACTGCTCTACATCTGGTTGTACGTCTTTCACTTCGACCTCAGCAACCAGAAGGACCCGGAGTCCATCGAGGAGGACAAACTCAACAAGCCCTGGCGCGCTATCCCGTCAGGCAGACTCAGCATCGAGAGCGCCCAGAGGTGGTACGTCGTCGCGACCTGCCTCTTGTTGATCGCCAGTCTATTGCTCGGCGGCTTTCCAGAGGCACTTGCCTTCATGGTTGAGACCTGGGTGTACGATTATGTCGGTGCCAGCTCTTGGTGGGGCAAGAACATCATCAACGCCCTGTTCTACTCGACTGGCCAGCTTGGCGCAACTCGCGTAGCTGCGATGAAGTCCGCGACCATGACGAGGGCCGGCTATGAGTGGTGCGCTCTCCTCGGCCTCAACACTCTCACAACTGTTCAGATCCAAGATTTCAGGGACCAGGAGGGCGACGGCGCCCGCGGCAGACGCACCGTGCCCTTGGTTGTGGGAGACGGCCTGTCTCGCGTGATGACGTCTCTGTTCATCCTCTTCTGGTCAATTGCGTTGCCCATCTACTGGGAAAGCCGCTTCCTCGAGGTCCTGTGGCCACTTTTGACGGGAGGTTTTGTTGCGGCCCGGTTGCTGCTGTACAGGTCTGCCAAAGCCGATCGCATGACGTTCCATCTTTACACACTGGCATGGCTCCCGGCGCTCTACGCTATTCCATTTGTTACTAAGACCGGCATGCTGCGATTCTGGAACTAGAAGTTATGATAGATTAGACTGGGGATGTCTTGTTAGAATAGCAAGTACCGGCGCTAGTGTCACTGGTTTATAATCAAGAGGCGCAAATGGAGTTGGAGGACAGCGGGATTGAGATTGTACCTAGGTAATTCAATGAAAGCACCTGTTTCGCGAGCATGGTAACTTTGCACATGGATATGAGACATTGTCATCAGGCATAGATATTGTCAGTGGCCCGATTCCAGTGTCAGACAGCGTATCATGCAGGTTCCTTGCTGAGCAAACCCTGTGTCTCCTGATGTCTCCGAACTAAGACCCCCATGGACATATTAAGTTCAAGGATCAGCCGGGGAAGAAGGGATGGACGGGCGAGGGGCGGGCCGAGTCATCGCTCCATGGCTAAGATTGAAATTGGACTCACATCATACGAAAGTGCTGCAAGGACGGAGATGCTAATACAACCTTGCTCGGCTAGAAGGCCAGAAATCGACCTATCTCTGAGGGTTGCCGATCTCTGAACTCTATGTATAGCAGACTGAATCTCCGAATCCTTGCACTTGCAGGCATTAGAATCTTGGACGCCCAACCCGGCCGTCTGGGCCCTGCGCTGTACGTGCAGATGGGAGCACTAGTAAGGACGCAAGTTTTGCTTTTTTTTTTGTTCTGTTTCACTCAGCGAAAAGTTCCGGACTGGGCCCGAAAAGCTCAGTGGACCCCCGCGTGCGGGACTCGGTCACTCGGCTCGAACTCGCTGCGCGTACGTTGCGTTGAAGCTACATTGCAATTCTGGGCCGGATTCCAAAGTCTTCCTAATCGTTCCGACTATACCGGTGGGTGACTGTTTGACTCGCTCACCCTGCACTGCCTCGTGGTCTGAGGCGGAGCCCCACAAGCCGAAGCTTTGGGATTCGCGACAACTACCGGCCGCCTGCACCAAGATGGAGCCCAGTCAGCGCATGTATGCTCACCCATGCACCAACGCCTGCAGAGATTTAACCCATTCAAAGGCTCATTGTCCTTTTACTGATAAAGTTGCGATTGAAAAGCCAATAATCGAGAGTTCCTTTCCTCCGTGCCGATCTATGCCAAGCCTGTCTAGTGAAGATCTCGCACGCCTTCCCGGGCAGCACCCAGGTGCCCTTCGTAAGCTAGTCATTGACAGTGACAGCCGAATTTAAAATCGAAAGAGACGGGACGAGCTGGAAATTAGGCATCGAGTAAAGTCAAGGGTTGCGCAGGCAAAGTCAAGAGAAACAAAACAGTCGTTGAAACTCCACGAATTTCGGTGAACTGCCCTTTCAAGTTCGCGATCTCGCTGAATGTGGGAAGAAATGTATATCGGCATCTCGTGGACGTGTGGGTCTTCTGCTGAGAGCAGTTTCAAACGCCGACTTCTCAAATTGATATCAGGGTTTCTTTGTGCATCTGCATTAGCCGGGATTCTGATTTACCGGCAGGGAATCATGAGAAAACACAGTTCTGGGCCTTCCAACGTGCAAGGAATTATGGCCCCATTGACCCACTTTAACACACCCAATGTGGTGGATAGTCATCCTGCAATATGATGCATTTTCTTCCCTTTGCGGGGCTTGCTTGGAATTTCTTGGAAATTTCAGGTTGCATATTGGCCAAATCTTCACATGCTCGACGTGACAACAGTTTTCTAGTTTTTGGCTCGGGGCCTGACGATTGTAAGCGAGGTCTTTCCTTGTTCACGCTGGCCACAACTTGAGATTAAATACTTTGTACTTCGATCCCATGAATTTGGCTTCACAGCCATACCGGGAGTATATGATATATATGTAAAGCTGACATGAACATCTTGATGAGACTTCAACGCGGATTGGTTTTCAATTGAACTTTACTTTCGATTGAGAGCGCATCTCCGTCAGACAGGTGAAATACTGTACTCTCCTGATGCCACATTTTCAACACGTCTTTTAACAATAGTCTACACTTCATTGAGCCGTCATAGCTGTAGAGCCAACGCATTCTTCATCACTTTGCTTATATTTTAGGAATTTACTCACCTCATAATACAGTGCTTGAAATTGAACAATTCTGGACAAAGTTGTGTTGATGTGCTGGAAGAGTCACCGTCGCCAGCTTGAAACGAATCAATTTGAGCTTCACGCGTGTCTGTGAAATGCCGGTACATGTGACGAACAATTCAACAAATCCAGTAAGTACGAATAATCGGCGACGAATTCGGGTGGTTGCCACAGGCATCACCACTGTCAAATATGTACACGGTGCTCTCGTTTAGATCCAGGATGACACGGGGTGTGGTTCTGGGAATTTATCCTACTGACCTCAACTATCAGGCGCAAAAGACAGTCATCAACGCACAACGGACTATGCACTGATCAGAAAGATAGAACAGTTCAACGAATATGGATGATTTGGACGATGCAATCAATGAAAGACTAATCGGTAGTGCGCCGCTGCAGTCGAACTGCAGAGGCACACGCGGCTCGAAACTGAAACTCGTAATATGCCTGCTCATGAGATTACTCATAACCTAAATCTTCCGAAAAATCTCCGGACACATGTAGAATGTATTGACAAAATCACCTCGGCTCTTCATTTTCAGACTCACCCAAGCATGTATCCCCGGACCTTGTTGAAGAGGTCTTCGCTGGACTATCTCGAGCGCCCTCGTATATCTTTCCCTGCACAACGGGGAAGTGATCGTTGACTCCTGATAGTATCGTTCAATTCGCTTTCGTGCCTCCGCATCATGGGACACGTAGGCGTCAATTGGGAAATGAACCGTACCTACTGAGCTGCCTGGCGCACTACTCGTAAAGGCAAAACACGATATCAGTGGTTTGCTGGTGAAAGGTCCGAAAGATCCGCCAGACATCGCTAAGCAGAAGCGCTGAATCTCATAGGAGTCGGAGCTTGATTCACACAGAGCGTCGTGCTTTCGTGCGACTTCTGCAGCTGTTGCATTTGGGTGCGCAACATATACCTTGACGCGAGCCTCGGCGTTGTGGCATAGGTCGAGCGAGAAATAGATCACATACTCATCCGGCGACATTTGTTGCTTCAACTGAGCCCATGACTCTCCGAGGCCAAGGCGGGAGAGTGCTTCACAAGTGGTGGCCGAACGTGCCGCAGGTGATCTGCCTGAAGCTGCACTTGGGTCGAAGTAGACTTTCCAATGTGGCTCCGAAGATGGTAGCAGCGCGCAGCTGTGCCACATTGCCATGGTAGCGTTGCCATTCTTGGATTTCTCGGGTAGTAGCAGGTCGCGAATCAGGTTGAAACGGTCCAACGAGACACTTTTGCCACACTCTGTCGCGATATTCTTAGTCACACACAAAGCTTCATTCCGTAGGCACATCCAAGTATTCTCGTTGGGCTGTGCCTCGACGAGGAAGCGCAATTCTGCGTCGCCTGTACGCTGCGAGATAGCTACCGAGTACTCATGTGGTGCACCGTCATTGGTTACATTCGACACAAAGCCATTGTATCCAGGCTCACTCGGAATAGCTGCGTGACCCCATGCTTGTGCTGCCAATCCGAAGGCATTCTGTAGCTGTTGCCCTGCCGCCGCACTATGCTTTAGTGAAGAAGAGAGAATGGCGAGCTGCCGGCTGACGGCCTCGATATATGTTCCAGTGATGGTTTGGTCCGCCTTTACAGGTTTCAAGCCGCAGGAGAAGTGTCGCAGACGCATAGTCTTTCCTCGTGTTATGACAACGTTTGGAACTGTGTGTCTTCTGCTGTGCAGCTCTTGGATGGCAGCGACCGTGTATTCTATGTGATCGTCTGACATGACATGGCGCGGCACGGCGAAGCGAACGAGGTTGGGAATTTTGGCCCGCTCCTGTGGCGCCTTCAAATCCCAAGCCCATCCGAAGGGGCCTGCTTCGACGGCACGTATTCCGTAATCTTTGATCAACTCTAGGGTGAAGCCGACGGACGCGAAGTCACCAGGACTTCTACCGCACCCGAGGAAAAAATCGTCCATGTTGAGGTAAATTGCGTGGCCTCCCGGTGGAGAAAAAACGGAGATTCCAGCAGCTTGCACCTTTACTGCGAAATTCTCGACTTGGGTGATGCGACTCTCGAGGTAAACCTGTTTGGTGACTTCGTATAGCCCTGCTGTAGCGGCCATCAGGTCTCGCCCACTCACTGTACGTGCAGTCTTTTAGTATAAGTGATGTCCAAGACGATTTCAAGCGCCGCAATGTAGGTACTCACTGCCACCATAAGAATCATTCCCGTACGTGAGGATCTGTCGCTCTTTCAAGAGTAGACCAATGCCGGGATACTTTTGAGCAAAGTGGCCTTCGTCACGAAAGCATAAGACGCCCCCCATGTTAGACAATCCATCCTTCTTGAGGCTGATAGTGAAACCTTCGGCGTACGAAAACATCTCCCGTACTATCTCCGAAATCGACTTGTTGGCGTACGCAGCTTCATACCTTTGGATGAAGTAGGCATTTTCAGCAAATCGACAGGCATCGAAGAAAAGTGGAATGCCTTGGCGGTGTGCTAGCGATGCTGCGTCTTGAATATTGGCCATGGAGACAGGCTGAGCTGCGGCCCAATTGTTTGTGATCGTCATCAACAACATAGTGACTCTTTGAGGATTCTCAAACATGAATTCCTCCGTCAGACCAATATCCAGATTACCCTTAAAGGGATTCTCCCTGCCGATGAGCTCTGGTGGGAAAGGATCGTTCAGCCCAGGCTGTGTAAAAGTTTGGAGCTCAAAGCCCGAAGCGACGGCGTTAGCGCCGGTTGTATCGAAAAATCCGTTGCTGATAATGACAGGAAGATGAGTTGTATCATTTGGCACTTCAGAGATGATACTGCTTAATGTTGAGAAGAGCAAATTCTCGGCGCAGCGCCCCTGAGGGACGATGAAGAAGTTGGGGCGCTCAAGCTGGTGAGGCCCTATTGAATGTCAGCTATGGTCAAAAATCAAAATGCAACGACTAGGGATGTTATTAGAAGACGAGAACACGGTACTACTCGCCTCCATTAACGAAGCCTGCCTGGTCGGGTGTCATGAGCTTATTGCGATATAGTTCAACACTCGCCGACGCTGCGAGCACCTCTCGGTACGCATGTTGCCGCTCATCTCCGCGTTCGAAGATATCTCTAAATGCTTCAAGAAGACAATAATATCCCCAGTTCCGCCCGTAGCTCTCGTCCCCTCTCATCACTTGACACAAAGCTAAATCAGTACAACGGACTCAATGCTCTATAACGATTCAATTTCCTGAGCCAGCAATGGGTATGGCCCAGCAACACACATCGGAAGGCATCAATGTTGTAGTATCGAGGTCAAAGTAAATTGTAGGACGTGCTTACAGGCCGCCCACTGAACATCCGTCATCGCCGAGGTCCCGGAATCGGACAGATAATCGCAAGTGACCAGGCCGGCGGGGAAAGCAAATACGTTGTACTCAACGTCTTTGAGAATTTGTTCGCGCTCTTTCGGGGCCACGGTCAAGAGAGATCTCACTACCAGTGCGTTGTGCGCTGGCGCAGAGGGCCTTTGAGAGGATGATCCGGTCATGCTTGAAGGTGTCGGGTTGGTAATAGCAGATCGATTTTGTCGCAGGTTCTGAGGCCGAGAAGGACAGGTGAAGTGGCAAGCATGGGGATGGCACTCCATAAATACTTCTCTGATAAGTACTTACAACAGGCCCAATGAATAATATCTGAGTAAATACCTCTCAGGGTCTACCATAAACCCACCTCCCCTCCTCCCGCACACTCCTTGCCTTTCAGAAGCTCAGCTCTTCTTCTGTTGCAAGGATCGGGCGTGACTTGTATGTAGAGACTTCGACCTTCAGCTTGTGTCTTGATTCAGGATGCCTACTTTAGCAATATTGCCATACATCAAACTCATCCACTGGAAGTTCAGGCTGGCCAAGGCTCTTGGCGAAGAACTGCTAGCAAGGGTTGAGATCCAAGTAAGCTGACACTTGGCAAACTTGTAAGCAACACACGTCGTTGCCCTAAATCTCAAGTCGTGATTGTAATTAGACCATAGCATGTTGTTCAAGACATTCGGCGGTTTGCTCTATGTACTTATTAAGCCAACGATCGCATAGCGAATTGGACTGCGACGTCATCTTTAGTGTCTGCTGTGCAATGTCTTTTCATTCGCTACGGACGCATTATCTCAAAAAGATCCGCACTCGTCGCCAGACTCAGCTTTGCACAAGTGAGGTCAATAAATACTGTCAGAATCCAAAGCAGCCCGCTCTCTGGGGTCCTCTGATGGAAAAGATCTTTGTGCTAATCGACGTGACAAATCATCACCACATCAAGCTTGATGGAGCTCCAGAGTCCGACTTGATAGGCCACAGCAAGCCACAATTGATCAGCCCCGAAATTCCTGATGCCCCCCTGAATGCAGTGAGCACATAGATTTCCACGTGTGCTTAGTGGCGTCCTTTTCTGTTTTAAGAAAAAAAAAAGGTTCTTGGCGAGAACAGAATGGCAATATAGGACCAATGCCACCCGTAGACATGGCATGGTAACACTCTAGACGTGGCCATGCTGCGAGAGCTTTCAATGTACACAGCAGTCTCGTGGCATTTAAAAACCTTAAGTAATTGGACTCTATCTGTAATAGGCTTGTGAACAGGCTTGGATAGCAACATAGGAATCATCTCTCGTGCACTCGCCTGTCAGCAGTAGCAGCAGATGTATCTATTGCAGTTCCGCTGCTTCTTGGAGCTAATCACCGATTCATATTGATATTAGTGTTCATATGCACCCGGGCACTGGACCAATATCAACTGCAGGTCCGCTTACCGTAGGGCTGAATTACGGACTCTTGGCTCTCACGGACAGAAAACCATAATCATGATTCCACATGTGACACGTACGAATGCTTGTTCCTGAGTGGTCCTGGAGATGATCAATGATAGAGTTCAGTCCAATGTCATCCCCTTTTACCGACATGATGGGCGCGCACTGCACTGACTTGCAAGAGACGATTGGGTCCTGAATTCTCAAATGGAAAATGCTTGGTATGGGAGCAAATTGACGCAGCTCAGAGCCCAAAATCAATCTATTTTCCTGAATATTCATCCCTTGTATTGGGCTGTCCCTGAATCTGGAGTAGTCGCGAGGTTAGAATCTGACTGTGCTGAAGGTGAGGCAGGGTGAGTCTACAGTGAGCTTTACTGAGTGTGGCTGGGTTGGTTAAACTTGCCCTGCAGGCATTACACCTGTATCAAGATGCCGGTAGCCCAGATCCTGTACCAGGTTAGTACGCAAATGACAACCTCGGAGCACTAGACACATCCCGTGGCTAGGTAGATAGGTCCTAGACACCCAAGTCCTGGATTCTGGTTGTAAAGATAATTAATCTATAAAACTATATAATATTATATCTTTTTTATTAGTATAGTTTTACCATGAAGGTATAGTTCTTAGCTTTACTTTAGCGAAGCTGGTTAATAACACTGTTTTGCTTCTACTAGGCAGCTTCCTGGTAAGGATAAACCAGCAGAATACAGACATCACTTTTAAAACTTTAGAGCCTAAGAATATTAACAGCTGTATTAGCTTTTATATTATGCTAATGGAAACAAGCCACGAGTACTCAGTATTCAGAATATTGTGAGCATGGCTATAGATGAGCTGATAGCGGATGATCATGATTCGACCTTGCGGATAGCATTGATAAATTATGGGTCCCAGTCTATTGAGCCGATTTCTCAAGTCCTAGGCAAGCTTTTGAGACGGAAGGTAGTTTTCTGTAAGAATATACATTATAGTGAGTTAAGGGAACGGCAAGAAGGCTAAGAAAGGACACACAATTAATGTCTGTGGTGCTTTGTTTAATGAAGTATAACCTAGCATTTAGTTAGTGAGAGTAGAGTATTGAGAGCAATCTGTGCTATTTCGGCTGAAATGGCCAGGCTATCCCACTAACGAAGACCATGTATTTTGGATGCATCGACTCCATCGACTCAAACTGTGTTGGCTGTCGCAAAAAGATAAATTCTGTCCATCTCCGAGCCCGCACTACCCGGGCGAGAATAGAATATACTCTGCGTAATGCGTTATTTTTGGGTTTGTCCTCCTGCCGCCGAGTAGCCCACATCTTTTGTCATTAGCCCGTTACTGCGAGTTGACAAAAGCGGCAGCAATATATATAGTCTCTGTCCTGGGGGCGGGGGGCCGAGTCCTGGGGGCCGACTTCAGCTCCAAGATTGGCGGCTAATTAAGCCTGCCTATGGAAATGGGGAACTGAAATTTCTTTTTAGATAGTGGAGTTGTACTGCCGTTGCTGGTGCATACTGCCCAACGAGACGTGCAGTACTCTGCGGCACAGCGCTGGAATGTCTGCCACACAATGTGACAATATCTTAGAAAGCTGCGCCCACCTCAACTGGAAAATAAAAAAAGGCGGCGTGGATCTCAGCTCTCTTTTCTTCCTTTCTGCAGAATCGTCGTCGATCCGCTCATGGTACCGCAGCTTTGGCAAGACAGAGAGAGAATCATTGGCAGACCCAGAACCACTCAGGCAGATTCTTCGGTGTTACGCCTTGGGCCTGAGCACACTTCCAAGGGCACAGTGAGGCTGAGTTGGCCATCGGCGATTGTGTGCCCATGCAAGCCATTGGGGAATCCATTTAAAATGAACCAGCAGTTCCAGCTGATATGTCTCGTCCTCACCTCAGCGCTACCCTTCTTGAGCCATTCTGCACGGCATAGCGGTGGTTCTCTTTGACGATTGCACTATTCCCGATTCCCAACCTTCATAAACATTAGTCCTAGTCTAGACGGCTTAGCTATGGTGAACGAAACAGCATGGACAGGGGCTGCGGAGGCCGTGAAATACGGCGTCCACCTCGGCATGTGGACCAATTGGTCCCGTGGCCGTGTCCTGGGAGCAACATTGACTCTGTCCCGCAAGGACGGGAACTATCTTCTTGCGTTCACAGCATTCTTCATAGGGCTCGTCTCTACGCGTTTCTGGCGTATCCTTTGTTTTATTCTGCACAACCGGTTCTCGACATCAACATCTCGCGACGCACTTTATCACCAACAACAAGCTATACTCCGCAATTCCGACTCGGCGGAATCAGGCCTCTTGGTACTTTGCCAGCTCGTCTGGGCATGGCACAAGACTGTCAAACGATCATTTGTCCGTGTGTTGCCTGTTATCGCAACGGCAGCCTTGTCCGCATTTGCCTTTACGATGGCGGGAGGTTTCTCTTCCTCCATATCCACGGGTGTTGGCAACGATGTTCTTCTCGATGGCTCAAACTGCGCGTTTGTAAACACCGGATATCCCGACATCGGGGCTTCAAGTGTCCTACAACCATATACATCGCGACGGTCAAACAGTGCCGCCAATTATGCTCAACAGTGCTACTCCACCAATGCCTCCGGTATGCTTGACTGTGGAACGTTTATCAAGGCCAGAATTTCTAGCTCAGTTGATAATCACACGCCCTGTCCGTTTGCCGAAGGCCTGTGTCAAAGTGATGCAAATATACGCCTCGATACTGGATATATTGACAGTCACGAGCACCTCGGATTGAACGCTCCCTTCGACGAGAGGGTCATCTTCCGCACTGTCCTTCAGTGTGCCCCTCTTGTGACCGAAGGATACACCAACGACATAAGCAACATAAGCACTCCGGCCCAGAACTACACAGCATACTATTACGGCCCTGACAGGTTCGGGCAAAATTACACATTCTCCACAACCAGCTGGGACACTCAGTACCTCCAGATAAGTGGAAACGAGTTTAAACTAACGTATGATGATTTGATGTCCTCTATGTCGGCTCTATCCCACCTCTGTGGCTGCTCTTGCTGACTCTAGCGGCTGAATCACAGTAATCTATTGACCGAAATGCTGAATGGCAGCGTTTTCCCCTTGTACTCCGATTTCACGCCTACTCCTGGTCTCTTCCCAGCAGACGGTGACCTGATGCTCACATTCCTAATTGGAAACGGGGTCCAATTCTTAGAGAGGACTGACGACCCATGGTATCGCGGGACTGTGCCTGGGGAAAACTTTACCTGGATCATGGCAAAAGGCCAGTCAATAATGAGCTACAGGCCAGAACAAGCTGCCTCACCCCTGGCTTGCCTACAACAGTATCAGTTCTGCAATCCTGCTCTACCGGAAGAAAGCCGCTGCGGTCCGCTAGCGAGCTTGCTCGACGCGCAGACCCGTGCAGCACATCTATTCAACATGACAGAAGACCAGATAGCGAACAACGACATCCCTGACACGCCGGCCGGCTCGCGGTATGTCTGGTTTCTCCAGTTCCTGACGCTCGCGACCATCGGTCTGGACGACCTGATCAACGCACTCGGGCCGAACTCGCTGGCATCTCAGCAAAGCCTGAATCGGAATGGGGGCATCATGGGCGTTATACCAAATAAGCAGTGGCAACTTGACGTGGAGAATTGGTGGGCTATATACATGGCATCTATGCAGGCGGGCATGGTCGACGTGGCCAATGGTCCAAACGACCCGGCGCTTGAGCCGTACGACATCCTTCCTTTTAACTCCCATGTCAAGAAGTTGTGCAATAACCAAGTAAGTAAAACCGAAGCACATATTGAAGTCACCCATAATCTCTGGTTGATAAGCTTATGCATTCACCTTTGTCATTTCCTCCCGGGCTGGTTTGGCACTTCAAGAGCACAACTAACGTATATTCTTTCCCCTCCCCTCAGAAAATCCTCAGCAGCGACTACACCTCATTCAGTGTGTTTGGGCTGTGTTTCATTTATGTCATCGGCGCTCTGATAATAGCAACTTCTCTTCTCCTCGAGCACATTCAGGCCTGGCTTTACCGTCGTCGAAATCTGAGGGAGTATGCCTACCTCGAATGGACAGCCAATGAGACCCTTCAGCTGCAGAGAATGGCCTACCAGGGCCTCGAATCAGGTCACTGGTCCCATTATACTGACCGCATCCCCCTGACTGAACCAGGCGATACGTTGGCTAATCTGGCTGGAAGCTACCCCTTCGACGGGAAGGAGGAGGCCGGCGCCCAGAGGAGATATTCGGTTAACAAGGGAAATGGCACGACCGTTATTACTGTGCAGGCAGCGCCCCTGACGCAGATCGAGACCGACGGGAGCTCAGGGACACCGTGCGATGATAACTCCCATATGGAGCAGGCCGGCGCGGGAAGGAGGCATTCGGTGGAGGTCGTTCCTGCCGGACATAGCCCACGGGATGAAGACGTTCACTCGCCAGCTCTCCCTGACGTGGATGCTAACCCTCAACCGCCTGCAGATGCAGCGCCCGTGACGGTTAATCCAACCACTCACCCTGGCGCTTAAGCAGTCTATGCCGGTCTAACGTTTTGGGTAGTGTGCACTTGATGTAAAAGACACCATATTTTGAAACTCGACGCGTTCCCCTAACTTGTATCCCAAGCATTAAAGTCTTGCTTGGCAATTTGCCTTTCATTAACCCGCATGTTTGAAGGGAGGCAGCGTGGTTGGGCGGACTGGATGCATCCAGCATAGGTACATCATGTGTAGTTATCTATCTGGTGCAGATTATGGCTGACTGGGTTTTAATTCCTGTTCATCTAGGGAAAATGGTGAGGATTTTCTAGTGCTAAAGATGTCGTCTCATTATGAGTACTTGCCGCCACACACTCAACAACGGGACACGTGAACAATGGCCTCTCTGTCTGAATACCAAGTTGTATGGAAGCATTATATAAATCGATATCTATTAACTGGAAACTTGAATCGATGTCGATTTCGCGAATACCTAACACTGAGGGTGGTTGACGCCGGCGGCTTTAATCAGTCGTCTTCAAATGCTGAGCCGCTCAGACCAAAAATATCATCACTTTGCTTCAACAGCGTCGACAGATGCTTTTGACAAGAGAGCCTCGCCATGATTGGCGGCAGTATTCTTTTTGCGGTGTGACATTTCGTTTCTATATCCTTCGGCTTGTCAAGATGTCAATCATCGGCACCGCCACCCCCGAGATGCCGAATCGCCAACGAAGTCGAAGATGCTCCATCTGTCGCCATGGTTTGGATGACTGTATGGCGACTGGGCGACATCTCATCACAAAGAAGACATTACCACCACTCACCTCTCGCTATGAGCTCCCCATCTTGAAGAGTTTCGACCTCGAGAAGTTTGCCGCCGAAATGCCAGATGGGCGACGCCTCACGTTTACGGGAGTGGCCCACTTGTGGCATCCAATTGGAAAGAACGAAGAGACTTTGCCCACCGCGGAGACGTATACGTGGGAGATCTGCCAGCGTACCAACGGTTGTGCGTGCAACGAGACCCCCGGCTTCGATTTGACTCTGGATGGAGGCTTGGGCTGGCCGCCGACCCAGTTGTTGCTGGGCGTTCGGCGGTACCGAGTGAATGATGAATACTTGAGAGGAGACGGAGTCAGGGCTGTGCACATGAGGAACGGGCTCAGTTGGTGGAATTGAGTCAAGTCTACATAGTTGTCAGACGTGGCTACGGAATTTGGCCGAGCTGGCACTCGGTTACAATACCACAACGGGTCGTTGTGACTGGTCAAAAACAGCAAAAGCGGTAGTGATCACCAATATTCGTGTATCTCACCCAGGGTCCACTTGGCTTGCAAGCGGCTTGCTAAAACTTCTCGCTCGCTTACTTGCTGCTTGCAAGCGAACTTGAACTTAGCTTGCGTGAATCTTTGATGCGTCCGGCAGATCTTCCCGTAATTAGTGACGATCAGCGCGGAGAGGATTTGACGGAGGACGATAGTCAGGCGCCGTGAGATGGAGATCATGACTTGTCTCCCGCCTCCAAGCATCCGCATCACATCTCTGTCAATCAGTAGACAGAGCATGGTATCACGGCTCACACTCCCACAACTCCAATTGATCAACCACAACTCGAGCTCAGACTGCTCTCTTTTATCTCTTTATAGACAATACGATACAAGTCCTAGCTGAGGTTTTGCCTGTGACAACGACTGACAAGGCTGAGAGACTAGGCGCATGGCATCTTACTCAGCGGCTGACGAGGCTGAGAGCCCAAATGCATAGCATCTTACTCAGCGGCTTGCCCACTTACGATGGCTGGCAGGCTTGGCTTAGCTTAGCTTGATCAGATTTGAGGAGAGTTTCCGCCTTCTTAATTAGGTAATTGCAATACCTTGGTAATTATGTTGCTATCTTCCTTCATCGCTTCTCCTGGCCTAAAGGTAGAAACGAAACAAACAGAGAGAAAGAACAGCGCGAGCAAAAATCTCGTAAAGGGCCGCTACCTAGGTAAGCAGAGTATTGTGTATGTACGCGAAATTCGTAGCCAAATGCGAGTTGCTGTGCCGTTTCCGCCTTTTCGCCACAAACTCTGCTTCCGCCGTAGCAGATTTAGGCGGCTTGACTTCGCTGGAACGCCAGTCTTACCTGCTACAGGATGAGGAAGTGATCTCCAACATCACGATACCAAAATGGGCACCGTTGACCAAAGTGGTCAGCGTGGAGTCGCACAGGTCGCAATGCAATTGTGGGGAATCGATGCATTTTCCTCTTCCGCATCCAGAGACATGCCTAGGCAGCCAACGAGCCAGTCAACAATATGAAAAGGCGGAAGAACAGCAGCTCTTAGGGTACTCGATCGAGTATAAAGTCAACGTGGTTTCCAGTCAGACTCTCCTGTAGACATAGGACTCTTCATCACCACCAGCCTTCTGACACTTGAGCAAGCGAAGACTCAGTCTTACTCGGCAACATACAAAACTACGCTTTCGATCCACTGCCTACACGATGCGTTTCACTTCCATCATCACCTCTGTCCTCCTTGGACTCGCCGCAGCAGACGAGAACTATGATGTCGGGGTAAGTATTATGGTCTATTAGACCTCTACTCACCACCTCCGCAGATGCGGCACCTAGAACGCTCACTAACATTTTGGCGGTAGGTTTGCAATGGGGAGTCGTGTAATGTGAATTTAGTCAACACTCCATGTACCGTGGGATCCGTAAGTTCCCAACCTCCAGTTGTGCTCTCCTCGAAGTCTTGTAACTGACAACTCTGCTTCGTAAGTGTGTCGGAGCAGGCGGTGGCGACGGTGCTAAGTGCCATGTAATGAAGGGATGGGGTCCCGCGTACTGCCCAGTGAACTGCGACAGGTATTATTGTCCTTGAATGCTGTCAACCTCGATCTATCATTGGGTTTGTTTGTGGCGAAAGGGCTTTACAAAAGACAAATTCGATGCGCATCAAGGAACAGACGCGAAAGGGCGGACGAGTCAAATAGAAACGATTCTGTGGCGATTTGGCATGTTTTCTGATGACGGAAGTGACCAGCTGTCGTACATTCGAGAAGAAGCGGAGGTTCGGAATTGGCTTCTTGGAGCGGATACTTGGTAGACTGTCTTGTGCATTATTGAAAACAAAAACACCCACAAGTTTGGCTATATCTATAATACCGCTACGGAGGCTACTAGCCTTCGTAGACCTTTCCCCGTCCAATTACAATGCAAATGGAATAAATCAAAAGAGATATCTGTAGAGAAGGTTCATTACAAATCAGAATGAGCTTTAACATCAAACTAGTATATTATTTGTAATAGAGGTGGTTAATCACCAAAGCAGCAGTATAGATCGTGTCAAAAGCGTTGCACCTAGAACCATGAGTGGAGGTCACACGTGTCGGTGACAATTGGATACAGTCTATGGTGTAGCAATTTCCCTTGGACCGAATGACGGTTGCACCAGCTTTCAAGAGAACCAAGACCAGAATGCTTCTCTTCCAGATATCACCAGAACAGATGCAAGTAGAGGGAATAGGTGAATGATTCAGTCTTGCACTGATATTCAGGTGGTCTAGCTGACCAAGGAAGCACATTATGCCGTCAGTGCAAGTTATATAACACGCACTATACGATGAATGTGTAAGCGAGCTCGCGGGATGAGATCCGGACACAACCGTTGAAACAGCGATCATTGACGGCCAGATTGAGAACATGTTTGTTGGTGGAAATGAGCACCGCGGCACAGGATGAAACAGAAGATGTCAGGGCGGCATATCAGTTTATGCTTATGGCAACAAACGATACACAAATTTTCAGTACTTAAGATGAAGGTTAGTCTCGATGAGTAGTGGAATGAGACACATTTCCTCCTCAATTTGGGGTTTAATTGAGGTCAGAATCACATTTGACAGATTCGTGTTCCAGCCAAAATGTCGTGTAAGTTCTTGCACACACGTCGTCCGTTCAAGGAACCCCCCGATCCGTGTGCTCGGTGCCCCTGTGCTTGGGGACACGTTGACGAGGATCGAAGTCCTAACCCTTGTCAATAGTCCTCAACTCCACCAGTACAATAGAGCCGCACTCCCAACTGCCAGATGGTGTCAATAGGGAGCAGAGCGTCGGGATGCTGCAGGACAATGATTTTTTCCTTTCCTGCGATCCGCACCTGAGCAAGTACGAGGCAAAGGGCGAGATATCCGAGCCAAAGATCCCAGATAGTGTGACCGCACAGGGGCCTACGTTGTCTTATGAAGTAACAGATGAGCTTGAAAACATACCCAAGGGTATTTGGGGCTCGACTGTGGTCTCCACATATGAGTTTACGAACATCGAACACGGTGTGTTCTCGCGTGTCAAAAGTCCGCTGGGAGTTGTGATTGATACTCGTTGGGAGATCAAGGAGAACGACGGTGGAAAATTGGACTTGGTTCAAGCCGCTGAGATCAGTTGCTCAACGGTGCTGATGTCGCTTGTCAAAGGTCGCTGCGAGGCTGGATGTCAGTGTCACCCGTCCTTCAATCCGTGTCCACCAACTCCTGGAACACGGATGTCCCCGGGTAATTATTTCTAGAACAGTACTGATATCTCAGCAGGGGGCAAAATTCACGCCAAGATGTTGGAACGGCTTCAGAACGGAGCAAACGGCGGTGCGGCTTGATATTTGTTGTCGGGTGCGATTTGATTGTGACGGCAAATAACGGGCAAGGCTATAAACTAGATTCAGAATTTTTGCGTGCGACATAAACACACTCATCACCCATTGATCATGTTGACGGCCTCGATCTCACCCCGAGGATATCCTGTATGAGGTTATGCTATGAGGTTATGTGTCCTTGCAATTCGATTTTGGCCACTTTCCCAAAGGCTTTAGCGCTGTGAAATCTGTTAATTCTTCGGATGTTCTAGGATTGGAATCTGGCTGCCCTTTTGCGGTGACAAATTCGTTGGCATCTGTTATCTAATAGACTAACAATGAATGCTAGAAGATTCTGTTTTGAATTCTGACCTTTTCATAAGAAACCAGCTTTGGCTTTCATGTAGCGGTCACAACGCTGTCTCAGAGTAGATAAATCGGGGTCTTTGCAGGCCGTGTATACATCCTGCAAATAGATCCAGTGCATCGGCGATATTCGCTTTTATGGACTTCCTGCTCCTGAAAAAGTGCTTGTGAAGAGCACGCATGATTTCTTGCTGTTTTTCCAACATTGAATAATCAGGCGTTAATATAAAGAAAACGACAATTTCAGTTGAGACAGGTGGTATGAGTTTAATTGGCTGATTCAGATATCCGCATCTCTGCTTTAGTCGATGTTAGACGAACGGTTGCTGACCATTTTTGGAACACACAGAATGCCACGCATTCGTGACAAGTACTGTCAATTTGCTCAAGGACCTGTGGATTTATGCTCCACCTAGTTAGAAAACTCTACAACCTTGGCCTTCATGTTGACAATGTCCGCTGAAGTGATGACCTCCGTTGATCTTGACCAACCCTCGGCGAAGGGAAGACGAGACTCGCGGAAGAAGATGTCAACCCAGTCCACCCTCGCGTTTCCCTCTACCTTGTCTCCGATGACTGCAACAAATAATGCGGTCTCACCGAGACCTGCAGCCTCTCCGCCCGAGGTCAGGTTGTACTCGGGGTTCTCCACCTCGTCCTTCGCGATCCTCGCGAGCCTGCCCTTAGCCGCAGCCTCAATTGAGATTGTAGTCGCGTTGGTGTCTCTCCAGACGGCAGAAGTTCCAGCCCACACTTCGGGGTCAAAGTCCAAAGCATTCCCGAAGTAGGCATCTTTCCGGCTCAGACTAGCATCGTGCTCAATGAGGTTGTGTTTCAGCAAGTCGTGCAGGTTCAGTGTGTCGTTGCGGCCAGTGGTCGAGGCAGTTACGCCGACCTCGAAGGGCCCGACGGAGAAGGCGGGCTCTAGGTTGATAGCGGCCTCGAAGCCATTCTGCAAGTCCGCGAGCGATATGTTTCGGCCGTCGCGGGCTACGTAGCCGTGGTTTGCCAGAGTATTCAGCATAGGGCAAGGCGAACGACCTAGAATATTTGTTAGTTGAGTCGCGCGGTGTTGAACAATGTAACGACTCACTATCGTTGGCACTTGGCGCTCGAAACTCATTTCTGTCGGAAACGGCCCTTGGTTGTGGATAAGCAGACACCGCCAAGGCCAGAATATTGAGGGACAGGAGTGAGGAACGCATTTTGTCCCTGAATTTGATTCGTTAACAAGGAGCAGGCTGAAAATCAAGAGGATTTGGCTAGCGAATGGAAACTCAAACAAATTCGACTTTGACCTGGACTGATTCATCCTTTATATTCCATAAGTTCAAAGTCTGATCGGACATCGGATGCGCCCCTGACCACTTCCGTGCTTCTCTATGTGGTTTAGATAGTACCATTGACGTAGAGTCGTACTTGTTCTGTCATCAATAGGTACTCCGGAATGTTGGGTCCACGGTCCCACAGATCTCCTTGCGCCAAAAACAATATTTACCTATTGAATCCTTGAGTTAATCTGGGCTCACCCGAAATTTGTGGTTCCATGACACAAAGAGCCAGTCAAATTTGAGCTATTGTAATGAGATCGACACAGACCACTTGGACAAAGTCATTATTCAGCGTCTTTCCAGTCCTGATCATTTGCTGTCTCCACACTAGGGGCTTCGTCTCTGCCCCCTTGGCCATCTGTTTCTTCTTGAGCCTCGACAAAATCCATATTTGCCGGTTTCATGTATACCCTCACGAGGGCTAGCTCTCAAATGCTGTACTCCCCAAAACTCCACAATGATGACCTTGAGCTTTGTGGGTATGAGATCGGAACACGAAACTTTCCGCCGGTGCAATAGACTACCCGGTCGAGATCGAGGTTGAGATTGAAGCGAAATCAACACAATATAGGCTGATTCTGTAACCTCTGTGTAAGTGAAAGACATCCTATACAGATCATTACCCAGCGGATGTATTTGAAACATAATATGTGCTTACTTTCAACGAGGCTATTTTTGACTCACCGTTCTAGATACTCCCAATTTACTTACAAGTATTTCAACGTCTTTCAGCTTTCCAAACTTAATATAAAGTAGGTTACGGGCTAGCTTGTTTGCAGTCAAGCCCATGCTGTTTTCTTACACATGTGCTTTCCGAGTTAGTTTCTATACAGCGACAGGCACTTTAGAAGGGTAAGCGTTTACGTTTTAAGATAGCTTTACTGATAAACAAGTTACCGACTTTTCAGAAAGATTACTGGGCTCGTTGTGACATTGAGGTTTCATTTTGGTATGTGGCTGGCATTTAAACTACAGCTGCATCACAGTGTTCAGTCTCAACATCTGTAGCTGGGTACATAATCAGGGTCTTGCTCCTTTACGGGCATTTTTCCTGGAAGAGAAGGTGTCTGATTATGTGATGTCCTCGTATGTGCCGAGTGGTGTTGGAGGTGCCCTATCGATGGGAGAAGTATGTGAGTACAGTGCCTCAAAACAAGTGAGGGGGCCTCGAAAAGACAAGCGATGCCCTCTAACGTGGTCTTTGGTACTGTAATAAGTATAAGATCGGTATTTACGGATGCACTGAATCTTTTCAAAAAGCGGGACGCCATGTGTTGGATTAAGCATGATTGTGAGTATCTTTCATAGTATCCCGGGAACAAAGCCTCGAAATATAAGAATGACACTGAGCAACTCAGTTGCGCGGTGCTTGCAGAAGTTAGAGGCTGGGATGCATCTGTCGGGTTTACTAGATAGTCCAAGGAAATGAGGGTGGTGAGCTCAATGCTACCTCCTCCGGCGCGTGTGTCCGTGATGACCTCCACCGGGACAGGCCTAGTGTTTTTGCTTGGGGGGAGTGGCCCGAGCGTCTCGCGTATCTCCTAGCGTGGGCTCTGGCTCTCGGATCCGGGCCCAGAGCCAGCGTGGGCGCGGAGCTGTCACCCACCTGGCCTGCCTGCGCAGGGCTGAGACTGCAACATCACTGAACTACCCCTGATGATCCGTCCTCCATCCACAGTCAGCTCCACACCTTCGATTGCATCAAGCCGCCATCGATTAACGAGTATAGGATACCCGCTTGCTGAGGCCAAACACTAATAATCCATGTCTTGAGACTTTGGGACGGGTGGCCGTGAGGAGCACACGTTGGTTGCAGTCCGAAATCTCGGGGCCGGGAGCCTCGAACACAGGCCAACTGATGAAACATCTCGCTCGGGACCTCAACAAAAAAACACAGAAAGACATCTGTGGCTGCAGACCTGTCAACTGTGGAATACATCACAGTTAGTCTTGATCCTGTAAGCGTAACACACTCCTTATCCATTACACAATACCCTATCTCGTTTGCTCACCGAGCATATACTGTGTGTTGTCATCGCAAAGATCAAGCAAAGCCCTCGTTACTCGCGGATTCTCCGAACGTCGTCATCGTGTCTCTTGTCAATGCTTGTCTCTCATCTCGTGTGCTTCATTCCAGAACGCTGACAGAACCTCCAAGTCAATCAGCTCTACTGATATGGTCGCAATCGCTGGAAATCTGAGACTTCACGTCCTCCCTAGCCCTGGCAGACTGTGCCACTCGGGAAAGCCACAGCGCTTCGAGATCTCTTCTTGTCTATATCCCTGTTCTTCCTCCCTTGAACCACCCTTCTCAGTTGCACTGAACCCTCTTCATACTTTCAATCCTGCCCCTACCCCCAAGTAAAGCTTGCGCAGAGTCTCCACAACCGGGTCTGGGCGGGCTTTATACCACCAAATTCTCCACTATGGCGCACCTTTCTACCTATGGCGCCGACTTCTCGGTGACCAAGAAAAAGGCCCTCGAGGATGCGAAGAAAATGCAGGTGGTTGTCGAAGATGAATGCCACAAGGCCGAACAAGAGGTGCCTCCGTATCGACTCAAAGAGCTGATCGGCAAAGGGAGCTTCGGCCGTGTCTACAAGGCTTCAGATCTGAAAACCAGTCAGTTGGTTGCCGTGAAGATCATTGACATCGAAGAGTCTGATACTCTGAATCCGAAGCTGGCAGACACATACTCAGAATTCCTGAAGGAGATCAATGCGCTTAAGCTACTCAGCGAGGGTGGGGCAAAGAACATCAACCACGTCCTGGACGCGCTACCAGTTGGACAGTCCATGTGGATGGTCACCGAATATTGTGCCGGCGGAAGTGTGGCCACTCTGATGAAACCGACAGCACCCGGCGGACTCCAAGAAAAATGGATAATACCCATCCTCAGGGAGGTTGCTGAGGCCGTCTCGTGGGTCCACAAAGCCGGAATCATCCACAGAGACATAAAATGTGCCAACGTACTTATCACCGAAGGAGGCGGCGTCCAGCTCTGTGATTTCGGAGTTTCTGGCGTCATCGAAACAAAGTTCGACAAACGGTCCACCTTTATAGGAACACCCCATTGGATGGCACCAGAGTTGTTCGACCCTTCGGCCTCGTATGGTGTCGAGGTGGACATCTGGGCTTTTGGGTCCATGGTCTTCGAGATAGCATCGGGCCTCCCTCCGAACGTCATGGCAGGCATCGATATCACCCAGCTGGGCGGCTATCTCAAGCAGAATACCCCAAGGCTCGAGGGAAACAAGTATTCGGAAAAGTTGAAGGATTTGGTCTCATTCTGCCTGGTGGAAGATCCGGCGCACAGGCCTACCATCAACGACGTGCAGCGGCATCCTTATCTCCACAATACCAGTACAACACACCCTACATCCTCCTTAGCTATGCTGGTCAGGGCCTTTCGAGTCTGGGAGTCTCAGGGCGGGAGTCGAAAATCCTTGTTTGCCTTTGGCGGCGCCCAAGGGCCGTCCGGGCCAGACCTGTCATCTACAGCCATGTCGAATGACGAATGGAACTTCAGCACAACACTTGCGTTCGACCAGCGCATAATGAATAGCACGGATGCTCAAGCTGTCTACGACGTCTATGGGTCCAACGTAGACCTTATAGACCCCGCTGAGCTCACTCCTCAGCCGTACAGGCCGAAAAGGCGACGGCCGCCACCGAATCTTCCCGTGATGAGAGCACCGCTAGAAAAGATATTCGACCCCAACACCATTTCAAGCTACAATGAGAACGCTCGAGCGTATTATGGGAAGCCGCCCTCGCCGCCTGCGGCAGACTTCACTTCAGATCTTCCGTTACGAGACAGCTCACATAACGCGACCCTAAGAGAATCATTGATTGATCTCGACGCTTCGCTCCACGGCAGCGATCTCTCAAGATTCGTCGATATGAACACTGTTAGGGCCGGTCGACGATCTAACGAATACGATTTCGGGGAAGACTATACCAGAGCCCCAAATAGCGACCCGGAAACAGTCCTGGCCGCAACCAACAGGAAGACACAAGACTGGAAATTTCCTGCCATGGTACCTCCAGCTTCCGCGAGTGCAGAGATGTCTCATTTTCCCTTCAACGAGGATCGCAACAGCAACCCTCCTGACTCTGCTAGTGATTGGATGTTTCCCGCACCTAGTGATCGCCAACCGGTTTCGGCGAGTGAGTGGAAGTTTCCAGAGCCTGGCGGTCGCCCTCCACTGCTTCACCACCCCACAGAGCCACTGGGCTCTTCTCCAGGCTACAACGATGGCCTCTTGGTCCCCCGAGCGGCTTCACAAATGGACAACCGTGCATCGGTCAGCAGTTTGATTGACCTGGATGAGAGTCTTCCGGATCCCATCGCACCGGGGGACATAGTCCGTCCATCAACTGCTAACTCAGACGTCGGATCCGAGATTGGCGGGGCTTTCGATCTAGAGAGGCATACTTCATACTATCCATTGCCGTCCACGAACCGTGAGCCGTCAATTTACATCTCGGATGAATCAGACTTGGGCGGGTTGGCGGGCCACCGGCAGACCAGAAGCATCAACATGATGGGCGGCATTCCCGAAGTGGACGAACGGCAACGCAGGAATACGGGCGCCTTCATTGACGACGCACATCTTTATTCCGGGGACGAGTACAATGGAAGTGAGGACTATATGATGACAGGGTCCTCCACGGCGACCCGCTCTCAGACCAGCTACCAGCACGGTCGTGGCCCCAGCGGGGACTCGGACTACACCATGACGGGTTCAACAGTGAGGACTCCGTCAATGTCGTCCATGAACTCGGCATATCAAAGAGACGGCATGGCAAGTGCTAGTGACGGTAGTCTACTGCCACCGTTACCGGCACCGCCTTCGGAACGGGTAATGATGGGGGAGGGAGGGGAGCTAATGAGGGATGAATTCTTGAAGCTGCTCGAGGGCATGACAAGCCACCTCAGCTTTACAGGAGAGTTTGTTGGGAACCTGCCGGTCAGGAAGTCCGGTCGGGGGCAGGAAAACCAAAACGGACAGTGATAATCTCGCTGGGACAAGGGCGATGTATGATTATTTGGGTGCGATGTATACGACCATGCATGTTGGGACTGGATTTATGCGATTGACTCGGATTCGGATTACGGAAAGCAGTGCATGCATGGTTACCTCAGCCTTAGGGTGGCAGCAATACTTCAGGAGGGATGGGAAGGAATACCGGGATCTATCATTAGAAGTACACAGCGGACATACGAGGAGGGCAGCGATGGGTGCGGTATGTGGGCTGTGGGATCAATCAGCGCTGCCATTTTGGGCCGGTTCAATGTTGGAAATACATGCTATTATGTGGGACGACTGTGCTGTCTAGGATAATTGGGAATTTTTGAGCGATCAAATTGAATTGAATCTGTCACAAAATTTTTGAAAAGATGACCGCTGTGGTGATTGCGTTTGTGCTTCTGATGGCGGTGTTGGCCGACTGGTAGCCTTGCCACTTAGCTTCGCACCTCAAAAATTGAAGATCTCCAATGACTCAACTGAAAACTCATCCGGGATATCAGACAGAGTCCGTCATCTTGCGCCAGCCACATTAACTTGCCATCATATTGCCCTATTTCATCAATATTACTGTTGGTTTGATGGTCGGTTCACACATAATACGAATTCCTTCACCAGGCCGACTCTGGGCAGCATCTTGTGTAGCAATACGGTCGTTTTCGCGGCCGGCCTCATCAGCCTTACCCTCGCTATCTCACTCAGAAGCGAGAACTTTCACCACCAGCGCCATAAAATTCGCAACCATGAAGACAAGGATATTGAGAGTTCCACAGGGCAAGGACCCAGGGTGTTTCACATCGTCAGACAGTCTCGACACCTGGGAAGTCTCAACGGACCCGTCTGTGCAGGACACCATCGAGCCCCTGCGCGAAGCAGCCGCCCTCCTCCAGCAGAGCGACATCCCCGTCGCCTTCCCCACAGAAACAGTCTACGGCCTCGGCGCAGATGCGACACGCAGCGGGGCCGTCAAGGGCATCTATGCAGCCAAGGGCCGGCCCTCAGACAACCCGCTCATCGTGCATGTGTGCGACCTAGACATGCTCCGCGGCCTGCTACGACCCACCCACGCCGCAACAAACGGCACAAACGGCGCGGCGACGAGCAATGGCCACCTAATCGAGGGGGAGGACCAGGACCAGGACCAGGAGCAGGACCCCATCCCGCCCATCTACAGGGCGCTCCTGCGCCGGTTCTGGCCGGGCCCGCTGACGGTCCTGCTGCCGAACCCGGCGGGGTCCGCGCTCGCGCCCGAGGTGACGGCGGGGCTCGCGACGTTCGGGGCGCGCATGCCGGCGTCGGCGCTGGCGCGCACGCTGATCCGGCTGGCGGGCGCGCCGCTCGCGGCCCCCTCGGCCAACGCCAGCACCAGGCCCAGCCCCACGGCGGCGCGGCACGTGCGGGACGACCTGGACGGGCGGGTGGAGCTGGTGCTGGACGGCGGGGCGTGCGGCGTCGGCGTCGAGAGCACCGTCGTCGACGGGCTGTGCTCGCCGCCCGTGGTGCTGCGGCCCGGCGGCGTCAGCGTGGAGGAGCTGAGGGCCGTGGAGGGCTGGGAGGGTGTCGTCAAGGGGTACAAGGATGCTAGTGAGGTTGGTGAGGCGGGCGTTGGCCCCCGCGCGCCGGGGATGAAGTACAAGCATTACAGCCCCCGGGCGAGAGTGGTTCTGTTCGAGGCCCGGACGGGCGCGAGGGGCGAGGACGTCCTGCGAGAACTGAAGAGGGTCGAGGGGCCTAGGGATGTGGTTGGTGTTGTCCGCACGCATCGGTGGGAGAGGCTGCCAGGGCATGAGGTCGGGACAGAAGAAGGGGAGGCAGACGGGGAGGCGGATCTGAGCTACGAGATACATACGTCTGTCATAGACGGGTCAAGGGTGCTTGATATCAGTCTCGGTCTGGACAGCAGGTCAGTGGCACAGGGCCTGTTCTCGGCGCTGAGGGAATTGGATAGAAAAGGAGCGGACGTCATATTCATCGAAGGCGTTGAGGATAGAGACGACATCGCGGCAGCCGTCATGAACCGCCTGCGCAAGGCGGCTTCGGAGATTAGAGCATAGACGGCCACCCCATAGATACGTGCAACATAGACCTTTGCGCGATTATCAAAGAGATAATGTTATTATTCTCAGACTTTTGCACGGTCTTGGAATTCCCAAAAGCAAATTGACCCCTTGACTCCTCTAAACGTTTAGACGCCCCTAAAATACTGTCCCTCCACCGCATCACAGCCCTTGCCGCAGCCAGTCTGTCAGCTTCGCCTTTCCTAATTGTGCCAGGTTGTTGACGCCTTGCTCGCTGAAGGGGTCGATACGGCGGAGGTCGACGTCCTGTGTGGGGGCCTTGCTGACCCTCTGGACGATAATGGTGGGGTCGGTCTCGAGGATGATGCCGTCGTCGACGATCTCATCGACTGCCAGTGAGACAAGGTCGTAGCTCTCGATGATGGTGCGCTTGTCGACCGAGGCCTTGAACAGGAGGTGGAGGGAGTCGCGGAGGGCGAGGATGGCGTTGTAGAGCAGGACCTCGTTCTCATCGACGCTGCCGACGAGGTAGAGCATGACGTCGCTTTCCGACTTGTAAAGGACAATGCGACCATCGAACAGTAGGATGTCCCCGGTCTGTTTCGCCGTCTTGTCCAACAGTGCCTTCTCGAATGCTTTCTGGGACTTCACATCGGGGTATGGGTTCTTGGAGGCAGCTTCAGTAGGTCAGTAATCGGCCTTGTCACCGAGGAGGCGTCTGAGGATAGCGTACAGGCATGCTGTCCTGGTGCAGGTGTGGCTTGGTGTGGTGAGTCGTAGTACTAGGAGACGCGGTGAGCTTCCAGTGTCGCGCCGGCTGAAGGCGAGGGGGAGTGTTTATTTCTCACTTTCGCATATAGTCTGGAGCCGTCCTCCTATAGTATTACAGCCTCAGTCAGTAAAGCAGCATCGAGGGAAGGATTGGGTTGTAGAGAGGAGGGGCGGGATGCTCCAAGATGATGGGATCGTCAAGACATAAGCGGAACAGGACGAGGCAACACAGGCGTAAACTTACAACCGACAGGATGAGGATGGCATTGACAGAGTAGAGCGACATTCCAGGAGCCATCTTGACTGTTTGCGACGCCGGGCGCGGTGTTGACGAGGAATTATGAAGCGAGTCGCAAGTGAGGCTACTGAGAGCACACGGTAGACTAGACAGCTCCCCCGTGTCCAAGTTCAATGCTCCGTGTCAAGACCGATTGACCGGCCGGCTCGTTGTGGCGGTGCAACCCCCCGTTTGGTGTGTGGCTTGACTGATAACGGAGCAATCCGTAGTGCAAGCCGCTGTGGGCACTTGGAGCAGCTCCAGCCACAATTGTACAGGGCAAATGCGCCTAGATTCTCTGGGCCTGCGATGGGAGATTCTCAACGCCTAATCAATGAATGATGTGGAAAAAATATATTGGAATGAGAATACGATTGTTCATTCATCCATGCATTGTATAGTGATCGTTTGTAATGAGTATTTTCAGTCTAAAGACGTATCCTTCCGATTCTGGCAGTACGACAGGGGTCAAGTTCGACGGCCCAGGGAAGCCATTTAGATCCCTGTCGGTTTTTAATGGGCGACGCGAGCAAGTCGCGTCCCGCATGGAAGTCGCGTTGGACGCGCCACCCAAAGATTTGTACCAAAATTGGACTCTCTTGCTCTTGCTCTTGCTCCTTGGAGCCCCCCTCGTTGAGACACGCTTCCCCTCCATCATCACTTCATTTTGACTCTGTCATATTACGACGCTCCCCTTTGCACTGGCAATTACCTTTCTTCTTTCTTCCCATTCAGCCCAGGCCATCAACACTCACCTCCCCATCGCAATGTCGTCTCCAGCAAGGCGATCAACTCGCAGCTCGCAGGCGGGGACTCCTGCCCGCAACACGCGGAGCTCACAGGCTCGCAGCAGCCCGGCAGCCGCTTACTCTGATGCTGCGCCTGCTGACGAGGCCGAGACTCCTCGCCGGACGCGCGCATCACAACTTGCGTCCAGCCCAATGTTCTACGAGTCCTCTCCCGCCAATGCAGCGCCGTCCTCACCTCTGCGACAAATGAGCAATTCTCAGACCACCGACAATGGTCCTGCACCGAGCTCTCCATTACGCCAGCAGACTGAGTCTCAGACAGTCAATGATGGCGAGCGCACCCCACGAGCCAGCGGCATGCGCATTGGTGGTATGATTGCTTCTTGCTGCACTGCAAGCCTTGATTTACTGACACACGTGCAGACTCTTCGCCCGTTCGCTACGATCCTAGTTCAAGTCCTGGCCATCCCCAAACAGACTTCCGAAGTGAGAGCAGTGGTCTCTTCGTCGACTCTGCCAGAAGAGGTCCTCGATCAAGACGTGGCGATATTCACTCTGAGTACTCCAGCAGAACGCCCGTACCTCCCCGTCGCATCGTTCTCGGCTCCGATGGCCGCGTTGTGCAAGATGCACCAGTCTCAGACGCTGCTACCTTCTCCAACAACAACCCAGGCACATCAGACGCAGACGCTCTTGGTGGCCAGAGCCAGAGCCTCGTCTGGGGAACTACGATCGCCATCGATGACACTTTCAACGCCTTCAAGAACTTCCTTAGGAACTACAAAATCAAGTATCGTCTCATCAAGGAGAACCAGCCCGATGAGGTTGTCAACGCCCCAGAAAATCAAGCCAGATGCTACTGGGAGGCATTGGAGACGATGTTGGCCCTTGGGACGAGCAAGCTGTACTTGAATGTTCACGATCTCAAAGCTTATCCTGAGACCGAGAAGTTGTGGTATCAACTCCAGGCCTACCCACAAGAGTTGGTTCCCATCATGGATCAGTCAGTTCACGACATGATGATTGAGCTTGCCCGCATAGAGATGGCCAGGCAGAGGAGTCAGAATACTTCTGCACCCCAGGCGTCGCAGAGCTCCGAGCCCGCTATTCCCAGCTCGGACCGTCCTGAGGATGCCCCGACACCTCGTCCCACAGCTCAGAGGGAGGCAACTCTTGAGGACCAGGTCGCCGAGACTATTTATATGGTGCGCCCATATGGTTTGGATAAGACCACCAACCTTCGAGATCTGAACCCTTCAGATATGGACAGAATGATCCAGATCAAGGGCCTCGTCATTAGGACAACCCCCGTCATTCCAGACATGAAGGATGCATTCTTCAAGTGCAGCGTCTGCAACCATGGCCTGCTCGTTACGCTCGACCGCGGCAAGATACGAGAGCCTACTGAGTGCCCCCGACAACGCTGCGGCTCTAAGAATTCTATGCAAATTGTCCACAACCGCTGCAACTTTGCAGACAAGCAAGTCATCAAATTGCAAGAGACTCCGGATGCGGTGCCGGCAGGCCAGACCCCACACTCTGTGTCTGTATGCGTATACGATGATCTTGTGGATTTCTGCAAAGCTGGTGACCGGGTACAAATCACCGGTATTTTCAGGGTCAGCCCTGTTCGCATCAACCCGCGACAGAGGGCTATCAAGAGCATTTACAAGACCTATGTCGACGTCTTGCACGTTCAAAAGGTCGATCGCAAGCGGATGGGAGCTGATACAACGACTCTTGAGCTGGATGATGATGAAGAACTCCAAACTGATAACCCTTCCGGAATGGAGGAGGCGCGCAAGGTGACCCCAGAGGAAGAAGAGAAGATCAGAGAGACTGCCGCTCGTGATGACATCTATGACCTGCTGGCGCGGTCTCTTGCACCTTCAGTCTACGAAATGGATGATGTGAAGAAGGGAATCCTACTACAGCTATTCGGCGGCACCAACAAGAGCTTCGAAAAGGGCGGCAGTCCAAAGTACCGTGGCGACATCAACGTCCTGCTCTGTGGTGATCCATCTACTTCCAAGTCTCAGATCCTGTCGTACGTCCACCGCATTGCACCTCGTGGTGTATACACCAGCGGAAAGGGCTCATCTGCCGTTGGTCTCACCGCATATATCACGCGCGATCCCGAGACGCGATCCCTAGTGCTCGAGTCGGGTGCCCTCGTCTTGTCAGATGGCGGTGTCTGCTGCATTGACGAGTTCGACAAGATGTCTGAGTCTACCCGTTCCGTGCTGCACGAAGTCATGGAGCAGCAAACAGTGTCTGTTGCCAAGGCCGGTATTATTACCACTCTGAATGCCCGGACGAGCATTCTGGCATCAGCCAACCCGATCGGTAGTCGATACAACCCTGACTTGCCTGTGCCGCAAAATATTGATCTTCCTCCAACGTTATTGTCTCGTTTCGATCTGGTGTACTTGATCCTGGATCGGGTGGATGAGAAGAACGACAGACGTCTGGCAAAACACTTGATGTCTATGTACCTTGAGGACACGCCTCACTCTGCTCAGTCCAAGAACGATATTCTGGTGAGTTGCGGTATACACCCCTTCCCAAAGCTTATGACTAATTGTGGTAGCCTGTCGAATTCCTCACCTCGTACATCTCCTATGCTCGGGCCAACGTTCAGCCTACCATCACGCAGGCCGCGGGTGAAGAGCTCGTTGAGGCTTATATCGAGATGCGGAAGCTTGGTCAAGATGTACGCGCCGCTGAGAAGCGCATCACTGCAACCACTCGGCAGCTGGAGTCCATGATCCGGCTGGCGGAGGCGCACGCAAAAATGCGACTGTCGACCGAAGTCACCCGCGAGGATGTCCAAGAGGCCAACCGGCTTATCAAATCTGCCCTAAAGACAGCGGCGACTGATAGCCAAGGCCGTATCGATATGTCTCTTCTGACCGAAGGTACCAGTTCTGCGGACCGTCAAAGGAAGGAGGACATGAAGAACGCAGTGCTGCAGCTGCTGGACGAGATGACGGCCGGTGGCCAGACTGTGAAGTATGCTGAAGTCAGCAGAAAGCTGGGCGAAAATGCCGGCGTGCCTGTTGAGGCGAGCGATTTCGCGGAATGTGTGCGTGCTTTAGAGATGGATGGCTCAATAACGGTATCTGGCGATGGTGCGAGGAAGAGCATTAGGAGAGTTACAGCTGTTGTATAAAGCTGGCGGGCGGCCCGTCTAGATGTGTATTCCCTCTAACAATTGGCGTTTTGGATGTTTGGTTTGGTCATTTTCATACCTACTGCTGTAATCTGTGGCCGGGAACGCGATCAATGAGACGATGCCTAAATACAATTTCTGAACAGAGACTTTTGCCATCCTCATCCTATTGAGTCACCCACGCTTGATATTGAATTCGTTATGCTAGCTTTACACAACACCCACTTTACAGATTGTTCTTCAGAGCAGTCTAGAGACTTGAGAAATAGCACGTTCTATTTACGCGCCCCAAATCTACCTGGCATCTACGCAGACTTGCCCGAGGAGAACTTCAACTCGACTCCTCCAATGATGTACGCGGCGACAAAAGTGGCTATCATGCTGCCGAATATCACGAGAGGCTTGCGAATGCTGACCGCGAATGGAACGTCGTAGGAAACAATCAGCTCGCGGTCGCGCAAGTCATCCACCAGGTTGCGCGCCTTGATGACCAGTGCAGTCCGTCCGATGGTGTCGAGGAAAGTCTTGTGGATCTCGACATCGGCGGAGGAGATGGAGGAGTGGGGAACGGTGGTGTAGTAGTTGACGTTCCTGAGAATTTTAGTTAGAGATGGTCTCCACCTGGTCGGGAATGATGCATGACTTACTCAGCTCCCTCAGGCAGAATGACGCGGACCACGACGTTCTCATACGCGACGCCCTCGGCCTGCTTGGGGCCCTCGAGGAAGGGCACGTTGAGCACAAAGCCACCGCCAGTGGTCTTGCGCAGGAAGTTCTTCGCATCCGCGTTCCAGCCGATGGTGAAGGGGTACTTCCAGCCGCCGAAGATGGGGTAGCGAGGCTTGGTGACTAGCAGGGCCTCGCGCTTGCCAGATCGGAACCTGGACGTGGACACATTGCCAATGACATCGTAGTAGTACGGGTCGAGGCTGCCGGCTGGCAGCGGGAAGGTCAGCTCGTTCAGCGCATAGCTAGTCGGGTTGAAGTGTTGCGACTGCTGCCACTTGACTCGGTTGAAAAGGGAGGAGAGGTTTGCGCCGCGGTGGAACAGGGTGTATCGCTCCTCGAAGGCAACGTTGCCGCCCCAGTGGCTCACTTCGATGTCGCGCTCCAGGTTGGAGACGTGAGTGACTGGCTTGGTGAACTCGAATCGGACCTCGATGGGAAGCTCGGCACCGGCGGGAATGTTTTCGTATGGGCCATATGTCAGCTTGGAGCCCTGCTTCTGTGGGAACTCGGAGACGTCGCCGCTGCCAGGAAGCTTGGTGTAGTCGGGTACATTGGACGAGGGAAGCTTAATCTCCGTCTTCTGCTTCGACGTTGTGTAGGCGGACGGGACGTAGGCGGTAGACTGGTACCACAGGAATTGTTTGTCGTCCTGGCCAATGGAGGCCGGAAGAGGCCTGTAGGCGGAAGTGTAGTAGTAGGAGATGGAGAGGGTCTGCTCGGCGCCAGCCTTCAGGGGTTCGGGAAACTTGATACGGTAGTACTGGACAGTGCTTTGCAGACGGAGCAAGTCAGCGGCCTGTGATCCGTGTACGTGGGCATGGGGAAATATGATGTTCATTCTTACCTAGCCGGATCGAATTCGACAGCCTCAACCTGGAATGGACCAGAATCGGCATTCTTCTTGTCCTTCACCTCGAAACCTCCCACTCTAGACATCTGGTCTGGTGTGAAGGGCAGGAAGTACTCATCCTGGGGCTCCTTTGCGATGTTCTCGATCTTGGTGTTGATCACCTCCTTGGCGTAGTTCTTTTCCAGCTGGACAATATGTACAAGATTGGCATTTTTGAAGACCTGAGGAGGCTTGAAGGTGGCAGGCAGGGTGTCTTTGGAAGTTGTGGTGGTGGTCGATTTGGCACATGCCAGCGTCAGGCACGAAGCCAGAGCTGGGAGCAGTGCTGAGAACTTCATATTGGATGCGCAAACCGAGTGCTCATGTAGTGGAGCAACTCCGGAGACGAAGGAGAAAAGAAGGGAATGAGACGGCAGTGGTATCAATTGGTCATCGATCACGTTGTGTTTACTTGCTTCACCACCTTGGTTGACCACCTGGGTTGAAAGATTGACCCTGGATTCTGCGACGAAACCAAAGGACAGCTCGCCGTTGGAGCTCCCCCAAAAAGATTACGTTGCTGCTTGCTTGCTGCTGCACTGCTCCTGCCCCATGCCGCGTTGCTACGAGTGCCAAGCCGGGAGCTAACGTCGCCCGCACGTGATGATAAGCGGTGATAAGGACGCGTCCGGCAGGCAATAAACGGGTGCTGCAAGTGGTCCAAACGCGAGAAGCCAACTGAGAGAGTTGTGGGTGGTATGACATAGCTTTCCCTGCCGTCTATCTCTCCTGTCCTTGCCAAGGAGACAGAGCCGATCCGAGAGACAAGGTGGGGGGAGGGGCGAGGCTCTCTTCTCAATTCAGCGAGCAATTGAGGTGGGATGGTATGGCGGGGTTTTCCAAATTCAACAATCCAGACCACCATAAGTCCATTTACTGCGACGACTGGCTAGAGTCACACCACTTGGTCGTTGTCGTCCTGGCCTCCCACTGTCTCTTAGCTCGGAAGACGCTTTCGTCCATGCTACAGTGACCCCCAACAACCCGGGCAGCCCGGGCTTTCTGACCTTGTGATGCCGAGGGTCCTAGGTGAATGGTTGAGAATGCAATCCAGAAGGCTTCTGGGTGTGTTCAAGCACGCCCATGTGAGTTCGACTGCCGAAATATACATGATTTGCAAGGGGTTGCTTTCGCTAGATCTCCTGCCAGTACTACCTACTATGAGAACTGTACGGCGGGAACTTCCGGTGGTGGCAACCGTTCCCCTATACTACGGTAGGTACCTTAGAGAAGGTAGTCCGAGCTTACTGCAGCTGGGCTTGAATACCGGGGCTGCGGATTGGACCTTGTTGAAAGCTGAGTTTTCGTCCAACGCCTCGTTGGTGTTGGCATTCAGAGAGAACCCACGGTCCGTCGGGGCTGGGCGGGCCAAGCTCACCCTGGCCAGGTCGCCTGTGCCCGCCTGTTCGTTGGAGACAAGGGGCACACTGCAGGATTGTAGAAGATAGAAGCGAGGGGAACCTTCGGACATCGAAGCTTCGGGCATCTCGTGACTGTTGTGCGATGGACGTAAAAAGAAGACGGCTGACCTCACTCGAATTCATACGCATCTCCAAACATAGCTCGCCTCGAATGATAGTCTTCCTGGGTCTTAAAAGGCCCCATATTTCTGACATAGCCCATCAGAATCTGAGCCCAAGTCAGGGTTGCTCTCCCAGAGCTTGGAGGACCCACTCTGACCGCCTCCCTACCCAGGCCCTGACTGACTACTTGAAGCTGGCTGAGCTCCAAATCGAGTGGCCTGGTCTAACCTCGTCTTCTCGCCGCCCATAGACCTTAAACTATATTCCTTTGGACTCAACAACAGTACACTCTTTCGGTGCCAGCAGGTCTCTTCACACTTCAATCCAGATCATCGCCTCACGGCAATTCTTTTTGGATATCACTGTAGAACAAAAGCAGTCAATATGGTCGGATTGGGTCCCAAGAAGCCGCCATCCCGTAAGGGAACCGGTACGTCACACTCAATGCTTTCATTGCCGCCTTCCTTGAGCCTGCATGGGACATTACTCTGTTGTGGACTATTTCATGCTGGACTGTGATCCGTTGCATCCGTGAGACTGTTTGTGTGAGATGGATGAGACCAACGATGGGTACAACGGGCGAAACTAGGAGCAGCGAGATAGACCGTCAAGTGGCATGTCTGTTTTGCACCCAAGTGGGAAGGAGCAGATATTCCAGACGGAGGCCTTTCACGGCTTCCCTGCTCATTCTCATTAAGACAAAGACTTGAAGTCGTTGGCACGCCTGGCCCTGGAAAACAGAGTTCACCCCATACTCCTAGGATAGCCTCATGCCTCATTCACGAAGCCTCACATCCAAACCTCTAGCCAAGCCTGGCTCACAATCCTCAGATCAAAGCAACCGCCAGCTTGCCCAGATCATCGCTTTCCTTCCAGCCCTTGAAGCATTCATTTGCTCACCAGACATTCATTCATCCCGTGTATTGAATTTCTAGCACCAAAACCAAACCATCCCACGAGATTCACTCAGCAGCCAGCATCGTCATCAAAATGGCGCTTGACAGCCACATGCCATATCTTTGCCCCCATGACAAGGCCCTCTCTCCCAAAACCAAAACCATCCACTCCTTCCACCACCACAGACACTCTTCTGCAAGTTCGTTTGCGCTGTTTGGGATTTTCCTTCATTGTCCCACATACCACTTGCAACCATGAAAGCTGACCTTGCTCGCGATTTTCCCAACGCTACAGGCTCGATGATGGATGTCCCCAAGAGCCTCCTGGCAGAGATCAAGTCTCTGGAGGAGCAGCTGACGGTCAAAACCGACAAGCTGAAGGCCATCACTGATCACTTCGTGAAGGAGCTCGAGAAGGGTAAGTGAAAACCAAGGAGGCATCGTATGTGTTTGGATTTCTCTACTGACACGTTTGAGACAGGTCTGAGTGTCGAGGGCGGCAGCATTGTGAGCACGATTGCAGTTCCAACTTGGTGTGCCCCGTGATGAAAGTGACTAACAAAAGGACAGCCAATGAACCCTACCTGGGTTATGTCGTTCCCCGATGGCTATGAGACGGGCACTTATCTGGCGCTGGACATGGGTGGCACAAACCTGCGTGTCTGTGAGATCACTCTGACCGACCAGAAGTCTGAGTTCGACATCATTCAGTCCAAGTACCGTATGCCTGAGGAGCTGAAGACCGGTACATCTGAGGAGCTGTGGGAGTACATTGCGGATTGCCTGCAGCAGTTCATTGAGACCCACCACGGCGGTGTTAAGCTGGAGAAGAAGCTCCCTCTGGGTTTCACTTTCTCCTACCCCGCCACTCAGAACTACATCGATGAGGGCATTCTTCAGCGTTGGACCAAGGGATTCGACATTTCTGGCGTTGAGGGCAAGAACGTTGTGCCAATGTTGCAGAGCGCCCTTGAGGAGCGGGTGAGTTGACCTCTATTCTTTTCAGTCATATGGACTAACTAACACACGACAAAGGGGGTGCCTATCAAGCTCTCTGCTTTGATCAACGATACCACCGGAACCTTGATTGCCTCTGCCTATACCGATACTAAGATGAAGATTGGCTGCATCTTCGGTACTGGCTGCAACGCTGCTTACATGGAGGACTGCGGCTCCATTCCCAAGCTGGCTCACATGAACCTGCCTCCTGATGCCCCCATGGCCATCAACTGCGAGTGGGGTGCCTTCGACAACGAGCACGTTGTCCTTCCTCGCACCAAGTACGACATCATCATCGACAAGGACTCTCCCCGTCCTGGTCAACAGGCCTTTGAGAAGATGATTGCTGGTCTGTACCTGGGAGAGATCTTCCGCCTGATCATGGTTGATCTGCACGACAACCACGACTGCCACATTTTCGCTGGTCAGGACATTGCAAAGCTTCGCAAGGCTTACAGCCTGGACTCGTCTTTCCTTTCTACCGTTGAGGAGTACGTGCTGCTCATTCAGTCCCTTTGTTATCTACCCAATGTGCTGACAGCTATTCATAGTGACCCTTATGAGAACCTGCAGGAGACGTTTGACCTCTTCCTCGACAAATTGGACATTCGGCCCAACGCGCCAGAGCTCGAGCTTATCCGCAGAACAGCTGAGCTCATCGGCACCCGCGCCGCCCGCCTGTCTGCCTGCGGTGTCGCAGCCATCTGCAAGAAGAAGAGCTACCAATCCTGCCACGTCGGCGCTGACGGCTCCGTCTTCAACAAATACCCTCACTTCAAGGCGCGCGGCGCCGTGGCCCTCCGTGAGATCCTCGACTGGCCCGCCAAGGCCAATAAGAACGACGAGGACCCCGTTGAGATCCTGGCAGCCGAAGATGGTTCCGGTGTTGGCGCTGCGCTGATCGCGGCGCTGACCTTGAAGCGGGTCAACCAGGGCAACGTCGCTGGAGTCCTACGCCCGGAGAACTTCACTTAGACAGTTCTGCGTTTTGTACCGGCTTCTTTCCACCATTACTGATGCAATTTTTGGTATATCACTTGACACATGCCCCTGGACGGTCACAGCAAAGCTGAAGACGGTGGTCGTTGGAAATCTTCAACCTCGATTCCATAATTTGAGTGGAGCGAGAAACAGTTCCTCAGCCCAAAAAAGTGCAAGTCGGCAACCGATATTCTGAGATAGAGTCGCGTTAGAGCCACCGGCAAGATAAAAATAAAAAGTATTCTGGAAGAGCGATTGTGGAAACTTACTGTCCAATGTCCAATATCTCCTTTTGACACCCTCCCACTCGCCCTTGCCCGCCTCCTCCAACCCCTTCAAATCTACATCAATTTCATCCCACTCCACATCCATGCCTGCGTCGGTCATGTGCATCTCTACGACCTTAGTGTAGACATCGTAGCAGACCCTCCTGTCCGCGCCAAGCCCGTTGAAGAAGCCAAAGATACCGTTCTGGTCCAGAAGGCCGGGGATGTACTCGGTGAAGAACTTGCGAAGCTGGCTGTAGTCCTCCCCAAAGGTATCAAAATAGATAGCATCATAGACCTCGCCGTGCTCCAGCAACACGGGCACGACATCCTGCCACCGGCCCCTGTGTATCTTGTAGGCGCCCTCCGCTGGGCCGCTCGCCTCCCAAGCGGGGCCGAAGCTCGACTCGGGCGAGGACGTGTGCTCGAGGACCTCCTCGTGCGCCTCGATGATGTGGTGCCGCGCGGGCTTGGTCTCGGCGAACATGCTGTCGATGATGCCCATTCCGAAGCCGACGTTGAGGATCCTCTTCCCGGGCTGCTTCCCCGGCAGCAGGGCGTCGACACTCCTGCGCATGATGTCCGTCTCCCAGGCCATCATCACGCCGTTGCCGTCGTCGTCGACCAGCTTGCCGTCCGAGTACGTCAGCTTGGACCGCAGGTACTTCTCGCTCTTGACGTCGGCGTCGGCGCCGGGCTTGGGCGGCTCGAACTTGGGCTCCGCCGCGGCGGTCTCGACCAGCTCGGGCGCGTCGTCGCCGTCCTCGGGCGCGCCGGTCGGGCCGTCGTATTCGACCTCGACGTGCGCTGGCTCCTCCTCCTCTTCGCCTTCTGCTTCTGCCATTTCCTCGTCGTCCGCCTCTGACCCGGAGCTCAGCGCCTCGTACCCGTCGAGCAGCCCGAACAGCATCTCTGCGCGCACGCCGGCCTGGACGCACATCTCGTAGAGCTCCTTCTGGCCTAGTCGTAGCGCGACGCACCCGGGTGTCTCGTTGTGGTCGTCGACATCATTCCATATCCCGCCCCACAGGAGCAGCTCCTGCACTGTTGCCTTGGCCTTCTCGAGGTTCTCCTTGTCTGCTTCTGAGTCCGTCCCTGCTGCTGCTGCTGCGGGCCCGCATGACCGGATCGCGGCGTGTAGGGGCGTCTCGCCTGTCTTGGGGTCCTGGACAGAGGCTTTTCCTGGGGCGTCCAGGAGCTTCTTGATGGCGGGGGTGTCGTGCTGCCATGCGCGCAGGAGGATCTCGGAGGTCTCGATCGGGCTGTCGGGGGTTATGCGGGCGGATATGGACTCGTCGAAGGGCTCGGTGGCGGAGGAGGCCATGGTTGCGATGGGGTGCTCGAGACTGGGTCAGGATGATGAAAGTGATTTGGCCTAGTAGCTCAGAAAGACTTCTTTTCTCCTCCTTTCTCTGTTGCCTCAGTCTCGTGTCTCACAAATACGGGCACACAAGCACATAGGCACACGAGCAAGCACCACAAAGAGGTCTGGATCTGCACTCTACAGAGCTGCCCCTCCAACTTTTTTGCCCTCCGGCCGCCAGCCGCGGGCAATGGAGCCGATGCGGAAACCCGCGCTGCACAGGGACAGGGGAGCTTGTGCTCATTGGCCAATTGCAACAGTATTGGCCACAACGTGCCCAGACCAAGTGGGGGACGCCCCCGACCCAGCGTCACATGGCGGCGATTGCTTGGGTGCTGCTGCTGCTGCTTCTGGAGCTGGAGCCCGTAGGAGCCTCATCAGCCAACTCTCAACTGCGCCATCCTCCTGCTTAGGCTCTGCGCCGGCCATAAAGTTCGACTAAGCTTTGCTGAGGAGTTGTAGCTGGACGAGATTGTGCCATGCGAGATTCTATAACGTGAAGTTTATTATTGATTTACTACCTGAACGTTAGTTTGCTGTCTTGTTTTTCTATTCGCTTCCCTTCCCTCCAATTGCCTCGTCCTTTCTCTCTCTTTTCTCTTGTCTAGAGGTAAGACATGCCATTGAATTGCGATCGAGCAATCCACCCTTCAATCTATTGCACGTTGCTGGTTCACTTCCACCACCATTGTCTGGCGAAATCAATTGCAGACAGCTTCGCGCAACATCCCAATACCGTCATGCGCCCATGCTGATTATCCGCGATCTCAAGACAAGCAGAACCACCTGGCAGTCCCGCCGCCTCCACTCGACCTCGACCTACTCCAGACCCTTCAAGCGCATCCCGCCCGGAGTCATCGTCATGAAGTTCGGAGAGCAGCTGCGTTCCAGCGCCATCAAGGAGTATCAATGGTACTACATCGACTACGAGGGGCTCAAGGCCGACCTTAAGAAGTCAAGCGGCCCTGTCGTCGAACAAGCCGCCCAAGGCAGTGGTGCAAAGGGGGCCAGGAAGGGCAAAGGAAAGGCCAAGAGGCAGTGGACAGAGGATGACGAGAGTCGTTTCGTATACCGGCTCGAAGGGGAGCTGCAGAAGGTCTACCAGAAACAACAACTAAAGACTATTGAGATCCAACGTCGGATTCAGGCCAGCGAGCGCGACGTCAATGATATTGTCTCAAGGCTGAACGAGCGCCGGGCTGGCGAAGATGGCCCAACTGATGAGGAGTTTATGGTGCTCGAAGAGGACTTGAGCGACATTATCGCCGATGTCAACGACCTGGCCAAGTTCATCCAGCTAAATTATACCGGGTTCTACAAGATCATGAAGAAGCATGACAAGATTACCGGCTGGCACATACGACCCGTGTTCGAGGCGCGCATGAAGGCAAAGCCTTTCTACAAGGATAACCACGACGAGCTGTTGGTTGACCTGTCCAAGCTCTACGACCTCGTCCGCACCAAGGGCAATCCGATCAAAGGTGACAGCGCCGCTGGTGGCAGCCAGGCAAACTTCATCCGTAATACGACCAAGTACTGGGTGCATCCGGACAACGTCACCGAGGTGAAGCTGATTATCCTCAAGCACCTACCGGTCCTGGTCTTCAACGCTAACAAGGAGTTCCACCCGGATGATTCTGCTATTACCTCAATCTACTATGACAACCCAGATACCTGGGAACTGTATGAGGGCCGGCTCAAGAAGACTGAAGGAGCCGAGGCCATCCGTCTGCGATGGTATGGAGGCATGAGCACCGACAAAATCTACGTTGAGAGAAAGACTCACCGTGAGGATTGGACCGGCGAAAAGTCCGTCAAAGCCCGTTTTGAGGTACGCGAGAAGCAGGTCAACCCGTATATGAGGGGTGAAATGCTTCCAGCAGCTGTGATGGAGAAACAGCGGAAGACGGGCAAGAAACCGCAGTCAGCCTATGACGAGGATGAGAAATTGGCGCAGGAAGTGCAATGGGAAGTTCTGAAGAAGGGCTATGAACCCGTCTGCCGAAGCTTCTATCACCGGACCGCTTTCCAGCTTCCGGCCGACGCAAGAGTCCGTATCTCACTTGACACGGACTTGACCTTGGTCCGAGAAGACAACCTGGAAGGTCGAAAGAGGAGTGGCGACAACTGGCGTCGTATGGATATTGGCGTTGATTACCCCTTCTCCCAGCTGCCACCAGAAGACATCTGCCGGTTTCCTTATGCGGTGCTGGAGGTCAAGCTTCAAACACAGGCTGGCCAGCAGGCACCTGAATGGGTGCGTCAACTGGTGTCCAGTCACCTAGTGGAGGCTGTACCCAAGTTTTCCAAGTTCATCCACGGCTGCGCTACGCTGTTCCCGGATCGGATCAAGTTGCTCCCCTTCTGGTTGCCCCAGATGGACGTTGACATCCGCAAGCCTGCCACGCACAACTTCGGCATCCAGCGTGGTGGTCACTCCGGTACTACGGGCACGTCGGAGGATGAAGACGATGATTTCGACTCGGATGACGAGGAGGCAAGACCAGCTCCGCGGGGCCAGGAAAATAACAACAACGGCGGTACCACCAATGGGTTATCGCCGGAGACGGGCGCGCACGGAGCTGCGGTAGCACACAGATTACGTCAAGCGCAAGCGGATGGGTCCACGGATGTTGAAGATCAGACGCGACTTTTGCCCGCAAACGACGATGCGTATGAGCTCTACGAATCCGATGAGGAAGAGGAGGAACAAGACCGGTTGGAAGAGGCTAGGAGAGTAGGCGGTCTGACGTACGCGTCCACGTTGGTCCAGACAAAAGCGAAGGCGGCCGGTCGTGGCTTGTCCAAGCTAGGCGGCATTGTGAACAACATTAGATCTGGAAGCGAAATCCCGGTACACGAAAGGACCATCGCACTATACGGGACCACCCAAGTGCAGAACAAAAAGTTCGTTGCGCCTCCAGGGAAGAAGATCTATGTGCCCGTAAGGGTGGAGCCCAAGGTATACTTCGCGGCTGAAAGAACCTTCCTCAACTGGGTAAGTTTAAACACTCATGAAGTTTCTCGTGAAACACATCTCCATACATGTCCTAACGCCAAACAGCTCGAGTTCTCCATCTATATTGGAACCATCGCCACGACCCTTCTTAACTTCGGTAGCAAACCGACAAAGATTTCTTTTGTTGTCTCGGGCATCTTTACCCTTGTAGCTATTGCGGCCCTCCTATACTCGGTTGGGACATACATCTATCGAAGCCGGTCGATTCGTGCCCGTAAGGCGGCCAAGTTCTATGACTGGTGGGGGCCGTCGCTTCTGTGCTCAGCTCTCGTGGTTGGTGTCATCGCGAATTTCGCCTTCGAGGGATATGAACGGAATTGGTGGTAATTTTTGCATTCCTACGGCGCGGCTCAAGTCATTTCCTGCTGCGATACTGCATTTTCTTGGATCGGGTTTCCTTCTGGGTGTTCGCCAACTGGGCTGAGCGGCAAATAGTGTGCTTTCAATCAGTATTATAAATTAAGAGGTCAGGTAGATAGTATGAAGCCACTATATTCACTCACATCACGCCTCCCATTCTTACATGCTCAATCTAATCCAACTAACTACAATCCAATCTTTAATATTTCTTCAACCGCCTCATCTACGCCCTTGGCGATGACAGTCGGCCGTGCTCGTCGCTTGCGAACATCGTCCCCGACCCCGAAGATCGCCTCGCCAAGCCGGTCAACCCAGCCAGTCCCAGCGCGGTCGATCCACGCACTCCTCAGCCCAACGCTCCGAGCCCCAGCTACATCGAACGGGTTCGCACTAACGAGCCACACTATCGCGTCGTTGTCCTCGTCGGCCTCCGCCTGCAGGTGGCTGTAGCCCTGAGCGGTAGGTTTATAAGTCCGCACCTCATCAACGGTGATGAGCTTCTTGAACAGCCCCCCGCCCCCGCCGCTCACGAACGGCTTCAGGTCAGGCGACGCGCCGACCGAAGTGCTCAGCATCTTCTCGGTGCCGTTGCTGAAGATCACGGCCTCAACAGGCACCCCGTAGCGCTGCTTCTGCACCGCCTTGAGCCCCGCCGGCACGTCCGGGAACACAGCCAGGGCGTCATATGCGCTCATGAGCTTGTCGGCTGTTTCCTCCGAGACGTCGATGCCTTCCTGCTCGGCGGCGGCGTGCCGCAGGGCCGCGCGCGTAATCTTGTCGAAGGGCTTGTACGTGCCCATGGCGCTGATGCGCCATGTGTACTCGAGCTGGTACTGGCGCCATTTCGCTGCGACGGCCTGGGCTTTTTGCTTGCTGATGTTGAGGTGGGATGCCAGATCCTTGGCGATGGACTCGGTAGATAGGATGGTGCCGTACAGATCGAAGGCGATCACGATTTTGGACTTTTTGGATGGCATTTTCGGGCTGGGATGTTTTCTCTCGTGTACGTGTGAGTAATGAAGGGTCAGTGGTTCCTAGGATGAGGTTGGTCACTAGATTTGTCGCTGGCGTGAGAATGAAGGAGGTCGATGTAAGTACCGGAATGGGATAGTCGGGAGACCAGGCGTCACCAATCACGGTGACGCAATGTGGGGAAGGCGAGTGATTGGTGGTGTCTGGTACTGTGTTAGTTTGAGTGCTACCTTGGACTGGCTGCCTGGATGGTTTCCTGTCCGTAACGTGTTGCATGTGCTAGATGCATCTGATATGGACAGAAACCTCATTACTGAACAACGGAGCCCCTTTACAGAAATTTTTGTGACTATCCTCGAAGCTCGTATTGTTAGGTGAAGTCTGAACGTCACACTCATCCAAGAAGGGGATAGATAAGACGGCTCAGCCCATGGAGAGACTCCCTCACGCTTGGCCACGCACATCCTTTTCTCCGTCCGACTCGGACCGCCCTTTCTAATTGCATAGAGTATACTATCTAGAAAGACATTTTTTCTCAATCACTACCTCTTCTCACCATTTTTACTACTCCAGTATGAGCACCAGATCTTCCTATAACGAGGCAACAATCATTTCTCTTATGAAAGAATACTATTCCCAACTCATTTCACTTTCCTACCTCCATGTCTCCCAAATCATCAATCCACCGCCCTCCAATCATATAATCAACGAGTCGCTATGCAGCCAGCTCGGTCTCGACGCTGCGGTGATCTCGCTGATGAAGAAATTACCATATATCGATGGACCATACTCCGACGGAGTTCTTGACGAGCATGCCTCTGCGTACGGGTGCATGCTCTTCCCCGGGTCTATGGCGTATTCATTCTTGCGAGACCAAGACATTGTAGAGAGCCGGGATCCAGAGGCTGATGGAACGGAGGGAGTGAGGTTGAAATATTTACTCAGCCATGATGTTGCATTGACGCACAACCTCAGAGATGGCATGGCTTTAGTGCTGGATACAAAAGCCAGTATGACTTCAAAATTTCCTGATTTAGACCGGGCAAGGAGGAGCTAATACATCTTGACAGATACTGTGAGAGTGCTGGGCAATAGCAACAGTCCGGAAGTTATCAACCCTGAAGGAACTCCACTCAAAAGACCTGAAGAACCTATGCATTACCGGAATTATTGCGCGCAAGATGCAACATCTTACTTCGAGGGCTTGATTACTAAGATCCGTTCCTTGGACTTGATTCCCTATGGAGGCGACGATTTCTCGAGAAACTTCTATGGCGACGCGTATCCTGAGGTCGTAAGTACTTACAGAATTGATTGTGATGCTCAGACCGTCTGAAGGCTGACCCATCGTTGCAGCGTGACCAGATTAAGAAGATACTTATAGAGGAGTACGGATGGGACTCAGAGAACTTCAGACAAGAAGATTGGGCAACAGACGCCGACGGAGTCTGGAAGAACATTCTTTCAAATTACTACGGCTGAGACTGTGAACAATCAGATCGAAACTAAGTGCTGCTTTCTGTGTTATTCTCTGATAACACAAAATTAAGACAAATATGAATAATTCTGGAGCACTTTAAGGATATTCAGTTGATTATCAGAATTTTATTGTTATCACTTATCGTAGGATTTTGAAAACATTCGTTTGGTTGTAATGATGTTCATTATAACGATATAATGTAGGAAAACAAAATGATTGGCCTGGTGGTGGATTGTTTGAGCATTACCTTGAACTGGCTGCTTGGATAGTCTTCTCTCTTTAAGATCTTGAATCCGGCTTCATTCATCAGCTGTCTGTTGACAGTAGCCTCGTTCCTGGACATACCAAGAGAATGGCGGCTTCAGTCATCAAGATTCATCCGAATTGGGACCTCATCAAGTCACCAAGACGGCGTAATCACTCCCTGAGTTCCGAACGTGCAGCCAACGCACATGACATGTGGCCAATGGCGCATCACTCGCGTGCCCCAGAACAGAGGCCTAGGGCGACTTTGCTATAAAAGTCTCGTTTGTTTTCGAGCCAGAAGAATCCCCAACCTTGTTCAATCGAAGTAAAACTTCAACTGTTTTGTTTCTCAAGCAGACCAAGATGGCAAAAGACGGTCGAAGCATTTCACCAGGGCTGGACACAAATGTACTCGCCGGTACGACATGATTGAAAGAAAGCATCAAATTTTGCAGAATGCTAATACCTACAATGCCATAGCTCTCCCTGTTGGCGGCGAAGTGGTTTCAGTGACTCCATCAGGGTTGAGTGACTTTTGCGAAACATACAGAATTGAGGTCGCCCTGCCTGGCCAAATCACTTCTGTCTTCTTTCAGAAAGTTCGTTCTCAGCCAAGAATTACAAAACTACAACCCTCTTTTATTCGGTGGCTGACATTAGATGACAGGTGTCAAAGGGTCGAGCTGGACTCGATCTGATACGTGCTGTTTGGGCATCCGAGACGGCAATAAATGGTGTCATTCCCGAGTTCACACCTCATCCACTGAGCATCGGAGCATACAAGTCCGACTCGAACACCCATTTCTTCCTCGCTGACTTCATAGACATGGTGGAAGATGTCATCCCAGAGCCTGAAAAGTACATGGCACCGGTGGTGGCCTTGCATTCTCGCACTATGGGCAGGTCACCTAATGGCAGATTTGGATTCCATACCAGCACAGCGTACGGGGACTTGTTGCAAGACAACACGTGGGAGACGTCTTGGGAAGCATTCTGGGCTAGAATCATGAGGCAGGCCTTTGAGACAGAGGAGCAGATCTGTGGTCCTCATGATGAGAGGCTTAGAACGCTCAAGGCGGCCTGGTTTGACTCTGTGCTTCCTCGTTATCTGCATCCGTTGGAATCGGATGGTAGATCGGTGACGCCCTGCCTTGTGCATGCAGATTTGTGGCCTGGGAACTGCAAATATACACTAGACAGGGACTCTGTGTGCGTGTATGATGCCAATGCATTTTGGGGTCATAACGAGGGTACGTCATTCATACTGCTTCTCAATATGCTCGTCATTACCAAAGTGCTCAGCTGATTTGAAAGCTCTAGTTGATCTAGGTCTTTTTCGAAATCCACGTTATCAGCTGGGAGAGTCATACTTGACAGAGTACTGGAAACATGTTCCGGTTTCTGAACCACGAGAAGATGCCAAGGATCGAAATAACGTTTACATGGTCCGAAACCAGGTCCTTCTTTCTGCGTTGTTCCCTGATGATACAGAACTAAGAGAAATGTGAGCAATATCTGGAAAGTCCTGAGAAGAATGCCTTGCTAAATCTTCAAGCTTCGTGAACAATATGCACTGCATAGTTGGGAGGCTCAGAAGGGAAGAGCAGACCAGGTCTTTTTCTTCGGAATAGTACCGAGGAATAGACAGACTTTTAGATCATAATGAGTAATCGGTTGGTTTCATAGCCCAAAGCAGTGCGAATTGGCTCAATACTCAGCGAGACTATCGGCATTGCTGGGATTCTGGTGTCGTAGAGTGTGCAAAACGTCCATTGGTCACCCGAAAAGGCGTCCGAGAAATGTCTTGACTCAAGCTTCCTTCTTCACAGTGACCTCAAGCAATTCCAATGTGTCTTTCCGATTCATCCATACGTCTTCAGCTTTTCTTAGTGCGTCTTCCACTGCCACCAATATTTCCTCCTCATCCTCTAACCCTACGCTGAAGCGAAATTGCTCCGGCCTGGCGCCATACTAGGCTTTTTGTCAGTCATATGTCCATGTATCCAGCAACTACGGATTGCCTTCAGAGCCGGCCATAGAAGTTCTTGGTATTCGTGGCTTGAAGGAATCTGCCCTCAAATATGTGTCAAACCTGGGGAAATTGGCTCATCGAGAACACTTACGCTGGCATGATGCTTGGCCTCCTCCAGAGTCCGCCCGTTCATAACAGCGTTGAACGGAAGGGCTAAAGTGAGGTGGGCGCCGATGTGCGGACCGCAGTGCAGCTGGACGTTGTCGTAGAAAGTCTGAGCGGTGACGAGGTCTTCGAACTCCACAGAAAGTAGGCATCCGTAGCCTGGAGTGAAGTCAGGCGTGATTTTGCGCATGAATGCCTCATAGTTACCACGTGTTTCGCTCGTAGTCGGGTATAAAACCCGCCTGACGGAGGAGGCCGGCTTTGCAGCCTGCGCGGCAAAGTAATTCGCCACCGCAGCGGCGTTGCGGTTCAAGATCGTAGAGCGCGACAAGTAGTCACTGCTATTTTTCAGTAGAACTTCTGCGTCGGCGGCGAAGAATTCGTTATGAAATGCGCTGGTCATGGTCTGCTTGATGGCCGTGTAGAAGGGAGACAGCGGATTGAGCACGACGCTGCCGGCCATTACATCTGCATAGCCGCTGAAGGACTTTGTGCAGGATGTCGTCAGGAAGTCTGTCATGGATGTTACATCGATATTGCAGAAGGAGCCGACTGTATCGTCTATCACGATCGGGAAGTTGTACTTGTCGGCAATCTGGCGCAGGCGCTTGAGGTCGATGCTCACTAGAATGGGGTTGCTTGGAAATTCAAGAAAGGTGTAGCTGATCGTTTTCCCTTGTTTGTCATAAGCCTCGAGGTACTCCTCGACCTTGTCCATGACACCGCTGCCAGCGTCACCAACGTGTTTTATGCCTCCAGGAGTCTCATCGAATAGGCGCCAGGTGGATTGGAATACCGACCCGAGTACTAGGATCGTGCCAGGATCCCGCATGAGGAGTGCCTCGTTCAGCCTGTAAATGGCGGCCATCCCGGTTTGGTAGAAATAGACGTCGTCCGGCTTGATCTTCACCTTGTCTGCGTCTAGCGGCGCTCTGTGCAGTAAGTCGCTGATGCGCTTTCGTAACTGCCCGTGTGCTTCTGACTGTAGATAATATGTCGGGGTTGGAATATCAGTGAGATCACCTGACCATTCCACGACCATGAATTCTGTATCCATGTACTTGAGCAATTCCTCGGCTGGGCGAGTAAGGATGCCTATCCCAGTGTTCTGCCAAACGCCAATGATAGCTTTGGCCTTGGTCATGGGATAGATGACACAGTACAGCCTGATGCCGTGTATCTCCACTGTCTTGAACGAAAGGTCCCCCTCGCAGAGCACATGTTCCTTCCTTTGCGGCGAAAGAGAATACTCCTTGTGCACGACAAACGCCATCGGGTCTGTATACATGAGGACTCCCATTGTCTCAGGCAAGATGAGCTTCTGGGCTATGGCAACGGAGAGCTGGCGGATCGGTCCGAAGGGAGACAAGCGTGGATACATGGACTTCAGCCTCGCAAGCATGGCCATGCCACCGTCACGGAACCTCATCGCCGTATCCCAGCCGGGTAGGTGGAAGGTGATGGTGTGGGGTCCTTCGGGTGGCAGAGAGTGCCCCAATTCAGTGGTGATGGCCTTGACAGCCATACTTCAGGTGTCTAGATTTGTCAATTAGACTCTCACGATGCAAAGAGGCTTTGCGGATGTTATTATCAATGGTCTTGAGGCTCGCAGAATATTTTACACCCCTGATACTCCGCTAGAAGCTCTGCGACGAGGTGGACTTGGCGATATCTTTGAACCTTATCAGCTCAGTAGGCCAAACTTACGAAAATTAAGCTCCGAATACATGCATGCCATCCCTTGCTGGTATATTCCGCCTACATTGGCGTGCATGCCGTTGAGTGTGTGAGCGAACAAAGACGGAAAAGAATTGTTTCCGAGGGGCTCAGCTTAACGTACGTGCAGTCTACCATGAGTACGCCAGCTCAAATATTCGCTTGCTTGGCTGCTCGACTAGTTGTGACGGCCCCGGCCATGGATTATCGTCGTCCTCCCGAAGCTATATTCTCAGTTGTTCAGCCATCAAGTGCCACAGTCCCAGATGGGACCAGTCAGGACGCTGACTCCCGAGTAACCGCGAAACCAAAATTCCGAAACAGTGATGGTGCTAAAAGAAGTACACTATATCCTGTCGTTCCTGTGTTGGATTCAACAACGCGCAGCCGGGAGCTAAAGGACAATCCCGAATGGCCCAAGCGGACGTGCGCCACGAATCTGAATTCTTCAGCATGCTCGCGCTCAAGAGCCAAGCCATGTGACCATTTCTGTTGCACCACGAAGCCGGATTACTCTTCGCTATGTTCGGGGCTAACAGAGGATGTACTCTGAGTTTGCGCCCTCTTTCCAGCGGCCTGGGTAGCTACATCACGGAATGATATGCATATACGTAATAAGTAAGATCATCGGTGTAAGGAGCTAAATGTAATTTCCGAACTCAATAGTGCAGTCATTGACACTCGTAACTATCGTCACATTTGACGCGGATCTGGTTCTACTTCACCATGCAAACGTTGAGGTAGTCAATGAAGACGTAAGTTACCATGATAGGGTGACCTAGGCTTATCAGGAACACCCCGGGAGACAAGTAAGAATCGGGTCAACACGTGGAATTGGAAATCCTATCTCATGAACATTGCCAATGTCAGGAGCTTCGATGGTCTCGCCGTAAAGGAGATCTGGACCAACCAGTTCCAGTACTATCATTTCCACCCCTTCATCTGCACACCGTCCCTAACGGCGACCTGGTCACTTCCATCTAATCACTTGCAGCTGAGCACCGAGAATTTAGGACTGAAGCTGGACTCAGGGCCAAAACTCAAGCCCGAGGGGTGAGAATCCTGATATCAGCCATTGCTCTTGCTTCGCGCTGGCCCTTGTCAGGCTTCTTCCTCCCTGTCCGTATGAGTTGGACGAATGACAGCAACGGCAAAGCATCACCACGACTACGTCGACCCCCGCCTTCAGCCTCTTTTGTAGCCATGGCGGTCGATATGCGAAGGATCCGACCATGGTTGAGTGGTGCGAACTCGTCACGCCGTATTCGATCCTCTACCTGGACAGGGCGGACCTAGCCTACACGTCGATGCGGGGCAGCAGGCTTCTAACAGTAATGATCAAGCACTCACCATGGACCTACATCTAATATCCATTTCTTAGGTCAAACCTATAATTACAAGGAGCGCGGACTCTGACGCGTTCCGAGTGTTTCCTCACATTGCCAAGCGTCTCTACTCAGACGAAATTAGGTCCTTGAACACTACGTGCTGAATAGAGGCATCGTGGCAGGTCACTATCTAGCAGAGACTGCTTATCACACAGATATATTCGACGCGATTGGCAGTGTTTACAGGCAAATCATAGGAAGTTACGGAACGAAGGGTGACGGTTTATTGCCCCAATTCAGGCTGATATTCCCAAGACACATATCAACAATCGGACCGATTTTCGCGTCATACCCAAGAATACGTCATCGGAAAGATCAGATTACTCTCATAAATCTATTGGCAGATGCAAGAGATGGTCGTACAGCTTTATACGTGGCGATCAAGGCAGGCTTCGATGAGACTTAGATATGTGGTGTATGATCTCTTCAAATTTAGGCTGTTGTGGTATATGCCCAGGGCTTGTTTCGTGGTAATTACCACCTGCCGCATTCGCCATCTCAAACATTAGTGAAGAATCTGTTCCGCAACCTATCAGCAACACCAGTAATATTCGGCTCTTTTTGCTGCTGCGAAAGCGAATCTGCTACACTGCTGCCAAGGTGCGATTTTCCAAAAATTCTTGACTCCGTCTGTACCCATCTGCCGGGTCCGCGTGGGACATGAGACGCCACGGTTTCACCCCCTACTGACATGCGCGTGATGAACCACCAATCCCAGGCGTTAATCTTGGATAATAAACCTGACAAGGTTTAGCTCTTAGATATTAGACTGATTTTCACAGGCAGGCAGCCGAAGCTTGGGTGGATAAAGAGACGATAGGCAGGCAACCCACATGCATTATGCACTCCCGAGATTCCTGAACAGCCGTCAGCGAGATGGTGGGGGCAGTAGGAGACGCAAACCTGTTGCATGTGTTAGGACGATCACTTTTCGAAATTGACTCACAACCCTGGGCTTCGATCCTCAGATGGCAGACCTCATTCGGGTAAGCATGCCGAACATGGCATGCAGCTTAGTTGTTACTGAGCTTTTGAGCTGCCTCGGCCCACGTACTGGGCGAAATGTGTAGCAAAAGTGGCTTTACTGTTGTCCTCGTCGTGATTACAACTTCAGGTCGCATTGGAACGCCCCTCTTTTACGTCCCTGGCCCGCGGTGCCATTTCGTCGATGGGATCACAGGCACCATGGGCTGGTTATTCAAATGGATGGTGCAAGGGGATGGCCGACGACCTCGCCTGACCTCGAACGAACCCCACGAGAAATCACCGTTGCTTGACCTTCGAGACAGTAGGGGGAATCAAAGGGGTAATGGCAATTTTAGAAACAGGCCCAACGGCGGCAGAAGAGGTGATAAAGCCAACGAGCAAGGTGGTGACGGGGGCGATGGCGATGGAGGCAAAAATAACAACAATGATAATGGAAACAAAGACAGTACGTTTAATCAGAATCTACACAACGTAGCTTTCGATGTGCGTCTTCTAATATTATCAGATAATTATAAAGACAACGGCAAGAAGAAATCGTCAGACTCTTCGAAATCAACGCAGCCACCTTCTTCGTTCACTACGACTGTAGTCTCTGTTCCGCCTCCAACAACAATTACAATATCTTCAGCACTCACCTCCGTTGTCACAACGACAGAGATTTCAACAACGACACCAATACAAACGACAGGCAGTACTTCTCCCACAAGTTTTACTATCTCCACTACAGCCCCCATCCCAACGTCCTCCTCCTCGACCTCCATGGTAGACTCCTCGTCCACACCCCAGATACCAACGGTAACAACTTCAACTACCGCATCGACTGCAACTTCTCAACCGAGCAGTACGGCATTGCCCGTCGCAGGCCTCTCCACTGGGGCCAAAGCTGGCATAGCAAGTGGGTTTCATAACCATGCGCAGTCCCGTTGACCAATCCCATATTGACCTCTTACGTAGTTGCAGCTCTTTCTACGTTTGCTCTGATCCTCGGGGGCCTCTACCTCTACTGGCGGCGCACACCACCAAAGGTTCGGAGCCGTTCGGTCTTTTCCACGGGGAGGCCCACTAGTATGAGATCGTCAACATCCAACACGCAAGACTCCCTGACCCAAGGAGCCGCCGATATGGCCCAAACAGGGAGCGGCACCGCGCAAAGGAACGGAGGGGAGCCAGTCGACACTTCGTCATGGCGGACCTGGCACCCCTGGCGTCCACGATCGACACAGTCCGATGTAGCAGCTGCGGTGGCAGATCTCCTGGAGCCACCTGCTCCAGAATTTCTGAAAGTCCCCCAGGAAGCGCGGACTACTCAGGCCACCTGGGAGACCAGCTCGGAACCTGAATCATCGGCAGCTGACCGATTATCCGCGCCCGGGCTGGCTACGTACCTGTCACCAGCACCCGGGCGTCCAAGGCGTATACCAGAGGCCGCTGGTTCGGCACGTGTTTGAACCATGAAATGATGATGGATACTGGCGGCAACCAACAATATAGTTGGACGAGCCAGCATGTACATACCACAGTGGAAGCCGGCAGCACATTTGTGACTGCAACGGTCTAGTCATATCTAATTGTCAATTCACTTTAGCACACAGCCCAATCCAAGAGTAACTAAAGAGCAGTGCTCACTACAGCCCGGATTCCACTTTTACCCACCAGTCACCACATTTAGTCGCCCCATCCAGAGATAAAAGACTCATCCAATAGCCTGATGCACTTTTATCACATGTTACTGTTAAAAGCCAATGCCTCCTCCAGATGCTCCGGACATGAATGATCACGTATGAACCCAATATGTGGACTCCTGCTGTACTGACGTTGTGTGCAACAAGTCGCATGCCCACTTCGACCAAAAGTGGAAGTCGCTCGTCAATTTGTCAGCGACTTCTCTCGTGGACGCATGTGGCTTTCGAATTGGTCAATGAGTCCTGAAATGGTATGAGAACTATCCAGTACGCCGCACATCAATCAAGCTGGTACAAAACGACACCGCAGTGGATTTTCCACTGAAACATGACGAGACCAGTGATGATTCATTAGATATATCCTGATCCTGGATCAAAAATAGGTTGCGACTTGTTGGGCAAGATGCTGATGCTAATAGTCGTGGCTAGTGCGTGTGGGAATTTTGGCCACGTCTTAGGTCAAATTGGCTCATGTGGGCTGGCATTGGTTGAAGCTTACTTATGATCCGTAAAGTTGATTTTTCAGGAAAATTGTAAATGAAATAAAAGCACCACAGAGGAACGCAAGGACTTACGGCGGCTAAAGTGACTGTTAATTGAATTTGACAGGAGTCTTAGAGATCTGGGACACTATCACTCTTACCATCGTCGTCATCATTGCATTATGTTCACTAAAGATGCAAAAGAACTTCACACGGGGTCACTGTACTTTCTATACCATGGCTAATGAACTGGTAGTGCAATGAGCAACCGAGTGAACGTGGGAGTGTGCTCAAAACCGTTTTCCGTATGCGAGACACACCTGCTCAAACGCCTGAGGGTGAATGGACATACAAATGAAGCATTCGTTGCTCAGATCAGATGCTGATGCAACAAAGGTGAATAGAGGTCGGCCACGTAACTTTTATTAAACCACCAAACCTCAGGGCTCCTCGCTTCCTCCACCTTTAGAAATTCCACCTCTGACGAAAACAATTCTCTGCCTGACTGCCAGTCAAGAACCAAGCAACCCTCACTGTCAACCAAAAGCTCTTCATCATGAGGACCATCAGCATGATCTTCACTGTCCTGATGGGCATCTCTCTCTGCCTGGCTGTAAGTTTGCGTCGCTACAGGGTCCATCACTGGGTGGACGTCACCAAGCATTGGCATTAACTTGAGGCATTGGCAGACTACTGCTGGCAACGTCATCCAAGGTCTCACAGCCAACTACACTACTGAGGAGCTCCAGTGGGACGTTCCAGTCAGCTCTGGCCGCAATGACACCGTCACTGGCACGATCCAGGACGTAGTTCGTCACCTCCAGGCTGTTGCTCCTGAGCGCCTGGCAGCCCTCAACATATCGACCGCCGAGCCCATCGACGTCTCTAGCCTCTTCAATGTGCCCGCGATCAAGACTGCCAAGCCAAGCAAAGTCCTATGTAACATCTTCGATGATGAAGCCAATGGGATCACGATCGCTCAAGGCATGTATTACTTGAGAGGCATTGTCGGTTCCCCCAAGAACGGACCTGGTCCGGTATGTCTAATCTCCTCTGAAGATCCTGACTCTTGCTGAAATGGAATGTCATTTGCTAACTCGAACCAAGGGCGCCTGCGGCCAGGTTAGCTGCTCCTACAATTCGGCCATCTGGTGGTGCAACGATGTGAGTCTTTATGGGCCCCCAAAGAAAGCCCTGGTTCATGTCAGTCTCATCTTGCAGGTCCAGCTGACATATCTCGTCTGACAGAATCCTTTCACCCTCGTCTTGAATAGCTATGGCATGATTGCCGATGGCGTCCAGGAACAATTCAAGCCCTGCCTCTCCCACGCGGGCTGGGACTTCAGTGGACAGACGTTCTACGATGACGGTTGGAACGTGATGGTGAGAGGGGGAAGCTGTTAGGTGGAATTTTGAAATACGGAGGTAGTGATGCAGCTGACAGTTCCTTTCACTTCCGTTCGTATGGTTCATGGGAGGTACTGGATGAGAACTGCAGGGTAGCATTCGTCGTCTCGTAAACCTTGAGAAAATCCAGCCTGCGGTCCTCAACTTTACAAGGCTAGGATTTCTCGGACTAAATTCAGCGGAGTCTCATCCTCATAATCTCACCGCAATGACCGTTCTTAAATGGTAGCTGCCGTGACGAAAAAGGCACGGTTGTTAAGCTGACTTTTTCGGTCCAGCGTTCCAGAAGAAAAAAGATTGACAAACTAATATCCTACAACTCATCCGGAGCCCCGTTCGGAACAGCTACGAAGCCAGCAATATGCTGCCAAAAGAAACCCTCACCACCACGATCATCATCTCCCAGGTCCCGTACATGTCGGCTATTCTTGCCCACAGGAAAGGCGCGTCTGCCTATGTCAATATTTGTCCGCCAACCGGCAGCCCGGGTTGCTTCGTCTACCAAGCGTAGAAGGGCCAGATCGGTCCCTGTAGCGTTCGTTAGCACCCAGAGAATTGCATTCCTGCAATCAAAAGCTAGAACCCCGATAGTGTGACATACCTCTGGCGCCCATCAACGAAATACTGATGGGCTTATACTCTGTCGATTCACTCACGCGGGACTTGTAAGGATTCTGTGCAACTGTGGAAAGGGATTTTCAGCTATCCATACTACCCTTTGTTCAAACTTGGGTGACTAGACTCACATGATACAACTATTTGAGGAGTCCCGAGAACTGGCGATAGGAGTCTCATGTCAATGCCCTCCATGGCCTCGGGCTCACTGGACCAGGATTAGCGCCTAGTATCTAGTCAATCTGTAGAGGACCTTTGGCCGCAATTAGCCCATTAAATTCCAACTTACCCTGGGGCCTCGTCCCGATACTTGTGCTCGGCGATTCCGGATGGCAGTATTACGACAGACCCACTGCTCGAGGACATGGCCGTCTTGTCAAACCATGTTCTAAACGTCTCGAGCCGAGTAAGATATTCCTCATAATCGTCGTTTGTAACACTTTTACCGAGATTCCTATCACACAGATTCAGCTTAATTACCGTAGAAACATGCTAAACCCAGGCAGAAGTGATGCATACCATCGGAAGTGGGGAGAAGCCTCAACAAAGGGCTCGCGGCTAAAGACATCGTCATAATCGGACCTGAATTCGTCGAAGCGATGGTAATAATCATGGCACAAGGACCAGAATGGCGCCTGTGACCAGGTCAGTGGGGCTCTACCGACTGCGCCAAATTCACGGCTCGGATGGGACTTGCCTTCTTCAAGTAATGCTGCAATGGCTCATTTGCTGCCGAGGAGTCGGAAGGGGGCTTTTCATTCCATATTTCAGCGAAATTCACTTCGATTCTTCTGACGTCCAGATGGGTTTCCAAATTCTGCACAAATTGCTCGACAAGCTTTTGTTGCTTCGGATCAGAGAGAGGAAAATAGTCAGTTGGATAGATAATTCGACGAAGCCGTGTCACGCTTTCATCCGAAATAGCAAGGCTGTGCTTGGCTACAGAGACGAGGTCGTCTAGACGACGCCCAAAAAGGCCGACGGTATCATATCTCCTGATGTGACGCCTAGTCAGTTATGTTATTTGTTGGATGACCATGAAGACATGCTCACTCTGAACTAATCTTCACACCCTCTAGAGACGCCCAATCGAACGTTGGCCGAATCGCATGCAGTCCGTGGTCCGCTGCTGGATCTCGGACACCCCCGTCAGCTAGATAAGTCACGCAGATGGTCAGTGAGACATGAACGAAGCTGACACATGAGTGCAAGGCCCTTACCATCAAACCCAACAGCAAAGTCGAGCCACCGATAGCCGGCAAGAGATGACGCCGCCCCTGCGGAACTACCAGATACCTTGTGATATCGGTCGCCCCTGGGGTTCACCGGCGAGTGATAGTCAACCCACTCTGTCCCTGTTGCGAACTGCGTCGTCTTGGTCTTACCCACAACCACCGCACCTAGGTCGAGTAACTTCTTAACGTACGCCGCAGAGGTGTCAGCCGCAGGATACAGCTGCGTCCAAGCCCGGCTGGACAGGGTTGTTTTCACACCCTGGACATCGAAAGTGTCTGTGAGTGAGATACGCTTCCCAGCCAGGGGCTTCTTTGAGTCAGACTTGTGATAGAGACGACTTGGCACTGGGATAGTCTTCGAAACCCCATCAGATGACAGCGATGCTACGGCTTGGAAACTGGTTTCGGGTGGTCAGATGGAAGGTGTCTGATGTAGAAGCTGGATTGGATGATGGAATACCTTTGAGGGTCGAAAGGGCTATCTGGCAACAGACCGAAGGTAAAGGCATCGAGGTCGTCCGGGTAGAGCCGCCATGCCTGATGTAAGTTCTGCCCGCTTAGGAAATACGGTCCAGAAGGTAATAAGTCCTCTTCTTTGGACATCAAAGGCCCGTTTGCCAGATGGTAGACAGTGAAAGGACGGTCTAGGAATGCCTCTGCACTGGATGCATTGTCCGGGGTCGGTTCCGAGCCAGACCCGGACGGCTTGACGACTATGATGCCGGTGAACTCATCTGTACAGACATCATCGTTGTCGACGAGATATTGTAGAGTCCTGCCGAGCTCCTCGGGGCCGGCACTCACTTCCTTCTCGCTCAGGACAACGACGGGGATGATCTGGTCCGCCCTCACATTCTCCTCAACGCTACCCTGCCGTCTGTTAGCGACGTTGCAGATGAACGATGTTGGGGAAAATGGTGAAAGCCCGTACTAGAATCTGTGGATGTACGAGGTAGTCAATGCCAGCCACAATACAAGTTATGAGGTGTTTTAATGCCATATTTTGAGAGGGTAGCCGGAGGCAGCTAAGAAGTAGTCTACTCCTGGGATGGCTCGGATGGCTGTTGGCTCAAGAAAGCTGTCACTGGCCTTCCCCACATTGCGTCACCGTGATTGGCGACGCCTGATGTCCATGACTATTCCCATTCCGGCAATAACATCGACCTACCTCTTCGCGATACAGCGACCAACCCAACAAGCAAACCCATTCTGTGGATAATACACCATCCATTTCTCATCTATCCAGAGACAAAATTCCAAGAATCCGCTTTGGCACCAAGCTGGAAGTGGAATTACCCATGTCCGCAATTGCTTGGTGATCAAAATATATGGTCTGGAAAACATGCAAGTATATCCTACCTCTTTGAATGTTTTGAAGGAACAATTGACTTTACTTGAGTCGAAATTATAGCCTGAACAAAGCTGTTAGAAGGGAGCTGCGACTCATCACTTTAGGCAACATAAATTTATCTTCTCTGTAAGCACGGTCAACGAGCCGTGAAGTCCGACTCGTAGCCATATTCGTCATTGATCATTCTGAAGGTGATCCTAAATTCTGGGCAAATTAGGAAAGAACCAGTGCAGGTACATCTATGCTGCATGAATTGGTCTCTTGGAATCCAACATCTGTTATTGGGAACGCGCGATGAGGAAGTCTTAGTAGATGTTGGTGTTGCTAGAATATTGACCAAGAAACCAAAAGGTTGGCTGCGGTTCGTACCACCAGCCACATCGCTTTTCGAGTCAAACTGTTTGGATATGATCTCGCACAACCGGATGAAGATCCTCGGGTGTCACATAGATAATTTGCTCAACCATCTTTCCAAGATATTCGGCCTCTCTGCAAGCGACGGCAACTTTGAGCTTGACCACTGAATCATTTTGGCCGAAGCAGCGTAGGCATGAAAGAAGCTCATCCAGCCCTTCGAGGCAGTCTTGGACACTGTCATGTTAGAGCCAGACTTCGTGCAAATGGCAAACAAGCTGCTCGAATATTGACCATAATTTTCCAAATGTTGAAGCGTCTGTGAGAGACGTGGTCCAGTATTCAGGATGCAGCACGTCGTCTGCGAGCATGATAGCTGGACGTCGGCTAACGATACCCGATATTAGGGCTTGGAGGATGGTAGTCGAAGTGTTCAGTCTAGGTTGTCGGCAATTGTGGAATAGAACGGGTGTCAATCTCCAGAACTAGCGTACCCGCTTGCACGATGAAAGATCAAAGAAAACATGATAGTCTCCCCTGTTGCAGGTCCAGCCACGATACCCAACACATACAAAGCCCCGACTGTCAGCCATATGATAAAGAGTGGATGGTCAAGTATAAAGTTGTGTGAGCCATATTTGCTACGTTCCGTGGCGTGGCTGAGAATATTCATATCATCCGATAATTCCTTGACGCCAGATCCAACACGATTCTTCAAAGACTCCAGAGCGTTCCTGACCACAAAGATATCAGCTTCTGTGACAATTCAATACTTCTTCACTTTCTTATTTTCTTCGCGTTCTTGTTTTCTCCGCGTTCTTGTTTTCTTCGCGTTCATGTTTGCTCCACTATTGTACATACGCTTTTCAAATATCTTGATATTGCCTGATCGTCTTGCATCCTCGCGACATGCTTCCAAGGCCTTCAAGTGTGCCGCTAGCAAGGAGGCAGCGGCATCGCGCTCAGATTTTGCATCCATAGCTTTTTCCAGGAGGCCCTTGGCTTCATTAATTGCTTCAGGAGATCCAGCATTGTCTGCATGAGCTCCGCATTGGGCGACAGTGGACTCATACAACTAGTACGCTATCGCGTAGGAGTTGTGGGGACCGGCAAGACATATCTGGGTAAGAATAACTTCGAAGCCTCGCGATGCTCCTACTATTGGTCAGTATGAAGAGAGTCTATGGCGGCATCATCGTACTCACGATAGACCAGATCACGCGTACGCTCTGCCAGAGTGGGATCAACCAACCTTGTTTTTGTCACGATCATCTGCTCCATGTTTGGGATTCAGGGGGGGGGGGGTTGAGGAAGTTTGAGAAAGAATCAGGGAGCAAGATAGGAGACATGGGCAGAGCTTTGTGAAGTTGACAGCTCGGTCGAAGATAGGATGACTGAACAACGTAACTACCGTCTCAGCAACTGTTGAATCATCCACCCAGAGAGCTGTTCAAGATGAGACGATGACCCATGACGAATCTGTCATAAGACGAAGATCCTTGCTGAGTCCACAAACGGTGTGCATGTTGTCGAACAAATGTAAAGGGCTAGCCAGTCCAACATCCAAAGCATGTCTGATTCCGCTTATACATCTCTCGATTTTCCTTCTATCTAATCGTAGACTTTCATACTTGGTCTTGAACTACTTTCACGCTGTTCCCACCCTCGCCGCCTTCTTGTGTCTCATAAATCCGGATGTGGTAGTCGGATACAATTCTCCCAGCTGATTGAGACCACGTCGCCCCCGGTAGAAGAGCTGCAAGGTGTCCTCTTTTCGAATCGCGTCTTGTCCATTAATACACCCGTGTCCAGCCCGCGAGATACGTTTTCACCATCCTCTGCTGCATTTTCAGGCTTCAGGAGTAGAGCAGCTCCAGCGTTGCTCCCGGGTGAGATAGTTGAGAATGCGACAGCTCGAAAGGTAGCCTCTCTGTTGCAGCAAGTCTGGTGCGGCCCTCCCTCATCAGAAGTGCGTGTCAAGCGCCATTATTTCAGTGTCGCATATTTTAGCTGCAGGCTCCAAGCCCTCGATGCACTTCTCTGGTGATCCAGTAATCTCGTGTTCCTGTTGCCTTTCTTCCACAACGGATCCTGGTCCTGCCCTATTGTACCGGGCTTGTCTTTTCACTCCCAAACTGGCAAAGCAAGAGAAATTAGTCCATAGGTCCCACTGATCCTGCTCGGCTCCATTCGAGAAGAGTGTAGTATTCACATAAGAGGGCGGACTTTGAGTACTTGCGCAGTATCTTCAACGCAGAAGATGTGCCCGTTAATTAAGCGATGCTTCTGTGTGTCGCAAGCGCTCCTATGGCACGAAGTCTGAGTGGCCAGTACCAGGTAAAGCTTAGACTAACACGGCGGACCTTGCTCGCAGGCGTAGCAGGCCACCCTTATGTGCGGGGCATTTACAGGGTTTGGCTAATGCTGTGCAGGCCCCCCCCCCCCCAACGGCAACGGCTTCTGAAGTTCGGGTCACTTGGTTGGTTTTCTCAGTCCCACACCCAAGCCACAGGCTCGGAAGGGTCACCATCAGTCTTTACTCACTGTCTTCATGCGCTATCTCGAATTGTCCAATCCAAAAGGATTTCAGTCTATCTTTTCGACTTCTCTTCGATAACTTAGCCGTTTCCTCCAGCCAATGAGGCACTGTCTCATATGCTCAGGACCTGGTCGCATTATCCCCGGACCGTGAGGTAGTAAAGGCGTCGTGAGCACCTCCACGGCGCGGTCACGAAGGCGGCCCGTCGACCGTCATAGACGACCGCCCACCCGCTCTAGAAGGCCAGGAAGACTCTTCGAATGTCTCATCCTCGGCCGCCTTGCAAGCAACAAGCAGCCTCTTCTGTGCTTGGTTCTGCAGGTTGACGTCGCCACACACACCTCGTGTCGACACTAAAAATGGACGGCGGTGACCCACTCCGGAGGGTGACATTCGAGAGGGCGTTGCAACGGAAAAACAAGCCCAAGCCTGCCCACTTCAATCCGACCAGGACAAACGGGAGGAGGCTCGTTTAGAGTTTTGTCATCAATGCTCCGATCAGCCCTGCAGCGTCGTATGTCGCAAGTCTGCTTCCTCCTTTACACGAGGGGCCAGAGCTACAATACGGTCTCCATTCCATCTCGTGAAGACTTGCGAACCAAGTAGCAGTATCTATTAGTCCAGTCTACTGCACGCCGCGCATTCCAGTGCCTCTTGAGCCTCACTTTAATCGTCATAGCTGAGGCTGCAGGCTATCGAGAGAGGCGGTCTTGTCCTACCCGCAATCCTCTGAGCGAGGTAGGTGTGTGTGCATGTGCCGGGTGGCTGTTCGGTCAGCAGGGCCTGCCAATCACACGGGCTGGAAGCTTTTGCGAGGGTGTGCATCGCAGGTGTTCGCATGGGTTAAACCTGGTTTTGTGGTGCATCCGGCCGGATCGTACTTGTCTTGGCCCTGCATTACCGGCCATGGCCTTGGGCCATGGCCCGTTCGGAGTATCAATAAGAAATCCCTTCTCTGATCATAAATATGTTCCACTTCCTCACCTGTCTGCTTACCTTGGAGAATCCACTCTGTCCCTCCTGCTTTGTTGTATCACGTCGAGAACCACTCCACCAAGATCTTAGCTAACTTCCCGACTATTTACTTGCAAGCCCCTCTATCATCATCTCTGCTCCAAAATGTGTATTCCTGTGGGTAGAAAGAGAAACTACTACTACCGGGAAGAGGTGGTTCCGGCGACCAGATACCACCACCACCACAGCCACCACCACCCTGCGAGAGCAAGCTACCGCAGCCACACATCTCGACACTCCCACTATAGCCACAGCCCAAGGGCCAGCGTCCATAGCCATCGTGCCAGTGGCCCCGTGGTGTACGAGCAACGGACAACCCGGCGATACGTGTGAGAGCCTGGCAAAGACAACCGGCATCATGCTTAGACACTACCCGTGAATGCATGATAGAGCATTTTCGGTGCCGGAACATCGTCATGGACAACACACATTTCCCTTTGGCACGTCATGAACAATTCTTGTCCGGCATTATAACGGGATAGAAGTGGGCAGAGAGCCCGGCCCGGCCTGGCCTGGTCTAGCCATGCCTCTACTCCGAGTCGAAATCGTCACATGGAAGAGCCCAGGGGCCAGGGTAGCGGCAGAGGGACTGTCTAGACATTTTCACGATGACATGATCAATGAGGGGATATAGTCTGGTGTTGGCGGCGACTTGATGGGAAAAAGGGATACGGCGCAAGACGCGGCGCATGGGTAATGTTTATGAGCTGATCTAGAACCGAACAATTGACAGCTGCCAGACCAGAGTATTGTTGTATTCTGTTTCTGGTCGGCGAACCAAACTATTCCGAGTCCCCTTGCTGCTGCTGCACACCAATGAGCCATGACGTGGGGAGCTGTAGAGTGGTTGCAGCTGAGGGAATGGCGACAGGGGACCCCTCCTGACATCCCAAGGGTCCTCTGCGTGACGTCAGTGGCTTGCCGCCTATGTCTCTCAGGCCGACGAGCTGTTGGGTGCTTTCGTCCAGACTTGGCTCGATTAGGCCAACCTCGACCAGACCATCGTGGAACGATGCCGCTACTATCGACACACAATGGGAGAGGTGCAGATTGGGGGCGATCTAAGACACGTCTGTCAACGATGACGGCTGCATGGCCAGCTCCTTTCGCGCCATCAATGCCCCAAAACAGATATAGATATGAATGAACGGCATTTGGTCGATCCGCCTCGTGCCGCGTCTCTACTCGATATTTTGCATACCAGCTGTAAAAACATACAGATCCAGCAGCTGTCCCTATTCTCTGGGTTGACTTTTCCCAGCTCATAGGCTGTCGACCCCACCTGCCATTTCGATAAAGGCTGACGGCATCGCGCCTCCCCCATCTCATCCATATTCAACACCTCATCGGAACTCTTTGTCCATTCAGCTGAGAGTTGATAGTGCTTAACGGAAGCCGCAGCAGCATAACTCAGGACGAGAAGAGAAGGAATCACCCTGAAATACAGAGTAAACAAAGAACAGCAAAGTATATTCGAACCCCTTCAGTCTCGACTTCACCATGTAAGTCTCACACAATTCATTGGCCCCTTTGAGCACAGCTCCCTTCAGAAACCATGCTTTCGTGGTCACGCAAAAGCTCATCACGTAGCTCAGAGTGGTCCAACAGAAGCTCTGAACAAGGCTACAGCACTTTTCCAACAAGCAAAATGTAAGTCGTGAGCCCCTGCCCACTCTGCAAGTCACGTCACTAGCTCTAGCTATATCCCATAAATCCTTCAACCATAACACCAGCCGAGCAAATGCTAAATCTCATTCAAGGCATCATAGTCTCTCCATCCGCTCCAGCAAGGCGAGCAGCGGGGCCGGCTCGTCCGGCGGCGGTGGCGGCCGCGTGGGCTTCTCGCTGTCGTCGCTGCGCGGCTCGATCCAGCCGGAGCTGTCGCGCAAGCTGTACAAGCTGATCAAGACGTCCAACAACGTCATCAGCGCGCACGAGGCGGCGGGCAAGGAGCGCGTCAGCATCGCGACGCAGCTGTCCGAGTGGGGCGAGCAGACGCAGGACGAGGCTATCAGCGACGTCAGCGACAAGGTCGGCGTCATCCTCAGCGAGATCGGCGAGCAGGAGGACAACTACGCCCACGCCCTCGACGACGCCCGCGGCTCCCTCAAGCAGATCCGCAACACCGAGAAGAGCGTCCAGCCCAGCCGCGACGGCAAGCGCAAGGTCGCCGACGAGATCGCCAAGCTCAAGTCCAAGGAGCCCGAGAGCGCCAAGCTGCCCACCCTCGAGCAGGAGCTCGTCCGCGCCGAGGCCGAGAACCTGGTCGCTGAGGCGCAGCTGACGAATATCGTGAGTGGTCGATACTATCCCGCCCTGTGTTCTGTTACGTGACATGCGGTCATGGGAGGCCCCTTGTGGGCTGCCAGGAAGCTAATGCCTGTGATGTGCTACCGTGATAGACCCGCCAGAAGCTCAAAGAAGCCTACGATGCCGAGTTCCTAGCCACGATCGAGCGTGCCGAGAAGCAAATTATCCTGGCCCGCCACGGCCGCCGCCTTCTCCATCTCTTGGACGACGCCGCCGTCACGCCAGGCGACGACCGCCAGCCCTACAATCACGGAGCCCAGGCCCGGCAGATCCTTAACGACGCCGAGGACGACCTCCGCGAGTGGCAGCCAGATCCCGAAGATCAACATGTGGGAGAGCACCAGCAAGAGACCATCCACGACCAGAAGCAGCCCGTTCAGCTCAGCAGCCCAACCATCTCGAGCGGTGGAGAGTTCAGCCCCCGAGAGGCCACTCATGGCGGAAACACACAGAATATTTCTGGTAACACGGGCGGTGATGTGGTAGAGGCCCCCTCGACCGCCCAGCCTCAAGGTGAGCATACGTCCGCGAAGCGAGGAGTAGGTGGTGGTGGTGGTGCCGGCGGATGTGTTAGAATTAATGGCGGAGTCTATGGACACCGCCGAGGAGCCTCAGACACTGAGATCGAACTACAGTCACCGCAACAACAGCTTGAGGGAAGCACCCTAGTCACGTCTGGCAGCCCTATCAGCAGCGTGGGTGGTTGGAGACACCATGACGATAGTATCCTGAGGCAGAAGCAGCCCAGTTTGGCATTCTAAGATACTAGGGAGGGCAGAAAGGATGAAAAGGTAGGGTTGCGCGTATGGGAACATCATGATAGCAGTGGTTTTGAACGGCACGGATGATCTTTCTTTGCGCTATAGGTATCTTCTTCGGTTGGGAACATAATTAGCGACGGGCGCCCACGTTTGTTTGGAGATTGAGGGAGGGTGCATATCATTTTGCGTTTTGAGTACATCAACATGAATGGAGAAACACTGGTAAAAAGCAAAAAGAACCTTTCAAGGCGGAAAACCCCATCTTTTTTTTTTTTGCCCTGTGGTGATGCCGTTGTGGGTTTTACTCTTTCTTCCAGTGCCGATGTACTGGCCAGAGGGAACTTCCGCCTCATCGAGCGTACTGTCCTCGTGGTGTTCCATGGAAACTTGCTGGGAATCTTTTCTGCCGGGCTCGGGTCGAACGGACGACCCTCCGGTCGGAGACACCTCAATATTCCACTGAGCTATTTGGTAACAGTGTAGGAGGTGCCCCGGTTGGGATCAGGTCGATTTGGCCGGTCTATGTACCTTTCAGATGGTTTTGCGGGACGTGTATTCAGGTGAATTTCACCTGCGTATGATGAACAAACATGCCTCCCCGTACCTGGGGAGCTAGCGTTCCTTCCCCTCGATTTGGGAACCAGCCAGCCTTCTTTGTGGTGTTGGGCAAATATTCGAACACCTTGGTACGGCAGTAATTGCACTTCTATGGCCAGTTGCCATGCGACGGGTTGCACTTCGGCAACATTTGCAAGCCATGGGCATGAGTACGCACGCTCTTCTTTTCTGTGCGGTCGTGTGTCCCAAGCTAAAGTCAGCTGCTGTGTCCCTGTGTAGCATCCCAAGGTCTTTGCAATCTTCATTCATTCAGAACGTGATGAGAGCTCTAGGCTTAGATGAAATTGTAGATCGTCTCCAATGCGCGCATGTACATGCATGAAGCACCCTCAGATGGGCCTATAGGTACTCGCCGGGCGTGGGAGCCACGCAAGCGAGATATGGCGAGCAGAGAAGCTGTGTGGTCGTCGACCGCGGCGGTGGCTTGCAGTTCGGCAAGGCAAGGCAACACACCAGGCCGCATTCGAGGCATCTGGAGTCGTCGGGACTCGGCAGACCTGTCTGGCTGCCGGAGCTGTGATTGTGGACCTGCCTCTCACCTGCGCCTGAAGGCCTGTCTGTCTCAACCTGCAAGCTGCACCTACAGTCTCCCTCATGGTCGCAGTCATGGTCTCCAATTATGGCCGCAGCCACAATTGGAGGGCCATGGCCGACAGCCGCAATTGCAGGCCCCGTCCGACAGCCGCACTAGACCACTTGGAGTAATTGGTACCACTAGATCTTGGCGTAATGTGCCATGCACCACCAAGCAGACCTCCACCGTTGCCCAACTTTCCTCTTGTCTGCTTGTCTCACTTGCGCCCGCCGTTGACGAGGCTCCATTCCCGGAATCCCGGCGGGCGAGACGGTGGAGAAACATCCCTGCTCGCATGCCTGGGGCAGGGGGCTGGAGATGGTGGGAGGAACTTGGGTGCTGGGTGGGTGGACAGAGTGCGCCAGCCGGATCCTATTTTAGCGACCTCTCTGTGACATGCGGTCACAGTGTCGCAGTTATCGCACTGTCGCGAATCTTCCTCCTTCAAACTTCAGGGATATCGCATTTCAAAGTGCCAGGAGTCGTGCTTTCGCAGTAGTTGCACTGTCAATCGCACTGTCATCGCATGTGAAGTGATTGTCGAATTTCAGTATGCCTTGAGGTGACGTCCAACATAAGCCAACGCGTGTTGAAGGGACAGTCACACAAGAAAACCATCCTAGCTGTCTCGCTTCCATATAACACCCCAGAATCTCCGTCATCAAATATCAACTACACTGCACTTCACAACACCACACAGAATTCCTGATAGTCATCAAACTCTTCAATACTTCTCATGTCATCCTTTCTCTTTTTCTTCTCAATCTTAGAGACCTCGCACAACAGGTCATATCAGTCGTTGCCAGTTCATCATCGAACCAAATGCTTCCTCCCGATGCCATTGTATCCATTGCCATTGGTGTACCATCTGTGCTTGCTGCTTTTCTCGCACTCTGGATCGCTTATCTGACACTTGGAAGAGCAAGACGAAGTGGTAGACAGGCACCATCGGAACGAAACAGCAATGACTGGGAACTCCTCTCAAGTTTAAACCGCTCCTCCCTTCCTCTACCCAAGCAGCCTGACCGGGTCTACTATGTCTGATCAACCCCTCTAATCAGACATGGCCGAAACGAGTCGTCTCAGCCGGGGAACCAAGATTCTTACGCACAGCAGGTGCCCAACAGATCCACTACCACGGATCCCGAATTTGTTGCAGATGTGAGTACAATCATTCTCGACTTAATTCCTTGCTATGCTTCTGCCTGATGAAGCGAGGAAAACTGAAATTCCCTAGGCTGAGTACAAACAAGATATTGGCTCCCCGACACATGCACAATAGCAATACAAATTCAAATTCGAGGCCTTTCAAATCTTTCCCTCTGCGGGCCACTGCGGCGGCATGAGTTGATGACCGTCCCGTGACCGCCAGTGATGAACCGTCGATATCCGGGCTAATACACAACTACTTACCCAGTCGGCCATTTCCTCTTTCCAAAAAAAAAAGGTGTTGTGGGGGGGGGGGGCTCAATGACGGCGGCTACACAATCTCATCCAGTATAGGCATGTGGAATATCCTGGGAAGTGGAGGCCATCTTTTCTGAGTATCTAGTACGGATGACTCTTTGTTACAAGTACCTAGATACTGTGTTGTATCTCAGAGTTTTCAATATATACATACAAGAACCCAATTTAAAGTCTATCGAAAATTGTAATGCTCAAAACACGTTCCAAGTATTTCTAGGTGGTGCGATCGGAATATTACTTGCAGTTCCAATGGGAGCCCAATCACACAGTGCTCTGAAGTCTAAGATGCACGGGCCAACGGGAGCTAGAGCATGGACAGGGGTAGCTCGATCCTTGCATGAGCTTATTCAATTCCATCATCGTCAGATGGAAATTCACCGGTCCCTCGTCCAGCATCACATTTCTGCTTTGAGACGACATGGACGTGCTTCTCCGACGGTCAGCATCTGGATATCTCTGTCGACGCTGCTCTCGGCATGTTGGCAAGTCGCTCAGGCGCTCCTACGCGAGCACTGCTGCGCAGCCCGACATCTATGATGTCGTCTGTGTGGGGGGTGGCCCTGCAGGCCTGAGTCTGCTCACTGCTCTGCGTAAGCACAATACCCAAAAGAGGTACTCTCAAAACACAAGATACTGATTTATGTCACCATAGGCGCGAACCCCGTTACATCCGGCCTCCGAGTCGCTCTCGTCGAGGCACAGGACCTCTCAAAAACCCGCCAGTGGAAACTCCCTCCGGATCGCTTCTCGAATCGATGCAGCTCCCTCACACCGGCGTCTGCCGACTTCTTCGAAGACATTGGGGCATGGAAGCACTTCAACAGGGAAAGGATACAGCCATACCACGAGATGCAGGTCTGGGACGGCGTCTCGGATGCGCGCATCGAGTTCGACTGGGGCGGCGGCCCGGGTCAGACCATCGCCTACATGATCGAGAACCTCAACATAACATCCGGGCTCCTCAGCCGCCTTGATGATCTAGGTGGGGTATCTGTTTTCGAAAACACGAAGGTAGAGGACATCACATTCGGCGAGGAGAAGGACGGGCTGAACTTGTCAGAGTGGCCAGTCATCCAGTTGGCCGACGGCAAGCGGCTCTGGGCGAGGCTGCTGGTCGGCGCAGATGGTGCCAATAGCCCCGTCCGATCATTCGCCGGGATTGAGGCACGAGGCTGGGATTATGGACGACACGGTGTTGTTGCGACGCTGGAGCTCGAGGGTGAGGGTTGGGGTGGAGTGGACACCAAGGTTGCATACCAACGGTTCCTGCCCACAGGGCCTGTTGCTATGTTGCCCATGCCCGGGAACTATTCAACACTGGTGTGGTCAACGACGCCAGAGCGAGCTTCGAGGCTGAAGAGCCTGTCTGCGACTGACTTTGTTGCCACGGTCAACGCCGCGTTTCGCTTGAGCCCTGTGGATCTGGACTACCTTCATAGTCAAGGCTCTGGCCAAGTGGAGGAGGTCTCATGGCGTTTGCAACACACCTCTGTTCAACCAAAGGCCATCCCTCAGTCTGTCGTCGGAGTCCAAGAAGGCACAGTAGCATCATTCCCGCTCAAACTGCGCCACGCCGATACATACATCGGCGAGCGGGTTGCGCTCGTTGGTGATGCAGCCCACACCATCCACCCACTGGCCGGTCAGGGTCTCAATCAAGGTCAGGGAGACATCCAGAGCCTTGCCAAGACTATCCAATACGCTGTCAGCCACGGTCAAGATATAGGCACACAGCTGTCCCTGGAATCGTACAATGCGGACAGGTACGCCGCCAATCATGTGATCTTAGGTGTCTGCGACAAGCTCCATAAGCTGTACTCAGTCGGAAGTGGACCGCTGGTGCCTCTCCGGTCCTTTGGCCTCAGCGCTATTAACGCCATGAGGCCTGTGAAGGACTTCTTCATGAACCAGGCTGCCGGTCACGGTTTGAAGCTATAGTGGCTCTGGGCTATTTTTGTAGTCCCTAGCCTCGAAAAATCAAATCAACTTCGCCATACATCACAGTTTAGCGCTCAGTTCATCTCAGTCCGGGCTAGCCTGCTCACTGAACAGGCACTTAGCTATGATGCTCATCAGCCATTGCGCATTCATTCATAAGCTCATTCAGAAACATGTATATAGACTCCCGGATGTGATAGCACAAAAGCCTTCCCAGCTGGCTTACATGCCCGCACGGTGCGATATCACTTCTCTACAGCTTGCTGCCGGCTTCCACCCTGACTTTCAACGTCATCGCAGTCTCCTTTCTCCTTGAGGTGGGGACGGCCAAAGAAGTACCACAGGGTCAAGGTCAGCCCAGTCAGTCCTGCTGTAAGGACAACGTACATCCAAATGTAGGGAGACAATATTTTTTTGCCTTGGTCAGGGTTCCAGTCAAAGAATGACATGGAAAACAGACTCTGTCGTTTGGTTGTCAGCAGAATTCTCAGTTCAATGTTGGCTCGCAAACTGCCATGCACGGCCTTGATGTTTCCCTTCAGGAGTTGGTGGGGGCGGTGAGACGTGATATGGTTTTTTGTTCCTGACACTTACGGCAACGAAGGTAGCCGGGAGAAATATCATCGTCAGCATGGCGATAGAACGCATCTGCTGTCCATCCTCTCGGGTGGCCCTTGCGATCTCAAGGTTGGAACTGGATATTTTTTGGTTGGTTCGTGTATCGCTTTGGCCGATATTGTTCCATTCCTAGGATGGATATTATTAGCCGTCACTTCGTAATTGATCACATTCGAACGATCATGACTTACTAGCTGGGCTGCCAGTACCATACCCTCAATAATCATGCCGCATTCCCTTATCTTTTCGTCGTATTCGCCTTGTATCTCAAGCAGCCTTTGTCGGATACGGCGTCCAGAAAGAGTCAGGTCCTCGACCTCATTCACGGGCGTGTCACCAGCATCCCCGCTGTCAAATACATCCACTGAGAGGATCGTATTGACCGGAGTCGACTCGGTTGACTCAGGGGGTCTCTTCGAGATATGAAATTTCGCCCGGGTAAGGTCTTCACAGTGCGAGACCATCTTTTGCAGCTCCTGGCGCCAGCTTTGTAGGCCATTCTTCAAACAACTGATCTCAAACCATAGCTGCATGTAATCCTCTGGCTCCTGGATGACTCCACTTGGCTGTGATGCTCCTATATATGCCGGTGGAGGGTGTGCCGTGGCAATGTTACGAGCCCTCTGCATCAGCTTTCTCACCATCGGGTTGGCCAGGTTGAAGTGACGCCCGCGCTCAATCTCAGCGAACAGAGTTAGTAGAGTGAGCGGATGATATGAGCTATAGTCGCAGGTGGACATATGGTCAACCACTTGCTCGCGAACTCTTTCGTTGCAGCCATAGAGTACGCCTTTGGTCGAATTGGTGCCTGGGCAGTATGTCACAGATAAAGCCAAGTCGCCTGGCCAATTCGCCGATGATCGACAGTTGTAAACTGCTGTGTATTAGCCTGCTGCCTTGGAAAACAACAGTTTCTGCTGATGAGGTAAATAACGAGGCGATCTATGAGAAAACCACTCACCGATCACTGGAAGATCTTCATGTGTGCGCTGCAATATCATTGGATTGAAGCTAGCATTGAGCTTTCTATTGATAGTTCTTGCAATAGATCGATGAAGTTCAAATTTCGAAATTACCCTCGGGAAGATTGATTCGGAGAATGGCATGTGAGAAACTGCATCACATTCGAATGCAGTGGCATCCCGTCCCCCGATCCTTTGATATGTTAATCGGGCACTGTATTGTTTATTGTAGTCTTCAAATGACAAGGCTTACAATAGTGTGAGTCGACTTTGTGGGTTCTCGCCATTGTTTTCACCTTTTTTCAAATGCGACAGGTTTTCTGAACGTTTACTCAGTTGATTCAACGAAGAAGCCTCTCCGTCCAGCCACCGACTCCAGTCCTTGTCTGATACCAACGGCTTTGATGTATATGTGATAGTGTCCTGGAAAGGATGAGTCAGTCTAGATCCCACTGACATCAATTCCCAGCCGTGATGGAAAAGAAAGAAACGGACTTTTTGAGTTTTGAGACCTTTGAAGACAATACTCGGTGTTTGTGAGAACTTCAGGACTCCCCAATTCTCCGGTTGAAGAAGTGAGCCTTGTTGAAGCCATTCCATCGTTTTGACTGATACGAACTTCTTGCTTATCTCGTCTTAAATGAACAGTGAAGTGTGAATGATATAAGCGAGTTTTATAAGAATGTCGCCAGAAAAGAGATCGGAGTTTTAGGAGTTCACCACGTAGCAGTTGCTGGAACCCATGAAGGTCTGTCCCGGCGGTGAGTTTATCCATTTCCACCAGACCCAGAGAGCCTGATTGAGCTGGGAACTCTGCAGATATGGCCATCACTCGTCCTTCGGGCGAAGTCTGACCGCCAGTGCAAAGTGCAGTTCAGAGAAGTGCTATCTCACCAAAATGCACGTTCTTCTCTGGGAGGGTAAGACAGAATGCACCCCTCATAACATGCGTCGACTCAGCCAACCGCTAAAGCTCGCCCCATGATTCTGAGTGTGTGTTGCTGATTCCTGTGATTCGATCGGGCTCAAAAGCCTCTCGATCTGCCCGATTAGATGCATTACCAAGCATGGATGACCGAGATACCCATTTCCGTCCTTTGCCAGTTTTCTTATGGTCAGCGTGGGCGCGGCTCTGCAGAGCCTCGTTCTGCAACTGATAGGAAACAGAGGCAGAAGACTTCGGCGCAGAAAATATATAGACAAAAGGTACTGGACAGCGACTCATCGGTGAGCTGACCTCTGGAGCCCAACTTCTTTCTGGCTCCTTCCCTGAGCATCACAGTCAAGCACGCATGTTCCAATGGCCACATTCTTCAAGCAAGTCCTCTCATTAAATTATTCGGACGCGGCCATTCTTCAAGAAGAACTCAACCGATTGTTGGGTTCCGATGGCTGGTCTGGAAAATTAGAGGTTTGCATTTTCACATCTGTGCAAGGTTCGAGCTGACCGTCAGCTGTTCTAGATATCCGCTGGGCAATTTGTTGTTCACGTTAAACAGCCTCTGAGTTCTGTAAAGAAATTCCTGCTCTTCTGAACTATTGCATCGATGCTAAAGACAGATTAGGATCAGGTCAACGGAATCAATGAGAAGATGCGGGTCCACTACGCGGGAAAGAGAGGGTTGTGAAGATATATCTTTCCATCAATATGGCTTGCCTTCATCTTGATTTTACGCTATAGTACTACCATTTGCATTATCCCTTGGACCCATATTGCTTTATTTCCGAAGCAGTACTTCCATTTCTACCCGTGCTGCTCTGACAGTCGCTTCGTTCGTGGTTCATCACACTCGTCCAAGCTGCGCTTTCTTTTGGAGCTTTCCGCATCCTTCGTGGAGTCCTGGAAGGAGGGTACCCCTGAAGCCAGAGCATACATCTTTCTCGTCTTACAAGTCTCGAATCTTGATCCCAGCCATCTGGTCACATGTCTTACTCTCTCCCTTTTTGATTTGTCAACGACCATCATCGACTTCTGTATATAGTCAAGGAAGTCCTTTAAAAATGGGCTGCAACTTTGTTCCTGCTTGAGCATCTCTATCCACTTCAGTTGCAAGTCCAAATCAGCAATTAGTCTATTGTGTTCGAACTGTAAAGATGACTTACTGTCTGTACTGACTCCTTAACCTTTGCATATCGGTCTTTCCCATCTCTGATGATCTTGTAGAAGTTGTCGCACACAAAGTTTTTGTTGGATCCTGTTTCCTGCAATCGAACTTCCGAGAAGCGTTCCAGTCCGTCTGCGCCGAGAAGCATCCAGGTTATGAATTCCAAATATGTGCAGCCTAGGGACCAGATGTCGAAAGGTCGCGACAAATCCTCGTTGAGGTCGTACTCAGGAGCCATGTATGTGTGTGTAACTGCAATTCCCCGCGGCGAGACCTTGGTCGTGAGCATGCTGTGGAAGGTTGTTAAGCCAAAATCCGAGATCTTCAGCTCGCCGTGACCAAATCGATTCTGGTCCTGGCTAAACCATAAGACATTCTCCGGCTTGATGTCACCATGTCTTCCACAGTCTCGATCTTGTGATTCATTCGAATGCTTTCCATCTTGATTGACAGTTAGATGTTGAATTTGAGGTGAAAGCTTCGTGGGAGACGTTGGCGAGGGCGATCCTTGTATGTCATCGACCTCTTTTGGTGATAATTTCGTGTCATGTATCCCATCAAGGCCATTGGCAAGCCCATGGCACTGCTCAGCGAACCAGCATATACGGTCATGGTCAATTTTAGGGCCTCTAGTATGCTTCTTCCACATATCCGCAAGGTTTCCACCCTCAGCCCATCTGAAGATTAGATGGTACTGATTCTGATGTTGAAACGTTGTGAGCAACTTGACGAGATGTTTTCGGCGCTTGATTTTCATCAAAGCTTTAACCTCGAGTCGAAAAGCAACCACGTCAGATTTCAAAGACTTGATCGCAAACGCCTTGTTCTCCTGACCTCAAAATGAAAGATTAATCGGCTTTTCAATTTAAGCTGTAGCGGACGTGTTGCTCACCTCAGATTCGAAATTGTGGTGAGCATCATGTATTTTGACACGCACAACTTCCGAATTCTTGTGGTAGATTGGCTTGTGGTCTATCCACGGTAAAACAGTTGCGTCGTGAAGGCGGATGGCTGGATGGGCATCCAACGATTTGCTGTTGTTCTGTTCGAAGACCGGTAATTTTACCCACCACTGGTGATTGAAGAAAGCAAATCTTTGCACAGAACCCCACTTGTCGAACCTTTTGATGGGCGTGAGAGAGTCGTTGACTTTCTTATCCAAATAATACTGTGTGAGATGGTTCTTCTCACTCTCCCTGAGACAAAGGGGGAGGTCTAGATCATTGATGCCTTCTTCCATGAAATCCAAAATTAAATGAGGGTTCTCAATCAAAAGTAGCACGGCAAAGATTCCGGAAGCATCAGATTTGGGCCTGCCACAGATATAATTGATAATATCAGAGCAACGCTTCCGTAAGATGGGATGCTCAGATGTCAATATGTATTCTTCGATATTATTTGATGTCATTATGCTTTCAAGGGCATTGTTCGGCAGAAAAGCTTTGGAGCTTTCATGCGGACACTGGATGACTGATTCCGTCAATCTCGTCGTTAGTGGCAGTTTAGAACTGACACTGTAGCTTTCCCCGCTGCTAGGGTTCTGCAGCGAGTGTGCAGTCGACGCATTTGGTACTTTTTCCCCTTCATCTTGCTAGGATTAAATTTGAGTCAGTCTCGGTAGGCTTTCATAGGTGGTAAAAGCTTCTGATTATACCCACCTCTGTTTCATTGTGAGGATCCCTGTGAGGGTTCGGCATATTGATCCTGCCTCAAAAGCACCGATGTATCGGCTACCAAATAGACCGTCGCGTCACGAAATGAATTCTGAGCTTCTAAGACATTTGGTACTTCGGAGTGCCATGTGGATCTCGGATTCCAGGCAGGATACCATGCCCACTAAATACATCATGCCTGAAGCAGGCTGTGCCTACATATGTTGGTCTTCAGTCTTCTGTTCTCCAGTCTACAATACTGCGAGGGCTTGTACTTGATGTTCAAAAAGGGTACATGATAAAAGAACTCCAAGAATACCCTTCACCGTCAGATAGTAGAAGTACCAAAGCATTCGGATGGGGGCTGGCTCTTCACAAAGATGACCAATGTCCCAGTTGGTTGCATCGATGGATATTTTGGACCACCGGTGAATTCCTCTAGGGCTGAGATGGCTGTTCACAACCACGAATTTCTTCATGTTGGTCCAAGTACTGCATACACCCACTCAGAAACCTGTGCACCCACACTTCAAATGCCCTCGAGGCTCGTCGGCGACCTTCATGTACACCACACCATCATGGCCGTGCCGTGGCCCCGGTCATAGCCAACCAAGTTAGGCAGCCCTGACCGATGGTGCAAGAAAGCAATGCCAGCTGCAGAAATGCTCAGTCTCTTGGGGTACATGTATGCAGCAATCAAACTGAAAGTCAGCACACCCTCAGACGTGTGCTTATCCTCCTGCACCTTGGATATAGAGGGAGTTGGACCCGCGCCCCACCGCCATCCTGCGATCTGCCACGGACTCCCTGAACTGCAATACTCTCTGCATATCTACCACGACAGCATTCTCTTTTGATTTTGGAGAATCATAACGATACTCAGCTTCTCTGCGTACAAGATATTTCTTCATTGTACGAATTCTTGATGTAATCATTCTAAGCAGGCAGCTGACTTAATCAAGGCTACCACCAAACTCGTCATGGGAGGGACAACAACATGCACGTACACACGATCCTACCACAATCCCATGAGGATACCGAAACAAACTTCCTGGTCCAGTCGCAGCAGCTATAGAGGCCAAGACATATCCAGACGGTATATCAGACCCTCTAAACTTGAGGAATTGTTAGACACGAAGTTTGGCAGCGAGTACAAGGTAGTTCTACGAGGGGATAAATTCACAGTGTTCGCCAGAGGCCACCTGTCGGAAGGAGAAATAAGCAGCTGTGCATAGCAGTCTTGTCAACAGCAAATTCGGGAAGTAAACTTCGAAGGTTTCGATGCACGATAGCTTTGGAATGAGATGATATTCTCATTTGTCTTCAGAGGAACTGCGATTTTGGGTGTAAAATGTTTTCAAACAACATGATGTGTTTCATGAGTTTTAGTGAGAAAAATTGTCCTTTTGAAGCAGCTCATGCTGTCATTTTGCGAAAGCCGACATTCGAGTTACCGGAGGAAATGGTCGGGAGGGGGGCCGCTCGACCACCTACGTTCCGAGGTTGAGGGTGCTCGTATCAGCAGGTTGGCCCCCAACCTATGGATGTACTCCCTTCATCACGCGAGATTCCAAATATGAATTCCGGCGCTTCGGGCAAAATTGGCTGAGTTTTTGGCCTGTCAGCAGCCTAGAATGGGGGCGTGAGCAGGGTCACAGCCGAGGTTAAAAGTCCTCGCGAAGAGAATAGCCTGACAGCTGCTATAACAACGCCCGCCGCAACCCAAGCCACAAATGCAGCATGCAGCCTGGAGCGAGTAATTGTCCCGGGAAGTACACCCTCTTCTCGTACATCGCTTGATCCAACAGGTTTTCGCTTGCATCACAGCCATCTCGCTTCAAGGAAGGGTCTGGCTCAGAACGCCTCAGCTTTACCTAGATATTGAGCGGCAAGGGATAATTTTCCCTGGAATTCAATGAGCGAGTAACAAGATTAGCATTGCTGTACTGTTGCGCTACTGTCAGTAAGTCCAGGTCTACGTCTCTCCTCCAGCCTGACGGCCTTGAACTCTGGAGTATTGAACGTCAGGAAGCTTCTCCATGCGGTCATAGGTGGCCTGTAATGATAGAGTCTATTTCTTGTTCATCTGAGCTCAACTCAGACAGCATTTTGTGGCTTCTATAAATATGAGAATAAAACCCCTTCATCTACAGTGTACATGATTTTAGCTTGAGGCAGTACTCTGCTACATATCCACGATGCACTTTAAGGTCGAAGGTCCGGCGGCATCCGTCACCGTACTCATTACCAATGAAGGCCACACTCAAGTCTGGCAGTAGTGGAATTCCCAGCATGAACAGCATATAGAACGCTTTCTGCAGCAGTAAAAGAGAGGCGGTCTCTGGAAAGAAGCGAAGATTCATCTGCGCTAGAAGAGCGGCTACATGTAAGAGCTCTTCCTCAATGTGACCATCCTGGAAGCAGGGTCTGATACGAGATGCGCGTTCATGAGTGATGGAGACCTGATCATCCCTGGCCTTCCACATGCTCCCACCCTTTCAGTTGGATTTTGGTGGTCCTATACGGGGATATAGGTAAGAGAGCGCCAATCCTGTCTCTTGAGAAGTGAATTGCCAGGGACAGAATTTGTTAAATGTCCGGCGCACGAACAGTCGATGTGCGGGACTAATTTATAAGACACTTTGATGGTTTAAGAGGACGAAAGGAAACGGTCCTTCAAGGTTAACCTACTACTACTACTACATAGAGCTTTAGGTAATATTGAATCATACGTAATCAGTCATCTCTACAACGCCCTTTCAGGCAAGTACATGGATGGCACGTAGAAGTACAGCATCAAGCTTGTGGAATTAGATCAGTCTCACAATATCAAGTTTTAGCAGCATAGTGGTGAGTCGCATAATATCATACGCGCTCGAGTACTTCTTGCGACATGACTGAAGATTAGAAATGAAATCATGATGAATTCAGATTTCAACCAGCTGAAGTTGCTTGTAATTCCTTGTACTCCCCAGTCACCGGCCTTTGTGTGCCCGCTCAACGTTCACTGTTCCACGAGTGTTCGTTCTCTACCGGTCTGTAAATTTGCGTAATAATGGAAAAATGCACATAGTTTGTGTAATGTTGTTTTTAGAGACAGACTAAAAGCGTAAGTTCAAGTCCGGATGATCTATTCAAAGCAAGGACCAAGTGCATAAATGCCCTTCGTCCGAGGAAACAGCCTGTTTAGCTGGCCTGCATATGTCAAGCGAGCAGACCAGGCTCATAACCTAGCAATTGGTGTTATAGGACTCTTAACATGAGTTAACGCGCGGTGCTGTGTTTCCTTCAATCTGAGCCCTGATGGACACTGTCAAGGTGCTGCATAGGAGTCTCTAATAAGAACTTATTGTTACACAAAGAGAAAAGAACAAAAAGGCTACGTGCCACAGGCGAAGCCGTGGCGTTTGAACAGCGGGCCATGGGTGGGTACCCTAACACACACGCCTCTATAATATACGCACAATTTCGTTCATCGGACGCTGAAACCCTGTCATATAAAAGTACCCATGATGTGCAGACTTATCCAGAAGGCTCCATTTCCAACACGGCCGTCTTTGGTCAAAGACTTTACGAGGACAATACAGAGAAAAGCACATGAATGGTATTTCATGGAGCAGTGTGTTACCACTGAAAGCCTAGAGCACCCCGGGAGCGGCAAGTGCGTAGATCGTGTGCCAGCCAGAAGCTTAGAACGGAAGTAGATAAGCCTCTTGCTCCACATACCGTTCTAGATGCACAAAATACGGTTCATTGTGCCTTACTGAGGCATTCTGTGGTTGTCTACTTAGACGGACAGCGAGTGAGACCCTCAAAAGCAAGTCAAGATGTTTATCCGGACTTAAAAATAGACTACCATCCGAGCAACAATCTGGCCCATCGATCTCTGAGCAAACAACAAATCACAATCCGATTCCGTGTGATTGTACGGACAAAATGTGACAGTGGAAACAGTGCGAAGTTTTGGCAACTCTTTGGACCTTGGTGCGAGCTGCAGACCGGCGCCCCACCCGGCCCGACCTTCAACCTTCCTTCCGCAACCAACATTCTTCTCCCTCACTGCTGCCTGCAAGGCACTTTCGACACCGTCTGTTGTTTACACATCCAGAATACATATAAAAAGAGTCTGCCAAGTCCCAAATGGGCTTGCCTCATTGAAACCCCTTTCCACCTCGCGCAACACCAGGAGACTGCAGCCATCATGGAACAACTGACTTCCACGACTCCTCGCGCCTCCTATGCAACGTCAGTTTCTGACCAGCATAAGCTTCCTCCTGATGCTCCAAATTTCCTTCCAGTCGAGATCTCTGACTCAGGCGCATTGATCCTGGCCCCACATCAGACCAAGGATGTCTACATGAAGCAGCTTCAAAAGCTCAGACAGAGCCAGGACACGCTCCAGAAGGCTGGTTACGTGATGCGGCCATTGACAGAGGACGACCTGGTCCAGAAGAGAAAGTGTGGAAGATGCCACAAACGTGAGCCGCTCGACCCTTGTTTCCTATCCATTTGGACGCTATCGCTCTAACAGATTGGGTAGTCGTCTTCAAAAATATCTTCAAGCGGATCTCTGATAGAAAGCCAAATTCGGGCGGCGAAACTATTGAAGCGTCTGCAAATGGCCAGGCACCGCCAGGCTCAGCCACCAACCCTGTGGCCAAAGCCGCTCAAGGTGGCAAACTGTCTGAAAATGCCCCTAAGAGGGAGCCACAGCAGGTATGCAAGTACCATGACGGTCGATTCAATGGTCGTGTAAGTTCTCTCTCGCTGCCTGTGGCCTTGTGATCTGAATAAAACTTACTGACATCTTTCGCCTGTTTTGCTCAGATCTGGACCTGTTGTCGAAGTAGGCCATACGATCAGCCTTGCAAGGCTGCAACTGAACACGAGCCAGCTACATACGAGCCAGGAGAGCTAGAACGACTTTATCGATACTACATCACCCCGGCTGTAAGCCCTTTCTCCCCGATGTGCCATGCAGTAGCGAGTAAGTCACAGTGATAAATCCCACAGAACATGCTTACCTTTAGGTATCCAATGCAGACGGCATGAGAATGTTTTATTGATCAAGCACTAGTTGACTGTGAGATGGGTACTGGCATGACGCACGACTCTCTTTGCATCCGAGTCAGCGTGATCGACTACTTTACCGCCGAGGTGCTCATCGACAAGTTGGTATTTCCTGACGAGCCTCTTCTCAACTACAACACTCGTTTCTCTGGTGTCACTTATGGCCAGATGAACAGAGCGCGATCGCTAGGAGACTGCTTCTTTGGAATTGCAGAGGCAAGGGAAGCCATCTGGCAGTTTGTTGGTCCTGACACCATTGTCGTCGCTCATTCTGGCCAGAATGACCTCACTTCGCTGCGGTGGCTTCACAAGAATATTGTTGATACCCAGCTGGTGGAATCACTCCCCGTGATGAAGTTGGAGAAAGAAGCTCGGGAGAAGGAGGCCGAAGAGAAGATGGCCCGCGAGGCAGAAGCCCGCCAGACCCAAGGGGACGAGCCGATGGACAAGGCAGCCACAGGACCCAAATTGGAAGATGTGACCAACGAGGGAAAATCGCTTACGGATCTTCAGAAACAGACTGAAAAGCCGAAGAAGAAGCCCAAGGGCTCTGGTCGGTTCTCTCTGAAGACATTAACAAAGAAACGCACTGGCAGGGATATTCAGATGGGCAACGATGGGCACGACAGCGTAGTGGACGCTGTTGCTACCAGAGACATTGCCCACTGGAATGTTCTCAACTTCGGTCATGGCTTTTACGAGATCAAAAACTCTGATTCTTGAATTGCAGCCCTGGCAGGAGTCGTGGAAGCTTTCTCGAAGATGACATTGATGTTGCATACATGGCCAACAGGCGAAGGCTACATTTCTCTTCGGCCTGCTTCATTCTCAGAGTGCTATTGACAGTTGAGGGTCATACTATATGTTAAAGATTCAAGAGCATCTTGTCTTATCACTTGCTTCCGTGTGCGTGACGTGGTCCTGGAAAGCAATCTTGCGGAAGGGCTAAAATCGTGATCCCCTAACCTTTTCCCCTGACCGTCGTTCGTCGTTTCGTGATATCATGTCCACTCTCGGTCTACCACACACACCCATAGCTGTTAAATGGAAGAGGTGAATCCACCGTTTCTGACAGGTCCCTTCCACAATTCTTTTGTCCAATTTCATCAAACACTTGAGCTGTTTATATATGACCGCATGTCTGCTCAAGACAGAGTGAACATTTGGTTACCGAACTCTTGACGAAGCCTTCATGCAACCCTAGTGATTCAGATGCTAGCTATTAAATCTTACAGGAACTGATAACTTGGCTAGAAAGTCGAAAAAATTTGGTTAACTCCAACACAGGGATGCAGCGAAATTCTTGAACCACGGCCATCATGTCACACTCTCAGAGCCATCTCAATGTCGTGGCTCATGCGGAAGAGTGCCAAAATCTGCACAAGAAATTGAGGTAGCGTGTAGATTCAAGGTTTTTCCTATACCGTCCAGGACAGGTACTGAAACTCTCGAGGGGCGAAGCGCGTACTTGTTTACTGATGGGGATTTGGTAAGTATACAAGCTTCATTTCCAAAGCACTTGAAAGAACTGAATGCGTTTAGTATCTGGTTCCTGGCAACCTCCAACCTGGAACTAGCCAATGTAAGGCTGTTCTGCACAGAATCCAGGAGCCCTCAAGGCCTTGGAAAAGCTGGCCACAACATCCCTACAGCCATGTGTCTGTCAATCAAGTCGACTTCAGTGAGAGACATTTTGCATTTTCACATTGTTGTATGGACTAGGTGGCTGCACAACAGGTCATGCTGTAATCTTTTGGCAGAGTGCTCTAGGTAGCACTGACAATTCTAATATACTGACGATTATGCTCTGAATGGGCAAGCACATGTATCCCATTCGCAAATTTGGCAGCGTAGTTTTTGAACATAGAACCAGCCACTTCCATTCATACATTCATCCACAACTTGAGACCTCAGTCGTTCTGGCTTTTGAGACAGGCAACAACAGTTTGAACAGATGCTTTCAAGGTTGCGGGAATGCATCTAGAGGTCAAGTGGGATGTGAAGATTCGGAGTGTCCCAAACGGCTTAGATAGTCAACAGCACTGTACATTGGTCGCAAATATCGTCCTCAAGATTCCGAGTGTATGAGATCTTGTATTACAGACAAGTTGCATTTTCTTTCATCTTTTCATTCTGATGGATCACAGTCTCGTCCGATGGATACCTAAGTCGCTGGCTAACAAGCGAGATTAGTGCTGCAGCTGCAGCTGTCATTGTGATACAGAAGGGCCTGACTCCCAGGATGGACTGAGATCCTTGATCAAACAAATCCCACTTCATATTCCATTGAAAGACCAAAACCCAAGATCTACATAAACACGATGCCCAATGGAGATCTGCAGTGAACTTCAAGACTGGTCTTTGTTCCTGTGCCTCTTTCCTACGCAAGTCTATTCAAGCAACCCGAAGCTCTCCAAGTAGGTTCTCGCGAATTTCTCACACTCACGACGTTCTTTCCCAGGTGATTACAAAAGGAGAGCTTGATATCCATGACGTTCCTCTTCAAGCATCATCTCACGGACTTAATCATTGTGCAATTCTCTCTGGTAGTCTCCCCTGACAACTCCCCTTTGTGTACCCTCTTCAAGTGCTTCCTCTCAAGTTTCCCATTAGCACATCTATCCTACGCGTAATCATGCCAGCGAACCTTTGTAGCCATGATGATTCCTCATGCACGATCTTGCAAGGCTTGTCTTTGCGGACTTGCTCTAAAGACCTCCCACGGTACCGTATCTACCCTCGCCAAATATGCTCTCGCCCAGTCTTATTCATGAGCACTTTGCTTTGAAAAATCTCACATGGTTCCCCTCTCTGAGTGTCTTCCCCTAATTTTTTCTTCAAACAATTTCTCACAAATTCATTTCCTTTGTAGTTGTCCTAGTAGTTTCCCTTGTACCTTCTTCTGATGGCTTCTATCAAGTATATTCTCGAGGAATCCACACCTGGTACATCTAGTCGTCATCCCTAGTGTCTTCCCGATACATGGGCTCTCAAGATGTTCTCGCTGAAATCAAAAACATGCATTTATCTCAACACCTTCCCCTGTCTGATCTTAAACCGATTCTCACGAATTTGCAAGTGAGAAATTATCACAGCAGTCTATGCTGTTGACTTCCCTAATAAGCCCTTGAGCTCGTTGTCACTCAATTCACAACCATACACCTGTCTCAGATCTTTCTCTTGCTATCTAAATTCTCAGTAGGTTCTTGTCAATGCCGTAACTGCGCATTTGTCTCAAATCCTTCCGCTGGTGTCTGCTTAGATAGGTTCTCGCGAATTTCAGAACTGTTTACTTGTCTGCGCACCTTCCCCTGAATTTCCTTGATAGGTTCTCGCGAACTTCGTGCCTGCGTAGTTGTCTCAGCAGTCTGTGTTGGTTCCTTCCCTCGATGCGCCCTTTGCAAGCTCGTTCTCGCGAATTTCTCGAGATCGCGAGTACGGATATGGTGAAAGCCCGGTGAAGGCTTTATAGCTGAAGCTGGCTTGGCCGGCCATAGATGTGACAATCCACACTCGACCGTCACACCTCAGACACAGTCACAGCCACCTTCAGGGAGCTCTTTGGCATCTGGACCACATCCTGGAGCAAGCTCCTGTCCATAGCAGAACCCCAGCGTAGCGGAACCTCAGCATAGCAGGGCTTTGGCATAAAAGAAGCCGAGCACTGGACGACATTAACGTCTCCGGTATCAATTCAATTCCAGAATGATTACAACCCCAAGCCACTGACACATATCCGAGTGAGCAAACAAGTCTTGAGTCACCAACGCATCTGCATTATCTCCTTCCGAAGGAGTTCCCGAGGTCTCGTCACAGCCACAGCCACAGCCGAGCAGGCCTCAACAGCAAAACTTCCACTCTCCGAGCCGAAACAACAGCTTCCTGTTACTTCCCAACACTCCAATCCACAGTCCTAATCTCTCACCACGTTCCATCGGCATTTGATACCACAAGGGACTCTCCCTCTGAAGGATATCAAAGAAGTAGCTTTCCACAACCATACTTCCTCCTTTACGACCACCGTCGACCATCTCCATACCTCTTACACTCCAACTTCAACGACGAAAAGCATCTACAACCTCTCGCAGCTGACTACGGCCTCTAGGAGACACGAAATCCGTACCAAAACACTCTACAAGACCGAACTGAGATACGAGTCCTCCCATTCTCGACTTCTCCATCACGTTGTCCTCCTTACGATACTCAGAAGGCCTTCTTGCGATCGTGATCGACAAAGCCACCTACGTCAGATAGCACTCGCCTCCCGACGGTCACCGAAGGGCACACGATTGTAGAGAGGCCTCGTTCTCCTCGTGGCCTAGGTCACTTGAACACCCGCTGTCACGAAAAACTCCAGAGACACGTTGAAGAGGCAAACAGGGTCGTCAAATACCGGCCAAGGACCCCAGAGAGTCTCTGGATAGCGTCAGCAGATATCAACAACCAGGGAGGCCGCAGTGTCTCTGATCTTCCAGATAGCCCCAGGAGACTCTTCCATCTTCTTCGCCTTACATCATCCACGTTCTCGACAGCCCTTCGTCTCGAAAGAAAGCCTTTACAAACTCGATAAAGTCCACGTCGTCGACGTCTACGAACTTTGCGCCCGGAAGGCCACCGGCTCATCTCCAATCATCTGTAAGAGGACTACGACTCTACAGACCGTCTACATAACAACAACAGCCTGGTCAGATCGAGTGAAGAGGAACAGGGGCAAAGCTCGGCCCATCCGCGTCCGGATCTACAAAAAAGCCGCACTGATTGACTTCCACAGTCTTCGCCGAACCAACAAATCCTACAGCACAACCTCGAGACCATAATCTTCTTGAGGGCCCGTCCTTCGTGACAACAGACGACGGTTCAGGAACGCATGAAAACAAAACAATCCGTTCCGGGCTCTGCAACAACTCCAAGAGAGACAGAGAGACTTACAATAATACTGGTGATCATTGCGGTTGTAATCAGGAACACTTCAAAGGAAACGACTGAAAATTACAAAAGAAAGAGCCAGGAGAGGCAGAGTATCCCCTGAACGCAGTTGTTCCTAGATCCCGAGGAACTGTCGACACATCAACGTCCCTATTTACATCGATACCATTTCACCCTCCCAAAGCTCGTTACAGTGGAAGGATAGTCACGGGCATACCCAAAAATACTCTCGAGGAGACTCCGTACTGAAGGAATTGCGAATAAATTCCTCGAATAAACCCAAACCGTGGCAAAGACGTTGCTGATTTGAACCACCAGGCTTGGATTGTTCTACAGTGCTTTCCCCAGACTGCGCACTTTAACTCAGGGGCTGACAAGCTACTTCGTGTTGCATACACATATTCGCACTACAACAAGAGAGACGGTATCTAGTCCACTTGTCCTCCGGACTCATCGATCCGCTTTCGAGTGAATCACCATTCAAGTCAACCTATCGGCATACGACCGGCTCTGAATATTCACTGACAGTTCACCGGAGCATAACTACTCTACCAGGAATCCGAAGATCTCGGATCATTTGAAAACACACTAGCACTGGCACTTTAACAAACAAAATCGAACGTATCGCGACGCCGGACACGGAGAAGATCCGTTGTGCACGGCATCGAGCATCTGCTCTGGATATATTCGAGAAAGATTATCTGGCGAAACGATACGTGTCTTGCAAGAACCAATACAGGGATACGATATGTGTTTCTCAGAGTTCATCGGCTACACTTGCGGGCACTCCTCCCCGGAGGTGCTACGCCCCTGTCCCATGACGACCCAATTCTACACGAACCCGCTGTGTACCCAACACGCCCGGCGCCCCATTCTGGCCCCGGAAATGTGCCCAGCGTGCCAGAGAGTCATCCACGGGCGTGCCGTTCTGATAACCGAATGGGAGCACCGCTGGATGCACGAGAGAGGCGTCTGCGGCTGCGAGGTCCAGTTCCCGGATCTTATTCGCCCGCGCGTTGTCAGCCGAAGCCGTCCAGGACAGGCTATAGGGAAGAACGGCCACGTGAAAAACAATACGCATGGCTCCAAGACCAACAAGCCTGCCAGTGTCTCCCTTCCGAAGACTAATGGAAGTGGCAGCGCTGGCACCAGGGGAATTCCAGCCCACTATCAGGAGAGGTCTACTAAGAAAGGTGAGGACAAGCCAGAGGTTGATGTCAGAATCCCTTCTTTGTACGGGGTTGAATGGGTTGATGAACACAGACAGCTACACAAAGATGGGTCATGCAAGTGTGCAGGCGACTTTTCCTTCTACAAGACTCGAGAGCCCTACCCTGCCGTCCCATCTACTTCAGCTCTGATCAACAATGTCCCTGAACAAGTTGTTCGGACGGAAGCCATACAGAAGACCTCTCAAGGCGAAAGCCACCGAAACTTCCAGAATAGTGCATCCTCTCACTATTTAAAACCACAAAACCCTTCCCACCTAGGACTTCCTTTTCCCAAAACCTTGCACAACCCTCACTCTCAACTTCTTCCTCACCACCAGGGTGACACCCTGACCCAACAGTCTACATTAAACGAGACAGCCAGTCTCAATCAGGCACAGCACCATATTTCAACTTTTCCTCACACCCAAGACAACTTCATAACCTCACCAAAGTTTCCTCCTCTTGTGGTGAGCTCTTCTTGGCCTCATACCCCGCAGCGCTCCCCTGGCGCCATCTACGAGGTGGACCTGACCAAGTCCACCAACAAGCTCTACAACCTCGCCTGCCACGAGGGCGCGAACATCACAGCGCTGGCAGACTTCCAGTCTATCGAGTTTCCCAAGCCCAAGGGCATCCTGCCTCTGGTGGGCCTGCCCATTGGCGCAGGTCCAGAGGGGCCTCCAAGCCTCTCCCACGTGGGGAGCTTCGAGGACTGTGTGCTGCACACCAAGAGCCTCATCGCCTGCATGGGGAATGGCCCTTGCCTGCTGATGGCGAAGAGCAAGTCATTCGCTTGTCTTCACGAGTTGAAGGCAGGCTGTGAGAGCCTTCGCCAACAGGCGACTGCGCAAGAGCGCACTCAGAGCGTCTGCTCAAGCGCAGAGTCTTCTGACGACGACGACGAAGACTCAACTTTTGAAGATGACCAGCTCTATTTGAGCTGAAGGCCACTCCCCACTCCATTCGAAAGTAAGGAAGCACTTAAGCGAAACAGACTTTTGGACAAACATCACTGACCATGGAGACAGGAACGCGAAAACAACAAGAAAAAGTGTAAGGAGAAGGCTGTATTTACGTCGCAGCAAGTTCTCTGTACTATACACAAAAGGACAACGAGGGGTTGTGGTCAACTCTATCAGTTCTTTTATTTCCTTTTCAACTATTCCCCATACTATCACAAGTCTACCGATCGACCTCACCTAAAGGAACAAACTTGTCAGTATTTTCGCTTTACCCGGATCGGGAAACGTCATAGACTTACCAAACACCAGATCCATTGTTCCGATGATCGCCACCGCGTCAGCCAGCAAATGGCCCTTGGCGATTGCGTCGAAGCCACCCAAGTGAGCAAAGCCAGGGGCACGGATGTGCACACGGTATGGCCGCTCACTTCCGTCACTCACGACGTACACACCCATCTCACCCTTTGGTGCCTCGATGGCGGAATAAGTGTCGCCTGGTGGGACGGCGTATCCCTTGGTGTACAGCAGGAAGTGGTGGATGAGGGCCTCCATGTTCTCCTTCATGGCGGCACGAGGAGGAGGGGCGATCTTGTAGTCCTCAACCTTGATGGGTCCGGGGGGCATCTTGTTGAGGCACTGGTGGATGATGCGGAGGGACTGGCGGAATTCCTCCATTCGGCAGAGGTATCTGTCGTAGCAGTCGCCATTGACACCGACTGGCACATCGAATTCGACTTGATCATAAGCGTCATAAGGAGAAGACTTGCGAACGTCCCATGGGACTCCGGATCCTCGGAGCATAACACCAGAGAAGGAGAGGTTGAGAGCATCAGCGGCGGAGACGACACCGACACCACGAAGACGGTCAATCCAGATACGGTTGTCAGTCAGCATTTCTTCGGTTTCGTCGATACGGTCGCCGAATTGGGTGGCCCATTGGTAGATGTCGTCGAGCAGGCCGATGGGGATATCTTGGGAGACGCCACCGGGTCGGACGTATGCGGCGTGGAGACGGGCGCCAGAGACACGCTCGTAGAATTCCTGTTTTGGGAAGATGGTTTGTTAGCACACCACCTTAATCTTTGATTGGCAGATCGCTCTGCGTTGCCTTCTAGACATCATGCGTTGATTTTCATAAAACGAGATAGCATCAATCCAACTGCTACTCACCATAAGCTTCTCTCGCTCCTCGAAACCCCACAAAAAGGGCGTGAGAGCACCAACATCCATAGCGTGTGACAAGATGGACATGAGGTGGTTCAGGATACGGGTGATCTCCCCGAACAGAGTCCGAATCCATTGGGCACGTTCCGGCACCTCCACGTTCAACAGCTTCTCGACTGCCAGCGAGAAGCACTGCTCGTTGGTCATCATGGAGCAGTAGTCCAGCCGGTCAAAATACGGCAGGGCCTGCAGGTATGTCTTGTACTCGCACAGCTTCTCTGTTCCTCGGTGCAGCAAGCCGACATGGGGGTCGGCGCGCACAATCTCCTCGCCGTTGAGCTCGAGGATCAAGCGCAGCACACCGTGGGCGGCCGGATGCTGGGGACCGAAGTTGACCGTGTAGTGGCGAATCTTGCGCCCTGCTATGGAACCCTCACCCGCCTTCTCTCCAGTTCCCTCGTCGCCCTCCAGCCGCTTCATCATGTAGGGGTCGCGGGAGGCGGGGGAGAAGTTCTCGTCGACGGGGATCAGGACGGTGCCCTGGGGTTGCTGGTCTTGTGTCTGGGCATAGCGGCGGAGGCTTGTCGTCGAGAAGCATGCGGCTGCTCGTGACCGCGTCGCGGCGGACTGTATCGAGGGGGTCGAGGAGGATCTGATTGGGAGGGCGCTGGCTGGTCTCAGACACAGCCGCTTCGCAGTCTGGCCTGCTAACCGCTGGAGCGTGGCCATGGTTAAGGGTGTGTGTATGGTGTGGTTGAGTGGAGAGGTCGGAACGTGAAGGACAGGTCGAAGTCGATGGGTCCTCCCTCGATGAGCCGTCCGTATCAGCCTCTGCTCTGTCGTCAATGGGGCGAACTAGAGCTTCGTCAAGTGGGCGAGCGGCAATCCGTGTTTCTGGGTGTCGCCGTCACCATTCAATTCTCTTAGCTAAGCTCACCAATCGGGCAAAGCGCCGGCAGCATGAATCAGCAGCATTTTGATTGGGCATTGGATTTGGAGCTCTCTTGAGCCTCATAAACATTGATTTTCTGTGGCGTTCTCGCCTGCATATCTTCAACTCATCCAAAGGCACAATCATGCCACATTGGAAATGCAATCTAAGATGAACTCCATGGCAGTTCGTTTATTTCTGGCGTGTGCACGTCTTTATCCGGTCGAACACCTCTAGCAAGGTTTGCGATATCTCAATCTCTCCGGCAGCTTTAACGCAATTGTCTAGTCCTAGGAGAAACGGATCGTTTGTGAACCTTCTCGTGGCATCCGAGCAAGTCCATTGAACCTGGACCCAGGGCTCTTCTAGCTGCGGAAATGGAAATTGGTCTCGACTGCAAGGTCTAGACAAGGCGATTGGTGTAAGATCAACTGTCTCCCACCAGTGGAGCACAGCTCGGCGAGACTCACAAATAGGTGGTATAAGACCTGCATCAAGCATCAGGCTGGCAGAACAGTTCAAAACTGCCATTCCCTTTGTCATGGTCTCGCCTGAAGAGTTTCACGGCAATGCATACGTCCAGTCGACAGCTTACCTCAAAGACTATCCACGAAGTCAACGACTCTCGACTTCAGAAGTCGTAACACGGATTTGAATCTCAAAGCAGGTCAGAATTCACATTTTACTGTGCGCCATACATTACAGGATAACATTCCTGGGTCTTGAAAGAAACTTTCCGAGTATCTATATACTGAACTCTCAATGTTTATGGTCGAGGTGGCAACTGCGGCACAGTCTCAACTGTTCACAATGTCACAGTCGTTATCCACCAGAACGCAAATGGGTCGATGGAAGCCAGCTTCAAGAATGAGATCGCAAAACCAAGAGATAATCCATCTACGTGTCGACGAAACAGTCTTCACCACGACTCGACACACGCTTTGCACAGAAAGCTCATACTTCCAGTCCCTGCTGTCTGACAGAAAGCAGCAGCTCACAGATGGGACTCACTTTGTCGACGCGGACCCCGAACTGTTCGCACACATCCTCCGATACCTCCGGCACGGTATCTATCCTATTCTCTTTAGCGGGAGAGGTGGTCACGATCTTACTACGTATGTGACCATCTAGCGTTTTGCAGCTGATCTCCAGATTGAGGGACTGGCGAAATGGCTTCACGGCAAGCATTACGAATCTGCGATTGAGTGCTCTGTGCCATTCGAGCCAGTGATGAATCTCAACTATGTTGGGCCCACCAATCTGTCAAGGCCATACCTACCGACAGATGATGTCGACTTTCTTGTCGCATCAACCAGCAGCGACAATGGTATGGTGTGGGAAGTCAAGAAGAATTTCACGGTCAGGCCAGAGGCTATCCTTAGGGATCATGCGTAGCTCAGGCCGCGGTTATCTCAGGATCTAGAGCTTGCATAAGAGTTGGACCAGTCAGTTACTGTGTTGGAGAGACGAAGGGAGCGTTCTCATGACATAGTTTTGGAACTGTGAGAGCCGTATTTGGTCTCTAGATGTGTTCTTCGTGCTGTCGGCGCTCTGGGATCAGAGCATCAGGACGTGCCAGCGTAGGCAGGTAGATCGAAGTTCACCAGGCAAACATTAATTGGGTCTCCAGTCCCGCATGTTTTGATGTTGTCGGACACCATTCCGCGGGACGTTGTGGTTAAAGCCGTTAAGAACGGTTGTGCATACTGAGGATTTTCCCTTTCCATCGAATTGTGAGCAGGAATTCTAGCTGTACGAAAATACTGCTATTGAAATGTGATAGTCTATACAGACAGATAAATCAAGTCCATGAGGATCGAGGACTCAAATGGACGGTCGCGGGTAGGCTGGAGGGGCCCTGTTCCTGCAAGTGTGGTGGGGCTAGCCAAATTTCTCTATCTTATCGTCGAAAATCATCCTCTTCCCAAACTTTCTTCGCAACAACCTGCGCTGCAAAGATGGCGCCAATAGTAGTACCGACCCAAGAGGAGCTTGACCGGCGGAAGGTGGGTTCACATGATTCTCAGGTTCAAGAAAGAGGGAGCTGTTCGCTGACTTGCCCTGCGCGCACCCACAGGTCGTCAACATCAACGCAGAAACAGTCACAAACGTCACCTCGACCGACTTTCCCGGCCACTACCCCGGCGAAGACAACTCGTGGGACCTCGACGCATTTCGCCAGCACTTCAAAGTTGTATTCCACGAGAACGGCCAGCACGATGCCTCCTTCAGCCTCGTCGGGCTTGACGCCTCCATCGCCAACGCCTTCCGGCGCATCATGATCGCCGAGATCCCCACCCTCGCCATCGAGGACATCTGGGTGAACAACAACACGAGCGTAATTCAAGACGAGGTTCTCTGCCACAGACTGGGCCTGGTCCCTTTCAAGGGCGGTAAAATCGGGCTACACGACTTCATGAAGTGGTACAAGAAGCCCGGCGCGGACCAGGACCCCTTCGAGAACAGCATGGACTACAACACGGTCAAGATCGAGCTCGACGTCCAGTGCACGCGGAAGGCCGACGCCGAGCCCGGCGAGAAGGACCCCCGGAAGCTCTTCAACCACGCCAACGTGTACGCCTCGGACCTCAAGTTCCTGCCCGTTGGCCAGCAGGTCGAGTTCTTCTCCGGCGACCAGGCCATCCAGCCCGTCCACCCGGACATCCTCATCGCGAAGCTGCGGCCGGGCCAGCAGATCCACCTCATGGCGCACATGCACAAGGGCATCGGCGCCGACCACTCCAAGTTCTCGCCCGTCGCGACCGCCTCGTACCGCCTACTGCCGCTGATTAACATTACGAAGCCGATCGTCGGCGCGGACGCGGAGAAGTTCCAGCAGTGCTTCCCCGAGGGCGTCATCGAGCTGGAGAAGGTCACGAAGCAGGACGCCAAGGCAAACGCGAACCTCAAGGGGCACGAGGGCGAGATGCAGGCGGTGGTCAAGGACACGATGAAGGACACCGTGAGCAGAGAGTGTCTGCGCCACCCCGAGTTTGTGGACAAGGTCAAGCTGGGCCGCCAGAGGGACCACTTTATCTTCCAGGTCGAGTCGTCGGGCCAGTGGGACTCGGACGAGCTATTCTTGGAGGCGGTTAAGCACCTCAAAGCCAAGTGCCAACGGTTTGAGAAGCAAGTGACCTACATGGCGAGGTAGTGGGCAGATGTATTTCCGTGGTCACAATTCAAGCATCATGGGCTGGCGTCAGGAGTACCCAAAAGGAAAGGGCTAGGGGTTCGGAAGATACATTGATTTTGTTGAGAATCACGGATTCCATATCCTCTGATTCCAGTGCTAAATTTTTGACCGCTCCGTGAAGTCTGCAGTGTACCCCTCTGCGTCAAAGCGCTATGCTCATGTAAATCCCTGCCCTACATAGCGGGCTTTTCATATGGCAGCTGCACCGTCGTGTTGCGCAACATCGTCAAGTCTAATGCGTTTCACTAACTTTTGGTCAGTCTCGTTGACAATCAAGGCCGCCGTAGTCACCGACCTCTCCCGCTTGTGCGCCGGCAGCACGGCCACCTAGGCCGCCTTAAACCGAAGGATGAACCTGAAATTGGCCACGAAAGCCGGATCCGTCACGGAAATCTCCCATCCATCCTCGAGTCCCAGGTCCGTCAGGCTCTTGATAAGGTTCGGTCTAGTTTGCTCCTCGAGGCTAGCCGGGGTCTGCATATAGAGGCTCTTGCCCTCGGCCCGGATCGATGGCTTTTTGAGTTGCGCCTCTGGCCGTGCCGCCAGGAGATCGATAAGCTCCTCGAGTGTCAGCTTGGGGTCCACCTCCAGCGGACGCGCCATCGTTCCGCAAACAGGACAGTCATCTTTCTTCTCGTGCTTGAAAGTGTATGTGTAAATGCTGTCGTTCCCGGAGTACATCATATAGTTCTCTTCCATGCCCAGCGACGGTGCACAACCGCTCGCGATCTTCAGAGCCTCGTTGCAGCAACTCGCTGCAATAATGGCATTAGTGGATGCAATGGCGGGAATAATGTTCTTCACGACACCTTGCGTTGAGGAGTATGTGACGCCGGGGATGTTGAACTCTTGGGCCCTGGCCAGGGCTTTCTGGTACAGCCAAGTAATGTGCTCGGGGTCGTCCTTGTCGAGCTGCGGGAAGGGCTTCTCCTTGTCCCATGCTATGACGTGCGCCCACTCGATGCAGTGTTCTGGTTGCCGAGGTATCGTGGCAATGGTGCAGAGCGGTACCGCGGCTCGTGGTGCGAACATGTCGAGTTGGCATTCTATGCAGGATGTCATGGTAGGGAGTACCACTCTAGACTGTCCCTTGAATCCTGTGCTGTTGTTAGCGCCCTCTCGGTGGGATAACTATCTCCAGAGGCGCGATCCTACCTTCTGTACCGCCGTCAATTAGAGGCTTGAGAGAATCCATATTGTCCTCGTCCACCATGTTGATCAAAGTTGCGTTGATCCACCGCCGGGCTTCTATACTGTCTAGTCCACAGACCACAATTGTGAACTGCATATAGAAAGACTCGTCAAAGTCCTGTATGCGGTTATTGTGGGGCGTGATCTTAACGCCTTTGACTCTTCGCTCAACAAATTTAGCAGCCACTTCTGCCTTCGATTTTCCCACGTCATCCTTTCGGAAAAGGAACTGCCGGTTGAGATTGGAGATATCGATCGTGTCTGAACTTGCGGCGTCAGCCTACAGCACAGCATCTAGCAATAGCCTCACCATACCCATGTCAATTACGTGTATATCCTTGAAACCTGAGAGTGCCAGATCCTTCAGAATCTCGCATCCCAGACCACCAGCGCCACTGTAACACGCGTGAGAATCAGGCCAGTCAAGCTTCGGTCCAAAGACACCTACATGACCCTGAGTCCTTCGTTAGCACAAGATTTGCAAGAATGAGCTCCTTGACTCACAAAATTTTCATGTTATCCATGTTCTCGATCACAGAAGGTCCATCCACCTCGTCCCCATCACTGAACGGACCGGCGGTGGTACGGATCTTGTCTAGATCCCGCCTGGAAGCCAATCGTCAGCTCAAATCGGTGTTTCTTGGGCAATTGCTTCAATTGGACATACCATCGTGATGTTGCCGCCATGGTATTACGGGCTTATTTTATCTTGCTGTCTCTTCAGGAATGAGCGAATGAAAGAAAGGCAGCGAAGAGAGTCAAAGTCCAAGGATGAAAGGCTGCCTGTTGGGTCGGAGTGACGTTGGAGGGGACCCCTGAAGCAGCTCCCCCAAGTAAGCTTTTATCGATAAGCTCTGCAGCTTTCTAAGGCTGGCAGGGGTTGACTCAACCACAGATCCGGGTCAACGCCCCGAACGTTGCCTGAAACATTCACAAACAGAACAGTCCCAACTTACAAGTACCGGATTTGTGCTGCTACTTTGCATGCCGATTTCGTCAGCCTGCCGAGGCGCCGTGCAGGAAGCACTGAGGAAGTGGCCCAGGGATGCAATCATAACCACAGCTGTGTAAACCTGTGTGGGCCTCGCAGACGGCGCAGAGATGGTGATGACAGGTCATCTAGAACAGATTTTCTTTTTGCCCTGAGATTGTTCTCGAGCAAAATGGATGAGCTTTTGCGTCCTATCAGCAGGACTTATGTCAAGTCGGAAGATACCGCAAAGTCCCTGCTCCAGGAGGTCCAGGCATCATCAAGGGCGACATCGATACCAATTTCCAAGCCAACATCGCTTGAAGACGTCGTGGAGACCTTGAAAAATGAACCTGACTACGACACTCTAATATCGGTGTTGAGTTTTGTCGTCCAAAAAGGACCAGTGGGTGAGCATTTCAACATCGGCTCTCCAGGACCCGAGGCCGCCAGGATCATCCAGATCTTGGTCACTGAAATCGTACCGAATTACTGGGCCATACTCAAGGAATCATCTTCAGACGATGAGTATTCAGATTTAAAGCTCTTGCTGGATAGTCTCCGAAATCTTGCGGGCCTGAATGCTGTCTTGCTGCGCCTGCGGACTCTCACTCAGGAGCAAAAGTCGGAGACGACAGCTAACAAACGCTCCGACGTGCTGCTGAATCTGAGCGTCACCCTTGAGCTCCTTTGTGGAATTCTAGATGGCGAAGAGGGTGTCGTACGTCTATGGACAAACACCTGCACGACACCAGACTCCATGAAACAACGCATATTGGCAAGAGATTTTGTCAATGTCATCGCTGGCGGCCGTATCGTCGCCTTCTCAGCAGAAGCTGAATCTCTTGCTCCTCACGAAGCCAAGGGCCAGATCATTTGGGTTGCCGATGGGAAAGAGTATACGAGGTGGTTGACCCGTAACGTCATATCATGGTCAAGACAAGCAGACCTCCCCATGCAGAAGAAGCTGGTGGCAGACCTCTTGTCGAAGGCTCTGCGTCTAGGATACTCTGGTATGTCGTCGACCTCATCTTTCCGAATCTTAATTGCTGACTTGTTCCAGATACTGTATTTCAGATTCTGCTCGAGGATATCGTCAACAGGTCCCAAGAATCCCGGCACATCTCTGACTTGTTCGGCAATCTCGCCAACACAGAGCAACGCACTTTCCTCTCCAGCATTTTGAAGGCCATTGCAGATATCTATCTCAACCACGTCAATGCCAGTGATCCATCTAAAGAGAAGACGGCAATAGCCGCAGCTGCCGGTATCATCGGCTCACTCGTCGCGAAAGACGCCAAATACTTGTCTCATCTGATCACATGGCTAACAAGTGCCACCGGGACCGGGCTTGGTGATGCAGTTGGTGTTCGGCGTGCAGTTCTGGCTGTTCTTTCGCCGGACAGGGACAGCATCACTACAGTCTTTGAAAATAGTCTCAACCAGTTCGGAGATTTCCTGTACATCAAGCATACCCCAGTTCTTCAACAAGAAGGTATGGAAAATACTGCCATTCGCATCAACACGAATTCTGACAGGTCACAGTGCACGCGCAAGTGCTCCTTCTGAGCGCTGGATATCTTCAAAGACTGGCTCCGATCAAATTATCCCTTGTCGTGAGATCGGGCTCGTTCATGAACATGGTCTCCAAGAGGTTGGAAGCGTCTCAGACCCGCGCTCGCTTGCTGGGTATGATCGTTGGCGAGGCGCTCTCAAAATTGGCCCACAAAGACGACAAGAAGCTCAATTTCAACATGGAGGAGACGAGCTCAGATGAAGCTCTCTGGTACAAAGGCTTAGTAGACATTTCGGATGTTGTCGGTCCCATTGAGACCTTGGCTTCGAAACAGCAGCCGGCCGAATACACCCGGCAGACGAAGGCACCACCTGCCCCCAAGTCAAAGCCAGCACCGGCTCCAGCGCCATCGACCAGCAAATCGAAGGCGATCATCGAAGAGGTGGAGTCTGACGAGGAAGAGGACGATGATATAGTGCCCTTGAAGAAACCAGAAGATGACGATATTGATTCCGATGACGACCCAGAAACTGTCAGGCGAGACAAGCCCAAAGCCCCTGTGTACATCAGAAATCTTATCACATATCTTCGGGACACTGAGGGCTACGATCACCAAAAGCTCGCCCTCACAACTGCACCGACCTTGATCAGGCGGAAAGCGAATTTTGGAACTGAAGTCAAGGAGCATGCCGAAGAGCTTGCTTCACTTTTGGTGGGCATACAGGACACATTTGATATTGAGAACTTTTACGACCTCAAACTACAGGGTATGATTGCTATAACTGTGGCCCAACCTCAGATGATGGGCCCATGGTTCGCCAAAACATTCTTCAGTGGAGACTATTCAGTGGCACAGAGAGCTTCTGTACTTACGGTCTTGGGCCTGAGTGCCCGCGAGATTGCTGGGCACGCAACTTCAGAGTACACGGCCGCGGCATCGTTCCCTTCTCAGACGCTGCCTGATAAGATGAAGAGGCTTTATGTGGAGGACGCAGCAATGAACAACCAACTTGCCTCGTCATCATCGCTTAAAGCATTGCCACCCAACGCTTTGGATACGATATCAAAATCACTCACCTCCGACTTCATGGCGCCACTGGCGGCTGATGCTGCGGATTCAGCGACAGGTCCAGACGCTCTGAAGCTGTCAACATTCAAATCACGTCTCGATCAGCAACAGTCTTCGACGGCACAGAAGTCCAAGAGCAAGCCCCGGGTCCGTGCCATTCCCAACACGACGGCCCAGCTCATTGCCACGTCGTTCTTCTTCCCACTTACCGCTCGCTTTCAGTCCGCAGCGCGTTCGATGGCAGGCCGCACCCGCGGCATCGTCTTTCAGCCCTTCCTCTTGTCGCTCTACATCAAGACCCTGGCGCTCCTCCTCCATGCCGCAGGGCCGAGCACGCTGTCCCTGCCGGACATGACGGCCGAGCTTTGGGAGCTCTTGTTGGGAAGCAGCGTGCGCGCACATGCTGTTGGAGACCTGGGCGTCACGCATGCAGTCTTGTTTGCACTGCTGACACTGCTGGAGGTTAACGGGGACAGGATGCGGGACATTTGTCAGAGCATGCCGAGAGAGGTCGTCGAAACGCAGGAGTGGGTCGCCCAGATATTCAGTGGCACTAGAGGCGAGGATGGAGGAGAGGAGAACGACGTGAAGATGTTGGCTGCGGGCGTGTTGATCAGGATCAGGGAAGGCATGGATAATCATAGGGCCTTGCTGATGGGTGACATGATCGGGTGAGGCGATAGTCTTCCTGGCTGGTTTCCTTGCGCTGTTGCGTTTACATATCTGCACCTCGCTGCTTGGTATATTCTTTGCTCTTAGTAAAGGCTGGCCAAGTCTTGGTCAATAAGTAAATTGTGCAGCAGCAAACAGATATAATCAATCAATTGGAGGCCAGAACCTGAACATTCACTAGATCCCTGCCTTTGGCCGAGCCCCTAGATCCTAGCACTGCAAGCACTGTACCTCAGAGTGGCACCAGATCGGAAGCTCCCGGCGCACTTACAAATCAACGGCAGGCAAATGGTGAGCTCATCGAATTCGTCTCTCGCGACAGCCGATTTTCTTTCTCTGCGACACCAACACTCTTTCAAGAATTGCTCAGCGCAACAAGTCACAATGGGATCGCAAGTCTCGGCTCGTATGTACTGCGCGCTTCTGATTGCAGCAACTCTGCGCAAGATCCGCTGACGAAATTTCTTACCAGCCGTTCCAGCCGCCGCGGCGATCGCGCAACCGCCAGCGCCCGCGATCTCCGATGCCTCTTCGAAGCCAAAGGTCCGTCCATTCCGTACCCACGATATCCCCGAACTTCTTCCTTTCATCACCGAGGCTGACTCGCTACTGGTAAAACAGCCATGTTGTGTCTGTAAAGACGAGAAGGCGAAACGCGACGAGTGCATGCTTTTCTCGAATGCCGCCGACCCGGCCAAAGACTGCAAATCCACCATCGACCTGTACCGATCTTGCATGAAGGGGTTCGGCTTCGAAGTATGACCACTGCGGCGATTTCAGAAGAAGAAAAAAATCATATAATGTACAATATGGAGTATGAGTGGGAAAGATTGACCTTTTAGAAGCACGTCTCTTCGCGGGTCTGAATACAACAGTGGCGCAATTACCATAGACTGATGGCTGGTCGCAAAGACCTGTATCACTCCGCTCAACGATTCAGGCGAGCTTCACAACTGAAATACGAAAACATAATTCCGACGAGACGAATTTATGTTAATTGGTATTATTTGATCATGTCAAGCAGCCCGATTCCAAAGCGCCTCCGAAATAGCAGAGGGTGTTGGCTGGGTTATATATTTGAATATAATGCGCGTTTAGGGATGTTAGTATTTATTTAGGTGTGGGTTGTTTGCTTAGTTATAGGAAGCAGCTAAAGGCTATATCCCTTTAAAGCTTACTTATAGCTATAAGCTTAATAAATTAATTAGCTTATTATAAATGCTAATATTATAATTTATATATTAATAGTTTTTTATTAAGTATATATATATACTTATAGATATTAAAAACCCTTTTAAAAATTATTTTTTATATAATTTAAATTTAAAACTTTAATAATTAAAATAATTACTTATATATTTTAATTAAATACTTAAATAATTTAAATATTTAATTTTTTTAAGTTTATTTAAAGGTTTTTAAAATAAGTAAGTTTATTAAATTTAAATAAAAATTATTATAATACTTTTATTATTAAAATTACTTTTTAAATTAATATTTAATAATTACTTCTATTTTATAAATAATTTTATTTTAAAATAGTTTATAAATTTATAATTTTATTATTTAAGGAATAGATAAATAAAAATAAACTTTTAAGCTAAGCTAATATTAGTTAGCTTAACTAATAATATCAATATAATTTTATTTTAAATATTAAATAATAATAAAATAAGATAAAATAAAAAGAAAAAGTATAATTAGTAAATTTAATAGATTTAATAAATTTAATAAATAATAGTAAATAATAAAAATATAAAATTAGTTAATTAATTAATTAATTTTTAATATATAAATATTAGTATTATAAAATTTAATTAGGAATATTTATTAAATATTAAATAGTATTTAGTTTATAAGATAGTAATAACCCTTATTACTTAAACCTTTAATATATAGGCTATACTATAAAAACTTACTATAAAATATACTTTTAAAATAAATTTAAGGAAATATAGCTTAAAAGTATAAATTATTAATTAATATAAGCTAGTTTAAAGGTAATAAAATTAATTTAAAATTTTATTATTTAAATTTAGTATATTTTATTATTATAAATTAATTTTATTTTTAATAGTTTTTTTTTTATTAAGTTAATTAGTTTTAGTTTATATAGCTTTTAATTTTAATAGTTAATTTATTAGTAGTTATAAGCTATTTAAATATTTTATTTAAATTAATTTTAATAAATATATTTGCTAAGTTATTATTATTATTAATTTAGTATAGCTTATAAATCTTTTACTATTTATATAATTATTAAAGTATTATTATATTTATTATTAATTGCTTTTTTTTAATAGTTTTTAATTTAATAAAATACTTATAGAAAGAATATAAGTTTATATAGATTATTAGTAATATTATAAAAGTATTAAAGTAAGCTATAATTTATTAAAAAGTTATAGTAAATATAATTCCTATATTAAAGCTATTAATTATATTATAAATCTTTAAAGTAAATATATTTTATATAATTTTTTTATATTTAGTTAAAAACTAGTATAAAATATTATTAGTTATTTTTTATTTTATAAAATTAATATTTTTTTTTTTATTAATTAAAGTAATTATAAAGTTAATTTAAAAGCTAAAGTTTTAATTATTTATAAAGGAATTATTTATAAAAACTATAAGTTTAGTTAAAATAAAGTTAATAGGAATATATTATAGTTTATAATTAAAGTTTTATACTTACTATTAAAGCTAATAATTAAGTTTAATATATATAATATTATCCGGATTTTAGATTTAAATAGCTATAAATAGGTTAAAAGCTGCTTTTAGTTAATATATAAATATTAAATATACTTTATAAATATATTATTTAAAGTATTTTTAAATATAATTTAAAAACTTAATATTAATTAAATTAATTTTTATATTTTAACTTTTTTAAATAAAGTTAATAGATTTATTAAAATTTATAATAATCTTTATATTATTAAAGTTAAAAGGGTTATTAACTATAAGTTTAGTTTTTAGCTTATAATAAATTTATTTCTTTTAAATTTTTTTTTTTTTAATATTAAAAAGGTAAAAGTAATTATTAAAAGAATATTATTTATCTATATAATTATAATACTAAAGTAGTTTTAATTATAAATAAAAATTAAAAAGTATAAATTATAAATAAACGTTTTTATACTTAATTTATTATAATAATAGTAATAATATATTACTTATTAATAAATACTTATTTTAGTAATATTATAAAATAGCTTAATAACTTTTATAATAATATCTATTAAGTATTTATTTTAAATTTTTAATAATAAGCTTATAAAAAGTATATATTTTAATATTATTTTAAATTATAAATAAGCTTAAATAATATTTTAAAGCTTAATAACTATACTTATTTTTAATAAAAATAATATTAAAGCTATAATTAAGTATTAGTTAATTTTTTATATAATTAGTAATTATATTAAAATATTTTCCTTTCCTTTATTATTATACTTTTATATAATAAATTATAACTTTTTATATAGCTTTTTAATTTTACCCTTAATTTCTTAAACTATACAAAACTTAAAAAGTCTAAACATACTATACTTATTAAAATAATAAAATTTAAATTAAAAAATACTATATCTAATTAAATCTAATATCTTTTAAATATTAAATTCCTTAAAAAAATTACTAAAAGTAATAATTACTTTATTATAATAAAGCTTAAATATAAGCTTATAATTATCTTTCTCCTACTAAATAAATAAAGTTTTAACTAACTTAAACTTATTTTTAAATTTATAAAATTATCCTTATTATTAAAACTAAAAAGGCTTAAAGGGTAATTAATATTAATTTAAATCAAATTTAATCTATAATAAAACTTATTATTATAATTTAGTATTAGCAGCTATTATTATATTATTTTTTAAATTTATATTATTATTATAATAATATAATTAAACTAAAGTTAATTAAAAAGTAACTAAGCTATTAAGTAAATTAAAAGTTATATTATAACTATTAATAGCTAAAAGCTTATATAAGCTTTACTAGCCCTTTTTCTTTTTTTAAACTTAAATATTACTTTATAAAAAAAGTACTAAAATATTTAATATTATTAGTTTATTTTAAGTATTTAAAGCTATATTAACTTACTATTTAGCAGTTAATTTTTTTAATACTTTTATAGCTTTTTAAATTACTTTAGCTCTTTTTAAAGTAAATAGTATAAATAAAAAGTTAAATATTATTTAAAACTAAGCTTTAAAAATAAAAAGTATAAATATAAATTTATTTAAGCTAGCTATATTATTAATAGCTTTAAAAGCTATTTAAAATATAAACTTTATAAAGAATATATTTAAAAGCTTAATATATAAAATTTTATATACTTATTAAATAAAAGTATAATATTATTTAACTTTTTTAATAAACTAATAAGCTTTAATAAGTACCTATTTATAAGTAATTTCTATAATTTTAGTAGTATTTTTAAACTTTATAAAAATAAAATTAATATTAGTATTATAAATAATATAGTTAAAAAGTTTAAAGTAAATATTAATTTATATTAAATATAAAGCTTTTTATATATCTTTTATTAATAAAAATAAAAGGAAATACTTAATTTAAAATAAAGTTATTAAATTAATTATATATAAAACTAGTTTATTGCTTAAATATATAATATTAATAATAAACTTATAATTAAAGTTTAAATTATTTTTAAAATTAAATTTAAACTTTTTTAAAACTAAATTATAAAATTAATAATAATAATAAAATTTAAAAATTATTTTTAAAATAAAAAATTTAATAATATACTTAGTATTAATTAATAAATAAATTAGTTATTTAATAAATAAATATTTAAAATAATAATATAATTATTTAAGCTTAAATTTAATTAAAAATATATTTTTAGCCTAATTTCTAATAAAAACAAAAAATTATAAATATCCCTATTTTTATATAATAAAAAAATTTTCTTTTACTATTCTAGCTTATATTAAACTATTTTATTTATAATATTTTAAAAAAAAATAAAAAGTTAGCTTATATTTTAAATATAAAATAAAAAAAAAGTAAATATATTAATTATATAAAAAATAATTATTTTAATAAATATAAAAAAAAAAACTATATTAAATAATATAAGCTATAAGCTTTATTTAAATTTAATAAAAGTTTTATTAGCTTAAAAAATATTTATTATTATAAATAAATCCTTTTATTAAAAAGTAAAAAGTTATTTATATTTAATAATAAAAAATACTATTACTTTAATATTTAAAATAATACTTTAAAACTTTATTATTAAATATTATTCTTTTAAAGTAAAAATATTAATAAATTCTAAAATATTCTTATTTATAAAAATATTTATATTAAAAAATATTAAATATAAAAAAGCTTAATTAGTAAAAAAATAAATTATCTACTTTTTATTTTTATTATTTTTAATATTATAATTTTTAAAATTTAAACCTTTAAAATTAATTAAAAATATTATAAAATTAATATTAATAACTTTTTTATTATTATTTTTATAAATAATAAAATAAATTATTTTTATTTAATAGTATTTTTTAAAGCTATATTAAATTAATTAGTACTCTTTTTTATTATATATAAAGTATTTTTTCTTTTTATTACTATTATTTTAATAGCTATTTTACTATAAAGCTTAATAGCTATTATAGCTATAAAAGTTACTTTAGCTATTATAATAATTACTATAAAAACTACTTTAAAAATTACTATATTAAAAAACTAAATACTAATACTTATATTAATATTAAATAATACTTATAAATTAAAAAATAAAATTTTAATTAAAGTTAAAGCAATATATAAAATAAAACTAAATTTTAATATATTTTTAATAGCTTAAAGTATATTATTTTTTAAAAATTAATTATTATATTTATTATATTTAAATATTTAAAAGTATAAAGTTATTTTATTAATTAATATTTATAAAATTTTAATATAGTTTT